GTCCGGATAGAACGTCCCTGCGGAGAACCTCAGTCTACGACTGTCTCTTTATAACCGTGAACGGTGTTTATCGCTGAGGGGATATATATTTGCTTAGTTATGTGACTTAGGAGGACGCGGAAGCTCTCTCCGGTAGACCCTCTTACCAGCTCGTAGACATCTGACGACATCGTTATGGACTGCTCGAGATAGACCTAGGTTTCCACTTATCTATTTCTTATTACAATTGAAGCACCCCGTATAAGGGAATTAGCTTATCCGACGGAAACTCGCTTTACTCCATAGTTAGCTAGCTATCGAACTTACAGGACTAGTTAGCCTACTAGCATCAAATACTACTTTCTAAGGGCTGCTACGGTTACTCGCTGCTAGTTGAACACTAAATCTAATATCAACCAGTACACAGGGAGTCCTTCACACCTTAGCAGCCGCACACTCCTCTATCTCTTGTATATCACCAGACCACATAACTGTAGTAGGAGGGCGCTTAGAGCTATTAACCTCGTGAGGGGCGCCTACGGCTACATAAACCAAACGAACCACTCTAAATAGATACCGCTAGGAGTGAGCGTATTAGTGTACATTCTAGAGTCTGTAATAACTCAAACCTCGCCTCTGTGTACATAGGTTAATTAAGTCCATTAGTTACTAGTAGGGAGTCCAACGCTCTTAGCAGCTGTAGAATCGCGGTCGTCTGTACTGTTCCCCAGTCCCGCACTTTCTTCAGGTTATGAAAATATGTATTCTTATTTAAAGAGCTTAAACGCCGATACATCGAGGACGGATAGCTCTATAGCTGATAGCTCTGTAGCCGACAGCTCGAAGGCTGATTAGTTCTCAAGATCTGCGATCTTATCAGGATAACGTCTTCTTTCAATTATTCAATAGAGCTAGGATAGATAGTTAGCTTATCGGATATTGACGTAGGGTTAGGGTTTTTGAGTGTTTTTTTTCTTTTTTTAGGATATTCAGACGAGTTATATAAGCGCGTTCTTGAAAGGTATTCAAGACCTTAGGTACATAGTGAAACGGGGTCAGGCGGTCAGTAGGATATACCTACCACCTAACACACTGAACAGACGGCCCCAGTACCAACAGATCCCATCTGTTGGTCTGATCAGACAAAGATCGTGGTACTGGTTGTAAGAGCGAAGCTCGTACACGTCTGGTGCGCGAGTTGGTCGGATGTGCCTCTGAGACTCTCGTCGGAATGATTCTTAGAACAAGACGTCTGGCTCTGGAAGTCGAATTGAAGCTCTCACTAGCACTAGATTGCTCTGATCAGAGCAAGGTATAATCCTCTGTCATTGTCAAGGCTAGGATGAGGGCGGAATAATAGGATTTCGAAAGTAGTGTTTAAGTACACGTAGGAATTAACCACATAATTGAAGGGCTCGCTAACTAGAATAGAAAACAAAAGTCAAGTTGATTGAATAAGATGATGAAAGAGATGACGGGTTGTTGAAAGTCGCCTGTTATCTCCGTGTCCCTTTTTGAAGTAAGGAAGACAGGGGAGTCCTCCCTAGCCCCCGTAACCTATTTCCCTGATGTCCGGCCTTACCCCGTTACACTATATATTGTACGATTGCCTCTTCCAAATAAGGAAGCTCTTACGTTAGTAACCTTATATTCTATCGATGGGCTAAGTGTCAGCCGTGGGCAGTGAGGCACGGGATGGAGTTCGCCCCTGACAAGAGTGAGCTAATGCACTTTACTAGGGCCCGAGAGCCCTTGCCGCAAAGTATTCGCCTTGGGGACGCCACAGTGTCGCCGGTAGTCTCAGCGAGGTTCCTAGGAGTCTGGTTCAACCGCAAACTGATGTGGCACGCCCATTTTGAGCGTGTTAAAACAAAAATGGCAACTCAAAAGCTAGCCCTGACAAAGCTAGTCAATATGTCGTGGGGCTGCGATCTTATACGGGCGAGGCTGTTATATACGGTGGTTATCCGTAGCGCGATCGCCTTCGGGGCGATTGCGTGGCATACTATAAGTGAGGAACCGGCAGGGCCAGCTAAGAGCCTGATGGGGATACAGAACGAGTGCCTCCGGGTAGTCTGTGGCGCCCACAAAGCGACGCCGGTTCGCCACCTGAAAGCAGAAGCAGCAATCCCGCCACTAGACCTCTATCTTAGTGCCCGGGCTGCTAAGTTTGAAGAACGGCTACGGCTTAGCGGGAAGAGAAATCTGCTTCGCAGCGCGAGCGTTAAAGCGTCACATATACTCCGGCAGGATAGGCCGGTGAAGAGGAAGCAGGCGTCGCAGCTACTCCGACCGGCAGGGTACACTATGGAGAAGGAGGCCCGGGGCTCCGAGTGGATGAGTGAGGAAAAGGAGGTCCCGGCTGCCCTCCTCGGCCACTGGAGGAAGAGATGGCTCACCGGAGCAGAGCATCACGATCGCCAGCGACGCGCTATCGCTGAGGAACCGGAGGGCCCTTCGATGCAGATACCGAAAGGGGGCAAGTATTTCGGCCTGAACCGACTGGAAGCGTCTACGCTGTGCCAGATCAGGACGGAAAAATAGGACTAGCAGCCTTCTTATTCAAGACAGGGGCTTTTGGCGTGTACTCGCCGCTATGCCGCTGTGGCGACGCCCCTGAGACGGCAGAGCACGTGATCCTCTTTTGCGGGCTGTTGGAAGGACCGAGGGAACGATTACGGGCCGCTATCGCACCACGGCCACTATACTCTCGCAGAGACCTCGCAACGGCAACAGGAGAACCAGTAGTTAGTGGGACTATTGTAAGGTGGCTGCTAGGGACGGGTTGGACAGCTTCAAGGCCCAGATAGCATCGATCTTCTCAGGGGGGACTTTGTTGGTAGGTTGAGAACCAACGTAGTATGGTAGTGAACGCAACGCAGTCGCCAATAGGGCGAACCGACAACGCAGCGTATGTATTTAGTCCAGCCATTAGGGCACGGTTTGACATACGGGAGTACTAGTAGAGGTACCGGGGGCTTCGAGCCTACGGCGTATTTAATAATAATAATAATATATTCTATCGTGAATTACCGCCACGATATCGTAACGTAAGGTTATATAGGGGATATTATGCTACGGATCGTACGCTTAGTTTAGGGTTATTATATAGCGCTTAAACTCTAATCGAATGTCGCTTTCTTCCTAATTACGTACTATAGTAAAAGGTGGAAAACAAGGGACGAAATCTAGGTTATTCGGAAACACGGGGAAGTTTTCAATTAGACCGTAGGGTACGGTACCGCCTTCATGAGCCGTTGGCTTCTATAAGGCAGTGTAATAATCGAGATTCATAAGAAACTAGTACATACGTAGGTAAGCTTAATACTACGTCCTAAGGAGTCTATATACGAATACGCTAGAAGGTGGCACTGCACTTGCCCTGTACATCAAGATTTCCATGCTCTGTTACCTCGCAACGATCTTCGCCGTCATATTAGCGATATTCGTGGTTTGATCCTGTTAGCTAGCCTGTCCTTCGGTCTTCGGACATGTTCGAAAAGGTCCAAAATTATTCGAGATACACTCAATGAAAAGCACGTCAACTTATTTCCGTTGCCAATGAACTCGAAAAACAAGCCAGTCTCGCCGGTCTCTGTCACGATCCCCGCGGTTGTCAAATTGAAACCCGGGTTCTCGAGCCGCGCCCTCAGTGTTAACGGTTTCGTTCCCAAGTGGTTCAACATGCTAGCCCAGAGACGTCGGGTTCAAGGGCCTCGCATCGCAAAAGTAGAAATCCTTACGACCTAGACTGGCGTCATGCTCAATGAAGTTGTGTTTGACGAAGTTATGGAGATGAAGAGCCCCTCTCAACAATTAAAATCTGTAAACTTCAGTAAAGTCGGCTTGGTCGGTCCTACAACTAAAACATCCAATCTATCTGCTCACCAATTGACTTCAGACATATGAAACTTATAATAAAATGCCTGAAAAACAAAGACCTTGGCCAATAAAGATTTGAATGAAACCAAATCCAGCATTCTGTTAGAAGAATTAGTACCAGGCATTGCTACGCTTCTCGGCTCGCCTACGGCCCTTTTCGGGGCGACCTGAAAGTAACTTAACACTCCGACGGGTTTTTGGGGGTTGCCAAAAAGTCTGGAATCTTCTTGTCGTATGTGCTGTTCTTCGAGGCGGTATAAGTACCTGATGGTCGGTGAAGACGCTTCTCTAATTACCAAAATTTATCCTCTGCGCGGCTCTTGTCGGATGTCATGGGGAGGACATATAACGGAAGTCGCCATCCTCTATGTGTAGACCAGAGTATCGGCGGTATCGACGCGGTAAGAAATAATCAGACAAGCGACCAACTTTTCACAAACATCAGATGTAACCCAAGTCGGGCCAACTAGATCTGGACTGAACCATTAGAGATTTCGAGTAGGTTTTGACGTCGGGGTCTGTGAGATTGCACACAGTCACTGACGTCGACGCGTGTCGGCATAATGACAAGCGTTGTGTAAAGGTGCTGGCTCACAGCTGCGAAGGCGATAATAGTGGTTGTCATTCCCGACGCCGTCAGCTCTACCTATTGTTGTCGATGGATTGGTAAGAGGTCGAAATTACCACGTGGAGGCTCTACAATGCAGTCATTGTCCATTCTGTGGTTATGGACATCAGATATAAGTACTTGTAGGGTCTTGAGCTTGATTATGGAGGATAGAGTAGGCAGATGGAAGATGCAGTTAGGTAATCCTGAAAATGAGGCTTGGAATTCCCTTTCCTCGCAACCATCTCATTGATATCAGGATACATCTTAAGGTGAGCGCAGACGCGGATTGACAATGGCTCTATATGCCTCATTTGCCATGAACAGGTCTAGCCGAAAGTACCTTGCTTACATGCTCTACTACGCAAACATCTGCGCTGATTAGCAAGCCGCAACATCCATATATATAATCCATACCCCTCGAATTGCGCATGGCATGTTACTACGTAACGCTCGAACCAAAATACACATCCAGGCACTTGCTACTACCCTTAAGGCTTCCGGTGGCTCAATATACGAACTTTACACAAGGCCCCCTAAGATGCCCTTGCTATACAGTTCTGGCTTAACCAAACGTAAAACCTGTTGATTTGGCTAGAACACATCACACTCATCCTGATATAACTTTTGTTCTGTCCACAAATCATCCGCAAAAAGATACAGAGGAACGTGGCATGTGAGCGATTCATGGCGAAGTTGCCGGGAACGTGATATGCCCAAGGTAATTTGTTAGGGAGAAGAAACGAACCGGGTAGAAGTATCCTCACACTTAGAAACTGTAGAGGGCCCAAAAAGTTTGACAAATAGCCGGAAGGATATATGAACCCGCAGGCCGAACAAACACCCACAATTGCGATATGTTCGGGCACTTGTCAGGGGTGACTCGGCTGCGAACATATCATAACCCAGATCCTAACGTAACTCTATGCTCCCCCAACCCTTGCACGTCCACAGTTTCCCCGCTGGGAAACATAACCTGCGCCATTACCGAGACCTCGTGCGTAGCAGTCACTACCACCTCACCTATGATTCTTCCCTCTTCCCACTCAAATCCCACCGTCCAACCGCCCTTGACGCAGACCCCTGAAAGCTGGCCCCTGGCCCATTGTTTGGGACACGCGGGAAGCAGGCGGATGACGATGCTGAGGACCTTGTGAGAGTGCGCTTGTTTAATGGCAGAAGCTTGTACCAAGCATTCCATGATACCGGCACATCCTCCGAGATTCCCATCGATCTGGAAAGGTGGGTGCGTGTCGAGGAGGTTCGGTAAGGTTGACCTGGTCAAGAGCAACTCCAGGTGGTCCCGCGCACCTTCGGCATTCAAGAGTCGAGCGTGCATGTTCAATAGCCAGGCACGGCTCCAGCCTGTATGGCCGCCTCCGTGCGCTGCTCTACGGGCAAGAACGCGTTCTGCTGCTCCGGCAAGGTCGGGAGTTTCACTCGGGATAATGGCATTACCAGGACACAAAGCGAAGAGGTGTGATACGTGTCTATGGCCCGGCTCGTGCTCCTCGTAGTTCTCCGACCCCCATTCTTGGATCAGGCCGTCGTTGTTGATTATCAAAGGAGGCAGTAGTGGCAACATGTCCTCGACTTTATTCTTTAATGAGACATTAACCTGTAGAGTATCCACGCTCCAAAGATAGAGCTCAAATGTCGACTTAATTATCCCCATGTCCATGGCGGAGCCTTCGCAGAAGATGCCGAGCTCGCCTGTGGGCGAAACGAAAGTATTTTCAGGGGAAAGACTGGGGCTGGAAACCAGGTACTTACCATCAGCTGAAGTGATGAGAAAGTCACAGAGGAACTCAACACAGCCCTCGACCACAGGAAATAGCCGTTCATGCGTAAGTCTGTCATAGCGGTACTGAAGCATCTGAACGGCATCGATCGTCACCCAGACCCCGCCAAGCGGCCATAGTGAGGACGGCATCCACGTATCGGCCGGATCAGTATCTGCCCAAATGTCGGTGTTATGGTGCGCGCACCACCCGCCGCAGCCATACATCAACCTCGCCGTCCTGCGCCCACGCACTGCCATGCGCTCGAGGAGGTCAACCAGCGGAGTGGTACACTCTAGAAGGTTGGAAGATGCTGCCGGCCAGTAGTTCATCTGCAGGTTGATATTGATGGTAAACTTGCTTCCCCAGGGAGGCGAGAAGCTCGGGTTCCAGATGCCCTGCAAGTTAGCCGGGAGGGACTTGTCACTGGCGCGGCTGCTCGATATTAGAAGATAACGACCGTAGTTGTGGTACAGTCCTACCAGGCCAGCATCGTTACCCTTGCGTTTGGCTAGTCTAATATTGGTACAAGTATCCTGGGAGTCTGGCCACATGCGTAGGCTTGTACGGCCGAATAACCGGCGGTAGTCGTCGACATGCCGCGAGAGAAGTTGTTGCCAGGGCCGGTTCAGTGCCTTAGAGACATTGGATACTGCTGCATTCTCTGGATCTGCGTGACGGTATGTCGTTTGTGCTGCGATAGCGATTAAGCAGTCCGTTGCATTGATGAGCAGACCCCCAACTGTCTTCTCGACGGTGCCGGATCCAGGAGCACAGAGGGCGCCCAAGACACAGCAGAGTCGGTTGCTGTTAGCGCCTCCAGGAGTTGCTTGCATTTTTATCGCCCCTCCAGCTTTGGATTCGTCCTCCAGAGAGAAGGACCGCAGACTGTCAAAAAACTCATTCGTGTCCCACTCGTTCTCACCTCTGCGACTGAGATGGACCTTGAAGAGGATTGGCTGTGAAGAGGTAAGATGCATGAGCAGAACATTGTCAGGGTAAGAGGCTACACATTCCCGACGAAATCGCGCCGGCGCGCCATTGATGGTGGCGGTATAAGTGGTTGTGTGGACTGCACGGCTTATGTCCAGCCGACGACTATATGCCGTCACCTCATCATTATCTTCGAGTCCGAGGATGTTGAAGTACGCAGACCCGAGTGGTTCATAGTGTCGCATAGAATTGGGAGTGGAAAAGAATCGCTGACGCGCTATCTGTTCTGCTTCGCTGTGTTGACCAGCTCGGATGAGTTCTCGCAGTTTGGGGAGATATTGCGCCGAGTGTCTGTTGCATTGCGATCAGTGGGCCACTTTTGCGTCGAAATATGTCATGAAAATTCCGAGTCTGAGACTCTGAGGCGACACGGAACGGAACCCAAAGACGCAGGCCAACTTACGGGGTCCGATCCTGCGGACCTCCATACCAGACCGAGTCTTCGTTCAACTGTAGGAGCTCGGTGCCAATACGGCCGTGGACCATGCACCCGAGCCGGCCGTTACCGAGAGGCAGGGCCTAGACATTGGCGTAAGCGAGCTTCCGAGGATCAAGAGGAGGCGAGGCATACTTGGGACCATTCCCGAGCGGGAGAGGTGTAATGGAGGGCAAGATGCGCTGCATCTGAATCCATATGGGACGAAACGTTTAGAGATGCCATTCAGGGCTAGTTAAATGCCTTCAGGGCTAGGTAACTGCCTTCAGGGTGATTTGAGGTTTGGCTTGGCAAGTCAGTACTCAGTAGGAACGGTTGTCGATGGTTCCTGCACTTACAGAGGATTTCAATGATGCTTGCGAGAAGCAGACTGTTTGACTGCATTCTGACAAGTCAACCGTGGATCTGGACCGACATGCCATGCATCGCACGCGGAGCACGCGACGGCGCAAGGCCGTGCTAGACTACCTGAGGGTACTTCGTACTGGCTGGACGTGCCGTGATCCCGGCACCGTCTGTTCCAGCCCTGGAGATATCCGGCAGCAAGACCCGACGAGGTTCTGGACAGTCGTTGATGGTGCCATGTGCTGGGGTTGGAGTCTCTAATCGGGTGCTTGCCGTGGGGAAAAGGGAATGAGTGGACGGAAGAATTGTGGACTCTGCTTCTTGCAGGCTGCAGACGAACTCGAGGTAGTGTAGAGGGAGCATTGAACGGCTGGGGGAGATTGGGGAATGTGGGGAAAGTGCCGCCGGATCTGCGGCTATCATCCAATCATCAAAAAGCAGGTATACAGTGGAGCATGGGGAAATTCCACTGAGCCAATCAATGCCCACAAGATCAGCTAAGCGAGCTCCACAGCTCAATCTTCTGCCCTCCACAAGCCCTGACTTTGCTTCTCCCTTCGCTTTTCAACTTCCCCTGCTCTTCTCACAGGACGCCAGAGCAATCGAGACAATCAACCCTGCCAATCCTCTGTAGCTAGGTTGGATCAGCACATTGGGGGAGTTGGCGACATCGACTTTGCATGGAAGCTAGGCCGGCCTGGAGCAACCTTCCAGCTTGCCTCTAGTCTCAACAGTCATGATTCAACTGTCAACCCCCGGAGTCCGGAGCGGGTTTACCTGTTCCATGGCCCATGTGATCAACATCTCCCCTCCTAGGACCTGTGACACAAGGAGGGTTGCATGCATGTTGAATTGGCGTGAGACATACAGTCGGGTCGTAGCGTTGCAGGGTCTGGTCTATCTGGACATATAACCTGCCATCGATGGAGCTTTGCTAGCTTTTTTTTTTCTGTTTCTCCTGCTTTGCCAAGCGCTGTTTCCGACGACGTTCACTGCGTCAAGTAGAAGCAATCCAGAACGCAGCCTTGTCAAGTGCACCGAAGAAGTAACCACCCACCATGACGACGCGACGTGATGTCAAAACGGGCGTGTCACTCGTTGCTGCTGTCGAAACAGCCGAGAAGCTGGGCACCACGGTCGACGAGGTGGTGGCCGCGCGCTTGTCTGAAGAGGACATGATGCGTATAAGCGCCGAATCCCTCAATATATCCTCCTGGACCGGCCTGCGCATCTGCGGCATCATGTTCGTCATGGGCTGCAACCAGGCTGGCTACGGTATCGACTGGGCTGTCGTGGGTGGCATCAACGCCTTCGACAGCTGGCACGACTACTTCGGCTTTGGCGAAGCCGGTGTCATCCTCGGTACCATGAACGCTCTCATGACCATCGGTACTTTTGTCGGAGCGCCCTTCCTGGCCCTGGGTGATACGTTTGGCAGACGGGGTGTCAACTTTGTCGGAAATGCCCTTGTCGTAGCCGCCGCATTGCTCCAAGGTCTCGCCCCCAACCTGCCGTGTTTCTTCGTGGGAAGGCTGTTGTTGGGCTTTGGCACCGCCTTGTGTACCGCGCCCCAGTACATGGCCGAGATTGCTCCTGTGCACTTGCGTGGTAGACTCGTCGGCATCTTTGGTGCTTGCTTCCAGGTCGGCTCTATCGTCATGAATGCCGCCATGATGGGCTTCACCCAGTGGAATAGCGACTGGCAATGGCGGGCACCCTTGCGTATGAACCATTTCCCTATTGGTCTATTTGGCACGACGGAGCACACGAAACTGACCTTGTCACTACAGTCCTCGAGGGCCTCTTCCCCTTCCTCGTGTGCGTATTCATCTACATTTTGTGCCCCGAGTCGCCGCGGTACTTAGTCATGAAGGGCAAGCGGGAGCAAGCCCGCCACGTCGTCGCCAAGTACATGACGACCCACAACGACGAAAACGCCCCTATTGTGCCTCTAGTCCTGGCCCAGATTGAGGAGTCCCTCGAAGAATCCAACACGGGCGTACGCGCTGCCTGGGACTACCGCATCTTCTTTACAAAGCAGGTGGGCTACCGCACTATGGTGCTTCTCATCTACTCCCTCTTCCAGCAGTGGAACGGCGGTGGCATTATCGGTAACTACTTGACGCCCGCCCTCGCCACCATCGGTATCAATGACGCACTCGATCAGCTCGGCATCAACTTGGGTCTGACGGCCGTTTACTTTATTTTCACTGTCTTCGGCTCGTACCTCATTGACATTTTCCGCCGTCGTACCCTCATCTTCACTGGCCTCGTCAGCATCATCATCTTCCAGGTTGCCACTACGATCACCAGCTGGCAATACGCCCAGACCGAAAGCAAGGCCACCGCCTACCTTACCATTGTCTGGATGTTCCTGTTTCAGATCTGCTCCGCCTCCTTCATAGCCACTATGCACAACCTGTACCCCGTCGAGATCATCTCGCTGCCTCTGCGTGCTAAGGGTATGGGTCTCTACGCTATGTTCCAAGGCGCCGCGGGTGTGGTCAACACGTACGCCATCTCGCTCGGCATCGTCAAGCTAGGATACAAGATTTGGGCCGTGTACATCGCGTACAACTTTATCCAGCTCATTGCTAGTTATTTCATCTTCCCTGAGACGAGCAAGCTAAGTCTGGAGGAAATCGATCGAGTTTTTGAGACTAAAGGCACGGATCCCGTCAAGCTGAGTTTGAAGATTTCAAAGGCCAAGAAGGAGAAGGCCAAGGTCGACAGAGAGACGGAAAGGAGTGAATTATAGTCGTGAGTGGTCATGTGGTTTAAGATTTTTAATTGGTGGCGTCATGATCTTTTGCAACTTGCCTGGATTATGAACCATTGTAAACTATTCTGGAATGGGAAAATCTTCTATCGATGAATTGTAATCCAGCCATTTCCATATACCTGCCCTAATGCAGCTATGATCCAGTCATAGCTACACGGGACAGTGTGAAATGATCCCCAAACCTCGGCAGAATTGATTGACGCCATGGACATCTATTACATGGCTCCGGGTCCTTCACGGGCGACAGTCCAACCAGGAGGTCACTCAAGTAACCACCCATTCCCAACCATTCCTTTCGGAAAGACAATAGCGTGTTCGACAGTCTCTTCCAGAGGTACTGCTGTTTCCCAATGTCGAATAGCCTAATAAAGTCCTTGAGAGACTCCTCAATGATGCGTTTGGGGTGACTGCAGGCTCCAAGACCAGATTTTGCACGGCCGCCAAGGCGTCGAGGAAGGTAAACTTGAGCTCGGTGCCCCTCGGCGCCTTTATCGGTCTCCTTCTCGGCATCCTTGAACATCTGCATCACGTAATGCAGGGAGCGTTCGTACTTGATGTCCATAATCTCTTGGGCTTGTTCTGGGGAATTTCGGAGAATTTGCAGCCCAACATAACCAGGCAGCTTTGTTCAACTTCTTGATCGCGTCGAATATCATTTTGTGGATGCAAAACGGCGATGGTTTGTTTATTAGTGAGTTTCCTGCTGGCAGCAACATTTGTTGAATATCGCGCCGACGGCGTCGAGTTGCTCCACACGCCATGTCGTCTGAGCTTTCACGTTTTCGTCTCATATGGGACCAGGAGGCTTTTGGACTAGGTTATGTTATTGACTTGGGCTGGACCACAGAAGAATAATTGTTGCTCCCATTGGTTCAATACATTGTGGAAAAGGTTCAGGATTGTCTCGCGAAGGCTTGAAGTGTCAGCAGAGAGGCCCGACCAATGCAAAACGGGTACGTCTCTCTGTCCAGTAGCCAAGGGCGAAGGACCGACCGTCGGACCAACAGGCGGGCCCATGAGACGAATAGCAAAGAATGGATTGTCGGGTTTGAAGAACGCAACCATCTTGCCGTTCGGGTCAAGTATAGAGCCCTTGGATTTTCCCTCCTTGGATCCACCACAGTCCACGGTATGATCTTCCAGGATGGGACTTCCAACGATATTGCACACAAGGGAAGGAATATGGAGTACGTTGGTCAGGCGGAGAGTGCCACGGGACCTAGCACCCTTGGCATTGGGGTTGCGGCGGACGGGAAGTTCGATGGCGCCGATGCCTTGGATTTGCATCTCGGCCCCAGAGCCCAGAAGATCGACAGTTGCAATGCTGGAAAACGGGGTATATTCGGCCAACCACTCGCGATCTTTGCAGCCACTGAATGGGACAGGATTGGTAAGTGGGATTGGGCTGTATGAGCTTATTGGGTTTGAGTACTTACTGGGCATTAGAGCTGTTGGAGAAGATCCAGTCTCCGCAAAGCATGTTGGATGAAGAGTTGGACGAGGGGAAAGACTTGGTGGTCTGCCTTGGGGATGGAAAAAGTCAGCGTTGAAGACGCATGATCTGGCTCCATGGGCCGAATTCCATGGTGCCAACCTACTTGAAGTGACGAAGACAGATGCGAGCGGGTTTCGACTTGCTGTTATGATACAGATTACCCGTAAATAATTTGTAGGATTGATGCAAATGATGTTCAAGCCGAGAGCTTTGTCTCTCAGAACCAATCCACCTGACGACTTCACGCGTCCAAAGGTTGAACTTGGGCTGAAGGTTAATTCTGAGTACAGGAAATAAATGAAAACGCGAGGGTCAGTTGAGCAACAGTCTCAGAAATAGTCAAACGCAGCGATGCTGCTCAAACTCCCTCGAATTCAAGCGTTTGCAAGTCCCCGGGTTGATGCAGAGAGAATACTCCACCCATGTAGAAACCCTGCCGATAAACTCATCATCTGCTCTTGAAGGCCTGACACTCAGTGCAAACGCTCTGTTTGGCAACTGAAAAGACAAGGAAATCCTCTGAACCGGGTTGATAGCAAGTATTCATAGGCCAGCACCCGAGCACCGATCTCTGTCGGGTTCACTTCCAAAAAATGCCACAACAACAGCTAAATCGGTTTAGATGAGACCTGTCCCTGCCCAGGTTCTAAGGATAGAGGTGATTGGTTTTGACCCCAATGCGATTACACAATTCAACTCGGGCTTATCAATACATCGCGAGCTGCATGTTTCTTTCTTCCTATCCGCAGCAGACCCTATTTCCTGTGCACGACCCCTCAGACCGCCTTCACTAATACGCTTCCAGAGGCCAGTCTTGATGGGTATAAACCACCCTTGTGACGATAAGATTGCTGCAAACAACTTAGTCGCCCAAGGTCTTGACGATCCAATCATGCAATTTGGCCGCAATTTCATCGCTATTCCTCTCCAAAAACTGCATATGTCCATTCCCATGAATACCGACCTTGCCCAGCTCCAGGTGTTCCACCTCAACGCCAGCCTGCTTGAGAAACCGCACGGTGCAGTGATCATACACGGCATGATAGGACGCCTCACCCGTCTCCACCAAAACCGGCACCTTGGCAATATGTAGCAGCTTTCGTGCTGGCTCGGCCTGCATCACACAAGCCGTCAAGTTCGCTGTCGTCGACGCAACAACTTGAGTTGCCAGCGGCGCAGACGCGTTTGTAGGCGCCGGTGAGAAAGTAAGGGGAATGGAAGTCAAAGCCCAGGGTCTAGAGAAATCCGTCGGGAAGACGGCCTCTTGAAACGGCGGGCCTCTGGGGTCAATCTGAATCAGCGCTTTGATTTTGTCTGGTTGTGCATCGGCAATGGACCAGCCGTGCACGCCTCCTTGAGAGTGAGTAACGAGGATGGAAGGACCTATCTTGTCTAGAAGTGCGCTTCCAGCTTTCTGCATAATCCGTTCATGCTCGGTGGCGTTGGCGATACCTTGGACGACTGACTGGTAGTAGGCGTCGAAGATGAGGTCACCCGGCATGCCAGACTGATTCGATCAGAGTTCAAATGAAGGAGGAAGAATTGGGAGGAACGGCACACTTACACCAGGCCACTGAGTGTGCAGTTTTGCTTGGGGCCACAGATTAAATGTCTGGACCGCCGTGAACCGTGAAGAGATGGTCTCTGCCGAATATACGGTCATTTCGGAGCCGCCATAGGGATTTCAGGGCGATCGGCCTCGTGCGGTCGCATCTACCACGTAAACTTCGTATCCCGCTTCCAAAAACCAGGATGCCCAACCTCTTCCGCCGTCTGGCTTGTTCAGAAAATTCTGAGCGAATGTAGGTGTCAATTTGGATCGCCCTGATTGAGAAGAGAAAACGTAAGAAAAGAACAGGTCAACTCACCGTTCCATCCTGGCCAGCACAGTGCATGAGGATGATGGGGTAGGGACGTGAGATGTGGGCAGGACTCAACCTCTCCACGTACATCTGGTTTTGGATCAATGTTCCAGCGGTGGTCTCAACATATTCGCCTCCAACGAAGAAGTAGCTGCGAGCATGTTGCGTCTCATTGACAGCCGCCAGTGTAAAACTAGCAAACAAAATGAGGATGAGCGAATTCGTAATAGTATGCATACCGAGAGCTGACAAAGTATTGAAATTACATTGACCTGGCCATTCAACGTTGAAGACAAAGGTTAGAGGCGTAATTAGGTGTCAGAGAACTGAATGCTACAGGCACCGGCGTAGGGACGTGCGAGTCATGACCTAATATGGAGGTCTTGGTATGCGGAATAATCGGAGGAACTAGTGCTCTACGGCTCCTATATGCGGGATCTACGGCTCCGACTCCGGGTTCTAGCTATCTATGTAAGGGGCAGGTGTCCGGGAAGAAGATAGAGAGGGTGGAGATCAATAAACCATCGAGGGCACCCCTACCTGAGACTACCGTGACCACGAGTGACCACCAGTGACCACCCGATGCTACGTAGGAGGGACGCCCATCACTCCCCTTCAATCTGTACTATTGCCTTCGGCCTAGCCGTACCCTGGCATTAGGAAGTGCGCGAAGACTGGTATCATTTTTACATGCCTCCGAGGACGGATCCAATACCCTAGCTCCCGACGGTTCGCTGCGGGGAATTACTTATGGGTCTGACATAGTGCAACTTGTATGGACATCGTATAGGACCACGAACTAAGAACGTTCGGCCTAACCTAATAAATGCTACCAAAATTAATCCTGACAAGACGAGGTTATAGTTTTCAACAGAATTGCTGTCTCTCTGGCCAGCTATGTAGTACACCTACGAAAGATATTGACGGGCGACTCTGGGATTGCCTGGCCGCATATCTTGCTGTTCATTTCGGCGGCCACTAAATCATATCTTGATCCTTCGGATACGTAGCAATGCTGTTTTCGGCCATGGTTATCAGATGATGATGATGATGACTGGAGGTGTTCCTCTCATCGCAGTTGATTGACCTGAATAGCAATGTCCAGTGCCGACAGCAGTACTATGCTGTACGATGGTATTTGGAGATCCTGCAATTACTGGAAAACTATAACCAAGCTGGACGAGCAGACTGGTGTACCCGTTGCAGAATTTTGGAACATATGTGCATGTTCAAACTCAAAAGGGTGGAGCTGGTCTATAGGCAGTTCGTGGTTAAAGCATGGTGAGCGAGAATCGTGGGGAAGAGAGCGAATCATAAGGCAAATGGCACTAGCAGCATAGGTATAGGCGATATAATAAGCTTTAGATAATTTCGAGGTATCTATACCTTGACGGATAAACACTGATTTTAGATAGGGAGTATATAGACGCGAATACATATATATTTATATCTCCGTATTTTGCCGACGGGCAATGAATGCCCGCTGGTTAAATCTGAAGAGCTGGAGATTCAAAACAAGATCAGCTGTCTGGGAGAGTAACATAATGAAAGATTAGGAGGCAATCCTCAATACAGTAGGTCTCAGCATGATCTAAGGCCTTTCTTCTGTCGAATATCTTATCAAAAATGAAGTGCAGCAATCGCTCGTGCTGAAAGATATCCTAGCAGGTAATAGGAATGAGTTATAACTAACTACAAAGTTACTTTCGTGACTTATTTACCATATTCCGCGTATCGAGCTGATATACCTAATGGTAAAGCGATGGTACGCCCTAAGATACAGATAATAACAGGACCAACAATTATCCTCGGAGTAAAGGGAGTTTTGTTGGACTTATTGGTTGCAAATAAAATCATTGGATCAAGGTGATCTCTGCACAGTCTGAAATATCAAGTGAGCGGACTTGGCTGTAAGGGCCTTAAATACATCAAGGAAGGACCAGTTCCTCTGGATTCAGCATTAATATAAACAGTAAACGTACATTCCGTCATATATCATCATTAGGGCTTAAAAAAAGGCTCAACCGGCTTAACGGCTTTGGAAAAGTTGGAAATGAAGGAAATAGTGGTAAGCTGGCTGTCAAGGTCCGACAATTCTCAAGGAACCATTCCAGAGTTAACTTAACATGTTATATATCATGCTATTGGAATAATTGTGTAGATTGTATTGCATTGAATATGTGTTGATCCTTGTAGATTCCTCAAAGGAGGGAACTGCGGTCATAAGGGCCTGATATAGGTTAAAATGAATGAACGATGCCTACCCACGGGCAGAAATTGTGTGGTGCGTTGGGTGATGGTCACATTGGCCCTTAACGTATGGTAGGTGGCCATATGTCCTCCCAAACGGGCAATTCCGTGTAATGGCCTTGAAATTCCAACACATGCTCTATATGGTAGCCTTGATTGTGATAAATAACACAAAATTATGCTAGCGCCTGTAATAGTAGCCGATCCGTCGTTGAGGTCAATGCAGATTCCCAATCCTCTCGATGCTCTTTTGCTCAGTAAGGCTTAACGCAGGGCGCTTCCAGAATTTCCTCGTGGTTCCACGTGCGGTTGTGAGACGCCGGCTCCAGCGGCGCACATATCGTCTCCAGCGTAACAGGCACGCAACCACCAGGAATATTCTGAGTCTCGTTCAGCACCTGGTAGGCATACCGAATGGCAAGCACATTGTGGTGTAGGAAATTTCGCTGGCATACGAGCCAGGTTCCGGGGGCAGGACCCCAGACCGAAGGAGGGTGTGTTGGGGCGGCGCCGATGTCCATGTCACCGTTTCTGTTCACGAAGACGTTGTGTTCTTCCGGATAGTCCGGATCAAACTCTTTGAGATACTGCACTTTTGGCGACAGTCGGTAATGTTTCTCATTGTCTGTGTAGCTTTGCCACGTAGTGCTTTGTCCGATATGTATCAACTGCTCGTAGAAAACCGGCCCTATGCGTTGTGATGCTATGGCTATGTTCTGACCATAAGTTCCGCCAATCTGGTAGCTGAACCAGTAGCGCGACTGCGACTCGAGTTCGAAGCCGGGCACAACGCTATCATAGTCTAGGTCGGTGTAGTCGCTGTTCTTGGTAATAAGGATGCGGTAGGCCTTGTCGTACGTGATATCGTCCCGCTGGTTGATTGGAAAAACGGCGGCGGTAGCGGCTAGGCGTGCAAGCCCAATGGTAGCTAAGATGCTAATGGGGTGCACTCTGGATGTCATATAAGTAAATATTTTACGAATAGTGTCGGGGTAATGATATCTTCGTGTTGGAAGTAAGGGGATGCTGTCCGTATAATATAGGTGCAGTGGCGTGAGCATCGAACGGGCCTGCCTAACAAAGTTGATTAAATCATGTTGGTGGAAAATACTTGGCACCGTTCAGGTGTTACTGTGATTGATCCTATGTGTAATGTTGTATCGCCAGGTTTCCGCAATAGTTAGTCGTTGCCGCCTCGTTAAAAAAAAGCAAGCCTAATCAGGAAGAGCTACATGCACGACGTGCGTGCAATACAAACTATATATAGGCTATTTGACACTTCTAAACGCAGCTTCAAGACGTACTGGGGTTTATTTTTCTTTTTTGTTTTTGGGAATGCATATGCAATACGACATAGATATAGGCTGTTTAATACAGAGCCGTCGGTGCCGACGGCATTGTTTTGGTAAACAGAGACACCGGAAGCCAAGCATGGCAAGGACACCGAGTCGCCGGCAGCCACAGACACCCATGCGGGAAGTCAAGGGTCGAGAGCATCGCGGAGGGGCTGGCAGGGGATCAAGCACATTGCGGAGGACTTGCTAGAAGGGGTCTCCGGCAAGGGGCGTGAACGTTTAACGGTAAACGGATTATTCGAGTACAAAAGCGGTCACAATGGCAATACGTCACACGGATTGACGGGAACGAGCTGAAAATGGAGGAATCAGAGCACTCAGAGTGATGAAAGGCTACAAACCGCCAAGGGGGCGCAGCCAAACTGCTAATTATCGGCGGGTGGACTGCTCATACCCGTCACCCGATCCGCAGCTCAACCCAAGTACTTGCGCGTTTCTTCAATGAAGTTATCCAGGCTGTGAGTCTGACCGAGGAGACGGGCGAGGTCGTAGTGATCTAGCATACAACGAGTACCCTGACAGAAATGGACGAGCCCCTGTTCAAGTCATTCACGGAGAAAAAGTTCAAAACGATTGTCCGCATGTGCTACAGTTAGCAAAATATGTTCTGGTTCACTGTGGGAGCCCGCAGAGAGAATCCATGTATCAACATTGTGGTGACAGTCGGTCGTTGTCTCATGCGCGCAATGCTCAGCCTGCGCTTGCAATTCCTCACTTATGACGGCTGCGACCATCCCATGGCCAATATCTTGGCGGCCACTGTACCTCGTAGAGCGCGAGTTGACGGTGCCGGTTATCTCCGCCTCGTAGCGGGCTCTTTGCGTGCTGGCAAGAAGGTCGTTGTCTTTCTAAGACGAACCAATCCCTTGTATGGGTACCTCGGTCGTGGATCATCAAGGTAGACATGGGCAATGACGATGACGATGAAAGCGAGGCAAAATTGCTCAACTTGTAGCAACTACCATACTCTCGGACATGTCCTCGGGCACGTCTGATGCTATCCATGTGAACGAGCCGACTCCGGCACTGGAATTCCCCCTCCACCGTACCCTCTTGTCATTTCAAGGTGACGAAGTTCCTGCCGCCTACTCGGCGTCTGCCATAGCGTCGGGTGAGCTACTATTAACGAGCTGGTCGACCACACCCTGGAGCGTTTGGCCCCTGATCTCGTGCCTGCGTTAGCGATATCCGCCGCAGCTGTGGTGGCATCGGATATGGTCGCCGCGCAGTCACTTACACTGGATGAGCACGTTACCAATACAACCGAAAGCAGCCAGAGTCCCCAGGCCTCTCAAGAATTACGGAAGTAAAAGGAGGAGAAGGAAATATGAAGGTGACTGATTATGTCCGGTGAAACAGACTGCAAATATGACCTTGAGGACCAAGCTATAATGGCGTGCTCATATAGGCCATCCAACGAACCTGACAACTTGTTGCGGGCTTCAGAGCGATTGCGAAGGGTTGGCCCCATAACCGTAACCTTGAAAATAGGAGGTTTCGTATCGCGACATTATCCATCAGATAGAATACTACAGCCGCGGCGGTCAGAACGTCGTTGATCTAAATGTGTGCATCATGAGTGATTGCATGATGGTTCCGCTACGTGGGCTCGTACGTCGTCACGCCTTTGATGGTGATCTGCAGGATGTTGCGGTTACTCTTTGCGTGGTTATTCGGGGTTTGGACCGAATGCTATACCAACCAGTTCAATTTAGGAAGAATATAACGTGAATGTACACCGAGCTGGCCACTTTCATGCGCCAACGCGACCGGCCAACTTAATGTTTGATTTTCTCAACAACCAATTATGGCAAAGTCATACAACGAAGCAGACTTAATGCTAGCCCTTCAAGCTCTCAAAAATGACCAAAAACTTGGTCTCCGACAAGCGGCAAAAACGTACCAAGTCCCCCGAAGCACCCTCCAAACGCGTAAAAACGCGCCCGAGGCGCTGTGGTATTTGCAACGGGACTGGGCATAATGCGCGAACTTGTAAGATCGCATTGCCATCTTCTGGAGAGGAAGATTCAGAGTAGTTTCAATTGATTTACCGCGTTGTGTTTTTACTATCGTAAAATTTCTATGCGAGGTTATGTACGGGTGGCCAGCTCGGTGTCATGGCCAGCTCGGTGTACATTCACGTTAACGTGGTTTAACACCGAGTCGCGCATATCACCGAGTCGCGCACTTTTTCAACTTTTCCAACCTTTTGACTTCAATACTTATTTCCTCAACAACAACACCATGTCAGTTCAAACCCAAGAAGCCAAAATCAACCTTGCCATCGAAGTTATCCGATCGACCAAAAATATGAGCCAACGTCGAGCAGCAAAGCTGTACGGTGTACCCGAGTCCTCACTCCGTGACAGAATCCACGGTCGCACCCCACGTACCGAAATCTGGCCGAATAGCGCACTACTCGCCAAGATAGAGGAAAGAGCTATTGTTCAGCATGTACTTGACCTAGATTTGTGAGGGTTTCCTCCCCGGCTAGAGGGTGTGGAAGATATGGCCAATTCCATTCTTGCGACGCGGGGTACCCGACGCGTCGGCAAGCTCTGGGCGCATCGCTTTGTAAAGCGAACCCCAGAGTTACAGACGCGTTTTTCTCGCTCGTATGACTTCCAGAGGGCCCTCTGCGATGATCCAAAGATTATTGAGGACTGGTTCCGGCTTGTATCGAATATGAGGGCCAAATACGGGATCCAGGACTGCGATATGTGGAACTTCGACGAGACGGGCTTTATGATGGGCGTTATTCAACGCTCGATGGTCGTTACCTCGTCTGAACGTAATGGTAGAGGCAAGAAGGTCCAGCCAGGTAACCGGGAATGGGCCACGGCGATTAACTGTGTCAATTCGGAGGGTCGCGACATCCCGCCATTTCTGGTAATTCAAGGGAACTATCACCTTGCTAATTGGTATACTGAGGGGGACCTACCAGCCGATTGGGTAGTCAAACCGACCGAAAACGGGTGGACGAACAACGAGACTGGTCTAGACTGGATCAAACATTTCAACAAGCACACTATCTCGACCAAAAGAGGCGTGTATCGGCTGTTAGTATTGGACGGGCATGAGAGTCATACATCGGCCGGTTTCGAGTCTTATTGCAAGTCTAACGGCATTATTACTATCAGTCTGCCCCCGCACTCGTCTCATCTAACCCAGCCACTTGATGTCGGGTGCTTTGGGGTCTTGAAACGTATATACGGTCGAGAGATTGATATATTTATCAAGTCCTATATTAACCACATTACTAAGGTCGAGTTCTTTATCGCCTTTAAGGAGGCTTATTTAAAGACAATAACCGACAAAAACATCAAGGCAGGGTTTCGAGGGGCCGGCCTAGTCCCCCACGACCCTGAAGCCGTTATCTCGAAGCTGGATGTTAGGATTCGGTCGCCTACACCCGTTAGCCCCTCTCTTCTAGATGCTGACCCTTGGGTTTCGCAAACGCCAAATAAGCCAACAGAGGCTCTCTCGCAGTCCGATTTTGTCGATCGCCGAATCGCCAGACATCAGGGAAGCTCTCCGACCCCAATTTTTGATGCTGTTGGCCACCTTTCGAAGGGTATAACTCGATTAGCCCATGAGGATACCCTCTTGAAGGCTGAGTGCTTCACCCTTCGCAAGGCAAATGAGGCACTAAGCAAGCGTCGGAGGGCAAAAAAATCGCGTGTCCGGCAAGGAGGTGCACTTACTGTCGAGGATGCCCTGGACATTTTGGCCCGGAAGGACGCGGAGGCCCAGGTAAAGGAGGACAAGCACTCTAGGGGGGGTAAAGAAAAGGCTGGTCCGTCGACTGTACGACGATGTAGTAAGTGTAAGAAGACCGGACATAATGTAAAGACTTGTCAGGTCGAACTATAATTGTCAGATGTATATAGCTCTGAATAAATTTCAATAAACTTTAGTCTGTTGTGGCTTTTTAATTGAACTTGAAATTATAGTGTGGTAAAAAGTGCGCGACTCGGTGATATGCGCGACTCGGTGTTAAACCACGTTATACTATATCCGAGACTACATAAGCGAGCAAGACCAAGCTGGCGTTCGAAACGGGTTTGTTGGGGAGTGTTGGTGGGGTACGGAGCAGAGCATTTTTGTGTGGTTCTCCAGTACTACCCAGTAAAGTTGCCGCCAACATGTCCGCTTAACATCATTTACTCAAGCGCCTCATTCACCGACGCCGCTGCGCTTGGGTCTACGTGTTCCATTCTCGACACCTAGTACTTCAAACATGGCTGGCTGGACTACAACTACCGAACTGACAGACCTTTTCGCCCTGTGCGCAACTGACCCGACACCATGTCCGTTCACTGGGCCGCACACCCCCCAGCCCGCCAGCAGGAAAATCGTGCTGGACCCCGATGGTGACCTTTTGCTGCAAGTCGGAGAGTCCGGATGCGCCAGTGCTACCGGAGAACATGACCTTGTAACCCCCGTTGTCTTCGTCTCGTGTTCAAAGAGTCTGTCGAGGGCGTCGGCGGTGTGGAAGCGTCTTCTTTACGGCGGCTTTGCTGAATCTCGGGGGGCGGGGTCCGGAAATTGGGAGGTCCAGCTCCCCGACGACAACATCAAAGCTATGACCATGGTTCTCGCCATCATCCATGGTCGATTCGAGCTGTTGCCTCCAGTCGACGGTTCCATTGGGTTGGAAGACCTCTACCAACTCACAGTCCTGACCGACAAATACGATCTAACTAGGCTTCTTCGACCTTGGGCACGGTCTTGGTTACAGAACTCCCAGAAAAATAAGACTGCCACTCTGGGCGCGACTCCCTCTGAACGGCGAATTTGGATAGCGTGGGAACTGGGTGACCGCCAATTGTTTCAAGCTGCGCTCGAGGACTTGGTTTTGAACAGCTCCGCACACGCTCGCGATCAACATCTTTCCTCCATCGGCCGCAATGAGCTCTTTTCTAACAGTTTGGAACCTTTAGGCGTTCAAGGTGCGATATTCCTTCCCCACAGGTCCAACATTTTGGGCCAGCCGTTACAACTGGCAAGTATTCACCGAAGCCCGCAGACCACATCAAAAGCAATCGTTTAAATGCAATTACAACATTGCTTGACCTCTACCAAACTGCCCTTACCAAGCTTTTAGCCAAAACTCCCGCAACCAGGGAGCCATACGGCTATCATCCGATAGTGCCGGCGAAAGCTTGTGTGGCCAAGATTGATCCCTGGCGTCAATATGAGCAGAGGCAATGCGACCTCATCATGCTCGGTTCATTGATCGAATCCCTGTCCTGGAGCGGTCTCTGGCCACTGCCGGCAGCATCCTGCTTCCAAGAGAGTTTGCTGGATCTGGCTTCTAAGCTCAAGTCGCTAAAGTGCGAGAGTTTCAGGGAGGTTGGGGATGGGGGATCCAGGCACAGTAATTGTCACCCCATGCCGGATGGTGCACAACAAATCGATGCCATATTGGCCTCTATTCGAACTCAACCAACAGATGATCAACTACGACATCTAGAGACTCAAGCAAAGAAGTCAGGGCTTCGGGTTTGACAGAAAAATATTGGCCAGGCAAAGCATCAAGTTTGGGAGACTGGGATCATGACAACATTGTTACGGAAGCCATCACTAAACCCCGTCATCCTGCGCACCCACTTGATCGTTAGGTAGGTCACTCAAATGAGACTTTGTAAATATGTTGGAACTCGCACGGCATGGATAGGAGAACAACTGCGTCGCACAGCCGCATCACGTCCCCTTTATTTACCGAACCCACTCTCCCTTCATTTCCCCCTTCGTCCAACCTCCAACTTGGCAGCAAGTCCCGTATCCCTAGCCTATTCTGCCGACGGGCCTCGGTAATTCTTTAAGAATACATGTCACTCCACCCCCTCTTCACCTCTGAACTCGCCACGCCAAACACTCTGGGCCTCGTATCCGTCCGGGGTTATCTCAAAGGGTATCGCCATGATGCCGGCCTTGTTGCTGAGCCCATGGAGGGCGCTTTCTGGAGACAAAACAGGCTAGCTATCTACACAACGCTGGGGAGACAGAGGTAGTCGATGAGGAGGGGGGTATGCAGAGATTGGGTTTCGGGTAACGTGACCGAACGCTTGTGATGGCTTGAGAGGCTTTGGTGGCGGAGCGGGAGCAGAGATAGACGTGATCGTCGTGTTTGGCCAGTCCGGCGACGGTGGGGTAACCTCTGTGACTTTCAACTATAGCCGCGGATTAGATATTGGATTGTGGGCAAATGGTCTTGTATTGAAAGTGCCATGATCTCTGGAGAGTCCTGAGAGAAGTGAAGGGCGGCCATAGGGGCCTTATATAGGTAGAAATGACTGATGCCAGGACTTGTGTGGTTCAATGGGTAGAGGTCATATTGACCCATACTTCGTACGGTTTGCGGCTTTACTTTTCTCCTTTTGACTTGGCAGTCTTGACGGAGTAGCCTTGAAGGTCCAACACTAGACTCGACGATTATATGGGCAAACGACTTGGTAGATGGGAGCCAGCATTTTCAACTGGAGATGGAGAGTGTTCGCATGAGTGGGAGTTCCTCGAACAATTTGCACCCACCGAAAAGCAAAATAATTAGAAGAGCACAGAGAAACTGGCCGGACTCGTACCAAAGGTCATATACGCAACAAAATCGACAAAGGACTTCGTTTCGAAAAACAAAACGGGTCCCCCTCACCCGTATTGAAATCTTCTATGCATTGGAGCAATCTGCGACCAATCCCTTGACATGCATCGCCATTAAAGAAGGGGAGAAAGTCCACCAGCGTTTAGTAGCTCAAGCCCGGCTTAACAGAAGTAACTAACCTAGGAGGGAGCAACACAATTCAGCTGCCAATTACGAACAACTCCATATACCGTCAAATGCGTTCTGTCTGGGGTAACAAAATGCGCAGAGGAAAATGAGCCCCATGCCATATTGGTAATATTACTTTAGAGTCGTTACCACTCTGATTGACGCAAGATAGGTGACATTAACGTCCCACACCCACATCCGGGACACCCCCACATGTGGGACACCCAAAAATGCCTCAACACCGCTAGCCTCTAACTTCAACCACTTTTTTCTTTACCAATATCGATTCAATCGTTAAAAGGTTTTACGTACGTCTTCTTTACACTAATATGAGTCAATATACCGAAGATGATATTTATCGAGCTCTTCAAGCAATAGCTACCGGTCAAAGCCTCCGAAAAGCAGCATATGAGCATGGTGTCCCAAGGTCTACTCTTTCACGACGGATTCAGGGAGCCCAGTCAAGAGATATAGCCTTCGCTGACTATCAGAGGCTCTCTCCAGCCCAGGAATCTCATCTGGCTGAATGGGTTCGAATCCAGGCTGCCCTAGGCCTCCCACCAACCCATCAACAGCTCAAAGACTTCGCCGAGCGTATCCTACAGATCCACGGAGACACCGAACCACTTGGAAAGAACTGGGTCCAGGCTTTTATCAAGAGGAACCCTTCAGTCAAGGTCCAGAGAAGCAGAGCTATCGATTCTCAGCGTATTAATGGAGCCTCAGCTAATGTGATCAGGCAATGGTTCAAATACCTCGCTATCCCTGAGATCAAAGCTATTAAGGCCTCGAATCGATACAATATGGATGAGACAGGTATTCTATCAAATGGTCTTGTTCTAGGATCATCTGAGACTCGTTCTATACGAAAGAAACAGCCTGGATCTCGAGCTTGGATATCTCTTATAGAGTGTATCTCTGCGACTGGTACTGCACTACCCCCACTTGTGATATACAAGGGGAAGTCTGTCCAGCAGCAGTGGTTTGCTCTGGACTTGACTCCATACGAAGCCTGGAGGTTTACAGCAACAGAGAATGGGTGGACGTCAGACTCTACGGCTATTGAGTAGCTACAAAAGATCTTTATTCCTTTGACTCAACCAGAGGACCCTGAAGAGACTAACCTAGGTTACTTATCCTAGATGGGCATAGTAGCCACGAAACGACAGAGTTTATATACCTCTGCTTCATAAACAAGATACACTTGCTTTTCTTGCCGCCACACACATCCCACGTTCTCCAGCCTCTCGATCAGTCAGTCTTTGGACCCCTCAAGGCAGCCTATAAAAAGGAGCTTGGTTACCTTGACCGATGGGATACTACTACTGTCGTAGGGAAGAGAAACTTTCTCCTCTGCTATAGAAAGGCACGTCTAGCAGCATTGACCGCTAAGAACAGTACCAGTGGATGGAAATATACTGGTCTCTGGTCTTCGAGCATAGCTAGACCCCTTATGAGCCCCCTGCTCCTTGAGAATACGTCATCACCAATCAGACAGCCTAGTCAGACTTGCAAAGGGTACTCTAATAGTAAGGGTAGTCAGGACTGGGCGTTAGAGACATCAGCAGTAGCCTGGTCAACGCCTAAGAGGAGAGATAAGCTCCAAGATCAACTCAGCTTATTCAGCAAGCTTGATAGTGATCCAAATACCCAGCGACTACTCTTTCGGAAAGTTCAAAAGGGCTTTGATGAGAAGGACGACCAATTAGCTGTCGCACAGCGAAAGATTGAGGCTATAGAGGCAGAGCTTGAGGCTAGTAGGGCTAGGAAGCGGAGGAAGGTCAAGATGAACCCAAATTCGAAGTTTACTAATATCAAGGCTATTCGGAAGGCTCAAATCGAGGCTGGTGAAATTGAGGATAGTACAGATGAGTCTAGCGAGTCTGAAAACCCTAGTAACGGTGAAAGCTATATTGTAGTCGCATTAGAATAAGTGTAAAAAAAGGTTGGAGTTAATGGTTATAATATACAGCATCATTTTTAGGGCGTCCCACATGTGGGGGTGTCCCGGATGTAGGTGTAGGACGTTACCCGTTCCCGAAAACAGGAAAGCCGAACCCTTGACGTTGGCCCTTGCATAGGCCCAGATTTTTGAAATTCTGGGGTACTGTTTTTCGCCGCCCGCTCCGTCATGAGGAGACATGGTGACATCAAGGCGGGAAGCGGAAACGCGGAAACAAGCCTTTCTCGACTCGTCATGACGACGACCACCTGGACTGACCGGAAAACATTGAAATCAAAGACAACCGCAGATCTCCATAATGTGACGCGACGATGACTGCAGAGGTCGGTAGTGTAACTTGGTCAGTGGTTCTGGATACGTCTTGGAGGCCTAATCCTGGCCGAGACTGATGTCACAGCACCGACAGGATTAAATTGCCATGGAAGAACAGGATCTTTTCCTGGATCGCAATCTGAACCTGGTCAGGTGGCTAGGCATGGGGGAAATGATAATAAGACGCGTTCACAGTCGTATTTTTCGTCTATATGTTCTCAATAAATGCTTCATTTTGCAATTTGATTCGAACCATAAAAATCAATTCATTTGCAAGAAACAGTCACAAGCCACGCGGCAGCCAGCACCAACACGAGCATAGTATCATCAACATGGGCATCGGTACTAAGATCAAGGAGGCGTTGCACGGCGACAAGGACACTCAGTCCAGCCCCCACGATACCACCTCAGCCAACTCATTCAAGTCGCTCCCCAAAGCTCCGGGCGCATTTCCCTCCGAAGACGTGCCGGGACACTCCAATCGAACGGGGGGCTACATATCCACCAACGAGCCTGGTCTCGGCAAATCGTCACATAACACATATGGTCGAACCGACAAGCCAGCAACCAGCCATGGTCTCGGCACCCACACCACAACCACAACTGGTATCACGACGGGTAATACGTCAGCTTCAAGAGATCACGGTCTGACGGGGACCAGCTCCTCCCACCGAGCGGGAGGTGACCCATACTCGGCCACCAATACCTCCAATGCCCTGAATCAAGCCGACCCGCGCATGGGCAACACCGAGGGTGACTACTACAGCAGTGGCCGCGAAGGGGCTTCGGGTCCGCACAACTCCAAGATGATGAACGCAGCAGACCCAAGAGTAGACTCGGACAGAGATGCATCCCGCACTATGGGAAATGACTATGGAAGTTCAGGCACACACCAGACCGGGAAGCTGACCAAAGAAAACAAGAGTCCCTATTGGGGCAGTACTGGTTCTGGCAGAGGCACAGGTACGGGAATGGGAACGGCTGGACATGACCATGATACCAGAACCGCACCAGAGAGGGAATACGGCGTCAATGATCTGTCAGGACAAGATCAATACGGCACTCATGATGGAGGCATCACTGGCGGCGCCGGCCCCCGGGAGATGAACGACGCCTATGACCGCCAGTCCTATTCCCCCACAGGAGTTACTGGTAACACAGCAGGTGTCGGCGGTACTCACAACCTCCCGCATCGCCCCCTGGACCCATCAGACCCTAGCAATATGTCAAGTCGCCATGAAAAGATCAACGAGTATGGCGCGCCTACCAACAGCCAAGACCCCGGCCACTCGGGCGTGGGCAAGGTCGCCACTGGAGCAGCAGCTGGGTACGGTGCCCATGAGCTCAGCAATCGACACCACAAGCAGGACATGCGCGACTACGAGACGGCGGGTGGCAGCTCGGATCGTCATGGTCCCTTCAGTGAAAATGTACGTGGTACACCAACAACCGGGCAGCAGCATCAAAGGGGCAGTACCGGCGGTTCCATACCGGATCCGTACAGCAAGCAACAGTCTGAGTTGACTGGACATGGTTCGTCATTCGGCACGAGTCATGGTGCGCATTCTAGTCACAACTCAGGACTAGGTACGAATCAAGGTGTTTACTCTCAGCACGACTCACCTCTCGGCAGTCACGGTATGCAGCCTGGACCACAGTCAGGGCTCGGTCCGGGCCAGGGCATTCACTCCCAACACGGTTCCAGTGCGGGTGGGACCGGCGGGGTTGGCCAAAGCATGCACTCCGGCCATGATTACGGACTGGGCCCCGTAGCTGTAGGTCTCGGCGCTGCAGGAGCTGGACAAGCCCTGCACCCTTCTGGGCACGAATTTGGGCGTGATTCTGAATTCGGGAGGGGCACAACAGGTGCCGGTCATACAGACGGGCGTGACTCTGGTTTTGACTCAGTAGTTCCGGGTAGACACCTAGCTGGCAGCATGGGTAGTGGATCCGACTACGGTGGCTCCAACGTGGCGAGTGGTGGACTGGGTGAGGATCATTATGGCCCTGCGCACCCCGGTGCTAAGGTCTATCACAGCTGCGATCATTGTGGCAAGGACAACGATATCAGCAAGTACTTCCGCAAGGAGGCGACTTATCGTCTGGGCTAGGATATGTATTTGACGAACTGTGTTACTAATATACTGCAAAATGGATTAATGTGTCATTAGCAATAGTGCACACACCACACCTGCCATACTCGTGTAATCAACTGTGTAGCTGCTGTCATAGGGACTACATGTCGAATTGGAACTTCATTGTCTAAGGTAACAGTAGCAGTAATTACATATAAGTTCTGACATCAAAAATGGAACAATACACGAGAAATAAAATCATTTACTTCCCCCGAATATAAAGTTGCAAAAGATAGGTCTCACGGGGATTCGAACCCCAGTCCCCGGAAATTCCGTTGAACAGTTTTTAATGCAGAACTGCACATGTAATCAGAATCCGATGTGATAACCAACTACACTATGAAACCGTGTACTATTTGGGAGTAGATTGTGTTGTTGATAACTCAATGAAGAGAATCACCAACTATACTACTCAACAAGTCAATTTGAGGTTGATAACCAATCAGAACCTCCCTGAATTGGTGCTTGTTGAAAAATGTCGGCATATTAGGCTATATGACAGAAAACTTTTATAGCTCCACTGTGACGCAATAAGTCGCATTTCATCCATGGTTGGCGCCGAGCTAAAGACCGTCGTATATCACAGTAATTGAGTATTCGTTTCATTTGGAGACATGACGGAATTGCTTCACGGGAAAATGTTAAATATAAGGCATGACTACAGACAGTTGAATGAAGACAGTCCTCATTAACGGGTATGCGTTGCCTTGACGTGCTTAAATTAGCGCATGACTATTGACAACAGTAAATGTAGTGAGACACCTGCGGCCACAGGCTATATAGTAGCGAAATAGTTCCAGGAACAAGGCAAGTAGATGCTGGCCAGTGCTTATCGTGGAAACAATCGAAATCGAGAATTTAGGTCTCCACGTCATCGCAAACTCGCGCGATTCCAATGTTCTAATGGAGCTCGCGGCCGAGGGCATGGGTGCCATCCGTCTGTCCAGTATTGAGACATGCGTCAAACGAGTAGAAAAAACACGCATAGGAAGCTAGATACACTGGTTAAAAATTCGTGATTACATGGATTATAATGTTGTGACGGCAGAGCTAACCATGCTTATCAAAGCGGACGAGGTTTTGGCCTCGCAGCAACCGACGTCTCGCCCCCAGACACACGCCACTTCGAAATCAACTTGTTTGGTGTCGTGGCCGTGGTGAAAATTTTCGTTGCCTGCTCATCCCGAGTCGGGGCTCATTAACACCGCCTCGCTTTCTGCCATAGTTCCTACGTCTTCTCGGCCGTCTACGCCGCTAGGAAGGCGGCCCTGATATCGTACTCGCATACATTGCGCCAGGAGCTACGTCAATTTGGTGTCAGCTTCCAGGTTTTTATGGTCGACACCGCTAAGAGCCACGTCTGGGAGCCTGGTAGGACCGGATTGCGTGAGGACAGTCTGTAACGCCCAGTTGCACACCTGCATGAGACCCGCCGCGGCTTCTCGCAGAAGAGCTACAGCTAAGAACTCGCACCGGTACTGGAATTTTGGCTACAAAAAGAAGATGTAGAAGGACTTACAGATGGCCGGGGGGGAGGGTGAGAAGGGCAGAGGGGGAAGGGCGAAGCCTCATAGGACTGTGAACTTCAAGTGTATCTCACCACGACTTCAGGGTATTAATTCCACATAACTTATATAATATTGAAAAATAGTTCACGGTTATGCACCGGCGTGTTTTGCGTATGTTTTCAGTGCGCGACTCGCGTGAGGTTCACATCACCTTTACCGATTAATCTGCAGAGCTGAATATGACCTCTGACTGCGACAGCTTTATGCTCTTGTCCGACCTTCCTAAGGCGATCGCTAAGGACTGATCCCAATCATTTTCCCTTTCCCTTTGACTTTTCTAGAGAGATCCTCAGGCATTTCCATCGGCAAGGGCCCATGTCCTGCCTGTTCTAGCAGACTAGTTAGGATATTTCGCATCCGCGAGGATTCGTCCAAACGCTCTTTAGTTATCTGCGTAGCCAATAATTCCTGCATGATCTTCTTTGACTCTTTGATGACGTTCTCAGAACCCTCCGGCTCGCTGAGAACTGCGAAGGCAAACCACCACAGGCGGCAAGTGAGCGTCTGCGGGTGGTGTGAGCCCAGTCGCGACTCAAAGGATAGGGAGATCTCTTTAGATCTCTGCTCGAGCTTGGCCCAGTCGATCTGCTTAGTGGATCCTTGGCTGATTTGGAACATGTTGCGCATAGTCCTTGCTGTGATCAATTCGCGATAGGCAAACAACGTGTCCAAGCTGTCCTCTCCAAGGGCTCTTCTCCTCTCGACTACAACTCCCTTGAGGAGCTCTGAGACCTCATCAATAATCTGAAAGGCCTTTTCTGGGTCTCTGATCGTGGAATGAAATTCCTTTAGCAACATCGCAAGGTCGAAGTCGACAGACACTGACGTGGGCGATCTTGGTTTGACTTCAACCGATCCTTCAACGGCATGGCTTTCTTCGACGACCAAGAAGTAAGACTTGAGGCACCTAAGCAGGCGCTGAGCAATAGCTAAGTCGGTCTTAGGATCAGAACTGAACCTCCTGATTTGCACAGCCGCTAGCAGCTGGATGGTCGTGGCGAGCAATGGGTGAACAAATAACGATTCTTGTTTTTGTATCCGCGTCTCTATTTGCTCACATATGTATGACAGTGGCTCGAAATCTTCTTCCTAAAGATTTTCTCGTGAGTCTCGTTCTAATAATACATAGTTTAGTGTGGACTCACTTGCGGTTTCCAATAGAGGACCACCTGACGTTTAGCTACGTTGACGGCAATTTCCCAGGCCTCATCGATTTGACCGGTTTTAAGAAGAGCGCAAGCCAGCTTTGACGTGTATTTCAATGTTTCAGGGTTGTTTTTGCCCATTGAAATCTCGGCACACTTAACAACGGCTTGGAAGCCTGACTCTGAGGTATAATAGTCCCCGTTGGCAAGGTGAGAAGCCGCCACCTGGTAACTAGCGCGGGTTGTCTGAGGATGTTCAGGTCCAAGGGTTTTTCTAGAGTTCTCCACAAGTGACTTTGCAGTGGCTATTGCTTGGGCAAAACAATGCTGAGCCCGGTATATGTGCACCAAGCAATCCATAGATTCCAGAGCCAACGGATGTCGGCGTCCAAGGGTTCTGGCTATTGTCTCGTACGTACCCGATGCCAAAGACGCGGCGTCCTTGTGGTCGCCATTGTACGCGAGACATCGCGCTCGAAGGTTCATGGCTGTGAGGGTCCTGAAATGCGTGGCGCCAATCGCCTCCCTGAGTGCTGTCACGCAGCTGAGAGATAGCTCAAGTGCATTCGCATAGTTGCCGGCGAACATAGAGATTGTCGCATTGGCTAGGCGGATCTGAATTTGCTTCAGCTCCACTGGATTTGGTTTCTTCGTTGATGCTTCTGTGGACGTCTTATTTGGGTCGTCTATTTTCTTCGGGCCATCTGCCTCTGATAGCTCTTCGGAGTGATGCTGGTCACCGTTCTGCAACAAACTGGTCTCGGCTGTCTGGATGCTAGACTTGGCAAGGTCATAATCCCCCATATAGCCATAGGCCAATGCAAGATCTCGATATAGTCTTGCGTCCAATGAGCCAGATCTCGTATTAATCAGTGCCAATATGGCGTTTTTGGCCTTCTTCCACTGACCTTCACGGAGCATGCAACGTGTTACCCACCCTTTACAGTCGACTTCGATTTCAGCCTTTCGCATTTGGTCCACTTCCGGCACTTCGATATTCCTCACATCTCCCAGTACTTGTGTGAATTTGTCCAAAGCATCCAGGTATAAGCCCTGGGAATGATCCTCACTTTGGAGGGCGCCGTACATCTCAGTGACAATGATCTGCATCCGAGTAACGATCATATCTAACGACGAAGGTGGCGGCTCTGCTTCACTCATTGCCTTGTAAACCTGGATGTACAGAACCTCAGCGTTTCTGAGCTCTCCCCTTTGAAACAAAGAGGATGCCAGATGGGACACGTTCATAATGTCTTCGGGGCTTGAAGTAAAAGTTGGTGGTGGGGGTGCTGATACAACCGAAACTGCCTTGCTCGCAACCCGATACTCATCCAAATGGTCTCTAGATTGGATATAGTTAGGTTCAACAGGTATCATCCTAAATAAAAGCCTGGGCCGTGGAGAGTCGACTCTGGGAGTTCCCCTGTTGCTTCGAGCAGCCTCCGAACTGGTTATACCATCGTGCGACAGATTCCTGTGAGTATCGTCGGTAGATTTTCTATCTGGAGGAGCCATGCATGCACGGGCTTGCCTTGTACTTTGAACGTGAGATACAGGCGTAAATACATCTTCAATGATGCGAACGAGTTCTAGTTGGTCCAATGTGGCAAGCTCCTTCCGATGCGGGCTGTGCCATAAAAGGCGTATGAAGTGGCCCATCAACGTTTGCTGCGACTGTCAGTATCTAATATATGGATCTTCACGCGATAGAATGGCCACCTACTTCTTCGAATTCCAACAAAGCTGGCTCTCGTAGCCAAATGGATATTTCTATGATCGGATGGCGTTGACTGTGCAATTGAGGATGTATAACGGTTTGGTACTCGACGAATATCTTAAAATTTTCATCGATCGTGCGTAGTCGTGTCACAAGCCTACGGCATGGGTGTTGCATAGAGTTTCCGAGGTTGAACCTGCTGGTCATGCGGTGCAAATAATCCAGATACGGCCCGTTTGGTGCGTTGCGATCGAGGACTGCGTCAATGAAACCCACATTGATAGGAGCCAACGTGATGCTGCCGCTACTTGGTGAGGCAAGAACGTCTTTAAGCACCCATGATCCTAGACCATGAGCAATGAATAATGCATGCTCCGGACCAAAGTTGCTTGAACCTAGAAGAGCGCTCGTGGCCGAGCCTTCGTCTTGAACGTCCTCTACTAATCGAGTGAAACATTGTCGAAGCTGTTATGACTCTTTCAACAGAGCTTCGATACCCTCTTCAATGACGCGAGATATATCGAACCTGAAGACGCGAACGAGCAGGGCTTTGCATGAGACTTGGCATGACGTTGCGACCCAGCTCTCGAGTATCTCTCGACAATGGATGAATCTACTACTCGCAAACCCATGGATAAGGAAGATACTGCATAAGCGATGCATGAGCATGAACGAATCATGAGAATTGAGATTCTGCACTGACTTTTGTAGTCGACCACTAACCTTGGGCGTCTCGAATATCGTCACTAAATTGTTCTCCTAAATTACGTTAGCGTAATGGGGAGCGTATTGTTAGAGGTTTGCTGATTTTTACCTGGGACTCAAATTTGTACATTGTTAAGGTGGACTTGGACGCGGTGCATTTGAATACGTCAAGAACTTCGCTTCGGGTCGTAACTCGCGCGGCAGTGGAGGAGCTTTGAAGAAGCAACAATGTAGGCTTCATCGCCTTCAGTCTGCCTTGCGAACGCCCTGTTAACATCGACTTTACATAGCCAAAACTTATGGAATCCAACACCCGGTATTTGCGCCAGACAATTTGCTGGATTGGAGGGGGGTGCCCATAGTACTTGGCCGCAGCTTTCAGGGGTTATGAAGATGGCCAAATCAGCCGCACAATTCCAACCCAGCATGTGACGGCAGCAGGCTGCCAGTATCTTGTTTGGTAGTGCTCTCCTCGTGATCTATGCCTTGCAAGGGTTCAAGAATTTGCAAGTCCCCAAGTATCCATGTCTATGTATCATTACCAGTGCAAGGGCAATTTCTATTCCTTACCCGACAAAAAGTCGACAGTCCAAAACGATTGCTATAGAAATACATAGCTAACCGAATCCGAGTTCTGAGACGGGAGGGTATGGTGCCTCCGAGTGGCTCCGAGTGGCTTTGCAGTAGCGACCATTGATTGGGTTTGCATGCAGCTGCTCGGGTTAAATTCAGCACAGGAGCCTAGCCACTCCCACATCAATTTTGCTACGTACAGGTACAACTGCCATATAAATAAAGACAGGCCATAATTCTGCAGTCATCATCGCAATAACACCTTCCACGTCTGAAAATGAATATTTTCCCAGGATCGCCGATAGGGGGTGGGGGATGTTCGAGCCCCTAACGGTCTACCTCCATAATCCTGCTGTTCAGCCGCTACAGAGTCTGGATGCAACCAAGAAAATGAGGCTCTGAAGTCGTTCTGGAACTTTATAATAAGCCCTGGGTCTTCGGGAACTGATGATCAGCTGGACGTATCATCCAAGAAGAAAAACAGATGATCTCGACATCAGACCTTGCTACTTTAGTGTTTGATCCATATATCCGAGACCTCCCTTGCGCCCATGGAGCACATCGCAGTTAATCATGGGGCATCTATCGAAGCCTGGGTGCGAGTACAGTGCCAAACAGATCTCCTGAAGGGACAGCTCAGTCCACCTGAGAATTTCGAGGAGTTCTACTCCTTCCCAGAGAACTGTGGCTGGAAAGTTGGCAACGACTTCAAGATTCAGCCATTGGGCAAGGGAAAGCAGACAAACCTCGCTGTGTTCCTGCAAGGCTGGCTGTTCTTTGGACTGGCATTCACTGTTGTTCAAGAAGGAGGGAAACCAAATATGGGCCTCAAAGACTTGACCACTTCGACATATTTGTCTACCAGGTGTCTCAACAAGAAGCTCGATGCTTGGTCGACCTGGGAAAAGAAGAACCTCGATGGACTGAAATTCCGCATGATTCAAGTTGGATGGGCCCTTGACCTTGCACGCCAGGTGCTACGCAAGAACTGTGCCTACATTAATGATAGAGTTGAATACGATGATGACATTGAGGACCCGCTACACATCGACGACAAGCACGCATTGGTGCTCATGTGTCTCGGCGAAACTTTATCCGAGGCCAAAGCCAATATCATGGCATCACAGGGAGCCAGAGTCAAGTTAGACGGATGGCATGCTGATGATCATGCTGGATGGGGGCCTCCAAGATTCGTTTTCCAGGCGATGACGAAGGATGGATGGTGCCGGCGGGCCATGCAACTTCTCAAAGGCCAGTTAAGCTCAAATGCAACCATGCTGATCGCAGCATACTACGCATATCATGGCTCCTCACGCATGGATGAGAATCACGAAAAGTGCACTGCAGAGGAGTGCAGGTTCAACCCCAAGGACTATACAAAACACATTCTGACATGCACAAACTGCGACCCGTTAGGACCATCCCAGGAAGCGATCATGCAGATCCTGGAAGAGGACGGTGACGACATTCCGCTGCTTCATTTCCGCAAAGACCCTTTCCGCCTTGAAGTCGTACGGTTCCGGCCCAAAGAGGACGATGACAAAATCGACTTTGTCGCAATATCGCATGTATGGTCAGACGGATGGGGCAACGAAGACAAGAATGAGCTGTACACTTGTCAGTTACAATTCATACAAAGGCAAATTCAGAGAGCAATTGGCCCCGAAACGTCAGACGTTCCATTTTGGATGGACACACTCATCGTGCCAGTCGGCCCCTCTGTCAAACAACACCTCAAAAGAAAGGCCATCCGGCAAATATTTGAAGTGTTTGAGAAATCGAAATACACTATCGTTCTGGACAACGGATTGAAAGCCATGAATAGGGGAAAGCCAGACAATCCTGCTGAAGCTGCCATGAGAATTCTGTCCAGCGTGTGGATGCGGCGACTGTGGACACTTCAAGAAGCATATTTGAGTCGCCAAATACTAATTCCATTTGAGGAAGGCGAGAAGAACACGAACAATCTGGTAGCGCTCGACGCTCTCGAGGGGGAGCTGCGCAGGGTCACTGAGGGCCCCACGTCAGGCGTCATCAGACTGATTAAGGACCACTTGTCCCATATCATGATGGGAGAAGAGCGTCAGTACAGAAAGAACGGACTAGGCGACTTTCTGAAGAAGAACCCTGCCAATGCTGCTACTGTTGTGGCCAATGCATGGCGTGCAGCCCGATGGAGAGTAAGTCTGGACATGACGTGAACTATGACACATGCTGACCTTGGAAAGTCTACCAGCAAGGCAGAACACGAAGTGCTGGCGCTAGCTACACTTTTGAATCTCAACTACAAAAACACAGAGATCGAAAACGCTGGACTGATCGATCCTAGCCAAGGCAAGGGGCGAAGAGTCCCGGACGGACTAGAGAAACTGGCGGTGGAATTTTGGAACTTGGTCCAACAGCAGTATAATGGATCCATTCCATCAGGAATGATATTCCTACCAGGCGAGAAGCTAAACTGCAAGGGATTCGGCTGGGCTCCGAAAACCTGGCTGTCTGCACACGAAATCAACTATCCGGACCCTCTGAAAGTTTGGAAGCAGGCTACTGTTTTGGACAGGGCCAATGGGCTCAAGGTCCAGTATCCTGGCTTCCTTCTATATCCTGACTCAACCAAGACTCGTGGACATATACTTGGAACTACAGTAAAAACAGATTTCAAAGGGCGGGAGGCCAAGTTCTCCTTCCCAGTCGACCGCAGTCTCAACGAATGGTATAGCTTCAAGCCGGCGGACGAGAGAAACAGCGACCAGCTTGACAGATTACAAGCGGCAGAATCAACACTTGCCATAATCCTGTCGGGACCACAGCCGAGAGAGTGGCCAAGGGAGATTGCCCTGCTTGTTGAGGTTGTAGGTGAAAATTCCGAAGCCCAAGGCGGCCGGGAAACCTTGGTGTACCACACGCACATCATTCGTCGAGTCCTGATCTGGAGGGAGGCAAGCTACCTGAACACTGACAGGGAAAGATTGAGATGTAAGTCAGGGGTCTTCCAGGACTCTGGTGAGCGGAATGTGTGTCTTGGGGAGATGCTTGGACCTACGCAGTCATGGTGGGTCGACGGATATGTTACCAAGCCGAATCTCCCAATGGAAGAGGACATGACGGATATGAATGACCAAGAAGACCTTAGTGATATGTCTAGAAAGCACCAGATGGTTTACAACCAGCGATCAAACATCGTAATGAGTCTACTGGGGTGGGTAACCTGGCCAAGGCAAGATGCAACTCCACAGTCGATGCCGAATCGCGAGTTGGAGGAAGTGCCCCAACACGAATGGACGACGCCGTCTGTTATAATGTCAGGAACCGCTATAGGGAGGAGACTGTATCATACGCTCACCATGTAGACAGATGCACGAGTTGACAAGTTGGTAAATCTTTTGCTGGTAAACTTCCAAATTCCCATACTCATCCTCATTTTGGATTCATCATACCTTGATGACGTAGCTCGGAGCTAGTTATAAACACATTTAGGATGAGATGGCAGAGTGTATGTCTGTGCTTGTCATGGGATTGAAATAATAACACATTCGACAACCAAAATCCGCCTTTCACATACCCCCGAGACTCTAGGCGCCTATACGTCACCAAATCATTATGCGTCGATGTTAATGTTACGTTAATCCCAATCCGGTCTTTTTAAGAATTCCTTAGATATCTCTCGCCATTGCGAACCACTTAGCCGGTTCGCCGATTGCCCTGAACTTATAAAATAATATTAAATACGCCGTAGGTGTTAACCCTCGGTACCTCTACAAGTACTCCCTTAAGGGGCTATAGATGATATAGCGGGCCCTTAAGCCGCGTCGGGCGGTTATACAGGTAAACTTGTAGCCAAACGACTACTAAACCTCCTGTCCCTCCCTAAGTCTGTGCTACAACCCCTGCCTGAACTACCGATAAGCGTGGTAATGTGGCACTTAAATTCGTCCTCAGGGGTGGGATGCTGCTGATGTGCAGAAGATGCTCGACTATTTTTTTGTCGCGACAAGTCGTAGTATCTGCTAATTGGGGTTCTCGTCGAGCGTATACATCTCAACCATACGCTCAAGTGGATAGACCGTAACGTGGTCTAGACGCTCGCAAGAATCGCGGCGAGGGGGCGTGCTGCGCGCCTTCTATCGTGAGGGGACGGGTTCGCCGACGAGCGTTATCGGATAGGCGAGGTCCGATAAGGGGTCGGATTAACGATTCGAATTCTGGACCGGCTGTCGAGTTATATTCCGCCGACGTAGTGCTTGACGGTCGACTGGCTAGGATGCTCGTAATCCTAAACTGCACCAATCTCCCTATTATCGCTAGGTAGGCGAAGTCAACAAGGTGGGCAGCGCGCCGTAAGGGTTGACTAAACCCCCTTGTGTGTCAGCTGCGGGATTCGAACCCGCGACTCGTCACCGACCCAAGTGGGCGAGGCTCAAATCGGGACTTATCTACCAGCGAAGTGACCAACTACACCAGCCGACTTGAAAGGTAATCTGTGTGTGGTGACCTGTGGCCATGATCTGGAAATTACGCACCCCGGGTATGCCAAAACCCTCGTAACCGAGTTCTTTCCTGGGAAGCTTCGGGAAAGCGAGAGTCAGTGGTGGTCGGCCCAGGGCGACAGATCGCAGACTGATTACGACCGAGAACGAGCCAAAGAAGCAAACAACAAAAAAAGAACCCCACCCAGATCAATAATGCCAAAATATACGTTGCATACCGCCATCGACGGTGGCGTATCGCAGCATCTGCCAGCTGATTCTGAGCCAATATCATCGGCTCCCGGGCCAACACAGCAAGACATGAACTTCAGGGACATTCTTGAAGACGATTTGCACAGCCCCCTTAATGATACGGCGGCGTCTACCCAGAAACACCAGCGGCACCTAGGATCTCAACCTGGGAAGAAGTCACAACCTCCGCGTAGTAACATGTATTCGCCAGGTCTTGTGATACATAGATTAGATAGTCTCTTGGAAGAGAGTATGGATCGTGAGGGGCCCAGAGTGAGTCAGAGCCCCGTCGAGCCCTCACGGATGAGCGATGGTCATATAAGTTCAGTCGGCTGGTGTAGTTGGTCACTTCGCTGGTAGATAAGTCCCGATTTGAGCCTCGCCCACTTGGGTCGGTGACGAGTCGCGGGTTCGAATCCCGCAGCTGACACACAAGGGGGTTTAGTCAACCCTTACGGCGCGCTGCCCACCTTGTTGACTTCGCCTACCTAGCGATAATAGGGAGATTGGTGCAGTTTAGGATTACGAGCATCCTAGCCAGTCGACCGTCAAGCACTACGTCGGCGGAATATAACTCGACAGCCGGTCCAGAATTCGAATCGTTAATCCGACCCCTTATCGGACCCCCTCTCGCCGCGATTCTTGCGAGCGTCTAGACCACGTTACGGTCTATCCACTTGAGCGTATGGTTGAGATGTATACGCTCGACGAGAACCCCAATTAGCAGATACTACGACTTGTCGCGACAAAAAATAGTCGAGCATCTTCTGCACATCAGCAGCATCCCACCCCTGAGGACGAATTTAAGTGCCACATTACCACACTTATCGGTAGTTCAGGCAGGGGTTGTAGCACAGACTTAGGGAGGGACAGGAGGTTTAGTAGTCATTTGGCTACAAGTTTACCTGTATAACCGCCCGACGCGGCTTAAGGGCCCGCTATATCATCTATAGCCCCTTAAGGGAGTACTTGTAGAGGTACCGAGGGTTAACACCTACGGCGTATTTAATATTATTTTTTAATTTCCAGATCCATTAACCCGTCCATGACCTTATGGGCCGTGATGGTGTCGATAGGGGTTAAGGGAAGGTTTCTATACTTGGAATCTCTTTCCATGCTTCCGAGCATGGTGTTGTGGAAGAGCCCGACGGCTCCGACCAAGATCAAAGCCCAGGTGTGTTCGTTCATGCCGGCGAAACTAATCATGACGAAAAGCCACAAGACGGCAATCACTGTAGTCGTAACATATGTGATGAAAAAGCCTCGTGGAAAACCAAACGTCTCTTTGGCCCGGGGCTGGAAGGAGTGCCTCCGTATAAAGGAGAACCTGGGGAATTTGGTCCAAGGTTGGCCTTTCTTTGGCGATTCCGAGACGGCCATCTCCTCCAGATCTATGCAATTTCCTTGACCTTTGATGATCATGATGTCCCTGGACCCATTGCCTGCAGTCAGGGCGAATGTTGCCTTGGAGCCAGATCGATTCGGGAGTTTCTCAGCAGACCATTGAGGTAATGCACCCATCGCCAAGGCCAAAATAGTTCCGAAGGAAGTGACAGCAAGTGGCCCCCATTCGCGACCATTGGTGATGAACGCCGGAATAGCCGCGATTGCAAGTTGAATGAGTATCACGACGACTCCCCTAACGTGTAGGATGTTATAGGTAAACTTGTTGGCCCCTTGCGGATTAGGCTTGGCCTCAAAAATGGCGATCCTGATGCTTTTATTACTTTTGTCTTCCTGGGAGGACATCCATGATTCGTGGTCCCTAACGATTCGTGCAATGACCCAGTTGCTGTTGTTTCGATAATAGCCAGAATCGAGATTGAAGACTTTCACCGCATAGTCTGGCGGCGGCAGCAATCTTCCGTCTCCGTAGACGCTCATCAGAGCGGAGAGCGCGTACGTGACCCATCCAAAGGAAAAGCAGACCGGGGTGAACAACAAGCCGGACGTCTGCGCCAACGCGGCCTGGACAGCCTTATCACCAACAACCATCAGAACTGTGCCTACTACGACGCTGGGATTGATCCATTCGAGCTTCAAGTCATCATTCGTATCGCCGGAGAAACCAGCTGCTGCACCCCCCGGCAGTGCCTGCTGCAAGTTGGCTGAGACATCCCCCCGATATGATGACGTGGAGTCAAATTGTGGAATAAGCATGGTAGTCTTGCTAGTAAGCCACCGATGACTTGGGGATTTCTAAAGGTGTAACAGAGAAAGGATTTAGATGTTGACAGTGTACGTAGAGTTTAGTATCAGGAAGAACATGTCGAAGAGATGCCTGAAGGATTTTCCATCTCGCAATCAATATCTGAACACCCCCAAAGTCCCCGCACCCGTTGTGTGGTTAGAAAGGGCTTTAATCTTACAAGCCAAAAACATGGAGGATCATAAGCTTGCATAATGTTAGGCAATACACCCAAGGCGCTGCGGCCTACACCGGCCTGCCGCGTGTCAAAGTCGTGTGATGCGCTAGCCGACACACACACAGTTTCCAGACCACCCAACTTGATAACAAATCAACAAAGAATTGCTATTGATCTCGCACTATCCAATTTCCACATATCTAGGAGTTGGAGCTTGATCGGAGACCTGCATTTCAGTCGGGCAATAAACCACGCCACCACTCCTGCTACTAGAGACGAGAAACAGCCTCCACGCCCTTGCGCCTTTTTTCTCAATTTATGTAGAAACAGTCAGATCAGATTCCATCCCTCCTAGTCTTCTAGGTCTCATGTATGCTATGTCAGAGGTGGTTCGTGCGTATCCACCACTGCGTATAGCTGACCAGGAGTGCTATTTTATAACCCACTTTAAGGTACTAGTACATTGCACCCCCTTTCCGTAGTGTCTGCATTAAAACGCCGTTCATTACTAGATGGGCGCATCCAGCCCCCCCCTACTATCGGACAAATCCGCCAAAAGGCGAATAGACCCACTGTAGTAGATGTACTTAACCCTTTTCGGCCTGGTGAAGGTACTGGGTACTAGAAAGTGCTAGAAAAGTAGGTGTAAATAGGTGTCTATGAACTTCATCTAATTTGGAATCTTTTCTCTTAGCATGTTCCGAACTAACAGTTATAATCCCTGGGGAGGTGTACGGATAACGTACCCATAAGCAAGTTGGCCACTTTGTCTTGGCACCGTACGAACACCCTTTTAATCAACATCTTTACACACACCATGATGGTATTGAATTGGGAAGGAACCGAATGATTCTAGCGTGTCAGGCGCTTCAATCGCAACCCGAATTAAACATCCGATGCGCTGCTCAACTCTACAATGTCCCTCGTACAACTCTATTTATTGAAGTTATGGTAGCGCTTAAGACTCATGTTTTTTTGACGTGGTTTGACTACATCGCGAACCGTCGCTTTTCGTTATATGTTGGGTTGGAGAACCGAGATTCCCCCCGAGGAGTCTTGTTACACGCAAAGGTGGTCAAAGATTTGTGAGGTTGTAAAAGCATGACATTCTATCTAGTCCTATGGAGCACGAAGGTTGGACTTAGTCCCGAAGGGCTAAGTCACGTGGTAACCTTGGTGGTCTTGGCAAAGCCCACCAAGGTTGCCTAACAAGTCTCTCGCATTGATTTGCGTTAAACCGGGCTCCTAACTATCGGACTTATTGCAACTTATAACAAAGCATAATATTTAATGTGTCTCTGATTCGCCCATGTCCAAAGGACTAAAGGTAGTCTTAAGAGCCTTAAGTACGGAAAGTCGTGCCTTTTAGCCGCACACTTGAGTCAGTTGCTGATATACTAGAAATTTTGCTCCTGGAGTTTTAATAGTTAGCTGTTGCTAAAGGTTTGGTACTCAGAGTTCATCTATCATCAGTCAACTAGCTGCAGCAGCTGAAAACCGGAAAAGACACGTGTTGGAGGTTGAGGACTGGTACGGTGGTCTGACAACAACTCCAAGCACTTGTGTATCATGCAAATTTTATTGTAGCTTAGAAACGACAGAGACAATACACTCTTCTTGGCTACCTAACAAAGAGAACTGTTGGTACACAGGTAGCTCGCGTGACGATGTGGGAACTAACAAGAGACCGGACAGGGGTTGAGACCACTATGGAAGTGGTATAGAAACTCCTCGAGTACTCCACCTCAAGGTGGACTGTCCAGCAGCGTTCTTGGTCAACCATGAGCCTTGCGTAAGAAATTTCGCTGGCTACTGATTATTGCATTTTACCTCCCCTACACAATGATTATGCTGTGAACTTCCGCCGCCGCCCCGAATTAAGACGTCGGATTCCGATCTAGCTATATCTATAGATCCTCGATAAATGGCGTCAGGGGCGTGGAGGCGGTTTCTCGTCTCAGGTACGAGGAGCGGTGGCGGTGGTTCATTGTGCGAGCTGAGATGCAGTTCTCTGACCAGGCTCCGACTCCTAGAGATTGGGAAATTTAATAGTGCGAGATGCCAAGTGCAGTCCTTTCTGTGCTGGTTTTGAGCCTCAGTCTTTCCAAACCGTCCATCCGCTTCAGGATAGCGGCAATAGCATCGAACGCTTCGAGCGAGCGTTAGAAATAGCACAAGCTTAAAACCTCCTCCCCTCCTCCGGATGGCTAGTCGCCGTGGCAGGATGGTGTTTGTTCACGGAATCAACCAAACCATTGCTGCATCAGAATGGGCCTGGCTCATGTTCTTCTACAAGCCGGTCGAAGTACTTGGTGGCTCAAGCGTTTCTAGCGAGCCACCTCTTAACAGAGGTGGGGGAAATAATCTGGGACAGACGCGCTTGGATAATATGCGAAAATACGCGTTTTACCACCAAAATACCATATTTCCAAGTGCCTTCCACACCTGTATTTTTCCTACTAGTAAACCGATAACCTGAAATTTTTGCAGATGGGAAATTAACGCCCCCTAAGGGGCTTAATAGCGCCAGAATGCACTTGATTCGCGAGCAGCGAGTCGGTGCACTACGTAATAGTAGTACTACCACTACTACCACTACTACCACTACTACCACTACTACCACTACTACCACTACTACCACTACTACCACTACTACCACTACTACCACTACTACCACTACTACCACCACTACTACTGCCACTACAACTTCCAGTAATACTACTCCTACACCAATTAGCTATTCCGTACGCGCCCTCGCCGCCAGGGCAAAGGATGGCGCCAGCAAGTCATCTATCCATCGCCAACTTCAGGCCCTTCGCCATGGCCTTCCTTACTATGGCTTACAACGGGCGCGCGGCCGGTCCCGCGCCCTTACGGATGAAGAAGATCGCGCCCTCGTCGATTACTGCTTAATTCTTCAGCGTGGCGCCTTCCCTGCTATCAAGTCTATGGTTAAGGCCGCTGCCGATGAACTCCGATCGCATCGAACGCCGCCGATGCCGCCGCTATCACCGAAAACGATGGTCGCGTGGTAGAGGGATCACCCAGAGCTCACCATTAACAAAACCGAGGCGAAGGACCTCAAGCGGCTAAAGGCCGAAGAGCAGTATGAATACATTGAAGAGTTCTTCCGTCTCCGGCAGCGTACTATGTTAGAGCATAAGATATCTCCATCAGATGACTGGAATGCTGACGAGACCGGTATCCGAATCGGCTGCGTTGCCGGCAATACGGAAGTAGTTGAAGTCAAGTACGTTGTTCAAGAGAGGCCGGTTATCGCTGACTTCGCCAACCGCGAATCTGGTACTGTTATTGGCGGCGGATCGGCCATGGGCGAGATTATTCCACCCTACTGCATCTTCAAGACTTGGCCACTTATGGACTGGGCCGCAGCACCTGGCGATGGTCACACTCGGTTCACAAGGTCAGAAAACGGCTTTTCTAGCAAAGAAATACAGCTTGACTACCTACGGCACTTCAATCAGCACTCGTTTCGCAGCTCCCCGACCTTCCAAGCCACCGGATTCACTCTACAGAAGTGGTTTGGCTGTAACGAGTGCGGCGAGACCCCCGATGGCAGATTTAGTGATCCCGAACGCGAAGGGGGCATGAGGACTATGGGAAACAACTTACGGAAGTATCGGCTACTCTCACTCGACGGCTTTACGGGCCATATCTCACTCGAGGCCGGTGCATATTGCCTACAATTCGACATCATTCTACTCTTCATGCCATCTCACTCGACTCACTTCCTACAGCCCTGCGATGTGGCCGTATTCAGCGTTATGAAGTGGAAGCACCAAGAAATTCTACAACACATCCGGCAAGGCGGTCTACGGTTCAACCGTACAGACTTCGTCTACAACGTTCATAAGATCTACTATGGCGCCTTTACGCGCCACAACATGATGAAGGGCTTCGAAAAGAGCGGGTGCTACCCTCACAATCCACATATTGTACTAGATGAACTCAAGAGACGCGCCACCAAACACGGCCAATTGCTTCATCCGTCGCTACTTCCGCCAGCCAACCGCTACAGCAGGGCCAAGGAAGCTTCTCAGTACTTGATGAACCGCCACATCAAGGTCCCTAACCTACTACTAAGCTCGCCCTCACGTGAAGCCATAAGACTGGTTGCCGATATGACTGATGAAGCCATGGTATTGAAAAGGGCTAACGATCAACAACAGAAGCGTCAACTCGATCAGAGAGAGCGATACAATAACCGTGGCAAGCGCGTATTCGCCAAGCCGGCCGGTCTCGTCTATACCAGTGTAACCCACGCCGAACTACAAGAATATGCTGACGAACTCACACGTACGGAAGCCAACAAGGTTGTACACAAAGAGAAGGCACAAATGCGGAAGATCATACGTGAAGAGGAAGCGCAGTTGAAGGCCAAATGGCGCGCAGAAGTAAAGGGCACCATGAAATGGAAGGACTGGCTACAGTACATCGGCCGCGCGGATGACTTCATCCCCTTCAGCAGCAGTCACCCACTATGGACCGAGCCCAAACAGCCCCCTACGGCTACCTTCACAGTTGACACATCACGGCAGAACATAGGCCCTTGGCTAAAGCGGCCGCTTCGAGATTACAGGCCCCTAGGCGGCAGCGACAGCGAGGTTGATGACAATTCCAGTACAGAATCGTTGGACATTGTATGCGGTCGTACACCGGTCAGTCCACTACAGAAGAGGGGCAAGCGGAAGCGGCCGGTTAGCGATATAGGGGATGAGTTCGACTCTGACCCTAAAGAGGAGGATAACGAGGTATCAAACGGCAGTGACGACACTGAGGAGGTACCAAGCAGCCCTCCGTTGCCGAGTGCTGTAAGATTTATTAGCCAATATGGCGGCCAGGCGGCCTTGACGCCTTGGAACCCACTGCCGAGGGGGTATGGTGGTGCGACAGCGAGCCAAGGAGGTAGTTAGCAAGGAGGTGAATATGTTGTATTTTTAGCTATAGCGGTCTCATCAAATACAGCAATTTGTAAACCTTAGCGATTTCGACCATTTTTGTCCAAAGTCCATACTTGATTGCGGGTATACAGTATAGTTGTAGCAAACGCCCTGAGGTTGACGGCTCATCTAGTCGTTGATTTACTGTAGAGAAATCAAGCCGCACGGACCCCTCTGTCCCAGATTATTTCCCCCACCTCTGTTAAGAGGTGGCTCGCTAGAAACGCTTGAGCCACCAAGTAGGAACCTCTTTCGTCATGCCGATGTGGAGACATCTGCCATGCCAAGACGTCAAACATCATGACGCCACCAGTCCAGTATATCGATGTTGTAGCAGACGACATGGATCAATCTTGAACTTGGATGTTGGAAGAGCATATGCAGAAATCGATCCCCAAAGCACAAGTCATTTACCGTCGGGCAAAGAGCTGTAGAATGATTTGGGTGGTTGCGGGTATTGGAGGGCCCAAGCTCCAAGCTTAAAGTGGAGCAGAGGGGCTTCCAATCTCACACCCACTCGACACCGCAATCGATTGCTGCAATCAAGGAGTCTGAACGAAGGTGAGATACAAAGGTCGCCAAGTGAGTCGCAGTCGCCATGTCGACTAGCCTCATCAACAATAACCAGGCCTCTGGGCAATCCTTCTATTCGCCTGCCTTCCCCTTCGATCCCAGACTCACTAATGATGTCGCCCACAGCAGTAACGGCCAGGTTCAGCACCCGGACATTGGCAGCGCCCTGCCAGCGGATTCCCCCAACAATGGCGATGCTCCAGCACAAGCAGCGCCCGTGAAGACGCCCGCCATCAACTCCATCGGCGACGAATCCGACAACGGCCAAAGCGGAAGCAAGCAGCAGCAAACATGGCTGTACCCTCACGGCCACTGTACTGGCATCCATGGGAAGTCCAACCTCGAGCAGTTCAGGTCCGAGATTGAACAGAGAACCAGGACGGGCGAGAGCTGCGATCAGATTGCCGATGCCCTCGTAGCCAAGGGCGTCCAGACGAGCAGCAAGGCCGTCGCCCGCATGCGACTGAGATGGGGCTTCCGAAAGAGGGCAAGTGTATCACTAATCCCCTTGGAGACAGCATGCTAACATGAATTCGCATGCGCAGGCTCCCAAGAAGACGTACAACTGGAAGAACGCCCACAAGAACAAGCCCAACTTCGACCCACTGTCATCAGCCGCCACCCCAAATGGCGCTGCGTGTGCCCCTTCACCCTACAGAGGCAGCAAAGGTGCCAAACAACTGCAAAACCGCGCCGAAATCACCCAGATGACCCAGCAGGGTCTGTCGTCCGAGGAGATCGCTAACATAATGACGTCCCGCGGCATGCAGCTCAAATCGGGCGTCAGCACCATCCGGCGCCTCCAGCGCGTTTGGAAACTGGTGGTTGACGAAGCCCATACCTTGAAGAACCTGCGCCACCTTGCAAGAAAGAAATCGAGAGAACAGCAGAGGAAAGAGTTCCAGAACTATGCAAAAGAGTTGGAGCTCGCAGATCCTGATGCCTGGGTCAGGGCCAAAATGAACGATCCAGTGGCTAGGAAGACGAGACAAGACCACGCTATTGACTTGATGGGTAATGCTGCTCCCCAGAAGACCACAAGCAAAAGCCCAGCCAATCCCCCAGCCAATCCCCCAGCCAATCCGTCTGCCGAATTGCCAACCTCTGCAAAAGGAGGGCGCTCCAGGAAAAATCCAGACGCGCCAGCACGTGCCGCAAAGAGAGCCAAGGGAGATGAGGTGCGCCGGTATCCCAATGCGCATGCGACAGAGGGAACATCGTCCTCGACAGCTGTACTTGTCGTTGATGATGGCGGCCATGTTGATTACAACTCAGCAACCAATTGCACGCACCAATCCGATAGTGCGCCTAGAGCACTCAGGTCGCGACCTTCGTGCACTGCCCCTATTGCAGAGCCTGATGTAAGTGATGGCGACAGCAATGCGGTTGATGAGGATGATGTGCCAAGACCTCTCGGGACCCAGTCGTTGACGTCATCTGCCCTGAAAGAAATCCTGCGCCGGCAACAATGTTTGGGTCATGGTGATGCAGGAGATGAGTCTGCTGGCAGTGAGAGTGAACGCAGCGGAAGCAGCAACTTGGACGACGAGGACCAGGCCAGCACGACGGTCAATGACGGTTCCCCGTACCCACCTTTGATGGAGACCGGCAAGTACGATTCTGATGATTACCAACCAATGGATGGGCATGAGCATCAGAATCGCGCGCCCATCACTGCAGCGCCTGCTGGTCCACCTCACCAGGACATCCATAGTAACTTCATTATGCCCGTTGCACGGACACCCGAGCAGGTGGAAACGGCTATAGCAATGATTTCTTGCGCCAGCAATTGCTTGCTGGCTGCCGAGACGATGAAGGACTTGCTCATCTCACGAAAAGACGGGAAGCCTAGGATTGGGGGTCTAACTGGTTTGCCACCGTCAGAAGCAGATATCCAGGTCGCACGTCACAAGATGAGACTAGTCGCTAAAGATATTCTGAAGACGTTTTAGTATTGCAGCCATTGAGCAATCAGCTTGGACTTGAGTGCGCTAGATGGTATGCTCCTGTGCACATTCACGGCTCGTCGATTTCCAAGCCACCTGTTATGAGAAGCTTCTTATGGTCTGAAAGTAACTATTTGAGTTGTTGTAGCATGAATTTGAACGAAAATTGCGTCTCCGTATCGCTGCACGCAGATGGAAGGTACGGCCAAGTACAGGGCTACAAAACCCCGCCTCAAACCAGAAGTAACCATCATAGAAGAAGAAAAAAAACATCTTTTTTTGGCCTTTATATAAATCTCACGCTAGCTTCAAGACGAACGGCGTCCTGACCACTCCCGCCTTTTGCATTTTTTTGATGATTGCGTAGGAGGAGTAAAGAGAGTGCTACCACGGAGTTTCTCAAGTGTATTCTTGCTATGCATATAGGTGTGCTAATCCCGCCAGGGTAGGTACATCGCCATGTTTACTTCCCTTGCACGTAACCTCTTCCAAACCTCTGGTACCTCGAATCCGGTGTCGAAAGTTTCCGCCGGATAACTGTGTGGGGTTCCGCAGTTTGCCTCGAGAGGATAAATATCCATGTTTACTCCTTCCCAACCTTGCATACCAAGGCCAAAATTGATCAATAGTTAGACCGGCGACTGCCGTTTCTGTAATCATTGTTAATGCCCCTTGAGATATGTTACAACACATCTCCAGGGATTTGCGGAAGTTGTCAGAAATCTGACGCAAACGTAAGAAATTCATTTCTTTATCCTCAATACTCGGACTGACACTCGAACCACCACATTGATCAAAACTGCCGCTGCGGCAGACGTGAAGGCACTCATAGAAACCGGGCTCATCTGCCCCGCAGGGTTGGACCTGTATAAGGAAAGCACCGCTAGCTACCGTCCCTGAGAGCATAGAAGAAATCCCACTGGATTGCCCACCCCAAGACGACTGACCTGAGCTGAAGCAATTGTGTGATATTTCTACCATCATTAGCTACTGGTATGACCGTCGATCGAAGTACCTACGGCTTTCGTTAATATTACTAAATTTCCTTATACTACAGACTATGTAAGCTGAATGTGACTGATTATTTTCATTTGCTGGGAGAATGGTTACTTTATAGCGGCCAAACCTTAGCGCCCGCATTATAGGCATGTGCTAGATACTATGAAGTTAGTATAGAGCCGGGTCAACAGGCTAGCTGGAGGCTCTGCTTGGGGCTCTGACAGCTGATACAGCTATGGGAAATAACTTGCTGGATGAACCGGACGAGGATATAGAAGAGGCTATATCCAACTTCGCCAGCATTTTCCCAGGGGCAGGTCACGGCGACGTTAGCGATAGCTTCATTTCTTAGCATTTATTATAAATTTATAGCTACCAATCTCACCTCATCTCACCTCACCTTACCAAGCTCACTGGCGTGCTAACTTCAACAGCGTTTTGCTTACTGATTCGCCCACGCACCAACCCAGTGGGGTTCGTGAGGTTGGTGAGACTAGTCCGACCCTTGAGTACTTACAGGTGCTGTGAGACGCTTGTTGTCCGGGAACTCTAGTTTGTTGGCAGTTTGTAGTGAAAGCTCAGGGGCAGACCCATTAAGGTTGGAATAGGAGCTCCCATTGTATAAAAGGGTTTGCTTGCAGGGTCTAATATATGTATAAGACCTTTGAAGTTATAGACGGGACGGTTGATTCAAAGAGAGGGGCTTGTGTGGCATCCTCATCGCAGGTAAAATATGGTCGGCAACTTCCTACGGCGATCCTCAGTGAAGCACCGGTATAATTCGACAATGGCGACAGCTTGTGTCACATGATTAGAAGACAACAAGGGTTAGGTATGGAGAGGTACATCTAGGCTGCAATTTCACTGGTGTCAAGTTTGGCTTATCAGTTTGAGCCAGTCGTAATATGTTTATCTTGACATAATTATATAACTGTCGATTACAACTTACCCATACCGTTTAGAAGCAGCTCAAAGATGGGCAGCCATCATTTTCTTGCCATAACTGATTATACTTCCCCATCAGACAGATATTCGTTTTTGTGACAACTGTTGGTATGTCTGCCAAGTATTTCCAGCAACCGTTTAGGTTAGATCTCTGGAGTTAGCGATGTCGTAGTCGAACAGCTAACGCCGACAATGTTTCGTAATTTAGGCATGAGCCATAAGCATCACCTTCCGTACATGCGCAAGTACAATCCTAGCTGTTTAATGCAAGTATAGATCAAATTTCGATGTAATGCTGCATTGATAGTATAGGTTAGACTTCCTCATAATATAGAAGAAGTGGGGTGATCTCACTACCAGTATGAAGGCAGGGTCTTTTGCCTCCAATCTCACTGCGGCCCGAATACTCAGATCTTCAGCGATATGTCAGTGCCTGACGACCCGGCCTGTTTCTCCCCGCTTCTCCGCACTTTAGTGACACTCTCTGATCCCTGCTTACAGAGCCCAACTCTCACCTCCGCATTCACCTCTTACCGGTCTCATACGCGTGGGGTCGGCTCTGCCGACTTCTCTCATTCCTCGGCTAGCAGGACTTCCCCGATGGCTTTTACTCCTTACGGCCTAGATTTATGGATGATGTATCTGGCGATCGTCGATGGGGCGACGGAGGAAGCGCATGGTTCATCATCAAATCAGGTTCTGAGACCATTCCGGGTAACTTGATTCCGAGAACCGGCAACCTCGCCCGTGAAAAGGAATAGCTTCTGCTTGCTGAGATAAACCCTCAAATTTTGAACCACACTGCAGTACGCTTGCTTATTATCTCCGCAACCCCTATCAAGACCAAGTTACTCGTAACTAGATCACCATGCGCATTGCAATCATTTCCAATTTGGTAGCCCTCGCGGCGAGGGGCACCACCGCCCTGGTTCTCAAGGTCAACACAACATCCGGACCAGTGTATGGCATGATCAATGGTACAACTCCCAATGTGCGGCAGTTTCTAGGCGTACCCTTTGCCGAGCCACCAGTCGATGCCTTGCGCTGGCTGCCCGCCGTTCCCAAGAAGTCTGTGGACTATATTGATGCCATGGCATTTGGTCCGTCGTGCCCGCAATATGAGAGTGCGATCCCATCCGTATATAACGTGGACTCGCGCAATTTTCTCATCACGGGTCCAACATCCGAGGATTGCCTGTCCTTGAACATTTGGGCGCCCAAGATTGGATATGAGGAGCACAAGAAGTTGCCGGTCATCATCTGGATCTACGGTGGAGGTAGCTTAACGGGTGGTGGACGCATCGGGTACCAGATTCCCGCCCACTGGATAGAGAGAAGTCAGAAACATATTGTGGTTGGAGTCAAGTGCGTATTTCTGCCAAGAGCCAGACTAGCTCGCTTAAACGCAATTCTACAAGAATCAAAATTAACCCCTAGCTATATACAGCTATCGACTAAATATCTTCGGGTTTCCCCGTGCGGCTGGCTTGAAGTCAGACCAGCAGAATCTAGGCTTTCTTGACATCCGCCTCGGCGTCGAGTGGGTGCGAGACAACATTGCCAACTTCGGTGGCGACCCTTCACGTATCAGCATGTGGGGGCAGTCAGCGGGTGCCGGCGCCACAGATGCCTATAACTTTGCCTATCAGCAGGACCATATTGTCGCCGGTATTATACTGGACTCGGGCAATGTGCTCGGCAGGCCCTCAACCTTAACCGCGACTGATTATGCGAACTTCACCTTTGTCGCCTCTCATTTTGGCTGCGGCAACAGCAGTAGTGCACAAGCTGAGCTGGAGTGCATGCGCAAGGTTGAGCAAACTGACATTGAGGCTTTCCTGAAGGCGTACCAGGATGGGGGTTTCAACCCATCCATTAGCTTCGTTCCGGCCGTAGACGGTGTGACTAAGTTTGAAGATTATCCTGCTCGTTATGCAGCCGGAAATTTCTCCAGGGTGGTGAGTTTACAATTCACGTTTTGATTATATGAAGATGTTGGATTATGGTACGGCCTGGACTAACAGATACACAATAGCCAGCAATCGCAGGTTCAAATGCCGACGAGGGCACGTCGCTGTCATCCTGGGTGGCGAATGGCACTGCCGTCAACCAGACGGCTGCAGATATTATTACCATGCAAGAACTGTGTCGCGTTACTGAAACCTCCCGGTATGCCCACAACCGTAGTCCTCAATTCAATCCATTTCTTTAATCAATTCTTCGCCTTTCGCACCGCAAGTACACGAGACACGATTGCTAATCTGCATTAACCTTCCTAGCGCTCGCCACGCGGCTGAAGCTACGACCTTCCATTACTATTACCACGGCAACTGGTCCAACATTTCTCCCCGATCTTGGGGGGGTGCTTACCACTCGTCCGAATTGCCGCTAATCATGGGCACCCACGACATCGTACACGGGCCTTCTACAGACTTTGAGATAGCTGTATCTCATCGCATGCAGGATCTCTACTTAGCATTCGCGGAGGACCCGTATGCTGGACCTATTGCGCTGGGGTGGCCGGCTTCGGCACCTAACAGCAGTGTCATCGAGTTTGCTCCCGATGATGGCATCGCCAGTCGGCGCGTGCTAGTAAGTGAGTTCGAGGGGAGGTGTGACGGTGCAGCACCGGTGGTGGGGGCCGTGCCCATCTGAGGAAGGGGGGATGGTCACACGTCGTTACTGGGATGAAGGCAGTAGGGATAGCGTAAAAGTATGTAATTCGTCACTGAGAAAATACTATCTATCGTCGAGCTCGACCTCGTGGGGCAGGGGAACCCCCTACAAAAGTGTCGTTAGTGGATATCCAAAAGATATCTCACACTTACCCCGAGCAACGCCAACCGTTGGCATAACTCCCGGGGTCATAGTGCCTGGCATGACTGCAATAATCCCAAAATCGATATTGTGACGAGAGAAGGCCTTATCCAACGCGATAACGCTAGAAGTTCCTTAATCGACTCCAAATTCGTCCATATTGGTTATCCGACTCTGCAGGAGGCGAAAGACGCCTTTGGAAAAGAGAAAAAGGGTGCCGGGAGGGGGATCTACAAAGACCACAACACTCCAATGCAACATAATTTGTTCCTAACTAGTCAATACTTGAAGAAATTGGTATGTTGTTTTGGTGTGTGTAATTACGGGGTCAAAGCGGACAAGCCATCATTCATTCCTTCATTTGTAACATAAGTCGGAACTGGAGGCACGAGGACAGAAAAAGATAAAATATGATGATGTCTGAGTTCTATAGAAACCTTAATAGCTGAAGGAAACGGAAGAAAATAAATTACTATACCGTGGCCAGCAGGTGACGAATGGAGGAGCTCGCAACAATAAACCATAAAGTGAACATCTTCTGTCCTTGGGAGGAGCCGAGAAATATGAAATCGGCCCGTCTCATCTGATAGCGACGCATGCAGCTCAAGTTAGACGTCAGCACCCGCCACCTCCAGCGTGTTTGGAAACCGATGGTCAACGAAGCCCATGCCTTGGAGAACCTGCGTCACCTTGCTCGGAAAAGCTCGAGAGGATAGTAGAAGGAAGACTTCGAGAACTATACAAGAGTGGGGCTAGCCAATCCTGATGTCTGAGGGCTAAAATGAAGGATCCCGTGGCAAAAGAGACGAGGGGAGACCACGCCATTGACTTGATAGGTGATACCGCCCCTCAGACGACCCTGAGCAAAATCGCCGCCAACCTCCCAGAACATTCGTCAAACAAGTTGCCAACCCCTGCCGAGAGAGCTCCCATGGAAGAACCCAGATGCGTCAGCACGTCCCACGAAAAAGGCCAAGGCAGATGAGGTGTACTGGTATCCCAGTGCGAATGCGACACAGGGAATATCGTCCTCGACATCTATCTCTATTTTTGAAAATGATGGGGATGGCGAGTACAACTCAGCACCAATCGTGCGTCCCAACCGAACAGTATGCCTAGAATACGCAGGTTGCAGCCGTTGCCGGCCATCTCTATTGCAGGGTCCGATGTAAGTGACGCTAACACCGAGCGGTTGATCAGAAATACTTGACAAGACCTCCCGGCACCCAGTCTTTGACGTCGTTTGCCATGAAAAAAATCATCCGCTGGCAACAAGGCTTAAGCCATGGCAAAGTATGAGACGAGTCTACTGGCAGCGACAGTGAAAGCGAAGCAAGCAGCGACTTGGAACTGTTGTAGTTGCTTTTTACGTCGCTGGTCTTTCAATGCGGCTGCCAGAGACGAGAGGATTCCATAAAAGCTTGAGGGGCTGGCATGGGGAAGCCGTAGCAAGGGCCAACTCCAAGTTTGAGCCCAAAGCAAAGCATATGCTGCAATAAGCTGCGTCTTTGTCCAGTAGCCTGGGATGAACGCGGAGGTGAAATATGAGCAGACTAAGTTTTACGAACACGCAAGAAAGAGGGTAGATGATGGGCATGGGGCGAAAGTCCCGCATGTACTGGAGAGCTTTGTGTAAGTCCAGCTCGTAGGAATCACCTCCCTTGGGCCCGTTCACAACCGATCCTGGCGAGACTTAACAATTAAGAAAACCCAAAAGGCGTTTAAGTGCTCCTGCACTTACTCAGAAACAAGTCGTTCTCTGTGATTATCAACAACTATAAAGGTACATGATTGATAGGAAGCTGGGAGAGGGGCTAATCGGCATAGTTCTCTGGGACACACCTATGTGATGATCAGCATTCCATCTTCAACAGGAAGCTTCTTGTGAAGGAAGACATGGATATAGAACCGCTGCGCGACGAGAATAATTGCAAGCGCATTCCAAACACTCAATGTCAAATACAGCGCTTGTGTATATTATCTTTGCGGATGCTCAATGTTGGTAATCGGCTTAACGACGCCTATTCGTTGCCGGTATAGATGTAGCTTGGGAAGTGAGTTGCTCAGTTACAGGCGCGCATAATGTGGGTAATGTTACCTTCTAAATCGAACCTCCATATTTGTCACTGTCGTGGGAGTGTGGAGGTTTGGGTGTCCCCGGCCTCCCCTCTACCCCGCTTGCCTCGGACCCTATCCTTGGCAGTTAGCCAAGCTCCTTCCTAGGTTGTCCTATGTATTATTAGTCAATTATTGTTCTATAGGATGCTTGGTATTGACGTGCCTTCTCCACTGCCGTTAGAGACTGCTGTTTAGAGATATGCAACGGCATTGAACATTATTGCCTATCTCCAAAATCCTCGTAGGGCGTTATCCGCGTTACACAAGTTGCAACCCTGTTCCTGCGTTTTACTGTCTTGTATGTGTCTCAAGCTCTCTGCGTAGACACCTTCCGGAACGAACGTAATATTTACCTCACTAGTCTCGTTGGCCATTTGAAATTTCCGGTTGCTGGCCGCTGGTTCCTGGGAAGTATTGATAGAGGATAACCAATATTTGAAATTGTGGAAAGATTGCTTATCTTTGGAAGTCTTCAGTGTTTTCGAAGTGTATATATAGCATGCCAAGCTCGAATACATTTTCAAATTATGAGACCAGTATCACTTGCCTTCGCATCGGGCGGCTTGCATCTTTAACAATCAAAATATTCACATCAGCCGTTCTCCCTTAACCGTTAAGATGTTTATCTCCAAGACTATTCTGTTGCTTACCTGCTTGGCCGGTCTTGGAACCTCGTCAAAACCCGCTTACAACCCTCCCCTGAGCCCAGTCCGAAAGCGCGGCGACCCAGTCCTATCCACTTCACCCTATCCCAACACCACCATCGCCGGAATCACCGTAATCGACACGCCCACAGTCCGCGCGGCCATCGAGTTTTCGCGCAATCACAGCTCCGAGGCCGTCTTCTTGCACCAAATGCGGGCTTGGCTCTTCGGCTCCCTCATCATCGCCGGCAACGAGACGCTCCGAAACAGCGTCGACATCGAAGTCCAAGCCGTGTCGGCCCTGCTGCATGATCTCGGCTGGAGCATGGCGCCGAATTCTACCATCGTCAGTAGCGACAAGCGTTTCGAAGTCGACGGAGCCATTGCAGCGAGGAAATTCCTCGCCGACTACGGGGACGATGGTTGGGATGCGAGGCGCACCCAGTTGGTTTGGGATGCTATTGCTCTGCACACTACAAGGACCATTGGGTATTACAAGGAGTACGAGGTGTCGACGACTAGTATGGGCATCTCGGTTGACTATGATGGGCTGAAGCCTGGCGTGACGAATGAGACGTTCGCCACCATTATTAAGGAGTTCCCTAATGATGAGTTGAAGAAGGTTACCAATGATACTTTTACTTGGATCTGCGCAACCAAGCCAGCTGTCACGTATGGTAAGTTCCCCTGTACACTACACAAGATATTTACTACTGCTAATAATATGTCTAGACACTCAACTGCAGTCGTGGGGAGAGCGATACGTGGCAAACTATTCGACGGAAGGAAACTTGAGAATTGACCACATCTTTGACAATTTGTGAAGCGGTGGCATGCCAAACTGCGTTTGGTAATGGCCAGAAAGCTACAGCCGTCGGGCTTAAGGGGTTCTGAAATATCTGTAGGGATGGATCATGGATGCAGTCCGCTGATTTGAACTGAATAGGTACCATTCTTTTTGCGCGTTGCTCGATTACATAGCCCTAGGTACTTAGGTACTTTTTACTAGGTGTGTTTATGCTATGAATATCAACATCTAAACCCGACATCGGAACTTAGAACAAGATTCAATAGCAACGATGGCGTTGACATACATTTTCCTGATGTGTACTTAAAACCCTCGGTTTCTTAAGTAGGTAGATAATGATAACAAATTTGCTGCTATTCGCTGCTATTCGCTGCTGTTCACTCTATCCTGGGAATGCGTTTGATTTCATATCAAGACAACTCTACTCATACACACCACGAGGAAAGACAGATAACCATAACTATCAACTACCTCAATACCATTGGTCAGATGCATGTGTAATACAACATATAGACTGTGACAGCTTGACTTACATACCATGCCCTCACTCCCGGTAAAGCAGCGACAGTTTCGGCCCACTCGCGAAGAAGGATCTTCGAGAAGACATTCGCACTTCGAATTGGGCTGTTTCGGAGAACATTAAAATATTCGCAGATGTTAAGTGCAACTCAATGGATAAGCGCAGGGGTACACCCCATTGATTTATCGATAATTTTGTGGCTATTGGAGTGGCTATGGGCCTGGCTTGTATCATGTAGTTGGGACCTCTTCTCGAGTATAACCGAAATGGGACGCATTTGAAGACTGAACTACTTGGTGAAATACACTATCAACTTCAAATTTTTGTGAGACAACCACATGCCTGTTTAACAAAGCACGCTAGTCGATACTGTACAATGGCTTTGCCGATATTCAGCATGCCCTATTGATGATGCAATCAGTCTTATGGCCTCGGAGTTTGAATACATTATTATTATTATTATTATTAAATACGCCGTAGGCTCGAAGCCCCCGGTACCTCTACTAGTACTCCCGTATGTCAAACCGTGCCCTAATGGCTGGACTAAATACATACGCTGCGTCGTCGGTTCGCCCTATTGGCGACTGCGTTGCGTTCACTACCATACTACGTTGGTTCTCAACCTACCAACAAAGTCCCCCCTGAGAAGATCGATGCTATCTGGGCCTTGAAGCTGTCCGACCCGTCCCTAGCAGCCACCTTACAATAGTCCCACTAACTACTGGTTCTCCTGTTGCCGTTGCGAGGTCTCTGCGAGAGTATAGTGGCCGTGGTGCGATAGCGGCCCGTAATCGTTCCCTCGGTCCTTCCAACAGCCCGCAAAAGAGGATCACGTGCTCTGCCGTCTCAGGGGCGTCGCCACAGCGGCATAGCGGCGAGTACACGCCAAAAGCCCCTGTCTTGAATAAGAAGGCTGCTAGTCCTATTTTTTCCGTCCTGATCTGGCACAGCGTAGACGCTTCCAGTCGGTTCAGGCCGAAATACTTGTCCCCTTTCGGTATCTGCATCGAAGGGCCCTCCGGTTCCTCAGCGATAGCGCGTCGCTGGCGATCGTGATGCTCTGCTCCGGTGAGCCATCTCTTCCTCCAGTGGCCGAGGAGGGCAGCCGGGAAGTTTGAATACAAATCATTCCTGCTGAGCCACTCAGTTATGGTAGCAAAAGAATTCACATAAGGTTCAGATATAAGCCAGCTCAACGTAGTGAGCATGAGGACCTGCAGCTGGTTCATAGCTGTGTAGTAATGGGTAGTATTCGTTCCATTAGCGACGCCGTCGAAACTGGCCTTGAAGCCCCCACGACTCATCAAGTTCGGGCTCGGGACGTCGGTGCCGTTGACGATAACACTGGACGTGCTATTCCCTCCATTGACGTCGTACGTCGTTTCAATGAACCCTCCGTATTCAGGGCGGATGGGTCCTGTCGTGGAGTCAAACATGCTCGCCCACCCGGACAGCTCTGACCATGGAATCGTGGGCATTGTACAGTCTTTGTCACTGGTCTCATTGGATCCGTTTCCAATCGACTGCAGGGCCTTGACACGCGCCTGGCCGAGGACTGAGGTGCAGTTAACGCTGTTCGTGTCCTCCTCGGTGTAGGCGTGGCCACGTTGGCGAGATAGTCCATTCTGGAGAGAGTAGTGATGCAGAAAGGCTCTATGGAGCCTCCCAGGGCGTCTGACAGGTTGTCGCCGTCAGGCCAGGTGAAGTCGTAGACTGTGTTCACGACGTGGGGGTTAACGTAGGGGGTCAAATCACTCCATGGGATGTTTGCGCTGGGGACGAAGAAATCGGTTACGTTGACGCCTGGCCGCATGGATTAGTCATTACTTCAGCTAGTCCAGCGACATGCTTGACGCAAGGAACTTACGCCACGTCCATTTCGCATATTAGAAATCAGGATCATTGGAATACCAATCGAATGGTCTGAAAGTGATGGAGCGCGTTGCATTGGGGTTCTCGCTCGCTTGGCGAATTGTGTAAATGGTGGCATTGCTCGCGCTCCCCATTTGGGGAACTGAGGATCGACTCAACTCCGAGGAGCAAGGGAAGGAATCGGCGCGTACGCTTGCGGCCAGGGTGGCCAGGACAAAACTTCTCACCATGGTTGCTGTCATAAAGTGTAAAACAACCAAGATGGAATCCAGAGACATACGGGAGGTGCACGGTTTTATACAGGACATGGCAGGGCTGGTAAACCAAGTACCTTGTATTGACGTGTTGGTGACCAGGGCTTGTCCACTGGGTCATAGGTAATTACTGCTGCAATTACAACCATTATCACGCGCTCAAAGCCATTGGCCTTCCTGGAATGTGATGCAGAAAAAGGATCAATAAGTTAGGTATTGCTTAACTGACGTCGTGAGGACCCGTAGAACTCGGCCGCCAAGGCGCGACTGGTTATGCAAATTTAGCAGGCAACAGCGCCCTGTGATCAGCCTCGCAACCCTGCGGCACAACTTTCCATATGCAAAGGCACCTGCCCAGCAATGCCTCGATCGAAGCTAGCAAGCAACCTTAGCAATATCATCTTTACATCGTAATTCAATACTTACATGAATATTACACCCAAGCCCTCGCGTTCAGTCTCGAGGACAAGATAGTCGTTCCCGTTCAAGGCCTTATGCTAGAGTACCTTGTCCTAGAAACCAGCCAAGAAGCTCGATAAGGTGTGTGAGAGCTACCAGCCAAAACCCGCTGTGACGAAGTCCCCAATCGTTCAACATCCAAACAAACAACAAACGCGAAGGCGCGCTCCTTGCTTGTGACCTTCGGACTAGCCCGGCTCATATCTCAAGGCGCGGTTCCGCTAAAATGCCTCTAGACTCTGCAGAGTTGAGAGAAGTGCTCCCTAGCATACCGTTCGCAGTGATCCGCAGGCCTGCCAATGGCCCTCCCTATAATCTTCCACTTGTTCTCCTGGCGTTCCTTCACGGCATCATAGAGGGTCTCGACCTCTTTATTTGTGAATTGAACGGCATAGATTTCCTCCTGATCGTAGTCCGGCACAGCGGTTGTGTTTGGTTCAGTTGGCGGGACCGCAGCTGCCAACGTTTCCGCATTTGCGTTCCCAGGCCCAACCGTCGACATGCTGTACTTATGACCATCTTTGGTCAGTGTGGCGGAGTTCGCATTTTCGTTGGAAGCACCAACATGTCTGCTCTCTGGCGGCTCGTCAACAGGCATACTCCCAGCAAGGCGTCTTGGAAAGCGGGAGTTACCGTGTATTGGGCTCTGCGTCGGCTGATTGGCACCCCTGCTCGCAGCGGTAGCTGGTGTAAATGGAGTGATGTCGTAGTGTATCGGTTGCCCAACATTTACTCTAGTAGCAGCGGCTCGCAAAAACGCAGAATTATCGCATGGCTTGTCCTGCATGCGCTCGAGGACCTCGCGGCCAAGTTGATTTTCGGCTCGGAGTTGATTATTCTCGCTTCTTAGCCTCTCTACTTCCTGCCACAGTACCTGGTTATCATGTCGCAGCCATTCTATCTCGTTGCGTGGGTTGTTGTTTACCAGTTGTGGGTCCTGGCCCCTCGGTATCTGCATTTCTGGCTGCTGTCCCGCGTTGCCCATTGTTGGCCGTTGGTTGCCTGGCACCGGTACTGCGTTCTCAGCTCCCGACACGGGATTTCGTGTTTCCAGCACCCAATTCAGTTGGTATTCCTTATATTCCTTCGTATTCGATGGCTCGCCGCGGCTGACTTGTATCTCCAGATCTGTCGCCGCCGTGCGTTGTGGTGACTCTAGGCTGTCGCGCATAAACTCTCGAGCCGTCGCTCTTCTCAATGCCATGACGTCTGACTCCCGCATTTTCCTCCGCACCGATTCGTCCACATCTGCTATGTCCATCGCCTGCGCCTCCTCGGCCAGCATTGCCTTCTGTTGCATTCTGGCCTTTTTCCTTGCAACGTAACGGACATTGTTGGCAGCGTGGTCTTCGCCCTCGAGCAGGTTCCACCGCCGTTGCAATTGCCTTATGGTTCTGACCCCTTTTCTGAGTTTCATGCCGCGGGACAGCATGATGGTCTTGATCTGCTCGGCCGATTTGCCCTCTCTTGTCAATTGGGTGATTTGCTGATGGTGGGTGCGCTGGTCGCGACTTTCGAATGCGATCGGCTCCTGTTTGACTGCATCTGGGCCATGCGTTCGTTGGCGTTTGTTGTGCGGTCCCACGGGTTCCACCGGGTCGCCATAGAGTCTTGCACGGTCCTGCTGTTGTTGTTGGGTGTGTAGCGAGTTGTGCGGCTCGATGACGTGGGGGAAAGGAGAGAGGGAAGATGTCGACGTCGAGGGAGACAGCGCAGTAGAGCTGTCTGTCCAAATTGACATTTTTGCGGACTGGTAAGTTAGCAAAAAATTAACAACTCACTACATTGTGCAAAGAATTGATATATTGTGCGAACGATACACTTGTTGACGCGTTTTCGCGCGGATGCAGTATGCATCTTTGCCAATCGCGACCGGAATCATGATGCTTGTATTGTGGTCCCACGCTCTCTTGAGCCACCCTAAGCCACAAAGCTCAAGTGTAATAAGTACTTCTACTTACATACTTCAGAGTAAAATCGATAATTGAATACACAAAGTAAACACCATAAACAGTGCAGGTCCGATTTGCTATTAGACCAACATTGGTAGTAGTTAGCAATACCCAACTTCTTCGGTGTCGGCCAAAATGGTCCTGGCCAACGTTAGTCTCATCTTCGTGAGAGGAGCTTTCCATACTACTAGAAAGGTCGTGTGATTATAGCATAGTTATGTAACTGTTTTGCTTTGTGTTTCATCGCAAGAACCTTTCAGATCCCAAATAGGTCACTCTGTATACCTGTATGCTCTTAATTCAGCCAGGTTGATGCGTGCGTTGTCTGACAGATTTTATTGGGCATTCGAAACTTCATTGGCCATCCAATGCCAGGGCGATTCTGAGGACACAGGATATCATCACGTGGATATTTCTAAACATTGTCCTTGGCCAACTGTAGCATGTTGGCATCGGAACAAAGTGCGAATCAAAGCTCAGCCCCCCAAGTCTCTCCAGAAGTCTCTCCAGAAATCATGACCAAATTTAGACTGATAACCATAGACAAGTGGGGAAATGTTACTTATTTTCACTACTCCGCCTTTCCAGTCATGGATCAATACGGGACCGCGGAAGATCCGGTGATCCACAAACGCCAGCATATCTGAAATCAGTGAGGCAGATGTCCCGAGGGCCCACAACCTACTCAAGCACTCTTTTGATCATGACCAACCCCAAAGATCTACGTTCGAAGGCGAAGCAGGCTGTGGATGTAACCTCAGCGCCTGGCAATTAACATTATAACCAAGACCGAACGAAGCAGTAAACACACTACTGCTTAGGCCGGATAAATAGATATTTCCCCAAACTTGGTACAATTTCAAATAGGATATCACTACTAATATTTTGGCAGATGCTAAAGTGAGCAAAAGGAGGGATTCAGTCCTCTATTGATGACTCTGCGTAGATCCAGTGTTGATTGATCTATCTATCTGCTCTCTGTTCTGTTGTGTGTAGCTATTTTATCTACGAGGAAGGGTTTTGACCCCACTAGTGCAATTGCCGCTACACCACCTTCGGCCTAGGGCATAACCGTGGCGCTCAATCCCATACAAAACAGTCTAATTCAAAATGCGAATCTCTTCTTTGACAATCTCCATCTTCGTGAGTGGGCCGGTGTTGTTGCTGCCTTAGCGGGAGTAGCGGGAGTAGCGGGAGAGCGTAGTGTGGAAGTTTGGCGCAGCCAAGGAGGCTCGTGTCTCCCCGGCTAAAGCTGCTATAACCCACAATTAGCAACTATATATGCAGGGGCACTTGTCTTGATACCATTTTAGACCCAGAATTGCGACTCTAGATTATTAAAAATCCACACATTGCAACGTTACTAGCATCTATTGCCTGTCTGGCTTTTATTCTGACCTTAGTACTCACTGCTGAATAGAACTATCGCGTTACAACGGGGAATTGATACCGCCAAGGCCTTAGAAACTGGATGGATTCACTGCCACGCCCGGATCCTCCTTTCATTCGAGTTGATCCAACCAATTTTGATCTCATTTTGACTCTCAAGCACAGGTTCTGCGAAAGTTATATTGGTGATGTTAGTGGTAATAGGACTAACTCTCAAAGCCCGCGGCTACTGTAGTGGGGCCAGGCCGGACGTCAGGAAAGTAGGTGACGGGGGCCAGGGAGGACTCCCCTGTCTTCCACACTTCTTAAGGGACACGGAGATGACAGACAACTTTCAACAACTCGTCATCTCTTTTCATTATCTTATTCAATCAACTTGACTTTTGTTTTCTATTCTAGTTAGCTAGCCCTTCAATTATGCGGTTCATTCCTACGTGCACTTAGACACTACTTTCGAAATCCTATTATTCTGCCCTCATCCTAGCCTTGACAATGACAGAGGATTGTATATTGCTCTGATCAGAGCAATCTAGTGCTAGTGAGAGCTTCAATTCGACTTCCAGAGCCAGACGTCTTGTTCTGAGAATCATTCTGACGAGAGTCTCAGAGGCACATCCGACCAACTCCCGCACCAGACGTGTAAGAGCGAAGCTCTTACACCCAGTACCACGATCTTCGTCTGATCAGACCAACAGATGGGATCTGTTGGTACTGGAGCCGTCTGTTCAGTGTGTTAGGTAGTAGGTATATCCTACTGACCGCCTGACCCCGTTTCACTACGTGAAGACTTATTGGATTGTGGGCAAATGGTCTTGTATTGAAAGTGTCATTGTAACGAAACCTCCAATAGTCTAGCTGCGTAAACCACTAAAGAGTCTGTAAGGGTTTGTGCTAGTAAGTAAGTCCTGCTGCGGAGTCCTCAAGCAATAATATCGGGGTTTGACGTATGGAGTAGAGTGCTTTGGGTAACTGAAGTATTCAAGTAGGGTAATCGGGAATAGAGTCGTTAAGGCAGTTTGCCTCACCGATGGGTTAGATTGATGCTTAGATTGATCACTGAAGTAGAGACTGTCTATCTATGAAATGCCTGGGAGTCCTGTCCCTTATATATCCATCTCTCCTTCACTGATCTCGTTGGATCACTCCTATTCTTCGTGACCCTACCGGGGTGGCTCACTGGCTCACTGGGTGATGTCACGCCGTGCCAGGGGTTGCAATCCTTGCCACTACGCCACTGTACCAGGTGTCTTCACCAAAAGAGACCAATACTGTCACGACCTGGGTTGCATCGCATTGGTAGAGACCTCGATTAGGTGCTATCGACGAAGATTCTACTCTAAGGAGCGAAGGAAAGAAGATGACAACTTAGGTTTGAGGGAGCGCGACTAAGTCGTCCACGCTTGGCGGGGCTCCTACAAGGGTTATGATTGGCTTCCCATCTGGCACTGCCAAGGCAGGTGTTCCAGCTGTAAGCCACCTGGCTGTAGTGAGTCTGCGAGGGTTGACCTTCACAAATACCAAAGTCCCTGACTTTGGTATCTGCAACCACTTATCAATCTGTTCAGACCAGTGTGGGTCAATCACGTGACAACCGTCACAGGTGATCCAGTGATCCGTCACGTGACCTTCTCTAGTCGGTCCGTCCTTCTTCCGTTCCTATCTTCTATCCTTGTTTCCGGTCCTTTCCTGCAGGTATCCACCTAAGGCCTGCCAACGGGCCTATTCTGTGTTGGTTAGGAACGTGGTTCGTAACATATTAGTGTAAAGAAGACGTACGTAAAATTTCGTAATAATTAAATCGATATTAGTAAAGATAAAAGAGGTTAAAGTTAGAGGCTAGCGGTGTTAATAAGGCATTTTTAGGTGTCCTATATGTGGGTGTGGGACGTTACTAATATATCCTTAATGTTTCTTGTTAGCGATCGATCGTGAAAAGCGGCCCATAATTCCAAACCTAGCGACTACGGTGAAGGCGGCTATAAAACAGAGGAATGCAGATTGGTACGCGGATAAGGATAATTAGGAATGGGATGTGAAAGGTTGCACCAGGGGGGCTAACACATGCATTTTCTATATAACTAAGTCACAGCCACACTTAATTCTGCTAGGATCAACAGATAGCGGTACGCAAGAACATGTAAATAACAGCACATTTCGATGTCTGAGATCGAAGATCTTTAGAAATTACCTTAGGCACTAATGGAATTAGCTGCATCACCCCAGGTTACACGACATGCATTAGAGTGCCGACCTGCATCATGATATACGAGGGTAATTAGTAAGAAACTGTTGCTACCCTTTATTCACCTGGGCAAAAGCACAAGCTGGACTTGCTTGAAAACCAAAGGAATCGCTCATCAACTTGAAAGAAAATCTGCAAAAACAACATGGCATTGGGCCTTCTTCTTTCACTGGCCGTAGCCGTGGCTGCGCAAATCGACACCTTCTGCCCACCAGTCCCATTTCACGGCTTCCCAGACACTTGCCCATCTACGCCTACCAGAGGTCCAAATTCAACCATCGGTGTATGCACTCAAGATTTTGACATCATCGGATCGGGTCTGGAAGCCGTCCACGAGAGCATCCAAGCACCAACAGGACTCGCAGTGGACTCAACCCTGAACGTCTACCTGACCTACCCCCGCAACTCCGGTCCAACGCCCAAAAACGTCGTTCTAGCGACCAGCTTCACAGAAGAAGAACCCTGGCCATCTGCTGATATCCAGAACTGCACACCAAGCCAGAACATCTCGGAATGCTTCATCAACGTCCAGAACGTAGTGCTCGACTCTCTCGGCCAGATGTGGGTGATCGACTCGGGCATAGCTCCAGGCCAGAGTAGTGCGGTCCTGTTTGGCACCAAGGTCATGTCCTTCAATGTCACGACTCGGGAGTTGATCCGGACATATTTCATCCCCGAGTCCCTCTTATACGAGAATATGAACGCGAACGACCTGCGCATCAATAACACCCTTGGAACCAACGGATATGCCTTCATCACGGACGCATCGGCCGCGGGTTCGTTGATTACCATTAACCTCGACGATGGCAGCGCAAGCAGACGACTTTTCAATACTACGGTCACACGGGCAGATCGTAACTTCGTAGGCTCGTATAATGGCCGCCCTCTCTATGGTTGGAATGGGACGACGAAGTTATTTCCCAAAACAGGATCAGACGGCATTGCGCTGGCTTCTGGAAACGTGTACTGGGGTGTTCTTGCCTCTCGGCGATACTACTTCATTCTCCAGTCCACCTTGGTCGATGATACAATTTCGGACAAGGACATGCTGGACGCAGTGCAAGATCCGGGGCAGTTGGGCTCGGAGCAAGCTGGTTTCACAGCTGATGATAGAGGGCGAGTTTACATCATGGCCTCTGAGCATAACGCCATCTACTATGTGGACACCGTGCAGTCAGAAATGAGAGAAGAAGTCAATGGCGTTGCGCCCGGAGGATCGGGCTTAGTGGCTACGGAGAATTACATGGTCAAGACCTTGGTTCGGAGCGGGTTGATTCAGCATGCCGATTCAGCTGCTATAATGGATGGATGGCTGTACTTTTGCACGAACCAACTTGCACTGTCACCTGCGAGACAGTATAATAATGTGGATGCTAGAAAGGGGCCGTTCAGGAGCTACAGGACTCGGATCGGGAGAGGGCCCGCTGCTTGAAAAATCTAGCTTCGAGCGACTGACATCCAAAATGAAATAGGTTCAGTCTCTGATACTGGTGCCAGTTACGCTCTAGAGTAAGCCTGTGGCAAATGAGCAGACGATATTCCTAGATCTTGAACAAGTTTAGTCTGTAGGCCGTTTAAGGTTGTTCCTATCACACGTTAATATACGTAGTGGTTAGATACCCCATATAAGTAAGTTCAATATATATATATTGACGACGGGCAGTTAAGCCACCCGCAGGTTCAAGGTTTTGTGATGATAGCAACGAATAACAAGATCGAAGCTCTCTTGCTCCGATCAGAATAACAAGTACCTCAACAGGTCCTTGAACAATCACCTCAACAGGTGATAGATGGGAACAATGGCCTCAGCAGGCACAATCAGATTTATAGGGGCAACAAAAGCACCTCAACAGGTACGTCAGACAATAAATTCCTCTCCAAGTAAAGAGAATTGATTCAGATTACCGTGGGAAAGGCCGCTTGATTTCCTATCCTTTTCTCAAGAGAGTGACTATATACACAGGGTCTTGAATACCCTTAAGAATACGCTTAGATAATTCGTCTGAATATAAAAAAACGAAAAATAACACCCAAAAACCCTTAACGTAGTCCACAAGCGAACGGGTCACGCCAACTAGCAAAACATGGAATTCAACACGATTTCGCAACCACAACGCCGTAAATCAATTAAAACTACTCAGAATACTCTTGACCAGATAATTCTATCTCTACCTGACAGGTTCGCGCATTATGCCCGGTCTTCCCGCATACGCCACAGCGCCGTTGCCGTGGCTGGCCGCGATTTGATCCAGCGCTATTTCCACGCATTTCCTGCTGTACTTGCTGCGCAACGTCCTTTTGATCTTGAAGATCTTGTACGCCTTGTGAATTAAGTGATCCTCCAAGCCGTACTCGTGTTTTTTTGGCCCTGCGCCGCTTGCTAATTAGAGCATTTGCCTCTCGAAGTTCGGCGACCTCAGCTTGGAGTAAAGCCATCTTATGCATAATACTCCGCGCTCCTTTCGAAAACTGATCGATAGCATCGTAAATTGACGTCGGGGAGCTATTTTGATGCCTGGAAATTCGATATTTAATAAATTCGGATTGCGAAGTAGCCTCGGTTGGGTTGTTTGGCGTCCGAGAAGCCCAAGGAAGGGTTTCCCGCGTAGGGGGCCGGGAGGACGTTGGAGTCTGTAATTTCACATCCAGCTTCTCAATAATAATATCTGGGCTTAAAGGCACAAGCCCAGCCCCTTGAAAGCCTGCACGAATATTGCTTTCGGTCAGGCTCTTCTTGAACGCGTCGCAAAATGCCGGAAGAAAGTCCTCCTTTGTGATATGCGAAATCCGGGCTCGGACAAGCTTCTCAATTTGCGAGCCGTAGGCCTTTTTTAACGGCGCAAAACATGCCACATCTAGTGGCTGGAGGATATGAGAAGAGTGGGCAGGCATACAAAGTGTAATAATCTTGTTCTCTTTGCAATATTGCTCAAAGGCGTCGGAATGGTGGCTTTCGTGGCCGTCCAGGATAAGAAGGCGATATACACCCGATTTCCGGCCTTTGGTGTATTTGTCAAAGTGTTTTAGCTAATCTGCGGTCAATTCGTTCGTATTCCAACCATTTGGGCTCACGGCGATCCTCCAGTCCTTCGGCAACGCGTAGTTTTCGTACCAGGAAGAGAGGTGGTATTGGCCCTTGACAATGATGTATGGCGGGACCGTCCAGCCTTGGGAATTGACGCCCTGGATCACCGTAGCCTATTCCCGATTGCTAGTCTGGGCTAGCTTAGTCTTACCTTTCCTTTCAGAGCTCGTAATAACCATCGATGCGGTAATCTGACCTATCATAAAGCCGGTCTCGTCGAAATTGTAGATGTCGGTATCGGCGATCCCATATTTCGCAATTGTACTGCGCACAAGGTCAAACCAGCCTTGAATAAGCTCTGGATCTTCGCATAAGGCCCGAGAATAGTTGTGTTTACGGCTAAATACCGTCTTGAGCTGTGGTTGTCGCTTAACGAAGTTGGAGGCCCAGTTCTTGCCGACGCGTAACGCGTCGCGGTTGCGTAGCAGTCGGTTTGCCATATCTTCAACAGCACTTAGCCGGGGAGGAAATGCTTGCGAATCTAGCTCAATTATCCTTTGAATAATAGTATTTTATTCTAGTTTTGTTAAATTCCGAGCGTTAGCTTCGATATTGCGACGTGATTGACGTTTTTGAAGACGCGCCTGGAGAGTAGTATTCGAGACTTTGTAGATTGTTGCAGCACGTCGGATACTAAGTGTTAAGTCATTTCTGATAGCCTGAGTTGCAAGGAGGAATTGAGATTCTTTTTGAGCAGAATCCATCGAGAATTAGTTGCATGGTAAAGTTAGGAAGTTTAGTTCTATTTTTTGCTATGGGCGTGACCCATGCGGTTGGGTGACCCGTTCGCTTGTGGACTACGTTACTATTAGGGACTAGTAGTTTTAGGAGGGGAAGTAATTATAAGGATAAGGAATAGTGTAGCTGTGTAGCTGTGTGGCTGAAGCCGCCGAGCGATCGGATAACTGTCGGAGATTGAGCTTCTTAAAAGGGGCCAAACGCGTAACACTTAGCTCGGCAGATAGAAGTTAATAAAACATCTCACTTCTTGGAATTAACTTCCATGATAGCCTACACATAGTCACCTTCCCTAGCACCCAGCCGCACCTATCTTTATAGTCTCGAAGTATTTCTCGGCCTAGGCCCTTAGTTTCCCGGGATTGGCTTTGATTCTATCGAGCATACAGCTTCGGGGCCGGGACGAGGCGGCTTCTAAGGTCGCTCCACCTGTCAGGTGGCGGCGCGTCATGGTAGACGACACCACCGTCATGTTAGCGATGGTAAGGTAGAATAAGTCGAGACGAAAGGAAGGGAGAGAGAAGTTTTGGAGAGTGATATATGAGTACGGGGAAAGGGAAGTGTCGAATGGTGATATATGAGGACTAGGACGGCGAGAGGCGACGAGAGGGCGACGACGGCGGCGGCTTTTAAATAAATTAGTTCTCGTTTCTTCTTCCCTTTGGAGGGAGTTGAGGACAAGGTGGCGCAAGCAGGGCTACAAAGGCCCCCAGCAGGGCTCTGGGCCGGCGAGCGCGTAGATTCCATCACCAATGACCAGCCCCAGAGCTAACAGCGGCCGGCCAGCGAAGGTAGGCTGTAGAAGAGACCTCTCTGGTCTTCGTAAACCCTGCTCATTATTCCGTCGTGGCCCAGGGCGAAGCGTGATGGGGGAGGGGTGGCGACAAAGAATAAGCAAGACAAGATCCCGGTGAGTAGGGGGGGGGGAGGGGTGTTATAGCCCAGAGGTACTCCGGAGCCAGGTGCGTTGGAGTCGGGCGGCCAAGCGGGTCAGGCATGGTTAAGTAGAGCGCGTACGAGGTCGTCGACGTTTTCCTCTTTTAGAATGGAAAGCATCGCTTCTTACAAGCACTCTGGGACTTTATGACTCTCGTAGAGAAATTTCCGATGTTCTTGATCATGTTTCCGTATGTGTCCGTGAGACAGATCCCACTGCAATTGGCGACCGCAGGAGCGCATGCTCGAGGGCAGGGATGACGTAAAGAAATGGAGCCGATGGAATATGACATTGGGCCTGTCAGGTTCCTGCAGCACTGAAATAGTTAGCCTTCTGTGCATGAACACGGATCTTTCAGGGATGTCTGACATGAACTCTCGGTTGTGTCTCAGCGATCTTGCATCTACCGAGTGATCCACAGGACTCTGCACTGGAGCCAAAGACAATGCTCAACATGTTGGACAATGACAGGCAAATGACTATGAGTGATTCTGTTTTTTTGTCACGTCTCTAGGCAACCGCTAGAGCAAGCTTCTAATTTTCTTTTGCGCCAACTTCGCCGCGACTGAAGGCAAATACCGCATCTACGTAGTGTATTGAAGCATAGAGTTGGCATACTATCGGAACTTACCATTGGAGCATGATTATGGCCTAATCATTGTAGTCTGGGTGGATGTGACGGTAATGGATATGCCTGGAGATGACATGACATTGAATGTGACGTGCCAGTCAAAGAGTACTCAAATCAAGTACGGAACGATCAACACAGCAAGGAAGCTGTTCGTCGGCACAGGGGTCCGGCCAGACCAACTTTAGTTGCAGATCTTATTTGGCATGTGCAGCCTGTATGTCTAACTAGGAATAGAAGGAGAAAACACCAAAAACTGGAAATATCTAGAATTAAACTTGAGCCCTTCGAGATTCAAGCAAAGAATTACCTAACAACATCAAGCCACCAAAAGAAGAGCTCCTGAATTGTCTGCACACACTGCCCCGCCATCGACTCCAACTATCGCACCTTGAATTCGCCCTATCCGCCAGATGCCTTAGGAGATGTTGTATGCATCACTTTGGCCGTTAACCAGTTGGAATTGACTTGAATTTCTTTGGAGACTAAGGGCACGGTTATACGGGTCGCGGCCATGGCTAAAGAGGGTTAACGGCGGGAACACTGTTCATGGCTTGATTAGACAAACGAGATTTCCACGAGAGAATCTCGTGTGAGCCTACTAAGTCATAATTACTTCAATTGGTGATTAAAACGGATCTTCTGACACATCTAAACTTCTGCCCAAACCCGCGGCCAAACCCAGACCCAGCGCTCCAATCTACATGATTGGCATGCCACCCGGAAGTTCTGTGAGCCAACCGTCCAGGTTCTCATTGACCTCTGGCTTGATGGTACACTGATTCGCTTGATCTAGCGACTGCACCTGAAGTGTTGGGCAGTTGATCTGGTTAGCGAAAAGATCGCTGTTGCAGTTGTTGTCCATCGCCCTCTGCAGCGCATCGCCCTTCCAGCCAAAGACATAATCGCCATGGATACCATAACCCGTGTTATCACCAAATGACCAAACGAAAGGCTGAGAGCCGTCGGTGGGCCAGATGTTCTTATCGTTGAATGGCCTTGTATCCCAGTAGGTCTCGTAAAACACCTGAGGGACGACCACAGGATGCGTTGACGGGCAGGCATTTCCATTCGGATAGGCGACGTGGCTCTGGTGGTCGGGACTATCGGTATTCTTCCCATCCCAGCACGTCGGAAACCGGATGCTGACCATGATGCCCGCGGCACAGGTCGAAGTGGGGAAGTTGAGGGTTTGCCCACCGCGCGTCATGGACGACGCCAGGCAGGTGAAGTCCATGTACTTGTACTTTGCGTTGAGCTGGGCCGCGGTGCGGAACGTGGGGTCGCCGACGGTCATGCGGAAGCCGGGCTTGAAGGCGGTTACTTTGCCTGAGGAGAGGTAGTACACAGTTTGGCCGCCTTTGGCGGACGTGAAGCCAAGTTCATTGCCAAAGGTGTTGACGCGCTTGAAGGTTCCGTTGCGCGCACTAGTGGAAACGTAGTCAGCAAACTGTCGTTGTTTATAATCAGAGCCTGCCTGGGAATTGGTCTCAAGACCAGTGCTCAACCCTGCGTTGCAGAAATAATGGAGAAGAGTAGTATATGCCAACATACCGGAAGAATAAAGTAGCAGTCCAGTAGTTGGAAAAGTCCTCAACCGGTGTGCAAGAAGTACACGTCGCGGTAGTCGGGAGGTCGTGTACAGCAGGGTCCATGGTCGTATTGAATGCATTTCCTCCAACAACTTGGTGGAGATGGGGCGAGGGGTTCATGCCGGGGTTGACCAGTCTGGATGAAGATAGTGAGCACAGCCCCTATTTATTCATCAATAGCCGTCCTAGGTTGACTTACGGATCTAGACGATCAACAACGAGTTGCGAGCACGAGAACCGAAGTGTCGCAGCCGCATCGACGCTAGGCGCGATGGCCGCCGCGGCTAGGACAAGTGGTCTCCAAAGCATGTTGGGCTTGACTGGCAGCTGATGATAGTTGCGTCTTAGGATTCAGATTCGTCACAGGTAGAAAAGCGTGCCAAGGTCGACGATGAGCGGAGCGGCATGTGTAGAGAATAAATAATCATCAGACCGCTCTAAGTATCATATGCCGTTCTCCCGAGACTGGGAGATCCCAAGTGCCGACATGACCACCAGTACCAAGTCATGTGTCCTCGGTCCTATAGCGGTCTTTCTGGAATCTAGGGCGTATAGCAGGGGTCAAATATTCCAAGGACCCAGTCCTATGAAAGTATTGTCAAATCGTTGCAAGTTATGATATAGCGGGTGAATCTTGGTGGCCAATTATCCAGATTGCATTCAGCCGAGAGATGAGCGTAGGCGTCCTATGTGAACGAAACCCTTGTCATGACCACGTCGGCAAATCTACCGTAGATCACTTATTCTAGAACCCTAGCTTAGGTTACACGTAAGACGACGGAAAAGGATTAGACGTCGAAACGCGGGGATACAGTTCCCGTAGGTATACAGAATAGGTGTTGCGTTCATGAAAGTGATAAATGCAACTAGTGGGAACTATTGATGGCGCCCGCCTTCTCTTGCGAGCGCTCAAGTGTGGTACAGGTCATGAGCCATTTCATCAACCTGGTTGAGAAGGCATATCAATTTGGAGACTTGGTTGCCAAGTGGTTGCCAACCTAAGGGCTCCCCATTTTTAGTAATTTGCACGTGCTAGAGGCCCCTACTAGCCCTGTAGGAACTTTAGCTATCATCTCGGCGGTACTCTGGCGCTCAAGTCACCGAATTCTACGGAATCCGAATAAAATTAGCTACTTCAAGCTCGACAACGCGGGAAATGACCATATAGCGGTCAATGGCTTGGCTAACAGCTCGGTTGCGATGGACGGCGCCGGCATGCTAGTAGGTTAGGGCGCCGGCGAGGTTGACGATGATCTCATTTCCGGCTAGTTATGGCAGCCACCTTGACAATCAGTCAACCCAACCCAATGTGCATGGCCGGTTGATCAACCCAAGGGAAGGGGATGGTGAGGTTGGTTGGATTGACCCGTGGCTTGCTTGCATGTTCCTCAATAGTGATCTCCTTTTGTAATGTTGAGAACGCCGGAGGATACACTTGGCGAAGAGTTAAGCTTATGGAGGATTTAAGGGTCATACTTACTCTCAAGTATAAAAGAGATGAGAACTTCGACTTCAGGAGTGATTGGGAGAGAAATTCAGATTAGGTACTTAGGGACGGTGGCGTCCTCAAAGAACCATGATATAAATTAACTCAGGTTTGTTATTCATGAAGCATTGCCATTTTATCGTTCAATATTGCATATATTCTACGGGATGGACCACCGGGTAATGCCGTATACTAGCAGTTCCTAGATCGAGCGCCCGAATATGATGCCACTTAGCGACAGTGTCAATGACATTTTTAGGTGACGTTTCCAACTTCGTCTGATGGAGGATGATAAGCAAGAAGAATTGCTTGCGGCCTGCCTCATTTGCTCGGGCATGACACTTGTGCTTATTCGCGTGTATGCATGAGTTCATATACACTACGGCGTGGCTTGGTATTTCAAAGTCTAAAATCCTATAGGATGTTATGATAGGGCAATGAACAGGTGTGGGGAAGATTTTCGGCCGATCAGGTCTTTCGGGATAGGGCTGTAGATGAGAAGTGTCACGGCGTTATCGATGCACCTTAATCGCAAGTCGCAACGGTCTCAACGGTCTGGCTCTCTTTGTCTTCTCGAAAAATACATGAGATCCCTAAGGCTTGAGCTAAACATAGTTAACAACTTGCTCTCGAGTTTGAGCCCCTATCTTTACTGTTCAGATCCTGATCATTTTGATTCACGTTTAGGACCTGAAACAATGGCCCACGAAAAAGATAAACCGAGTCACAGGGGAACTGGACGCGACGAAAAAGCATGAAAGAAGTTCTTTTCAACAAAATGTCAAATGAATCGGTCTTTCCGCATAGTGCATTTAGCCAGGTCGATGAAACGATCCGTCGAGTTATGGTAGAGGCGCTTAGGGGCACATTCCACGAGTCGGGTTACTCGGAGGTATCGGTGAGAGATCTTAGCCGTAATCAACCCGAGTTAAGGACCACATGACGGCGATCAGAGACTCTGCCATGGCGAGTTAGATGGTGAAGAATACTCAATTGAGTATGCATTCGTCTGAAACAATCCGTTGTTCTCTTTTGTTTTGCAGATGTAGAGCAAGTGTAACTACTATAATTAACTTGCATGAAGGGCATCTCTCACAGACACAATGATAAGCAACCTTTGTGACGAATCTAAAATACTTCGGGCCATCACCCCCAGAACACGATAATCCGTCCAAAGGTTTTGATCAAACACGCTTTTATCTATTTGAGAGTTTGGGGACGAAGAGGGAACAGAACAGTGCATAGAGGGCGCAAAGAGAGGAGTAAGCAATACCGGAGAACTTACTTGCTGAGTTCGCGCTCAGTGTGGCTTGCCAGGTTGGGGCTGACTGAGAATGGACGATGGAGCTGTGAATTGCATGAGAGCACGGGAACGGCATTGTTGAAACCCACCGTGTTGCCGCGGGATTGCGACTGAATCGCAAGGTGCTATCCATAATACTGCGGCTTGATATGCAGCGGGACCGCCAATCGTCCAAACGCCACGCCCACATTCTCACACCGGAGCGACGAAACTCCATCTTGCCTTGCTTTTGGTGGACCAGCACAGGTGTTGTTGATCTGAAGAGCAACTTCTCTCGTCCCTAAGGAAAACTTTGATCTGGCTGTGCCGGTTTGAGTTAAAAAACTCCAGTTTCAAGTATGCTTGATTTGGGTCAATCAAGCTTTGAATGCCTGCGTGGATCATTGACTAATTTTGATGCCATTGTTACAGGTTTTGGCAGTGGGGCCAGATTGGATGACGCCTCAACGCTTCCAGCGTCTCGATGCTCAATCAGTGCCGTCTTGTCGACTCATTACATCGGACGATCTACAATCCGGCAGGGGTCGCAACATGGGGACCGGGATTGGCCCATAACGTACAACCCCACCTTTCCGGCCACCCACCATTCTGGCCACATATTGCAATCCAATTGAAGGTATTCGAAACAGTGTATTCAACGTACTATTATAGCTATTCAGGTACAACCAGCTCTAACAGAAAGCTGTGCTCTAGGGCTTCCTGAGGTATAGATCTGATAGATTCTGACGCCTTAGCTGGGTCCAGCATTACCTGATTCCGACGTTGTACCTAGTCTCGTTGCCGTTCTACTTCAAGGGCTCGATCCATCGCTTCCTTAATCTGTACAATGTTACCAAATCGTTCATTAGGCCCTAATCGTACCTTCTTACGTGGTTTGGGGCGTAACGAAGTTATAGGGTAGAGCGTGGAACGCCCCATCGGAGGGAAGCCTGGCGCTGGGATATCCCTTGATTGATATCGTTGAGAGCGCCTTGAATCGAAATTTTCTGAATATCGAGGCATTGTATAATAATAGCCAATACCGACGATAATCTGTTGTGCCGAAGGTTGTTGTAGCTGGCAGATCAGGTGGCCAGAAAGGTGGGTGGGTACGTTACCCCCGGCCATAGTAAGACACTGTTTTCGAGATTGGAGAGGCTCTACGCAGGTCAGACAGTTCACACAGACCAACAAGAGGCGATTGTGTCAGCCCGTGTCGGGATTTTCTACATAAAGTATTGGAGTATTCCGCTTCAATATAACATGCTTTGCTATGATTCCAACTGCAAATTAGCCAATCTACGAGACCCTAAGCGCCGTACACGAGTCAAGACAGGTCCCAAAATTCTGCTTAGGTCTATCCTAAACGAGATCTTGGCGGCTGAAACCCGCCTGCCACCCGATCTACTACAGGGAACCACAACCCTCGCCGCGTGGCATCTCCGTCACCGAGATTTAGATTGAGGATAGCGAGTCCCCAGCGCTTTTGAACTGAGGCTCCAAACCCCACGTTTCCTCGGCACTTACGCACATGCCTTATCTGGTCTGCTGTTCTTTTGAGTAATGTATTAATTTCTTAACTATATCAACATTTGATCATGATTTGGTTGTGCAGTCTTCTCCTTCTCCGAGCGATAGTACACAACGATGTCTCCGCGCAATTCGTCTCGCCGCCCGACGGCTTCACCGAGACGACGGGCTACGCTGGTGTTCCGGTGCGGTACAAGGAGGTCCCAGCCGGCATTTGCGAGCTGGATCCGGAGGTGAAGAGTTTTTCGGGATACGCCGATGTAGGGGAGGATCAACACATATTCTGGTGGTTTTTTGAGGCGCGGAACGAGGAGCCTTCAGAGGCGCCGTTGACAGTGTGGTAAGTTCTCTTCACCGGATTGTCGTCGAAATGCGTCCCTAATGATGCGGTGCAGGATAAATGGCGGCCCAGGCTCCAGTTCCATGATCGGCCTATTCCAAGAACTGGGACCTTGCGGCATAGACTACTACGGTCGTGTCTACAACAACCCGTACTCGTGGACCAACGCCAGCAACATGCTCTTCATTGACCAGCCGAGCCAAGTAGGGTTCTCTTACACCAAGCCAGTTCCGGGCTATAGGCTGAATGACGACATTATAGAGCTTCCGGACAGTCACTGTCCCGACTTTGTCTCCGAACGCTCGTCATGTGGGACTTATTCATATCCCAACTTGACGCTCACGGCCAACTCGACGCTGAACGCCGCGCCCAACTTCTGGAAGACATTGCAGGGATTTATGGGTGCATTCCCGCAGTACTCGAGAAACGGATTTAACCTTGCGACTGAGAGTTATGGTGGACACTACGGCCCTGTGTTCAGCGCCTACATCGAGCGCCAGAATGCTCTCGATATTCCAGGAACAAAACAAATCAAGCTCGAGACATTACTTGTCGGCAATGGCTGGTAATTACCCCTTTTCAACCCACGAATCTCCTAACTCTGACCCGCCTACTAAACTGCACCAGGTTCGACCCCATCGTTCACTACCAAGCCTTCTACAACTTCACCGTCTCCCCTGGAAACACCTACGACTACCGCCCCTTCACCCCGGCCCAAGAAGCCCTCCTCTACACCAACCTCTACGGCCCAGGCCACTGCCTCGACCAGCTCAAAGACTGCAAGCTTAGCGGTCTTGACGCCATCTGCTCCCAAGCTGACAGCTTCTGCGCCAACCAGGTCGAGGATCTCTACACCAACTTCCTTGGCCGAGACCCCTACGACGTGCGCGAACTGACCCCGGACCCGTTTCCGTATTCGTTCTATATCGACTATCTTAACACGGCCGAAGTGCAGGCGGCCATTGGTGCGTACACCAATTTCTCTAGCAACGACGCCGCGTGGGCTGCCTTCCAGAACACGGGCGATGATGCGCGGGACGTAGATACCGTAGAAGACATCCGGTACTTGCTTTCGCACAATGCCACGGTGGCTATCTATGCTGGTGATGCGGATTTCAACTGCAATTGGCTGGGCGGCGAAGCTGTTGCCGAAGAGATCCTGGCTGCTGGGTTCGAATCGGCCGGATACACGGACTTGCTCACGAGCGATGGCCTGGTGCACGGGCAGGTCAAGCAAGCGGGCAGGTTCAGTTTCACACGGATTTATGAGAGTGGGCACATGGTACCGTTCTACAAGCCCCTTGCGGCGCTCGAGTTGTTTGGCCGCGCCATTAGGGGATTGGATCTCGAAACGGGGAAGGAGGAAGTCATGGGAGATGGCTATTTGACGAAAGGTTCGGAGAGGAGTACGTATCGCGAGGGCAATGCGACGATGCAATGGAAAGTGGTGCCGGAGAACGCGACGTATGATGCGGATAAGAATAGACCGGGTGAGGCGTGGGAGAAGCCGAAATTCGATAGGCCCACGCAGGAGATTCTGTATAGGCCGTATCCTTATCAGAAGTGGGGCTAATGAGTGATAGAATATTATGTAATAATTAATGATACATCAAACCCGAAGACAGTCTCACACTGCGGATACCCAGGGCACAGCTTCAGAGCAAGGCATCACCAATCACGAGCAAGAAAAGAAGCAAATAACAGTCAAAAAGACTCAAAGCACCAAAACATACAACACCAGGGATTCGCTGGTGGTCACCCACCCAACTACTAATCTGGCGGTTTGCAGCTTGTCTATGGGAGAGCGGACGGGATCCCGAATTCTCTGCAGCCTATGGTCGTATGTGTTAAGATATGGTGTTAGTGAAGCTTATGTAGGACTCTAGAGCCTCCCTTGAGCTCGGATAGCAACACCTAGAACAAGGGCGATAAGACATCCAAGTACAGCTAAAATCAATTATACCACAAAACATAACGTTAGGACTGAGGATAAGGACTCTAGCGAGACCAAAAATAGCTACGGATATTCATAATATCTAGCATACGGCCGAGGGCAAAAGCATAGCAAAAACATACAACACCAGGGATTCGCTGGTGGTCACCCACCCAACTACTAATCTAGCGGTTTGCAGCTTATCTATGGGAGAGCGGACGGGATCCCGAGTTCTCTGCAGCCTATGGTCGTATGTGTTAAGAACGGGTTGTAGAGTAGATTAAGTAGGCAAAGAAAAACATACAAACTACGGATTCACTGGTGGCCACCCACCTAACTACTAATCTAGCGGTTTACACTCTTGTATTCGGGAATACCGGTGTCCAGAAGTGGATGCTTCCAACATCAGAAGTGGCAGTGGATATTCCCGAGGCAACACCTCCATCAGATCTCTAAAAACGGAGAATGATTGAAAACGGAAAAGAGTACCGTCTTGGAACACTTATCTTAGAGCACCATGTCAGTCCTCCTTATTCAAGAGGCACTTTCTTTATAAGCTGAAGTAAGTACCTCGTGTACGTCACGGTAGTGCTAACATAAGAATTCATCGTGGATGTAAGGCGGGAGGACCACGTATGTTTACATATTTGCGCTCACAGCATAACTATGATTACCCTGGGTAAGAGTCTAATATAGGAGCGACCAGCAGAATTTGAAGTGTTCAAGTTTGATAGGTAAATTCGCATATATTCACAATGCTTCAGCAGATGTGCGTTTCTGTAATTTTATGCCCTTGTCTTGAAACCCTGATGCCTGGGTCTATACACACTTGAGTCCATATATATGCTGGATACAGCCCACAGGGTTACCTAACAAGGTTTGTGGAGGTCTATGGGGGCTTGACACGGATCCGATAAATCAAGTAGCATCTTCTGGATACCCAATTCTGGCGTAACGCGCGATACGATTAGCGCCGAGACCCTGGCTGATACTAGCCAATAGTACATCAGCAGTTAGCCTCGACAATCTCGATACTTCAAGAGATATATCCACACGTTTCGCGAGTTATCTACCCCAATGATCCCACACTCTACGTGCTATCGGCAGGCGAGAGCCGACTTTATATATTCCTTGTGGAAGCACGAATATCATGAAAAGCACTTATTTGGTTGGCCAGCCATGTTGCATTACATACGTAATGTGATTGTACGTGCATGTCTCGCATGGCGCCTGGCATCGACGATGAGCCTAGATTGGTTGAATAATTTCTTGAAGAGCTGTGTATATACACGTGTGGCGACCGTTATGATGATGATGTTGACTTCGTGCGTTGCGACAACCCATAAAAAGAAGGTCATACTGTTAAGCGGTCACCCATGGGTTCTATGAGGGAAAATGGGAAATCTGGCTGGTATGACTGCAAAACCCGTAGCTTCATATGCCAAATTTTCCATCTCGATCTGTCCTTTGTATCTCAGTACTGACCGCGTTGAGCCTGCTGGCGTCGATATGTTGCGAACCGTTGGATCCATGGGCTCGTTGGCAGGCCCAAGGACAGAAAGGACCAAGTTACATGATAGATCATCAGGCTCAGGTGAGTCGAGGTGATCTATGCACATCAATCAGGATACGTATATTCGTAGTAAATTTCCTAGCTAAACAGTGCTTATGATGCGAGTGCATATGGGGTGTGAATTGTTGTATTGGGAAAGGATGCCAGGTCAGCTATTCTGGCCTGGCAGAGCTCTTTTATACCTCTTATCTATCTTATCTATAGCTATAGGGTAACCCCCATGGGGTCACGTATCAGCTTACCTACAAATGTAAGCATTTAACCCACAGACGAGACTTCTACTTTCAAAGGCTCTATGGTGAATATCTCCCTACATGCTACACAAGTAAAGTAATTCCATTGGATTGTGCGAAGACTGTTAGTTACGCAATGTAGACCCTGAACACTGACATGTTCTTTGTAATATCCAGGGTTATCCTTTGCTGTTATTCATTTGCATCACCTATATAACGAAACCTCTAATAGTCTAGCTGCGTAAACCACTAAAGAGTCTGTAAGGGTTTGTGCTAGTAAGTAAGTCCTGCTGCGGAGTCCTCAAGCAATAATATCGGGGTTTGACGTATGGAGTATAGGGCTCTGGGTAACTGAAGTATTCAAGTAGGGTAACTGGGAATAGAGTCGTCAAGGCAGTTTGCCTCACCAATGGGTTAGATTGATGCTTAGATTGATCACTGAAGTAGAGACTGTCTATCTATGAAATGCCTGGGAGTCCTGTCCCTTATATATCCAAATGATCCAGAAGAAATAAGAGGGAATGGATATGTTGGACAACCAACATATCCAAGTGGGGATCAGTGAAGGAGAGATGGGTATATAAGGGACAGGACTCCCAGAAATTTCATAGATAGACAGTCTCTACTTCAGTGATCAATCTAAGCATCAATCTAACCCATTGGTGAGGCAAACTGCCTTGACGACTCTATTCCCAGTTACCCTACTTGAATACTTCAGTTACCCAGAGCCCTATACTCCATACGTCAAACCCCGATATTATTGCTTGAGGACTCCGCAGCAGGACTTACTTACTAGCACAAACCCTTACAGACTCTTTAGTGGTTTACGCAGCTAGACTATTAGAGGTTTCGTTACAGAAACCACCCGCAGGTTTAAGGTGTAAGATGATGACAACGGACAACAAGATCCTCAACAAGACCTTACTATCCGGGAGGTGGAAAGAAATAACAAGATCAAGAGCTCTTCTAGCTCTGATCAGAACAACAAGTACCTCAACAGGTACGAACAACTAGAGCCTCAGGAGGCTAGGGAAGAAAAGGAACCTCAACAGGCCCTTGAACAGTCACCTCAACAGGTGAAAGATGGGAACAATGGCCTCAGCAGGCACAATCAGATCTATAGGGGAACAGAAAGTACCTCAACAGGTACGTCAGACATTGAATGCCTGTCCAAGTAAAGAGAAATTGGATCAGATTACCGTGGAAAAGGCCGCTTGAATTCCTATCTTTTTCTCAAGAGAGTGACTATGTACATAAGGTCTTAAATACTGTAGTGGGGTCAGGCCGGACGTCAGGAAAATAGGTGACGGGGGCCAGGGAGGACTCCCCTGTCTTCCACACTTCTTAAGGGACACGGAGATGACAGACGACTTTCAACAACTCATCATCTTTTTTTTATCATCTTATTCAATCAACTTGACTTTTGTTTTCGATTCTAGTTAGCGAGATCTTCAATCATGCGGTTCTTTTCTATATGCATTTAGACACTACTTTCGAAATCCTATTATTCTGCCCTCATCCTAGCCTTGATAATGACAGAGGATTGTATCTTGCTCTGATCAGAGCAATCTAGTGCCAGCGAGAGCTTCAATTCGACTTCCAGAGCCAGACGTCTTGTTCTGAGAACCATTCCGACGAGAGTCTCAGAGGCACATCCGACCAACTCGCGCACCAGACGTATAAGAGCGAAGCTCTTATAACAAGTACCACGACCTTCGTCTGATAAGACCAACAGATGGGATCTGTTGGTACTGGAGCCGTCTGTTCAGTGTGTTAGGTGGTAGGTATATCCTACTGACCGCCTGACCCCGTTTCAATACCCTTCAAGAACGCGCTTACATAACTCGTCTGAAACCGGAAAAAACGAAAACGAGCACCCAAAAACCCTAACCCCACGTCAATATCCGGGCAGGTTTCAGGGAGACAGGACTTATTCCGTACGACCCGGAATATGTGATTTCACAGCTGGATATTAAGCTACATACGCCTACACCTCCTGGGAGCTCGTCTGGCGCCCCCTTAATCTGGGAATCCAAAACTCCAAATAACCCAACCGAGGCGCAATCCCAGTCTGAATACGTTAAAAACAGAATCTTATAGCATCAGAATAGCTCCCCGACGACAATACTTACGGCTATTGACCAATTTTCACGTGGTGCGACGGCTGTTATGCATCGGTTAGTTTTACTTGAGGATGAGGTTACTACACTTCGGAAGGCCAATCAAGAGCTAAGCCGTCGTCGAAGGACTCAAAATCGACAGCTACAAGTTGGAGGATCTCTTAGTTTACGAGACGCTCAGAGCGCACGTGCCCCCTGCAAAAACACCGGTCCCCTATCGTTTGTATGTTTTGGGGCTGGAACGTTCCCCGGTTACAACCCCAGTATCTGACATACTGAGTAAGGCATGTTTGACACATAAAACCAGGGGTGGAAACTCCTAGGACAAGCTGGAGTATTGGGGGTTTCTACTCCAGTAGCTACCCTGTTATCTGAGCTAGCTGGTACGAGGATCCCATCTATCTTTGTCAATAATTGAACACACGACCTATCACCATGTTTATCCTTGCTTTTTATCCATAATAAATCCAGTGCCTGAGCGCTCGATGCCAACACGCCGTCAAAGCTGTGTGTGGGTGACAGTGGTAAAGGGAGGCAATAGTGTTGGCGGTATTGGCCAAGGTATCATCCCATAGAGACTTGCTTCGACCTACTGTATCTGTTTTCTCGCTGCCCATAGTTCAGAAGGAGGGTTCGCAAAGGAGGTTCAGAAAGGTGGTTCGGTGGATGTTGCCTTGCCGCTCAATTGCTTCTGCCAGGATTTAGAGAATTAGTAACAGTTGGGAGATCAAGCGGTCAGTTAGTTAATTTCTCCGAATGGGAAGGTCTCGTTATGAGATCTCCCGATTTGATATAGATAGAGAGATGGAGTTTATTTCGCCCGGAGACCTAAAGTGCACCCATGCTACTGTGCATGGTTCGCTGTTCCTATTTCAGCGTGTCCTTGTCAGGCCTCATTCTTTATTATAGCGAATCTTACGACATTTAGAACTGCAACAAGCATAGCTGTGCCGACCCGGCTGAGGGTCTTATCGAGGTGATCATTTGCCCCGCACGTCTCATCTGGCGCCAGGGAAGGTGACTATGTCTGATGAACGGCGGTAGGTGATTCCAAGACGTGATATGTTGACGCGACTTCTATCTGCAGATCTAATCTCATGCGTCGAATCCCGTTTGTGGAAATTGCGCAACTATTTATTCTTGGTTGTGTTGTCTCTAACTAAATCCCTGCCCTTGCGTGATCAGGCAATTGCCATACCGATATGTGGCTGTGGGTACCCCAACAGGATGCTAACTACCCACCTGATGCGCTTGGTCTTGATGCTATCTCTTACACTAGGGAGCAAATTAAGACTGCATACTTCAAAGCGTTGTTACATTCCCATCCTGATAAGCGGAGTGGCACCGGTATACCTAATGACAGGTGGCCTACGGTGGACCACATCAAAGCTTCACAACAACTTTTGTACCAGAACTGCGACGATGCCGTGAATACGTATCGAGACTTTCCCCGATCGTTTTTCCCAGACCAATTCAATCCAGGACACCCTGCGACGCACCTGGTTTTATTACCTGCCCCATATGTTCCATGGTCACAAGAACGACATCTGAAGTCAATCACCTGGAGTATTCGCATTTGTTTAAAGAAGTGAGAAATATGCGAAGCAGAAATTTCTTTTGAGCTAGCTGACGATCATTATCGAGTAAAACATATTTGCCATCTTTGCAACTATCAGTCAGAGAGCCTACCACAGCATATTGCCTCCGCGCCGTCCACTAATTTAGAAGTAGGGTTAGTCACGAAAGATAAGCTTCCGGCTATCCTAGAGGAGTATCTAGTAGAGGTGCCTCTAGTCTTTCTAGAGGAGCTAGAAGTTGTACTAGCAGATGATATAGAGTCGCCGTAGGCGGGAACTGCTAAGGAGGGAAAGAAAGCAGGAAGATGAGCAGTTATAAGTAATTGCACAGTCAAAGACAAGACATTGAGGAATTTAGCTGAACTATCCCCTGCTTATAAACGACTTTCATAGCTCACTAGGCTAGCTAATCCGTGTTATAGGGGTTGGATCAGCTGATAGCTACGCCCCCTAGCGGGCCTTCTCTAATGACGTGCTGCTCCTCGAAATAGCCGGCCCCTCGTAATAGTATTTCAGCGTGATCGATGTGCCTGGGACCTTCAAGAGAAAACCGAGGGCCTTGTAACAAAGGAAGACATCGCGTTGGTGGATGATATGGTCCGGACATATATACATATTAAATCCTCGATCCGTCATGCTCATTATCGTGTCGTGCAACGTTGATATTGTCAACTGGATATCGTTGAGCAAGTAGAGGATCTCGATCATCGCGTAGCGCTATTGAGGATGAAATTTTCGCTATAAAAGCCCCCTGTAATTTGCTGAGCAAGGCTAAGGTCGGCATCGACTTATTACGATGCCGGCTCCAGGAGATCCTAGCCCCTCATATCCACCGCTAGTTTCCAAAGGTAAGTCAGTCGAATCGCATATATTAATTAGCTATTATTCATACCCGCCACCTAATATGTAGCTCGCTCACTAAGGTTCTCTTTCGATAGTGATGCGAGTGCATATGGGGTGTGAATTGTTGTATTGGGAAAGGATGGCCAGGTCAGCTATTCTGGCCTGGCAGAGCTCTTTTATAGCTCTTATCTATCTTATCTCTAGCTATAGGGCAACCCCCCTTGGGGTCACGTATCAGATAGGTTAGAGCGGAAGTCAACCAGAAAATAAAGGAGGGACATAGGCAGCTCGATATGCTTAGGCTTAAGAGGCAGAGCTAGCTAGAGCAAGTCCAGTTCCTTATGGACATCGCACTACGCTTCCAGGACATAGTAGCCGCCGCCACCCGCGCTGAATACGGCTAATCGAGCCTCTTCGACGATGACACGTTGCGGTTGGATACAATAGCGGTCAGCCGTGGCGAGGAGTTTGATCGCGTCGTGGCCGCGAGCGGTCATATGTTCGGCTTCGACAACTCGGACAGCATAAGAAAGATCACCGAGATGGACCTTGGCAATCTGAGCTTAGATGACTTGTTGCCCTAATCTAACGTAAGGCTCGTGCCGGACCATATTAGCACTAAGGACATCGTGCCAATCGACCGAGTGCGGCAGGATCTGATGACCTGCGTCTCGTGGTCTATTATTGCCCTCGCTGGTAGGCTCCCGTCCTCGGCTCAATGTCGGCATTGTGAGGGGGACTGGGTCGTATGGTGCGTGTGATGAGCAGCTTGGGGTGACCGCCGGATTCCCAATCGTGCGGCGACGCTACTTTTTCGTCGTCGATGCTGGTCAGATCAATGACTTCAGTCCCTTCGAGCGTGACTGTCGAGGTTCTGGTGATCCTAAAACCGAAAAGCAAGACTCCCAACCCTGTCCCTACGTTAATATAGGAATTAGGGGTTACATAATAGATTACTACGGATTAACAATCTACTCCGGCTCTCTAGGCAAAAGAAAATAATTAATACGCCTATGGAAGATTATGATTTCGAAATTGCACGTAAGTAGTGTAGCAAAACAGTGAAGTATATCCATTCTCTTAAGTAGTAGCTTAATCAGCGTTGGCATGAACAGCGTGCCTGGTCTAAGCGAGCTTATAGCATGCATGGCGCAGTCTTAAGTCACATGTGTTCAAGCAGAATCCTTCACTTTTTCACTGTTGTGGCGTTGGGTAGATTTGATGGTGATAATGAGGCTGCTGGAAAACGTAAGAAATAATTTACATGAGGCTATATGCGGAGCTCATAGACATCGTAATCCAACACAACTTTCTTTTTATTTAACATAGACGCAGGAGCGGTTCCGTACCCCACCGCCATTCCCTCTTCCTTTGCCTAGCTTCTCTTCTTCTGCTCTCTTTTTGAAAACTTGCACACAAGCAAATTTCGGATCATCTCGCATCCCGTGATGAAGCCGGTCCTTGAAGGCGGGTGGTGGAAATTTTCCCCTTGTATTCATTGACATCAGATTCCACAAGTTGTCTAGGACTGACCAAGAATTTGCCCTGCAGCCGAAATGAATCAGTAACTAGACTCATGTATTTGACCTACATGAGAGCAATTTTTATCTCATGTTCCCTTCTTACCACCAGTTCAATACCTACAATCCAGCAGAGGATCATAATTATTAAGCAACAGAGCTTTTTGATATCGGAGAACATCGTCCACTATTCGTGTATCCAACTGATATATTAACGACATGGAAGAGAGAGTGTGTATCTTATAATCCAACGTTAGCTGCCTATTGTTTGGTATGCATATTTCCGCACTTCGAGGGTTAGACTCGATAGGTCAATTTCCAACAATGAGATTGGTGGATAGGGTGCTCACGGTACAATAAGGGACTTACCTAATGTTGAACTCCATGCTATTTCTCGGCTATCAATGAATAGCTGGCAAGACATGTCGACCTAATCGCAAGAACAAAAAGACAGCCAGCCACTGTCGATAGTGGATGTAATTAGAGGCAACTTGGCAACTACGATTCTTCCCAACCCACCAATCATTTTTGTTTGTGCGTCCATACTAATTTGACTGTGCAGTGGAAATTCGGCTTCAAGAAAAATTGACCCAGACAGCCAACTGACTCATCCTTCAGCAAGAAAAACATCGAGTCAGAACCTCTCCTATGTGGGTCTACTCAAGCGAGCAACCTGAGTCCAAGTCGTGTCCGACCCAGCTAATGCTTTGATGCAAACCTTTTGCAAAATTTCTTCCATTATCTCCACAATTGCCGATTTTATAGCTATCTAATAATTAGAAATTCATCAATGCCAGCTCAGCTCATCAGAGCAACTGTCACGAACCGCCCGGTTAGCTCAATCGGTAGAGCGTGAGACTCTTAATCTCAAGGCTGCGGGTTCGACCCCCGCATTGGGCTCAATTCCCAATGCCCTCCTGATTACAGGAGGAAGCAAGCATTCCTTCATTTTTTTTAACTAACCCTGAGCTTTACGCATTTGTCTTGTTGAACACCATTTGGTGGATTCATTTTTGTTTTCATTTATTATGGTGTAGCTCGGGAATATCCCTAGGACTGGGGACAGATGAGAAGGGAAGACTTGAAATATTCATTCCAAGTCATTATTGCTAAACTGCGCAGCTACCACACAAAACCTCTTTCTACCCACCCTACGCTCCGTATTCATCCCTCTATCCAAGTAGCTCTTTACTCACCTCAGGCGTATTTATATATGCAATCCCCTCTTTCCTAAATGTATCCTCCTCGACCCAGCTCCTCGTAGCATTAAGCACGATATTCCTCGGCCTCTCCAGACTATACACCGGCCACTCAGGCAACAATCCCTCCCCAACCGTCTCATTCGTTCCATGCGTCGTATTTGCTCCTCCCGCGCCCCTCCCATTCGGATCCAAATACCTCACAAACCTCGCATATGCCGCCCCGACCCCCCTCGCCAAATCCAGATGCCCTTCATACTCTGGACTGGGCCCCAACAACCCCGAAATATTCTGAAAACTAAACGCCACATTTTGAAAATGCTTGACCCCATCCCACTCATTCCCATTCCAGATCCTCTGATCAAATCGATAACTCCATGCCGAGACACCCGCATCCGTCATCAACTCCGCCATCCTCCTCCGCTGCGCCACCATGACCAGATCCGACCCCATCGCCGCCCCCCGCCGCCACTGTACCCCCTTCGATGCGGCAGATGGGCCGAGGCTGCAGTTTGTGATAGCGTAGGGGGGTGCGTAGCAAGGGTTGTGGGGGTACAGCTCCAGTAGCTGCCTGACCGTGTCCGGGGTCAGGCCGTAGGAGCGCCAGTATAGGATATTATTTAGGATATCCTCCTCTGTGTCTAGTTTTCCCGACAAGGCAAACATCTCGTCCGTATTCGCGCCCGTGATAATGGGGACTTTGATGAACTTCCCCTCTTGCATCAGCTGGCTCGGATATCCCGTCAGAAAGTCCCCGTCGAGGAGCGGATTCCAGACTACGCTCGGATGCGCAGCATACAACGTATCCGCGTCAACGGACCGGAGGCAAGCGAGTTGATCAGGAACTCCGACCCCCCAGCAGTTCACTGCCCGCGTGAGGTTCTCGACGGCGGAATTGTACCACGACAGCGGCTCGACCTGGCATCCTGTGGGTCCACCACTCTCCATGATAGCACCGCGGAACAGCCCGTCATCGCGGCCGTCGTGGCTGAAGAGGTGGTAAGCTATGCTTTGGGCGCCGGCGCTTTCGCCCCAGATGGTTACTTGGGAGGGGTCGCCACCAAAGGAGGCGATGTTTTCTTGAATCCATTGGAGGGCTAGGTGTTGGTCTGCGCGTTACCCAAGGCAACATTTCAGTTCTCTTGGAAATGATGGACTGGATACGGGATATGGGAAGGAACGCGTACCCAATAATCCAGCATTGCTAGACCCCTCCGCCAGAACCTGCGGCGTCTGCAAAAACCCCCACATGCCCAGGCGGTAATTGAAGCTAACCGCCAACACGGGCTCTCCTATTTCCTGGCTCAGCTTGACCACCCCAGAGAGGTTATACTGCGGATCCGCCGAGCTGCCCCAGTAGAGGCCGCCTCCGTAGATCCACACTAATACTGGGAGAAGCTTCTTCTCGGACACAACACCCGCCGGCCGCACCACGTTGATGGTGAGACAATCCTCTGATAAGCCTGGGGAATAGTTGTAACCGTACTGCATGCAGCTGTACCCGTACGACGTGGCATTGCGCACCCCTTCGGAGGCGAAGGAGGTGTTTATGCTCTGTGGCCGGCGGAACCGCAGGTCGCCCAGGGGAGGCTGCGCATATGGCATGCCGAGGAAAACATCTTGTGACCAGACAGGGAGGTGGGCGCCAGTATACGTCCCATTCAGGGTTTTGGCCATGGGCGATTCTGCGCCATTGACAAGGGGCGCGAATGAAAGAAATGTTGATGCTACGAGAAGTAGAGTATTGCGGGTGCCAGCTAAGAGAAACATTATAGTCGTTACGAGACTCGATTCTCGACGAGACAAACGACACGACGGTATTTCCCTGCCATCTTGGAGGGGATATATATATATATATATTCACGAGAGTAGTAGGTAACCCATTTGAGGTTTACGAGGGGTGGCTTGTGTGATTGGAGGAATAATCCGTATTGGGCGTCACTGTAGTAGTTGGTCTTGGCTCCCAGGGCAAATATCCGGCTGAGGGGAATCCTGAACTCTTGCTGATGAATATTGCCATGACGTGTGGGGAAATTGGGGAAGGTGTCAGTCCATGGTCATCAAGATCGGCATAGGGATGGGAACCATATATGTACCCGAGATTGAAGGTGAAGCCACTTCACGACAGCGACGATTGGTAAGCTGGGTAATTTCATAGGCACAGTGGTAACATGGGCAACCGTCACTACGCCAACCCTGTAGAATCAAATTTATGTATTATTCTAGCTAATTTCGCTTAAGGGTATCATAGAGTCGAGGCCTGTCGTTTCTTCATTGCATGTGCATATTAGGGCATTATTCAGTGCCCATGATTCCACATCAGCGGCAATGTTCTCCTACGGTGTGCGTGTGAAGTCTGACCTGCATCGAGTGTCGACGGTGCAACACTTTGTGGATTATGAAACAAATCGCTTGGATCCCACTTCGACTTGATCTCGCCGAGCGTGTCGAGATTGGGGCCCCAGTATGATCCCTGCGCATTGGTCAAGACCGGGTCGACATAGCCCGGATAAGTCGTCAGAGTCTGCGGTACAGTCCCCTGAATCGTTGAGATGATGCCGTTTATGAAGTCCTTGGTGGTCTGGGTGAGGGTGGGAACACCGACGCCGTAACCCTGACAAAACATGATCTTGTCGCGATGTGAGTATGCGGTTGCATTCTGAGCGATATCACTGATAGCCCCGCCCGTGGCGTCGAATATCAGGAACCATAAGAGCGTGCCACGTTCCGTATCGTCGACGTAGTTCATGAGGTCAGTGATGGAATCCTTGGAGAGAAGCTCATCACTTTTGAACGCAAGGCTTCTGGCAGTGAAAGCGCTCCGAATTTCCGAAATGTAGAGTGCAGCATCTTCGGCCTGCTGGGCGATGACGGCCAGCCAATCGTCGACCACGACGGACACCTTGCCCGTAGGAATCTTGTCTGGAATCCCCGTCGCGTCAAACTCTTCTTCGGTGCCGTAGAAGGTGGCGGTGATGACGACGCCGAGTTCGTGCATGACAAACTCGGTGCCAAACCGTCGGTCGAGTTCGGGATCGGAGACAAGTGTCTGCCACTGGTCAAACACATCGACCATATCCGCATGCTTCCCGAAGGTGGATGAGTAAGAATACTGCACGACATCGCCGGGCTCAGGATGCGTCTTCATGACGAACTCGGTGATGACGCCGAATCCTGCGCCTGCGCCTTTCAATGCCTTGGTATTTGTTAGTCGTGAACCTCTCTTGGTTGGCAAGTTGCCGGAATGAAGTGCACTTACGAAGAACAAGTCAGAGTTCTCAATCTCGCTGGCGCGTTGAATGGTCCCATCCGCAGTGACGACTTCAACTTCCAGAACATGATCCAAACATGATCCCCACATCCGAGACGAAGGACCCAAGCCACCCTGCGATTGCATCCATTAGTTTCCAGCATACCGGCAAGTCTGAAAATACCCACAATAGTCGCATGGCCTCCTATTCCGACTCCCGGACAGGTGCCATGTGCCATGGCTCTCTTCCCGTTGTTGTGAAGTTTATCCGTCACATCGCTGAGTCTCATCCCTCCTCCGATGGTCGCTTGCCAAGTGGTGGTGTCCATGGAGAACTGTTGAAAGTTTTGCAAGTCAATGACCAACTCGCCGTCTGTGCCTCCGACACCTGTTGCTATGGATTAGATATTGCGGTGTATTCAAGTGGCATTACCCATACCGAAATTCCTGAAGACTTATTAGCTTGAACAGCGGTTGATGGTGGAGCAGGACACCTACGCATATGAGTGCCCTCCAGACTTTGCTTGCACCTTGACGTTGTTGGAAACGGCACATTTCACGAACCCTGAAACATCGTCGGTGGTCTCTGGTCTGGTGACGGCAACGGGGGTGACGGGGATGTCGAGATTGTACCGATTGACCCACGATATCTGGTAAAGCGGGTTGTCTGGATATGCCACACAGCTACTCCGACCATCGCAAACGGCGTTGAGGCAGTCACTCAAGGGCGTGCTCTGTCCACTGCCCATGACGGCTGTGGTTTTTACAAATCCACCAAAAATAACAGAAAAAGGTCAACAGACAAGCTTAGGAACTTGCATTGGAGAAATTAGTTGCGAGGGAAATGAAACGGTTTCGGCAAACCTGTAGGCACCAACCTTGTACATTCTTGAAGCTGCAGTCGAGATATTTAACCAAAATTCCCGGTGAGCAACAGCGATGATGCAGTTGTGCTTCGGCTAATCAAAGAATGGATCGAGTAGGACATAGCAGGGTAGCTAGCCTGGGTAGGTGGTTGATTGCTGATTGAACTAGGTATGAGTAACAACTACTCACCGTACAAAACTGCCACGTCTGCTGTCCCTGCATACAAACTTCTATGGGTCACTGAGCGGCAAGAGCGCCTCGCTGAGCCAATTGTGCCAACCTGTGGTTAGCTCGCCACCTTGCCGGTCGTTTAGTTTCTTGGCCATGGCGACAACAGGATCCAGGATCCTGCCAGATGATCTTACTCAGACGATGACCAGTCAGGCAACACGGGGCTTGCTATGGTTCGTGCTTCTGTAGATGGCCCCTCGTGTACAAGTTTGGCGGAGCATGCTTCATGCAAAACATCGTCACTCCCAGGCAGCCCCGATGGCAGTACGTGGGGTAAAAGGTAAAAACAAGTTGAAGAGGCAATGCCCCATTTATTTGCGGTCAACCTGAGCAAGTCCAATAGGAGGGCTCTAGCATTGCCCTGTCTATAGAGGCCTATAATACAAGGTCAATATGATAAGATGGGTTGGACTTTCGGCGGTTGGAAATTTTACGACCGATCAACGTCAGCGCAACGGCCGTTTCCGAGATTGTGGCTGGGGCAGACCAATCAGGCGGCCAAAGGAGGCTGGACAGATTTCCTACAGTTTGCCCTTTTTTCTGGGTAGGGCATAATTTTTCGATGACCTCACTTTTCTCGCGCTGACTCCTCGGTCTCCCCCATCTCTCATTTCACGTTGCCAATCATTACTTTCGTTCAAAATTGGGTGGTATTTCGGTAGTCTAGGTCGGCATAGGTGTCCGAGAGTCCTGTTGGTTGGTCGTTGAGAAGCTGGGACGAGCCTATCAAAGGCAGGGCACCGCGCTACAGTTGTACCATCCACGATATTGACTATAGTTGAGACATGCTTGGCCGTTGTCAACAAGGATCAGTCTCCCGCAAAGGTGTTTACTGACTGTCGGAGTCCAACGGATCGACAGGATCTACCCATCTACCCGAGGTTGACCCGAACTCAACACCAAGAGGGAATGCGGCTCTCGACTAGGTTGACCTTGCTAAGGCTATCCCATAATGCCTCTATCATAAACCTCAACATACGGACGACTGCTTCGTTATTTGAGCTATCCAGAAGGAACCTTGAACTGGGACAAACAGGGACAAACAAATCGGCAGACAGATAAGGACACGCGTGTTCCTTGACCGAGATGGCAGTTAAGCAATGATGCCGCCTAGGCCAAGCGAGATAAAGGCTTCGAGAGATGCCCTTGCTGTGTGCAAATCCATGGACGCGTCGGTCGATTTACACCACGGACGGAGGGACGGGTCGAGTCTGGTTTTGTTGGAGGCTTGTCAACGCAAAGGACAGCGGCCTCTCCACCCTATCGCGGTGCCACTGTAACCTCAACAATCCCAAGCAGGAATCTAACCGCATTGACCACCTTTTTGCATGCACCCCCATTTTGCAGGGAATTTCTACGCCTTAACAACACGACGTCTCTCAATTTACCTCGCAATTGCTCCCTATCTACGTACAAAATGGCTAATCCAGTGGAGCATAGTCTGGACGATTTTGAGCAGCGAATCGAACGCGCTAAAGAGCTTGTCCGTCAGGGCTCTTCCCAGGCCGTAGCAGCTCATCGGTACGGTATCAAGGGGACTACACTGTCCTACCGTATTCGTCACGGTAATTCGCATCGCGACGCGGCCTCCAGGCAACAAAAGTTGACTCCAGAGCAAGAGGAGGTTATCGTGAACTGGATCCTACACAAAGAAGTGTGTGGACGGGCTCCTAGCAAGCGTTATGTGGCCGACTTCGCTGCCGAAATCCTCCTTGCTCAAGGGGATAAAAATACACTCGGCCAACACTGGGTGGATCACTTCGTTAGCCGCCATCCACAGATACGTACCAAAATTGGGCGCGTCGTAGATGCTAGCCGAGTTAGAGCGTCCGATTCGAACAAGATCCGAGACTTCTACACCCTCCTCGAACGCTTACATACGAAGTATCGTATCAAACCCGACAACGAGTATAATATGGATGAAACAGGTGTCCAAGAGGGGGAATCTGGGCATGGTACGGTTATTGGGACGTCTAATTCACGCCGGGTACGCGTATCAAAGTCGGACGCTTCGTCGTGGTGCTCCTGGTTAGAGTACATTTCGCATACCCAACGGGGTACACCTGTCTGCGTATTTTCCGGCAAGAGAGTCCAAGCACAGTGGTTCCCAGACCAAAATATCCCTGAGTGGGAATACACCGCGACGAGTAAGGGCTGGAGCAATAAAGTTATCGCAAATAGGTGGTTAGATCAGGTTTTTCTCCCCGAGACGAAGCCTAGGGGTACCGAATGGCGACTCCTTATCCTCGACGGCCATCAGACACATATTCATGCCGAATTTATGTGGAAAGCCTACTCGAATAGAGTCGCCGTGCTGTATTTACCCTCACTGCAGTGTAACGAAACCTCTAATAGTCTAGCTGCGTAAACCACTAAAGAGTCTGTAAGGGTTTGTGCTAGTAAGTAAGTCCTGCTGCGGAGTCCTTTAGCAATAATATCGGGGTCTGACGTATGGAGTATAGTGCTTTGGGGTAACGTACCCCACAAGCAAGTTGGCCACTTTTTCTTGGCACCGTACGAATAACTTCAATAACTTAACTAAACTAAAAAATAATAATTCAAACTAACCGGAATCCTCTTCCTCGTACGTATCTTTATCATTCTCACAAGTACGAGCATTATGTCCGGGCTCTCCGCAGATCGACCCTACAGCGCCGTCGGCGTGGTTCGGCCGGTCTCGTACTGTAACGAGGATACCACACGTCTCACAATATAATAGTCAGGTAGTGCAAAGGGTAGCTAGAAGTAGGCCAGTGTATGGGTGCGTATATTGCAAGACTGATTCTTGAAGAATCTAAACTAGGTGCGAGCGTCTCGAGTTCTCCTCTTAAGCTGGGCGGTTCCGGGGTTTTACCGGATCGGGGCGAATCCCTCCCGACTCAGCTTGTCAGCTGAGACCGGCCCGCCACAACGGCTCTTTCCTTACACGTACGACGACGACTTACACGTATATCATCCTGTAGCTGCTGTTCAATATCCCGTTGAGACTGTAAGTCCTGACCGTCTCGTAAACTAAGAGATCCTCTATCTTGTAGCTGTCGATTTTTAGTCCTTCGACGACGGCTTAGCTCTTGATTGACCTTCCGAAGTGTAGTAACCTCTTCCTCAAGTAAAACTAACCGATGTATAACAGCCGTCGCACCACGTGAAAATTGGTCAATAGCCGCAAGTATTGTCGTCGGGGAGCTATTCTGATGCTGTACGATTCTGTTTTTAACGTATTCAGACTGGGATTGCACCTCGGTTGGGTTATTTGGAGTCTTTGATTCCCAGATTAAGGGGGCGCCAGACGAGCTCCCAGGAGGTGTAGGCGTATGTAGCTTAATATCCAGCTGTGAAATCACATATTCCGGGTCGTACGGAATAAGTCCTGTCCCCCTGAAACCTGCCTGGATATTCGACTTAGTTATAGTCGTACGATACGCCCTATAGAATGCCAAAAAGAAATCCTCCTTCGAGATATGGGTTACATACGCCCGTATTAGGTCTTCAATTTCTTTGCCGTAAGACCTTTTCAAAGCCCTAAAACAGCCTATATCGAGAGGCTGGAGCTTATGTGACGAATGAGCAGGCATACTAAGTGTAATAATAGTATGCTCTTTGCAATATAGCTCGAAGTCAGTCGAGTGGTGGCTCTCATGCCCGTCGAGGATAAGAAGACGATAAACACCCTTCGTACGATCCTTCGTATAGCGATCAAAGTGCTGAATCCAGTCTACGCCTCGCTCATTTGTTGTCCAACCGTTTTTGGTTACAGCGATTACCCAATCGGACGGGAATGGGCTATTCTCGTACCAGGATAAGAGGTGGTTTTGACCCGCGACAATAATATACGGCGGGATAACCCAGCCGGACGAATTAATACCCTGGATTACTGTAGCCCATTCTCGATTGCCTTGTTGGGCTGTAAGAGGCCTTCCGCGTCGTTCGGCACTTGTAACTACCATCTCGGATGATTAAGCCCATCGCGAACCCTGTCTCGTCAAAGTTATAGATATCCGCCTCTTGGATACCATATTTCGCAATTGTATTTCGTACGAGCGTAAACCACGCGCGATACGCGTCAGGATCTTCGCAATAGGCTCGTTGGTAGTCGATTCTTCGATTAAAACGCGTCCGAAGGTCTGGTTGTCGTCGTACGAAGTTCGAGGCCCAGTTGACGCCGACGCGTCCAGCGCCACGGTCACGGAGCAGTCGGTTAGCCATAGCTTCAACACCATGGAGCCGGGGAGGAAATGATCGCGAATCTAGGTCAAGTATATATTGTACGACCGCTAACTCTTCTGATTCCGTAAGCTTATGACTAGATTGTCGAGTATCGCGTCGAGATAGTAGTCCGCGTTTTCGGTTAGCTAGAGTTGTACGAGGGACATTGTAGAGTTGGGCAGCGCGTCGGATGCTTAATTCGGGTTTCGATTGAAGCGCCTGACGCGCTAGAATTATGTTGCTTTCTTTCCAATTCGATCCCATCTTGGTATGTGTAAAGATATTAATTAAAAGGTTGTTCGTACGGTGCCAAGAAAAAGTGGCCAACTTGCTTGTGTGGCCAACTTGCTTGTGGGGTACGTTAACTGAAGTATTCAAGTAGGGTAACTGGGAATAGAGTCGTCAAGGCAGTTTGCCTCACCAATGGGTTAGATTGATGCTTAGATTAATCACTGAAGTAGAGACTGTCTATCTATGAAATGCCTGGGAGTCCTGTCCCTTATATGCCCATCTCTCCTTCACTGATCCCCACTTGGATATGTTGGTTGTCCAACATATCCACCCCAGTAGGACACGTGACCTGTCGGTCCTTTCCTTCCTCCGATGCGGGGTCGCGTGATCCTAGGGTCTGTATCCACCTGGCCTGCCAACGGGCCTGTAATGTTGGTTCAGGGCCAACGGTTCGTAACATGTAGTGACGATCTCCAGCCGTGCGATGTCGGGCCGTTCTCACCTTTGAAGACCTACTACCGCCAAGAGCTCAGGGCTTACGCTTCCTACAAGGCTACAGCCCCAATTTACAAGCAACGTATGCTAGAAGCATATCTACGTGCCTCAGAGAGAGCCTTTGCTACGGAAAATATTAAATCTGGCTGGCGGAAGACTGGTATATGGCCCTGATACGTGACCCCATGGGGGGTTACCCTATAGCTATAGATAAGATAGATAAGAGCTATAAAAGAGCTCTGCCAGGCCAGAATAGCTGACCTGGTGATCCTTTTCCAATACAACAATTCACACCCCATATGCACTCGCATCAGGCCCCTAGGCTCCGAAGGACTAGTCGACGTATCTTGTAATCCTCAGGAGCCTCATACACCAGATCCTCCGCCTCATATATCACCACCTTTAGTTGCTTTTACTCCTCAGAAAGCGCAGCAACTATCTAGCCAACTACAGTCGATAGAGAAAGCCGAGGGCGGGGTATCTCGTAAGATTCGTACCCTAGTAGGCAAGGCGGGCAAGGCCCTTACACTCCAGGCCGCCGAGAATGCCAAATTACGTATCGGAAACGAGCAAATATATAAAGAACTCGATAAATACGCTCCAGATATACGCCAGCCCGTCGAGCCAGACCCGAATAAAGTATTCGTTAACTTATCAGCGATCCGAACAGCCCAGGACAAGTGTCACGACCTGGGTTGCATCGCATTGGTAGAGACCTCGATTAGGTGCTATCGACGAAGATTCTACTCTAAGGAGCGAAGGAAAGAAGATCACAAACTTAGGTTTGAGGGAGCGCGACTAAGTCGTCCACGCTTGGCGGGGCTCCTGCAGGGGTTATGATTGGCTTCCCACCTGGCACTGCCATGGCAGGTGTTCCAGCTGTACGTCACCTGGCTGTAGTGAGTCTGCGAGGGTTGACCTTCACAACAAGCGAAATAAGCGAATACGGCCTATTTTACCGGATAAGCCGTTAGAAATTGATACTTTTCTGGAAGGAAGGGTCCCTCCTAAAAAGAGGACTCGAAAGAATATATTTAAGTCTTCGGACACTTAAATTAAGTATGTTCTGTATATAAATAATATGGACGAAGTATTTAGGTTGATTCAGTTAGACCCTGCAAAAAGGTGGTCAATGCGGTTAGAAATGTATACGGCTAAGTCCCAGCAGGGCCTAGCAACCCGATACTCGGGCCGAGGGCCGGGGAAAAGTTTGGTAAACTAAAGCCAGTCTCATGATGGCCACCAAAGTGAAGATACTTAGGTAATAGCGCCTGCCTTGTATATATCTCCTATGGCCCAACCGCCAAGTACAGTTACAGGTCGGCTCCAGAGCGGCCCACTGTTTTCAACTTAAATGGACAAACTCTCCGGGGTTCTGCTGGCCTCGAACTCCTTTCGCTTGTCTCCTTGCCCAGGTTGCCCAGCTACTATCGTCCTAACAACGTGTTGGCCGTCTTTATCATTCTCCGGCTCACATGCCAGTTACCCACGTTGTTGATGTAGCTGCTGGAATCACACTTTCCACCGAAACCAAGACAAAACTTCTGAGCAAGTGTTGTTTTGTTGAACCTTGGAAGTAAGTTGCTTGCGTGCCTGAGATACAGAGGGATTGCAACTTCCAACTTCCTAGTCGATAACTGAACAAGAAAGCTACGAGGCTTTCAGTGAAGTTAATAACACCTGGGCAATTTCCAGGTTGACAAACAGCCGATCTGACCGATCTCAGTTGTAGAGCTCGAGCTAGATTGGTCCAGACAATGATGCTCCGGTCGGTATCAACCACCCCGCTTCTGACCCCTCACGGCAGGATGTCCGCTCGATTCCAGTTCCCGGGGAGTCTTGGCAGAAGAACGCTCGTTACCAAGGTAACTCGCCATGGCCTTTTTCCGTACCCACTTTCCGATACCGCATCGCCTTGCCGCAACTCATGCAGGCCCGGAGATGGAGATGCAAACCAAGTCCCATCCAACAAGTCACAGGGCCTCAAGGCGTCCCATAGAAGCTATCATTCGGCCAGTCGTACACATCTGGGCAAAGCTTCTTCCCGCGGAGAGACAAGGTGCTCGCTTCGGCCCAAAACCGCTGTCGTCATTCCGGGTTTGCGTGCCGCTTCACTTATTTCTCTCCATTCTCCTCCCGTCTCTTTCAGGTCTTTCAGCTATCTTTCCCCAACCCAAGCAACTTCAGTTCTTCCGGACCATAGAATCAGCATTGTCACCGCCCGTCGACGCGACCTGGCATTGAGCAAGAACATACCCCGCGATTACTCCACTTCCACAACAGCCAACATGTACACGGCGTCCTTTGCCTTCTTTGAGGCGATAGGGGAGGCGGGTGTGACACATTGCTTCGTGAACCTGGGTTCGGACCACCCTAGTATTATTGAGGCCATGGTCAGGGGGAAGCAGGACAAGAACAAGAACTTTCCCCGCATCATTACATGCCCCAACGAGGTACGCACTCAGCCGTCTGTGGGCGCAAGTTTTACTACGAACAATGATGCTGATCCAACCTTAGATGGTGGCCATGTCCATGGCAGATGGGTATGCTCGTCTCACGGGCAAGCCACAGGCTGTCATTGTACATGTCGACGTCGGAACCCAGGGTCTCGGTGCCGCGGTGCACAATGCCAGCACGGGCCGTGCCCCTATCCTACTTTTTGCAGGCCTTAGCCCTTTCACACTAGAGGGCGAGATGCGAGGCTCCCGTACCGAGTACATCCACTGGATCCAAGATGTGCCCGACCAGAAGTTGATTATCGGCCAGTATTGCCGATATTCAGCTGAGATCAAGACGGGCAAGAACATCAAGCAAATGGTGAACCGTGCATTACAGTTTGCGACGAGCGACCCCCAAGGTCCGGTCTACCTTGTTGGTGCCAGAGAGGTCATGGAGGAGGAGATCGAGCCCTACCACCTGGAACAAGGGATCTGGAATCGCGTCGAACTCGGAGAATTACCTGAGAAAGCAGTGAGCCAGCTCGCGGAAGCGCTCGCTGGCGCGAAGAAACCGCTGCTCATCACAGGTTACGCTGGACGCAACCACAAGATCCCCGCGGCGCTTGTGGATCTAGCCAACACCGTGAAGGGGTTGAAAGTCCTCGATACGGGCGGCAGTGACATGTGCTTCCCTGCCTCGCACCCAGCCTGGCTCGGACTTCGGTTCGGCATCGAAGCCGAGATCAAGGAGGCCGACGTCATCGTGGTGCTGGACTGCGACGTCCCCTGGATCCCAACACAATGCAAACCCGCCCACGGCACCAAGGTATTCCACATCGACGTCGATCCCCTGAAACAGATGATGCCCCTTTTCTACATTCCGGCTCAGCACCGCTTCCGCGCCGATGCCCTGCTCTCCGTCCAGCAGATCACAGAGCACCTGAAGACAAAATCCGCTAGCAAAGTAGATGCCAAGGCGGCCGAAGAATCGTGGAATGCCCTCGTGGCCTCGCATAAGAAACGCCTCGAGGACATTGCAGCCAAAGCGGCACCTGCGAGCGACGGCACTTTCGGCACCGGCCATCTCTGCCGCATGCTCAGGGACATCTGTCCCGACGACAGCATCTTCGCCATCGAAGCCGTCACCAATACTGCCTTTGTTCACGATAATCTGCAGCCCGAGCTGCCCGGGTCGTGGATCAACTGCGGTGGTGGGGGACTGGGCTGGTCCGGCGGTGGCGCGCTGGGCATCAAGCTCGCGACGGATGCGGAGCACGGCGGGGCGGGCAAAGGGAAGTTCGTCGTGCAGATTGTGGGAGACGGGACGTTCTTGTTTAGTGTGCCGGGAAGTGTGCACTGGATTGCGAAACGCTATGGGATTCCGGTTTTGACAATCGTATTGAATAACAAAGGTTTGTGGTTTTCCGTCTTCCCCTAGCCCCAGCTCGGAATTCTTCCCAACCGCATATTATGACCAGACAAAGGACTTACGAGATGGAAACTTCAACAGGATGGAATGCCCCCCGAAAGTCCCTCCTCCTCGTCCATCCCGATGGAGCGGGATCCAAGGTTACAAACGAGGAGATCAACATCTCGTTTGATCCCGTACCAGACTACTCGGGCATTGCCAAGGCGGCCGCTGGTGGGGATCTGTTCGCGGCTAAGGTTGAGAAGGCGGAGGAACTGGGTAAGGTGTTGAAGGAGGCGGTGGAGGCGGTTAAGGGCGGGCAGTCAGCGGTATTGGATTGCAAGGTTACGATGGGATGTTAGCGCTGGGGTTGACGGGTATTCAGGGGGAGCTGGGATGGGAGCTGGGGAGTTTGGGAGGATGAAGGTGAGGATCGTCAAAGATCAGGTCGCCGGTGTGTGCCTGTGAGCAAGGTGAGTATCGTGCGATAGGGACCGCTAGCTACCGATTGGACTGCTTTCGGATCTGGCGCATGGATTTATAGACCCGGCTAGGGATATACTTGTATGATCATGGAGGATTGTGATGTTGATTGAGCTAAGTTAACCTCCGTCAGGTGTCACGGTAGAATGTTACCTATCTAACTAGTGTACATTGTTACGGAGTAACTAGGGCTCCGCCAGTGGACTGTGTGCCACTAGTCCTCTGTTATATGATATATCTACTTTCAGCATTCATCATCGTAGTAAGTGGACTAAGGTCGATAGTTTCCGCTTGATGCAAGTCTATTATCAGTAGACTACTAAGCAGATGATGAATTTGAGTACATATCTATGTGACGGGTTTTGTGGTTTTCAATGTTCTATCGAAGTGTGCTAGATGTACTTCTTGCAGCTCTTATTACCTACGGAAGAGTACCACTCCTGGTGCTTACATGGCCTGGTCCTTCTGTTAGTACAACAAGATTTGCGCAATGCTCATTCCAGTTATCTCTATCTTCAATTGATGATCTACCGTAGCATTGCGGTTTGGTCGGTCAAAGTCCAATTGGCTGCCATCTTGTTGAGCGTGAGGTTCTCGACAAGAATTGATGGCCTATTATTGTCGTGGTATTCGGGAAGTCAGAACTGGAAACTGGGTGATGCAAAAGCGTGAATTATTTTTGCAAATCAATCGGGTGGCATGACATGCTGCGGGACGAACTAATGATACTTGAGATTTAAATCAAGATAACCGAGCCGTCAAACGAGGTCGAATACGTGGCTGGCAAGTTGCCAGATATTTCCGAAGTATTTATGTCTTGCTTTGTCCCTGACTTGGGCGTTACACAGGATATTCCTAATTAATTCTGCCATTAGCTGGCATAGAGGAGACACCGAAAACACACCACACATCCAATCTGTAGCCAAGTGGGAACTGCTGTGCCGCCAAACTCAATACGGACTCCATGTTACCCTATTCTTGTATGCGGACCAGCCTTGCCGTCTTTGGGCTGGAAGACAACCTTCCACGTCCAGGAGTGGCAATGTTTCTGCGAGTGGGTTTCAGAATGTAACGTACGATCGTCATTTCATATGAGATCGAATGTTGGACAAATCAGCTAGAGGGAGGATTCCGGGATGAGCTCCGCAAGGGGGGCAAGAGGAGAGCAGAACAGGGATGGATATCTGGATATTAGAGTCATCTACAAAGTCGAGAACTCAACTCCTCAAATATTCAGATGATCGTTGCACCTCTCTCCCAGGTTTGTTATCAAGATTTACGGCAATAAAATGTCAGTTTTATAATTGGACTATCCGAACTCGGCTTAGTTCCTTCGAGAGGAACCACCATCAAACCCCACCTCAGCCAGAGCAAGGCTCAAACCCCGAGGTAGACCCTCACTGGCTCCGACAACACAACATGCAAGCAGTACTCCTTTGGGCGAGTCTGCTATGTACACCGTCCACTACCTGCTAGTGCAAGTGGAGGTTGCACAGGAACACGGTGATCACATGTCTCTTGAATGAGCGCTTCGATGCGGGGTGTTTCTCCAATAACTCGAGGCTCGACAGACGAAGAGACCTATTGGGAGTTGCTAACTTGTTTGGGCGTCCGCGGAGCTGTCCCCTAGGTGGTGACAACGCATCTACCATCCCTTTAGTACGCAACGAACTCTTGTAAAGTTTTGCGTAGGTGTGCTTCATTGAGCCTACTCTTGGAGTTTTCGGATTGTTCTGTCGACATCTACAGCTCTTCTATTCCAAATGGTGTTGCCGCTCTCACAAGACCGTGCCCAGGCCCATCCCAATCTTACTTGGCCCATACTACAAAGCCAGACGAATCACGAGGCCCTCGATATCGCAGGCGGCACGAACACCCGCTAGGAACCCTGGATACCCAAGAGGAGCCTTTGGGCAGGAGAAATTCATCCCCACTCACGATAGATTCCATCCACGGATGGGCGTTGCAGCTGCTTGATCAATTTAAAGCACTTACCCTAGCGGAGCCTAGGCTTGCATTCCAGCGGGGTACAAACTAGACCACCACCGGACGCTAGGACAGACGCACCGAGTCGGAGAAGAAGCAATAAAAAGGCAGGCGCCTTATCCATTCCGGTTCAACGGGCGAGCCCAGAGTTCACGATCACCCGCTTCATGCTTTTCGGCTCTTTATTTTTACTTGGCCACTACGACCTGTCACCACCCATGGTCAAAAGTCGCTGGCAAGGACGATGCTTGAGTGATGTGACCCGCCCTGCACCCCTCATTCTTCATCCCCACAGCTAGAAGAGGACCGACTGTAAGCAGACAACTTCGTCGAGCCGTCGCAATTGTACCACCGAATATCCCGCGCATCATCTGCTCATTTTGATCGCCGCTAAAGCTGTCCTACGAAACACAACGGCGACCATTGTCACTCATCCGACCGCGGATAACGTGGGGTATCATGTGCCTTGCCGCGACCAGTCTACGATTCAGGCTCGAGACATCGAACGAGCCGTCTGGGCCACGATAATCAGGCGAGGCCACGACTGCTTCTCGACTAGTTCCTGTCGAGGTCCTGCGCAGTCTTCAGTCTCTCTCCAGCCTCGTCGCTTTGCCCACGGCGACGGACACATCCTTGTTCAAACAACGTGGTGGTTCCCACGAGCAAAATTGCGGCGCAGGCGAGCGACGACAAGCAGACAAACGATTTAGGATTACAGAGAATTAATTCACAGGCGACATGTCGGACGGTGACGCTTGGAATGATGTTGGCGCGGGGTCTGCAGCATCCAGCACCGAGACTGACGGTTCTAAGAGGACGACTCCAACGTCGCCTCCTCCACCACCGAATCCCAACGCAGACCCGAATCTCCCATACCAAGCTCGAACCCCTCCGCCCCTCCATCACGTCACGCACACGCCATCCTCCCAAGACCTCTTCAAGCTGACTCCCATAGCCGCCCTCAAGCTGCTCAGCGGCGGCATCGAGGCCCTCGTCCGCATTACGGGCGACATACCACCGACTCCACCTCCCACGAGTCCCACCATACCGCACATGCGAGGCTTCCAAAAAGAGAAGGCAGATATTGCACGTTCGCACTCGGAAAACAACTTGGCGAGGCTCGGCCAGGAACAAGCTGCGGCCGAAGAGACGCCCTTCTTCGCACCGCAGCCCCAGAAATCCTCCGAATCAACATCGAGGAGTAGTACACCGTCCGCATACCAGCCGATCGACGGCGTCCACCTCCGGCATACCCCGACACCTCCCCCCCCTCCGGCGACCCCCGAGCCTTACGTGGTCATCGGCGCGAACTCGCAGCCCCTAAACCTCCAACACAGCGCCATCACGCGCAAGTTCTACAGCAAGGCCCCGCCGCCCATCAGCATCGAAGACTACCTCATGCGCATCCATCGCTTCTGCCCCATGAGCACGGCCGTCTACCTCGCGACCTCGTACTACATCTTCCGCCTCGCTGTGGACGAGCGCGCCATACCCGTCACGAGGAGGAATTGTCATCGTCTGCTGCTGGCCGGGCTGCGGGTTGCCATGAAGGCACTAGAGGACCTGAGCTACCCGCACGCCAAGATCGCGCGGGTCGGTGGCGTGACGGAGCTGGAGCTCGCGAGGCTAGAGATTAGTTTTTGCTTCCTGGCTGGGTTCGAGCTCGTCGTCGGAGAGGAGAGCCTCAGGAGGCACTGGGAGGTGTTGAGAGACGGCCGAGGGCTTGGTGGTGGCGGTGGCGGCGGTGACGGCATGCAAGACGTCGGCAGGGTGCCAATTTTAAAACTTGAGCATAAGCGGAAGGTGGCTGCCAATGCCACCGCAGCTGCAGCAGTAGCTGGTGGTCCGTAGGAGGCAGGCACATCAGTGAGCAGCAGAGACGGCGTGGCGCCCCACAAAGAACAAGCTAGTCAACAAAGGCTGTGCGGTCCAGCAAACTGGATTGACAGATATCTTGACAGTGTCAAGACGATTTTGAGTAGCGGAAATAGGGTTCTTGATGGGTTACCATAAGCATTGGGGCGGTTTTCTTGTCATTGGACGGGCTTTTGTCGACACTACTGCATCCCCCGCGCATACGAAGAAGGGTCATATGGGTTTGCGTGGTTGACATTCTGATCTGAGAGCACAGCATTCTTGGGAAGGGGCAGCACTTGTCGAAATTCGCAACAGCAAGCAACGATTTTTTACCCGCACACATGATACCCGAGCAAGATGGATTTAGTTGTCGTTGGCATTGTATTATACTAGCTTACTTTTTTTGGCCCTTTGGGCTTGGATGAGACGGAGGTTGAACGTTGAAAGCGGACAGCGGATCAGTGGAACATGGAAACAAAGAGAGAGAAAGAGAGGAAATCAAGGAACGAAACTGAGATCCTAAGGGTGACATCTGCATCATGGAGCAAGAAGGAAACGGGCAGACGTGGATGGGGAGTACGGTAAGAGACGAAGAGCATACATAGCATTACCCTCTCCCTCTCTGTACACAGGGTGTTCACAGAGAGAAAGAAAGGCAAGGTTGATCGACTCAATGGTAATAACTGAATGATCCTATCCTCAAGTTTCATTGCAAAATATGTATTGTTCTCGAGGGTAACAATTCTTAGGGCGATTCAAGTTCGGCTTCACTTTATCATTGCTTTCTTCATGCGGTTCGGTGGGGGCAAGAACTAAGTTTCCCCGCACCTGCAATCCCGCCCAGGAAGGTATCAACTCTCGAGATCCAGTCAACGAGTCACAACCACATAGATCTGGTGCTTGCATGATTGATGCTGCCAGCCTACACTCAGCTCTGCGCGAGGTTGACTCCACAAGCAATTTGTCAAGTATCAACGAAACTCCGAATCCCTATCTCAATCGACATACGCCAATCGCGTTGCTTCTCTTCCATCAACAGAGAAGCCCTTCCAAGAACCCCACGACAAACAATTGGAGCTCCTCCTACCCGAACCAGGAAGACTCCCGTAGCAACTTCAAGATCTAGATACTTAACTCTGAACCCGAGTTATCTCCGCCAATCCCAGACAGCCACCATGGCAAGCCTTCAAGAAGTCGACGCCATCCTAGCAGGCAAATACCCCGCCAAAGCTCACGCCCGCCGCGTCGCCGAGCACATCCTCTCCAAGAAGTCCGCCACTTCATCGACAACCAAAGGCATCATCTACCTAGAAGGCCGCGCCGACGCCCTCCTAGAAGACACCGACGAGCCCGTCCCCTTCCGCCAGCGTCGCGCCTTCATGTACCTGAGCGGCGTCGACGACGTTGCTGACTGCGCGCTGATATACGACCTCGACGCCGACAAGCTGACGCTCTTCATCCCGCCCATCGATGCCGCATCCGTCATCTGGGCCGGTCTGCCGCTGAGCGAGGCCGACGCGCAGACGAAATATGATGTGGATGAGGTGCTAAGGACGACGGAGCTGAACGCCACGCTTGCGAAGCTGGGCGCGGAGAAGGGCGAGCAGGGCATGATTTATGCGATTGCGGACCGGGTCGCGGATAAGATTTCTTTTCTGGAGTTTGGGGGGAAGGATTTCAAGGTTTTGGGGGAGGTGGTGGAGGAGTGTCGGGTGGTCAAGGACGATTACGAGATTGCGCTCATTAGGAAGGCGAATATTGTGAGTGGGGTGGCCCATAGAAAAGTGTTGGAGAGCGTACGCAAGGTGGCGAACGAATATGAGCTCGAGGGTGTGTTCGTGGGTGAGTGCATGAGGGGGGGGGCCAAGCATCAGGCGTACCCGTGTATAGTGGCCAGTGGTAGGGCTGCGGCGACGTTGCATTATGTGCATAACAATAAGGAGGTCGAGGGGAAGGAGTTGTTGTTGTTGGACGCTGGGGCGGAGTGGAAGTTGTACGCTTCGGATATCGTGAGTGTTTATCATCACGGGAGGAAATAACAGAAGAGATGACACAGCTGACATCAACCGTAGACAAGAACCTTCCCCATCTCGGGCAAGTTTACCAAGCGCTCCCGCGCCATCTACGACATCGTCCTCAAGATGCAAGAAGATTGCACGGCCGCGCTCAAGGAGGGCGTCCTCTGGGACGACGTCCATCTGCTCGCACACAAGATCGCCATTGACGGACTCCTGGCGCTCGGCGTGCTGAAGGGCGACAAGGAGGAGATCCTGAAGGCACGGACGAGCACGGCGTTCTTACCGCATGGTTTGGGGCATTATCTTGGCATGGATACTCACGATACCGGCGGTCATCCCAATTATGAGGATTCGGATCCGCTGTTTAGGTTTTTGAGAGTCAGGGGACGGTTGCCGGCGGGGAGTATAATTACGGTCGAACCTGGTGTAAGTGCTTTCTCAATGAGTTGAACTGAGATAAGATACTATGGTGGGCTCACTGGCTGATGATGACAGATCTACTTCTGCGAATTCATCATCCGCCCCTACCTCAAGAACCCGAAGCATGCGCACTTCATCGACGAGAAGGTGTTGGATGAGTACTGGGATGTCGGTGGTGTACGGTGAGTGACTCTCCATGGTGGAAACCATTGGTTTCACGCAAATACTGGACTGACTAACTGTGCGGTACTAGAATTGAGGACAATATCCTCATCACGAAAGATGGCACCGTGAATTTGACGGATGCGGTCAAGGATCCTGAGGAGTTGGAGAAAATCATTTCTGGCTCTGGCTGAGGGAGGAGGTGTATACGTTGGCATGTGACAGATGGCTTGGAGGGAGTATGGAAGATTGGTTCGTTGGCTTATCGGTTGCCGGTTGATTCACGGTTGCAGTTGCGGATTAATGTATACTAGACGTTCACCGGATATCAACATCTGGTAACGTATGAAGAAATTCAAATCGACGTCGATGATGTGGACTATATGAGTGAAAAGTCGAGCTTGTTACGTTGTGCTGTATAAGTCTACTACGCAATGTCGCCGCCTGCCCTTCCGCAGGCTATATTCCATTCTGATGGGGGAGGGCCGGACCCGGATACACAGGTGTGTGGCGCTTCGTGAAATCCTCTGTTACTTTCTCCATGACGGCAACGGCATAAATTTCTTGTTCCCACCCTCTGTCAGTCCTCGCTTGGACCTCTAACGATGTGTCGCCACCAGCGTTGGAATGTTCCTTCATTATGTTGACGGGACCTTGGTCGGGGCTCTCTGACGTGAGGCCCAGTTTCTTTTCAGTATCACCATCAGCATGATTCTTTGCTGGTATCTCCAGACACTTGGCCGGCGCTCCCTAACTTGTTATCCTTTCTTTGCTAGTAATCGTGTCATTATTGTTCAGGGTCAGGCCTTAATATGTTGCTACTACTAGTCAGTGATCCCGCTTTTGACTAGTTTGTGTTAGAGGTTGACTTCGCAAATTAGGTTTGAGTGAGTGGCACCACTTATCCTCGTCTCAGCGCCTGGGCACAGATCTTATGTGCTGTTTCAAGACCGTGTTATAAGGGACAAGCTCAAGCCCTGGGTACTATAGCAATTCTATATGTCAAATAATAGTTGAGCAGGATGAATTTCCTATTGATGGCAGGAATGCTAAATCTGGGGTGTGGTTAAGGGCATCTTATACCTGCATCCACGTACTTGACGGTCAAGGTTTGAAAGCCTTTCAACCCTCACGAACCTATCCTATTGTTTTCGGTTGGCGCCGAGAGAACGTGTGACTACGGCGTCTTTAGTTTCTACCGCACATGACTGCCGTGGTTGGATGTTGGCTGGAAGGCATCTCTTGTGTACAAGGAGCACAATGAGGACAAATACCACGACATGGACTGACTGGCTGCATAGTATTTAGCGGGGTTGAAGGTTTGCTAATGTATGATATATTGTTTCTTTCCGACATTGATACCATATCTGCATAACTGATAGCCATGGCCATGGTAATGTAAGTGTATGACAACGAGATTCACAGTGCGGCAGCTGTCACCATCTTCGTACTTTTCCACCTCCTATCCTGTTCATTTGTACAACTCCCTGGACTAGTCGCACAACCTAGTGATCACGAGCCTCTCCTCCGAATTAGACACACAGTGATCCTCCCAAAAGCATCCCAAGCCTCAGGCATAAACCACATCTTCACCATCCACCCCACCACACTCCTCAACCTCCTCTGCCCCTTCTTCCACTCTTCCTCCTCCAATTCCGACGCGGTTATCCTATGCAACCTCTCATAGACGGGATAAAAACGTACCAAATGATTAATAACCACAATCACCATCTGTTGCGCCCTCTGGCTCCGGCGTTTCGTCCCCATTGCAAAAAGAAACTCGCACTCGTGCTAGAGAGTAGACTTTTGGCTCTCTGAAGGACAATTCCCACATCTCTGCGCCCTAATCGTCCGCTGCATCGTCTTCACAATCCACAGTCTTGCATGCGTCACGTCGTGAGACCCAGACATTTCCGGCGCTGAATTCAACCCCCCGTCGGCTACGAGCATCATAATGTCCATATTACAATCCGTAGTGGGAGGGCACCAGTCGCAGGCTGTCTTGAGAGCCCAGGCCGCCATGACGATCCCGGGGCCCAGGTTTCCCGGCCGCTCGCGGTGGCCGCAGATGGCATAGTACAGGCTGGACTGGCACTAGGTAAAGTGCGCGCGAGGGGTTTGGTTGGCCTAGGGACCGATGCAGTAGGTGTGGAAGCTGTGGCCGCAGGAGAGGGTCACGAAGCGGGAGGTGGGGGTTTCGTTTTCTTGACAGATGGCACAGAAGCGGGTTCTGCTGGGGGTTGTTGATTGGATTGGATGGGAACAGTTGTTGGTGGCTCTGATTTTGGCTCTGATTTTGACTCGGATGTATTGTTTGATGGGGATGGTGTGTTAGTGCTCGTGGTAGCGCTGGCGGCGTTGGTTTGGTAGTGTTTTCTTTCAGGAGTGTTGGTGGATTCTTGCGGTGCAATACTGTGAGACTCGCAGAGGTCTGTAACAGATGTTTCGGTCATAGCCTCTGAGACAGCACCTTCTAGAATAAGTTTGATGTCTCTGGTTGATGATCCAGTAGTAGTAGTACATCGCTACTTGTCATGATGAGTCTTACCAATGATGGACTCGTTGTCCATGGCTGCTTGTCGAAGTCTTGGTTTGAAAGAGAGTCAGACTCTTGCAGGATGTTCTAGTCGTGACAATGGTTCAAATTTGGAGTATTTTATAGTTGAAATGTAGCTGAGCATGTATACTCGAGTGCGTGATGTCGTTCGAGACGGTTGACTTTGCAACTCAGGGGATGTGGAAAGTCTTGCAGCCAGAAAAGTAGTTATACACTTGGATATATGTAATCAAATTATCTATTCTATTCTGTCGGAAAAACAGAACCATGAAACATGATATTACCCACTGAAGTTGGTGACATGCTAATGGACTTATGGATCCCATTTTTAAAGTCGGACGAAATTGCTCAAAACACAATATCGCAATACTGGTGCTCTATCAAGAACCATTCCAGCTACGGTGGGTGGTCTATGGCGACACCCAGCAGAATTTTCGGATGTGGCCAAGACATCGGTATACACCCCGTCAGGAGCTCTGTTAAAAAGCTTGTGAGAGACTATTTTAACTTGGGACATTTATCTTCTTCGCCATGTAATTTGGAAAGGTGATCCGGCAATACTGCTCGAGCCACCAGGTACTGCGCATGATGAGAAAGGAAATATAGAACCAAGTGAATTCCTGCTTGTATGCCGCTATCCAAGCTGTCCTGTGCATACTTTGTGGCGGGATTTGGCAGGTGTGACACATTAATGTACGGTTCTATTCATTTGATCACGCAGATCTGAAACGGAAATGATGTAGTTCGCAAAAGGCCAACGGGACACATGCGAGCCCCTACTCCTATCTGTGTCATTAATTAAGGCGTCCCCACACAAACGTGCCACCAGCACTCCTTCCCTACCCCCTGATTTATCCCCTCGCCCGCAACTTAATCCCTATACTTCGCAACGTCCTCCCCCGTCTTCACAGGCAAAAAGTTCAACTTAGGCGCACTCCCATCAAACCACGAAAACACGCGCATCTTGACACTGGCCGGAATCCAGGGGAATACCCGCTTCATCATCTTCGTCCACCACCCACTCATACACTCGAAATCAGCAAAGATGCTCGACGATATGCGCACGAAGTGCGCGCGCGGCCGCGCCTGCTTCTCGTACTGGTCGAATACCTGGACGAGCTCCTTCGTGCTTGGTGAGGGGTTGCGTTCGAGGAGGGGCACGAGGCCGTTCACGAGGCCGCAGATGTCGTCGACGCAGAGGTTGCCCCCCATTCCGAGGTTGGAGGTTGCCTGTGGGAAGTGAGGCTCGTTAGTGGCGTGTAGAATGGCTTCGTGAGGAGGGCGAAAAGGAGAGATCTAACCTTGTGCACGGAATCGCCGACTAGAACCGTTCGACCTCCCGAGTTCCATGATGTTTTTATGATTCCTTCTTCCATCGGAACCATAACACATTTATCAAGGTTGGCGAACATGTCTTTGAAAGTACAATTGCCCGTGGCCCGCAGGTGGCCATACTTGGTCATGACGGCATCTATATCCGTCTGCGAAGCCACAGTGTTAGTCATATTCGCTGCGCAGTCTATCGAGTTCACATACCTGAGTGAATTTCCTGCAGGGATATTCCGAAGGCGTCTCCATGGGCACGTATATAAACCAGAAAACCTTCCCCGGAACGCCCGCCACCGTAAGTCCGCCGACTTGCTCCTTTTCGTCGTACACATTGCTACCCTTCCCATCTGCCAGGAAGGCAACTTCCGGATTGCCGGGGAAGTGGTTGTAAGACGTACCCGCGAGGACGTAGTATCTGGCCTTAAACCCCCTGGCGAGGGCCTTGGATGCGGATGGGTTCTTATCCTGGAGAAGCTCAGCCATGTGCGTCCGGACGCCGCTATGCACGCCGTCGGCGCCGACGAGGATGCTGCCCTCGATGACATTGCCCTTGTCAGTTATTACAGTCACGCCGTGGTCGCTCTCCGTGAACGAGGCAACGCCTTCCCGCGTTCGAATTCTTGCCTCGGATTTGTCCTCAAGGCCGTCATATAGCGAAGTGAAGAATGTGTGGCGATCAACGAAGAGTGCCGGGCGCTTGGCCCTTACTCGGATACGAGTGTCAGTGTATTCTTCATGACGGCCGTTCAACAGACGAATTTTGACCGAACTTACCTTTGGTAGAGCTGAAGAAGCTCATCCGATGAGCAAAACAAGCTTCCCGTGCCGTCCCAATGCTCCCTTAGCAGTATCGGGAACCCGACCTCCCTGGTAGCTTTCCCGACACCAAGTTGTTCGTGCACAAGACTGGTGCAAGGCAACACGAAGAGAGATTGTCCCACGTCGGTGGCAATGTCCCGCTTCTCGAGCAGCACAAAGTCGATGCCCGCCCTTTCTAGAGCATTAGCCAATGTGAGCCCGGACACACTGCCGCCGGCGATGATGACCTTGAAGCCAGATTTTGGGGAGTCCGACATGGTTAGAAGGATTGACGTTGCACAAAGATTCTTGGGAGGGAAAAGCAGGAGGGGTCAAGTTGGACAGATAAGTCCTCTAAAGACAAGCCGTGCCCCTAAGCTCTGGCCTACAATGCCGATGTAAGCAAAGTCGCATTCGGGTCTAGTCCATATTGAACCCGGTGTATGGGTACCATCATGAATCGCTATGCTACGGTGCAAGGCCCTAAAACCCACAGTTTCTAGCCTGATACGGCGTAAGACACCGCACGGCAAGTAAGTCGTGCTAGGGGCTGTCGCCATTCCATTGGTACGCTGCTGGCGACTCGGCGGCTTGATCGCCCTGCAGCCAACTGGTTCGCCGAGGGTCCTTGACGCATCGAAGGGACCCTCAATTCCTGTCGACTCTCACGCGGGTACAGACCGAATCTCAACTCCACCAAGCATCCGGGCCGATCACCCTGGTAGGTCGGGATGGGGTTGGCTGAAAGTATGATTAGCGACCAAAAGAATCCCCAAGGATATTGATAACGAGTTGTCGAGACACAAGCCCCTTTCAAGTTTGGAACTTGGAAAAAGGAGGGAGAACATTGTTCCGTTGGACTCGACCAGCACTGAGTGAACGTACGATAGGTCTCAGCGCTTCAGTCTTACCCCATTCTAAATGGATATTAACCCCACTATATCGACATGTACCGGACCCGCGTGCAACCCCCAGACTTGATCCCATTTCGGGCGTAAGTCAGCGCAGTAAACGCGGGCATGTAGTTTGGGGTCCCTCTTGTGGGAGGGCAAGTCTTACAAGAGAATCCGGGATTAGCCGCTGGCTCTGTCAGAACTTTATCTTACCTTTGAACCACTGGTCGGAGCACTGCTATGAAGAGGAGTTGCTTTATCGAGATCGAAATGGAGCAACGGTTTTTTAATATCGTTTATTATAACCAGCTGTGATCATTGAAGAACCAGACATTAGCCTGTATTACAGCGGCCGGCTTATGCACCAGCCAAGCTTAGAACCACTAAGCTAAGTGGGGTATGGAGCAACGTTGGCAACGCCGTCGGGCAAGGTCGTCTGGACTCGAGACTGCAGGGACCAGTTGCGAGCCCGATATGATGGAAGTGAACTGATCTGGCACAAGGAAAAGCTGCTATCCCAACTCCAACTTATCCTGTTTGGGTCGGATAATCACACTAGTTAGTGAACGGAATCATAGATCGATGATAGAGATGGGCAAAAGATGAGGGAGTTGGAGATGTCTGGTGGATGATGCTCAGGTGTTTTGAATTTTCCATTTCCGATAGATTGGATTGGAGGTACCGTAAGGCTGGACCATAAGTGAAGTTGCGACGAGTCAAATACCTATGAGCGTACTATGTAAGCTAACCAGGTACAAAACCTAAAGTCTTGGCAAAAGTCTACAAGCGGAGGGTACTATAATGCAGTAGTGCGCAACGTTATAGTACCTAATTGAATGGGATTCACCTAACCAGTGGGTCCCCCTACCTCTTCGTATCAAGCAGGTACCCGTGCCACTTCTTTAGATTTCGCGAATCCTTCAGGACAGCGAACTCGGTAGATTTCGACTATTTTCTACTATTTCTTACCTCCCTATCTAGAAACGCCGTAATAGTCGCTTTTGCCCCCTATTTTCAATAAGCTCAGCAGGCCGCCGGATGCGAACCAACTGCGCTCGTCATAGACCCAGACATCAGTTTGTGTTAAAGACCTCTTGTAAGCGTTGGAAATAGAGGTGGATGTTATTAACGTCTTCGGCACACTATCGAACAGTATGGAGCTGCTTTTAGGTATGTTTGCAGTACGTACGGCGTTTTAGGAAGCGTGCCGACCATTTACTGCTAACTTACGGAGCGTCTTCTCGACCACACCTATTACGTAGAGTGTAGTTTGCCGCGTTTGTAACGAACTCTGGCCTAACAGTACCATCCATCCATCCTGTCTAACCTAGGCGGTCGATATAGTTACAGACGGCCTTTTCTTCGGGTTCTGATAAAAGCTTATTTAAGCTTTGGCGACTCTTTTTAGGTAGGATGCCGTTCTGCCGGTCTTGGAGCGTACTACAAGGCACGCTAAATTCTTGCGCGACGGTCGCTACTTTGGCTTGTGGGAGATTTATACGAAGGCCAAAAAAGGATGTTTTTTTTCTCCTTTCTGATGGCTACTTCTGGCTTGATGCGGGGTTTTGTAGGCGTTCGGCCCTGCACTTGGCCGTACCTTCCCATCTGCGGGTTTTGTTCAAGGTATCTTAGCGCATCTTAGAGTTCTTCTTCCATCGTGGGATTGATAATCTGCTGATTTGATAGAGATACGTGGTGCTGAATTCGAATGGTGTGAAAACTGCCGAGTCTGCTGTCCAGCACCAGCTTTAGCTGATGAGCTCTGGCGAAATCTGAGAAAATGGTAACGCGCTCCGATGTCTGACATATGTTCAGCATATCCGGTAGCGATACGGAAAGTTTTTTATGTACATACCCTGCCCTTTTATCAACGCGACAACGGTTAAGGACATGGATATATTTCATTCATAGATTAATGTTGGATTACAGCCACTCTACAAGCCACACACATCCATATCGGAGGAATAAGTATCGTACCCAACCCTACGTAGGGTCACATCGGCAGTCCATCGGCAGTGACAAGGACACAGACATATCAATCAATCCATTACTTGAATGCTCATTTGGCCAGATACATGTGTAACCCAACAAAACTCCTACTTGAGTTTAACATATATTGAACTTCGAAGCGCGTTGTGTTTGAAGTACCTGTTGAACTTTGCGAAGACCTTAGGTGTTGTACCTGGTTGGGAAAACCCTCAGTACCTATTGTGTTGCGTTACTTGTAGGTGCTTGAGTGCTGACTAAGGCCATCCTTTCATTGGTCAACAGCGAAGGCCAGGGAAATAGTCGGCCCGGTCTGAGACGGGAAAAATGTCCGTGACGTCAAACCAACTGCAAATCGGCGTTGGTGATGATGGGAACTGCGAGACTGTTCAACACTCGGAATCAGCACAAGAAATCGTGAGAGGAAAGCCCAGTTCAGTCTAAGGCGCATAGGGAAGGCACACGATACACTTGTCGTCACTGGAAACATCATCCCTCATACATTCCTCCTTCAGTTGTTCATCATGCTGTGCAATACGTGCCGGCGTGTCGTGGCTTTGTCAGCGCGTCAAACATGTCGCCAATCACGAGCAGCAATCTCCTCAAAGGCACCTTTGATACAAGGCATGACCCGCCTAATCCGGACAAGTCCCTCCACCAGACTACCAATATCTTCCTCATCTTTTCTTCAAAACTACTCCACCACTTCAGACGCAGCAGCCGCCGCCTCTCCATCTGCAGAGCCATCAGGACCGCAGAAGCCCGATTACTTGGATCCCGCCGAGACAGAAATCTGGAATAAACTGATGGCCGAGTTTGAGCCGACGGAACTCATGGTGCAGGACATTTCCGGCGGATGCGGCTCTATGTACGGCATCGAGATTGCTTCGGACAAGTTTCGCGGCGCAAATATGCTCAAGCAGCAGCGCATGGTGAATGCCGTTCTGGGCGAGCAGATGAAGGGGTGGCATGGGGTACAGTTGCGGACTAAAGTTCCGTCATGATCGCTTGGGGGAACGCGCTAAGAGGGGCCGTGTCGCCGACCCAGGAGACGAGGAGGCAGGGAGGAACGCCTTTGAAGATTACTGATCTTGGCCAGAGACTCAGTTCACGAGTTGAACATCGTGATACGTTTGTCTTGCCGAATCAGCACGACGGTGCCATGCAGATTACGGACCAATCCTGGAAAGGATTCGGTCGACAGCTTGAGAATTGGGGCTGAATGTATCAGTATTGTACACTTAGCATTGGGATGGGGCTGTCATAGAGAAGGGGTCTCGTCGCTCGTGCGAGCAAATGAAACAAGGATATATCCGCCTCGGGCTCCGACATTGCGACTCATTACGTGGCCTCAAGACTGCAGGATGTCAGAGGCAGTGTACAATATTAACAACTTGTCCGACATGTGCGCATCTGCTATTGACCAGGAGACCCACCCCGTCTGTACCGCCATTGACGTATCTGTAAGGTGTCAGGCTCATCCTCGGTTGGTCATTTTCTTGGAGAAGCATCATCCCCTTGTTGAATATTGGGTCAGGGATCCATGCTTCGGGCATAACCTGCGTTGTCTTGCCAGGGATGTCGGATGGCACCCTGAGCACGGCACTAGGTTTGGCCGCATGTTTGACAGGCTAATTTTATGTATTGAATCAATCACATCTTTTCATTATGTGGTACCGTATTGAGCCTCAAATCGACCCATTGTAGCTACTATATCTGGTGGTTTGGGTTTCTTGAACTCGTCCCTCCTATCCAGCACATAGTGAGATGTCTCGGATTACTAAACCACCGATATATCCCTCTAGTAATAGCACAAGACCAATAGCCGGCGGCACGCGCTATACTCACGCCCTGCTGCTCTGATGCCCTGCGTGGGACGTGATCGATGACTTGCATATGTGGGGCTTTCCCTACTGAAGATCTTGTATCCGCATCAATGTTGATCATGTGTGATAACTTCTAGAAGCTTTTCCCACTTCATCTTGAAGACTTATCAGTCTTCTTTGGCTGGGGACGGTTGGAGTGATCTGTACTTGACCCAGGAAGCTTACAGCAATGTGAGACACGAGTATTTCCGCATGCCGGTAAAGCTGAAAAGTAAGTTCTCTTTGAATGCCAAGCGTTAGTGGGAAGAAGGCCACAGATGGCGGCATTCACACCAGACTAATGGTGATACCACGTACAGGCAACACCTACATATCCAAGGCTTCCCGAACGCCGAAGCGTAATAATGTCGCGATTGATTTCCCATCAAAGGATTCATCAATGCAACAAGACGAGGCGAACCATGCTCGTTAGGCATATAGGGACGACTCTGGGTGCTTCACGATAATTTGTTCGGCTGCATCCCTATTTCTCCTATTTATGTCTGATTGGGTTTTTCGTTTTTGCAAGTTTGGAACAGAAAAAAGCAAGCTTCGTCCAAAGCTACTGTGTAGTACATACCCAAGTACCAGGAAACCGGAGCGGTGCCAATGCGGCCGGTCGGTTCTCCGTATCACCCACACACGACACAAACAGGGGCTCCCTTGATCCTTGCTCGAGCTCGGACAGCAGTGCGAAAATGAACCACCACCTCCCCGTTAGATCTAGATTTCTTACTCTCCTCAACTGTGTTTCGACATCTAAAGTAGCAATCAAGTTTAAATGGCCGACAGGGCTATGCAGTGACGATTGGGTTACGCTTTTGAGAGGTGGAGAGTGAGGCACGGTTCTCTCTAAGGCTGAAATGTTCATGCCAAGATTTTAACGAAGGGAAAACCTTGCGAACTATTACTGTGAAGTAACTAGAGGCGCTCCCACCCCATAGTTCGAGTGCTGCTTAATTCCCGATTACTGAACACACCATCACTCAAGTTGCGCCGCACCCATTGATGGCGGTTCTTGTTACTAACACGCCGGGTGTAGCTTATACTTGGAGCGGCATGATCCACTTACTCCTTCGTGAAGATGGGAAAATACCCATGCGAAAGACCCAGCGATCTGGTACCCGTCCTTTCAGATCTCAGATTTGAAGTGACTAGCCGTGATCGTGCTAGCTCTGGTCTCATAATCCGGGTCACGACGACGTCGCCTAGGCGCTGCCCCGGCTGCTTTCTATCCCATGAGCCAATCGACATCCCCCAAGCCGAGTCTTCACTGCTAGCACCACCTAGGTCCACCTTGCAATGCGGGCCGCACGCCGTATAATCGACCAAGCCGCCTTCCTGCCTTGTGGGCCTTTATTTGTCTCGAGTCAGCATCGCAGACTTGCAGTTCTTCTTTTTGAACGTCTCTTGCTAGTTACCACTATCTAATCTTAAGCCTCCTTTTCGTGTCACGTCCAGGCCAAGTTGTGTCTATAAGAGACGAACCCATCGACTACAAAAACTGCCATCATGCTGGCCCATTCCAGTTACCCAGGCATTAGTAGAATTAGTAGTAACAGCGCAGCTAGAGTTAACAGGCCCCCGTACGCTGGGACCGCTGCAACGACACACGACACCTACCGCCAATACCCCACGCTTCACACAGAAATCATGAACATCGACGTCCAACCTCCGAACCAGGTCCAAGCCGGATCCACGCTGTACCCACCGCTAGTTGTCACTTCCGACAGCAGCGCAGACTACGACTTTTTGCAGGTGATGGCGCTCGATGCTCACGGCCGCGTCCTCGACGGCGTGCTACATGGGACCCTATCGACCGCCCGACAAGCTCTCGATGATAATGCCGGAGGTGGGGCCAGTTCGTACTCCTCACTGGAATATGCCGTGTTCCCTGACCTGGCATTTCGGTACTCGGGGTCGTACTATTTGCGAGTCAGTGCCGTGCGTATAGACTACAGCCAGCCGGAGCCCGAGGCTGTCGTGGTCACGTCGCTTTGCACTAGGGAAGTGCTGGCCTGGGAAGTCCCTGTTGCGGTCGAAGTACCATGTAAGTATTGCTTCAAATACTTCCATGTCGTCGATTATTTCTGACATCGTTGCAGCGAGCCAAGAAAAGTCTCTTCTGCGCAGACTACGACGCCACGGCGGATTTGGAGTCCCCAGGCCTCCAACTCGTTGATCTACCGGCGAATGGGTCAAGTTGCTGCGTACGTACATAGCAGGCAGGGTAGCATGGATGGGCGACTCATGTCACAAGGTTACGGGTCATGGCTAGGAGTTGGAAATTCGGGATACAGTATTCTTTCCGGTGATCCGGTGATCCCGGTGGTAATGGTGGCAATGGTGGCTCGAGTCTGTTCAACTTTGTGGACATGTTCACTCCTTAGAATCGCATGCTAGATTCTGTCTAGAAGTTTCTATTCTAATCTTATGAATCACACCAGCATGTTGAACTCCCATTATCAATGGAAGTGAACATCAGCACCTCTCGTGACTGACCCTGCTATCACCAAACATCTGACCAGATTGCCCCAGTGTGGATGGGAAAATAAAAAAAAAAAATATTAAATACGCCGTAGGTGTTAACCCTCGGTACCTCTACAAGTACTCCCTTAAGGGGCTATAGATGATATAGCGGGCCCTTAAGCCGCGTCGGGCGGTTATACAGGTAAACTTGTAGCCAAATGACTACTAAACCTCCTGTCCCTCCCTAAGTCTGTGCTACAACCCCTGCCTGAACTACCGATAAGTGTGGTAATGTGGCACTTAAATTCGTCCTCAGGGGTGGGATGCTGCTGATGTGCAGAAGATGCTCGACTATTTTTTGTCGCGACAAGTCGTAGTATCTGCTAATTGGGGTTCTCGTCGAGCGTATACATCTCAACCATACGCTCAAGTGGATAGACCGTAACGTGGTCTAGACGCTCGCAAGAATCGCGGCGAGGGGGCGTGCTGCGCGCCTTCTATCGTGAGGGGACGGGTTCGCCGACGAGCGTTATCGGATAGGCGAGGTCCGATAAGGGGTCGGATTAACGATTCGAATTCTGGACCGGCTGTCGAGTTATATTCCGCCGACGTAGTGCTTGACGGTCGACTGGCTAGGATGCTCGTAATCCTAAACTGCACCAATCTCCCTATTATCGCTAGGTAGGCGAAGTCAACAAGGTGGGCAGCGCGCCGTAAGGGTTGACTAAACCCCCTTGTGTGTCAGCTGCGGGATTCGAACCCGCGACTCGTCACCGACCCAAGTGGGCGAGGCTCAAATCGGGACTTATCTACCAGCGAAGTGACCAACTACACCAGCCGACATGGGAAAATATCACCATCAAAACAATGGGCGCATGCCGCTTCTCGGTGTACAAGTAGAACTTATCGCAAACCAAGACGTGCTCATCGAATCACCATGAGCTCAGCTCGCAAGCAAAACCACCATAAGGCCAGCATATGCTGATCGTCTTATCCACTGCAAGTGTTGCCCAAAAAGTAATCATAATTCTATGGTCACAAAAGCATGTTTGTTATACTTGCAAATATGACCGATCCCCTCCTAGGGTCAAGGATGAAGACATCGTGACCTACTTTCTTCGGTCCGCCAGGCTTGCGGAGCCTAGAGATGCCTGTGCAGGAACTATCTACAAAGCGAATTTTACCAAGCTGCGTCCTGAAGTGAACTAGGAAGAGCCGCTTGTCAATGTAAAGGGACTTTTCGACACGGCCAGCCAATGACTACTTGGAGCTCTCTTTGAATATGTAGCCAATCCCTGGTTACAGAATCAAATTAGGAATTTCATTCGCAAGAGTATCCTTCCAATCAGAAACGTTTGAAACAAATGGTTCAGAACATCAAATTTCTCTCAACTATTGTTGTTCGTGCGGCCGCATGTGCCTTCGAGAAAAAATGAATACGAGTTAGATCGTTTCACAGACCTGTCGATGAACAGCGACGATACAGGGTTCCCCCGATCTCACAGACAGATCGGAATCCTGGCTTGCAGCCAAAACAGGTATGACACCAAAGATCTGCCACGGCTGCAGAATCAGATCGGGCCAATGACTGGTCGATATGTTTCTTTTCATCTGAACGCCACTAGTGGAGAAACCGTAATTGTTGGGGATGGAAGGACAAGGGGGCTTCGTCGCATTTTATGCATATGTAGGATTTCCAAAACGGTTTCTCATCTCATGTCGCTGGCAGTACGAGGTGGCCAGATGAGGCAAACCAGCTCACGTATTCATTGGTGGTAAATAGTTTCGCGAGTGTTGGGGGGGAGGGGGGTTTAAAATGACATGATCTTGTCATCACTAACTATATGCTGTGAAACATATATGTAACTTGTGTAGAGAATACATGGGCCACTGTGACAAGCCACAAATCTGAGGACTTATACCGCCGGAGACAAGCCGTACCGAGATGGGATGAGATGATTGAGCTCTAGGATCTAGCAAACCTACTCTTCCTTCTCGGTTGGTTTGGCACAACTTGATGGGAAAACGGGTATTGGAAATTAACAAATGCTGGAACTATGAGTTTCTTATGGCATTTGTGTAGACGACGTGTGAGGGAGTTTGGTGGCGTGATTCCGCGGTCAGTACCAACTATTCCTGTTATGACCCGGTCTGTCCCACAGGGTAGCTCAGGGTCAAGAAGAGTAGGCAGCACCGGCACCAATAGGAACACCAACCGACGCAACCAAGAGTAGAGTGCTTGAAACCCTGAACGTCACCGTTCCTCCCACACGGGACGGTCTCCGACGACGCCACCATCGCCAGCCCTCAGAAACTCAAGCCACGCATCATCTCCCATGATCTCATCGGCCGCTTCCAGAGCTGTTACGTTGGGCCACATCATGGGAAAGACCTGGTTAATTTGCGTCTGTGGGCTCTCGTCGATTGGTCCGAGTTGCTCTCCGTTGGGTGTCTGCGTGAATATCACGTTTGGGTCGGCCGCGATGTTACTCTCTGGCCCCCTTTCGAGATTATTGGGCTCGTGAGCGACATCTTGAGGGTTCTGTTGAGAAGAAAGTGGTATGGAGACCGACTGGGGGTCTCTCAGGTATTGGCCGCAGAGATCAACAATCACCTGGTAGGATCTGGCGGAACTTGGATTTATCAGTGCCATGGCCTTGATCGTGCGGAGAGTCATGGAGATCTGCTCTGACCAGCTGGGTGAGTCTGGGGTAAGAGGCGCATTTCGTAGACAGATGCAGGGTATCAGAGCTGCCTGGAAGAGGAAATACCTGGTGTTATGTAAGTATCGTATCTTCACAGATGTCATGTATTTGAAAGGGGGTCTTACAAGGCATACCAAGCAGCAAGGCGATTGTGCTCGTTCTCATCCCAGAATTTGCTGATCGACTCAATGGTGAACTTGGCGTCAGCAAGACAGCGACTGTAGGCCTTTAAGTCGGCGGCAGAATCTTCCACTCGCCCCTGGCGCGTGTTTAATGCTTTCCGTATGACAAACGGTCGGTACATGATGATTCGGAGGTTTCGGTACCGCCATTGCATCACCGCATGTGCCAAAGCGTACTTTGAGGGCACAATACTGCCTTCAGTGAAACAGGGGGGCAGACTGGCCAGCCAGGATTCGATGCACTCGGCGTCCATTCGGAGGAGCTCCCCCGAGCTAGGAAAGGGCTTGGATATAACCCTCGAGTAGATATCATTCGTGGCTACGTGGAAGCGAGCTTGTGTGCCTACAGCCGTGTATGGTGTTATACCGGTGTTTCCACGTGGGTATGTTTTCGAGTTTGCGGTCAACTCCTAATAAGGGGTCAGAAACTATATACGTAGCTTAGATGTTCTGAATATGACAAAGACATACTCGATCGGTTACGTTCATCGGAAACGCCACCTCGACGCCATCATACGGCCAGACCATTGGTCGACTGAAGGTTATGGTGGCGCCAACATCAAAGACGCATAGGGACCACCAGACACGACGACGGATTTCCATATTTAGTGGTGAGATATTCCAGCCAGGGAACTCCTTGTGGAGGCCTAATCCTGTAGCCATCCTCACAGCAAGGCCGAGGTAGTTGTACCCGGAATTTGGCTTGTCTCGTTTCTGCTGGTAGTTGGAAATCAACGTCAAAGCTTGCAAAAGTGTCAAATTCCCCGTCTCTAGGAAGTCAAACGATAGCATCGACCTGGCGCGGGCGAATAGTTCCAGATCCAAACTACCGACCGAAGTGGCTGAGCAAAAAACACCGAGGGCAGCAACGATGTAGGCCAGTATCTGCCAACTGCGCCCATGCGGTTGTGGTATTACCTCGGAGTACTGCGCACGAAAGGTCGGCTCGTGAATGATGGGGTAGCTCAGATGATAACCGGAGAAGTAAGCGTCGATCATGCTGTCAACGATGTGTTGGCTGGGATCAGGCTGGGCCAAAAGGGACGGGGCTCGTCGGTATTGTGAGCTCGCTGGAACTGTTATTGGACGCGCATTGGGTTCAATGAATCGTAAGAGGGCTGCACCGGATGCCACCCCAAGATAGCCTGTCTCACTCTCAGTGACAGTGAGTGATGCCATGCCATCCTTGATTTGGTCCTCCTCTCCTGTTTCGGCAACGGCATTGGATCCTGGGGACTGGGTATTGGAAGTATCCAGTTCGTCCCATTCAAAGTCATCCCGCGGAGGCGTCTCTACCAATCCATGGGAAGGCTTAGGGTCGACTGAGTCCTGAGTGCCTTGATAATCATGCAGGGGTACTGATCTTGGTCGGTACGTAGGCCTTGCGTGGATCTGAGCTGAACTTGGATTTGATGATGGGGCTACAGGCCTGTTGACTTTGCCGCTCACTCCGATAGTCTGAGATGTAAGAGGGGCGCTAAATCCCAACTCTCGATGGTTGAGATCGCCGAAATCAAAGTCAATCCCCTGCCTGCTGGGACTGACCTGTTGCGGCAATATGAAGGTTCTTTCGCTGGTCGGTTGTTGGCCATTGGTTTCGTTGCGCCGCATTCTCCTGATGAGTGCCTCAGCCCGTTCAAGTCTTTCTTCAACCTCAGTCAAGTGTCTGTACCAGGTTCAGATATCGCGCAACACGGACCGTTGTCATGGTCTTACCTTCGGGTCAGTGGCGTGCGAGAATGCTTCTCGTATAAGCAGTGTCGTCCGTATTTGATGCAGAGAGTGCATGTGGGCATGGCCTTGTCGCATCGCGCCTTGCGTCTCCGGCATTCTTTGCAGCTCTGGTCGGCAACCCCTAGGGGCAGATCTAGATCAGACTCTGCTACCCCTGCGAAGGTGGCCATGGCCCGGCTTCGGTGGAGACTGGAGTCGACACTATGACCCACTCTGGGGTAAGTATCATAGCTGGCGGTTCATCCAGGTGCACTGCGGCAGGACAATGCGAGCTTGCAGGCGGAAATATCGGGATCAAGAGCATTAAGCAAGCAGGTTCAAGGAGGAGCTGGGGTTTCAGGGTGAGAGATGACGGCTTGACGGCCGGGTGTACCGCATGAAGCAGGTCGTGCGGGGGAGCATTGATAGAAGTTGTGGAGTTGTGGACTGGGGTTAATGGGTCCACGTGGAGAACCTAAGACGAGACGACTGAATGGGTAACAAAAGAAACGACGCGCCCAGGAATACTTATCTGAGTAAGCCATATCTTTCTACTACACTGTAATATCGGAATGCTTATATGTTCCTGAATATTTGGCTTATCTTCGTGTACGTTTGACCATTGTTCGGTAGACGGCCTTTACTCGGAACCCCGTCCTTGATTCCTCCTTCTTTGGTACCTCTGGGTTAGAAAACGATGTTTGAGATACTTCACTCATTTGTGAAAGTCGTTGAGAATTCCATAACGCGATTCAATGAACCGTGCTTGGAGATCGTCCTCTCACACCTCCTCAGTATGAGCTGCGGATGTGATACCACCAGCCTTCAGGTTCTCCTTCTCGTCGGCGCCGACATCTTCCACAAGAGCTACATCCTTACCATCAAAGATAACCGCGATTTCTTCCAAGCTGTGCCCTTTGGTCTCGGGGAAGGTAAAGTACACAACAGGCAGCATCAAGCTCAGAAACACACAAAACACGATGTAGTACTTCCACCCAATATTCTCGATCCCGATGGGGTTGCAAAATGCAGCAATGACGAGCGACCCGTATATAGCGAACAGCTCGACGGCGATCCCCCTTGAACGCAGACTGTAGGGGAAAATCTCCGTTGGATAGCCAAATAGTAGAGGTGTCCAGGCGATGTCGTAATGGAAGAAGTAAGTAAACAAACAAACGACCACCACAATACCCGCTGGTTTTGATCCCGTGTCTGAGTTAACAGCCGAACAGGCCGTCCAGACGATATAGGACAGAAGCATGCCAACGCTACTCCATAAGAACAAAGTGCGCCTCCCCAGACGATCGACGAGGAAAGCGGCAGCGAGAGCAGCGCCGAAGTTGAAGATTTGCAGCAACCCATTGATGAGCGTCTGTTCAAAAGTGTCGGTGATGCCAATGGTATCCAACACAAGAGTGAGATAATACGACACAATTCCAATCCCATTCCACTGCGCAAAAGCGCCGCAACAAACGGCAATCATAGTCCTCTTTCTATTCCCAGGGGTAGAGATCAGTGATATCCACCCTGTAGTTTTAGCCGTCTTCTCTAAATGAATAGTTTGCACGATTTCAGATAATTCGCGGGCGACCAGAGGTGTGTGGGCTGCCTCGCCGGGGATGGGCTGACCGGCGTGATATTTGGAGAGGAGGGCGGCGGCTTCGGGGGCGCGGTCTTGGGCTACAAGCCAGCGGGGAGACTCAGGGATCCAGTACCAGAAGGTGAGTTGGACGAGGGGGAGCGCTGCTTGGATGATTGAGGGGATGCGCCAGGCCCAGACGCCGGAATAGGACTGTGTGCCGAAAGTTGTCCAGGAGGCGAGGATGGCGCCTGGGATTTTCACATGTTAAAAGGTTGTTCCCTTTTGTTCTTATGGTTGTGAATAGAGGCTTCAAGAAGTGAGCTCACCCAGATAATACATAGTCCAAAATGCGCACGTGTATTTCCCCCGATGAGTCGGGTACGCCAACTCAGCGATAAGCAGTGGGCTGGGCTGCACCACAAACATGCCTCCGAATCCAACGATCAACCTCGACACCACAAACATGGGCAGGTTGATGGAGGCAGATTGGATAATCGTCGCGATGATGATAAGAATGATGCCAAAGAGGAGAATCGGCTTGCGGCCATATTTGTCAGACAGATCCCCGACGAAGGGGATTGCGATGACGGAGCCGATTGATTGGGCGGCGTTGACGAGACCGAGGGTTGCTCCTGCTGGGTGGCCAAAGTATTCTTTCCATTGCGGGAGGGACTGGAGGCTGTTCATCAGGGAGCCTGTTTTCTAGTATTAGGCACAGCCTGTGTAGTTCTGAGGATGTAAATGGGACAGTTCTTGACGTACCATCGTAGCCTGATACTGAAGATGAAAGAAGAGGAACGAGGAGTAGTAAGTTGAGGCGAAGGAGATGTGACTCTTGGAACCAGTATCTGCCCTTCTGGGGCATCACCTCCGCCAGGGCGGTTCCGACGATCTGGGAGTCCTTCATGGCCGACCTCGGATAAAGAGTGCCAGTGTAGAGGTAGGTATACTGCGATGGTCTGCGATCAACAACTGTGGCTTAGCTACATGACAATCGACAGAAAATGAGTCAATCATAAACCCGGACAGGTATTGAAGTATGTGACAGTGATTATATGCATCGTGTACAGAGGTGGCAATAATCCCGCCTCATCAGCTCACCCAGCTGCTCTTGTTGCACTCCTGCGCTCCACTGACATCACTCCAGGCACTCCAGGTTTCTCCTCATTTCCCCAAACGTTCAGTTCCACAAATCCGGGGTCGACCCACGAAGATCTCATGTTTCTTGGAATACCCATGCCCTCGGCACATTAAAAGCTCGAGTTTCCTCAGAATTGTGGAGTTGCCGATCCTATGCAACCGGACTTCTGTCACCCTTGTGGGGACTATTCGCAGCCGGGTGACTGTCAGCTTTGTCGGAATCATTCAATACAACTTATGAGCTGCCTATTTAGAGACAATATTTGTTGACTAAAGCTGTTATATGGCCCGAACTTGAACTGAACTTTCGATCGATGGCCAAGACACGCGGGCCAGACGGAATTTGCAGCGACGAGGAGTTTCCGATAATGCCTGAAGTCTTCAAGAGTCGGGGGCATCGCCCAATAACTTTAGCCAATTCAGTAGCTAGCTTCGCCAAGTTTCGGAAGGCAATCACTGTTGGAGTAACCGGTTGAACGTGTAATTCGATGCGAATTGTATTAGTCAAATTAGTTGATCTGCGGCCAACGTGCATATAGATGAAAAGAAAAGGCTTAACGAGTGACAACAAACACTGCGAGCAGTAATATTTCTAATTTGTCCATCATTATCAAAAGAAATCTATCTGGCAGTATACCCACCATCAATAACGAAATCCGCCCCTGTAGTATAGGAGCTGGCATCACTAGCCAAGTAGAGATAAATCCCCTTCAACTCCCGCGGGTCAGCATCCCGCTTCAAGGGAGTCAGACTGAACCACTCCTCCTTCATCTCAAACGGACAATCCTCCGAGATCTCAGTGTCGACATAACCCGGTGAAACAGAGTTGATCCTCCCACCCCATTTGGCCCACTCCACCGACAGAGACTTTGCCAGGTGAATCTAGTGGAAACAATCAGTACCAGCTACTCTGGTCGAGAGAACTCAATGAACAGGTTGAAAAGGAGCCACTCACCACACCAGCCTTACAAGCATTATAACAGCTCTGCTCCTGCGGCACGTTCGCCGCATGCCCACTCATCGATGCCGTCGCAATGCCCACCCCATGTCCCTGGTTCCTGAACACCAGCCCCGCAGCACGCAGACAGTAGTACGCCCCGTCAAAGTCGACAGCCCGCACGTTGTTCCAATCCTCCACCTTGTCGTCGAGGCCGCCGGCTTTCGTAGGAATCCCGGCATTCGCAATCATGACGTCCAATCTTCCGAAATCGGTCACCGCCTGGGCTACGGCAGTCTCGACCGCCTCGTAGTCTCGCACGTCGACTTGGTATGTCTTGGTTTTGACGTTGAAGTCCTCGCTGATGGTGGTGGCTATTTTGGCGGCTTTGGGGGAGGAGTTGTACCAGATTGCGATCTATTTTCTCGGTTTTCTCGTTAGTGATGGTTGAATACCGGGAAGGGATAGTGGTAACGAACGTTGGCACCCGCCTCGGCTAGGCCGCGAGCAATTTCGTAGCCGATGCCGTCTGCACCGCCAGTGATGATGACGGTTCGGCCGTCAAGGCGGAAGGATTTGAAGACGCTGTCCTCTATGGGAGGGTTGGGTGCCCGGATGGATTGTTTAGTGGCAGGCATGGTGAACGTTAGGGCTTTTGGTTGGAGGAAGATGCCAGCAAGCAATGACGAGAGAGCACAATGCAGGTGGCTTCTGGTGCTGTTCAACTGGTTATGATGAACCTCATATATTACTATCACATGCATCAAGCCTCGCAAAGACCGAAGTTATTCTATGCTTTCTGGCCACCTTAACTTCCGTATCATAGCCGCAAAATGACCATGGACGCCTGTTGCCCTTGTCCGCCTCAAACAACGGGTAGACCCACTCCAGGTTGACAGACGACCGCTAGCCCGGATCTTAGGGCCTGAGCAGACTCGGATCCCATACACATGGTCATATAGATGATATGAGGCATCTGCGGATGATGTCGCAAGGTTTTACAATTGCAGTGAGGCGGTTTGAGAATGTGCGTGCTATGCTGATACTGCTAACAGACATCTGGGACACCATGCCCTATAAATCTTGGTCGCGTCGGTACTCATGTAGCTGAGCCGAGCTCAAGGGAGATAGGCGACATACATGGGTCTCATGAGAATAAATGCCATGATTGATTTGCTTGGCCCTCATGGTCTGGCTTGACTTGTGAGATGATGAGACTCGGTTCCGGACTTTGAGTCAAATCCACCTGCCCGCCCTTGCATAATGCGCCAATGCTTGATGTGGGTAGACTTCCTCAGTAAGGGGTGGCATGGTGGAGGATCAAATCGATCCGATGGCATGATTTAGGAGAAACTCGGTATCGAACAACTTCTGTTTAATTTACATGAAGGCACTTTTTGCATGGAAAATATGCAGGAGTTATGAGAATATTGAGTGGCACTCCAGGTGAACTCTGAGCGTAACTTGGTCCAAACAGATGTATAGAACAACCCAAGCCTGTCTATATCGCCTTGGTTACGTATAGCATTCTGGTAGCCAAACGTGTAAATTTGGGTCATGTCATTCAACTTGGCCGCAAAACTGTTAATCCTGGGGTAGATGCTTCTGAGAATCCATGATTCCCACCTGGCTATGATTCTATGTGTCCAGAGACCTTTCTTCATAAACATTCCCATAACGTACCCCACGGTCCAATTGAACACTTCTTAAGACCTCGTACAATAAGATATAAGTTAATTCAACTATAACGTAAAAAAATAATTAAAACTACTCGGAACTATCTTCTTCAGATATCTCTTTACTATTCTGACAAGTACGCATATTATGACCGGGCTCTCCGCACGTCCTACAGCGTTGCTGAAGTATCTCTGGCCTCCTCGTACGACTACGACTCCAGCGCGATTTATTATCTAACTCTCCGTTAACTAGCTTCCGAGACTGTAAATCTTCTCCAGCTTGTATACGAAGTGATCCTCCATACTGTAACCGTTTTTTTCTCGTATAACGCCGCCGGCTAAGTGTCTCATTTGCCTTTCGAAGCGCGGCGTTCTAACCCTCTAAAAGAGAAAGCCGGTGCATAACCTGCGTCGTACCCTTCGCAAACTGGTCAAGTGCAGTAAGTGTAGCTGTCGGAGAGCTATTTTGATGTCGTATAACTCGGTTTTTCACGTATTCGGTCTGGTATTGTGCCTCAATTGGGTTATTTGGGGTCTTCGACTCCCAGATAATAGGAAGGCCAGACGAGGTACCCGGAGGTGTTGGAGTATGTAACTTCACATCTAACTGCGAAATCACATATTCCGGATCGTACGGTACGAGTCCTGCCCTCGGAAACCTCCCTGGATATTTGGTATCGTAAAAGTTGCCTGGAACGCTTTTAAGAACGCGGAGAGGAAGTCCTCCTTCGAGATATGGGTAATATGTGCCCGCATAAGATCCTCAATTTCTTTACCGTACGCTCTTTTCAGTGCACGAAAACAGCCGATATAGAGAGGTTGGAGCTTATGCGACGAATGAGCAGGCATACAGAGTGTGATAATAGAGTTCTCTTTACAGTAGAGCTCGAAAGCGGTCGAGTGGTGGCTCTCGTGGCCGTCGAGAATTAAGAGCGATAAACACCTTTCGTACGAAGCTTTGTATGTTGATCGAAATGTCGAATCCAGTCCTCGCCTCTTTCATTTGTAGTCCAGCCATTTTTCGTAACCGCGATAACCCAATCCTTTGGTAGTAGGCTATTTTCGTACCACGAAGATAGGTGAGTTTTACCAGCAAAGATGATATACGGAGGGATAGTATAGCCGTCCGATCCGACGCCCTGGATAAATGTAACCCATTCCATATTCCCTTGCTGTACTGCTCTAGGTCTTCCACGTCGATCAGAGGTCGTTACAACTATCTCGGATGAGATTTGACCCATAAGAAACCCAGTCTCATCAAAATTATAGATATCCTCCTCTTGAATTCCATACTTATTAATTGTATTCCGTACGAGATAAAACCACGCGCGGTACACGTCGGGATCTTCGCAGAGGACTCTCTGGTAGTCGATTCTTCGATTAAAACGCGTCCGGAGGTCTGGTTGTCGTCATACGAAGCTCGAAGCCCAGTTAGTACCGACGCGTCCTGCGTCGCGTTGGTGGAGTAGTCGATTCGCCATATCTTCAACACCACTTATTCGAGGAGGAAATGATCGTGAATCTAGGACGACTATGTAGCGTACGATCGCGTCTTCTTCGGAATAGGTAAGCTTTTGCGTTGGTGATCGTATATCCTGTCGTGAAGTACCGCCGCGATATCGGTGACGTAAGGTTGTATGAGGGATATTATAGATCCGTGCTACGGATCGTACGCTTAGTTTGGGGTTATTTTGAAGCGCTTGAAGCGCTAATTGAATATCGCTTTCTTCCCAATTACGTGCCATTGTAGAAGGTGGAAAATAAGGGATAAAACCTAGGTTGTACGGAAATGCGCGAAAGTGTTCAATTGGACCGTGGGGTACGTTATGCTTATTACGAGTACTACTTTCCGTTCTCTGTGATTTGAATGAAGAAATCCGACGAGTGGCTTGTGAGGAGGATGTTGGAACTTTCTGCAATGACACAGCACTAGTAGCAATATATGAGCCAACATTTCAGTGCATATAAGCCAAAATCGAAAGCACTTGGTCGAAACTGTTGTGTATTGGGTAGTTTCCATATTGACCGATAAGCCACATTCATAAGTCCGAACACTATTTCACACCGTGAATGATAACTTTGAGTGTGTCTTCTTGCCCTTTCCTCACCAGCTCAAACGCCTCCAACGACTCCTCAAACTTGAACCTATGTGTAATCAAAGACCGGGGCTTGACCTTTCCAGATGCCACCAAATCCACGGCAGCGGGGTAGCATCCAGCTGTATACCTAATTGAACCCTTAATATTCAACGCCCTAATACAAGCTGTTGTAATCGGGAACACGACATTCTACGCCAACCGTTAGCCGACAATTCGAAATAGGGATAGCACCAACACTGACCTCTTTTCCCATTCCCGCCTGGACATAGGTACCTCCTTTTTTAGTCGCAAAGACACCAGCTTGGATGCAGGGCTCAGCCCCAGTACACTCCAAGACCACATCTGCCCCCTCGCCCAGGCCAAACTGCTGCACAATCTTCTCCCCCATCGCCCTCGACGCCTCGATTGGATCAGCCGCCGACTCCGCCGTCTTCTCCGGAACATAAACATCGTCAGCACCAAATCCCCTGGCGAACTCAGCCCTCGGCTTGGAAATATCCACCCCAATCACCTTCGTCGCACCATACCCTTTCGCCACAGCTTGACACAGTGCACCAATGGGTCCACACCCGAAAACAAGAACAGTCTGTCCCGCGCGCAGGTCGGCGACTTTGCAGATCTGCACAGCCACCGCGACGGGCTCGACGAGGGCACCGTCCTCGGCACTCATGTGGTCGGGGATCGGGTAGCAGTAGTCTCCCGCTACGATGTAGTATTTCTGCAGGGTGCCATCCCAGGGTGGGGTGGCGGCGAAGATGGAGTCGGCGCAGAGGTTGTAGGCGCCGGAGCGGCAGTAGTCGCAACTATAATTTCCCAGTCAGTCAGCAACCCTAATCACCGCCATGACAAATTCACTGTCAGAGTTGTTGACATCATGAAAGGGAAAGCTTACTGCCTACACGGCACACCCGGCTCAATCGCCACCCGAGTTCCCACCTTGACATTCTTCACTTTGCTCCCGACCTCGACGACGGTGCCCGCGCTCTCGTGGCCTAGGACGATAGGGCTGTCAAGGATGAAGTCGCCGATGCGGCCACGCTGCCAGTAGTGTACGTCGCTGCCGCAAATGCCCGTTTGCTTGATGTGCACACGCACATCGTGCTCATCGCGTAACTGGGGTATGGGGCGGTTCTCGAAGGAGACGTTTTTGATCGATTGGAGGACGAAGGCGGGGTTCTGGATTTTATGTTGGTTAGCACTCGGTGGAAATTGGATCTGCCTTTGCTTGGGTGACTTACTATGTTGGTCGAAGTCATGGTGGTGTTGTTCAGGCGTGTAGCAGGAGTAAGGGTTGAATGAGCGCGGGGATGGTGACTTTCATGAATTTTCTCTATCCTTTCCGTAATAACTGTAATTATACAAAAGCCAAAAGTCTTTGTAGACTGCTTAATATGAAGCAAGTGCCACGGGTGGAACCAACACCTCTCACAAAGTGTCATCCATCGAGACGAGGGTGAGGGCCATGCGTGCCGTCATGGCGGCCGTTCACTGCTCTATGTTCTCCGCACCTTCGGCCATCACGATCATCGTGGGGGACGGTTGAGAGTCATCCGCTTTCTCCACCCGCACTCACTTCACTTTGGTGGGGTTGACGGCTTGGGGCAACCGTCTCCGCATGGTGGTGGTAGGGGTGGGGGAGTTCTCCTGCTCCCGTCAGTCATTGAATTAGACGTGCCATGGAATACCTTTATTCTCAACTCAAACTTCCAACACTTAGATATCCCCTATTTTCATCATCACTCTAGAACATTATCTTGAATCGACACTCGCATCCTCCCAAGCAACTACAAACACCAACCGCCACCATGGTCCTCGCCCCTCACCCCAACCCCACTGCTCCTGTACTCTCACACTTCGACCTCACAGGCAAAACCGCCCTCGTCACAGGCGGCAGCCGCGGCATCGGCCTCGAAGTGGCCCGCGGCCTAAGCGAAGCCGGCGCCAAAGTAGCCATAACCTATAGCAGTACCCCCTCCGCCGAAGCCGCTCAAATCGCCTCCTCCATCTCCTTTGCCAACGGCGGCCGTCCCTTCAAAGCCTACAAGTGCAACGTGCGATCACGCGTCGACGTTGATTCGGTATTCGCCTCTGTCATCGAAGAACTTGGTGATGGAAAGCTTGATATCGTGGTCGCGAATGCAGGGATTGCCGAACATATCCCTGCACAGGAGTATCCGGAGGATAAGTTTCGCGAGATGTTCGACGTAAATGTGAACGGGGCGTTCTGGACGGCGCAGGCGGCGGCGAGGGTGTTTGAGAGGCAGTGGAAGGAGGGTGGGGAGGATACGCCGCATCGGGGATCGCTTATCTTCACAGCTTCGGTTTCGGCCACGCTGGTGAATGTTCCGCAGAAGCAGGCCGCGTATAATGCGAGCAAGGCCGCATTGGTGCACCTTTCCAAGTCGTTGGCGGTTGAGTGGGTGGATTTTATGAGGGTGAATTGTGTTTCGCCGGTAAGTGCCCTAGTGCATTGTGGTGTGAGCGGATTCCTGGGGACACGCTTGCTAACATACGAGTTTGATTCAGGGATTCATTGAAACCGATATGCTTCTTGTCCACCCCGAGGAGTGGCGGAAACAGTGGTTTGACATGATTCCTGGGCGGAGATTGTGTAAAGCAGCCGAGCTGAAGGGATCTTATGTCTACTTGGCAAGTGATGCTAGCAGTTACATGACCGGTAAGTTGCTTGACGAACCCTTTCAATTGAGTACTGACTTGTGCGATCAGGTGCCGACCTGATCATTGACGGAGGCTACACACTACCATAGACGAGAGCGAATTTGTCAGTGTACCAAACGAAAAATAGAACTGTCCATACTCAGGACAGCAAAGTTGTGTCTTTTCTTCTGGGATTTCTCTTTCTTACTCGTGAACCTTTTTCCAGGGATGCCCACAAAGATGAGGAAGGTGTATTCTTCCTCATTTTAGTTCGATAGCCGCAACTGCTATAGTGAATAGTTATATGAAACACTCACCATGTAATTGAATTATTCAATGATTGTTAGGTTTCAAGCAGATGAACCAAGGACATTGCTGCTACAAGACCTCACAGCACTTGCCTAATCACACTACAAAAGTTCTGCCAACAAGCTTGTTGAGAAGCTACCCTGTTGTTCATGCTAACATCCACCCACCAAGCCTACTTACCCTCCCTCGTCACAGTAATCAGAAGCAACCTAATTTATTCCCCAATTTACCCATCTGTCCCCCTCATCAACATCGTTGAAAGAATGACGCCCACGCTCATCTCCTACCTCCTCCTTCTAGTCGTCTCCGGGGCCGGCCTTGCCGTCGCTGCAGACGCAAATGCAAACGCCCCCACGCGTAATCACTACCACCACTGCTCCCTTTGACATTGCCGCCCCAGCCGGAACAACAGTCCTCGATATTAGCGGCCCCGGCTGCGCCAAGAAGGCTTTGGGAACCGTACGTACCAGGTGCTGTTATTGCTGACAGCCCGCCAAGCAATATCTATTCATGAAGAATTAAGCAGCTCAACTAAGCAACAAATAACCGAAAAGAAGAAGAAAATCCTAGTGAACCGAACAGAAGGCTACACTATTGTATATGAGCTACGTCGATTCGAAATTCACCTAGATGACTCAGTAAAATGTCACTGCGAATGGACCAAGGGAGGCTGCCAGGACGACCTTTAGGATTGGACGTTTTTTGGAGTGAGTCTTTGATTACGCTTCTAATGTGAGTGGCTCACATGAATCTGGGACTTATATTATTTAGGTCTCTGTGTGTTGTGCTAAAATGGTCCGTCGCATGTGAACTGGGTGCCCGAGTGCATCACCGATAAGGCGCAGGATGAGCGGTTTGACCCTGTGGTGTTTCTTATGGGGTAAGTTGAGGTTTTATCTTTTTGTTTTGTCTTGTAAAGGCAGTTATTGGGATTTGATTTGCATGGAGCATACTGAGGTGTGGATAGGTGGTGTATATGCTGCACTGGGTAGAGAAAGGGGAACGGGAGGTATTATGGGCGTAATGCCCGGATACTTAAGTGTACCGATGAGGCCATTTTCTTCACGTAATACCTCGACTAGTAGTTGGGGACTCAGGTTTATAGGTGGCAATATTATGCATTGATACTATGTTGCGAACAAGATTGAGTCATGTTCAAATTCGTTGAGGTTTGTAAGCTGAAACTTCACCTGGGTCTTGGCCCACAAGACATCAGGAACCCCGGTAGTTTCTGGGATTAACAATTCCTGTATGTCTTCCTACTGGTTCCAAGCACTCAGGTCAATACGATGGAAGAAAAACATCACATATGAGAAAATATTGTATGGCACAATGCCGCTGCAGGTTTCAAACATGAGGAAGTAGGACCCTCGGTGGTTATGACATATGCTTTGTTCAGTCGGCTATAAAGACCACAGCCTCCTACCGGTGACGTTGACATAACTCAAACACTAATGACAAATATATAGCGATAATGGCTTTATGATAATATCCTGTACACATAAGTCATGGGGTCGTTCATATATATTGAGCACATCGATCTCCCATAGCCATCCAAGTGCGCACCTCCAAAACCTGAAAAGTTATAGGTAGCAATCACTCGAGACAAACCATATGACAACTCCCTTGCACAATCGGGTCACTGGATAACCATTAATTGCCTTTGATCACAAAGCCATTTCGATATCAAGGAGGTTGGTTCCTAGGAGCAAATGCGCAAAGGCTGTTGAAATTATATAATACAATGGCCTTAGGAGCTTCCCACTCCGCTTATAAATTTGTAGTATCTTGCTCCCCTTTATCCCAACCATAACAATCCCAACATCCCACTAGAATGTAGCCCATCATGACCCAATGCAACTGCGAGATAACCAATGCGTTCTATTGTGCTACCGCCACTTTGCCCCCATCACAGCCACAAGGTGGTGTCGAGACTCTTACGGAAAAGTACCACATAAGACCGCCGTCCATCGTTGGAACTGTACGTGTGAGGTCTGCTTCCAGGGCTGCGTGCCATACCATGAAGGGGCGACTAGTTGCATGCGAAAGTGTCTCAAGTCGTGTAGACGGAGCATTAGGGACAGGATCAGAGGTAAGTAGACGAGTGAAGATGAATCGTCACGGGGCTGTAAGGGAGGTAAGGAGATGTGGAGGTGGAATTTGACATAAGTTGAACAACGATGCTTCCTGTGAGAGAAATTTCGCGGTACGTCAATTTGAATATGCTAGACCAGGCAACGTCAGACGTGTTGTCTTACTCAGTAGACGCGCCTAATGGATGTTCGGAATAGGAGGTCCTCAACCTGAAAGGTACCTGTATAAGTATGTGCAACGCTGAGTAGGACTTGAAGAATGTTTCCAAGTTCAGATCAAGTTGATGAGAAACAGCGTGGTAACGAGTAGAGTGCAAATGCGGTTGAAGACGTTTATGAAACCCATTAAGAAGGACTTGCCCATCAGGATGGTTAGAGTCAAGGCGAAGCACCGCGCGCAATACAGATTGAGTGGAAGGGAAAATACGGTGATATGATACATCCCTCATCCCTTGCGATAATAAGATGGGATCTGATATTTTAACCCCCGTCCGAGAGTGCTAGCCTCATCATTGAGCGTGAAACCATGATTGGGGTACATTGGCTGTTTATTTGGAGGTTAAATTTTGTGTGGAAATTGAAACGTGATGACTCAAGAGTTCAAGAGTGAAAAACATGCTTAGTCAGTAATAGTTGATGTCCTTGACAGACTGTGCGCATCAGGGTTGACTCTATTCTTATGCTAGATCTCGTCCCATTCAACACTATCTGCCTGATCTTCGCTCTGGGATTCGGACCAAACTCATAGATACCCAACGAAGTTCCCTTTCAAGATTCGCGGCCTAAAAATATCCAGTGGGAAGGTGATGAATAATACCGCGGTGAGAGAGATCATACATGTCAGAGTTGGTCTGTGCATAGACACCACCGCATAGCCTAGATTTCCTATCACACCACGCTGCAACTATCTCTCTATGCGCCCTAACCATCCACGTATTTATTCTAACAGATGCTGAATTAAATAAATCCTTGATCAAATGAGGCTGCGGGTAAATGTCAGGGTACGGCTAGGCCCCAGGCAATAGTACAGAGTGATGGGGAGTAATGGGCGTCCCTCTTACGTAGCACCGGGTGGTCACTGGCGGTCTCAGGTAGGGGTGCCCACGATGATGCATTGGTCTCTACTCCTTCCCTGTCCTACTTCGAGATGGTCCTTATATAGATAGCTAGGCCGCCGCTTGGACCCGGCGTAGCCGCAGGTTTGGCGATGCCGGGAATCCTGACTCTCGGCATCCCGAAACTTCACATAGATTGTAATCATGACTCGGGAGGCTTTTGTCCGAAACACCCCACCGGCACCCCACCGGTGTCCTGCGTTCAGTGTCTCTGACATCAAATGACTTCTTGGTAGTGGCAGTTGTGTGATCATTGAAGACTTTGGAATCCTTCAAGGGACTCTCAATGTGGAATCTGAGCATGAATGCGCCCGAGACTCCAATAAACCATATAAGCACCGCACATCATAGCTCCATCTGCCTTTACCAGCTGGCAGCTAGATAGTGTCGGTAGTGGAACAACTGACCTTGCAAGTCCTTTGTCCCTGCGCTTCATCGGCACATATGAAGGTGTGTTCTTTGTTAGGCCATACCGCGGTATTAGTCCGTCGGGGCGATGATTGTTAGATACCACATGTGATGATGCTCTCCTTCTTCCCGCGTGAAGCGACTACAATACCAACGGCAACGCTCCACAGGCAAGTCTCCACAGGCACGTCTCCGCAGGTAAGTCTCCACATGCAGGTCACCATAATTTTGATCGCCCTATATTCTAAGCGTTGTTTAGTACAGCATGGGGACCCGCCTATGTAGACTATGGAGTTCACTACACGGCTGCAACATGTATCTCAATACTACACGGTTACTACGCTTGAGTCAAGGACTTGAGAACTTGCATGACATACTGCTAGTGAGCTCTGGATATGGCTTCCATATGGTTTCAAAGTCCAGTGGGTTTTTACTAGGACTTGCTATATATGTTTCAAATCAAGAGTTCGTATCCGAGGAGATGGGGTCGGGCTGCGGAACCGAGCTTTGACATTGGAATGTTTGATGCCGATCAGGATTAGTTAATATGGTTTGTTCTGAGTACGTGTCAATGTCCAGTGGGCCAAAATAATTTTTTCTTGTCCATTTTCTTGTTCAGAGCCCTTTGGCAGATTTGTGTGGTGACCCAATCCTACGCGCAGATTTATCCACTGGTTCATTGCAAAGCGCCGATGACGGTGCTGTTCCTACCTAAGAGTCGTATTCTTGTTGCCCTTGGATTTTAAACAGGATGTCAATCCCTGGGTACCTGCGACTCGACCCCGGCTAACCATAGCCCCAACGTCCATGGGCACTGTTTAGCGCCTTTCCTGAGCTTCGGTGCCACTATTCCGTCCACGACGCCCATCTCACCAGAAGCGGAAGCTGATTACTCTCCTGATCCGACCCAACTCCCGACTAGTATTGCTCACCCGCTTGTGAATTATTTGTCAAGGTCATGATTCGTCGACTATGAGTCAAAATCTGACGAGCCAAGGGCTCTGGGCTTTGCGATTAGCGTAATCCCGATAGCATTAGGTCCACTGTCTTCATTTATCAACTATACCCGTGTGTGTATTAGGCTACAACACCTCTTAGGCTCGAAATGTTCTCAGTTAGTGCGCTCCGTCCCGTTCCGCCCCTCTGTCTTGACCCACTGTACAGTGAATCCGCAAAATCATCGATTCTCGTCAGCATTGGTCTGACATTTAATTCTTCCAGAACGAAATTGGTGGTGCCAAGTGACTGGTGGGCGACTAGTCCTAATTCTAGCTCTTTTAATTCCCTTTCTGTATATTTGGTGATGCCATGCTGTCATTCGGAGGCTGTGACCGACCCCAGCCATCCCCATCGCATCTCTGTGTCTCGTCAATCAATCTCATGGTCGATGGTTTCGAGTTGATCTAAGAGCATTGAGCTCGTGTGCAGGGCCAGGCACTTCTGTTCTAAACCGTGCATTGCCTAGCAAAACGCTTAAAGAAACGAGCGGCTGGACGTGTTCAAACTAAAGCATCATGTCTAGCCAAAGAGGCAGCCGACGGTCTTACTCGAACAGACTAGATGAAATAGATTGCATTTGACGCGGTGATGATCCTGCTCTGAACGGCCTCGTCATATTTGATATATCATGCCAACAGATAATAGGCACAGGGTCTACAAGGTTTCATCGTCACTGTTGGCCACAAAAGGGCCGAAGATGCTGGCACTCGAGTTATGGTATAGGCAAAAGGACTGGATATAGAGACGCCTGAGCCGTCCCGGATGGTTATCGTATGCTACCTTCGCATCCAAGCACACCATCTGCCTATTTCAATTTTTGATGCCCAGCAGTGGAGAGCAGCTGAAATCACTGCGACATGGTTCTCTCTTGGCGATAAAATGACGGGGCCCACTGCTGTAGCAATGGTATATCCTGGCGCGGCGACAAATGCGGCCTGTCTGCTTTGTCTACCGAGTTGGCCTTCTTGTAACGTTTACACCTTGCCAAGCAGTCAACGACGCGGGTCAAAAGGGAAGGATTATGCTTGACAGCCGAACGGCTCAATCCGCGGCTGGCGATGCATGACTTGAGCCAGATCTAGATGACTAGATCATCGGTCTCGACGGCGGCCAATGAGACGGAAATTGTAACGCCAAGCCAGTCGATTAGCGACATGCGGAGCCACCCCTGTCTCTGGCTGGCCACGTCCTGCGTATGACACGCGGCCACAGAGCACCACAGAGGCACACGACTACTACTGATCATCATCATGGTTGAAATCTACCCGTCCGCCTTAGTCCGGCCGTTGCTGTCCACTCAAACACCGACAAGATGTCTGCGTCCAAGTCAAAACTGGAATCCAGCATGCGGGCGTGGATCAACTACCTCGACGAGAAGCGGTGGGACGAGCTGCCAAAATACATACACTCTACCTATGAGCAGAGAAACTAGGAGTTCAAACCCGACACGTTGAACACACGTCGAGTGGTAGGTTAAACGTGCACTCTTGGCGACTTTATACCAATTGGGATATCATGTTGGTTGACGGGGCCGGGCAGCGACTCGCATGCACCATTTATTTCCAATGCAGGCCGACGAAGCCCGTGTTCGGCGTCGCACCCACAGGCCCAGGACGTGCTCATGGTGGAGCAGCGCTTGACATGGTCCACGAATGGGACGCTAGAGTGTCTTTATCTTGAATGTACACAGCATCCGTAGACAACTCGGCGTCACTGTCCTAGAGATTCTTTGTCTTGAACGTGGACAGCATCCGTAGACAGCTCGGCGTCACTAACTCGCCGCCGATGCAACCGTACATACTGGATCTCATAGCGATTAACCCGGATTGGCAGCGTCGCAGATCAAGAAATTGCCCGGCCAAAGCTTGGAGGCGATCTACAGGGCTTATACCGACTGCCTTGACGAGCGCCGGATGGGGTCCAACTTGGCCAGATTCTGCCACTCCGAGCTGACGCACAACCGGAAAGCATTGACGGTAGAAGAGTACGCGAGCTGATACATGAGGGTATCGCAACCATGCCGCATCAGTGCTTCCAGGTCCACACGCTGATGACTGATGCAGAAACGCAGCGTGTGGCGGTGCGGGTCTAGAACGGCTGCACACCTAGCAAAGAAGTTGCTGGAATCGTGCCCAAGGGTCGCGCGGTGCAGTCTGCGGAGCATGTGAACGATCTGTCAGTTCGCGGACGGGAAAACTAGGAGTTTGGGCACCTGTGGACTGGGATGCAGCACGTCGCCAGCAAGCTTTTGCATTATAGGCGCGTCATGGCCCCAATAGCAGAGATGAATCTATTATTGGAGGGTAGCAGCAGACGCTCCCGTGTGCGTTTGGCATATCAGATAGAATTTCCAGTGGCATTAGCCCGTCCATGATATTGACATTGACGATCGGGCTGTTGATGAGTTTGTGGGTGCACGAAATCCTTTAGTGAGGCCGGGAGCGGTCCGGGCGGCAGCAGGGGCGACCGAGTCGTGCCGAGTCGTGCCTCCCTAGGTTATTTCCTTCACGTACGGACTTTACTGTGTTTCAAGTTTCAAATATCGGCGCCACTAGAACATACAAAACTGCAGCAGGAGTGATGGCCACTCAAAGCCTGCACCTAAACCTGGTGAAACGGCACTCTCAGATGCACCTGCTGAAGATTTGCGCAGCTGCGTACGCCACTGCAACACTGCAGCAACTATTAGCTATTGCACCAGTCCTCGTCGGAACTTTTCGGACCTCCAGCTGCTAATCTAGAGCTGTCCTGAGTCGAAACGCAATTCTCCCCATGTGAGGCAACGTGCCCCCCACACCCCCACTGAGAGCCAATTCCAGAAGGCCAAGAAACAAGCCAAGGAACAAGCCAAGACACTTGCCACGCGCCAAGCAACCACGACGTTGACGAGCCTCATCAGTCCAAACTCTCGGCGGTCTAACCTAGCGCAGCTCGTCGACGAGGCCCACCGACCTAAATCAATCTGACGTTTGATGTCGCTTGACGTATCAACGAATGGTCTTCTTCGTATGCCTTCCTTGGCGGTTCCCTGAGGATCGACCACCATCAGGGTTTTTGCTGCAATCTTGCCGCACCGTTTCCGATTGGCCCTCCCACTTCTGTTATACTTTTACTAGCAACTTCCATATGCCTGTCACGTTTCCCCCCCTTGAACCTTGACCTGTCACAGGTATAGATGCACCGAGATCTGCTGGATGCTGCTATTTCCATCGCCCACCTCGAGACTTGACCGGTTACAACGGGTGGGGGCTGGACAGGGGAGATGGACACACCCGCAGACCAGCTTCTCGTTCTGTTCACAATATCCTGCAACAAACGTCGTGATGGTGTTCTACACGGGGTTATGCTTACCCCCATGGCTGCCCATCTCCCACCCCCTTTCCGCTACGTGGATGACTCAGGGTGGGTCTGACTGATTTCAAAGTGCAAAAAGGAAAGTCTGGTTGACTCCATCGTAGCCTACCGGATGGGGCCAGCGATGAAGATCCCAATGGCGGCACGGGCTCCGACTTGGCTCCGTATACCCCCATGGCCCACCTATTTGCCGCAGTCCTTATCTCTACCCTCACGGTGATCTCGAACTCTGCTGATATTGACACTATGGCCACAGACGTTTTCCATATTGGGTCCATGTTTCTTATTCCTTGGCGTACCCAATAGCCCTGGCTTGGCGACGCTCGTTTTCGATTGAGCCTTGGTGACGACGAGTCCTAATATGAATACAGCCCAATGCCAATGGTTCGGCCCAATTCTTAGTCTTCGATTATTATTAATTACAGTTGCTGGGCACGATTTTCTCTTCTATATCAGAGTCAGGTACTCGCTTTCATCGCGTCTCGTTTTGTTTCGTCATTCTTCATCTTTTGTCTCTCACTAGGTTTTTACAAACCCCCTGGTCCTCTTGGCCTTCAATTTCTTTTCCGAGTTAATAGCAGCAATGGAGAAGGGCAAGTACGTCGAGTCTTACCACGAAGCTGGCCCATCACTCGCATTCGATCTTCAAACAGAAGCACAAACACAAACATCCCGAAGAATGGAACCGCATCCCGGATACCTGGTGGATGAGAAACGTCAAAGCTTGGGCATGATGGAGACACAAGTCAACTCGGCGGCAACATCGATATTCAACGGCAAGGAAGGACACGATGATCTCGAACACGGTGAGGGAGCCGGACATGTCGACCCTAACGATGTCAACCGACCGAAACTCAAGTTGAAGCCGCGGATTCACCACTTCACATGGGCGTGGTTTACTCTCACCATGAGTACCGGTGGACTCTCTCTTCTGATCTTCGCCCAACCGCACCAGTTCCCCGGTCTCCGTCAGATCGGTCTGTTCATCTACATCGTCAACATCATCCTCTTCGTGGGCGTTTGCTTCGCCATGCTTACCCGCTTCTTCCTGTTTCGGGGTGCCTTCCAAAAATCTCTGACACATCCGAGAGAGGGTTTCTTCTTCCCAACCTTCTTCCTGTCCCTAGCAACGCTCATTACCAGTACACAGCGGTACGCCGTTCCCGCGGACGACGTCCCTCTGATATGGGCCATCCAGACTGCGTACTGGGGATACGTCGTATTAACCCTGTTCGTCGCTGCGGGTCAGTACAGCTATGTGTTTGCCAAAATCAGCTTTGGTCTTCACACCATGATGCCGACGTGGATCTTGCCCATCTTCCCCATCATGCTCTCGGGCACAATTGCGTCAGTCATTGCCGACACACAGCCAGATATCACGGCACTGCCCATCATCGTTGGTGGAATGACGTGTCAGGGACTGGGAATTTCGGTGTCGTTCATGATGTATTCTCACATGATTGGACGCTTGATGCAAGCTGGTAAGTTCTACCAGGCAAAAACACCTGCGCCATGCGAACATCTTTCTGACTAACCTTCCCCAGGTCTTCCTAACCGCGAACATCGCCCCGGTCTATTCATGTGCGTAGGGCCCCCGGCTTTCACCGCCCTCGCTATCATCGGCATGGCCAACGGCCTCCCCGACACGCTTGACCTTCAGAAGTATGGTGTCTTAGATGTGGCCGTCGTTCGCACTATGGCTTTAGTCGGCGCTATCTTCCTGTGGGCGCTCGCCTTCTGGTGGTTTTGCATAGCTGCCATTGCCGTCATCGCCTCCCCTCCCAAGTACTTCCATCTGGGCTGGTGGGCAATGGTCTTCCCCAACACTGGCTTCATCCTCGCCACCATCTCCATCGGCAAAGAGCTGCACAGCGAGCCGGCCTTGTGGGTCGCGACTGGCATGTCCATCTGTTTGGGGATCATGTACTTCTTCGTCCTGTACCACCTCATTCGCGCGGTGATTGTGCAGGATATCATGTATCCTGGTCGCGATGAGGACGTCGAAGACCACTAGACGAGCAACAAAAGCCATAAGACTCGGCATCGCCACCAAACATGTTTAGAGCAAGATGTATTGGGTCAATATCTACGTCAACAACAACAACAACAACAACAACGCAACGGATTACTACGTCAATCATTCACTGTTCTCTTCCATCATCACTCCTTTTTATCTAATGTGGTTTTTCTGTCATTACTTAGCATGTTCCTTGGCATTTCGTTCAGCGGTGGCTGCATTTCCATGTTCAAAGAGATATCCAACACATATAGAAGGTGGGGTCTGGGGAGTTTTGCTTTTACGGTTTCAAAAGTTGGGGCATACAGTGAACGGTATCTGCATTCTTAGGATCGCCCGATTCTTGCACGACAGTCGTGGCGACAGGGAATGGAAAGGTGGTTGATTCAGATAGGGGAGGAAGTGTGTGACGGACACAGCCAGGGGCAATAAACACGTCAAATAATTACGCACCTTGGTGTCAACTGAATGCGCAGGTGATACTTCAGACTTTCTTTCTGGCCTGCGCTCTGCCCACCTACAAATCGAAGTAAATGACATTACGCCACAAAGGATAAAACAAGCGTGTCTAGAAACCTTTCAATGACGTCTATATTACAGGCCCGTATATAATAAGCAACGAGGGGTGTGCCAAAACGAGTCGCACAGAGGAACTCTGTTTCAAGCTCACCTCAAGTCCGCCAAGTACCGCTGTCAATGTAAAACGAGTAGGTTTGAGCTCGAGTCTAAAGTTCATGTCAGATGGATAGCCGACAGAAAGACGTCGGAATCACGTTTGCTGCTATTGTTACTTAACTACCGATCTAGGGTTTCTTGCTATAACTGCGTCTTTAACACGAGGCTTCAGTTACATAAATTATACAAAGGAGGAGAAGTGGATAAATTGTGACAGGCTAGTCGGTGGGCATACGAAGACAAGAGTTATTTTGTGTGTGGATGGATTTAGCTCGTGTGTCTTGCTGACCGATTCGGTTTATACGTCGGGACGACCGAGATCTTCCCGTTCAAGGCTGCAAGGTAAATATAAATGCTCTCCTTCAAGACCGACGAATTAATTGCCGTCTTGATGAGCTAGGTGTTGTCAAGTCTTTCTCATGTGTTGCTGCCAGAGTCGCAGCATTGCTTCATCCCATCCGCTGGTCAGCAAGTCTTTCTGCGTGTATGGCAGTTGGGGTTCAATGTGGAGTTACAGTATAATTGCTTATGGCTCCAATAGCACATTTCGAATTATATACAGTAATTCCTAAGCTCATATACTGCAACGAAGACTTCACAAATGTTCTGTGCAAGGATTTAAAAATAACCACATACCATAATGCAAGATCTTATGTCGTACTCAAACGTTGGCTGGCCAATAGAGACAGAGCTATTAATACATTTTCCATGCGAAACAACTGTTGCGTGAGTCCGGCTGCATCTGAAATTATGTTTCTTACCAAATGGCCGCAACCGCGAGTAAGTTGACAGAAGTTCGGGATTTGCTTTCGGTCTATGAGGTCAGTTCTACGACATCTGATAGTCGGAAAGTTCAGCTAGATCTGGTATACTCTCCTCCCACCCTGCTAGTTTCAAATGAGGTGCAGAGTTCTGCAGCTATATCGTTTTGTTATTGGGTCGTTCTCTCTAGGAACAGTGAACACGATCAAGCATTCATTCCCAGTGCTTTTGGTGATGCAAGAGGCTGTTCATAGTATGGCAGGCTTAATCGGTTATTCATACCCACTGAGGTGCCTTTGTTGATCTGATAAGAGCGACGAGGATCTTGATTTGTCATTCTGTTGCCCGCCCGGACAGCAGATCTTGTTAAGTATCTTGTTATCTGTCTCCATTATCTTTACCTTGAAACCTGCAGGCATTCACCAACGTCCCACACCCACATCCGGGACACCCCCACATGTGGGACACCCAAAAATGCCTCAACACCGCTAGCCTCTAACTTCCATCTCTCTTTTCTTTACCAATATCGATTCAATCGTTACGAAATTTTACGTACGTCTTCTTTACATTAATATGAGTCAATATACCGAAGATGATATTTGTCGAGCTCTTCAAGCAATAGCTACCGGTCAAAGTCTCCGAAAAGCAGCATATGAGCATGGTGTCCCAAGGTCTACTCTTTCACGACGGATTCAGGGAGCCCAGTCAAGAGATATAGCCTTCACTGACTACCAGAGGCTCTCTCCAGCCCAGGAATCTCATCTGGCTGAATGGGTTCGAATCCAGGCTGCCCTAGGCCTCCCACCAACCCATCAACAGCTCAAAGACTTCGCCGAGCGTATTCTACAGATCCACGGAGACACCAAACCACTTGGAAAGAACTGGGTCCAGGCTTTTATCAAGAGGAACCCTTCAGTCAAGGTCCAGAGAAGCAGAGCTATCGATTCCCAGCGTATTAATGGAGCCTCAGCTAATGTGATCAGGCAATGGTTCAAATACCTCGCTATCCCTGAGATCAAAGCTATTAAGGCCTCGAATCGATACAATATGGATATGGATGAGACAGGTATTCTAGAAGGTAGAGGATCAAATAGTCTTGTTCTAGGATCATCTGAGACTCGTTCCATACGGAAGAAACAGCCTGGATCTCGAGCTTGGACATCTCTTATAGAGTGTATCTCTGCGACTGGTACTGTACTACCCCCACTTGTGATATACAAGGGGAAGTCTGTCCAGTAGCAGTGGTTTCCTCTAGACTTGACTCTATACGAAGCCTGGAGGTTTACAGCAACAGAGAATAGGTGGATGTCTGTCCAGCAGCAGTGGTTTCCTCTAGACTTGACTCTATACGAAGCCTGGAGGTTTACAGCAACATAGAATAGGTGGATGTCAGACTCTACGGCTATTGAGTAGCTACAAAAGACCTTTATTCCTTTGACTCAACCAGAGGACCCTGAAGAGACTAACCTAGGTTACTTATCCTAGATGGGCATAGTAGCCACGAAACGACAGAGTTTATGTACCTCTGCTTCATAAACAAGATACACTTGCTTTTCTTGCCGCCACACACATCCCACGTTCTCCAGCCTCTCGATCAGTCAGTCTTTGAACCCCTCAAGGCAGCCTATAAGAAGGAGCTTGGTTACCTTGACCGATGGGATACTACTACTGTCGTAGGGAAGAGAAACTTTCTCCTCTGCTATAGAAAGGCACGTCTAGCAGCATTGACCGATAAGAACATTATCAGTGAATGAAAATATACTGGTCTCTGGCCTTCGAGCATAGCTAGACCCCTTATGAGCGTCCTGCTCCTTGAGAATACGTCAGCACCAATCAGACAGCCTAGTCAGAATTGCAAAGGGTACTCTGATAGTAAGGGTAATCAGGACTGGGCGTTAGAGACATCAGCAGTAGCCTGGTCAACGCCTAAGAGGAGAGATGAGCTTCAAGATCAACTCAGCTTATTTAGCAAGCTTGATAGTGATCCAAATACCCAGCGGCTACTCTTTCGGAAAGTTCAAAAGGGCTTTGATGAGAAGGACTACCAATTAGCTGTCGCACAGCGAAAGATTGAAGCAATAGAGGCGGAGCTTGAGGCTAGTAGGGCTAGGAAGCGGAGGAAGGTCAAGATGAGCCCAAATTCGAAGTTTACTAATATCAAGGTTATTCGGAAGGCTCAAATCGAGGCTGGTGAAATTGAGGATAGTACATATGAGTCTAGCGAGTCTGAAAACCCTAGTGACGGTGAAATCTGTATTGTAGTCGCATTAGAATAAGTGTAACAAAAGGTTGAAGTTAATGGTTATAATATACAGTGTCATTTTTAGGGCGTCCCACATGTGGGGGTGTCCCGGATGTACGTGTGGGACGTTACCCGTCATCCATAAGGATATCCTTAAGGTAACTAAGTACTAGCTACTCTTTACCTGTTAGCTTTCTTGCCTTGCGGAGGACCCTTAGTATTGCAATACTCGTCTTAACGGTACTGACACATGTACGGTAGATCTTGTTCTATTTCAGCTTCTATTTCATAATAGCCACTTAAAGCTGTGATTGTAAGCGGGTAGCTCTTTTAAATATATACATAATAAAAGAGCTATTGCAGTGGGGCAAGGCCGGACGTCAGTGAAAATGGAACAAGAGGGGATGGTTTTCCTCTTCCTCCCATCATATCATCACTTCTTTTCACATAGCTTCTAGCACAAAAGATACAAGAAAATAGAGAGCAAGCAGGAGACACAGTTTGACGCTTCGAGCCAGTCTTTTCAGTCTTTTCATTCAGCCCATTCTTCATATTCCGATAGCACTTTATTCTCAAAGTCAATTTCTCTCGCTCCCGCCTTGACTTGGACGTCTACAGGAGCCCCGTCTTGGTCTGCTCAGATGGAAAGCATCTATTATGGTGACCTCTTCACAGTGTGTTGGGTCTAGCGGCATATCCTACTGTTGGCAATGCAGGCAAGAGGGTTGTATTGGTGATGACGCTGCCTCCAGCACAGGCGGTGTGCCTGGAGCACGCAACACACCCCCTGTAGCCCAACAGCTGTAGGAGTGCTCAAATCTTTGCTCAAAGGCGTATAGCCGAAGATCCTTCATACACATAAGAACAGCAAAGATCGACTCATCCGGAGTCATGTTCATAGAAGTTTTGTGTGTATCGTACGCATCCATAGTCGTCCAACCCCCCCATAGCCAGTCCTCCTTACATATTACCTTGTATTTGCTCGACTCAGTTAATTCGGTTTGAGGTCAGTGGAATAGTTGGTCGACAGAAGCGATACCTTCAAAGACGGTCAACGATGGCAATAACGCGTACAGGATTTTCGTAAAGTGGGCCCCACCAGCCATAGTAACTATAATCCAACTAACGTCACTAAGCAAGTCTCCAATTCGGTATAGCTTGGTTACCAATATGCGGAGATTTGGTGGGTTGCGATTGTTCATCCACGCCAACCCTGGCCAACCAGGTTGACTTTATGACGTTGCCTCGAGGCTTGCCAAGATCAGTGCCAAGTATACACTGCCGTAACAGTTCGTATTTCTCTATTTGTCCTTACAGTATGTTCCGGACACTTGCCGTGACTGAAATTCGTACGTTTACATCGTCAGGGTGTTTCCACAGTCCCACAGACGGAGTTTTGAAGGATGCGGTAGTGGCTCTATTGCAGTAGCCCACAACAACCACTAATATGCAACTATGTGCCTGCCTTTGGTGGACTTCAGTGCGTGCAATCCTGCTGGCGCAACAACGCCGGTTGAAGCTGAGATAATATTCGTCGGATCCAGTCACATGTGTCGCTTTCCCTCCATTACGTACCTGATCCCCACGTTTAGGTGGTGCCATTTGCGTAGTTCCGGGCGGACGGTGGGTATCGTCAGCCCCAAATGTGGAGCTGGGATCGACAGATACGGACACAATACAGAGAATTAGATAAAACATGGACGCCTACGCGCCTGAACAGCGTGACTGTACAGTGAAGGTAGATTTTAGCCCACTTCCGGGCCTCGCAAGTACGGTCAACCTGGCGAGAGTAAGCAGCAATCATACCGTTGGCAGTGCAGGGACGAGGGTTGTATTGGTGATGGAAGATAATGATGATGATGGGACTGAGTCCCAAAGGCTACAGCTACGCAAGGGCTATCTAAGGGCAATCGGCCCAAGCGCTGCACTCAGCCCACAGGCGGTGTGCCTCGGGCACGCAACACATACTATGGAGAAAAGAATGTATGCAGGAAGGATCGAATCCGTCACACTGTCCACTAGGCGATGAGCACGCAGGTCGCTATTTCAGAGTAAGCCCATAGGGGCTCTTGACTCTTGGCTGTTCTCATTGAGGTCGATATTCTTACCAAAAGGAACGGAATAATTGTTAAGCAGAATACCGGTTTTGTTGACATATGGTAATTGACGGACTATCTGCTGGCTCGCGTGGCTGTTTGACTTGCAGGAGTAACCTCGGATCCTTGGAATTTCGTGGGAACGTATGGAAACAAGGTTGTGTCTTCTTTGCTGATATTGACGGGACACAGTTCTTGAAGGGTGGAATTTACTGGGTTATGAGGCCGAGAACAGCAAAGCACTGAACTCCTGAATCACTGCTGCCTTGTGCGGCTGGGTCTTGATCTGAGTGCCCACTGTGGAGAATATCAGTATGGACACGAGTGGATGACGATTCGATCTTGTACATCCATGAGGTAGCTAGGATAAGTATATAAATGTCTACCTATTTCATTCTTGACACCAAACTTCCATCCTCCACAACTTCAACCCGACAAGCACACATCCATCCAATATTACCTTGAAACGAGCTCGATTAAATTACCAACCAATCTCAAAATGCAATTCCAAATCGTCATCTTGTCCATCATCACCCTTGCCATAGCAAGCCCTCTCGAAATCCGTTCGTGCCCTGTCAACGAGGTTTCGTACTGCGACTCCGTGGAGGACTGTGGCTGCTCCGACAACCTGGGAAGCTGCATCTTGAACGGCGGCGTCTAGTAAGTCTCAGCTTGTGGATAAACATGATCGATTGGACATATTGCTAACCAAAAACAGCTACTGCCAATGTAGTAACTGCTGAACGCTCTGCGACTTGAATTATTCGGCCATGAAGTCTTCCGGCGTAGACTTGGAAGCGCAAATAGGGGATGTTCCTGATATCTTGGTCTGACTTAAGGGGCTTGGCTGAAGGTTGCTCGGATGATGATATTATGAACTCGAATAGGAATATCTACAATATTTAAAACTGGGAGTTGTGATACCGTTGGCAATGACGACCTGTGAATTATCTGCGTATGCATATCAGCACATGCTTGTTGTTGGACATCGACTATACCAAAAGGAAAAGGCGTTTATTTGAAGTAGTCTCGGACTCGAAGAACCATATACCGAATGAAGGTAGCCATCAGGGCCCTTAGTACAGAGCGATAAGTGGTCCAACCCTGTTCAAGTTTCGAAGTCCGTCACGGAAGTGCGCCACTTGAGCAAATGACTGTTCAGCCTAGTTTCATTTCTTTCGAACACTTTTTCGAGATATTCAAAGACATGGGATCTCGTGATTGTAGACCTGGACTGTTGGAATTTAGAGTAGTCAAACCAAATTTAGTATTGTCACGGCAGTAACCTGTACCCTAACCATACACGAATACCCGATTCAGTCTGTTACTGCCAGGGTCAGCGGCTTGCTCAGAGGTCTCCGTCAACCCCCTCTTAAACTGTCATCTTGGAGCTGTTGGATGCATGACTCAACTGGAGCGTAGTGATTCCGGGCACAGACAAGTTGGCGGTCTTACGGTTCGAGACAAGTGGTAACATAGAGTAAGATCCACAACGTGCAAGACTAGAGGCACTGCCTGACATCTAGCATGCAAGTCTTGAGTTGGATATCTCTAAGTGCTACAAGGAGTAATGCCCTCGTCACATTTCAGAGCAAGTCAACTGTCAGTCTCAGGATCAAAATGCAGAGGTACATTGGCAGAATACATGCCGGACCTCCTATGTAACAGCTAATATGTCCATATTCTGCTAGAGTGGGCCCCTTCACCTTTTGGCGGGGTAGTCCGATAATATGTTGCATCTGGCCATGATCTTCTCCGACAAGACTAGAGAATTTCAGAGCGAGTTGCGTAGGATAGAAGCCGCAGGGCTGCCTACTTTCGTGTCAGGGACGGCCTCGCGGTCGGCGGATCACCGGTCTCAGCGGCCCACCTGGCTGGCTGCATAGATTCGTGCCGATAGAAAGCTATGGCCACGGGTAGATCAGAGCATCCGAAAGAAAATGAGGCAAGAGGGAAAAAGAATAGACGGTGTGAACGATCACCCACACGATTGGCGCGTCGACTTGAAGTGATGAGGCAATCATCTGTCCAACCATTGTCATTGTTCAATCCTGGAAGAACTCCTGACCGGGTTCATTGTGACTGGTGGCAGGCGTAGGTTGCATTGCAGCATTGCATCGACGCGAGGCACACATTACGATGCGAGCTCGAGACTTTAGCTCGGATGATGGTACCATGGAAAGGCGACGTGATCTCCTACCTTGGCTTCTTGGCTTCTCGACCGGTTTGCCGTAGACAGGATGATAGATGCGCGAATAGTAGGCACCCATCCATGGATCACCACCTTGTACGAGTGGTGATGAAAGGAAAGGCGCGAATAAGATCGGTGCCAAGCGCCACAAACAAGCAGCATTTGGACCCTGAGCCGTTAGCGCGGCCCGTCTTGAGCGGCCCGTGGCAACTGCAAGGCACGTACGGAGGAAGGTGCCGCCAAGCAAGATAAATGGCAAAACAGCCCATGGAGCTGCCGTCATCAGGAGCTGGTAACAAACACCCAAAATTAGCTGAGAAACACGGGCGGTGCGGTCCAAACCTCTGCACATTCAGGAAATCAACTGGCAGCAGGTTTTTCGGTTGATGAGCCCAGGGTTGGTGTCATCAGGTTAAGATTGCAGGTTAGTGGAATTTGATATGCCGGTGGACGTTTCTGTCCGTGCGTACCATATCTTAGCCCCATTTACCATCAATAGCCCACAACGGATTTAGGCCAAGCTCCGGAGCTCAAGAACAACATGGCTTGCATGTGGATGGACTCTGCAGGTCCAATTACCGACAATGATGCACTTCATGCGCCTCTTATCCATGATAAGCAGGTCATGAGTCCGTGGACATTGCTTTGCTTTTGCTTTCAGCAATGACTCGAGTATCCTGTCTTCGTTTGCGCCGTGGGTTGGATGGGTGCCAAACCGGCTAACTTTCCGAGTCCCTCTTGAGCCTCATGGGGTAGGTCGTTCACCCTGCCAGAACGCAACTACTTTCCACGCCAGTAGCACAAGCGCCATGCGGGTCATGATGCTATTGGCATCTGGGCCTATCAACCTCAACCCTCCGAGTCGCACGTACGATCATGTGCACTTGACATGATTCTGCCTCATCTTGCCATGCCAGAACTTTGCTCTGATCCCCTCACGCCAAGACGGCAACGGCGGCATAGCATCGAACGTGCTCCAGGAGAACGATCACGGAACTAAGGGATCTCCAACCGGCACCCAGATCTGCCATGATGTATAGAATACCCACGAAGCTGCCATGGCTTTTGATCCAAGTCCCATCGTTGACAACCTCAACTTTCGTGGCTGGCCAAGATCCCTTGGTTGTTGCAGAGATCGTGGTCCAACATTCAGGTGAAAGCGTCTCGCTTGCACGCGTCCCAGACACTGCATGTCACAACTGCCCGAAGGCCAAGTATGCCGGGATCCATGAGGGTGACCACCGACCGGCCGCACAATTTCTATCCGCAGTCCGGCCCTGCCAAGCCCTCGGGGTAACAGTGGGCCTCACTCTAAGCTACCCTAATACGACAATGGCAACTGCACCGATAGTGCGCATCGGTCACAGCTTATCGCTTCCAAGCCGCACATCAACATGCCCTGCTAGCCACGCTTGGCGTACCGGGTTCTCAACAAACGGAGCCCATACACAATGATCGAAGGCACAGCACCCCGTCTCCTACGTGCGATACAAATAGGACAGCTCCCGCTAATCGCATGGAATATATGGGTCCACTCGTTCTGTATCGAGTGCGCTCGTTCTCTACTCGTCATTCTTTTCGTCGCGTGATCGAATTACTCCTTCTTGCGCAGCTTCACTCACAATGGTTCGAGCCAATATCTTGGTGTTTCTCCTTGCGGGAGTGAAAGCCGTGGTAGGGGCCAAACCAGTGAGCAAGATTGTTCCAGGCGCTTACATTGTTGAGCTCGAAGACGCCCAGGTAAGCCATTCCGTCTGATCGTCGGCACACGTGCAGGAACTGACGCGTTATGTCATGGGTAGAATTCCGCCTTCTTCAGCAAGATTGAATCCAAGTGCAACACGCGCATGAAGTTTAACTCGTCTCTGTTCAAGGGCGCCTCGATCCAATTCAATGACCTGCAATCAGCAGAGGCGAACGCTAAAGGTCTCTTGTCACTATATGGTGTCAAGCAAGTGTGGCCGATGAAGACGTACTCGTTGCCCAAAGACGAAATCTTGCATGCCGGCAACTCGGGCTCCTTCATCGAAAACGTGAAGAGGCAGGTCGGCAACGACACGTTTTCGCCTCATCTCATGACCCAGGTCGACAAGCTGCGAGCGGAGGGCTTTGTTGGCAACGGCGTCAAGATTGGTATTGTTGATACTGGTGTACGTTGTCGACCAGGAGACTCGCCGTGGAACGGTTTGCTGATCTTCACAGGTGGACTACACTCACCCTGCCCTTGGCGGTTGCTTCGGCGAGGGCTGCTTGGTCAGCTACGGCTATGACCTGGTTGGTGACAATTACACAGGTTCAAACACCCCCGTGCCAGATACCGAGTATGTTATGCATGTTAATAACTGATCTTCCAAATGTCTTACCTGTTCATCAGTCCGTATGATGGCTGCGAGGGCCACGGCACCCACGTGGCCGGAATCATTGCTGCCCAGGCAAACCCATTTGGCTTCACTGGTGCTGCCCCCGTACGTATTGTGAGAAGGTTTCGAGATGCGTCGCATTTCTAATACGGATTAGGGCGTTACCCTTGGCGCATACCGAGTTTTCGGCTGTGACGGTAATGCTGGTAGTGATATTCTTATCGATTCTTACCTGCGAGCCTTCGAGGATGGTAGCAACATCATCACTGCCTCCATTGGCGATTCTTCAGGATGGTAAGGCATCAGGTCGACCAAAAGGACTTCCAAAGAACTGGCTGACATTGCGTGCAGGAGTGAGGATCCTTGGGCGGTCGTCGCCTCACGAATCGTCGAGCAGGGAGTTCCCTGCACTATCTCAGCCGGAAACTCTGGCTCCGCAGGCCTCTTCTATACCAGCACGGCAGCCAACGGCAAGAAGGTCACCGCCATTGCATCAACCGACAATGTGATTTCTCCGATGCTCTTGGTCAGCTCGTACTACACGGTTGACGGTGGCGATAACTTGACTTTTGGTTATGTTCTGGGTACACCAGGTGACTGGGCAGGTGTCAACTTGCCCCTCTGGACACCGACCTTCAACGTAACCGACCCAGCTGGTGGTTGCGACCCCTACCCTTCTGACACTCCTGACTTGTCTGGCTTCATTGTCCTCGTTCGCCGTGGAACGTGCACGTTCGTTCAAAAGGCGGAGAACGCTGCCGCCTTCGGTGCCAAGTACGTCGTGTATTACAACAATGTGGATGGTGCCCTTTCGCCCGCTGCTGCCGTGGAGGGAATCTTGGCTGTTGGCATGGTAAAGTAACCGATCCAAAGAAATACATGGCTGGTGCTAATGGTAACAGGTGACTTCATCGCAAGGAGAGAAGTGGGTGGCCCTTCTGGAAGCAGGATCAGAGGTCTCATTCGACATGCTCGACCCTGATACCGCCCCTGTGGTGTATGTACACATTGGTCTTGGATATTGTAGACATCTTACTCACAACTTGAAACAGCCTTGGTGAGGGGATCAACAACGTGACGGGTGGATTTGCCAGCACTTTCTCAAGTTGGGGCCCGACTTTTGAGGCTGATATCAAGCCCCAACTTGCCTCTCCCGGCGGTCACATCTTGTCCACCTACCCAGTTACTCTCGGATCGTACGCTGTTTTGTCTGGAACTTCAATGGCTTGCCCCCTTGCAGCAGCTATTTTTGCTCTCATCTCCAACGTCCGGGGCACGCTTGATCCTAACGAGCTTCAGCATGTTCTCGCCACGACATCGAACCCCAACCTCCACAACGACGGAACAACGACCTATCCTGTTCTTGCACCTGTTGCTCAGGTTGGCTCCGGTTTGATGCAAGCTTACGACGCCGCTTACGCCACTACTCTGCTCAGCGTCTCGAGCCTTGCCTATAATGACACTGACAACTTGGTCGACACCCTAAACTTCACCATCACCAACACAGGAACCGAAGAGGTTACCTACAACCTGAGCTACGTCAGCGCTGCCACCGGGTACACGTTCTCGAACGATATCTACCCCGATCTTTTAACCGCTATCGAATTCGACGAGTCCTTTGCTACCATCGAATTGAGCGAATCCAAGGTAGCCGTCCCCCCTGGCGCCGAAGCCACCATTGAAGTTACCGTCAAGCCCCCCGAGATTGACGCCTCGCGCCTGCCCGTCTACTCCGGCTACATCACCCTCAACGCCACTAACGGTGAGAACCTATCGCTCCCCTACCAGGGAATCGTCGGTAGCCTTCACGACACCACTGTTCTCGACGGCGCTTACCTCTCCTCCACAAGCGACCCAGCCGCGGAACCCATCACGTCTGAAAACATCACCTTCATCCTGCCGCGATATAGCAGCACTGAAGCCGCGCTCCCCCTCGCCGTCATCTCCCTTTGCTTCGGATCGCCCCTCGTCAAGATTGAGGTGTTGTCCGTGCCCGGCTACGGCAATTCCACCAACACGGCCAAGAGCCTGGGGAATATCCTCGGCTCGCCCCTGCCTTACCTGCCTCGCGACTCCTTTACCATAGACTGGAATGGGAAGCTCGAAGATGGAAGTTTTGCGGCCGCGGGCAAGTATTTGTTTAAGGTTGCCGCGCTGCATATCTTCGGCGATGCGAATAACACCGATGAGTACGATGTTGCTCAGACGGCAGCGTTTACGATTGAGTATGTATGAATGATGTGATGGGATGTCTTTTCACGAGTAGAGTAGAGCAAAAATTTCTTTTTGCACATAGTTGAATACATTTTAATCGAGCTCTACTTTTTTTTTGTGGTACAAAGTGAACTGCCACCGCTTTGATGCCCCTGCCCCTGCTTGATGATTCGAACAAGGCTTTTTCTTATTTCATTTGCCTTCATTTGCCTGGGAACGACACATAGATCGGCGCCTGAGCTGCTCGCACGTATGCTGCGCCGCTTGAAACTGTTTTCAGGGGGTCATTGCAGACGCGGCTATGTCTATACACGTAATTTCGACATGAAGCTGAGGACAAGTAAGCCTTCTCTCGATTGTATTCTCCTAACTATGTCGTCTTTGGCGGGTGAGTGGTGATGTTCAGCAGTTCTAGTAACGTACCTATCCGCGGCTATCCTACTCAACGGCCTACTCTACGACGCGACGCGAACCTATGCATCCCCACTACTATTTTCTATATAACGTCACAACTACGGGTCTAGTTGATAAGAACACCGAATCACCTATTCTTCTGCTTCAGCCCTACCTTCCCCTTTATATATCTCAGCTAAAATACGCATACGTGACGCTGTCATCGACGTACTTAATAGCAGGTCATAGCGCTAGTCATCAGAATCAACTATATGCCGCGTAGCACCCTATGCTACTGCCTCGCTAGTGATCCTACTAAGGAGGAAGCCAATAAGAGCCACAGGCCTTATCTTCCACTTAAGAAGCTTACTTAGCCTTATAGCCACTAGCGTAGTACAAGCTAGGTTGCGTACCGCCGGTGACTAGATTCTGGCTGTAAGCTAAACGTATACTCAAGCACCCTAGGGCTAATTGCTAGCTTAGCCGCGACTATTATAGGACCTTGTGGACATACTAGCGAATCGAGGGCACATATGTAAGCCGCCGGCGATGCACCCCCATAGGAACACTCGGATTCTAAGGACTCGGAATTGACAGAATTAGACTCTAACACATTTAGTGGTGCGCTGTACTTAATTTGGTAGAAATCGGACAACTATGTGGTTAGTAATTATAGAATACGTTGAGGAACTTGCTAGCCCTGAACCGTACATGGACCATATTCATATGATCTGCTTCGTACATTCTTATGGGACCATTCACCAGATGCCATAGGTTCATATTATACAGAAATGCTGTCAAAATGGGGTAATCAAGTTTCAGGTAGTATTTGATGTCACCTAGATGTGACAAGAGACAGCTTGGGTAAAGAGTGCAAAGAGTACATCGTGTCAACATCAGGAATCCAGTGGCAGTAGAATTTTTAGTTTGAAATACAGTTAAACCATCGAGCGTCCAAACGCCTCCTTCCCAACGGGGGGACGTCCACCACCCTGAACCAAGGTAAAGGCCCTATAATTCCGAAAAGCACCAAAATTGCCTGAAATATTAGTGGACTGGTATTGGCCCAATGATGAGTCAAGAATCCTCCCAAGCTCTTTGCAGGGGCGTGGGCTCTCGATCTTTCATCATAATATCTCAGCTGGTGGGCTTCAATTCGCTTATGGAAATATGGAATGTGTGGCCGTGGCACGCTTCGCCGGCTAGTGACCGCGTCGTCACGATCCACGCATTTTTGCAGAGTTGACGCGATTTGCAAAGGCATTTCAGTATTCGCCACATTGGCATGTGTTGGCCAACCTGACTCGGCATCAGAACAAAGAAAACGACCAACAACCGTGCCGCTGCTACTCTGACCATTATGGGCGTTATTATTCCTAAATCTGCATCGCACATGAGCCTTGTTGGTATTATTTGCCTTAGACGTACTCGTGGAACATGTGCAGGTGATATATCACACCTGTTTATAAAGTCGCACGGACAATCGTTCTCGATCCAAAATCGTCCTCTATAGAGTTTCTACTTTCAGGTTTATGTGATATCTTTGCGTTTTCTTTTCGCATATCACTTGTAATTTTCAAAGTATACACCATCTCAAACCGTATGCAAAACGAGGATGCGCTCAGGCCGAGAAACTCCCGTCATACTGGCACCGGAAGACAATGGCAAGTCTATCACCACTGTAGGAGAGTTGCATGTCCCCGACCACGAGAAAGTAAGCACAAATCAGGGAAAGAAGCTAGTCTCAATCCTCCGTGGTCCATATTCGAAGCCCACAAGAGGCGGTAGGAACGTAAGATGGACCACGAAAACTCTTGATTCCCCGTCTTCCCCTGGGTGCAAGTCAATGAAGGAGGGGGGTGTGGAGAACTGTGTCCAACGACCATGAGGCCACTGGAATTTGGCGGGGTGGAGGAGAAATCGCCTCGATCCAGACGACCAACGGAGACTCTCGGTGATGATCATGATGAATTTTGCCAGAGCCGAGGAACACGTCGCACACCGCAACGGATAACGTCCCACACCCACATCCGGGACACCCCCACATGTGGGACGCCCTAAAAATGACACTGTATATTATAACCATTAACTTCAACCTTTTGTTACACTTATTCTAATGCGACTACAATACAGCTTTCACCGTCACTAGGGTTTTCAGACTCGCTAGACTCATCTGTACTATCCTCAATTTCACCAGCCTCGATTTGAGCCTTCCGAATAACCTTGATATTAGTAAACTTCGAATTTGGGCTCATCTTGACCTTCCTCCGCTTCCTAGCCCTACTAGCCTCAAGCTCTGCCTCTATTGCCTCAATCTTTCGCTGTACGGCAGCTAATTGGTAGTTCTTCTCATCAAAGCCCTTTTGAACTTTCCGAAAGAGTAGCCGCTGGGTATCTGGATCACTATCAAGCTTGCTGAATAAGCTGAGTTGATCTTGGAGCTCATCTCTACTCTTAGGCGTTGACCAGGCTACTGCTGATGTCTCTAACGCCCAGTCCTGACTACCCTTACTATCAGAGTACCCTTTGCAATTCTGACTAGGCTGTCTGATTGGTGCTGACGTATTCTCAAGGAGCAGGACGCTCATAAGGGGTCTAGATATGCTCGAAGGCCAGAGACCAGTATATTTCCATCCACTGATAATGTTATTAGCGGTCAATGCTGCTAGACGTGCCTTTCTATAGCAGAGGAGAAAGTTTCTCTTCCCTACGACAGTAGTAGTATCCCATCGGTCAAGGTAACCAAGCTCCTTCTTATAGGCTGCCTTGAGGGGTCCAAAGACTGACTGATCGAGAGGCTGGAGAACGTGGGATGTGTGTGGCGGCAAGAAAAGCAAGTGTATCTTGTTTATGAAGCAGAGGTACATAAACTCTGTCGTTTCGTGGCTACTATGCCCATCTAGGATAAGTAACCTAGGTTAGTCTCTTCAGGGTCCTCTGGTTGAGTCAAAGGAATAAAGATCTTTTGTAGCTACTCAATAGCCGTAGAGTCTGACATCCACCTATTCTCTGTTGCTGTAAACCTCCAGGCTTCGTATAGAGTCAAGTCTAGAGGAAACCACTGCTGCTGGACAGACTTCCCCTTGTATATCACAAGTGGGGGTAGTGCAGTACCAGTCGCAGAGATACACTCTATAAGAGATGTCCAAGCTCGAGATCCAGGCTGTTTCTTCCGTATAGAACGAGCCTCAGATGATCCTAGAACAAGACTATTTGATCCTCTACCTTCTAGAATACCTGTCTCATCCATATCCTATCGATTAGAGGCCTTAATAGCTTTGATCTCAGGGATAGCGAGGTATTTAAACCATTGCCTGATTATATTAGCTGAGGCTCTATTAATACGCTGGGAATCGATAGCTCTGCTTCTCTGGACCTTGACTGAAGGGTTCCTCTTGATAAAAGCCTGGACCCAGTTCTTTCCAAGTGGTTCGGTGTCTCCGTGGATCTGTAGGATACGCTCGGCGAAGTCTTTGAGCTGTTGATGGGTTGGTAGGAGGCCTAGGGCAGCCTGGATGCGAACCCATTCAGCCAGATGAGATTCCTGGGCTGGAGAGAGCCTCTGATAGTCAGCGAAGGCTATATCTCTTGACTGGGCTCCCTGAATCCGTCGTGAAAGAGTAGACCTTGGGACACCATGCTCATATGCTGCTTTTCGGAGGCTTTGACCGGTAGCTATTGCTTGAAGAGCTCGATAAATATCATCTTCGGTATATTGACTCATATTAGTGTAAAGAAGACGTACGTAAAATTTCGTAACGATTGAATCGATATTGGTAAAGATAAAAGAGGTTGAAGTTAGAGGCTAGCGGTGTTGATGAGGCATTTTTGGGTGTCCCGGATGTGGGTGTGGGACGTTATCACAAAGGACCCCAATTGGGTTCGTCGAGATGCAGTCATGAACGAGCACCTGACCAGACCGCTACTACGTACACCTACCTGGAGGTGTATTAGGTAGTGGAACGCCTTGGCCCGATGCAGAGGACCAACATACTCGGACCTCGGATTACGATTGATTGTGTAAAGTTTTCAAGGCTGGAGAGACGACCGAGGCATGATGACAGAATTCTGCAGGGCCCATCAGCGGGAGAAACGACGGGCTCCATGGGCTACCAAATGGCTCAACTACAGGTGACACAATGGCTCAGGCCTTTGTGGCTCCATCACTGCATGAGGCTAAAGACGAAGCTTTGCAGATGGCAATCTCTAGTGTATGAAAGAAGCATGGGACGAGTTCTATAGTCGGGAAGACGGGCCAATAGCAAGACCGCCCCCAGGGTTTTGCAACATGCATGACTTACTTTACCTGGGCGAGTTGTCAGGCCCTGATGCCAGCTAAAAGTTGAATGAGGCCCCACTCTGTCAGAAGTGGTGCATGCGTACACACGACCACTTGGCTTCAGCCCAACAGCAGCACTAGCCTAAATTTCCTCACCACAATACACTATAATCATCTCTCTCTGTGCCCCAGCACACTCGGACAAGTCTGGTCATATTGGGATATACGCGATCCAACACGAGGACTACGAGAAGGTGAATCCAGTAAATTTAGATATGTTTCGTCGAGTAGGAACAAGTGTGTACTTCTGCATATGGCGGTGCTTCACTTCGTCTGGAGATAGCCCTTCCTGGTCTAACCGACGGTCACTTTGGACCACCAGATGTCACTGCCCTGGGCTAAAGCAACCTTGCTGATGTTAGCTTCATGTAATAGAAAACACTGCTTTGTCCAAGGCATCCAGGTGGCCAAAGATAACACTAACCCGATCCATCCCTTGCCGTTCCCCATGCTCTGTGAGTCGTTATAGTTCATGCCTTGAGTCCTCCCTTAGGTAATTTCCACAGCCACTCCTCGAACTTTTCCTCGCTCCAGTCTTTGGGTATCTTGTCCACGCCCTGCTTCCACTTTCCATTCTTGTTGTAGAGCCCATGCTTCTCCGGGTTCTTAACCAGAGCCATGGAAGTATCCGCCTCCGGGTTATCCTTCCCAAAGCAGGTAATCGTCTCGTTATAGTAGCGCTGAGCAAACACCTTCGCGCGTGCCAAATCGCCATTAGCTACGGCGATCTGGAAACCGTCGTGGTACGTCCGCGCGACAAACCCATCCGAGATCCTCTCCTCCTTCATAATTTCCAGCTTCTTGTACACATCATGCAGTGCCTCGACAGGTTCCTGTACAATGCGCCTCCCATCATTAACCCGCTCATCCAGCCGATTGATCTCCTCGCGTCGCCGATCGCTCTCGGCCCGCATCTCCTCGGACTCGGAGCACCGTTCGCACTTGCACTTGAACCCAAAGAAGGACTTCAGAGTCTGCTGCCTCTCCTCGTACCCCAGCACACCGGATAGGTACCGCAGGTTGACCTCCTCCCCCTTCTCAATATCCCGGCACGCATGCACCGTCATGCGCTTCCGTCGCGTATTCCACGTGTTCTGCGCATTGTGGTCGCACGAGTGATTCATGCGGCACGCGAGCAAAAACATGCCCGCCTCGCTAGCTGACGCGCCGCCCATGGGGTGCATGTTGGTGCTGGCGGTACCGACCAACGGCCCGTTCTGCGGGTGCGCGTTGGGCAGTGCGAGGAACTCGCGCTGCTGGTCCTTGGTCGCGTTCTTGAGGCCCGCTGCGATGATCTGCTTCATAACTGCTAAATTGGTCACAGCGACAGGCACTATAAAGAGCGGCGTGTCTTCCATGATGCGTGTCCCGCGCGGGATGCGCTGCGCTGCGACTACGCCGAGACCTTTGCCGGGCACGGGCTCAATGGTGTATAGATTGTTTGCCGGCGCAGACGGCGTTTGGGAAAGGCGTTTATTGGTGGATGATGCATCTGGCTGAGCCTTGGCCTCTGGGCCGGGGCCGTCAGTTTCTGGCGGCATCTTGCGTTGTCATGAACAATGCTGGACAGTGGAAAAGTTTTGTAGTGTTTGATCACTGGCGGCGAAGTGCCTCGTCCAATTTAGCCCCACCAGCGGTGCCCCCCACCTAGAAGTATTTAACAGCACTTACGGGGTTTGCTCTCCTTCGCCGCAATTTGAGGAAAGGCATTTATCGACTTTATAACATCCTGTATGTCCAAAAGAAGAACATGCGATTATCACATCACAACAATGAATTTAGAACATCATCTTGCTTTGTCACCATGATCCTAACTATGAGAGCTATGGATTTATGCTACTAGGGGTCGTTATGACGTCACCCTCCTTTCAGTAGAATTAGTGGTGCTCTGTGTTCACACCATCCGTCTCATTTTCTTGACGTTACTTCATGCGCTACAGGTTTCAATGATTTACTATATTTGTAAAGGCAGTGGCCATGGGCATCGTTGGAAGCACGTCCATGGTTGCTTGACAACCGTATTTGAAAGCGGGCTGTACTTGGTGTCTAATACACTTGCGTGCAATTAATTAACTAAGGGAACTAAACTTCTGGCTCACTTGGGAGGACCAAATTGTCCTGAGGTAGGAACAGCTAGCCGCGTAAAAACTCTCCTATTGAACTAAAGCCTAGGTGCTGTTCCCAAAATTACAAATTGGATAAAGACCCTGATGGGATATGCATATTTCAATGGTTGCACAATATGAAAGCCATTTAGAAGTGTACAATGTCTCGTACCGGCTAGTTTCTCTTAGACAAGTCAGCTTGAGCCGGCTCCTTCTTTCTTCAGTATCCGCCCAAGAATTCAAGATCCATGCTGCTATAATTTTCAGAAGGAATCATGCTTATAACGTCACTAAAAGCAGGTAGTTTTAGTATCGAGAAATAAGGGAATCTCATTACTCATTCAATTAATACTACACATCAACAACAGATCGCCCCATGGGATGAAGTACACCGTAGCCGCAAAACCCACGCCAAGGGGAACAGCTGGTCCAGTGGCCGTCGCGATGGTAGATGCTTGAACTGAGAACCATCCAGCTTTCAAGGCTATCGCGCCGAATATGAAATTGACGATCAGGCAACAGGCCGATGCCTTCATGGCAATCGCCAACTTTGCCCCCGTGACGGCAACACCGAAAATTCCAGGAACGAAGTCTTTCCACTTTTGGCCACCAGTTACCACTCATGTCGGTTTCGTACGTCCCTTGTAGGTAGCGCCTCACTATCTAGCACGAGGCAACAGACAGGTTGTCAGTTGACTCAGACCAGGCGCTGACTTGCGAGAGATTGAACTGGATGTGCTGGATATGAACAGCCTTGCCGAGGTAGAGCTTGGTATGTTTTTGAAGATCGCTCTGCCATTCACCCAAGCGAACGTTGTAGAATGTAGATGACCCTTTGATGACGAGCTGCCCATAGGCATCCTTGCCACCACCGCAGCGGAGCATCTTGAGGGTATTGATGCCAAACCGCACTCTGAACGAGATCTCACGGATCTCAGCGCTGGCGAGGTTGATCATTGAATGGCATTGCCTCACATTGCGGACCTCGGATGGTGTCCTGAAGGCAATTTCTGGTCGTGACCAGAACTAGGGATTTGCCTGGTGAAGAGGTTCATGATTAGTATGGGTGCAACTGACCAAATAATATGTGGCACCTACTAGTTACGCTTAAGTGGGAAACGGTATGAAGCGCCCCTTTTTAAAAATGCGACCACCGTTTCTTGTTTTTCGACTCCGGGTGGGGCAAGCACTCGTCTCCGGCGACGGCGATGATGGCGAGTTCTTGGTGACCTCTCTTTTCCTCAATGGCTTCATGAATTCAGGTAATCTGCTTCTCTAAGGCTTTCCACGAAGGAGCTGCCACAGTAGATGCATCATCTAACCAGATTGAAGTCATTGCTTGAGAGCATACCTAGGTGGTTCATAGGACCAGAGCTTGTTAGAATATTTCAGATCCCTAGATGGTTTGATACTTAAAGACAAAAATTGAACATAAATCAGCCTGAGCACACGGTATTTAGCTTCCATTACATTGCTTAATTCACCGTCACTCTCAACTACGTCCAAAATCGTAAAATTTACTAATCGAAAATTGGCACCAACACATTCCATAGGTATTATTTGTATTCTGAGGACGCATATGTAGATTGTTGGTTCAGCACGAAAATCGCCACAAACATTCGGCTACGCAAATCAACAATCACCCACCAGCCAACATTGCAAAGCGCAAAGAGTGCGAGCACTTTCACTCATGCGCCTTTACCTAAAGGGCAATGGCTATGAGGCGATAACAAGATAATCAGCTACCACGTCGAAATACAGACTAGAGCTCAATCGTCTTCATTTCAGTTACACACGCGCAAGAAGACTATGCTATCTCCTATCAACAAATACCTGACTATTTCCTTCCAAACCAGATATCCGCAACATCTTACATGGAGAGTTTATTGAAAATTGTCATCATGTGCTTATACTAATGTGGTGTACCTGAAATGGCATCGTTGAATTGCAGGATGTCAGGAATTTGTAGAGAATGCGCTTGGTTCCTATTGTTCATTTTATTCATTTTTTAGAACTCTGCACGGTGTGTAGATATGCGCCACAATGGAAAAATAAAGTCTTCCTCGATTATCTGCCATTTGCAACCTAATGCATTTGTATATTCAAGCAGGACCTCTTGCATCCTGCAATACTATTTTTTCCAGCTCCCTAAGCTAACAACAAATGTGTTCTCTTACGGCCTATAACAGCTGCTAGGGCAACTTTTAATGAAAAATACCTTATGCTCGACCAGTGTCTTGGGCTCTCCTCTTTCGATAGTAACGTGTGAAAGCTTTCTTACACCTAGGTGGAGTCGACACTTTGAGTTGGTGTCTTGGACCCTGGGGCATTTTCTCAGCCCCTCCCACGTTGACGGGGTACTTCAAGAATGCACCAGTTTCCGTTTCATCAACTCCCATGTCGATGTCTAAATACACAGCAGCAGGCACACACCTATCACTCAATCACTATGATCGCAAATCGCCACCAACACCCCCAACTTCACAAGACAATCTTTTACCAAGGTCAACTCCATCCCAAGATGCCTGTTAACGCGGCCAGCGACATTACTAAACAGTTGGGCGGATGATGTATATCTATGATTGATTGGAATTGAGGATTATGGGTGATGGCTACGGAAGTTGAACGAGATGTCACCGCACGGAGTAGGGATTAAGTAGCACACGGATCAGTATACTGTACGGCAATGAGAAGGACCACCCCTCGCTGGTACACAGAATTATCCTAAAAACTTGGCCGACCGAATTCAGGTGATACTATTACTCAATCGATCATTTTGTACAGACGGTATCTCTTCTCAGCTCGACTCGTCCGCATTCTCCACAGTAGCATTTTGCGCATGCGACCCAAAGTAATCATTCCCATTCCCATTCCCATTCGCTTTCTGTTTCGGCATGTTCTGCTCGTTATCCTTCTCCTTCCCCTTCTCCCTCCTTAATTGTGACTTTTGCTCCTTAGACTGTGGCTTCACCGATCCTCCAGCACTCGAAACGTACTCCATTCCGTCCTCCTCGTCATACTGGTTCCCATCTGTGTCCTCAATGGGTTCTTCTTCCCCAGCGTCATTCTCATCCTCAGAATCCCAGAACCCATCAATAAGCTCATTATCTGCCTCGCCCTCTTCCCCGTCGTCCAACCCCTCCAAAATTTTCCTCGCCGGCTCCCAACCATAAACGGGCAATCTCTTCACCCCCTTCGCCTTCGCTTTTCTTGGAACAACCATCGGATTCAGTAGACCCGTCTGCAGCAACACGCTTGCCTGGTCCCAATAAATATGCTCATGGAATATCTTTCCTCCCTTGAACGTCAAAATACTAACAATCATGATTTCAACATTCTTGCGCGTAGGCGGAATCCCGGGCAAGATCCAGGGCATTTCCTGTGTATGCTGGAAAGTGACATGCATCTCGTCGACGACGCGGTCGGCGCCGATGGTGCGCGAGATGAGGGTGTGCTGCAGCGAAGGTGGGTTCTTCTTTACGAAGAACTGCGTGTAGAAGTGCTGCAGCTCCTCGGCACCGATGCCGCCTGTTAGGGTCGGGATGTGCGTCACGTGCGGGTCGACGTTGGCCGTGTAGGTGGACATTAAGCCTGGGACGTTGCACGTGTTGAATTTGGCTGTAGTCAAGTTAGTCAGTCGGTGATGTCACTTCTCGGTCTCTTTCTGCTGTGATCATGCGTGAAAGAGTCTTCTTACCATGCATATTATTCTCTACAACCGCCTCCAACCGACTATCCATCCCAAACGTCTTTTTGGCCGTCGCCAACGTCCGACTCCAAGCCAGCTCCGCACTAACCTGGTCAAACTCATCCATGTCGTGCTCCGCGAACCCAGGCTCGGCATCATACGAATATGCGGGATATGCAATATTCAAACTGCCTCCAATCCCAACTCCCTGATCAATGGTTCTCTTCCCGAACCTCTTCTTCCCCTGGAACCCAACCAGCTGGCTCTGCTTGACTACCCCAACCTCCCCAAACGGTAAATGCACCAACACGTGCACCGCAGACGGAAACTTGGCTTTCGGGTCCGGAATCCGCGTCGGGTAATATGCAATCAAGCACCCGAGCTTGTGGTCCGGGTTATTATCCATCATATGGAAATGCTCGAGACAAAACGCGGCCGCCTCGCCATAGGCAACAATACCGAACATTTCGCAGGGCCCCATGTCGCGCCGGAACAGCGAGAACAAAGTTCCGCGGTACTCGGGTCCCCCTCTGCCCATGGGCAAGTACTCAACGTTAAACCCCTCCTGCTTCCATTCTGTGAAGGTCTGCTCGTCGAAGCTGTCGTCTTCGGCTGTGATGTACAGCTTGGCGGGCGAGCGGGGGAAGTCGCTCGACAAGAAACCCTGGTCGCGGTAGTTGGGCGTGTTATCTGCGATGATGCGGGCGTTTCTGCCCTTGGCCCGGTCGGGGAGCACCGAGTCTACTAGCTTGGGGACGTTTACGTCCATGGTGGACCGTCTTTTCTTCTTATTCTTTTTCTTTTTGCTGACTTCGTCGTATTCTGAAGTACAGAGTCGGATGATACAAGTCGTTGAATTACATGCACGGGAAAAAACGTGTACATGCGGATCGAAAGATTGAATTGTTATAAACCAAGTCTGACGACAACTTATGTGAGGTTGGGGGATATGATTTTTCCGTTCCCCGCAGGAAGTCAAAACAGGGACGGGACGTTCATGATGACGTAGTTGCTCGGTGCCAACACGATGCAGGATCTCGAGGCCTTCTGCTTATTTTTCAGCGGGGCTCCCGACTCGGGATTTCCTGTTATTTTATTCCAATTGTCGGTTATGTTCTCTAAGTTAGTGGTCACCTGGTTTGTGCCGCAGTGTCGATCCTCAGATGGTTCGGTTTGCCTGCTATTGTGTCGCATTGTGTGCAAAATGGGTTGGTCGTCTCACCCCTGTCGCCCCTTACGCTAAGAGCCATTTGTCTGGGAAATCGCTGAAGGAAACCTTATTAGAACCACAGCCTCTATTATGTACCACGCGAGATGGGTTTAGCTTGCTCTCCTGAGAGCACGCGGTGCTATAAATCTTAGTGCTGAGGGCGTTGTAACTTGTGGGGAACGCTTCGCAGCACATTTCCTACACTCGAGTATAGTTATCTTCAACTGGAGGTTGGCAAATCGTGGAATGAAGGTATCCACACTGACGTAGGAGAATGCAACGTGTTTCAGAATGAGACACCAAGCTACTGAATATAGGCCTCGGCCTAAGCGTTAGGACTGGAGTTATACTAACTTCAATCTAGCAATCGTCAAACGAAAACGGTAAATTGGTCAAGCGCCACAAGTGGATCGTAGTCCCAAATTGGGCCAGGTTAACCTCCAGAGCGTTTTAAAGGGGCTGAAGCCGGGCCCTGCACGTGAGAAGAGCCAGTCTCTATTGCAAAACTAGCTGAGGAACCCTGTGACGGCTCGGTGGAGAAATTCGATGCTGGAGTTGAACAGAACCGGGCTTTTCATATGCTCTGTGAGGGTGATGAGGTCCTTGTACTGGGCGATCAACTGTCTCTTTTTAGTTTCGAACATTTCCGCCTCGACGTCATTCGCGTTGGGTCAGTCCTGGAGAGAGGTAACTTGGCTGGACAGCCTCTCCTCTTTATCGAAGAAGTAAAACGTGATAAGTGGCAATGGGATACGAACATGGGCCAATATCAGCTGAACTTTAGCGGTCCGTGATTGGTAGAAACTGTCAATAAATTGTAGCATCTGGTCGAAAAACTCATCCAGTCGTGGCAGTAGCTCATGTAGTCTCCTCTGCAAGTCGAAAATGCTATCGGCATTGACCAGCCCCCAAATCAATAATCTGACTGCTAGGTAAGCCCAGAGGAAGACCCCTTCGGCCATGGTGGTGATACGATAAGATATCTTTTGAGGCTGCATCGTTTCGAAGACTAAACTGTCTAAAGCGCCTCTATCCCACTAAGCTGTCCAGAATATAATTGCCAATACCCCCTTAAGAAGATCTTGCAGGTATAGTTTCCAGGGTGAATTTCTCAAGGCATCAGAAATTCGAGCCAGGGGTGACTGGAAACACAGCGTGTCGAGCGAGTGTACGATCTCCATGAGCGCATCATGGTCCATTGTTATTCATCTAGCCCATCAATCAGAATGAACATGCAGCTGAAATCTCCAAGCCCTGCCAGCGCTAGGAGTCCATTAACTAGTTCTCTTAGTGGCCTGGCGTTCGGGGGGATTTGGAAGAGTATTGTCCTCAAGAGGCCTTCTTACGACTGCTGCATGACCGTCCCAGCGTTCCAGAAGAAACGGTTGGCCGAAACCAGTCTTCGACCTCTGACCCAGAAGCGAACGCCACTTTTGAAGTTTATATGGTCGTGAATAGACTTCATCAGGCTATATTTACCGGAACCTTCCTTGCTGGCGATCCAATAAATGGATTTCTCTGCGTTCACGAGCCATTGATTGGAACTGGCCTTGTTGCCCTCGAGGATCCACTTGGAGGTATTCTTATGTGCTTCCGGGATAGTACTTTGGCGCTCCTCGATATGGCTAAATCGCAGACTCTCCACGATCATTTGGGTCTTTGGAACTCGAGGAAATACGTATGCCGCGATATGTATGTGTTGGTAAGGTCCTCGAGTTCCTGGGAGTTGCCTAACTAGGAAAAGACCTTCAAGTCAGCGGCCTTTGCTTTCCGTGACCTTAGCAGGTTGATGATGTCGTTCAATTTTGCGTCAATGGCAGTTTTGTACTCCCGGTCGCTGTCAGTGTTATCATTGAGGCTGTGGTCTGGATCTTGATGCCATATTCATTTGTCCTCTCCACTCGCGGCTGCTGGAACCTAATGAGCATCGTCTGGATGACATACCTCCCATCCCCATCTTCGCCTGCACTGACGCTCGCTGCCCAGTCCAAATGCTGTTACGGCCACTGGTTACCGACACTATCCCCACAACAAATTGCCCCTCTCCCATAATACCCAACTCCATGACTCTTCCATCCGTACTACTCCGTCCTCTCATCTTCCGCGACCTCCGGCTCCGTAAACTCCGCAAACCACCAGTTATTCTCGGCTTTATCCCCCTCCCATAATCGTTTAACCCACGTCGATGCAAAGTTCATGGTTTGGTCGATCTTGATTCTTTATCAGCCGTGCTTCATTTTATCGACTGAGAACTGTCACCTCTGAGCTCTTGAATGCCTGTTCCTCATTCTACTCGTACAATGGCGTCCCATTACATCTTATGACTCTACAATAATTGTACTGTTATCTATGTTATGACTGTAAAGTGTTTAAGCTTAGAAGTTGTAAGTGACCTATATTTTACAGTAAAAAATCGAATTAACTTCTTTGTTAGATAAAAGAATAATTTTTATGGAAGTATGCTGATTAAGTTATTCAATAGTAAAGCGTTCAATGTACTTTCATCCTTGCTTCCACTTTTAGTTAGATTGATGACTCTGAGGACATTACGGGAATTGAAAGGACAGTCTTCATCATCAGTGACGCCCTATTGCTAACCATTGGAACCCAGATTTGTGTATACTCCGTCTAAAGCTGAGTTGAGAAATCATGTTAATCATTTAGTTTCCCATCCTACCCGCCGTGGTATAGAGTGATGTCGTGTTTACACAGCAGCAGAACTACAAACCGTAGGAAGTGCGGTGGCCTTTTCCTGGGAAACGTGTACGTTCGGCTAGGGACTAGTGGGATCATACCACCTCTGCAGGAGTACTCAAGACGTTCGAAGACAGATGATTGGGGCGTGTGAACAGTTAATGATGCAGTCCCCAGAAAAGTCAACAATACGCAACATTTGTTTATTTCTACCTTTTAACAAGATATGGAGAATTCATTTACGTGTGAGTAAATCCTCTGTATGTAGCAAGCTTGTACTAACTCCGACGCATAGATGTTTTTGCTATGGGTGTCCATAAGCAGCACCGCTGTATGGGCCCCAAATCATCTGGCAAAGAGACGAAATTTCCAGTCTTGTGGCAGCCACCTTAACAACAAACGAGTTAATGCAGAGTTACTATCGATGATGCCCAACCATGGCTTTCCTTGTGGTAAGTCAAAGTACCCCATCTGCGGCCACCCCACTCAACGGCCCACTCCGCAACGCGATGCGAACCTAGACATCCCCACTACTATTTCCTATATAACGGCACAACTACGCGTCCAATTGATGTGAAAACTTAATCATCTATTCTCCTGCTTCAGCCCTACCTTCTTCCATGGATATCTCAGCGAAAATACACATATGTAACGCTATAATCGACGTACTTGACAGCAGGTATAGCGCCGGTCATCCAGAATAAGCCATGTGCCGCGCAGCACCTTACGCTACCGCCTCGTCGGTGATCCTACCAGAGAGGAGGTCAATAAGCGCCGCTAGGCCTTATCTTCCACTCAAGAAGCTCACTTAACCTCATAGGCACTAGCGTAGTGCCGCCTAGACCGCCGATAACAAGATTCCGGCTATACGTCAACCGTATGCTCAGCACTCTAGGGCCAACTGCTAGCTTAGCCGTAACTAGCGTCGGGCCTTTTTATGTCGGGATCCAGCCGTATACTCCCTCGGAAGCAAATCAATCGATTATAAGCGAATCAACGGCGCTAGCACGACGAAGATTAATATCTTCTTCGACCGTCTGAACCTGCTAGAGGTTAGTAGCATTCCGCCGGCACATACCTAAAATGCTAACGAATTTAGTATTATACAAGGGGTTAGGGATAACTAAGTAGTAATAAGCGAGGCCTACCGTAAACATATTCTAGTTAAAGATATATAGAGTCGCACTTAGATCACTATTATCGAGTATATAAATGCTTTTCTAACAAATTCTAGTTTCTCTTTCTCCTAGCGCACTCATATACTACAACCACTGGATTTAGCTAGTTTTTCGGGCTTGAAGCGGTTCTACCGTATTAAGCGGTATTAGCTTCTGTTAACGTAGCATTCGGTCAGGCTACGTGTCAGAGAACAGAATGCCATAGGCACCAGTGGGTGTCAGGACACTGAACGCAGGACACCGGCGGGCCGCCGGAGGGGTGTTTCGGACAAAAGACTCCCGAATCATGATTACAATCTATGTGAAGCTTTGGGATGACGAGAGTCAAGATCCTTGGCATCGCCGACCCTGCTGTTATGCCGGGTCCAAGCGGCGGCCTAGCTATCTATATAAGGACCATCTCGAAGTAGGATAGGGAAGGAGTTGTCAGAGCCACAAGTGTCATCCGAGGCGGGCCGGCTTCCACCAGGTAGGAAGCCGTTTGTGGCGGCTAGAGAGCCGCTTGTGGCGAATGAGAGCCGTTGAAGCCGTTTGCAGCGGATAGGGAATCGCTTGGTTGCAGATAAGGAGCCGCTGTCCAAGATATTGGCCGAAGTCGGAGGAACACAGACATACGGAAGCAAACATCCAGAATCCAAGAGAGAACCTCGGCTGGCTATAAGTAAGGAGTCGAGACGGAGGAAGATAGAGAGGGCAGAGATCAATGCATCACCGTGGGCACCCCTACCTGAGACCGCCAGTGACCACCCGGTGCTACGTAGGAGGGACGCCCGTTACTCCCCATCACTCTGTACTATTGCCTTCGGCCTAGCCGTACCCTGACACTACGGCGCGGCTGTTGTTCCGGAAGATCGGCAGAGCACCTGAATGAAGACCTAGCTGCTAAGTTAGAGGAAGCGAAGCCTAAAAAACGCCGTAGAGTACTCCCGGAACCTAAGAAGGACTTTGTGGACATACTAGCGATTCGAGCAGAGAAGGCATGTATACAAGCCGCCAGCGAAGCAGAGGATTTCATCGTGGTGCGCTGTACTTAATTTAGTAGAAATCGGTTAATTGTCTGGTTGGCAATTATAGAGTCGTATTATGTTGAAGCATGGTGAGTCGGCGATTTTAGGGTGGGCCGCGGAGTGGAGTGGCCGCAGATGGGTGGATTGACTTATAACCAGCCTCGATGCAGAGCTAATTAGCCTTTCGTCAATGTTAGGTGCCATCAGATGGAACATACGCAGACATGCAGTCCTCAAGATGCCGCCCATTTCCTCCTTGGATATGCGAACGAACAACTCTGATAGGCTAGTCACTGTATGGTGCTTACCATACCTGCCGTACGCGGCATGCACGAACTCGATCGAAAGTCCGAATGAAATCCGTATCACCGTGTCCATCTGCAGAAACCAATGGCATATGCTCCACAAGATAACCATCATAACGAGATCCGGCAATCGCCATTCCTGTTTGGGTATCTTCTGGGTGGGAACTGTCCCGATATATCTGGCTTGGACCTTTGCACGGTTCTTCTTGGCACCAATGCTTAAGTGGCACTTTCACCTGCGCCGAAAATTCAACCCAATTTCGTATTCCTGCGCGAGAAATATGGACGTGGCGCCAGTATGCCTCCAGCTGTCCTGACTGAAGGGCTTCTCCGGAAATCGCGTAGCGCTCAGCTATGTTTAGCCATTGCGTGCAGAGATCTGAAGTACCCTGTGGTGCGAGGAGTTCCCTTGCAGCAGTAATCTCCTTCGTGCCTTCATTTCTTGAAGGCATCAACGCCCCGATTGAGTATAGGATCAGCTCGGAGGGCCTGCATGCAACGGGGCACAGGAGCGGGTTTATGAAATCAGCTGCTTCTGCAGTCCTCGATGTCCCAGAGGTCAATGATGGTTAGTGTCAAGTGCTTCCATGCGGGTACATGTGGACCACTCATGAGTGCGGGGGTCATTGTGTTTGTCAAGATATATGAACACAGCGACAGTGAGTCGTTGCTCTAATCCCAAACTCGCAGTTGTGTGGGTGAAGAAATTCCAGCGAAATCAAGGGCCATAAAAGCTGTATGAAATTTCTGAGAAAACAGCTTCACAGTAGGTCACGCACAACCACAAAGATAGCGCGCTCTTGCCAAAGAATTCGGCTTGTTTGTGAGTGGCACGACACAGCAGAACCCCAGAGAACGCTGAGGTCTGCATTCCGATGTGATCATGTCGACCAACCTGAAGTATACCCACACAGTACGAACAGACTTCAGTAACAGTCTAAGAGCTATGCAGTCGTTCCGTGGCAGGGGTAGCTTGTGCTCGAATCAGATTCTGGGGAAAAGGTGCAGAACTTGTCGGGTTTCTTTCAACAACGATCGAGTACAGAAAAAGGCTAGCTTGGACTAGTCTATTTGGGAAAACCTGTAAGTTACTAGATCGGAACCTTGCGCTGACAAAAAACCCCACGAAGCGGTCGGTATGATACGTGATGAGTTGGCCAACACAATTATGGGTCGAACGAAATGGGGCTCTGCGGTACGGAACGGCGCCTGACAGGAGTGGATACATCCAGCAGACGATTGCCAGTTCAGCAACTCTCGTGTCTTCTATTACATGTTCCCTGAATCTGATCTCCCTGCCAAATTCTTCTTCACGTAACATTCCCTTTGCTCAGTTGTTACTTTGCCCACCCAGGGTTTCCTGGGTTTTGACTTACACTCCTTCCATCACTTCACTTCACTTTACATCATTTCACCTCCGGTCAACATGTCTGAGAAATTAGCAGTTACCACGTCCAATACTGGACCTCGTTTCTCACGCTATGAAGAGTGCGAGGAGGTATACGACACTGTAGACCAGTGGCGCAAAGAGGGATCAGGGGTCTTGATTCCCATTGTCCGAAATCACACCGTACCACTTCTAGAGCAGAAATGCAAACGACCATGGTGGGAGTTGCTCAAACGCTGTAAGTCCGTCTTCTCTGGACCGATAGTTTTCTGCCACTAACCCGCCTCAAAGCCAAGTCCATCATCAGGCCCTCAACTGTCGATGGTCTCAAAGAGGCAATCGCCGAGACCTGTGAGAAGCCAACTCCGATGCTATTCATGCTCATCAGCCGACACGTCGACCTGGGCCTCTTTGACATACCCGCCACTGTCGGCAAGCTTGCCATCATCCGCTGCGGGCAGCGCGAAGACCGACACAGACAGCTGCGAGTCAGTGGCCTTTCTACCTTCTGCGGCATAAGACTCGACCAATGGGAAATCCGCCGCGTGCGGAAACACGCCGTGATTCTCGGCCCCGGCGTCGTCATCCAGCTCCATCGTGGCATGCCATGGGGCCAGCGGAAAGTCCCCTTGACCGCCGACGAGGAGGCCAAGGCTTATCAAAACCTGAAAGCTCTCCTTGAGAAGGGGGTCAACAGTGCTTCCGAGGCCAAAACAAATGTGAAGCATCTCAAGAGCACAATAGCCGCCCTTCTCAGTCTTCTCATAGGGGCAGGCAGAATCGTTTCTGCTTTGAGGGTCACGCCGGAAGGTGTCACGCTCAGTCCGGATGCGATACCTTGGCTCAAGATGGGCGCCGTCAAGGTTGCGTCGGGGTTCTTCAAGCTGGCCAATACGGCGGGTACCCCAGTTGTGGCGGGGGCGAGTGTCACGGCGGTTGCAGCTGCGATGTATTTCATCCCTTGGGACACCCTTTGGGCATGGCTAAGGGCCAAGTTCTCGTCGGCCTTGGACAAACTGCGCAGCGCTTTTACGAGATTATGCACGATGATTCGCGATTTCTTCTTGAAGAAGAAATCACGACGTTAGCCAACATGGCAGTCAATAGGGGTTGAAGGGTAGGAAAGGCTGGCGACTTCGAGGGCTTTTTGGTTATCTATTTTCGGTTACTTTTCATGTTTTCTACTTATCTATGTTTCTGTATCTGCTTGCATCGCATAAATGGAAGGAGTTTATGATGTTTTAGTGGGAGTTTTAGGATGATGATGGCTTGTCATGAGGAAGGGGTTTGGGACTCGTGTAACTATGAACAATGTTGGTCTCTGTGGAATTCGCATCAATAAGAAACATTATTGTTTCACACTATAGGAGGGAAACAGGGAGTTCTTAGTGTTTATTAGTGAAACCCTGGAGGGAATCATGACTGTCTGCTTTATTGATTCTACAAAAGGGGCTGCTACTACGGTTAAACAGACAGCAAATGTGGCCTTGAGGGCCAAGTTATGACATGATCATACCGACTATCCAACATATTCGCAGTGATACGTGACCCCATGGGGGGTTGCCCTATAGCTAGAGATAAGATAGATAAGAGCTATAAAAGAGCTCTGCCAGGCCAGAATAGCTGACCTGGCCATCCTTTTCCAATACAACAATTCACACCCCATATGCACTCGCATCACGCAGCCTTGTCGGTGCCTTCACTTACATCCCTAGTAGTTCGATGAGCTTCCCAAACGATGCCTTTATTTACGGGAATATGGAGCTTATAAGCATGGATAAGCGTGGATAAGCCCGGCTTCGAGCATGAATTGTTCAAACTGCTAGATATTTTGGTCTATGTGGGGTAGTTGGTTACCGGCGGCCATTCTTTACGGCTAGTCATTCAGAAATCGTTAACATATGTGGTAAAGACAATGCCTGTATTCCTTAGGTAATAGACAGCGGTACTAGAGATCAAAAGGATAAGCCCTAAAGTAGAGATTGTTTATCTATGAAATACCTAGGAGCTCATCCCTGATATATCTAACCTCTCGTTTATTAATCCACCTAGACTACTTAGATTATCTTAAGACTCTAATGATCCTTTTTCTAGATTATTATCAAGAACTAATGATCCAGTTACGTGACCTTTCTTTCGCTAGAGCCCTGATCCGTTCCGCTTCTTTTGGTTTCTAATTGATGCGTGAGCATACGGGGTGTGAATAATTATATTGGAAAAACTTGGTAAATAGCTAGCCGAAGGCCCTCTTTAGCTGCCTTTCTTATCTATAGCTATCGGTAAACCCGCCTTCGGTTCACATCACTGAATCTTGCCGGGCTGCCTGAAAACGGGCCTGTTAGGTTAGTTAGATTCAACGGTTCGTAAACCCTAGTAGGAAAGGCGGGTAAGTGTAAGGGTCAAGGGTAATGTCGATGCAATTAGCCTAGCCTACTCTACGAGTACTATCCATCTATGAAGAGAAAAACATTAGATGTATTCAGTGTGGTGAACCCTTCTCCCTTTTATCCTTCTGTCCTCCCGTCTCGTCGTTTCAGGAATCTTCGAGGAGTGAAGCTTACTCAGAGATTTCCGTGGGTCCAAGTGCTGTAGGAGTGAAGCTTATTCAGAGCTTTCCGTCGGTCCAAGTGCTGTCGGAGTGAAGCTTATTCAGAGATTTCCGTGGGTCTTTCTGGCCGAAGGCGTCGCAGAGGCCACATACCGGTCATAGACCGTGACAGGTAGGGTTATCATACTTTAGGCTGCCGTGATAGCTAGATTAAGTATACAAACTGACTAATTACATAAAGAACCAAACAAGTTCTTTATGTCGAACTCGGCAAAAGGGCACTGAGTATGAAAAGGCGACCAATACGTTTTAAAATCATTACTTAATTAAGGCTATTCTTTCTGTCTGGCATTCCGTTTACACCTGAACCTCTCATAAACCATTCCATCCTGCTCATGTAATGCTCTCTTATGTTTTCCTATTCCGCTCCACACAAATGCTTAGGTGATGTATCACGACTTGCCGACCACGGCATTCTGATGTGTGAAAATCATCAACGACAAAGCCCACCCTCCAACGCCCCGCAATGCATATTGCCACGTGTCAAATCTAGAGCCTAACCGCAAGTATGCCATCCACTCAATGGTCCACAAGGGGGTGTATGCCCAAATAAGGGGCAAAAGGGGCAAAGGGGGCAGTGCAAATTGCACTTCTAACTTTCCTCAACGGAGACACCAAAAGCACAAGGGGATAATCAAACCAACCATCCAGTTAAGCTTTACACAAACAACTCCAGATACCTTTCAGCGACCACTAGTGACCAGGATATATCTCCGTCGGCGTAGCATCTTGTCTCTGCCCCGGCGCCCCCTCGGTCTCAACGTCCTCTTCAACAGCCCTCCTCGCATTCATTTCCGCCTCATCCTGAATCTCATTCCTGACTGTGGTCTCTTGATTTAAAACCCTCCTCTCCTCGCTCTTGTGCGTATCCACACTCTTCCGTTTCGTATCCTCACTCTTCTTATTATTAGTACTGCTGCTGACCTCAGGCTTCGTCTCCTTGCCCAGCACATCCTCCACATTCTCTCCCCGCTGGATAGCGGCTATAGCTTTTTCCGCGATTTGTACGCTCTCGAACGCCCTACCCATGCCCCATTTACCAAGTTGCTGTCCCTTTTTCCCCCTCTTCCCACCAAACACCTCAAGATGACCCATAAGCCCCCGTTTGCTGTTCTCGCGCATGATAACGGAAGACAGCTGCCTCATTACATCCCAGCCCTTGTATACTTCTTGCGATAGCGCCTTCCGCTCTTCCTCGGACATACCAAACATCTCGCGTTGGGCCTGAACGATGCGAGCACGCCTGATATACTTAATAGGCGCGCCTTGTTTCTCAATTTGTTTGGCAATACCCTTCAATGTGTACCCGAACGGCGCGGCCAAGGCCGCCAAATCTTTGAGGACGAAACCGCCGATCCCCATGCCGACCCCTGCAAGAGCACCCCTAACTCCATCTTCTTTTGCTCCTTTGACAGGGAGTCGCACGATGCCCGTAACGCCATCATAGACACCGTAAAAGAATTCGGATCGGGCGGCGCGCAGACCGGAGCGCATGCCTGTCACACGCGGAGGCCGTCTCACAGTGTCGTCACCGTATAATCGAGGAGCGTTGTGAAAACCCTGAGCAATGGCCATTGACAGATCAACCGGGGCATGAGCAATAGCACGTCCGGATTTGGCCAAGCCTTCCGAGAAATCATTCGCATATTCTTCTGCCGGATTGTCATCAACCGACATGTCGGTACCCCCGGTTCCTGGCGTTTCGGTGTCGGTAAGGCAAATGTCGGGATTTGGCACTGATTCAATCTGCTGGTGTGTTTTTTGACCAGGCGCCTGGTCCTTAGCCTCGATGCGTGCGTCAGGGAAGGGAAAGCCAGCAGACCCACTAGCATCTGTACAATCGTTGGCGGTTACTATGTTGTTGTTGAGTTTGTGCTCATGTACCTTCTTGTTCTTCTTCTGCTGCGATTTGCGTTTTCGCCTGGCCGCATGCCTCTCTGCCCTCGCCTTCTTCCGCTCGGCGCGCTTGTTGGATGTCTTGGCTAAGCGATATGGAACACTGCCAAAGCCGCCGAAGAAATCACCCACCGTGCCCATGAGGGAGCCGGCTATACCTGTAAGTGGTTCACCAGGGCCTTCAAAATCATTCCATTCCTTGTGACGAACGAGTCTGAGCTTGCGCCAGGATAAGTACCCCTTTTCAACAAGAATATCGGCAGCCAAGGCGCTGAGCTTAAGGCTTGTATCTTTGACCTTCCAGACTGCAACGCGATCACTCAGTACCGAACAGCGCATCGACTGCTCACCGCTTAGTGTCAGGTGGTGGTGGAATGATCTGACTGCGTTCTTAGCTCCGTCACCTTCCAGCTCGATATCCCTAGCAATAGATTGCGCCGCGTCACGGGCTTCGTCTGTGAGACAGAATTTGATGCCTTCCGCAAGTTTTTCGACATTCAATTTCTTGTAGGGCACAGGATCCGGCCCGGCACGGGCACTGCCAACCATGGAGCCCCAGAAGTTCTGGTCGCCGAAGAAGGGCACAATCATCGTTGGAATACCACACTTGAGCGCAATCGCAGTAGTGCCGGCACCGCCGTGGATGACGGCAGCTTTCACTTGGGGAAAGAGCCAGTCATGTGGAGTATTTCCAAGCATGTAAACGGTATCGGGGACATTGTCTTGCCCAAGTCCGCCCCACCCCTTGGACACAAGTGCTCGTACACCCGCTCGCTCAACCGCGTCGAAAATCATTTCGGTAAACTTATCAGCATCGTCCACGACAATGGAACCAAAGCCAATGTAGATCGGTTTATCGCCTCCGTCGAGAAACTCGACTAGATCTTTCGGAGGTTCGAAGGAAGACGCCAGATCCAAGAACACAAATCCGGAGATGTCAATCTCTTCGCCCCAGTCCTCGGGCTTTGGCACAAGCCCAGGACTCCACAGGTATGTGAATGGCACATGGAGACGATACGTTGCTCCCGGTGCCCACAGTGTCGAGACGGGATCCAATCCTAAGGTCTTGATTCTAAAGTCATTGACCAGGTCTCCAAGCCCCTGCCAGACCATCATCTCAACCAGGGGGTAGGATATGAAATTGGTGTACCCAGGGTCCACATTGGACTTCTTGATGCTCGCCAGGGGATGAGGAAATGCTTGCGTTGGAGTGTAAGGAAACGTAAACATAAGATGTAACGGAATGCCAAGGGCCTCGGCGCAGTGCATGTGCGCAAAACTGGGCGGATTCGCGATGATGGCATCTGCGACGAACGGGGACCTATCGCCCATCATCTTCAGGTTGTGGGTGTCCTTTTCGTTGTCGGTCGCATTGATGCACGCGCGCCAAAATCCGTCGAACATCTCGGCCATGGCCGCTCGTCGGCGACCAATGTCGCCTGCTTTCACAGTCTCCAGTTTGGGGATCATGCCAGGATTTTTGACCATGAAGGCCATTAGCTCAGAAGGGTCTCCCCCGACGGAGAAGAATTCGAGACCAGAATCCTTTTCGACAAAATCTCGAAACGCGGGATGGGTGGCGATTCGAACTCGGTGTCCGTAGTCCTCCTTCAATATTTTTCCGAGCTTGAGAAACGGTTGCGCATCCCCTCTCGAGCCAATGACCATGATGACGATATTCAGGCTTGGACGCCCTATGCTCTCCGATGTAGCAGTAGTCACCGAAGAGAGCCTCGAGGTAGTCGGGCGGTTACCTTGTACACATTTGCCACCTGATTTGGGCACGACCCTCTTCACAGCCGCTCCCAAGGCCTTGGCCAGATATCCCGTATTGCTCGTATCGTTGACCGTGATGTTGAGACGTCCATCTCTTTTGGATATTTTGCCCTTGGTATTGTAGTTGTCGTTGGCGACCTGAAACCGTCGATACATGTCCTCGCTCGTCCGCTCTTTTGGCCGACTGCCCGCTTGACCTGCTCGTACGCCTTCCTCCTCATCATCCTCATCGGACAAAAGTGAACTATCGGAGTCTTCTTCCTGGGCCATGCGATCCCACAAGGCTCGATTTAGCATGGATGCATTGGTGCCTGCGCGCCTGATGACGGGGATTGTCGAAACAGAGTGGCAATCGCCTCGTCGCGGCGCATCGGTTAGAAACTTTCTAGTTCCTTCGAGAGAGGGTCTCTCGGTTTCAAGCGCTTTGGACGTGGGCTGGGTCTTGCGTGCGTTAGATGGAGGTAGGGAATGCGATTTCTTGGGTCCCGTAACCGTTTTGGGATCCTTTGCAGATGCGAGCATCGTAGAAGACTCGGTCTTCTGCGAAGCAGGTGAATCGATGCCCGGCGGTATAAAATTGGGATAGGCGACTTTGCCTTCATGATCGCGCATGACGGCTTTCGGTTCATCATTGAGGAAGGTCTCCTCGAACTTGATCTCTTCGGTCGAGTCCTCGATGGGAGCCGTAGAGGGCTTGTCGAGTTCAATTCCAGGCATCGCAGCAGCTGCTCCCGTTGGAGCTGGGTTTGTTGGTTGTCTATCTATATCGCAGATGTTCTACTGTTTTGTGTCGTCCATTGTAGGTAAACTCAGGGTGTAAGGCGTGGTTACCTCAGCATTGCTGGGAAAGCCTAGCCTGTGTGGTGAGCTCATATGTTTGCCTCTTAAACATACTTCTTGGGCGAAAGCAGAGAGAAATTCATTCCCAAGCTATCGAACTCCTCTCATTATTAGGATTTTTGTGATGCGTCGATTTGGATTTGATTTTAACCAAAGTTCCAATATGGAATCTTGCTAGTTAGTTGCTCGAATCGAATTGTGTTCATCAAGCCTCGTCTGTTATTTTGTCGCGGCGGCCAACAGGTTAGCATTTTTTGTGGAGTCCTAATGTAAGTGCTATGACATCACACGGCCTGACCGTTATTCAGTTTCGCCGAAGGCGCGTTTGGGAAATTGGGAATTCGCATCAATGCGGCCAAGAAAGTCATTGGCTAAATACAGCCGATTATCCGGACAAAAGCTCCGCAGGGCACCATCCCGCAATACCTACCTCTCACAAAATCTCGGGCTTGTGGGCGTGAGTCTGGACTGGTGAGACATCATCGAGATTCCAACTTTCGCATAGGCTTGCTCGTAACTGCTGATGGGCCATTGTATGACCCTCAATACTTAGTTTGGAAAGCTTGGCGTCACTCAAATCATGACCAAGACGTTAGTTGCTAGTTAAGGTTGAGAAACCACAACGTAGCAGCGCCAACACCATGCTCTCCACATGTCGAAAGGCAAATCAAACCGATTTCTCGTTTCACGAACGTATGGTGACGGGATGTTAGATTCAATGGAACTTAACTTGAGAATCACCGTCGCACATGGCAAAGGTCAATAAGTGACGTCGTGCGGGCCGTGGTGTATTATGAGCCCAAGGAACTGTCTGCCAACTCTAAAATCTACCCCACGTTCCCCAGACGCCTTGTGGAGTAGTGGTCCAATGTCCAATCTAACCACGCCCTTCCCAGTTCTTATCAACGATCACCGGACGATTTGTCGTGTTCGTTCCCAACAACTGAAAGTGTTTCGACCCTGTCCACGACCTCATTCGTCTTTGTTGTCAGCAGTTGGGATCTCGTTCGAAAGTTACGCGGCTCTATATACCACCAAATCATGTCAGCCGGCCTCTTGTCAATTGATAGGCCCCGTAACATCTCCACGACGGAGCCTATCACATCAGCCGTTTTCATCATCTCTCAATCCACATCGTGGCCGTTGCAAGCACAGAAACCTCAACTTGTAAATACAGGGGCTTTTCATGGACCATCGGGTGGTCAGGCGTTGAGCCATAACTGATAAGAACACAATTAAGCTAAGTCCCGGAGGCAGGCCCTCTACTCGTCAGGCAACGAATGGTCCGTGGAAAGCGATGAACAACAACTGCATTGTGTGGCCTAAATACCTGGTCCTCTTCAGAATGCTTCTGGATTGGATCAAGTCGCAGACGTCTCTGTTAAGGGTGTGGGTTGGGCACTGCTGTGTATATCCAGTCATGCCGTGTTTCAAGGCCCATTTAGATTTCAATGTACAACGCTTCACACTTCAGGTGAGTGATCTGATACCTGAGAGACTCGTGGATTTCACATGCAATCCAGACGTTTCAGAACCCCCGAGCTCATAGTATGGAGGATAGGCAAGGATCCCAGAAATTGTGTGCCGGCTCCAGATGAAACTTAGATAACTATGTTCGCTAGTTGTTTCACAACTTTCTCATAGAACGTCAGCGACAACCTCGCCGCAACTTCGTTGTTCGTCTCATCATCCATCTCCACAAGATTGAGCCACTTCCCACCAGCAATACAGCGCCGTGCCGCCTCCTGATACACATCTCCCATATGCCCACCCAATTCGTCCAGCATGTCGGGCATCAAGAGATTCTCCTGAACCCTCGCAACTATTGACGGTCGGCCGCGGGCCTTGTTGAGATCGATCCGTAGCACTTTGTCTACCGTGACCCAATGTGCAATTTCCACGAACAGGACACCGAGACTGTAGATGTCGAAACTCTTCTTGAAGCGCTCGCGCTCACCAGAACTCGTCGTGGTTTGTGCGTGGGGATGTCGGTAGAGATTGTGGTCCACATTATCGCCAGCGACTTCGGTCATCTCATCTTTTCGGGCAGGACGAGAGAAGTCAAAGCCGGAGAGATATGGCTTGCTATAGTCAATGTGACCCCCTGCCGTGCTAAAGAATATCAGATTTTCACTGCGTAACGACTTGTGAAGCCAGTTTGCCAAGTGGAGGCTCTGCCATTTGTCAGCAGTGGTCAACCTAAAGCATGGAACACGAGCCTAACCAATAGGCAATTGCTAACAGCATGTGCCAGTTTTATCCTTTCCGATACGCTGGGCTTTCGATATGTCCTCGGGTCTTTTTCGAATAGTTGACGCAAACTGACAGGAGGCATGTCTGTGTGTAGACTGTTGTCGCCTGGGCGCTCGAACACCAGCCCCAGCCGCAGATTTGAGATATCGTCGTCATCGCTATCTTCACCATTAGCAGATGCCTGGTCGAAGAATCCAAGACAGTGAGGAGTCCTGAAAGCTTCGGGTTTGGGGCTGTGATTGAGCAATGCGACGAGCTTCCACACTCTCTCAAGAATAACTTGCTTGGGAGGTACGACATCGTTGGGGGTCTCCCTAGCGTACTCCTTCCACTCGATCCAAATCTGTTTCCGACTTCCGTTGGGACATTCAAGCACAGCATCGCAGCGCTGTGACTCGATTCTCTCAGCACTTGGTTTGATTTGGATCATTGCGACGTCCAGCATGAGATCTTTCCGCTGCCCAAGTTTGCCTAACTCGAGACACATGGCAGTTGCCTCGTCCAGGGGGCTCTGCCTATCGGATTCGATGGCTTCATTGAATGCCTTGAACTTGGCAAGTTGGGAAACAAGCTTAAGCCCCGAAGCATCAGCAGCTCTGGCTTGCTTCTGCGTATCGGACATTGGTACAGAAGCGTACTGTGGACTGGCGTCCATCTTGATGTTTAAAGCCATGACCAACCGTGATAAGTCTGCGATCTTGCGATGTAACTGCAGCATGCCCCTGTTGGTGTCCTGGACGGTCCGATGTATCTCCACTTGGAGCCTTGCATCGAGAATATCAGTCATGTTATCATTGAGAGTCGCAAACCTGGCAAGCAGTTTCTCAAAGCCTTCCTTGTCAAACGATGCCCACTTCAGCCGAAGCGCACCCTCTTTTGTCCTCTCCCTGAGGCTGCCCATTGCTTTTTTAATGAAGTCTCGGCGTTTCTGGGGTAACGGGAAGTTGGCATCGGATGCATCTTGTTCTGGATTCTGCATGGCATCATCAGGTCCATTTACTACTTGCAACCTTTTGTACTGCTTCTGCTGGTCCCGAAATTCTTTGAAAAGACACTGGATCTGCACCAGTAAATCGAGTACCGTCGTGCGGTGTAAAACAAACGTGTTAGACTCTAGGATCTTTTGCTGGTTCTTGTCGTCCAGCTCTTGCAATCCAGACGTCTCACTCCAGGCAAACAAGCGCTGCTGTTCCATGCGCAATCGGAGGTTGAGATACTTGCACTCTTCTGGAAAGTTCTTGGCCGTAACAAGAAGTTGAATGCCTGACCAGGTGTTAATAGGGTCGAATTCTAGGCCGTGATATTCGCCAGGATATCAGAAGAGGGGTCACCTTGTATGCAGCCGGTATAGACTTGCAACCCTATGCTGGCAACGCTGAGGGCAAGACCTGCAGCACTCACAGGGTCCATGCTGGTAATGTGGGATGGTGGTCAAGCCGCATTCCAGGGTGCTTAAGCCACCTTGCTGCCTTGGACCATCGATTTAAGTAAATAGGCGGGAGTGAGGTTATCTAGCGTAACACGATGTTTGTATAATAGACCACTGTATTTGTAGGCACTAACAGTCCTGGAGAGCCTGCTTATCAGAGATTGAGGTGTACCACCACTCGATCTGCGGTTTGTCAGGATGGAAAAGACCGCCTTGATTGCGGTCAAGTTGACGTCGCAGCCTGCTTATAATCAGGATCGATCAGGGCAATGAAGGTTGTGCAAATGTGTCGCAAATTCGTCCAACTTCAGCACAAAAATTCTTATGGGATCTTCCATGATTGATTGATTGATTGAAATTTAACGTCTCATCACGTGAGACGTGCCGGGCGCAGTGCCGGCATGGTCTATGCTAGTCGAATCTATGTTACAGGGGACTGTCTTCATCTAACATTCCTGTTCAGTGCGATGGGCAGATCTCAGTAAAGAAATTGGTCTCCTCCGCCCATTGACAAAACAAACGAGCTCCCTTGGCCGTGCCTAGGAGGGAATCTATACTATTCTTGGCCATATGCGCTTTTAGATGACCGGGCGTGGCCTTGCGGCCGCGCTTGCAAAAGTAGAAGTGGACTGGTGTCTTTGTCTTTCCACACCCGCAGTTGAGCAGTGCGTCGCGATGCTGGAGTCTCTCGTGGTAGGTCACGAAATCCCCGTGGTACGACCTCGCTGCGAGTAATCTGCCTAGGTGTTGCCGGGGCAGGCCAAGTTCGGGGGGTCGCAGGTGGATAGCGATCCCTAGATCTCGATACTGTTGAGGGCAGGTAGTGGCCCATCGATCGTTGAAACTCTTCCAAGTGTAGGATCTCGCGATTCTCTTTATATGTGCGAATGAGGCCGGGTGTTGTGTCTTGGGTGGTTGCTCACAGGCCGCTTTGGATCTTCCATGGTCCCGAGCTCCAACTTTTTTTGAGACTGCAAGGGCAGGCAAGTGCACGTGGTGAACTAATTTGTTGGCACCGACTGGCAGGCAGCTGCAACCAGCACATACGTGCTGTACTTACCTTCAGCTGATGTCGGCTGCCTGCTTCTTGAGCAACTTGCGGATCCAACTCCTGCATTTTTGTTGAAGTCTTGAGCGTCCACGAAGGCAGCTCTCGACTTCTCTCTGCCTAAGCTATGGCCAAGACCCTAATCCTGTCCTCAAATCTTTCCAGACTATCATGACTCTTGTGCCGTTATATATGATGTTCATCGACCATAGCATCCGATGAAGACGACGGGTTTGGCAGCTCATAGTTTGAGTAACACTCAAGTCGGTTGTGTTAAAAAGGCGAGATTATCGAGTTGATAAATCAACAAAGTAACAAAGCTAAGACATTGCCGGTCAGATATCGGCATCCTCACCGACCAACCTGTACGATTTTCGAGGTGAGGACAGACTCAGTCCAGCTCAGGTAAATCAATAGACCACCGTTCAATCAAGCTGGCGTCCAACTGCACGACGAAAAGGCTTCCGCCGAATGAGACATGCGGGTGACACCGTCGAGGCACGCAGCCAGTCGTCGTCCAAAGCCGCCATCTTCATTGTAGATGGGAGCCAGCTATATCCCTGTTCGTCAGTCTCAACACGGGCGAACCCAGACCACGATCAAGATTTCTTTTCGAGTTGTGAACGCCTCCATGCGTCCCTGCATCTTCGCAAATGGTCCAAACACTCAACCCCTCACACCACCATTGGCCTTTCTGCCCGCTTCGAAATTTCGTTTCCCTCCCTCGGAAAAAGCATGTTCACTCCGTTAAGCTTCCATCGCAACTATCCTGGCGTGAAATCTAAATCTCATCATTTACCAGACGCCCCTGCGTCTACACCGTTTCATCTGCTCAACTATCACGGCATCTTATCCCACGATTGGCAAGCAGGGCGTCACGACTGGCATTGTCCTAAGCCGGCGGGTTCGGCATCTGGAAGTGGAGAAGCCGCTCACCAAGGAGCTCGACACCTGGGGATTGTTGCAGCTCTGCGGGGCGATCAGTCGACTTTTGCTTTCTGCGCATCTCAATTGACTACACGACAACATCACTGTACGGTTCCAAAATCTTACGAACAGATATCTGGAGCTGGTCTCAGTCCTGCGAACTGGAATAATAACGACTTTGAGGTCGAGATCGGTAGGGGCGTCAGGTTAAATAGAAGTTCCCCTCGCATAGACCCCGCCGCTGGCTTACAACTTCCACTCCTGGCGCCATCTTGGTCGCCGACCGTCGAACAACGTTCAGGCACCGCCCCTTGAGCACATTTCTAGATAACGGTTTGATACTTTGATCAATCATCAAGACCGTGTTTCTGGAATATTTTCTAGGTATTCACGCATCAAACCACTTACCCATCGGCCCTTTTGTGATTTTTTTCAAGAATTTTGATGTGCTATGGATTCATTCGCATCACCCAACACCTCCAATGGGTCGCCGATAGGGCCAATCTCACTTTTTGACAACATGCCCGAGAACACGCCCGAGAACATGCCCCGCGGTTCCGTCGTAGGAGCCGTCATGGGCGGCGCGACCACAGCCCCGGCAAACGGCGATTCACGAACCCCTCCGACCGTGCCGGCCGCATGCCTTGGATGTGTAAGTTGCGGTTCCCTACCGTAGTTTGGCAACTCCAACTGACATGAAAAGCGGGCCAAACATCTCAAATGCGATGGGTTGAACCCGTGCTCGCGCTGCTTGGCTTCGGGTGACACGGTTTGCCAATACGTGGCTTCACGCCGCGGGTACAAAGGCCCAAGGAGGAATACAGCTCAAAATCCAAACAAGCGACATGCCTCTGATTCGCCGTCCTCGGGCGGCGAGACCTGTCCGATGCTTCTTGGCGCTACATTGCCTACCACGTCAATGGCCACCACTATGACCACACCAGTCACTCCGTCTCTAGCTACCTTCAATCCCATGGGCATGTTTGAGTCAGCAGCAGCCAGTCCCTTCGCCTCAGGACCTCTGGGGGGTATGCAGCTGTACAGAAACCCCTACCTCAATCCAATGAATGGCGCACTTGTCGAGGTAACTGCCAACAGACCTCCACAGACCATCCCAGAGCGCTGTATTGATTCATTTTACTCCCACTTCTATGCGGGCCATCCGGCCGTTCTGCCCAAAGAACATCTTCTGAAAATGGCGAAAGACAGAAATCTCGACCACCTGTTTGCGGCAATGAGGTGGGCCGGTTCGCTGTATTTTGAGGTCGGTCCATTGCGTGCCACCTTCTTCGATGAAGCCATGCGGCTCTGCTATGACGAAGACACGCCCAAAGATGGCTTCCTTGTACAAGCTCTTGTGATATTGATCATATGTCTTGACGGATGTGCCGAAAACGAGAAGGCCCGTGACATATTGTCCGATGTCGAACGAATCGCCATCGAGATTGGGCTGTATCAACGACCGTATGCCACTCTCCACGGACGAAGTAACCCAACGCTGGAAGAGAGCTGGCGTCGGACATGGTGGGATCTGTTTGTGGTGGACGGAATGGTTGCTGGCGTTCACAGGGCCACCAACTTCCTCCTTTTCGACATTGTGGCTGACGTGGGTTTGCCTTGCGAGGAGTTCGAGTACACTTCTGGGGTGAGTCCAACATGGGTAATGTTTAACCTCTTTGCGACCTAACAGATTGCCAGCAAATACCTCGTCCAATGTATCTGGAAGACTTTGAAGACCAGATATTTACTGGCAATGACAGGCCGTTTTCGTCATTCGCATACCGGATCGCATCCATCAGGAACCTTGGCCGCATGATGCGGCTTCCTGAAAGCGTTTTTCCTGGCGATGACAATGTTGATAGGATCGAATCGCTCCTGTCCAATTGGCGGTTGCATCTTCCGGAATCCAAACGTGACTGCTTGAACAAGGATTGCCAGCTGGACGAAATGATGTTCCAAGCACACATGATCAACCATGCGTGGGTAGCCTACCCCAATTTCACTTCGGCACGTTGACTTACAATTGTCTAGATGCTCCATCATTCTGCACCAGCCTCACTCGCAACTCGACTCTTCGCCAGCTCGGGATGTGACGGCTTGCGCGCCTCACCAGGCCGTCCAGTCGGGTGAGCACTTCAATGCTCACACGCGACACATCATTACGGCCGCTTCAGCAATAAGCAAGATGGTGACCTACAACGTGCCCATTACCTGCCATACCCATTTTTTCACCTGCGTTCTCACCCTCTCGTCCGTCGTCCACCTGAGCAAGTGGGCCTTAATCATCGTGCAGAACGATGCAGACCTGAAGGAGAAGATTCGTCTCAACATCGGCGCCCTCAACAAACTTAGCAACGTCTGGAAGGCGGCGGGTCGTGCTGGCAGTCAGGTGAAGGGCGTTGCGTCCGAGATTTACCACGTCAAGAAGGCGCAGCAGAATAATTCGTCGCTTTGGGTTGGGTACACCCAGGAGGAGATCATCAGCTCCATGGCGTCGGATGAGAGTATCATGAGTGATATCAACAGCATGCTCAACTGAGTCGTTCGAGATAGCCCTGGTCATAGCAAAACGTTGCTTGTAGTGCCAACACATTCTCTCAAGATCGGCCCAGGTTATCCTACTGAGTGGACTTCGGCGATGTGGCACTGTCTAGTTCGGCTCAGATCCCTGAACAGCTCCGCCAAATCGCCAGAAGTCCAACCCACAATAGCATCGAACAGTGAAGGGAGGGAGAATGTGAGACTGAACTGGTTCGGGTTCACAACAGGCGTTCGGGATGCAATGATTGATTTTCGATATTTGTGACGCGGGCAAAGGGTTACTTCACAAAAGTTGTGAGATATATCAATAAATTTGAACACTCTTCTCACCAGTCATATAGAGATGGTAGCAAAGTGAATCGGTGTGCTACTTAGGATGAACTTGCCCTGTACATGTAGAGGGATAGTAAGCTATTCCCACAATTTTCTTCACTTGGCAGATCACGCAATACACTCTATATTGAACTAACCTACCTTGCAGCCAACCACATCTCTGTAGCTAGTACCAGGCTTATTGCTGATACACATGTTTGTAAAAATGATGCACAGCGATGACAGATTGGACTTGCATGCTACCCACCTAGACACATCCACAGCTAGTGGAATGTGCTTGGTCCCGGGGTTATAAGCTTTGATAATTGGGCGTTGGTCGGCGACCATAATCCTGGCTAAAGTGGAGTCACGTAAAGTACTTAACCTTAGTAGTGTAGTTCCCGATTGGTCTGTTTGTCTGTCATCGTCAATGGTTAGAATTATCAAATGAACAGTCTGATAGTGCCCAGATGATACTCTAACCACATTGACTCCTATAGAAACGCACCCCTATTTGTAATAATACATCAGATAATTAACTGAAATCGTTGATACGATTAGAACTAAAGTATTAAAATAGTAGTAAATCTATTTATTTCTATACGTATTTAACTTTCATTACTCTGCAGATTCTTTATCTTTTTAGTAGAATAATTTCTTTATTATTTCATACTATATCTAGATATTTTAATCGTTTTTTATATTAGTTATTTAAGAATATCATATTTAAGTCTGTTCCGTTTTATTTATCATCGTGTATTAAATAATATAGCTTTTATAAGATTAAGCGCTATAGCTATAATCTAGGCCAAAATCGATATAGTTATTAGTATAGCTAACAGGTTAGACCCTTTATTCCTTCTATTAAGTACTCTATAACACTAAAATACCTAGTATAATGCGTAGAGTAAGCATAATTAATATGATATCTGCATAGAGTTATTAATAGAGAGCCGATTCCCTTAGAGTTATTAATCAACATACTAGAACTCTAGATTTAACATACTTTTCTAGTTGTATTTAAGAGTATTAATAGTAGGATACTGTATTTATACGCCAATACCCTATTACTGTGACGTAAGGAAATAAAATCTTAAATGCGTTCAATATAGCTTTTACGATTAATCATAAATTCTTCTAGAATCCTAATAGTTTACTATGTAATTATTAAGAAAATAAGAATCAAAGAGAAAACAGAAGATCACGTTATAGGGTATTTAGGGAAATTAGTATTTTAAATAGGATGTTAATACGGTTAATTATTAAACTTGTATCTAAGGAAATAATTATTTAAATCTGCATCGCCTAGTGTATTAGTCGGTAATCACACTTTGTGTTCAATAGCACAGATTAGATATGTTCACCACTTGCAAATTCCACAGTGCAGACGTCCTTAGAATTATTCCATCAAACATCGGCGACTTGTTATAAACTCAGATCCCCTAGCGTGCTTGCAGGGTCGCCGAGTCTCCCGCGGCTTTTGGGCGCAACAGGGGCACAGCACGGGAACTGTTTACGTACAAAATGGCTAGACCTGCCGAATCAGAGATTGGGCGATGTTTCATTTCGGAAGGTCGCCGTTCATTGTTGTTTTAATTCTCATAGGGAGCTGTCAGAGTTTGGGGTCGTTCATTAGTTACTTCGCCGATCTCCACTAGACGGCGAGATGGTATAGTGGTCCCCGGTTTTGGATGTTTCGGTTGTCATAATTCTGCGGAATTTAAGCACGGTACAAAATGTGCACCGTGATATAACTCTCACTTGGTTGACTATCACTCAGCCCGGGATATTTCCGGTGGTGGTCTGAGGTATGAAGTCGAATAGCAAAATTTGTCGACGACCCTTTAAGAGCTCCGGGATAGATAGCCACATCATGATTATGATGAAGGCGTTCATATGGCATTTAACCCCGCTGTCTTCTGGAAGAACCTTGGTGGGCTTAAAGTTTAGTCGGGGTCCTCATGCTTTCATAAACATGAGCACTCTTCACTGGCTTGGAAGAGTGCTTATCTCCATGCAATCATACGTACTTATAAATAGCTTTCGGAACTATGAACTGCCATCATTGTGGATTCTACATTAGGCAAGAAAGAATAAGTGACGAAAAAAAGCAAATAGAGACAGCAGATCAGAACGTAGGCCCCAGTCTTCTGTCGAGTTAGGCCATGTACGCAAGAGGGTTGGCCATGGTGAGCCCAGCCCAAATAATAACAAAATAGTCACCATGCAAGCTTTTCTTTCATGCGTTTGTCATAAGGACTAAATCCTTTGGTATTGCGACGTTGGACAGCTTGCGGAAGTTGTCAACATTCATAATAAGAATAGCACATGATCCATATAACAACTTTTGGGGCAGTTGGCTGATAATACCACCTGAAGCTATCTCCGTTTCCTATTTCATAAGTCGGACTACGGTGACGCGGTGGTGAAATCAGGCAATTATCATTTTTCAGAACGTTATGTCGCCTTTTCGATCGCCAGGAAAGCTTCATTCACTAAACCTCATTTCCTTAAGACGACATTTGGCAAGGCTCAGCGGTGCAGCGTGATCCTACTTTCACAATTAGCGGTAGAGAGACAGATCGGCGACTTTCCATATTCTTCTTGACCAGTCCAATAAAGTTACGGAAAAAAATACTAGATGTCTAGCAGGTTGGGCGCAGGGGTCGTTTGCGGACTCTAATTACAGGTTATGGCCCTGGTATGAGCAGTTGCTTCTGGTTCACTGACGGGTCCTTAGGCCGCGACGGAATCAATTTGTGGACCGGTTTTTCTATTTTCTTATTTTCTCTCAGCTCTGAATGCATAGTCAACACTAGAACATGCTCTAAGAACAGGCTCGGATCTTGACTCCTATAGATTACCCATTTCTCCCTTATATCCAGGAGTAGTGAGCCACTCTGGTCAGATGGTTTACAGCTGTCGACACATGCCGGGCTGTGCTTTACGACTCTGCATGAAACCTGAGTATAGATTTCTTTTTTCGGCTGTAAGCGATTTCATAGCTGCGGATCCTGAATGGCGATAACGGCGGGCAAAGGCTCGGGGTGGCTTTGTCGGAGCAACACACATCACTCCGCAGTCGGTCAGTTGCATGAGAAATATGCTTGAAAATAGCTCCAGTTATCTGTTTTACACTAGGTGGGATTTCGTAAACTCTCTTTCCTGGAATAAATACTGCCACAGCGCTCGGTATGTCAAGTGCCGAAGTTTCGTACTTACAAGTGAACTTCTCTTGACCACCCAGCACCCCTGAACCCTTCTTCATTACCTGGAATGATTTTACCTAGTCACTCCAACGGCGGAGTTGGATGTACGTACTTTTCCTCCATTCTCCTCATTGACTATGTCCTTTGTCGTCATAGATCTGCGAAACTGTATCTGTATTCGTGAAAGTCTTGTCACATCCTCCTTAAAGCGTAATCACATAAACAGGGTGTCGATCCTCAGTGTCACCGACTGAAGTCGACATACCATATTGCAAAGCTTTAAAGGCATGTTTGTGGATTTGAATGCCAAACGCCATACCAAATTCATCGCCATTGCCCATTGCTTGATATGCCGTGGGTATCATCTGGACGCCAACTCCTTTACCATAGAAGAAAGAAAAAGTATAGAGAGAAATTGAAGCCAGGCAATGCCGCTCAGTAAAGCTCACAAACTACAAAGGCAAACCCACCAGAATTTGCAAAATCAAGCGCGGTCATCAGGCATATCTTGCAACTGAGCGAAATACCACTGCTTAGCCCAGTCTGGCCTCCCCAAAGACGACTTCAAAAAGCATGTAAACTTGCCGTTCGAATTGCCATATCCGGCGCCCATACAATCCGTGTTTTGGCCACACCTGTCGATCCACTCGGCCATGCTGTCCGCAGTACCATGGCTAATATCCTCGTTGCTGTTGTAGTCGCGGCCGCACTGGACGTGAACGGCTTGGACGTGATTTCCGAGACATAGACGATGTTGTTATCTCGCAGGGGCACCACCGGCCCGGTTACCAGAGTGCTAGTGTAACTTGGTGTGGGTGATAGAACCACGGGCGTTGTGAATGTTTCTGTTGTGGTGGTGACGACACATTGCTGCTGGTACTGCTACTGCCCAAGTCAGCTCATTTTAAGCGATGAGTTGATTATACCTGAAAGAACCTCAAACATTAAGCAGCGTATCCGATGAGTAAATCTGCTATTCATCTGTTTCGACAGGCGCCGCAGGCTGGTGCTGACGCCAGCAACCTACTGCACCACCGCCCGACCCTCCATGTCGGAATGCATCACAATGCCCGGGCACGCGGGGAGTCAACATGACGATCAAGAAAGCAAACGGCAAACTTCGTCTCCTCTGTCAAAGAAATTCCCCCGTCACTTGAAGCATTTCTCCCCAACGTCAGCCCATAACCAGCAAGAACAACCTAACCGCCAGTACAATCAAGAACAGAGGTCGCTTGACACCACATATCCGCCGTCGTTTTCGAGGCAGTGGCTGCGTCGCTAATGTGAATGGAAACCTACGCCTTGCACCGTCGGAATCGCTGTATTCTTTGATTGGAGTCTTTGTCGTCGGCGGCCACGACATACGGTCGTCACTTGGTTGGTTCGCGACCGCAGTGTGTGTGTGCAGCTCATCGGTGGTTGTTGAGGCCATGATGTCTGGAAGGTGCTGTTATTCCATGCCCCGTACCCCGCTATACCCTGCGGCATGTAGGCCCCCTGTTGTCCATGTGGATATTATGGTTGTTCGTATGCCATTGCATCTTTTTGAAAACACTCGCTTTGGTGTTTTCGTTATGACCGTGAAGATGTGCCTTTTTGTCATGAGTAACGCCGTTTCAGCAAGTCGAGCCGAAGAAATAAGGACTTTAGATACAAATGTAATGAGATATATGTGCATTTTTGAATCCTCCAACCGAATCCGGGAAGAGTCTCTCCTCTATGTATTCGATACTAGGATGGCCATCCTTTCCCGGTTGCTGACTGCATGCATTGGCAGAAAGTACTATTTACCCACGAATGGCGGCAGATGGAATTTCAGCTAGCCAACTTTAGCTTACAGCCCATGAAAGATGGAAGGAGATTCAGCCCTATATTCCATTTTTGTCCACGGCCAGCATTCCAATGGCGCAGCAGTCGGCGAGATACGACCCAAAGCTACAAGTTGGACTCTAGGGCTGAACCAATGGGCAAGCAGCGCCGCAACGCAGCAAATCAACATTGAACCACGAAGCGACCCCCACCAGTAATGTGACACTGAAGGTTTGATGAGTTAGCTTCTGCTGGGTAGCAGCCTTACTCTCATGGCTGTTGATAATTCGTAGAGTTGCCAAATTTTCCCCTAATGCGCGAGACAGCCCACGTTCTTTCTTCGATCTTCAAGTCGTCGTTGTAAGATCAAGGACGGAAGCATGATGGCTGACCTTTCTGATTGAGCTTCAAATTGAAAGAGAATAAATAATACGGCTACAATAATCAGTAAAACGGTGTGTCGAGTGGATTCGTCAGAGCCTCCGTTCTCGCGGCAGATTAAACCCACATTCAGTACCGTATTGCCCGTATAGCTTCATGAACGCTTCAGTTAGAGGGCAGACTAGTCAGTAAGCCCATTTCATTTTCTCTGGGTCCACAGCATCATTCGCTGCGGCCAGTGTTTCTAGGCCTACCCTCGCTTAGCAAGGTGCTCCTTGGCCATGGCCAGCTGTAAATGTTCGATGTTGGGGAACTGGTGCCATGGTTCGCTCGTGAACACGAAGCCGAAAAACTGCCTTTCTCACCCGCTGAAGATGCCACGATGGAAGAGCCTTTGGCATGTGTCTTAGGGCAGTGCGAGTAGTCAACTCAGGTCTACTGGAAGCAGCCACATGTCTTGTGGAGGCTCATGGAGATTGATTTGCTCAAGTAAAAAGAATGTTTTATTTTCTTTTAGGCTGGGTTAGGTGAGGGGTTTGGTCCTTTCTGCTCCATCAGGTTAGGTGCGGGGCTTTTGTATGCCGTCCGCAGGTATCTTCCCAGCACATGGATACCCTTAGAAGCGTTCAATATGAGGAGGATCGGACATCCACATTTTCGTATTTTTCGTATATAAGTAATGCCAACTTGTGGTGACGGAAGGTGCGTTTGATCATGACTTTGGAATAGAGCAAGTAGAGTGGAAAGAGTGGGAGTTGTGGTGACTGAACTTGCTTGCTTTGCTCGTTCTCGAAGCTTGTCTTGCATGTCGACAGGTGTGTCGGACATACGGAAAGTTACCAAGATGCAGGTGCACGTTTTAGAAGGGACTCCCTGCTTTCTCAGTTGTCAAAAGCTTCAGTGAATTCGCTTGCATTGCTCAGGGATTCCATGTGAGAATTCCAGAGATTCAAGTTGTCTGGTGGGGCTAAAACACGTCTTCCTCCACTTACGCGCTACCGCAGCGCATATTCCTTCCCCGCGATTTTCACTTTACCAAAGCTCCAAAGTTGAGAGTCCCTTCTTCTGTCAGTTTATTCGCGTCGCTTGCGACTCAATGTGTTGAGTACCTGTAACTATATCGCAGATCGAGATGCCGCCGCTGCTACGAGAAGAGCAGACAACTTCGCCCCTGTCGGCTATCTCGTCACCAACCTCCTTCGTGACAGCCACGGCATCACCTTCTAATCTAGCAGATGCAACTACCGCGACGGACGTCGATAGTCCCGGTGACGCCGAGGCTGAATCGCCGTATCTCAAGGCACGACAACTACCCCCGGAACTGAGACAACACTGTCAGATTTACCTCGAGGAGAATTTGCACAAGATTACCCTGAGTCTGCTCAAGAGCCAGTTATGCGTCGGCGGTGCGGTCACCAACTCCAATCGCGGCGCATACTGCCCGCCCCCAAATCAACTCGCGGTGCTCAACACCATCGTCATACATCCGGACTTCACAACACGGGCACAAGACCCGTGCTGGAATGAGGTGGCTTCCGATTCACTCGTATACCTACGCAACCTGCTCCAGACTGTTGGCCCCATCAATGGCCGATTCAAGGATGCATTCCACTTCGTCTCCCGATGGTCGCGTCATGAAACACCAAGCTCTGACAGTGGCCGCGAACTTATCGAGGATACCCAGGGGGAAACACAGCTCAACGGGAAATATGCCAAGGAAAGTGTATGGCGCCGCGGACAAGAATTCTTCAACGTGGTTGGATGGGCCTTTAACTGCAGCGTCCTGTATCCAAATCGCTGGGCCTACTGGAAGCAGTGGCTTGAGTTCATGTGCGACGTGTTGGAGACAGATTTACATGAGCGGCATCGACTTGACGTTGAGGCACACCGAAGAGACGGCGTATTTGAGGGGAAATGCAAATTTCTGCAACTGGAAGATTCTATTCTCAATAGTTATATGATGCAGCGCACAGGCAGGTCTGGCAGGCTTAAGTGGTTCATCAAGGCAATATTCGCAGACGGTGGCCAGTCCTCCAACTCGTTATTCCAGGAAGTATGGCACAAGGAGCACAAGGGCAAATCAAGAAACACAGCAATGAACAAGCGGAAAAGGGAAAAGGTCAACATTGAGAAGGGCCAGTACGGGGCCTGGCTGGACGATGACTCCATCTACTCCTCTCAAGCATCGGAACCCCCCACTCCGCAGAAAAAAGGGTCTGGGTCGCTGAAATACGACATGCAAACACTATCGCCGCCGTTCGTCGAGTCTATTGCCCTACGTCAACGACTATTTGCTTTGATATCCTATCTCTGTAACTACTTACCCAGACCACCAGTTGCTCTCCCGGATCTGTACGAGCACTACGCGGTAGCACTTAAAGCACAACCTCTTCCGATTTTCACAGCATTCATCTCCTCGACTGCATGTACCTCATCACTCCTTGCATCCAGCCAGGTCTCTATACTGCAAAATTTGTTGGAGGACTTTATGCCGACAACTGCCGTCCCTCCGTTCAAAGTTGACGCTGAACGTTACGATCTTAATGGGACCAGCCCGGCTATCCTCGAGCGCTGCTTCCTGCCCAACGCTGCTAGTACCATTGCGCCGGATGATAATGCGAAAGTGAGCCTGCTGCTAGAAGAACTGTTACAGCTCATATGGATGATCGGAGCCGAGAAATTTAGCGACGGGTTGAGAAGTATTGTTCGGAAGGGTGTCGACGCCCGGGAGGCAAAGGCAAGACGGAAGTACGCAACGGGATCAGGAAGATCAGGAAGAGGCCGCGGGGGGAACGGGGATGACGCGGACGTGGAGGCCAGATCCGTGCTAAGTTGGAGTGGGAAGCGGCTGAGATTGTTGTCTGATTTGATAACATTCCAGACGAGCAACCTGAGCGAGGACGCGGATAGTGAAATGATGGATCAAGACGAAGGTACGTTCTGAAGAGGGAGTGATGACGTGAAAGTTACTAACTGCTACTAGAAGAGGTAACGTTCATGTCCGCTCGGAGTTCGTAGGGAGAACACGGAAGTAAAGAACAAGCGAGAGAGAAATGGCCTGGAATCCACCAAGGCCCGGCAAAACTTGGCCCTTCTTTGCCACTGGCTAAGGACCCTATTACAGTTGCTATTCCTCTTGCTCCTCATCCAAATCCACCTTGGCCTCAAAAGGAGAGGAAGAAGAAGAAGCAGAAGAAGAAGCGAGCTTCTATCCGGCGTCCTGTTTTCCTTGCTCCCGATCCCAATCCATACGGAACCCCAAAAATGAAGAAAGGGGGCCACATGTGGTGTTCTGGTCTTGGAGTCGAGCCTGCTGCTCGATCAGTAGCAATACCATCAAGGCGTCCATCACACGGCGAGTCACGGGAGCATGCTTTGGATGGAGGTCGACAGTCGGAAAATGTACGAATAGAGGAAGCAAAAGGGGAGTTGGCCTCTTGCTGTGTGCAGTAATGCGAAAAGATACCCGGAGGCAAAACGGTACTATGCGGGCATGGGCTGGGCTAGCGTTGTTTGTATTACTGCATTAGACTTGGTGTTTGGTCAGGCTTACTGCCATCAAGGCTCTGTATCTTAATCATATATACTTGTACAAAGACGGCCGGAGTTGTCTGTATACATTAAGAGTTGACACCACAGCCAACTGCCATAACATCCGTGTGGTCTGGTCCTGTCAAGTGGCTTTTCCGTCACCTTTTCTTCGACGCACTCGGACTCCATGCTTCAGGCTGCCACGTCTCACTCGGCCCCGACGCTCTCTTCCACGGGTCGTCCTTGACCTCCTTTGGTTTATCTCTCGCCTTTACACCATGCTCCTGTGCCTGCCCCACAACTTCCTCTCCCCCTTCCGTTCCTTCAACACGCGCCCGCGTCCCCGCGGTCCCCAGAACCGGAACCGACTGCCCCTTCTCATTGCCCGGTATATCCGTAACCCTCGGCTTAGCCTCCCACCTAGCGTCCGCCTCGGCGGCGAGCAGTTTAATTTGATGTTGCCGCGTGACCTCTTGCGCTTGCTCGGCGATGGAGGGAGGGTTCTCTCGTTGATACCGCAGCCATTGGTGCCATTGCGGCGTAATCTTGACTTCACTGTATTGGGTTGAGCGTGGGTATTTCACGATGCGGCGCCAGCGCTCGGTAGATTCCGCGCCGGAGAGCTTGAAGATCCAGTAGGTGTTGCCTTGGAGGTCGAGGCCTTGGGTGTAGTTGTGTTAGTGGGTGTTGAAGGTACGGTTTTGAATAGCAGAGGACGCAACAGTTTCGGCGAGTTTGGGTTTGCAGATGACACAGAATACGTACCGACTAGAAATCTCCTACGCCATGGCAGTCGTAGGGCTTTCCACCTGTACCATGCCCCCAATACGGGTCCGATTTGGGGCGACGACATGCTGCAGATGTGTAGGATTGTGCAGCACAAAATATTGACGTCAGGAATCTAAGTAATGCACAGCCACCTAATTTCTCAAGTTCGGATGTACTACGCCGCAATTCGAAACCTTGGTTAAAAGTAACCAGCCACACGGGTTCGTTCCAAGGTTGGCTCGGTCAAATCTGCAGGCCCCGAAAGTCTTTGGTGGGGATGCAGGGACATCCTAATCTTTTAACAGCCGGTGCTATAGTAGTGACGGGCGCACTTGGATTTGTATTGTTGTTCATGCGCGCGCGCTCCTAATCAAGTTTTGGGAGATTGCTTTCTGGGAGTTTTCTTTGGTTCAACTCTGAGGGAAATATTTCAGCTTCCATATTATTCGGAAACATCACAATTTGAGTCCTGGAAGTCTTATTTGGGCGGCGTACGATTGCGACCCGACGATACCCCCAAAATCGCATCAGCCGCAGGAGCAGAAGCAAGAGTGACCTCATCCCGTCATTCCTACCTTCCTCTCGAACTGCGCCGATTTGCGACCCAATCTGACATCAAAAACAAGCCGCGTCAGTGCCAGGCAACACTGTATCGATCGACGCACCTCGACGAACATTGCACACTTGAATACATGACGAATCCTATTATACGCGATTGTAGCATTTAGAGCCGTCGTGCGGACTCACAACTTCGACATCGCTATTTCGTTGTTCAACATGGCGTCCGTCACATCCTTGGACAAGGACCTGCGCAGGATGCGCCTCGACAAATACACACCCGCCGCGGCCAGTGAGGCGCAATCGTGGATTGAGAGCGTTCTGGGCGCTCGACTCCCTAGTAATGATCTTCTAGATGGTCTGAAAGATGGCGTTGCGCTCTGCAAGTATGGCCATTTCCTGCCTCGGTTGAGATCCCGGCACGTGGGTTGCTAACATTCAAACCACGCAGGCTCATCAACATCGCCATCGGTCCTCCAGGGGTCAAGTTCAAGCAATCGGCCATGCCCTTCGTGCAAATGGAAAATATCTCTCACTTTTTGCGAGCGTGCCAATCACCGCCCCTGAACCTGCAAGAACACGACATGTTCCTGACTGTCGACCTCTACGAGAAGAAAGATCCAGCCCAAGTTCTCCAATGCCTTGGTGCATTCTCCCGTGCCGCCCACAACGTAAACCCGTCCTCGTTTGCCTCGCCGATCGGACCCAAACCCCGCGGCGGCGTCATGTCGCCACAACAGACCGGGCCATCATCACCCGCCAGGGCCAGGGGGATGTCGAATGCATCAAATGGCTCCTTCTACGGCCGCCAGGGTACACTCGCAGCCACCGACACGGGAGGCTCGTCTTCGGGTCGTTGGAGTCCGACTAAGAGCCCGACGGCAGGCGGCGAGCGCGTGGGATCACCAGGTGTGAGCAGCTGGAGCAAGAAGGATCATGAGGGTGTTACTAGCCCCGCATGGAACATTGCACAGTACGGCTACATGGGTGGTGCGTCACAGGGCAATCTCGGCATTGCCTTTGGTGGACGTCGACAGATCACTACTACCGGTCCGTCCGTACCTAACTTGGCTGACAAAGAGCGCCGCCGCAAAGGGCAAGAAGCCGAGGCCGAGCGGCAGCGTTTACAAATGGAGGAGGAGGAGCGAAATCGTAGGGCGGCGCTCGAAGCTGAAGAGGAGCGCGCGCGACTCGAGGAAGAAAACCGATGGCAAGAGGAGACGCGGCGTCAGCGCGAAGAAGAGAAGCGCAAGGCCGAGGAGGAGAAGCGACGCTGGGAAGAGGAAGAGCGTCAATGGAAGTTAACGGAAGAGAAGCGTCGCCAAGCAGAAGAAGAGGCCGAAGCCAGACTTGCCGATGAAAGACGACGCGCGCGTAGTAAGAGTAACACGGCGCTACAAGGTCAATTCCTGAGCCAATACCAGGCCGAAAACGGGATAGCATCGCACAAGTCCGGAGGCTACGGAGATCGTGTCAAGGAGTTGGAAAGGGAACTGGAACTCGCACGCCAGCGCGAACGTGAATACGAAGAGGAGCGGGAACGACGCAGCCGTAGGATAGCTGACGCGAAGAACCGCAACCGTTCACGCAGCAGACCGAGGCCCACCAGCCGACCCCCTAGCCGACAAGACTCCTGGTCTCGTGACGAGCGAGAGATTCTCAAGACGCAGTGGGATCGTCACCAGGAGGAAGCACAGACTGCTAAGCCTGGCCCACCCTTACCCGCTCGTCCACTTCCGGTGCCAACCGCCGTACCCGTTAAATCCCACCGAACGGGCGAATCGCCGCCACCGGCCCTCAAGACTCAACGCACCGGCGATGCCACAACACCGCCCATAAAGCCCCAGCGGACTGGCGAGGCTAGGCCCCTCCCGATCCCTGACCGGGTTAAGAACCACGTCACGGGCGGCCGCGGCCCCAGTCCCATATCCAACACACGCCCCCTGCCCGATCCCAAGTCCGTCGCCGCCGCAACCCTCCCCCGAACAGACCGCTTCCTAGCCTCTAACCCCGCACCTACTAACCCCGCACCGCAACAATCCTGGTCCCGTGAGCTGGGTGGCTCGGCCGAGCACGACGCGGAGGATCGTCGACGCGTGCAATCGCAAGCCAAGACCAAGGCAGGCGGCTGGGCGAGCAAGAGTTTGCTCGAAAGGGAGATGGAGATGGAGCGTCAGCGACAGCAGGAGTGGGAGGAGGCACAGAAGGAGACGTCTAAGGCACCGCGGAATGGGGACGGGGGTGTTGATGGCATTGGGGGTGGGGTAGGAGGACGGTGGGATGTGAGTCAGTGGAGTGGGTTTGCAGGGGGTGATAGCCAGAATAAGGGGGCTTCGGGGATTGGGGCAGGGAGGAGGCAGATTGTGGGGCCCAGACCTTTGCCGGGACGGCCCTAGGAGTGTGGCTAAGGTTGTCTGGTAGTCGAGAAAGGGTGGTACGGTTGAGGGGGGGTATGTGTGAGAAAGGGTGCATTCAATTCAAGTCCTCAAAATAGTGGCTATGAGGGAGAGCTGGTTGACAGCCTCGCTTGATGATGAGTGATGTGACCATGACTGGGTAGGGGATAGGATTCTAACCGAGGAATATCAAACTGCAACAGTGTCTTATTGCTGTAATATAGTGCTTGGTACTCGATTTTCCCAGCAAAGTTCGTGTTTTTCGCACAACGTGAGACGAGATGGGCGTGAGAACCTCAGCATGCATACTCAGAGGTAAGTACTTGAGTAGTTGGACTCTCTGGAAGTATGCGAGGAAAAGACTGATACTTTCCAAATTGGAGAACATATGTGTGCAAAGTGGTAGGTCCAGACCTGGGAGTGCTTTGAAGGTAGTGCTTTCTGGGCTGGTTTCTCTGTGAAGAGGGGTGCCGCCTTACCATGAAGAGCTGATCTGTCGAGCAGATACGTTTCATGTGGAAGTTGGTGCCAGGAAGAGTCCTGATGGATGCCGCCCCTCACAGCAAGCGGTACGATGGCTTGTCATATATTCGAGGGAGAGCATTAGGAAGATAGTCAGAAGCATCAAATGTGTATATCTGCCACCTGATCTCAAGATCGGCCGCATCATGGTCTTTGAAGACATATCCCGTATGGTCGAGCCACTTGCGGAGCCGGAGGTTGCGGTTGCCTCAGGTCCAAATCCAAAAGTCAAAGAGGTGATGCTACACTTCGACTTGGAAGTTGTTATATAGGTATTTCTCGTACCTCGGCATAGTCAGTTTAAGTGATGCCGTGAATAATTGGCAGTTGAGGTCTGAGACATCGAATTCTCCACAGTTGGCTTTAATGATTTTCCTGACCTTGCTCTGTGAAAGGAAGTCGTAAATGGAACGACGGACGAACGGTACGCAGTGATCGGATGGGAAGACCCGTAGTCGCATTTCCAACGGCATTCGGCGTGAGTTTCAACATAGGTCTCCAGAAGCACCATGCCCTTCTGGTAAATCTGTTTTCTCGCCCGGGTCATCCATTCCCCTAACCTGTGATCGTTGGGTTTCAGTGTCTGTACCTTGAAGGTGAAATCCCTGTCGTCTTTGTACTCGGCGAAAAACGACTAGGATGAGCCTCAGGATGGGAGAGATGTGCAAGTGCGCGATCGAGCGTTCTCATTGCCCTGTAACGGTCTGAACCGTACCCGAATTTCATGATGGAGTTGAGTATCGGTGGTTAGAGGTCTTTCAGCTCAGTAGGCAGCTCGTTAATTCACCTCTCGAGATCCTCAATACGATCTCTAGATAGTGCACCCTCCATGAGGACCCTGAGGATGACTTTCACACAGAGAATAACTCCCTCTACTCAATCGATAATGCAATTAGGCAGTTCCAGCATTTTCCATTGGCATCTCGAGGACAGGAAGTCGTCATCCACGGATGGCCCCACGACTCTCCTCCATTATACCCTGATGAGTAACCTCGTGGATCCGGAGCTTAGGATACTGAGAGACATTCCTGGAAAATAAGCCACTCCCTACTAGAAACACGTATCTTGATATTTCCAGTGGTTGATGACGTCCACTGAGAGGCATCGTAATGAACTCTCGCGATATTCATTGGCTCCCTCAAAACTCGTCTAAACCATCGATGAAGAAGGCGAACTTCTGGATGTTGCGAGTCGTATCCAGTTTCACAAGACGACTGAATGCATTCTCGATATCGGCATTATCGACTTGAACCCTGAGCCAGCTTCCGTTGCTTTGCTGCTTCCCATTGGTGGTGTCGAAACAGCGTTTGTGTAAGTTAGGGGGCTTCGGTGAGGACTGAGCGTAACAATCCTTGAATCAGCCCTTACTTTGAGAGACCGCCGCAAGTTAGTCCCTATTCTGCAGAAGAAGAACTTAGCTTCTAGGCTTTTTGTTGTATTGGGGTTATCACAGAGGAATTTCATCAAGGTTGATTTCCCAGCCGCGGGTTTGCCAGATATGTGGAAGACGTCCTTTCCTTTCCCTAACCAATCCGTTGAATCATTATTAGCAGCGTTTTCCTGGCAAGCTTCGCCGTCCCGAGTATTTTCTGAATGAAGAAGCCAGGAAAATGCGTCCGTATGAGCTTCTTCGACATTGTCAAACTCCTTGATCACATCTTCGGTTGTAGGGGCTCCAAGAACGCATGCTGCAATGTATTGGTGGTCATCTGATCGGGGAGGCTCAACGGGGAGTGAAGCTGTTGCCAGTTTTCTGGGCCCAGCGTGGCGACGTGGGTAGCAGAACGTCAGATCTCAGCGTTTCTGACGAGCGAATCGAGTTGGCCTCTCATACGAACCCCTGAGCTAGCAAGGGCCTCGAAGCGACGTTGATTCTCAGATCTGTTTCAGAGTCAGTCAATGCGATAACACCAGCTGCGTTGTTACATGTTGTCATTTGACTGCATCTGGGATAAGCGGTCTTGATCCCGTTTAATTCCATGTGACAAGTTGATGATGGCTTCAGTCCATACACCACGATGCAGAGGTACTAGTTAATCTGCCTGGCAACTAGTGAAAGCTGCAAGTGCAACTTATCTCTGCGCTTGGGTGTCATATTCTTTCTAAGGTGCTTGCAAGCTTCGCTCCATGCCGACCAGTTATTCCATCAGCGCCTCTGACGGGAATGTCTGCTTGCTACTGGTTGAGCTCTCATTCCAGATGAGAGGCATTTAAACTGGATTTACACGAGATGTGGGAGATATATTCGGCATCCTCTACGTTCTCAGCGACCTGAGGTAGCATATTGCTGCATCCCAACTGAGGGGTCAACCCGATCTGTATCCTTGCATACAGCCCTAGGGTGGCCGCACATTCTTGCGGTCGTTCTTGCTTAGGCATATTGATTGGCTCGGTTGCAAAACCCATACAAGCCAGAACGCGAGAAGCAGCTTTCCTATCATTGAATGCCCTGGGATTTTTGAGACCCAACCCCCTTCTGCACACGAGTCGGCTCGCCATGACGAGCCAGGGACGCTCCAATTCATTGAGAGCTGTGGTCGGAGACACCTGGTCAATCTTGCTACATCACATCAGAATCATTGTTCATTGAAGTTGTCCGGACAATAGTCCTTAGTCTGAAGACACCGTGCGACTAATGATCAAGACGGCAGAGCAACTATTCCAGAGATCGCTTGTCAGCTAGATCCCAATTTTGGCAATGTAAAATAACAGTCCTCCTCGGGAAGACGACAGCAAGCAGTAGCTTATGCAAACAACATGACCGACAGTCGCGGATTGACAGAGACTGGAATGCTGGTTGAACAGTCCGACCATAGTTTGCACGTTCAACCACCAGCCACCAGCACTCGACTCAGGGCTTTCAGTCAGCGAAACGGTCCACGGTTGCGTTTCGAAACATGCAGGTACGGATCATAGGGCGTTCAATGTTCGATGTTGGAGACAACAGCGGGGTTGTAGCCTTGTTTTAGCCTGAGCCGCTCCGTCGTCATTTCCTCTCCGTCATGTTTGGTTCTCATCAATCTTGCAATATCGAAGCAACTTCTTCACAAAACGATTGGAGAGATTCCCATTCGGCTATGCACGTCAATGTCGTGCTCACTGTAGCACACCCGCAGTCTCTGACAGAGACGCGCCGCTTGCCTGCCCATGTAGCTGCCCCAAACTCTCAAGAGATGCCCTCGCACGAAGCTGTCTGACCATTCCTTGGCGTTTGAACCCCAGAAACACCAGACGGCTGGATAGTGGCATACTCAAAGTTGGCGCTTTCCCTCATAAGTTGTTGACGGACTTGATCTGAACGTTTGGGGGTCTCGGCTCTGCAAGGGACAAAAACAGAGTTAACTTTCATCTTCCGGCCATCGGTACTGAAACGAGCAATCTGACGGGACTCTATCTTGCGGGTATCTTCCGTGCCTCTTTCTAGAGCTGGGGTACATTCTATAACAACCCGTTTTCGCTCTCCCCGGATACGATGTACAACTGGTCCTGTTTCTTCCATGTGTATTTGTGTTCCTAGTCGCTCAATCCGGGCGAAGTCTATTTGGTCGCTACAATGAAGCCATTGCAACTCCTCCCCTTTTGTGTTGGTTACACCTTGGCGCAGGATTCAATCCCGAAATTCGTGGATTTCGGAGTTTGCAAGGCGACATCGCTAATTAGTAGCTTCTCGGAAAGTTCGGAATGCTCGAATGCGAGCATGATTCTGGAAGCATATGACGACCAGTTGGACATAGCAGAGCCATTGTGGCCAATATCAACTCCGTGTGCTCGCAATGGGACGCAGAAATATTGCATCTACTCCAACCCAGATTTCGCTGACGGGAGGGGCATCATATTCTTCACCAGTCCAGAAAGAGCCGCAGAGGTCGCGAGGTCATCCGCATTCACGAACCCGGCCGTCGTACGGTCCGTCCCAGAGTTGAATGCGGCAGAGAGTCCGTATTGGCGGGTTGAGTATGTGGAGGGCAAAGGCATGGGCATGATCGCAAATAAGAACTTCCGTATTGGCGACCACATCATGAGCTCCACGCCTTCCTTCATGATCGACTACAATGTGTTTCATTATGTTCCGGAGAATCAGGTCGTCCAGATGGAAGCCGATGCTGCCTCGACACTTCCAGCGAATCACGGAGCCATCTTTATGAATCTGTCGACCCACGACGAGGTGGATAGTTACGAAACGAGAGTCGCAAAGATCATACTTACAAATTCATTCGATATTGAGGAAAAGGGAGTTGTCTCTCGGGAGGACGAAGAGGAAGAGACCTGGTACACAGTGTTTCCAGAAAGTGAGTACGCCTATGGACCATGAAGTCCCGCCGGCACTGACGGAATCCTCAAAGTCTCGCGGCTAAACCACGACTGCCGTGCGAATGCCGACTACCACTTTGACGTCACTACGTTGACACAGCACATCCACGCAGTCCGGCCCATTGCGGCTGGAGAAGAAATTACAATCTCCTATGTCGAGTATGCTTCTTCATCACGATCATATTTACCATTGCTTACACCAAGCACAGCCCCATACTGCCTCGCGAAGTCCGTCGAAAGCGTCTTGAGACCTCATGGCACTTCCCTTGCTCCTGCAGCCTGTGCATGCAGAATGAGCACCAGACCAATGCATCTGATGCGCGCATCTGGCAGATCCTCGAGCTCCGCAGGCAGCTGCGTGACTACACGCCTGGGTCGGCAGCAACACCCGCAATGGGCGAACTCATGGTGTCGCTCTACGAACAGGAGCGGCTGTACTCATCCATGTACGAGGCATACACGTATGCGGCTCTCGAGTATAATGGCGTCGGAGAACCTTGGCTCGCGACCAAATATGCAAGATTGGCCGTCCAGCATGGGTTGGCGGCCGGTGGTCCGGAAGACCAGGATGTGCTAGTAATGAAGGAGTTGGCTAAGGATCCGTGGTCGCATTGGAGCTGGATGTTAAGGACTAGAAAACGGATGAATTGGGGGTCGGCTGTTGAACAGTGACGGGAAGTGCCCTATTTGAAGATATGGAGATATTGGAGTTGGGCGGGAACGGTTTCGATGCGTCTGGAAGGACCCAGACTGATGATGGGGGTTTACCGAATTCATGTACGAACTCAATGTATATGCCACGATACAGCCGTGGAATATGGAGGATCTCACGGCAGTTTCTCGTTTTGGTTTTTTTTTCTTTTTCTTCTTTTTGGATAACTCAACAGCTGGTGAGAGGTCTCACGTAGCGACTATGATTACCGAAATGTATATATATATATATTTTTGTCAATAATATGGTATTAGTGACAGCTTGCAGCATCCAGGCGGTTCTCGTTTTTCCACCAGAAACCCACATGACATATCCTCCCTCTCACCTTCAACTCAGAATGGGCCCCCTCCAAAGCAACGCGACGACTTACAGTCGGGCCAGGGAAAAAGGTATTATCTCCAGTCTCTAAACCCCAAGGCCCTCACTCTCATGGCCGAGCACGACGCCTAGCGCCACAAGGACACCATCGGCAACTATGTCCCCAGTGCAGAAGAAGAAGACGAAGTAGATAACTCCGCGCTCGAAAGAAAACCCCAAAACGTGCAAGAAACCCTAGCATCGGAGACGAAGTACGCCACCCACCTCGACTCTTTCCAACGCCTGCACTTCGAGCGCGACTACTTTATCTACTTGGGCTGTCTAATTCTCACCTTCAGACTCCGCCATTAGGAAGAATCAAATCTCGAAAGGGGAAGTTACTACAGAAAACAACGGTACGAGACCTTCTGCCTACGCCGAATCGAGAGAAATCAACGCAACGAGGCTTTCGAGCGAGAAGTAAACTCGAGTTGGTTCGACGGGATTACACATCCTATCCTGAATGGTTCGACGGACGAGACGATGAAAGGCTTGGCGGGGTTGTTGGTTAGTGTTAACACTGCTACCTCCCTAATAGCGGTGACAAAGGGGGGCGGTTTCTGGGGATGTGAATAGGGATGGTGCCGGCGGAAACGAAGGTAGGAGTGTTAGATTGCTTTTTGGACCAAAGTGAAGGGTGTTGGGTCGGGGAGGAGGGGGAAGGGGGGCGCTCTGGGAAGGTAAATTTAGAAGGAGTTTGCTCTTGATGAGGAGATGATGAAAATAGAGAAAAGCGAAGAAAACATAATAGAATATAAAGTCCCCACAAAGACGACTTCAGGAGATACTGAGATCCCCATTGCGTTTCCGACCGAGACTTTCAACTTTCAAATGACTATTTTGGCCAGAGCACGTCCGACGCCTCATTTCATCTCTGCTTAACCTCAACACAAACCCTCAACTCTCGCCCCGTGTGCTCCCACGCAACAGTCTTCCACGCGTCAAGAACTTCAGGAGGAGGTTGGAAACGAAGCGAGGCGTTCCAGCTCGCCGTCGCTCGTCGCCCATCAATTTCATACACGAATAAATGGGTCCAGCTGTTCCAACCCATAGGACCGAGTTGCATATACCGCAACCGTGGCATCCTGAGCGCCGCTTTACCAGCGGTCAGGTAGAGCTCGCTCAGCAACTGGTCGTTGAGAGAGGCTCTGTCGAACATGCGGGTTGCCAGGTCATCCGAGGTGTATAGGCTTTTGCCTGTGGGGGTGGTGTCTGTGTAGCGGATGGTGAGAGATTCGAGGTGTGGCCAGTCGGGCTCATCTTGCAAGATCTTACGCGAGTCGCCGTCGTAGGGGAGGCTTCGCGGCATGAAGATATCTGTCCAGGTACAGCCCGAGATCTCTAGACTCCGCAGTCGACGTGACAGGTGGTGCATGCTGCGACCAAGTGCATCAGAACCATCCGCAAAATGGATTCGAACCTGCGCAAGCTTGACATCTCTCAAGGTGGCCGGCCAAGCACTGAAATCCTTCACGAAGTCTACACTCTGCCATTAGCTTCTACCTTGAATGGTCGTTTGTTATATATATACGGCCATCAACTTACCCCCCCAGTCCTGAACATCCCACTCCACCTTCCTCAACGCAAAACCCTCCAACCCTGGCAACCTCGTGACAAGCCTGGAGAGAAACGCCGGTACCCAGGCCTGGAAACTGGGTAGTCCCAAGATCTCCAGGCTCTTGATCGCCGGAACTAATGATATGCCCGACCCAAACTGATACTGCTCGCGGGACCGCCACCCCGACACTTCACGTCGGGATTGGTGAAGATCAGCAGGACTTAGTCCATCGATGACGAGTTTGATTCCACGGGCGTTGAAATCATTTTCGTTCCAAAGGGAAAGCAATTTGAGCAGCTTCCGGATCGAGTCCGTCAGATCGGCTTCCCTGCCTTTGACACCTCGAGTGGCGACGATGTTGATTTCCGTGACGAATTCACGTCTGGGTCCTGCGGTGAATCGTTCAAACTCGTCGACCCGTGGCTTGGCTAGTTCCAGTTTGGAGAAAGTCTGCCTCTCGGCGAGTGGTTGCCATTGGGAACATACGGCAGCGCAGGCGACTAGGGAGTCGAGGTGTGCGAAGGCTAGTGAGGTCAGCTCGGGGGGGAGGGGCCAGCCAGTCATTTGGGATGATTCTATCACAGCAATCCTGCGCATGGAATTATCTTGGGTAATGGTTTCGAGTAAGCTCCCGAAGCGAGGCTTTGCGGCCCTTTATGAGAAGCGTACACCGCCCATCAAAGAAAAGGGGGTTTCGCATTCAGTTTCCATGCCCAGGGCTGTAGCCCTATGTCGTATTGCGTACCGCATGACTTGTCGACGTTACAGATGTGGCTGACATAGATGGGAGTCCCTGCATGTCAAGTGGATTGGTTTAATTTACCGGCTCTGCGGTGTCTGAACCATGCGCCCTTACTGGTGAACAAAAGTTTGATCATGGCCGTCGATACATATGTGCTGGGCACATCTTGGTATCATTTTGTCTTATCCCAGCCAGCGGTCATGTAGAGTGGCGTCTGCTTTTCAATACACCTGTACCACGTGACGCCCGCTAAGAAACTCACTGTTTGATACCGATAGAGTACACACCTGAAACCGGATCCTCGTCGAAGTTGGTGTTAACCTGGAGCAGCATCACCTTTTCCAGCATCATAGCGTTGAGACGCTGAACGCCCGGCTTTCCCTCAAATCATCTTGAACCGCCTCATCTGGTTAAATGCAAACCTCCTCGTCGGCGTCCACACATGCTTCTTCCCACCGAAATACACATACGCCGCCCCGATGCCCAACCCCGCCAAATGGGCCCCATGCGCGAATCGCAGAAACTTGATGCCCACGAACAACCCATAGGCCTCGAACAGCGCGAGCCCCGCCAACGCCTGCTGCGCCGGCACCGACCCGGGCAGGAACATAATACCGATGCCCGCGTCGTGGTACGTCATGCCGAAGGCACCGATGATGGCCATGATGGCACCACTGGCTCCGAGCCCAGGGCTCATGAGATGCATCGGGTTCGGCCAGATGGTGGAGAGATGGTGCGCTAGGCTCGCCATGACGCCCGAGGAGAGGTAGAAGGCCGTCAGATGACTCCCGCTGCCGTCGAAGGTCCGGCTCCCGCTTACGGGCATGGCGAACTGGAGTAGGGCGTACATGTTGAAGCCTAGGTGCCATATCCCCATGTGCCCGAACATGGAGGTAAAGAAGGTGTAGTTGTTCGGCAAGCAGGGTACATGTTCGAAATGCCTCCCAAAGGCCGGCACGATGGTGCTCATTCCGAAGAGAGTCGTGTTTAAGCCGACGGTGCTGTAGATCATCCTTTGCGGGCCGCTAAGACCTCGCCATAGCTCCGTTAGAGATTCCACCGTGGGCAGGACAGTCGGCCGTCGGTTAGACTGACTCTGTAGATAGTGATGTTCCCGCAGCTCCCGGACGAGAGCGGCGGCTTTGGCGGCCTCGAGCTGGTCGAAGGTGATATTGGACTTGTCGCCGACGGACCACACCAGACGTCCCTTTTGAGCGGCTCGGACATTTTGGTGGACTTCGTAGGCGGCGCAGCCTATGTAGATGAGGCCGCTAGCACCGAGACACCAAAGCGTGGGACAGAGGACCCGGACGGGCGGGAGTTTGTACATTCCGGGTGGTGTCTCCGCGGTGTTGAAGGCGCGCCTGCTTCGGGCGGCTATGTGGAGAGAGTTTGCAGCGGGTGCCTTTGCTCGAAGCGGGGAGCGCCACATGGGTGCGATTGTGCTCTTCAGGGATGGCTTGGGTGCATTATGCAAGGGCGATCCAGCACTAAAGATCTTCTAGAAAGAGATGCGAATTACCTGAATTAAGCCTCGGTGATGAAGTGGATGACATACGAATGTTTGTCCCATGTTGATGGGAGCTGATAAGTGTGGAGAGGCGTCTGCCTGGGGTGATCCCTGCTTGCTGTGGCTGGTCGCGGTTTTCGCCCTGGGGTTGGTTCCCTGATGGTGTTCACGTTATTTTCAGACAATTCATGTCAAACAGTACCTCGACCAGGCACGACTCCCAACATGAACCCTCACGATGGATACACTCCACAGAAGGCTACAGACGTCCATTTGTGTTCTCCTTTGGGACCGCCAAGTCTATTGCGTACGGTTATGCGACTCGGCTGAGGCCGAAGTAGCCCTTCCCCAATACTGGGCTACCCTGCCCTCAAGCTAAAAACTCCTTAGGCGCGATGCCTAACTTGAGACCGGCTCCGTTTGATGTTCCTGGCACAACCCACATGCAATGGCAAACGCCCCCCGAGATGGGACGACCAACCGACCTTTCGGGCCCCCGTTGCGGTAAATTTTGGTAAGGGGACCGACCCCCTGGCTTGGTAGAGTTATCTTTAGCCTATTGCCCGCTTTTACATAGTATGTGAAGTTGTCGTCTTCCCTTCTCGAGGCTTCCGCCTGCATTTGTTGCGTCTTTTGAAATACATTGCTTTCGTTCATGTGCCTACCATAGGTTACTTGCTTCTTACCACTTTTCTTTCGTTTCGTTTCTTCAGTCTTTATCGTGTTGATCATGTTTTTCCGAAATTTTGCTCTGCTGGGTCTTGCGCCGATTGTATTGGCCAAGGTCCAGTTTTTGGTAAGTGTGGCGACGATCGGACGAAAGCGAGTCGCGACTAATACATTGATACAGGGAGTCGCAATTGCAGGAGGTGATTTTGGGTGCCAGATCGATGCAAGTGATTGCTTCTCAGAAATCCAAGTAGATATTCGAGCTAATGCATGAATTCAGGGCACCTGTCCCACGTCTTCGGTGCAATTCGCCAGTGATGGCGGGGCTCAAATGAAGCACTTCGTCGAAGATGACGGATTGAACCTGATGAGAATTCGTAAGACCACTTTTACACGTCTCCTCATCGAATCGACTAACACCTCGGCCAGCTACGTCATGGCAGTTCCTCGTCAACAACCAGCTTGGCGCCGACCTTGACAGCACCAACCTGGGTCAATACGACGACCTCATGCAAGCTTGCCTGGACACTGGTGCATACTGCATGATCGACATTCACAACTTTGCGCGCTGGGACGGTGAGATCATCGGCCAAGGCGGACCTACAGATGACCAATTCGTCGGGCTTTGGACCCAGCTAGCCACCAAGTACGCCGCGAACGAGAAAGTCGTCTTCGAGCTGATGAACGAGCCCCATGACCTCGACATCCAGGTATGGGCTGCAACTTGCCAGAAGGTTGTCACCGCGATTCGGAATGCCGGCGCCAGCTCTCAGATGATCCTGCTTCCGGGGACCAACTTCGACAGTGCGGCCACCTTGGTTTCAAGTGGCTCAGCGGCGGCTCTGATGGCGATTCAGAATCCCGATGGCAGTACCGACAATCTGGTCCTGGATATCCACAAGTATCTCGACGAGGACAACTCAGGAACCCACGAGACTTGTGTCACCGATAACGTGGATGCCTTCACGACACTTGCCACTTTCCTGCGTGAAAATGGGAGGCAAGGCTTGATCAGCGAAAGCGGCGCCTCTAGCGATTCAACCTGCTTCACCAACTTCTGTGCCCAAAACGCCTTCATCAACGAGAACTCGGACGTCTTCCTCGGCTTCGTCGGCTGGGCAGCAGGGAGCTTCGATACTTCCTACGTACTGAGCCTGACACCGTCCCAAGAGAATGGCAAGTACGTCGACAACGAACTCATGACGCAGTGTGTCATCGCACCGTGGACCAACTCGAACGAGACCGTGGCGACCCCTTCATCGACCCCTTCATCAGCCCCTTCATCAGCTCCTTCATCAGCTCCTTCATCAGCCCCTCCATCAGCCCCTCCATCCGTTCCTTCATCGACGGCCAAGTCTTCAAGAACGGCTTCATCCACGACGGCCGTGCTCGTCATTGCTACCACCACTGGCTCGGGTGAGGAGATCTTGGATACCACCATGGTGCTGTCCCTTGCACTACCTGCCACATTGTCGACGTCGCTACTCAGCGCCCCCAGGAAAACCGACATTCCAGTTCTGGGAGGAAATGGTACTCTGGTCGTGACGCAGTCGGCCGTCCCGACGAGGAGTACGTTGCTCGTAGCGCCGTCGAATATGGCGTTGAACTGGACCGCTGGGCTTGCCCCGACCTCTAGCTCTGCTTCTACTGCTACTTCTACTCCTGCCCCCATTGCGGCGAGTGGAGCAGCCGCCTCGACGGTGGCGCTCGGCAGACTGCTGTTTTGTGGGGTTATTATTGCAGTCTTCATGTAGAACCTTTTTGAGAATTCCAAGTTACGACGAGAATGCATCTCATGAGTTCTCTGTCGACCTGAGTTTCTTTTCGATTTGACTGTCGCGAGTGAATGCTGGTAGTCTGATTGGGCGGCCTCACCTGCAGTCCCACACCCTCGGGCGGGAGCTGTCAGTAGACCAGACGTTACCGAAGTGAAATGCAGTATTCGACGTAGATGACCCTGAGAGGCGCTGACCTACAAGACAGCTCAGGGTATCCACCAGAACCTTATCTGAGACCCCTGGTTAGCCCTGGGCAGAACGATACTACCCAAGCTATGATCTTCTGAGATCGAACCCTCGAAGCCGAAGAGTGGAATTGTTGGTTGGACCACCGAGTCACGAGGTGGGGTGAGGCGCAGCAGTAGACCAAAACAACACAACACCATCATGCAAGCAGATGCGGTTCAGTGTGACCTCCCAGGCCGGGGCTGTCGGGAAATATAGCATTTCGTTGCTAAGAATGTCTCGTGTTAGGTCTGGAGCAATCTCAATCATCTTTGGCCTGATTGTCTCAAATCGTCCCTTACTTTGGCGACCAAGCTTTTGTTCTAGACAGCGCCCAAACCTGCAGCGTCCATCCCTGCACGCACGCCACGTCCCGTGAAGCCGCCCACTCTGCTGCCCCTCATCAACGTCACTTCGCCCAATCCCCGCCAAGAAATCTCCCCGCCAGCGCAGCGCGGCGCGGCCGGGACTCTCTACTTCAACGAAACGAACCGACCAGCGATATTGCTTCGCCCTAAAAAAGGAAAAAGTCGCCCAGGTGTCGTTGTCGTTGTTGCTGTTTTTGTTGCCCACGATGCCGGAACTGTCAGAGTCCATAGCGGCCATCAAGCAAGGCGCCAAGGAGGACCGGTTCACGTACCTGACCATCCTGCAGTACCATGTCAAGTCGCCCGAGATCCTGCCGGCCCTCAACGACGTGCTCGAGCAGGATGCCCAGCTCGCCGAGGAGATCGGCTGGGACCTCGTCCAGATGCTGCTCGGCATCCCCGGGTCCGAGACGTGCCTCGAGACCGTGGCACGGCTGGGAAACCCCCGCGAGGTCATCATCAAGGTCATGGAGGCCTTAGACGGGCTGACGGAGGCTGCAGGTGATGAGGAGGCAGCGACGACGCCGGATGTTTCCGCCAGGTTCATCGTGCTGCTCGGCATGGTGGCCATTCTCCACCGCCGCATCAAGACTAAGTACCCCTCGCGCTTCCTGGGCCCCTCGCTTGTCAAGGTCTTTGAGGCGTACCAGCCTACCCCCGAGATGACGGCTGCGGTGATCAATCTCGTGCGCTCGCTATCGGGACGCAAGAGGCCCGCACTTCCCACCCGGAAGTCGAGCATCAACGTCACCAACTTAGACCAGGACGGGGATAACTCCAAGAATGCGCCGGATCCCGAGGCGGAGCAGGAGGAGCCTACCGAGGACAAGATGCAGGAGAAGCTGCTGCAGGCCTTTGTGACTTGTATCTTGCAGCGTTATGTCAACCAGAATGAGATGCAGTGGTCTGCCCGACTTCTCGAGTACTATCACCCTGAGAAGTTAGTTCCGGGCAAGAAGACGATAGCACAGGCTTTCAATGAGGACGGACCACTTCATCAAAGAGACGCGGTGATTGGGCAGCTTGTTGTAAGTGACGTCCTCACCATGACGATCCGATCTATTGTTGCTAACTCAATTCAGGCGTTGGCCGATGATCTAGGTTTGACCAAGCTCTCTGACAGTTTCATAGCGTACATGTACGAGAACGTGACCATAGTGGACCCCCTTGCTGCCTTCGAGGACTTCAGTTCCCCAGAGGATATTCACCTGTCTCCCGGCGGTGCCGTGTGTCTCATCGCATACTGGGTGTTCTCCTCCGAAGTCTTCGACGCAGACAACCCCCAACCAGGAATGTATATCTTCCCCGATCACGTCACACTGCTAGAGCGCTTCCTCGGCACCGAAGCCCAAGTAGAGATCGGCAGCAGTCCCGGCATCGCCGACGCGTTACTTGCCATCGGCCTCGGCCTACAACACAAGGGCCTCATCAAACGAGGGACGGACACGAATTTCATGGCGTACCACCATCACCTAACCCTCATCTCCGTCTTCCATCCCGACATCCAAATCCGCAACGCAGCCACCTCCTTCGCCGGCACGATCCTCCACTCGGACCCAGACGACCAGAACCGCCTCGACATCCTCGAGGACCTGCTGGAAAACTGCATGTTCGCCTCCCTCAAAGCGTGCGCCGTCGTCTGGCTCAAAGAAGAACTCATCGCCGCCCGCAAAGGCAACGCAACTAACCAGTTCTCGTCCCCGGACGTCATCGATCGGCTGCAGTATTTTGTGTTCCCCGCCACCTCGGCCGTGAAGGATATGGGCGAGGAAGAGCTCCTCGATTATTGGGCGCAGAATAGTTTGTTTCTTTTGCAGGTGGCGAATTTTGCGTTTTTCTTGTTTTCGGAGGGGTGCAGGGGGTTGGTGCCCGCGGGCATGAGGAGTGCGGTTGAGCAGAGGTTTGCGGAGCCGTTGGTGGGGGCCGCGGAGAGGTTGTTGAAAAGGGCAAAGGGGCAGGGGGGGTTGGGGGGGTTGGGGGAGAAGGATACGATGGGAGTGAGTATATTGGCGGAGAGGTTGAAAGGGTTGCCGTTGCAGTGAGTTGGATTAGGAGGGGATACGGAGGTACGGCTGGGGCTGAGGACGGACTTTGATAATGGAAGGCTGGTATAGGGGAAGGAATGAGGATTGCGCTGGGGACCGTGTTGGGGTAATGATGAAACTACCAGCGTTTATTCATGCTGTATGCCCCTGAAACGAGTCAAGACTGGCTAACTACTTACGACACAGCTGTTTCTTGTGTCTATTTGAGAGCGGTCTACACATTAGATATATGAGAATTTACTACACTGATGTATCCAGAGATTTCAGGTTCCACACATCCTCATGGAGATCTCACCCAACTTGACGCAAACTTCGTACACTAGCTTAGCCATTAGGTTCCCATCGCCGGCGGTGATCTAATAACATGGCCTCGAACCCGTCCAGCAGTCAGCCGGCGTTTCGGAACATGTCCATGGACCTTCAGTCTAGCCAATTCCCCTTACGTTTAAACCACAGAGGTAGGCAATAGCTTGGCTAAGAAAATGCTTTTATTGTTCCTACCAACGTTTCACTCATGTAATACTTCAGCACACCTCGTCTAAGTTCGAAGGAAATTACAGAAGGAACCAATAATTCAAGTGCTCGTTCGCGTTCTCGGTGAGGGTGATGATACATGCTTTGTATGACGACGCCTGTCTATCCGTCCGTCTATAGGCTGCGTATCTCGCTTCAGATCGATCTTATCCACGAGCATTCCTGCATCTGGGACTACAGGCGCCGCCTGGACACTTGAATCCTCCCAGGCGCGAGGGAACAAGACCGCGACCGCTAGCTTGGCCATGTTTCAATCTCCATCTGGTGAGCTGCCCTCGTAACATGTCCTTTGATATACTAGCTATCTCCCTCTAGCGGTTATCTCATCGTCATCCTCAATGCTTGAATGATTAGGATCATGATCAGGCCAGTCATTGACACTCTCACTGTTAGGAATGATGAGGCTTGGTGAACCCACTAGGGAAGATGCAGTAAACACGCGAACAAGTAGTGGTCCAAGTGCCTTCCTCATACTTCTCGTTGCTCCATGATGAAACTTCCCATTGACATGAGTGTAGTAAGCCAAACGTGCAAAGTTCATTGCGGGACCTGGTTATTCGACTCTCGCAAGGGCCATGGTCGGATGCTCACAGCCAGTATGATTGAAGTCCAGAGTGCGTGTATGCTTGGGATGACTGTGTGACAGCACACGTATCTCATTCATCTAATCTCATATCATCGCAGCTCATGATACTAGACCAGCCTATATTTCGACGATGTCGCTAGGAGCAATCTTCGACAAGCTCTTTCCATCAGCACAAGATCCCGTCCTACCGTCTAAAGCTCCAGATGATCTCTCTCGAGATAGACTCCTCTCCCCGTCAGCGGAGGTTCCCGTGCATGTCATTGCACCGCACTCGTCATCCCATCTCCGACCTCTGTGCCTCTCATAGCAGGTCCCAAGCCATGCCATCGGGGGAAAAAAAGCAAGGGTATAAGGTATTCTTCCCAAAGACATCCTAACCTCAGCGCCAAAGTACGCCTCTTAGATATGTACGAAGCACACCAATTAACGCCGTGTCCCCGTTGCGCACAAGATAGCGCGACATTCTATGATTTTCCCTCCTCTATATGACAGACAAAGAAATTTGGATCATTCGTTCAAAATGAAGAACATCTTCGAAACCAAGCATTGTAAAGCTGGTTGTTTCATAGATCCCTGGGCTGGATAACACCAGCCATCCAGCCGATCTCGCTCATCAGGTCCTCGAACCCCGTGTCGATGCCGGAGAGCCTAAGCAAGCGTGTGTTGTCGACAGGCTCACCCCTGGCTATCAGCGCAGGTGGTCCGAGGGCGTTGCCGATTGGCTGCTGTCCTGCAAAGGGACGCTTTTGGCCCTCGAGTGTGGGCTGCGGCAAGCTGTAGCCTGTAAATGGTTGATGAATATCCCCTTTGCCCTCACGTCCGCTGCTAAATCTGAATTGGGAGAAGTCTTCATCATCGTTGGAAGACAGGAAATCCTCGTCGTCATCGTTGGACTCGTCGAAGAATGAGAAGTTGCTGAGGCCATGAGAGTCGGTCGATACTGCAGATGTCGGGGATGTCTGACTCGACGATCTAGCTGAAAACGAGAGCTGTCTTGATGGAAAATCTGCCCTGAAGCTGGATTCATGCACGCCGATAGCTTCAGGGGGGGTGGTCGCGTCCCTAGTTGATCTTCTTTCCGGGACAATGGTGACCGACGATTCGTTCTTGGAGTGAGTAATTGAAGGCGAGGAGAAAGTACGTTGGAAGGGTGGGGGAGAAAGTGTGGTGAAAGGTACGCTCTCTGATACTGCCGAAGTGGCGAAGTTATCGTCGTCCTCGTTCTCTTCGACAATCTCCTCGGGAATGGAAAGTTGCGGGGCTTGCTCAATAGCAGGCGGTGTGACGGGTGCGCCACCAGAGAGAAACCTCCTAAGTGATTCTGGCGATATGTCCCGGGAGCGAACGCCGTCAGATGGTGTGGTGCTCCGTGTTCCTTCCAGTCTGATGTTCGCAACAGAGCGAATCGAGCTAACTGACCGCGGCCCCTCCCGTGTGTAGCTTGAAGCGATCGAGCGAGTCTCTTCGACATCGTCGACCTCGGGAGTCTTGGTGCGGTCGCCACCACGGGTCGACGGCTTTAATCCAAGAAATCTTCGCGCCGCACCTGTCCACGTAGGCGAGATGGAGCGTGCTGACCGTTTGTGGATGAACGATACGGCAGGGGCGGGAGAGGTTCCAACCCGTGGGCTAATTCTCTCGGGGATGGGAGGGGCCGGCCTCGGGGTGATGAACTTGTCACTAGGGTCCATCGTCTTGAAGTCAGCAGCACGCAAAGAGTTCATCGAAGCACTCCTCATGCGCAATGCCTGTTCCACAGGAACCTCGAGTGTGTTGACAGTTTGTCCAGGAAGGTAGGGACAAGTATTCGTCGTGGGTTTGCTTGGGTCGTATGTTTCCGTAGAGCCATCTACTTCATACTGGATTGGCGTTTAGGGAGAGAGTCTGTAGAGGCGGCGATGAGAAGGACTTACATAATAATAATATGTTGATCCCATTTTTAATCCGCCATTGCGTTTATTGCCTACTTCATCGCCATCACAGACAATATCCCGAAAAGTGTGACAGCCTCGCCATTGACCCCGGTCTCTCCGACTATCACGTTCCATTTTGTGACACTTTGAGAAGTTGTCCCAAGACCCGATCAGTTGGACAGATTGGATGTTCGGGTGCGTATGACTGAAGATAGGTCAGTATCAATAGCCAGTCGAGTCATGCGCAGAGGGTAAGTGCCAGTATATAATGAATGAATCGTTAAGCTGGCTAATCAGATATCAAATCAAAATGACGACGCCATATGTTCCCGAGCGGCTATCATATTGGTGGTTTGAAATCATGACATGACGATATATAAGTGAGACAGGCAGGGGGCACAACCAGGGCGCTGGCTCTGATGGCTTCCACGCACACTTGAGCAGGGGAAAATCCGCGTGCGATAAGAGCCAATGGCAAAGCAGATATCCCAAAGCTGATACTGGCGGACAGCCGTGGCAGGCCAGGACTGGCCATGCCATTCTCGAACCATGGGTTGGGCGGGCGGAATCTGACCTTTGGCGTGGCTCCCTTGCCAGCAGGCAATTGGAGGTGAGAGGCGCTTTCCCAATGGGGAAATAAAAGCAAGCCCAGCCTGCTCAGGTTTGCAGCTGAGAGCCTCGGGATGGGCGAAGTGGATGAAGGAAAGCTGGAAAAAAGGAAAGACGTATAATAAGGAATATTAAGATGAGGGTTTCGGGTGGTATAAGCCAAGCGGAGAACGAACGAAACAAAGCACCAGGCTTCAAATTAAAAGTTTATGAAACTCACAGCAGGAACGTAAAGAGTGTTGTTGTCGGGTCCATGGCGAACTTCTGAGACCAAGTCACGTCCATCTCGGAAGACTGTTGAGAATATATGGCGCCGTGTAGACGTCGGCCTCATTTGAGTAGCCGCGCTGTTGGTTTCCTCGAGCTGTAGATAGAAGTGACTGAAACGGCCCCTAGCTTGACGACATGTTTCGATAGACGCAAAACTCAATGATTTCTCTGAATGTTGCTATGAGTGTAATTGAAGGAATACCGAAGTGGCCAATGGGAGTCGAACTGGTGATGCTCGAAGCGCCGGTGATGGTGGGCCAAGGTGTAAGTGAGATCGATGAGTGGCCGGCGCTTAGAGATGGCAGCGCATGCAGTGGGGGTAGCCTCCTCCTTTCAAATCCGACAACGTGGTGGTGCTGCACCAAAATCCCAGAATGTCTGCAGGATCTAACAGTTGGGCATATGGTAAGGAAGAAGAGTCGAGCCGGATTGTGTAAGGCGGATTTGTCGCGAAGTCGTTGGCACCAGGGGACCTTTGGCTTTTACAAAGCCAGGGACCTGACGACGGCCTATTTTTAAGTGGGCTGGAGTTTCGTGTCAGCAGAACGCTAAGGCCCAATGGCGTGTGGCAAGCTCAGCTTCTGCAAGCCACTGGAATATTGGGTTGGGGCGACAGGAAGCGGCAGGATTGGCTAGTTCGACGCACCCCCAGTATCTCCGAGGCTTAGGACGGCGTGGGAAGTTGATTAACTTCGAGAACCTCAATATTGATGTGGACCGTGTTTGACCATGCACCGCACTTGAAGCTGTGTTGGGTAAGGTTTTGTCGCGCGATATACAGGCGGCCGGCAGGGAACAAGATTCGGGACAGGCAGTGGAGATAGACGAGATTGCCTCCAGGTAAGCATAAAGAGATATATTTCAGGGCCACCACCATGAGGGTTGAAACCGTCTGATGTGAGATTGACGATGGCAGTGCAGTCGGGGAAGGACCCGTTAATGACCACTGATCATATCGCAGGATGAAAAGGAATGACGACAGCAGGACGCTGAGGTTGACGATCATGGACGAAAACCGAGACGAGAAAAGAGAAATGATTTGATTCGCGCCGACGTGCTCTGAAAGATATGATCGCCGTCATGGGGTTTGCAGCAACGCACCTGAGCCATGGCGGGATTAGCTAGATGACCAACGAGGGATGATACAACGGGAACATGTGCGCCAAACCCATGCGCGTGTTACTGGACAGTCGTAACCCCATTTTGGCTCTGAAACCTGAATCTGGAATTAGAATCGGGGGATTGGGGAGTCCAGTTGCAGCACCATGCAAATACCGAGCCGCATTAGCTCGAGATAACAACGCCCGACAAAGTGACGAAATCAGTCGCGATCGGAATTGTCAGGTGTCACAAGTTGCCGCTAACCAGCAACCGCGTTCATGCTAAAAATTGGAAGCTGCAAGTGGTTCGCTGCTGGGTCACGCTGTCCAATCAGAGCTGCAGATTCGGTCCTTTGTCTTGCGGGGCGTGCCTGTCTCAGACTTCGGACGAGGTCTTGATTTTAAACCCGAGCCAGGAGCGATTCACGGCCCCTCGTGCCCTAGTAACCTGTAGTAACCTGGAGCCTTGGAGGTCCTCGATTTCAAGGGATTCCAGGATTGTTACCCCCGATGTTCATGGCGGGCCCGATGTAGTCATTTCCCCGTCACAAATTCGTCACCCGTAAAGAAGCCACTTCGAAGGGTGTGTGCTTGTGAACTTGTCTTGATGCAACGGCATGACTCGGTGTTGCCTTTTGCCCATCTCGTCGACCTCGTCCGATTTCGACGGCGTCGGGAATCAACATCCAATCGTCGACCACTTCGCCCGTCGGCGCGAACCCCATTTGGTGACCGGTGGCTTGCAGCAGCCTTCTCAGCAGCTGAAGGGTGAGTTGCTCGTCTGCCGTTGGACCGGCTAGAGCGAATGCACAGTTTAGTTCAGCCTTCACCAGACTTCCAATACGGCCGGCCTCGTCGTCCAGGTACGTCGGGCCTGGTGGCTAGTCTGCCATTCTAGATATGGCATCTGTCTTTACTGTGTTCAGACTGCAGCGCTTGAATTTCATCTACCGCCGACATCAGGCCGCATTTCAGATTTGCCACCAACTCTAACCATCTTGACTTGGCTGGCCAGCCACTAAGTTCGCCGTCCTAAGGTTGTTGCCAGTTCGAGAGAGTTCGAACTGGCAGCAAATCGAACCATTTAGCGCAGAATCGCAAATGCCCCAATTCAACCAATGCTCGGCCGTGGCTCTCACCATCATCAACCTGAGGTGAATGAGCCTCTAGCCTGAAACCCGGTATCCAGTCTTTAATCACCTGGAAACTGTTTGCTTCGCTGCGGCGCTGTCATTCAATTTCCCCCTTGATCCTAACCTGGACCGTCGGCTGTTGTGGAGAAAAGGAAGCTTCTTGGGCTCACAACCCGGCACTTGCCACGCGTTTGCTCCCTGAACAGCCCTGGAGAGAGATCTTGTGAATCTGTCGTAGGGCCAGCGCATTGTCCAACTCGGCCACTTATGATCACCAGGGTTCCTTACACGACATGCGATTACTCCTCTTGACCTGATAGTGCTTTTTCGTCCTACAATGCCATTAGAGCCGGTATTGGCGTCATTCATGTGCGGGAGCTACCGCCAGGGGTCTCATCAAGCACCCGCATTTGAATAGCAAGGTGATTGACAGTGACAATGACAATGTAACATCGAACATCGAACCTCCAACGCACCAGTGCGCCACGCACCACCTGTTCGGGACGTCGCAGGGTTCGGGGGTGCCTTTTCAGGAATGGTCAGTTTGGAACACCTGCTCAAACGGGCAGTAGAGCCAACATTCCAGCAAGCGAAGGCCGCGGTTAGGACGGCATTGACGACGCAGGTTTTGTTGGAAGCAACGGCCGCGATCTTGATTGTCTACGAATATCGATCTAGGACTGGATAGGTTGGATAGCGAAGCCCATCATTCTCATCATCGCCGTCCGAGACGCAACCGGCTCAATTTCGACATTTTTTACGAGCGACCCTCTATCTCCATATCTCGCGTCCCACAGCGCCAGAGGATGGGGGACACACACGGGGCTTCCCTGCATTTTTCTCGTCCTGCAGTAGAAACAAAACAATCGGGATAAAATGGGTAACCTGCAATGCATGTCACACTCGTACGTATGCAAATATCCGCCGTGTTCAGCCGAGAGATTCTTGAAGGCCCTGCATGATCCGCAACCGGGGTAGGGCAGGTAGGTCGGGTGTGCGGGAGGCAGTCGCACACAGGACAAGTCGGCTGGCTCCTCGAGTTGGTATCTTATCTTTTTGCAGGAGCGGCTTTCGCTTTTACAAAAGCGGTTGCGTAACTTCCATCATCGTCAAGGTCATATGCTCCTGAGCCAACGGCTGGCTCTGACTATGTTTGGTGGAGCATCAGTCCAGGATCCAGTGAGCGGGTTTGGCACTGTTGATAGGGGCGGCTGGAAAACGCCGCACATTGCGATAATTTATTGTTGCTGTCCCACTTTCTCAGCAGTCTCGACTTAGCAGATGATGGATGGGTGTGCATGAATCACAGTTTGTAGATGCCCGAAGTCTGCGTATACGAAGTGCGCAGATCCCAACAGCGAGGACGCTTAGCCTCGACGGAGTACGGTTTCTATCTGTCCGCTCTTCTCAGTTTCTGCTCCTCCTACCCATTAGAGGATATTTCCTATGCCTCTAAACAGTCAACAGCTCTAAAAGCTGCATTCTTGACTGGCTTCCCGTCGTCACTTTCACGCTCCTGGGTTCGTGATGTTATGGACGCGCGGGACGGTTAACCATATCCAATATCAACAAAGCAATCATCGGCTTTCTAGACCACCCACTGAGGCAAATAAATGATGGCCAGATGAGTACACCGCTTCTAGCCTCTCTTCTCGTGTGAAGCCATGGAGTCTAAATGTCGGCAGTGGTTTGTGTCGCCAACTCGGCAGTCCCGAAGGGCACTCGTCGCTTGTCGGCACAGCCGTGCCCTTGACACAACATCGAACACAACCTTGCGCTTGCGGAATTACCCTCGGACTTCCCATGAGTTTGATGTAACCACGTTGAGCGTATTAACTCTCAGACTCAACGGACCCCAATGAACGCAAAGTATTTGGCTTGCGGCACTCATTCACGACGCCAGTTGTATGTTCAGTCTACGGGCTGGCTATCAACCTCAGCATTGCCCATCACCAGACACCTGGCCACGGCGGCTTGAAGCAGGAACCGAGAGTGGAAAATGCCATATGCTATATCGTCAACGTTAGCTCCGTGACTTCGGGAACATCTGAGCTTTCCGGGTCGCCAGGGATGCTTCCCCTTTTTCGGGTCTCACTGTTGCAAGATTTTATCTCAGCTACCGGGAAGACCTACTATTATTTGATCGGACAGGATGCTTGAAATCAGTCATCGTATCGATGCTAGCATTTCACCGCCATATTTACTGAAACTTTCACGTATGTCTTCACCAGGATCGTACGGGCTGTGTGGTATATCTCTTGACATTTTGACGGTTATCAAAAGACCCTGGGGTTAGATCACGCCATGTGATGTTGATTTGGTATGTTGACTCCGTCTTCTTTGGAACTTCCATCGCCAACCACGGGTGCGCGGAGTTGAGGCTGGCGAGGGCGATTTGACTGACACATGTGCCACTAGCATGTATAGTTTCCTACTCGACGCGCGCCCTGGACAGCCAGTGGCGTTGTTGTAGCCACGTTTTGGGCCCCTCCGCTGTCACATAGGGCAAGAGCTTCATCCAGAGCTTGTAAAATGGGCATCCTCCTGGGCTTTGCCTGTTTGGTCAACAGCCTCGTTTTAGCTGATGCACGATCAGTGGCTGTTGCCATGCAGTATATGTCGAGCAGTTTCATACAGGGAATAAGGGCGAGTGGTTATTGCGACACTTGCGGTATTGCAATAGTACTGACACCATTGATTTACCCGATTATTACTCCCAGATGAAGTAATCATTCTCTAGCCTGCTTGGCAATCGTAGCGCACGCCGCTGTATCTTCCTAGCATCGTTGAAGCCGATCCATTGCAGATGCACGACAGATCATGCGTGAACTGCATTGTTGGTTACACAGAGCACGATCGATTGGTCTAGTTTCTGTTGTAGGAGCAAAAGTGACAACACATCGTGGAAGATTCAGGTATCTGTGTTCCCGCCTGTGATCCACGTAATCGTGATAGGAAAGACAGGACCTGGCGTATCCCAGACTTTCATATCGCCCAACGTAAGAAGGGTACGGCTCACATTGATAGCACAGCTATGAAGATTGAGAATCGAAGTGCTGCCTCGTCGCCTCAATTGGCAAATGACATGACACTCAGAGGCCGTCGCTCTCGGGGTCTCCAGAATGCGCATGCGACCATGTCGTCAGCGTTAACATATCTCACTGCCACTAAAGGCAGTAAAATTCCTTACTTTTCTCTTCAAGATTGATACTGAGTACAACGAGTCTCAAGGGCTTTTTTCATGCCTCTCAGAGTGAACCTAAACATTTGCCATATAGCTCTAGTAGCTCAAGTAACTCGGTCCTGGCAGGGCCACTTACTCGAGGTGGCTGTAAACGACCAAATTTACTCTTCACTGATTGCTCCTCTAGGATCTTCTCGACTCGGTTGCACGCATCTGTGAGTGCGCTCCATGCAATACATCGACGCTCCAAAAGGAGCTGTAATATCGAACAAGCATCACCTCTTGCTTGATCATGATGGAGGCGTGGTAGTCAAAAGCCGAGCTGTATACAGCTTTCCCCCAAAGACGCGATGTGTTTAGACACTGCGCCCCCATGATGGTGAATGCGCATTTTATTGACCAAATGGCGCCCGGTGTAGGTCGGCCTTATCAGAAAATATTGCACTTTGAGCTATATCGTCCCCACATGACCACATATCTACAACCAACTATGTTCAACATCGGTATCAAGTTTCTGATTAAGCTGACTTCAAGATCTTCGGACATATTGCGCCGCTTCTAAGCTAGTTAATACAGTTGTCAAGGTACAAGAAATGATGGCAAACTGAACAGGAGAAGGAGGCATCACCGCTAGTCAAGTCAGTCGAATACAGAAGTTGATACTAATTGTCACAACGCGACGGAGAAATCACGGCATGTCGCGTTGTATTAGAACGCATCAAAGGCGTCCCTGCTCTCTCTATCTGTGATTCTCGCGTAGAAATATAAAAACGAGCCGGCTCAGTCGTTCGACATCTTCTACCGTTTGCGTATCTGACCCTCTATTTGACAGACGACGATACCTTGTCAGCCGGAGCCAATGAACAACTAATCCAAATTGTCGTCCAAACCAGCAACCTATTTAGCACCAAGCTTAAAATCTAGTCGCTATACTCTCCAACGGTCGATAATGTGTTATCGTCAATCGATCTGACCGAAATGCAGGATCTAGTACCCCTGTACGGCAGCATCATCTCCTTTGCCGAAGTAGCGGCAAAGACGAGGGTTTTTGAAAGCAAATTGAGTATTTCCCGCACTGTATTCCTTGCATATTCTCTGCGCGGCTACAGAAGCAGTCCTTTCCCAGGTTGCCCGCGAGGATGCCAGGCGTTCCTCACATCTAGAAGTCTAGTGGTCCTGACGTACATCAACTGGCAACTTTCAGCGACACAACTTATCCGAGAACCAAACATACAAATAAAACCCAATGCTTGTATTATGCTTACGATACTAATTAGACTATCTTGTATCTGACGCCTCGTATACTGAACGCCAATCCCCAAGTGTTGCTGAAAGGGGGGTGGGGGTATAGGTATATGGTATCTCCGACAAAGCAACAGCCTGATTACCGAACGAACGCCTGGCCTCGTCTATGCCCAAATCAAGTTTCCAACAATTGCCCGCAAGATGCAGACATGGTCGAAGATGTCTACACGACAAAGCGCACCGTGCATTTCGACCCTTCCAAAGATACGTTCCCCCTCAGACTAAATGGCGTCTCAACCGAGTTTTCGTTCACGTTTTGTTGTAGATATGACGGTCGATGATTTACCAGTGATCAACCGGGGCCACCGGTTTCCTCTCACCTCTCCAAGGATTTTACCATTTCCCTTCTTCTTCAAGTTATCCATCATCTTCGGAAACTCTACCGACGACGCCATCTTCTCCCCGTCTATCAAACTCCCCCCCATCCACCGGGGTCCTATCCACATGGGAAACACTATAAGCCGACATAGTCATCGTCCCTTCCTCCTCAATAATGGAAGTCTGCATGACAGCCGCTTCAGCACCGCCATAAGTCCGCCGCGCACCCGCATTGACAGGTCCCGTGGTCGGACCCGCAGGCACGCTGCTGACCGAGTTGGGCCTTAAAGTCTCCGCCCTCGAGTCCCGCGAGTACAGACTATCCGTCTCCCTCATCATGTCGCGAGCACTGGGCTTCGCGACTATCCACGAGGGGAGACTGTCGTCTTCCCAAGCTTCAAGGCACTCGGCGTCGAGCTCCAGCGGGCGGTTGGCGGGGTCGTCCTTATTTCTAGTTAAGAAGTCGGTTGCCTTGTTGGCCTCTGACTCCCAGTGACCCCTGAGCCACTCCAGCAAGCCATTTACGCGGACTTCTTCGGCTTTTGATAATGACCCTTTGGAATGCTTCGAGTTCTTCCTAAAGATCCGTCTTTCGTCGTCCAAGGCGTAGTCGCGGTCAGCTTGAGAGATGGGGAAGGAGATCAACCGGTGGTTGAATTCGAGTGCGTGGACAAGCTTGGCGAATTGGTGGTGGTTGAAATTGTTATTTTGTATGTCGAACATAGCCAGTTCTTGGTTGCCTGCAATCACGCGACAGAGTTCGGTCACGTCCTTGGCAGTGCCAATGTCTTGGTTGCGGATCCGGAGTTGGCGTAGAGAGTGGTTGCGTTTCAATCCGCCCAGCGCCCCGGCGAGACCCCAGCCTATGTGGCTCTCTTCGAGCTTACCACTGTATCCAGACAAATCGAGGAACTGCAATGTCGAGTTGTTCTCGAAGAACTTGGATAATAGCTGGGAAGTCTTGGAGCTAGCACTAGCAGGTGGTCCTGTGCCAACCATGCTGAGGAACTCAATGGTTGTGTTGTATGTAAGTGCTGTCAAAAGCTGATTGAAACTTGATTCGTGCTTGAACTGTATCATGTCGAGGTGAAGCATCCTCGGCGCCTCGTTACCGTGAATGAGGTCGATCCAGTCGATGGAGCCTTCTTCTAAGTGGTTCCCATTAAGATGCAGATGCATATCTCGGCCCATACCTAGTCTGCAGAATATGGCCGTTGCAACTTCTCCAGATATGCCGCAGTTGTTCAGGACCAGCTGGTGGAGGCATTTCGACTCATCAAGTTCCATATATCTCAGCAATCCAGAAATAGTGTCAAAGTTGACCTTATCAAAACTGTTAGCACGCTCTACCTATATCTGGATGCGACTTTTGGTCTCACCTTCCACCCAGAGAGATTGATCTCCTCCAATCGCCATGCATCTATATATGGAGAGTTGGTCCACGGCCGAAACAGAGGCCCGTCCAAAATTCCCTTCAGGGCGTGTGAAAGGTCTAACCTTCGAAGCTTGGTGGCTTGTCGTAACGTTTGCGCGACCGTGGCAGCATCGAGGAGACCCGCATTATCGCCTAGCTCTAGAACCTCGAGATTAGACCGCTGCTCGTGGATGCCAGCCCACAATGAAACAAGCGCCGCCTCATCAAGGCGACAGCGGGAAAATCCGAGGCATTTCATGGTCCCAGGAAGGTTCTGCAGAGTCCGACTGACGGAGGATACGTCCTTGGTGCTCAGCGTGTTCCTGCTTAAAACGATCGATCGACACCGAGACTGCAATGATCTTAAGAGAAGGACAATAGGCGGTACAATCTCGCATCCTTGGTGCCCAAGAGATGAACCACCAGATGGTGTTGTGTGAGCGGAAACTGTACTTAATACGCCACCAAGATCAAGATGCTTCACTGACTCGGATCCAAGCATCAAAGATGCGATCTCCTGGAACAAGACCGATGATTTTTCCACAAATTCAAACTCATCCCGAGTTAGACTGCGCTTGCCTACAGAAGTCTCAGTACGATAATACACCGCAATATTAACACAACTTACCCGTCCGAGAGAGCCATGCGGTTGGCTCAAGCCGTTCCGAGTTATCGTATTTTCCAGCAAGGGGCGAGAAATCTACATCCCGGAAGGATAGTGACTTAAAGTAGTCGTTGAACCGAAGCGCACGAAATACCGCTAGGAATTGATGTGCCGTGTATTTTGCTGTCGTAGGAGGTAAAAGGCGGAACTCTGGTGGGTACTTGACCCCTTTCCAGTTCACTTTCCAATTCACACACGCGCAATTATAGCCCTGAAGGAATGCCTCTAGGGTTCTCTTGAAGCCCCCATAGTCCTCGCCCGCAGGGAGATGGATTTGTTGTGATTCGCCATCGATGAAGAAGACTTCTCGGCGCGTCCAGAGCGGCCAGGCCGGCTTCAAGAAGGTATCGGCCTTGAAGAGTCTTGATATGATACTACGGTGGTGTTTGCTTGAAAGCTCGAGCTTTTTCGGCTTATCCAGAGGAAGCCTATGGTTGTCAGTTGGGTTTTGAGGATATGACTTTCAGGGAACAGACCGGAATAAGAGGTCAAATCTCTGGTCGTTCAAACTGCCATTTACTTTCGATAGTGTGACCAGGCCAAACTGGACAATATTAGGGTTTACGCGTTGGCCACTTGGAGACGTGGTGAACTGGGCCACCATACAGGTATTTTTGCTGAAAGCTAGGTAGAACGCTGAGCCGTCCCTCCATCCTTTCCTAGCCCCCACTGAACTGTACCGTTGCCGTGTATATGGCCGCCTCGGGATCATGGGGAAAATGTCCAGACGAGTCCCCTTCTGCTGAGGGTTTCTGATCTCGTGAATGAGATTCAGGTCTGATTCGACGCGGGTCGGAATCCGCTCTTCTGCGAGGGCCCGGGTCCGTTGTCTAAGTGCAGCTTGAGTTTGCTTCAACCAGTCATCTCGGTCTTCGGGCAAACCGAAGTAGACCTCGAACATCCCAAACGAAGGTTCTACCATGGGGTCTCTCCACCAAACTTCGATGCCGAAAGATGGTTTGATGCCTTCGTCCTTGTGCACGGCGACGATTTTGTCCAGCGGGACGATAACATCGGCACCTATGCCGAGGTCTTTGACCGACCCGATAGATTCGGTAGTCGATGACAAGGCCTCGGTGGCGCTCCGGGGAATAGATAGCTGAGGAAATTGTTCCGATGCCACAGACTTGTTCTTGAATTTCATGAGAGCTACAGGGGTCAAGACAAGGTACCCTTTCTTCGACTTGAGGATGGGAGCATCCGGTTGGAGTGGACCCGCCTTGATGACACCGACATAATCCTCTGCGATGCTCGTACCTTGGCTCCCCGTACCAGGGGTAGTTGGCCTTGTCGACATGTTTTCCGTGTAAGCCTCGGAAGACGATTTGGAGGGGTGCCGCGCAAGCTCTTTGATATTATCAGAGGGTTGACTCTTGCACAAAGTCGATCTTCTCTTCTCCAGATCTGGCCGAATCGTGTCGACATTTTGCGCAATCGACAACTGTGATCCAATGCTCAAGCTCCTGAGCGCTTTTATCGGCGACCTGATCGGTGAGAAGGACAGCCTCCGCGATGATTTGGGGAGAATTTGCTGAGCCGCATTTTGGGGCTCCATGTCGATCCCTCAGTGAGAGAATATGGTCTTGAATCTCACCGAATCCGTGTTCAAGTGGCCGAGGCCGGTTACCGCAACGATCCCATAACACAAATCCAGTCGGACTGCAAGCCGGGGTTTCAAATGCGCCTTATCACCAACATTCGACGAGTCGGACGGAACCTGGCGGAAAGTGACTGATGCCTCGATTTGGTGGAACGCTGTCGTGAGGCTGGTTCTCGACTCGAAGGGACAACGGGATGCTTGTGGGTCTTAGATGATACCTTTAGAAGCCGTGATAAGTTCACATGCAAAACCGAGATAGATATGAACCGAAGTGAAGTCGAGATAAGCTATCTTGTAGAGCGAGTTTAGTCACAAACACCGGATTCCAGTCGGTTGCCGCTAGTCGAGCTGGGCCGGTTTTCTCCAACGTGCCAATTTCTGCCCCAATGCCCGTCAGGCTGGCCTGGAGTTTGGTTGTTGGTTTTTTTTGGATAGGCGATGATGTTAACGAACCGGTTTTCCACCAGAATCTACCCAATGAGATGATGGCGGAAGCAACTCGCAACGCAGTCCGTTCCGAGGCGGGTGGTCCAATGAGCGTTTCGGGGTGCCCGAACACGAAGATCTCGTTCTTGCAGTGGAGGCGTCACACGTAGGTTTGCCGTCATAGAGCTGCTCTGTCGATGGCCTGCATATTTAAGTAGGTAGGAGCGGACTTGCCAAATTGGACAGCAAGACGGCTTGAGCTCGCCAAATTCTATTCGGGTTTCGAATACTCGAAGACCTCACCTGGGAACCTGGTTGGGTCAAATAATAGACAGACTCAACTCATCTGAGAATGTTATGACGTCATGGTTTGGATGGCAGCTGGCACTTCGTACGTCAGGCATGTAGGTACGGAATTATTAGGCCCAAAATCGCAATGCGATTCATTCAGGTGGGATTACAACTTATTAGCGATATATCAATTCTGATCATCTCTTGGGGTTTCATCCCTGTGGTTATTGTTCAGTGCAGATCGTAATTACACAGATTCCCACACTTGGGGCCCACACATCGGTCAGGACAAAGGGCATATCGAGAATGGTGACGTTCACACCGCACAAGTTGGTGTGTTGATTTTCTTCAGCTCAATACTCTAAACTTTGCCAGCTGATTGACGTCAAGCGTTAGCGAGATCTAGCTGTTTTGACCAGTGAGTGACCAACTAATCACCCAAGGAGATTCACCGTAAATGCAGGACGTAAGCTTGCAGCCACCCTAGTTGTTGATGTTGGCAAATGTACCAGGAAGCCTTCCCCACCTTTACTCTGTTGGCTCACCTGCATGCTGGCATCGAGTTTCTTTGATCGCGCCCGAGTGCCACAATGCCACGTGAGGGAGCTAGGACTGCGGGCTTGTTTCGAAGCAGAGGAATGCCTTTCAGCTTCTTGTTGACCAACTGGTTTCAAGCTTGTTTGTTGGCGCTGCTGCCAGCAGAGATTGCATACTCGGCGTTGAAATGTGCTATTGGATTGGGCGCGTTCGTGTTGGATGGACTGATCCGCGTTCGGCATCCTTCTGAAAACGGCAACCGATGCAGAATGGCTTGATGCTTGATATTCGTCAAGAAATAAATATGAAGAGTTCGAGTATGCTATGAGCCGCAGCATATTCCCGGGGAATTCCGTATGCGATGTATTTGAATGATGTCTTTGTTCTCCAGGTGTTCATTATCACGCATCGGAAAGGCCATGTAGGACCCCGCAGATTTTCTTTCCGTGTATGCAGCCTAAATGAACTGTGTACTGCCTTGTTGTACAAGCAACGCCTTGGGCTGATCGTGAGGGTACTTTTATTTACAGCTCTCAAGACGCAGGTGGCAGGGACGATGTGACCGCGGTATATTGACCTTGGGCGCGGCATCCTGATTCCCTCAACAGCTCGCTCGAATGAAGTCGTGATATCACGCCAATGATGTTCAACTCGACCAACAAACGATAAGCTCGAGCCCAAAGTCTTGGGAGAGCGGTCAAAATAATTCATGACTCGGTACTTGTAATTGACTTTGACAGTCGACACCGACAGGACGGCTCTTTCAAGTTTTATCCAAATTCTGAAAAAGTATAATAGGACAACATCGCGTAAGACAGCACCGGCCGGTGAAGTCGAGTTTGCTTGGCTCGCAAAGGTGCTCGTCTGAACTGCTCTTGTAACAACTATTCGCAATGTCCTCACCAGCAATATCAACAAAACACCCAACTTGACACTTGACCACGCGATGAAGTCTAGATTTTTTTTTGGAGTTATTGGAGTTATTGGAGTTATTGGAGTTGTTGGAGTTGTTGGAGTTGACCGCGTGGCGCCTTGTCGTGACTGATCTCAGTTGCTCCAAACGAAACACGGCGAGTTTCAAGTTGCAAATGGTGTCCGCCCCCGGTCAAAATTATGGTCCACCTGGAGGCTCCATCGCCTCTTCCGACAGCTTGACTTGGGCTTCTATGATTGGCTTTGCACACAACAGAGCTGTTGCGATGCCCAATCAATTTGAGGTTCTACCAAACCCTGTTGTCTGCCGTTGATTTGCCAGGGCGTGAGTGAGATAGATGACGGACGATTTCTTGAGTCTATCCCCCGCGTCTCTCATGGTCTGGGTGGTTTGGCGAGGTGATGGAAGGAAGGAGGCTCTACTAAAAATACAAACCTATCGGCCGCTCATCAGCTATCATTACGAGCCGTGGACTGACTGCCCCTGGAAATCTTATGTTAAACCGCCCAGCTCCTTCACCCCAAATCCCAAGACCGTAATTGAGATTCTCACTCCGATACCAGCCTCGATACGGCGTTACGGAGACGGGCTGGCTTAATGTGCGATACAAGAACCTAACGTGAGACCCTCTTCTCAGACCCGAGCAATTGGTCGTCATTGCTGCGATGGAGGCCAGCGGTAGCTGCTCGAGAGATCTCTCCACAAGGGCAGACAAGGGGTGCCCTGGTGCATTGAAGATGATGCAACAGGAAACACGATGGGCATTGTTTATCATCCCGTCTCATTTTGTTTGCAGCTTGTGCACAGTGCTGGACCGAAGTTCTTTGCTGTTTCTATGCCTTATAGGCTCATTTCACCAAGGGCGACAAGTCGGTATACACATGTCGTAATATCGACCAGCACGATCATCCATTGGTATGCCGCTTCCGGTAGACAGGCCCTATCGTAATCCCTGACGGCGATACAATGCGAAGGTCAATTGACTGGCTGAATGGTACAAGGATTCTTGTGTCGCGACACCGATGCAGACCGATATGCAGAAGCGCTCTGGTCCGCTTTGCCGAAGTTTCAACACAGACAGGGGTTAGCAGCCAACCAGCGTTGTCACTGTTCAATTATGCTCTGGGATAATGGAGCACTTGCAGCCTGGAAGACCCTTGAAATGCGGCCTCCCCCCCTCCCCCCCCCGAAAACCCCTAACAAACATTCCCAATTGTGAGCGAGGCAACTGGTGGGGGGCGGACTTTGCTCCTGCTTACCTGCCTGAAGCTGCCCCCAAACGGGAAAGAGAGCAGGAGCAAGACCCACAGTTACTGTTGCTGCTTACCCGCCTCGGCGCCAAACAGCAACAAGCAGCGAGCATGCCGCGTAAAGGCACGTTCTTGCTCACCTATTTTGCACCCGCTCTCTCAATCGGAGGAGGCCACCCAAGTCTTCTAATCAACCCATGCAACCATTTTTCGTCCTGATTTCTACGAGTTGCATTGCAATTTGCCAGGTTTGACTCTGTTCAGGGATCTTCCCTTCTTTCTCCCACCGCTACACTTGACAAAGTTGTTTCACAAGTTGAGAAGGCTGTGAGTTCTCTGAAAGAATTCGACGAAATCCCCCAACCCAACTGGCAACTGCCCACTGCATACCATACAATACTGTGCCGCTTTCGGTTGACGCGGCCAACGCCAATTTGAAACCACCAAGGACCCTACAGCGATCCCCAACTCTAATATCGCGCCCAAACCCGCCAAGCTGACTGGAACCATCGTGCCATCGTTCGTTTTCTTATTTTCTCGTTGCAGTAACCCTACCTATCTATCGCTATCGCACGATCTACTTTTATAGTGCCACCAAACCACGACTATCAGGCAAACAGCAAACTCCCGTATTTGCGCTTGGTCCCCCAACAATTGCAGAAGGCATCCCAACTCTGAACTCTAACAAGACGAAGACCAAAACTGGCCAACCCGCCCTGCCACCAAAACCCCCAAGAGTGCCGCTACGAAGAATTGAGATCTTTGAAGGACTTCCCCGCCTCGACGCCTCAACCGAACTGTCTCATGTCGCCTTGACAAACAACACGCGCCCTTTTAATTGTAGACTTGGAACACTATGGCCATGTTAGCCAAGTCAACATTCCCGGCCTCGCTGGCCTCGTCGGGCTCGACATTAGTCTCCAATACCCCAGCAGCAAATATGCAACCCACGAGAAGGCAACCGATCGCGCCCTCCGCCGGGCAAGCTTTCGGAAGCCCAACCGAGTCGGAATTTTCAGACGACGTCGACGGCCCAGACGCAGTTAAGAACTGGAGCGAGGACCGCGTCTGTGACTACTTACGAAGCGTCAAGTGCGGCGAGTACGAAAAGCTATTTCGCAAGAACCACATCAACGGCGAAAATTTACTGGAAATGGACAAGGAGGTACTCAAAGAGATGGGCATCGACAAGGTCGGTGACCGCGTACGCCTGTTTCTCGGCATCAAGAAGCTTAGGACAAAGGCATACGCTAACCAGAAGAAGCGAAATAGGGTGAGTCGTTTTCAAGTCCCATGTGGGTGACGTGAAGCAGCAGTACGAAACTTGAGGGAAATTGGCTTCTAAATATCTGTTGCGACTCTAGGATTCGCTTGGTGGGCTCGACATTCAGTATACGCCGTCAACAGGCTCACCCAGGCCACCACACTCGGGCAGCCGAGCCATGCCGACACCACCGCAAAACAAGAGATACTCCCGACAAATCGATATGGCAAGTTATGGTATGAGCTCGGCCATGGACATCGGCAAGTCCTCCCGGCCGAGCTCCCCCCTCCCGAGTGCCGACTTACGAGCCATCCGGCAACGATACCCAAACCAGCTCTACATGAGTAATGCCACCCCCAACTCCTCCGCTGGTAGACTTCCTGGATCCTCTCCGGAGCAGTCGCAGTCTGGCCGTCTGGTAATGACCCATACGCGGAACCAATCGAGTATGGATGGATCACTGATGGCTGCGTTACCACAGGGTCAAGATGTCATCCGTGTCATCTCGACAGGTGGTGTCACCAAAGTCGTCAAAATCGCCGGATGTAGTACTTGCGAGGAGGTCACGAGGGTCACATTACGGAAGTTCGCCTTACGGGAGGACCACGACCGCAACTACTGTTTCTGGGTTCTAGCCGGTGTCGACCCCGACCCCCAGCAATGCCGACGCCTGGGCGACACGGAACTCTGGCGAATCATCAAGGATCAAAAACGACCCGAACGGAACCGCCTTATTCTGAGGAGAGTGCCGTCCGGAGAACCAGGGGAATCCGAGCTGCAAAGAGCCGCTGCCATCGCTATGGAAGAGGCGCAGCAGAATCACGCAAGAGCCCTTGAAAATGTTCAGGACAAGCGAAGCCAGATGAAGGTACAGAAACTCATGGGTGAGAGCTGGGACGGTGATTTACAGCAACCATTATCGCCCATTTCTTATCAGGACCGTGAGAGGAACTTGATTAATGCCGCAAAGGATCTTGAGCGACCAGCTTCCAACGAAATGAGGCAATCACCAACACAATCGCCCAGAGCGAGAAAGGGGCTTTTGAGGCCGTTCGGCGGATTACGGCCTCCTAGCGAGCTCATCACATCTGACCTTACCTCATATTTCCCGGATCATCCGCGGGAAGATATCGATCGAACGGCACGGCTATCCATGCGCAGATCGACACGTCTGAGCAAGGTGAACAGCCGGTTGAGTGTAGCGAGTAACCTGAGTTTTGCATCGAGCATCCAAGATGCGCCCCCCATTCCGACCATCGCCGATAACTGGTTGAGCGCAGGCGGCCACCCAGGCAAGCTCCGACCCAGGGACCCGAGTCGGCTCCAGCACCAATATAGAGACTCCGTTGCGTCAACAATCCTGGACGGTATCCAAGAAGAATCGCCTATTGAACCCAATCGCAAATCGTACGTCTCGTTCGCGGACAGTTCATCCGATGGCGCCGGCATTAGCGTCACCGACCCTGATGGAACTACGCGACTGAGCTACTTTGACGAGAGCAGTACGCAGGGTTCTGGGTCGATGAAAGAGATTACCCAGGCCTTGGAGGAAGATGGGGAAGATGCAGATGAGGAGCTTCAGAGTTTCTTGGCGGGAGAGTCGTGGGATGACAATAAGTGGATGAAGGGTGCCCTAATTGGTCAAGGTTCCTTTGGTTCCGTGTACCTCGCACTGCACGCTGTCACCGGAGAGCTTCTTGCTGTCAAGCAGGTTGAGGCGCCTTCACCCAATTCTAACAGCCAGAACGACCACCGCAAGAAGAGCATGATTGAAGCACTCAAGCGGGAGATCAGCTTGCTGCGTGACTTGCGCCACGCAAACATTGTGCAATACCTCGGCTGCAGTTCATCGACGGAATATCTCAATATTTTCCTTGAGTATGTGCCGGGTGGCTCGGTCCAAACCATGCTCAACTCCTATGGTGCTCTCCCGGAGCCCCTGGTCCGCAGCTTCGTGCGCCAAATTCTCAACGGTCTGTCCTACTTGCACAACCGGGATATCATTCATCGTGATATCAAGGGTGCCAACATCCTGGTGGACAACAAGGGCACCATCAAGATCTCTGATTTCGGTATTAGCAAAAAGCTCGAGGCGACCAACATCCTGTCCGGCGCGAATAACAACAAGAACCGCCCGTCTCTACAAGGGTCCGTCTTCTGGATGGCGCCCGAGGTCGTGAAACAGACATCCTATACCCGCAAGGCGGATATTTGGTCTCTTGGTTGCCTGGTCGTCGAAATGATGACCGGTTCGCACCCGTTCCCCGACTGTTCTCAATTGCAAGCCATCTTCAAGATCGGTGGTGGCAAGGCGTCGCCTACCATCCCGGACAACGCTTCGCCCGAGGCCATTGAGTTCCTGAAACAGACGTTTGAGATTGACCACAATTTGCGGCCTAGCGCGGACGATTTGATGTTGAGCGCCTTCTTGACCCCAATCACGTAGGACGTGAAGGGGGTCAAGAAGTTTGAGAGCAAATATGCGAGTGTTGGCTCGATTGGCCGGTAACAATCCGACACTCGTATCGACAACCCACAATCTTGCTCTGTGCTGACGATCGAGGTCGGGAAGTCCTGAACATGAGTCAGGTCACCGACGATGGCCCAACGGGCTGGTTGACTGTCACTCAGTGCTGGTGATTTGCTGGCTTTTGGACGGTGTGAACAAATGGAGAAGATACCCATGAAGTGGGATGACGACAAGAGGAGGAGGAAATGCATAATGTGACATGGCATGGTATGGCATGACGCGTGGGTGAGACGGGGATTCAACCCCCCCACTGGTGGACGTCTTCGATTCTTCTATTTCTTTGTTCCATCAATTCCCCCCTTTTTACATTACAACTTACGAGCGTTTTGGGGGTGTTGGCATGGTGTGGCGAGACGAGGATGACGGATGGCACATGGTTTACGAAATCTGCTTCGCAATATTCGCGATGGTGTATAATACCAAGGAACGGAACGAGACTCACGAACGAAACTAAAATACCTACCCTGTGGTGGTATAGCAGAATTCTTTGCTAAGCTGGCTAAGCTGAAAAACTCTTGCTCATTACACAAATATATACACAAATCACAACTGTGTAACCTGTCTTCTCGTGACACTGCAATCGAGATCTGCCTAGTTCACCATCATATTGACATCACTCGCGCGTCCTACTTGACACATGCAATCTAGTATTATGCGAACCATCAAGGGTTACGCAGAGTTACTCACCGCACTCCCCTTAACACACAACCCCCCCCTACTATCCTCCACCCAAACATCCCACTTCTTATGTCCATCCGCCATGTCCTCACCATTCCCATTCTGTCGGACACACACCGTCAATGGCTCCTCCGCGTACAGTGGGGCCAGGTTGCGATAATCGATCTTCTTAACCCTTTCATCCTTGCCGAGCTGCGACCGCAGGACGGAGACCATAAAGGTCAGGGATAAAGGCCCGTGGAAGAGCAGATTCCGATGGCCTTCGACTTCGCGGCAGTACGTCGGATTCAAATGGATTTGGTGCGCGTTGAAGGTTAGGGCGCTGTAGTGGAAGAGGAGGGTTGAGGTCGGGAGGAGGGTGTGGTTGAAGGTTGGTTTGTGGGGGGCTGTGCGGCTGTTAGCAAAGGCATACCTATAGAATGTACAGGCAGTTGTAAATGCAGAAGAGAGAAAGGGAAGTAGCATACCTTTGACCACCCTCCCATCCCTAACTCCCTCCCTCGCAACCTCTCTCGCCTCCTCCGCGCTTCGGCGCCTCAAGAACACCAAACTCCTCCGCTCTGTAATCGCCTCCTCGCCCGCAACAAAGCCGTCGTCCTCCCCATACCGCCTCCACACATCAACAAAGATCTTCTCTTCCCCCGGTCGTCCCTTAACCGTCACATCGCCCAAGCTCTCCCTGCACACCACCTGCTGCCGATTGACCAGAAGTGGCTTGTTGAACGATATCGACCCGCTCGCCCACATCCGCCGATCGAACGGCGCCCCGGGGCTATGGAACGGGTCCGTGCCGTCGGGTGTCAGGCCCGAGGCCGGGAGTTGGGGCGGGAAGTAGACGAGGTGGTGGGCTTCGGGGAGGGGTTGTGGCGGGGTGGCTTTGGAGGGAGACAGGCCGGAGCTTAATGCGGAAGAGGGGTTGAATATGGGTGGGTGGCAAGATGGTGGAAGGAAGTCGGACAGCGAGATGTTGAGGAGGTGTGTGGGCGTCGGAGATAGGATGTCGTAGGTTAGCTTTTCGGGGCGGGAGAGCATCGAGGTGCGGAGGGTTTCGAAGTCAAGGGCATTGGAGCTGTATTGACGGCAGGGGAGATAGGCTTTGTAGCATTGGGGTGAGGCAGCGACCTGCACCAGGCGCTGGAGCCTGCGAGGAGGTATCATGATGGTGATTGCATCGTGGTGAGGTTAGAACTCGAATAGTTCATCCGGTTTCTTGCAAACGCAAGGCGGGGGATGCGAAATGTACCCTGGGAACGACTTTGATTTGCATTACTGGACCTCGGGATGATGGGTTTCTTGCATTATCGATAAAAGCTTCGATATGAGCTAGTCTTTATTTGGAATTATACGCATCGATCATTTCGCGTCACGGACTAGACCCATTAACGCGGTTAGGCCCGGCGCGTCGCACCTCACCTATTAGGCTAGACATTGGAAAGTCGCGACCTTCTGCCTGGACAAGGTTCCACTTGAAATCCCATATACATTGTATGCAAGGCAGCCGCGGCGCAGTTGATCAGACAGCTCAACAGACTTGAACTTCTTCTCGAGTCCAACTTCCTCAACTCCTCACTGTGGCTTCTCATCGTTGCCTTGCCCTCGTCGCCACGAGTACAGCCCGCAGACTGCTCACCACCGTCACCATGGCACCCAAGCAGGCCACGTTGGGGTATGTAAAGTCTTCGCAGACCACCTTAGGGTGGGTCATCCAAAAATTCGATACTTCATCGTTTCGACTCTAATAATGCTTGCAGCAAGTTCTTCGGCAAGCCGAATGGTGCGAAGGCCGCCCCTCAGCAATCCAAGTTGTCGTTCGCAACGAAAGCCGCCAAGAAGCCCAAGGATGAGCCAGAGGAAGACACATCTGCCAATAAAAAGGATGAAAAGGACTCTCCGAAGCCAAAGAGGGAAGCTGTCAACGATGGAAAGGAGAATGCAGAGCCCGCTGAGACCAAGAAGCGCTCTCGCACAGGCCTGTCCCCGAAAGCCAAGCCAACGAAAGAAATTGTTGACGACGCAAAGGAGAATACAGAGCTCGTAGATACCAAGCCAACGAAAGAAATTGTCGACGATGCAGAGGAGAATGCAAAGCCCGTAGAGACCAAGAAGCGTTCCCGCACGGGTGTGTCCTCAAAAGCCAAGCCAAAGCCGACACCTGTGAAAGCTGAACCTATTGATATTGATGAAGATGAAGAAGAGGCCCCCGTATCGAAACGAGCTCGAAGAGTTCGCCGGACAATTGAAGAGGACGAAGATGATGACGAGGTCATGGCAGACGCCGAGCCGATCCAACCTAGCAAAGAGGTGAGCGCCAGCAAGAAGGCGGCACCGAAGAATACATCGACTGTTTCCAGCGCAAAGACCAAGAAGGAGCCCAAAACAAAGAAAGTCGAGAAAAAAGTTAAAGAAGAAACCGCATCGGAGTCTGCGTCGGAAGTCGAGGACGTAGAAGACGAAGAAGACGAGAAACCTGAAGTCGCAGCAAAGGTTCGACAAAAGGTCCAGACCAAACTCAAGGCCAAGGCGGAAGACCCCTATCCAGACTGGGAACAGGGCGCAGAAGTGCCGTATGCTGCTCTCTGCACGACTTTCTCGCTTATTGAGATGACTTCAAAGCGATTGGAAATCACCGAGCACTGTTCTCTCTTCCTACGCCAAATCCTGCGTCTTACTCCCGATGACCTCCTCCCTACAATTCTCCTCATGATCAACAAGCTTGCACCGGACTATGCCGGCATTGAACTAGGCATTGGCGAGTCTCTCATAATGAAGGCTATTGGGGAGACGACCGGCCGCAGTTTGCAAGTCATCAAGGGAGACCAGAAGGAGATTGGCGATCTGGGCCTCGTCGCCGTGAAGAGCAGATCCAAGCAAGGTACCATGTTCAAGCCGAAGGCTCTCACTGTCAGGGGAGTACACAAGGGTTTGATGGACATTGCTACCGTGAGTGGTAATGGCGCACAAGGACGAAAGGTCGATGGCATTAAGAAGCTTCTCGCCTCGGCTGACGTCCATTCTGCTGGCAAGGCGGACATTAATAAAGATAAGGGCGGACCGAGCGAAGCCAAGTTCATTGTACGTTTCCTCGAGGGCAAACTCCGGCTAGGTCTTGCAGAGAAGACGGTTCTGGTGTCGATAGCTCAGGCCATGATCATTCACGAGATAGAGAAGAAGGGCCAAGTCCCTGATACGACAGACATGGAGAAGGCTGAATCTATGTTGAAGACGGTCTACAGGTAAGTTCCTTGTTCGCTCGTGAACTACCAGTCTAATACTCGACAGTGAACTTCCCAGCTGGGATGCCATCGTTCCTGCTATGCTCAAGAACGGCATCATGAAGCTGAACGAGAGCTGCAAACTCCAGCCTGGCGTACCACTTAAGCCCATGCTTGCCAAGCCCACCAAGGCTATTACAGAGGTCCTAGACCGGTTTGAGAACCAGGCTTTCACCTGCGAGTACAAGTACGACGGTGAGAGAGCGCAAATCCACTATGTGGCCAAGGACCACGCCAATAAGTACATCGATGGTGTACCCGATGCGGCCAAGGAGGCAGCGAAGGGCGTTGCATCAATCTTCTCGAGAAACTCTGAAGATCTATCCAAGAAATATCCTGATATTCTTTCCAAACTACACACTTGGGTCAAAGACGACACGAAGAGTTTCGTCCTTGATTGCGAGACGGTGGCCTGGGATGTGGAAGAGAAGAAGGTGCTGCCCTTCCAACAGCTCATGACGAGGAAGAAGAAGGATGTTAAGATTGAAGACGTCAAGGTCAAGGTCTGCGTCTTTGCCTTCGATCTGCTCTTCTTCAACGGCGAGGCTATCGTGAAGAAGTCGCTGCGAGAGCGTCGCGAGTTGCTGCACAAGGCGTTCACTCCTGTTGAGGGTGAGTTCACCTTCGCTACGCATATGGACGGCCAAGAGCTCGAGGAGATCCAGGTTTTCCTCGATGAAAGTGTCAAGGCATCCTGCGAAGGTCTCATGGTCAAGATGTTGGATGGGTCTGAGAGTGGATATGAGCCCAGCAAACGAAGTCGCAATTGGCTCAAAGTAAGCAGTCCCCATCGCCAATATCAGCTCACGATTGCTAATGAGTGAATGCAGATCAAGAAGGACTATCTTTCTGGAGTCGGCGATTCCCTTGATCTTGTGGTTCTCGGTGCCTACTATGGCAAGGGCAAGCGTACTTCGGTCTACGGTGCCTTCGTGCTGGCATGCTATAATTCCAATACCGAGACCTATGAGACCGTCTGCAACATTGGCACAGGCTTTTCGGAGCAAGTACTTGAAGAACTTCACACGGTGCTCTCTGAGACTGTTATTGACCGCCCCAAGCCTTTCTACTCCCATTCAGCAGGCGGGCAGCACCAGCCAGACGTATGGTTCGAGCCTCGTTACGTCTGGGAGGTCAAGACGGCCGATTTAACTCTGAGCCCCCGTTACAAGGCCGGCTGCCAGGAGGGTGTGGATCCTAGTGGCCAGAAAGGTATCAGTTTGAGATTCCCCCGATTCATCAAGATCAGAGATGACAAGAAGCCTGATGAGGCAACCAGCAGCCGACAGGTGGCGGAGATGTACCGCAAGCAGGAGAGCGTGGCCAAGAATAAGGGGCCAAGCGTTGATGATGATTTCGAGTACTAGGACGGACATAGGACTGCGCAGAACGGTTGAAGGGCGTCGGGATGCGTATAAGAGTGGATGTGGGCTTACGTCTGCTGGCTGCTATAGCGTATGGCTGTAATTACTTAATATATAAACATGCACATAGGCGGCGGCTGTAACAATGAAACATCCAAAAATAACTTTCGATTTCGCACCATTCCAAGTGCTGACCAGTAAAACAAGCCATGTGTAGTCATGAATAAGTGGGCGTCAAACCAACACCTCGTTCTAGCACCGGAAATAGATGTCGAAGTAAGTAAGTGTTTGCTTGCATTAGCGCCCTAGTGGTTATCATGTCACGATCCTGGCAGATGACCTGGATGATTATGCAGCCTACATTCCTCCACCAACTAAATCCTGTTTTAGTGCTTCTAATAACGGCGTTTCCAATGGATATTTATTTCTGGTTGGCGTTGGCTGCTTTGGCGCACGATACCTTTGTTGTAAGTCTGTGGCCACGACGGTCGAGTACGTAATCTCCTTGAAGTTCTGGAAATAGCACAGGTCAGACGAGGGCTTGCTAATCTGTTACAATTGATAATTTATAATCTTTCAAGTTAAAATTCCAAATCTCATGGATATGAGTGTGGCTTGTTGAGTGCTCAGCGGTAGTTGTATTTGTATCCACGGGTGATCCTGGAATGTCTCAAGTATAATATTAATGTATATGATATTGGTTATCTGCAATATAAAGCCAACGAAGCCTTGCATTGTGTCACCATCTATTTTTGAGCTCCAAATCTTCAAGCACGCACCGCAGTGGCCAAGATGCTGCTACAATGCGACGGACGAAAAGAAGCGAGTGCACATGGCAGGCCATGGAGACCGAACGCCCGTAGCATATCGCAACATGTTGGGGGTAGCGTTGGCTTTGAACAGTGCACATACTAACCATTCTGAAGATATTTTTTCAGTGTCTGAACTATCCAGAAATGAACAAAAGCCACTTGTTGGCAGTACTATCAACACGGTTTGCTTTGGCTCTAACTTGCATGGGTCTTTGATGCCACGGAGGCGGCGCGTTGCATATTCCTTAAACTTGTTTCTGGAGTCCCGATGAATACCATGACATGGCACCCCTACCATGCAACGAGAAACCCCCATGTATGCAACCAGAAGTGTGTAATATTTTCGCCCTGATTCGGGGTGGCAAAAGGCATGCGCAGGTCGAAATCCTTGACCGTCCAACAACGAGTGTGCCAAACGCCCGTTTCATATACAGTTAATCGGTAACAGCCTCAATTAATTTAGATAATTGTTGGTAGTTGGTTCGTCTTGTCCCTGGCCCAACTCGGTCATGAGGCTACTCTTTCAACAACCAAAATGTTCAAATGAGATGTTTTTGTCGAAATCACGGACTTCCTTTTGCCTGCTGATGTATGTTGTTAGTGTGTAAACGTGATTTATTCACCCGAAAACAGCCCAAAGAAAGAAGAAAGGGGTTTATAGCATATATCATTAGGTCTAGGACTTGTATATAGACTATTTTGTGTAGCTAGTCTTCTGAGAGAGTTGCCTATCTCTACATCTCTTTTTCTTTAAGAAAGAGTTTAAGAAAGAGAGAAGTTAGAGCCAAAGTGATACGTGACCCCATGGGGGGTTACCCTATAGCGATAGATAAGATAGATAAGATAAGATAAGAGCTATAAAAGAGCTCTGCCAGGCCAGAATAGCTGACCTGGCCATCCTTTCCCAATACAACAATTCACACCCCATATTGTAGTGGGGCCAGGCCGGACATCAGGGGAATAGGTGACGGGGGCTAGGGAGGACTCCCCTGTCTTCCTTACTTCAAAAAGGGACACTTCACTGCCTTCATGAGCCATAGGCTTCTTTAAGGCAGTATAATAAACGAGATTAAAAACGTGAACCACAAATGGTATTACTAATACCTCACGCACCATTTTTCTCATCCTGACACCATTTTGATTGCGAAGAACGACGTCTTTTAGGAATATATGAGATGAGTTAATCACTCTGCCTTTTCCTTTAGTCGGGGGCCTAGTTGTTCCTTTCCGTCCTTATGGGGCTTTGTTCCTGCGGGGTTCCGTCATGGCCTATTGTAGGGCCTGTCGGGTTGGTTTTGGCCAGGTTAGAACCAACGGTTCGTAACAGGGGAGTTATACACTAGCAAAACGCTAGGATTGAATGGCCACCTATCAAGAAATTCACTAGAAAAATAGTGAATTTCACAGCTACGTGAAGTATCGCAGTAATATTCGCTAAATATCTACCATACTCAACAGTTGGTGCAAGTAGATTCCTCGGACAGGGGGGTTGTATGCTGATTCGAGAACGGACGCATAGTTTACAGCATTCATTGAAGTGTTTCTTACGAATTCTATTACACAGACCTGGTGATATAGCTATTGCTAGCCTATATCACTTCAAGAATTAAGCCTTGGGGGACGCAATGTGGGCCAGCGAAACCAGCCCACCCAGCCAGGAGTTACAGTGCGTAATTACGAGGTTACATCAACAAACACAAATTTGAGTCGACTTTCACAAGGAAGAAGATTATTTTGGTTGCGCAATCAGATTGTGATGATTATGTATGTACATAAGCGACATCTATGTATTTTTGGTGTCCTTCAAGACCATCTCCAACCATCACCCCCCCGGGTTAACTTTTGCGAGAAGAAGTGAAATCAGCGACTCCAGTTGGCGCGGGCAATGTGCTTAAGAGGTAAGGACGAAAGCAGCGGCACCGGTGTAGACCTGCTGGGTGCTAGCACCAGTCTGCTGGAACTCGAGCTCCGAGGCGGCGATGGTGTGGCTGCCGGTGGAGGAGGAGCTGGGGGTGGCCTGCTGCGAGGCCGTGAGGACGAGGCTGCCGTCGTCGTTCTTGGTGACGGTCCAGGTGCGCGAAGACTCCTTGCAGGTACCATCGGTGACGGCGGGAAGGGAGCCGTCGCTGGTAACCTGGGCGCTGCAGGACACGCCGGTGGTCTCACCAGTGCTGGTGGAGGCGAGGTTGAATTCGTAGCTGCATTGGGCCGAGTGGGCGATGCAGGCAGCAGTGAAGTCGGACACCTTGAAGATGGCGGTGGCCGAGGCGGCGGCGGCGAAGAGGGCGACGGCGGAGAACTTCATTTTGATGGTTTGGGGTGAGGAGTTTGTTTTGGTGGTGGGTGAAGGTTGTTAAATGGTAATGAAGTTACTGGTCTGGAGTTTGTGATGTGCTGAGGATAGAAGTTTGTCTGAATGCGATCAGCAAGCAGGACCTTTATACTCCTCGAGGTTCTCAACTGTTGGACCTGTTGGCCCGTATTCATGCTGGCCAAACGTCGATCGTGTCGAGCATCATGTGAAGTGAGGTTGGGATCGGCCCATCCGGCTCCGCAATGGAAATGCCGTTAGTGCCGGGATCGGCCCCTGGATTGCCGCTTCAAGAGGGGCGCATAGTCAATTTGACATCGTCCGATGCGTCGGGAAGGATGAAAATAGATTGCCCCTGACGTTTCGATAGTTTGATACGAGCTTCCCAGATACGGGGGCGTGACTGGCTGCAGTTAAGCTTACGATTCAGCTTCTATGACGTCGAAAAAGAATGGGGCCCCGCAAAATACGAGGAAACCAGGTGCCAGCAGACGCTGGTAAATGCTACTATGCGAGCGGTCAAGAGACCGCTATTTGCAGAATGGCGCTTGGCGTCTCGAGCATAACGTAACAGTTATGAAATTGGGAACATACCAGCTCATCAGCTCGTCAGGCGAGCGTTGTCATGGCCTTAGCATGCCACGTATTGACAACGGCACCACCTTCCTCATCGTAAAACCGTTGATTTCGCTCTGTAAAACACAAGCATGCAGAATTCACCCTGATCCTGGACCGCTGTTAGGGAGAAGAACCCACCTTGTCTGTGCAACGCAGGATAATTGAGGCAAAAGCAACGTCTCTTGAGCATTCTGGTTTTGAGGTTCTTAATAGCTCTTGATTTCATTATAGTCAAAACAGTAATTTTATTGAGCCGGGCCAACACGAACTTGGTTATTCAGGACTCGAGGAGCCCGAAGGACGCTGATAATGGTGATGGGAGGACACAGATGAGTATCATGGACTCATAAATTGACGAAACTGTCTCCGGAAGCCTCGCTGTTTTTCCGGGCCCGTTACCTCAAGTGTTCTTACTCTGTATCTGTGAATCTCTTGAGCTATATATGCCTCAAATGTTAACTGGATTGCCACAACGGCGCATGTTGCTCATGGCTGGTACCATGTCAAAACTGCCATTGCTTTATTTAGCCCTGACTCTTCAGGTGACAACTGGATGCCTATTTCCAATGGGGAATATACGACTCATTGCATTGCTCGTGTTGTCCCATGATTGATTATGATGGGCAAAACAGACAACGGCTTCTTCCGTGCCCCAGTCGGCAGCTCAACAACATCTAACCCAGCCAACGGCAAGCCCTTCGAACCAGTCTTTCCCATGCCTTCAACCAATAACACTCACTCCATCTTTCAGCAGGAGGAGACACTGCGTGCAGCTACCTTTGCGGTCAGAAGTCCTCAAGGTACTCCGAAACTAGGTGGCTCAACATCTACCAAGGGGAGTGCCAATCCGACCCGCCTCAACATTATCGACGTGTGCTGAGAGCTGCGGCTTGGGCACATTGATTGGATTTACTGTTATCTAGATTGTAAACAAAATGACTCCGCCGAGTTTTTGCAGGGAATCGACTACGATGATTGCCACGACTACGCCTCTTCTTTTGACGCTGAATTTACTCCGTTTGCGGCGATGGCTTCTAGTGTCGATTTGATACTGGCGGTGTTGCAGCTGGGAATGGAGAACGAGCGGTTGGGGAATAACGGTGCTTTCAACGGGGCTACCGCTGTTTTTTCTGTTATGCTAACTAATCAAGCTGCTTGTGGTGGTGGTGGGAGCGGTCAAGGTAGCCGTAGTGTATGTATTTGTGACAAACTTGGTACTTACTTTGAAGAGCAGATGTAGGGAGTAGTGTGAAAGAAGACAAAGTGTCTTCTGACTGGTTTTGGGACTCATGGACGATGACCGATGAAACTATTTGCATGGATCTCAGGCATAGATACAGGATGATGCGTCAGTCAGAAAATGAGGTGAGTCGGTTACTCGTGCCCTCGTAAGTGGTTAAGTGGTCTGATTACGTTCAGAGGTATGAGTTATAGGTGCTGACTTAAGGTTCGGACCCACACATTTTGAGAGTATCTCTCGAAGATACATGCCAGTCTCCTTACATGAGTCTCCTAGTGTGAGGCTTTTCACTCATCGTGCTCCTTTACTGCCGCGAAGTCTCGGACTCGTTCCCCACTCGTACAGATGTAGTAAAAGAGTAGACCTTAGGGAGAAAGATATGTACTAATGTGGCTCGTAACATTGCTCATCTTAGGTCTCCAAGGTATCACCAGATAACAAACATATGCTAATGGAGGGACGGTGCTTCTGCGTTATTCTCTTTGGTTGTGCCGCCCTCTGCTTGGCATGTGGATTTCCACGACTCGCAAAACTTCAGAGGCAGTGTTGTGCTTATTCCAGGATCATGCGACAGCCTGCTTAGAAATGCAAGTCCTGGTTTAGTCTGAATATATGGCTGCTGCGTTTCATGCAAGATTTTGGAATCGGCCAATGCTGGACTAGGGCGATATACCAACTCATATGCAACTGTCACTGGAATGGAAAAATAAAACGACACGAATTTGGCAGTAACCATTCGCCGGGTTTCCTGAAAAATCCTAAACATGCTCAAGATTTCGCAGTCTCATCAGCATCTAGTTGACCGCCTTATCTTTTAAATCTCATTCCAGCGTCCTTCTGTTGTTATTGACCTTATTCCGAATGGAGCTGGAATGGAGCTGGTATGGAACGGTTTGAGGATAAGAAATTTGAGCAGAGATGGACTTGGGATGATCATCATGGGATAGAAAGCAAGCTAGGAGACATGGCAGAGGCGTTTTGAATAGCTTTAGGTTTAAGGTAGTGAAGAGTCTTCTCGACAAAACAAGGGACATCCGTGCGATTAACGGAGTAACGTACCCCACAAGCAAGTTGGCCACTTTTTCTTGGCACCGTATGAATAACTTCAATAACTTAACTAAACTAAAAAATAATAATTCAAACTAATCGGAATCCTCTTCCTCGTACGTATCTTTATCATTCTCACAAGTACGAGCATTATGTCCGGGCTCTCCGCAGATCCTACAGCGCCGTCGGCGTGGTTCGGCCGGTCTCGTACGACGACGACTTACACGTATATCATCCTGTAGCTGCTGTTCAATATCCCGTTGAGACTGTAAGTCCTGAGCGTCTCGTAAACTAAGAGGTCCTCCATCTTGTAGCTGTCGATTTTGAGTCCTTCGACGATAATATCGACATGAACTAATGTGACGGGCTCACTGCGAAACTATACAGCTCAACATGGCCAAATACTGTTAATTATCTAACTGAGGAGGAAAGTAAAATATGCGAGTTGTCCCGGGAACACGGACTATGTTTTGTGTGCCCTCGATGGTTCCTTTGGTGGATCCGGACGCACGGTCCTTGCAGCTCCGGATCCCATATCAGGCACAGCCTGTCACAACTAATATTAGAAGCGACTGATGTTTCTCTTAGATTTTCAACTGAGATATTCGGCCATAAACGGCCAGGGAAAGGAGGCGAAAGTATAGAATCCTTAAGCACACGCACCTGAGCGTTTCTACGTGCCTTTTATATATATATATATAACTGTTGAGACTATTTTGATTGGATGAGTGGCCCAACTGGAAGGTCCGCACTAACAAGGCCACAACGGGCACATCTCATTCCTTCGCATAAAAGTTCACTCCTATCATGAGATAAGTCAATTCACTGACATTACACCTCAGCAAATGAATTTCTTACAAATTTAGCACCTATTCCTGCAGCAAATTCCCTGTTGGTGCGCGTCTCTTGAGGGTTATAGTGCTTGGTATGTTGCCTCGGATTCCGGTTGCAGTACAATTGTTGACTCGGACAATTCCAGGCACGAGATGGCTTCGACAACATACAATTAGGACTTGATGCTATACAATAAAAGCGGCAAGACATATCAGGTAACCTCAACTTAGTGTTCACTGTTGGTGCTACTTTCAATGAAGTCTTGTGGTGGATTAGAAGCTTCTGATACTGAGCACTGATGTCTCTTACATGCCTTAATCTGTCAACGAGTAAGTCTTCTCGACTTGAAGGTAAGTAAATACTATGTAGAGTGCAGGAAGGAGGACTGGGTGCTCTGGAAGGACCAGGGTCTGGTTTAGGGTGGTTGATGTAGCGCTAAGTGTTTGGCCCCACGCCGGGATCTAGTGAACCCCTGTCAGAGCCATTTCAGCTGTACGTCATTTCGCAACGTCGCGTGTTTACGCCGGGTGTCTTTCATTGAAGTCATTTCTGTTTTGAAGCTCAATTGGGGCTGGTAACACCTACGCAACGGCCACCATCGCTATACGCTAGTTCACGAATCTTCTTAGTGAGACTGCGACCACATGATCTAGCGCATCTGTGACTGGTAGCCCATGCTGACGACCTGAAACGCGCTGTTTCGCATCGCGCATCGTGCGTGTCGCTTTGATTAGACATCACAGGCTGCTGCCAACTCGCCCAACCATCCAGACATGGGCCATTTCAAGCCCCGAGCAGCATGGGGCAAGCCCCAAAATAGGTCCGGAATGATATTGTCGCGATTTAAGATCCTCACTGCCGTAGTTGTGGTGGCACTCTACTTCCTCTTCTTCCGATCGCCTACACCTCCACCCAGAGTAGCCCAGCGGCCTCGGATTCAGCTCACAACATGGCGCGACGGTAAGGGCCTGGCTGACAACGCGAAAGCATCGGCGGTGCTTGGTGCCATGGCCCACACCTTCAAGGGGTATCACGAGATGGCATGGGGCAGCGACGGTGTTCGTCCCATCAGTGGACGCAAAAGAGACGACCGGAATGGCTGGGGCTGCTTCATCGTCGACTCGGCGACTACCCTCGCGCTCATGGGTATGTGGGACGAACTGGAGCTGTCCATACAGTTCATCAAGGAGATCGACTTCAGTCACCCGAAAGGGCTCGTAGATCCTTTCGAAACGACAATCCGATACCTGGGTGGACTAGTGTCGCTCGTGGATCTGATCGACATAGGCATCGTGCCCGACCATGTCGCAAGCATGGAGGATCGCGAAAGCATCTTGCAGCAAGCTGTTGCCCTCACCGAGAAGCTAAGGCCCGCGTACGACACTCCCACGGGTATGCCCTACCCTCGGGTGAACTTCAAAAGCAACAAAGGAGAGCCAGATCCCCCGGTCGTCTACATCAAAGACCCCACCAAAATCAAATACGACCATCCCGCCATTGGACCCGCGCGTGCCGGAAGCAATATCCTTGAACACCGCGCTCTCACGCGGTTGACACGCGACAAGTCCTACGCCGCCACCTCATTGCGTGCATGGCGGTCTCTCGTCTGGAACCCCCTTCCCGAGCCCTTCCCCGGCATGGTGGACGCACCCATGGATATCGTAACGGGAATCCACGTCGGCAAGGACCGTCACTGGGACGCCGGCCACGACAGCTACTACGAGTACCTGATCAAAGAAGCGATCCTCGCGCCACAGGACGAGCATTCCAAGCACTACGAACACCGATGGCACGACGCGGCGCTCTCGCTCCGAGCGAATTTGAGCAGCCGCTCGGCTCATGCGCCACTCAAAAATGAAGACAGCTACCTTATGCTGCACCAGTTCATCGGGAAGTACCTAGACGGCGAAGTGGTAAACGAGATGTCGCACCTAGCACATTTCGCGCCGGGCAATCTGCTGCTAGGTGGCAGATGGCTCTCAGCGCCTAATCTGATCACCTTCGGCCAGGCCCTCCTAGAAGGCTGCAGACACACCTACAATGCCACCACCACAGGCGTCGGTCCGGAGAAGTGGGCCTGGACGCCGGCTCTCTCTTCGGCCAAGGGATTCCTCGAAAAGTCCGCTGCGCGTTATCCCGAAGATCTGGAGAATCAGGATCATCTGCAGAGGACGGGCTTCTGGGTTGCGAACCCCAAGTATAAACTCCGTCCCGAGTATGTAGAGAGCTTGTTCTACGCGTGGCGCATCACGGGCGAGCAGCGCTACCGCGACTGGGCGTGGGACGCGTTCCAGGCTATCGATCGGCAGTGTAGGACGAAGTACGGATATGCGTCGCTTGCTGATGTGCGGGTTGGGCGGGAAGATGGTCAATCTGGCCAGCTTAAGGAACCCGCGGGTGGGAGTACGCAGCATGAACACCACGCCGTGGAGAAGCGCGGATTTGAGAAGAATGGAAACACGGGAGATGAGGTGGAAGTGGGCAATGATTTGGACGAGAAGGTGCAGGTGCAGGGAGGACTCATCGATGAGGAGGAGTCGTTTTGGGCGGGGGAGACACTGAAATATTTGTATTTGATCTTTGCAGACGTTCGATTGGGGAGTTTGGATCAGTTTGTGTATACTACTGAGGGGCATCCTTTGAGGATTGTTGATTAAGACACCTTACGAGAAGGATAACACGAGAGGAAGTTGGAGGTTGGATAATGTCTGGTGTAAACAAGAATGCATATGGACGTATGAATACTGGTTTATAATGCTTGTGATTCAGGATGTTTAGTGATTCATGGTTTGATGCCCGCTTTTCTACTTTTACCTTTCTTAACTTCCCCCAAGTATCTCATTCCAGGGCGACTGCCATGTGGACGTAATAACCCGTGAATCTGTCGACAATGTTTTCTTAAGCACATTTGAACGACGTTAGGCCCCAGGAAACTGGAAGATTAGGGGCTGGGGCCGTTTTCCTGGTTTTTTCCGTTGGTCGCCGTGGCATGGATGCGAGAGGAAACAAATAAGAGGCTTGAATCAGCCTGGGTAACGTACCCCACAAGCAAGTTGGCCACACAAGCAAGTCGGCCACTTTTTCTTGGCACCGTACGAACAACCTTTTAATTAACATCTTTACACATACCAAGATGGGATCGAATTGGAAAGAAAGCGACATGATTCTAGCGTGTCAGGCGCTTCAATCGAAACCCGAATTAAGCATCCGAGGCCCTGCCCAACTCTACAATGTCCCTCGTACAACTCTAGCTAACCGAAAACGCGGACTACTATCTCGACGCGATACTCGACAATCTAGTCAAGAAATTGAAGACCTAATACGGGCGCATATAACCCATATCTCGAAGGAGGATGATATACGTGTAAGTCGTCGTCGTACGAGACCGGCCGAACCACGCCGACGGCGCTGTAGGATCTGCGGAGAGCCCGGACATAATGCTCGTACTTGTGAGAATGATAAAGATACGTACGAGGAAGAGGATTCCGATTAGTTTGAATTATTATTTTTTAGTTTAGTTAAGTTATTGAAGTTATTCATACGGTGCCAAGAAAAAGTGGCCAACTTGCTTGTGTGGCCAACTTGCTTGTGGGGTACGTTACGTTTAGTTGGTCGCCATAACTTAGGATTGATAGAAGCTCCTACACACTTTTGGTCATGTTCAGATCTCCTAGTTAATCACTGTAGACTGGATGCGAAAGAAAATTGGGATAACTTAAGACTTTGTCTAAGACCCAGTTGGAATATTGGGAAAGGTGCATGGTCGGCAACTTTCCATCTAGAAGCACAGTAAAGTGATTCACTCTTCTCAAGTAGAACATAAGGTAACTAAGTCACTTACGGCAATATCTCAGGGCGGCATTGTGTATACTTGAGGTACATCTTTGTGACTAGCGCACACGAGGTACTTCTGTGGGTAAACATATAGAGAACCCTTATTCGAGGCAAAGAAGGGAGTTGTCCTAGTGAAGGGCTCTGGTAGAGGGCACTTAGGACCGTGATATACGTCCACCAAGGCAGTGCCTGCCACAAGTGTAACGGAAACCCCGCAGTCTAATCCGAAAATAGCAATGATTTGTTCCGGAGTTTGTGTTTATTGTATATATGCTCGTGTTTCACTTGCCTGTTAGACTTGCTACTTCTAGTATTATTAATCCTTGGTTATGGTGCACGCTGTTGGTGATTCTGTGGGATTGAGAGCAATAGCGCTTCTGGCAACCAACGCAGCACAACGCGTAGAGCAGACACAATAATCAACACGAGATCTACACAAAGTCATCAACAGAGGACTGAATCCCTCATATTTCTACTGAAAGAGGACTATATAACAGAACATAGCGGTCGTTATGAACTTAGAGACGGATGTAAACGAGGGAGCGTTCATCGATGTCCCGCCAGTTAGAACTGTAGCTACAGCATTTGTAGTTTCAGAATTCGACGTACTCGAAGTAGTCGTAGCACTCGAGTCGAAAAACGTAGTCGTGGCACTCGAGTCGAAAAACGCAGTCGTAGTACTCGAATCAAAAAAGGGCGCATCATCAGCGATCCAAGTAGTCCACCCACCTATGTCAGTAGTATAATGCCGAAATGTCGCATACGGCGCATATATTACCACCGTCGGACCAACCGCAGCACCGCTCCTTGCCTCTGTAGTGCCATCGGAGCTAACCACTATATCGAACCCCGTCGCTTTACCCTCCACATAAGACGTCGTAGCACAAAATGGCCATCTTGCCGCATACTGCCCCTCATTCCCAACAAAGGTGCCAAATTCCACGTCCAAGGTCATAAAGTAATCCATAGTGAAATTATGCGCCGTAGGACAGCATATCTCATCCACAACCTCATCGACGTTCACCGTGGAAGTCGGAGTGGCCCGCCACGTGGTGCTAGTGGTATTGAAAGCGTAGCGCATCTCGCGCTTGCCGGCGTAGGTATATCCTGCTGGACAAGCGCCCTCGTTGGATTTGGTCGAGGCGGGGTAGCAGTCCGGGTCTGGGCTTCGGGGGCCGAGTTGCGTCCAGGAGACGGCCAGGGAGCTGGGGAGGGAGCCGCCTTTGTCGTCATAGTAGAGAACGGTGACCATGGTGTGGATTTCCCAGATGTTAATCGGTTCCAGACAGGTTGGTGCGGGGGTGAAGGTTGTGGTCGCGGTGATGATACTAAGGTTGGTTTTGGTCACGGTGGGGGAGACAAGGGGACATTCGGAGGGGACGCAGGACACGCCTTCGCCGCCGGATTTGTAGGTGCCATAGACGTAGGTGATAGGGCGGGCTTGCATGCTCATAACGCCGTCGAGGAGAGTTGTGCTGGTAACGAGGGTAGTGATGCCCTTGAGGTCGACGTGGTAGGCGTCCGTGACGATGTGGTTGAGTTTAGTTGGGCTATAGGCGCTGCACCATGAGTCTGTGACTAGCACCACCCCATCCGCAGTGATGTAGACTCCTTGCGACCAGAACGTGTACTCGCTGTTATCATAGCTCAGTTTTCATCCTCAACTTTCAAAGTAATGCCATCTCATAACATTTCATTTCAAGAGGACCCATGTTGGACAGCAGTAGCCATAACGGTACTTGATTTCGCTTCCAAAATAATCGTAAGTTCCATAAGGTTCCGAACCGGCTGATGTATAGCCCGAGGGACACCCGTAGATGTCCTCGGGATGGGGAAGACAGCTTGCGGGCGGCTCAGGAGGGCCGTAGTTGATCGATGAACATTGCCACGTGGTAGACGAAAGTCCGTCACCCCACGTTGTCGAGCAGTAGCCGCTGATGTCCCATATCGACTGTGATGTGAGACAATCTTCTGGAAAATTGAACGGTGTTGTTGGGACGCTCGGTGTAGTCGCAGAAGCGGCAACAGTACTGGCCATCTTGATTGACGTGAGTCTACCCCAGATACAATAATAGAATTGACCACTCGAAACAACACAGAAGAGCTGCGGAAATGCATCTCTGCCCCTTTTAACTTGATTTCTTTGCCTAATCTGCCCAGCTCGATCGCGGGGTTACAAATATGAATTTAATGTATTGAACTTGGCAGTCAATCACAGCCAGCGATGAAGCTGACAGTCATGCCAGGCGAGGCGATACGGAACGCCACCAACGCGGAAAGTGTGGCAAAAGGGTCGCGAAGGATTCGGTTCCTGAACAACATCAGCGTTCAGCTGACAGAATCAGACCACCTGCCCCTTTGCTTATACCATGGCGTGACATCGTTTCAACATGCGACATGCCGGATAGCCACTGATAAAACTACATTTTCCAGTCTCAGTTGAAGTTGGAAATAACAGTCTAGAAAAAACAGTCATTGACACTAACGTACCCCACAAGCAAGTTGGCCACACAAGCAAGTTGGCCACTTTTTCTTGGCACCGTATGAATAACTTCAATAACTTAACTAAACTAAAAAATAATAATTCAAACTAATCTAAATCCTCTTCCTCGTACGTATCTTTATCATTCTCACAAGTACGAGCATTATGTCCGGGCTCTCCGCAGATCCTACAGCGCCGTCGGCGTGGTTCGGCCGGTCTCGTACGACGACGACTTACACGTATATCATCCTCCTTCGAGATATGGGTTATATGCGCCCGTATTAGGTCTTCAATTTCTTGACTAGATTGTCGAGTATCGCGTCGAGATAGTAGTCCGCGTTTTCGGTTAGCTAGAGTTGTACGAGGGACATTGTAGAGTTGGGCAGGGCCTCGGATGCTTAATTCGGGTTTCGATTGAAGCGCCTGACACGCTAGAATCATGTCGCTTTCTTTCCAATTCGATCCCATCTTGGTATGTGTAAAGATGTTAATTAAAAGGTTGTTCGTACGGTGCCAAGAAAAAGTGGCCGACTTGCTTGTGTGGCCAACTTGCTTGTGGGGTACGTTATATTGAAAGAATGAAAAAAAGAAAAGTGGAAAAATGGAAGAAAATAGTCCTGGATATCTTGTAGTCCCGAAGGCAAGCCAAGCTCTAAGTAAGACCGGTGGTTATGGCCAATCTTCAAGTCTGTTGTCCATGAAGACTCGAGCGCGCTATCGAGTTCTCGTAAAGTCGAAACCCAGTGGGCGAACGGGGTTGAGTTCAATTGAAATGAAATGACGATGCGGTAAAGTTAATGAGACCAATGATTTGCCGGTGTGCAACGTTTAAGGGTTGTTAAAAGGACGAGGGAACTGTCGGGTTCCGGGGGGAATGGGGGTGTCTATATTGCAATTGTGAAGGTGTGCGGGGGACCAATATTCCAATTGGCCCCGAAGAGAGCCTTCCTCTGATCTCTTCTATACGCAGCTATACGCAACTTGTATGCAACTTGCAACAGCGATTATTTAAATACCTGTTGTTGAGAAGGCCTGTGACGGCTACCGGGTACTAACTGTGGGATTGAGCGCCATGGTTAACGTATTTCACCCCCATTCCGACACCCTATAAAACAAAACACCACGAATAACACTGCAATTTCAAACAACCACCACAAATTCAATTCTGAACAACTATACAATCGTTTTCGACATTAGATACATTAGATATTTCTGAACCCGAATCATCAACAAGAGCTTCATTAGATACTTCCCTCATCCGCCGTACGTCCTCAATCCTTGCGAATTTCGCGTTTGGACTTATTTGCACCTTCTTTTTTTTCCGTGGCTTCATAAGCTCCAATCCCTGTTTCAAGCCCTCAATTTGTAATTCTGCGCTTAATAATAGATAATCCTTCTCATCAAACCCTTTTTTCATCTTTCTAAATAGCTGGCGTTGTGTAGTCATGTTAGTTTGTTGGAGTCGATTGAACTCCCTAAACTGGCGCTCTATATCTACGCTCTTCTTTGGCGTTGACCATACAACATTGCCCTCTGAAGGCGTCTGGAGCGTTTTCTGGACTTGCTGGGTTGTAATAAGAATGTCTGGACCTTGGTGACGTGTGCGGTTGCTATTTTCAAGCAGAAGAGGGCTAGTAAGGGGCCTAGCGACATTTAGGGGCCATAGACCACTTGTACGCCAACCAGACTTGATATTTTGAGCCGTCAGGGCCCTATGGCGTGCTCTGGCGTAACAGCGCATAAAATTCCGCTTGCCAATAGGTGCTGAATCAGTTAATAGGGTTAAAAACCCGACCTCCTTGCGATATGCCGTTTTCATAGCTGAGAACACTCCAACATCGAGGGGCTGAAGGACATGAGATGAGTGTGGGGGGAAAAATAATAAATATATGTTGTTTTGATAGCAAAGAGACATAAAAGTATCAGTTGTGTGACTACTGTGACCATCCAAAATAAGTAAACGAGTGTCTGAAGGGTCCTGAGGAAGCGTAAGGGGTATAAAAACGTCTTCAAGCCATTTAATAGCTATCGTATCGTTTGTCCAGCCCTTGGGGGATGCCTTGAAGCGCCAGTCCTTGAAGCCCTGAAGATTTTTATCAGGGAACCACTGCTCTTGGACGTCCTTGCCCTTGAAAATAACCAGGGGGGGTAAGGTATTGCCGAGGGCATCCACACATTCCAAAATTGACGTCCACGCCCTCGAACCAGGCTGTTTCTGGTGTATTGCGCGTAAGGTAGCGCTCCCGACAACTAGCCCAGAGCCCCCTTGACCCTCCATAAGGCCATGCTCATCCATATTATACCTGCATTGCGGCTTAATCGCTTGAATTGCAGGAATACCTAATTTTGAAGCAAACCAGGCTTGGATTACCTCGGTAGACGCGCCATTGATACGCTGAGAGTCGATACGGCGTTGCTTTTTAGTCTTTAGTGCTGGATGACGCTTTAGAAAGGCTTCCAGCCAATTCTTGCCGAGTGGTTGGTGGTCACCTTTGAGGGCTAGGACGCGCTGCGCGAGCTCCTTGATTTGCGCGTGCGTTGGGGCTAGTCCAAGGGCTTCCTGGACCAAAACCCAGTCTGCTAAGTGTTTTTCTTGCACTGGAGATAGCCTCTGCTGGCTAGCAGAGGCCTCACGACTTAATTCAGCGCCTTGAAGTCTGTCGATAAGTGTAGTCCTTGGTATACCCCAATCCAGGCCAGCACGTCGCACAGATTTACCATTTGCGACGTCTAGAACGGCGGCAGCGAGGTCTTCTTCCGTATATGAAGGCATTGATAGCAGATCAGATTGAATACTTGGAATAAAGTCAATTGAAGCAAAAGTGGTTGAGAAATAAAATAATGTAAATAGCGGTGTGGTTATTGTTGGGGTTTACAGGGGTGTCGGAATGGGGGTGAAATACGTTATGCCCCCCTGGGCTGAAGCGGCAATTGTAGTCTGAGGTCAGGCCCTTCCCCGTAGATAAAATAACAATGCACACAGCCAACAGAACAGCAGAGAGATATACCAATCAAGACAGGACCATCGCAGAGTCATCAATATAGGTTTGAATCCCTCGATAACGGCTAACCTAGGCTGCGGCTCCCCCACATATATGGCGAGTAGAGCAACACCGATACAACCACCACATGACCCAAACTATACCAACATCAGGACCATCCCAAATGTCACACAGACTCACGTAGTATGCGCTAATTGACGAGAAGCTACCATGGCTCGCCCCAGAAAAGAACAAGAATACCAAGCAAGTCGCCCATGAAGATAACAACCAAGCCACCTCCGGCAGCGACAGCAATTTAGCCCGGACGCTGTCCACATAGTCCCCCACGGCAGCTATACCCAAATCTTCGAGTTTAAATGGGGGCGCAATCAAGCTGACCATCAATGATGGGTTGCCCATCGTGGTCAGAGGATTGGATTGGATGGAGGAGAGCATGCTGCGCCTCAGTAGCGAAGAAGATCGGCTGGCTTGGGAGAAACAACATAACTTGGTTTTCTACTACCATTTATTAGGGCATAGATGCCGACGTTTCAGGCGTGGGTAAATGATTTGGTGGGAATACTTTGTCATGTGTTTTGGGGGAATTAGATTTCAAATAGGGGTACTTCGAGGGTAGGTGGATGTCAGTGGGATCCATGGGGGATGAGTAGATATTTGGTAGTGCTCGATGACCCCCGTGTTCATTATGATAGTATTTGCTCATGATTGGTATATCAAGGGGTTGTCCATTGATGTGAATTGGACAGTCCTGGTGGATTTCCTCAGCATGATACTGGTTTTCATTCAGTGCGGCGATCGCAACCTGGATTGACTTTCCTGATGTATGTCACCGAGTAGTAATAGGCCAACATTGTCACAGGAACCTGGATACACAAGTGCAAAGGTGAAACAGCCCCCTTGCAATGAAGATGGCGCAATGGCGAATTAATGGACCAAAGACCAAAGACCAAATCCTCACTCACTAGTGGACCAAAGCGGCTTTGGTTATGTGTTCAGTGATCATGCATGTATGATTGCTCATTAAAATTGTCCTCAATGTACTGTAATGAAAATGCCCATCAGCGACCTACAAAGACGAGATTTCTAAGTTTCTGCTACGGGCATATGCAGAAAACAGTCGCCCTCGCAGTCTGTTAGTGTCTGTTCCTGGTACCCTTCTCCTTACTTGGCGTGGAAAACACGGCTTGAACCAATGAGAGAGCTCTGAATACCTTCCCGTGCTTAGATTTTCGACTTTCCCATAAGGCTTTGCTCTGACCTTATTAGACTGACTAGTGGCTGTTTATGGACCTGAACTCCAGACAGTCTAAACCTTACACGAAGTGTTGACCTGTTTTTATTTGGTCAGTCCTGGTTATTGAAAAATGTCATTGGATGGATATCCTCCCCAAATTGAAGGTTGAGGCCCAAGAATAAGGCGTAAGGGGTTCTGAGACAAGCAGCCGCTTTTGCGTCTTGACGTATAACACCAGGCCCGGGAAATTTTGAAAAAGTTGAAGTTGAATTCCTTGAATACTCAAAATATTTTCATAGCAACTGATCTTCCCCTTAACCTCACATCAATAACATCGACACATTCGGTCCAAACCACTATGTATCCTCTCGTACCTCAATCGATGCACAGCGCTTTTTCGTAATATCCTTCTCACTTCTGGTTAGTAACGTGCGTCTGTTGTTGAACCCTGTCATGTTTGTCCGAGACCATTGGACGGACTTGCAAATTTTGACTTTTGGCGTTGTCCCAGCCCGTTCCTGACGCCCCTGTCAAGCCCGAGATCAAAAGCCCGGAGGCGCCATAGCGCAGAATCAACATTTTCGAGAAGCCGTCAAGAGGTAGATATATGATGCACTACGCATTCGTACGCGTAAGAGCGAAATTCTCTCTCCCCATCATATTCATCCTTCTTTACGTGTTCGATATTGTTCCTACCCTTTTAGTTTAGGAGTCTTTTTTGAACCCATTGTCCATATATAATATCACACAGAACTCCAGCACGACACCGCAGCCATGAAGGTCCTTCATATTGCCTCGACCCTTTCCCTGGCACTGAGAACAGTGTCTGCCGACTGGAAATCAACCAGCTATGTTGGTGGCTTTGGTGGTGACTACGATGGCGACATCCTTGGCTTGCTGTATGGAAGCTATCACAGTGGTCAGAGTTTGCATCAAGGACCAAGAGAAGAAACACAAACCGGAAGATACAATGGTTTAGCTCTGGTCACGAATGGTTTCATCCGGGGACTTTCGCAAAGCCAGCCAGAGATTCAAGATACCCGCAGCATGCCTGAAGATATTGCCACTGCCATCGACGCGCTGAGTGCCCCGAGTGCAGCAGTCATTGACGAACAAGAATTCATTTGCACGACCGACGCCCGCAATAAGCCGAATTCTCACCGCATGAAGACATCAGCCTTGACGACGACGTTCAGCTGCTACTCAGAAGACACAACTGCGACGAAAGTGGCCGAGTTACCTACCAACACCGCTGAATCAGAGGCAAATGCCAAAGTGGGATTCTTCGACAGTATAACGACACTATCACCGCAGTTACCTGCGTCCTTCACCTTCACCGCGAATCACGGCATCCAAGTTAGCATCATTCTACTAGGTTTGATTGTCTTTTGGTGATCGAACACTTTCACAGGAAAAGTAGGATGTGTTATAGAATGGCAAGCCTGGTCCCTGACTTTCACGTGGCAATTGGACAAGCCTGCCTCTGTATCGGTGCATAGTACTTCACAGTCTGTAAGTGGCTGAAAGGGTAACCAGATCTACTACGTGTATATTTGTATGGAGAGATAAGAAGACGAGGAGATACGAAGATAACAATACCCAATACCCCTTGATCTATTCCATTGACGACGGGCAGTGAAACCACCCGCAGGTTCAAGGTGTGATGATAATAGCAACGGACAATAAGGTCCTCAACAAGACCTTACTATCCGGGAGGTGGAAAGAGAAGTAACAAGATCAAGAGCTCTTCTTGCCCTGATCGGAACGACAAGTACCTCAACAGGTACTAACAACTGAAGCCTCAGCAGGCTGGGGAGGAAAAGGATCCTCAACAGGTGAAAGATGGGAACAATGGCCTCAACAGGCACAATCAGATCTACAGGGGGACAGAAAGTACCTCAATAGGTACGTCAGACATTGAATGCCTGTCCAAGTAAAGAGAAATTGGTTCAGATTACTGTGGAAAAGGCCGCTTGATTTCTATCTTTTTCTCAAGAGAGTGACTACGTACATAAGGTCTTAAATACCCTTCAAGAACGCGCTTACATAATTCGTCTGAAACCGGAAAAAAAGAAAACGAGCACCCAAAAACCCTAACCCCACGTCAATATCCGTAGATTTTCAAGGGCATATCGATGCAGAATCCTGGACTTCTCAAGTTTCACCTCTTCGGACGGAGATAATTGCCTGTTAATATCCCATAGCCATTTAATAGCTATATACCGGGTCTAAAGTTCAGGTGTGGACTAGGTCAAAACGCCGGGTCGCGGGCAAAATAATCTATATCTGACACGCTCTATTCCCGTGACGTTCTTCATTATTCCATGCGCAGTATTCAGGGCGACTACTGCATCAAGCTTCGGGTCCAGACACGGTAGAATTTAGGAATACCAAAGCGTTACTATGGTGTGATGGGTTAGTTTTTCACCTCACTGATGTATCGACCTACATGTAGGCTTTGAAGGGCCTCTTGAGTCGAGTTCACGTCAGCGCCACGGATAGGTACTATTCTTACCCTAATTAGCCTAAGGTGAAGTTTACCGGTATATTAGGTAGATAGTTTATTATAAGTTAAGATAATTTGAGTCTTTCTAAAATATAGGTTTAGAGTTTAGTATTATATAACGAAGTAGAGACACTACGAGTTCGAATTAAGGTTATGATATCTGTAAGGGAATAGAGAGCTATATGCAGGGTTAAGCCTTAGTGAGTAATAACACTTAGGTCAGAACTACTACATCTTTTAGTCTATGTAGCGTAATGGTCTAAGCTGGGTGTTACCTTAAATTGTTCTGACACTGAGTGAATAGTCTGGGGTCTGGGGTTTGGGTTCGATTCCGGCTTATTTTCTGGCTTTTCATTCGTTCGGGCCGTTGCGTTGCAGCGCAAATGGAGCCGTGGAGTGGAGTGACCCCCTGCGGCGGTCCGATACCGAGACTTCTGACATGTCAAAAATAGTGTGCCTCTGTGCCTCTGAGCAGCAACGTCGCCGGTTATGCGATACCGGTGTAGTGGGCTGTGTGTGACAAGTTACAATTGTCCTTACGTTACCGCTCACAGGGTGCGTCCCTGGCGGTTTTCCTGAAGTCATGCGCCATTAGTTATCTTGCTTAAACTACTCGGGACGAGTAGCTCTGGAGGGGGGTATAATTGTAAGGGAATAGAGAGCTATAAAGCAGGGTTAAGCCTCGGTTCTGCCACTAAGTGTCAGAACTACTAGATCTTTTGGTCTAGGCTTGCTGTTACCTTACAATATCAGTCTATCTCCATTAACGAATACTAAACTAAAGAAGAAAGAGATAGGGTTGTAAGTACAGGTGCCCGTTCCTCTGTTGTAAGGTGGGAGATGACTCATACTAGGATGTCCCTATTTCTCGTTCAAGGACCAGGCATCATGATCGGCGTCACAAGTATGACTTAATTAGGTATAGATCTAGCAGCGAGTCACGGCCACGTGATTACTTTCATACTCCTCTCTTCGAACTCTTTTAGAATTGCTAGCGGTATAGACGAGTCTAACCGTCAATAATAGGTATCGTCGGTTTTTGATGAGTGCATATGGGGTGTGAATTGTTGTATTGGGAAAGAATGGCCAGGTCAGCTATTCTGGCCTGGAAGAGCTCCTTTATAGCTCTTATCTATCTTATCTATACCTATAGGGTAACCCCCCATGGGGTCACGTATCAGTTTTTAATCTGTATTAGCTGGTATTGCACACTATTCCTTCTCCTACAGTACGCTAGGCCCCTTCCGGCTATCCGAGATGTATCCCGAAAACATCCAACCCTGCTTGCGTTGATGCCTCTCGATAATACACGTCGGATCCCATTCTTCGCCCCGCCGGCGCGTTAGGTTCTGTTTCCGGTGATACCCGCCTGATGCGAGTGCATATGGGGTGTGAATTGTGGTATTGGGAAAGGATGGCCAGGTCAGCTATTCTGGCCTGGCAGGGCTCTTTTATAGCTCTTATCTATCTTATCTCTAGCTATAGGGCAACCCCCCATGGGGTCACGTATCACCGCCTGTAATCCAAGTCTTGTCCGTCCAGATTATTGTCCTCTACTGCTCGATCGTCTAGTTGGCATGCTCTTGAGCCCAGGTAAGACGCCGTTGTCGCTTCTCTTCGGAGATAGGTGGTTTCCTTCGGGCGGCCTGTACAAGGCTTAACGGCAGTGGATTCAGCCCGAATAGTATGCTTAACCTGGCCAATAGAGAAGCCGTTTGCCTCGTAATAGCAGTCGGACCGAGGCAGCCGTCGGAATAGCGTGCCCATTGCTCTTATACAGAGGTAATTAACAGGGGTGAAAACCTTTGGCCTGATACCATAGTATACGAGTTAGGAGCGAGTCCTGGAGTATGCAGATATGTGGACCAGCAGACAGCTATTGCCTGTTTTGGCTCTATGGTCACTATAATATGTGGGCCGTATAGTATTACTGCATTACTGCGGCGGCTAAACTGACTCTTATATTACGAGCAGGTCCCACAAGCAGGTCCCAGTCTGTAACCCATGAATGTATGTTGTCCAAATCCTGCTCTTTTACCACCGTCGTGAAGGTACTTGGATCCCTTCTTCTTGTTGAAGACTTCTGATAATACTTTGGCCTTAAAGTGGGTGGAAATTTCAGTAATGACTCGTCGTTCCTATTCTTTTTAAGCTTGAGCATGGTTCTGTCTTGAGGAATTTGCCGAACTTTGGGCACTGGGCACATCGTCCCTGTTAATGACGTCAAAAACTCCGTTCCTCTCGATTCTGCCATTCTCAAGATCTACGACCTTGTGCCACCGTATCTGAATAATTGAGATTGTTGATGTAAGTTGGCCTGTGACCTCGTAGAAATAGACTTCATCGTTTTTTTCTCAAAGAACTGTGAGTGCGTGGACCTAGATGTTCTTGACCGCCAGGGCTGATCTTAGAAGTGTACATTCCTCTCCTTTACAGCAAACCGATTATGAGATATGAGTGGGTCATACTGAAGTCCCCAAGCCTTAACAATGGCCTCATCACAATCGTACATCGCCTTGCCTACCGCGTCCTCTGCGCCGATTTCACCCAGCATCTGCGAATTCTCTTCAATAATTGGTTAGCGAAAGAGGCCTGGATGTTATAGACCGAGTCCTGTAGCCATCATCTCCAACAAAGCCTCGCCTTTTAGTCGGGCACCTGGATTTCTTGGTGCCGTATGGGAAGAGACAGGAATATTTCAGTTGTACCTCGGGCCCCCTCCTACCGAATCGAGCAGCAATTGGCCAGGAAGTGCGGCTTTCCGAAGATGATACTGCTACGTTTCGATAGAGTTGAAGCTCTATCTAGCGACGTGTGTTGAGCAGTTCCTCTAGACTTCAGGTGTGAAGGTATGTATGCAAATATCTATCCTTATGTTTCGTGCATGTAGTGCCATCAGCATTTAGGGATATTGGAGTTGGTAGTTGCTTCTCTTTGGCTTTAGCTTGTGCTTGGAATGAATGGCTCCCCTAAAATCATTCGTGCGTTTTCTTCCAGTCCATTTACGATTGTGACAAGCTTCCTTAGAGTCAAGACGTCGACATAATCTCTCTCCTTGGTGAGTAGTGGAAGAGGTGGGCTTGGTCTGGACCACCAATCCAGAAATGGAATTTTTCATGTCAATATTTACATTGTTATGGTCTGTCTAAATTGATTATGTAGGAGTGACCATGTGTTGGGCATGAGGCTGCGATAGGGGTGTGACGGAATGGTCTTAACATGGTGACATTTTCAGATTACCACTGAGAACTCCGCCGGAATCACAGATGTGTTTATTTTTTGCGAATATAACGTTACTTTTCGAATTGTCTTTGGACTCTGCTACTCGCAGTTTATAACTACAGCATACTGCCCTTACGTCATTATAATAACATCCTACAACCCTTAACATGTTTTCCGGGGGTAAATAGATAATATCAACACGACACAGTATGGATATGTATTGATTTAATTTTAATTTCCTCTGATTATCGTCATATATCAAGGTTTATATTCTCCAAGTCATAGGCCCATCCCCTTGGCAAGTCACCTGGTAAGACCAAACCTTCTTGTGTAAGACCCCCATTGTCTCCCACATGATTGAATTGGATTTTGTTTCTTGTTCATGGCCATCGTATTATCGATAGAAAAACTTAACCTGCCGTCAGTTTTCGGACTGTTTCATCCATTCATTCTTTTCGAAAAATTCCCACAACGATTGGGTTCACCCAGCCCTCCAGCACGATGCACCACGGAGACAAACGCACCGTCACGCACCATCACTCCGTAAACAACATCTCGCTTGAAACAAGCCTTAACGTCATGGCGCCGAAACGCCGTAAACCTCCTATACTACGCCAATTTGCCCGTCTCCCCCAAGAACTCCAAGACCTAATATGGGCCTCCCGCGACCGCGAGCTTCGCCCCCTCCACCTTTCCCCCAGGCAACCCCGGGGGTTCCACCCCTTCCACCACCTCTTCTCACACCGGATATCCTTGCAATTGGGGCCAGATATCTGCCAAGCCGCCCGAAAACAAGCCCTTAAGAACACAATTTTCATCATCGATTGCGTAGGGTTACGCGCGCCTAATGGCAACGACATCGAAGCCGCTACGTCGGACCCAGACTTCGTCGCCCTGTGCAGCAACGTAAGGGAGATCGCGTTCATGTACAAGGAGTTCAAATACGGGAGTTATGCGTCGACGCTCGTTACGAGGAGAGACTTGTTCCCAAAGTTGCAGAAACTGCATTTGTTGTTGTCTGACTTACGGCCTATTATTCCCTACAAGCCGCGTCCCAGCTACTGGAGAAGCTTTGGGGAATGGTGGGCTCGATTACGTGGACAGGAACCGGAGGCGCCACTGCCGCCGTTAAGACAAATCCTACCCCCTGTGCTGAAAATCGACGACACGATATTTCAGGAACCGTGGCAGTTAGTGCAGATTCCCGAGCTGAAGGGTACACTGCACCAGGATAGTCTGAAATACGGCATGCCGCCGTGGAAACTACTGGATTTCTACCATCGGAAATGGAAACCGTGCCGAGAAGAGCTATTTCGCAAACAGCTCGCGGCGTGGAGGCTACATCACGAAGGCAAGTTGGAGGATAACAAGAAAGTTTTGCTTCAAGACACGTGGGGCGAGCCTCACAATCACCCTCTGCTGAAGAATTATCATCTCCCATCCATAGCTTACGACGATCTGCCTCAATTTGAACTGGTCGTGTTGATTGAGAAGCCGGTCCAACAAAAACCCTCTGAATTTGAACTGGATGTTAGTACGGCTCTCATGAACGCTTGGAGGTTCACATTATGGCTTCCCGGCATGGTGGTATTTTCGTTTATTATTGTTGTGTGTTTGCTTCTTTTCCTGGCGGTGGATTTCTTCATCCCCTATTTGAGGCGGCTTCGATCGAAAACTGTCGCTGGCTTTTGGACGGCGGCGGCATGGCTGAAGTCGAAGGGGATTTCCGCTTGAGTCGCTGCCCCTAGGTGTGGTGGATTGGAGAGCGTCATCTGCGGCAACGTCAGGTCTCTTAGGGTGGTGCATATCAAACACGAGGCATCTTTAGAGGCAATTGTGCTAGGAAAGGCAGTTTTCATGATGTGCCTATCGTGTGATAGTAGCCTTGGCTTACCGGAAAAATATGGCTTATACCAGCTTGTTATTTTGGTGCGTCAAGGGTGCAAAGCAGCATACAACCTTGGGAGCTACTTCCTTCCAAATCGACGTATTGAACATATTTCAGGAATGTTCGAGAGTCTATAACTTCAAGAGTAAAACAACCGACCCTGATACAGAATTCTGACCCAAAACGTGGGATATTTCCGATCAGTATCTGTAATGGATGCCGCCGAAACTAACTGCGGCGCTGCTTGTTGGTCGTTTGGAAGTGAAGCGGTGATTACTTCTGGGCTGAACTTGCCGAACAGGACGCCAATAGTATCGGACGACTTCACCAATGTTATACCATATCTTATCTCCGCGTCATTTCCGTGTATCTATCGGAAGTTTTGCAGGGACTTCGTCAAGGTGGCGCTCAATCGCTCTGGTTGGATAATAAGGTCCAGGTCCCTGATCCGCCAGGGATGCACCGACAATAGCAACCGATGGCTTGAACTATTTCCTTCAATGCGGTTCAAGTAGCTCGTCTATATCGCTCACCGCTATGAAACCTTTCACCATTCTATGGAAGGATTAACCTAGTATCCCTGGAAGAGCGAGAGGTCAGACAGAAATTGACCTGCTTGAGCTTTTGGGGGGAAAAGAAATTTGACTTGCTATCTTCGTGGATGAGGTCTACCATACTCTCGCGCTCGCCATTACACTTGTTCAGGACACCAACAATGAGGCAAAATTTTACTTTGAGATCCTGTCGACCCAGTCTCACGAAGCATTCCGTCAGTCGCTTGTAGGGCTACGGCCTTTCTAGGATTATGGCTTCGAAGAGGTCAGGCAGCGAGTCATCTGCAGGTCCCAGCGGTTGCTGACCACACGATGAATGAGCTTTGTGTAGCTTCTTATGGCATCGAATTAAATAGTTCGCAGAAGCCCTTCATGCGACTTGTGTATAGCTGACCCCACATTCCAGAAGAAGTGACTTCCGGTAAGTAGTATCTTGTCCTCGGCCCATTATTCCAAGAGTTGCCACGTCTGTGGGTGACGGTACAGCAACTTGGTAAGGGGGCTTTTCCCGGATCCCGGTCTCCCGTTATCCAGTATACACCACTGCGTGATTTCAACCATTCAGTCAGTAGTGGGACAGGAACTTGGTCATCCTGCCTCCTGTGCATATGAAATATTCATTCGAAAGTCTTGTCATGGGCCTCAGCAATCAAAGATATTATTTCAAGATCGAGTCGTAGTGCAGGCTGGTCAAGATTATGTTGACCTATGCTGAACTTCTACAGGTCGTTTTCACCTGCGAGATGTTCAAGTTTGATAACGTTTTAGTCCTCCGTTCCGAAAAGTTGATCCTTGTTCGTCTGCACTATTTGAGACAGAGCGCAGCACCTGCCGAATCCTTTGCCAAATACCATTGGATAGAGTTGGAAATTTACCTAGCGAAGGTTCACAGCTACCTTGTTGCAATCTAGTCGCAGTCTACAGCGAGACGTAGCTGGTCTTCTTCGTCCACCGAGGAAGTCACAAATGATATCCTGACTTCGCTGCTAAGCCACCGCAGCACTTGAGCGGAACTCTTAATATCTTGAATTCCGCCTTCGCGGTATAGTTTCCTACTTTTGGTGAAAAGTATTGATCCATGTTCGAGGAATTGGACCTTTGTGCTGGCGACACCAAGAGCAGCGAGATCCTCCATTTTGGCGGACTAGAGTTGAAGTTTAGAATAATCATGCGATTGTGACTTATCCCTCAGCACCAAAAACTAGAACAGGTTGATGACTAAGTATTAAAGAAATAGCAGAGTGCCTCATGCGATGTCGGCGCAGCCAAGACTGTGTCTGTGTGCTGAGCCGCACAAATGGCAAACCTGGTGGTTCGCCTTCCAACAACTTGCGAAGTCTGCGACCCGATTGCTCTTCCACTTACCCAGCCAATGAATCAAGAAACGGCATATTTCTTTCTACGTGTATGATAGAAGTCATACTGAGACTTCTACTAAGTATATCTCTTTGCATGTCAACATGGGGCATTTTGACTCAACTTCTCAAATTTCCCTTCCTCGGCTCACGCCAGCTCAGCCTCAATTGACGAATCGTACCTCCGTGGATCGTTCCACTCCTTGACGACCCTAAATTCTGGCTCCGTCCTCTCCAAAGCTGATAACAACGCGTTCATGGCGACGTCCATAGAGGTCAGCACCGACGTTGCTCCCGTCGCTGGCAGCACGACATCGCAGACGAGATGCTTGGAATAAACCTTTTTCATGGCTGATGTGACTTGACGCAGGATCTGGATAAATTCCGTAACTAGCCAGTCGCGGAAGACACAATGGAGGAAGTAGGCACGGCCACCTGTCACTAATCAGGTTTTCATGTCAGAGACACGTTGATGCACGGTCTCAGAGTTCAACATACCCTTAACCGGCCGTGGAGTGAAAAGTCATGCGGCATGAGCTTCTCGGGCGTGCAGCCACGTGGTAGGATACTTTTCCCGCGGACTATAGACGAATATAGTAACCTGTAAGAAAGAACTAGTTATCATTGCTACTGCGGGGATACTCGTATGTATTGCATACGCTCCTGGTAGTTTTCCTAATACCGGCATGACCTGAACAATTGTTGCCTGAGAATACAGACCTCAAAATGTCCCTAAATAGACGTTAAGGGCATCACTAGACAAGCTTACCAAGACTCACATACGTTTTATTATGTTTTACCATCTCATCAATTTCCACTTTGACCTTGCAAGGAATAAGTATACCTTGAGAAGAGAAATAAAAGGGGTATAAAATCCTCTTTCGACACAAGAGGGTTAGCTAAAGATGTGCTAAAAAAGGATTCAAGCTGAGCATAAGGTACTCACTAGATTACAAGTCGGTCTGGGCCATGCTGTTCCGATGAGCCTCGGCTACTCTAGCTAATGGTCACTTGAAAGTTTGTTAGACATGATTCACAAAGGACACGCCGAAGGATCAAATGCGCGAAGATTTCGTCACCGATGAAATTCCCGAATCCAGCCCTAGACCAGCCCCTGACCAAAGGCCCTCAGATATCCCACCAATTTTCCATCAGCCACATACCCACCTATCCCATCCCCAAGCTCGCTCGCAATCATCGCATCTTTGATTCCCTCACAATTCATCCTTCCCCTCCTCCTTTCCAGACTTGTTCGCACCCTCCAACCCCATCTCCCCCATTCCCCTCTTCACCATGCTAGTAACGACCTCAAACACCACCTGCGCCGCCGCGAGTGCCGTCTCCTCCCCGGCCCCCTGATAAGCCGGTGAAACTTCCACCACGTCGGCCCCTACCAAATTCAACCCTTCAATCCCCCTCAACACGCGAATCAACTCCCTCGTCGTCCAACCCCCCGGCTCAGGGGTCCCCGTCCCGGGCGCAAACGCCGGGTCCAGGACGTCGATATCAACACTCAAATACACCGGATCCTCCGTTCCCAGCGTATCCATAATAGATTTGATAACCCCCGCCGTGCCGAAATCATCCATATCATCACTCGATATACGCACCCAATTCTGCGCATCATCATCCTCGTAGTCTTCCAACGACTGGAGCCTTGTGCGCAAGCCAGCATGCACATTAGGCGAACTGCTCGAATTAGACAACAACCCTTCCTGCCCCGCGAGCCAGAACATAGACCCATGATTAAAATGGCTCTGCGTCGATGGCCAGGCAGAAGGGTACTTCGCCGGGTGCCACGTATCCAGATGGGCATCAAAATGCAGCACTCTCAAGCCCCCATAGTGTTCCCTTAGCGCCCTCAGCGCCGGCAAGGCTAGACTATGGTCTCCTCCCAACGTAACCAACCTCGGCTTCCTTAACAGATTCGACACCGGAGACCGGGCACCGAGCTCGGTGAAAGCTTGCGTCATTTGTTCCAGCGCGACGGTGTTGTCCACGGGCGTGATGGGGATGTCGCCGCAATCGAGGATAGTGGCCCAGCTCGCGTAGGGGTTGATTCCCGCACGCGGGTTGAAGCCCCGGAAGGATGTTTGTCGGGCCGAGGCTTGCCGGATGGCGCGGGGCCCGAAGCGTGCGCCGGGCCGGTAGCTAACGGCTGTGTCGAAGGGGGCGCCCAGGATGGCGATGTCGAAGTGGGTGCTGGGCGTGGTGAGGCACTTGGTGTGGGGGAGGTGGGCGAAGGAGCCGATGCCTGTGAAGCCCCACTGCGAGGAGGTGATTAGTTATGTAGAAGTTTGAGAGGATAAGTCTCGTTGATGCGTTTGAGGGGTCTTGCTCGCCTGAGCACTCTCATCGGCCGAGACAATTCTCAAGAAACCCCCAAACTTCAAATCCGCATTGATGCAAGGAGTCCTGCAAAAAAATGTTTTCCTCACCTCAGTCCCCCATTTCCGATCCAACTCCTCTAGCTCCTCCTGCGTCCATTCCCTCTCATCATGTTTATGCCCACCACAAGCTAGCACATCGACCGAATGCCAACCGACGGCTGCCAAGCCGAATAAAGACGCAAATCTCATAGTTTTTGATTCCCCAACGCAACCCAATCTCTAATCCAAAATTCACAGGTCGGTAGTTGAAGGCTCTCAACGAAGACAAAGTGAGGACAAATTCGAAGTGAACGCAGCTTACGACTCATTCGCTCTCTAAATACTCCAACCTAGTCTTGGCAAGAACGACAGATAAGTTTCTGCCAATTGCCCACTTGGGCAACTACATCCCAGCCAACTTACTTAATACTTAACCCTTAGTGTCCAGTGATAAAAGCTGCGGAGGATACCGTCCGTCGTTCGGCACCCCAACCCCATTCATATCACTACTAGCTCCGCCCCCAGCTTTATCCCGACAGTAACTACACCAGCTCGTGGACGCTATTGGTCAATCAGCCCCGGCTCCGCTCCGGACTGAGGCAGACAGACGTGCTCATTAGTCCAAGACTTCCGGCCGCGGGGATGAATGAGCTTAGTCGCTGACACATCCGATTGACATATAACTTGGGGCCTCGATATATATGATGATGCAAGGCACAAAAAAAAGGGAAAGTCACCAAATGGGTAACAGTTCCTAGAGATGCTTAAAGCCGAATCCGCCCATATTGGAATGAGTTCGTGCTTTTCGGGCCGAGCTCGCGAGATAAGCCGCATGAATAAGTTGGACACCTAGCTATCTCGTTGCCTTGCCCAGAACGGAAGCTGCCTTACGAACTTGCATCATGACAGCTAGATTTCCAGGATTTGTGTGGTCGGGGCATGCAGTCAAGCTCAAGCCAAGCTCTAGGCGATGAAAGTAGCTGGAGATCATAGGCGGTGCCCCGTAACGTCATCCTTATGCCCAATCCCCTAACTCCCCTCACTGAGCTCTCCGAGTAGAAGAAGCTATGCGCCGGTGCCTGCCTTTCAATTCCGCACGTTAGAAATGCTAGACAGCCGGCGAATGCAGGTATTTTGATGATATAATTAATCAAAGCTAGCTGCTTGGTGTTTCCATATCGTCATGTCACACTTGTGGGATGGTGGTACCTTCTCCCCAAGGGAGCTCGAGATGGGGAAAAGGGGGGCTTCTAGGGAACCAGCTTGTTGTGGCATGAGGTTCTCGGGGATCAGCCGAACCCAGTAACATACAATCATAACATGCTTCCGTCCTTGGTAGACCTCCTGGGCACTTACGACCGCGCAGGTATGACTGGGCTGGGGGAAATGGCAGACATACAGTATATAAGGCTTCGGTTCGAAAGAGACTCATTCAATTCAATGCACTCCAAATCGCCAAACTGTTCCTATCAAAGTCCCTGCCTGCATTTAAAAATTTGCCCCCTCCCCTTTGCCGCCCTTCACTATTGCAAATATGTGTGGCATTGAAAAAAAAAGACGGAAACAAAAAAAGTAATTTGGGTGGGGGGCGAACACGAGTAGTCAATAGCCTGAGAAGATGAAAACAAACGAGGCACTGGCTCTCTCTGCTATGGAAATCGGCCCTCGGTCGTGCGTGGTTCAGCCAACCTTTCTTCTCTCCCTCGTCTCACTCCTTGTCTAAAGTACCAATCGTTTGCTGAACCATCCAAGGTGCCCTGTGGCCGAGGATGACAATTCTCAGAAGTCTGTCCTGGCAGCACCTTTCTACCTGTTGGCCGATGCAAATCGATTTTCGCAGTCCGTCCTACGTAGGAGCTTGCGGCTGCTACTCCTGAAATACTGTCTGCCTTTGCTGACGCAGACACCTCTCCTCCAAAGTCTAGATCGCTGTGATGACAAAAAGCAGAATTTGTATTTGAAGATGTACCTCCAAGCCGGGTCCCTGGTCGCATACAAGGTTGACGGGAATACTGCGTAGCCGGCCGATGGGTACGCTTCTGATGCAGAAATTAGTCCCTACAAAATGAGGCACTTGTGCGATTTCTTCTTCGGTGCAGGGGGCTCCAGAGCCGCGACGATGGCCTAGGCGCGATTAGTTTCACATTTCACAACGGATCTGGGTTCTGCAACGAATGCAGGCCAACATACCTCATCAAACACATCCTTCAACTTGTACTGCGTCAAGGCACTGCACTCAACGTACTTTACGGCACCGAGCTCCTTGGCCATGCGTTCTCCATCCTCCTTACGGACCGGCTGCATCTTCTGTTTTGACAGCTTTTCCCTGACACTCGGGTCGTCCCTTAAATCTGTCTGGGTGCCGACGATGAGGCAGGGTACTCCAGGGCAGTGGTGATGGACCTCGGGAAACCATTTCTCCCGGACGTTCTCGAACGATGCAGGGGATGTGACGCTGAAACAGACGAGGAAGACATCGGTCTGCGGGTATGATAAGGGTCTAAGCCTGTCGTAATCTTCTTGTCCAGCGGTATCGAACAATCCCAGCGTGTAAGGCTCGTCTCCGATCCTATGGTTCAGCCAAGTCAGCGTTGTTGTCCAGGTCTAAGCTGGTGGTTTTCGAGATGGCGGTCAAGTGGGTGTGGCTGCCGCTGAAGCAGCTGCTGTTTGCAAATCGCATAAATCGGTTGCGGTGAAGCGCCGGTGAAGCGCAGGTGAAGGCTTGATGAGACTCACATAACGGTGACGGCATAGTTGTCAAAGACGGTCGGTACATATTCCGAAGGGAACTTGTTGGTCGTGTAGCTGATGAGCAGACATGTCTTGCCGACAGCACCGTCGCCTACTACCACGCACCTGTGTGTTGAGAGAACTGGTTAGCATCCGGTTCGGCAATAGCTTGGGTCTGCATCAATGAATGGAATCGAATTGTCATCAGCGGCCGAGACGCGTCACTTTCCCCGTCGGCGATAGGTCCACAACGAAGGTTCAAGGTTCTGACACCTCGGCCAGGTGCGGTGACAAATGCCAAACAGAGGAATCGGCTGAAGAAGGGGGCAGGGCGGCAGGGCGGGCACTCACTTGATCGTTGCGACCACCATATTGACCTGTCGAAGGGCTCCTTCAAAGGAGCAGTAGCTGGAAGTTGAAGTCCCTGCAGAAGTCGGGTTGTTTCCTTATCGCGTGTTGTGCACTGGGGAGCGATAATGGAGGGTGCGCGGTGACTTTGGCAGCGGCAGGAACTTTATGACGGGATTGGCGTTACGACGACTGGGCGGTGGAGTCGGGGTTCTTGTTGGTCTCGCGAGTGAGAGAAAGAGGGGCCGAGCGAGGTGGCTTGGTGCGATCTCGAATGATTACTTCGCGAATGCTTTTGCTTATGTCGTGCTCTTTGGCTTTTGCTTCTTCTCAACAACGCGGATCAACTTTTGGGAAGGACGCCGGGATAGAAAAATAATGGTAAGTAAATATCACAAAGAGAGGGAATGGCAGTATGGTGGTTCGTGGTACGGGATAGTGGATGATCAATGGGCAGAATGGGATTACGGGGGATAATGGGGAGCTGGGGGTCAACTGCGCCGATTGATGAATGATTTTAAAATGGAAGTTTGATTGATGATACGATATGCATATAGCAGGTACACGAGCCAGCGATGGACCCCTCTGGACCAATTAAGGGGCTCAGCCTCAAGAGAATTTATTGTCCGCCAACCTTGAATGCCCCCGGTGTGGCTAAAAAGGTAGCTGCGAAAAATTATGGGACTTGGGTTTTCTTTCATGAAGCAAGGTTATCTGAAGACAGAAAAGTCGAGGCTTGTCTTATTGGCGACGATACGATTTTACAAGGCAAGCAGGGTCTCGAGGTAAGGCCCCATTGTTACCCCTTTCGAAGATAGGAGGGCTCTTGAATCAGCATTTTGAATTTCATAAATTCCCCGAACTTGCATCAATCCAAGCTGCAAGCTGCAGAGGCCATTGTCGTGGACCTCTTTCACAGGCCCCTTACAGATCGCACCCCAATCCTCTCCTTGAGCTGCCAAGGAAGGGAATTTGAAAATTTGGAGGATTGCGATAAGCTGGATAAGCGCCTAAACACGTTTGAGTTGGTCCGACCGTAAATCGTCAACCTCACATGCAGCAAGTTGCCAACAGGTGGCAGGGGTACCCATCTTGGACTGTGGAATGGACCTCCTGAAGTCGGGGAATCAAATGCCGTTGAAGACAGTTTCAAGGATGCCGCCTCTTGTTTAAAGTTGAATGTGCAACCCTTAGGAAGGCATTGCCCGTCAAATTCGTAGGTAGTTCAAATATCCAACAAGAACTTTTCGTACTAGAAGAAGCTGTTGTCTATTCAAGGTTTTTTTTTTTTTTTTTTTTTCGCTTCCAAAGTTCTCAGGTCGAGATTGGAAGTTGCAAATTCGATTCGTTCATGGTAGGACAGAAATCTGCGTGCAGCATCGGCATTGAAGGACTGAGGATCGACGGTCCACAAGGCTTTGAAAACGAAAGACGAAAGTTGGCCGCCGGTTTGCCAGCATCTCACGTGTCGAACAGAGCGCTACAAGATTAAGCAGAGCCTCATCATAAATCCTTAACACCCATGGATCATATTGAAGGACGACCGTTGAGCCACATGCACAGCATCTCCAATCCCAATCGAAAATACAACCTGCGACGGGCGCTTGAACTCGATGGTGGCAACCAAGAACCGTCGAGCACTATCCTCGGGCACAATCAAGGGTCCTCGCTTGATGGAACGACAGACACCAGACGCTACCGACAGTGAGGTCACTCTACTGCACCACTACTGCACCGTATGTACAAGACTTGGGATGAGAAGCCTTCGATATGCAATCAAATTAGCCGAGTGGCGTACTCCGTCGAAGCATGATTATCTGTACATCGAAGCGCGGTGTAGGCCGCACCAACCTACCTTAAAATCTGACCAATTCATCTGGTTGTTGCGAGTCGACACCGCAGGACTACCAACAGGAAATAAAGGCTGCGAGACTCCCTGTTACAACATCATGTAGTTACAGCGCCGGCCCACCTCGTTATTTACACGGACGAGGCTGTCGGACAAAGTTGTCTAGGAGAAACCGTTTTCGTACCCTTTGTGTACATGCAGGCTACAGCAGACGATAGGTGGATGATGGATACCTCCATGTGGTCGTCCTAATTCGTTTCTCAAGAGGTTGTGCCAGGTTGCAAATGTTGGATGCGTCGAATGACAACCAAGGCTACTTGCAGCGATACTTGCACCAAAGATGCATACTCAGCCACGGCCGCGATCCGGCAGGCCTGCGCTCTCGAGTCCTCACTCAATACGGCTGCAGGGCAACCGCCCAACTTCACGGCGCTGGCCGTGGATGCGATGCCAGAACAGCACATGTTAGCACGGTCGCGCACCAATAATTTTCTGTGCGACGCCATCGATAAGGTCGAAGGCCGACTGGTGAGAGGTGACGTGAAATAAATTGCAATGCGCTACAACTAAATAGGAGGCCGCCAGTGTGCTCGATAGCTGACATGGATCATGATATGAAAAAAAAAAAATACGCGATTCTCCCCCTCCGCCCCTCCCAAAAACAATTAAACAAACAACCTGACCATAGTGACGTTGATAATCATCTTTGATTGCAATAATCCTTGTGTGCCAACCTTTGGGGATCGCCCTCGGGAGCTGGGTAGAAGGGTTGAGACAGCAAACGGGCATATGAAACATGAGGCTATTCCCAACATAGCGATTTCTTCCCTGCGCTTTACGGGTTGATTGACTGGCCCCGTACAAGTTGCCTTTGCATCAAGGCTGTGTGCTTCTAGAAAGATTCTCGCCAAAAATAGAATCAGCTGCAGCCGTAATGCTTCAGGGCATTTTCTGACTGCTAATCTCGGAATCTCTGCTGCGTGGATGTAAAGGCTCAAGATCTTTACCATAAATTCGAAAAATGAACCAACATCATTTGAACTTGCGCCAACAAATTTCGTGGCTGACGTCAATGTCCAACGCCAACGTCGCAGTTGCCAAAGTTGTTGTTTCTCGTTTGATGCATATGATGTTATCCGTCTGGCTCTTTAAACGTAAGGTAGCTCTTTCCCAATCTTAATAACCTCACCTATGTACAAGACTTCTCCACCATGTCTTTTGGTTTGCTTTAGAACTTCTATGCAAGGCACAAACTCCAGAACAGCGTAGACTCTTTCAAGCAGCTCAAACTGCAGCTGCACCTCACATTTCAGCTTGGAACCGCAAACGGATCCATCTAGAAGACGTCCCACCAAATCCAGTCTCCACGACTTCGAAGAATGGAAACCGAACGGATTGACAGCCTCCTGGAGCACTACCTTCAACTCCTACATGAGTACACTACCCTGCGGGCTGAACTCAGTGGTCTCCAGGCAAGTGTGTATCAGAACATTGCACGAGCAAACTTTTGTGCCGAGCGAGGGATGCGTTATGGCCAGGACTACTACGATGACCGCATGCAAGCTTCCAGAAGGCTAGCGATCGCTTCTGGTGATAGTGGTGCACACAAATTCCACGTGTGCACGGTAGAGCCGGCATCTCAACCCTCTGGCACCGACGTTATTGTTTCTGGACCGGAGAGGGGAGACAGCCTTTGTGAGGTTGTCAACGATGGTGGTGAGTTGCAACATGGTGAGCAAGATGCAAAGCCTGTCAAGAAGCAGAAGAAGAAGGATCCGTTGCATTGGTTCGGTATCCTCGCCCCGATGCCCTTGCGACAAGCCCAAGGGCAGAGCATCAAGGCAGTAGAGCAGGTCATACCTAAGCTGGTGGCTATCAATGCCGAGATGGCCGAGGTGGAGATTGAAGTTCGCAGGGCGCGCAAGAGACGGGTCAAGACTGAAGCGGCGGCACAGAAGCAGCAGGAAAGCGTCACGAACAAGGAGATCGTGGCATGAATGAGATGTGGCACACACTCGTTTCCACTCTGGGGTCAAATGCCGTACCCGACTCCAGACTCCAGACCCCAGACTCCAAATCCCAGGCTGCAAATGCCAGATATACCAATCGACAAGCTATTGAAGATATGCCCAGAGATTATTTAGACTTTCCGCCAGGCTTGGATGCGCCCATACAGCTGCTTCAAGATCCCACCACTTGACACCGCCCATCATCGCCGTCTGGACAATGGACATTACTTCCCCTCCTTCGACTCCTAGGCAGGTGAACCCAAGGATATCTCCCGTCTCCGCGTCAACCGTTGCCTTCATCAACCCTCGTGTCTCGTCAGTCTCTATAGCCCGCGCAACATAACCCATTGGCATCCTGGCAGTCTTGGTTTTCCGTTGCATCGTCTCAAGGTCCCGTTCATGTAAACCAACGTGGGCGAGTTGTGGATCAGTGTATATGACATATGGCGTCAAAATACGGGATCTGGACGCCTGGGTGGTCGTCAATGACACGGTGTTTGCTGGTACCGATGCTAGAATGAGGTTCGCCCGTATGATTCGGAAGTCATCATATGACATGTGCGTGAATGCCGGCCCGCCGTGCACATCCCCCAACGCATATATCCCCGACGCGGTCGTTTCGAGCCTCTCGTTGACAACAATGTGGCCACGACTATTGGTCTTCACACCAACCCAATCAAGATTCAGCATGTCCGTGTTTGGTATGCGTCCTGTGGCGAACAAAATGTGACTACCTGATATCGATCCCGCCCGGTCGGTTTCAAGCACTATAGGTCTTCTTTTATACCCCGCGTTCGAAATGGATACGGCGGAGGTCAAGAGATGAATCCGTATGCCGTCTTCCTCTAGTATCTTGTTCAAGGACACTGCAACGTCCAGATCTTCTTTTGGCACCAACTGTGCCGCTCTCTGTATGACCGTTACTTCGGCTCCCAATCTCCTGAACAGCTGCCCAAACTCCAGTCCAACGTATCCCCCACCCAGCACAATGAGGTGTTCTGGAACCTCAGCCAACTCCATAATCGACGTCGAATTCAGAACTCTCTTCTTGTCAATCCGATCCAACCCTTTTAAGTTCGGCGGACGCGGCCTCTCGCCCGTGTTGATCAGAATAGTTTCTCCCCTTACCGTTTTCTCCCCCCCCGCGATCATCTGAACAGCTAACGTCTTCGGCGCTGAGAAACTCGCCTCGCCGTTGATTACATCAACACCCACCAGCCGCTTCCTACTGCCATCAGCCCGGCTACTGACGATGTTTCGTTTGCGTTGCCGTATCTTTACCATATCTATGGCTACCTTCTCAGTCTGCACGCCATAATCCTCACCCCTCCTCGCAAGATACGCAACCCGACCAGAAGCGATCATGGTATTGGTTGGCGTGCATCCCTCGTTGACACAGGTGCCACCAATATGAGCTCCTTCTATGAGGGCTGTCTTGCGGCCAGCCGCCGCGAAGGCACTGGCGAGAGGCGTCCCGCTTTGGCCGGAACCCACAATGATCACGTCGTAGTGGGCCGACGTCATGGTCGCGTTCAAGGTCGGGAACGACTTATACCATACTGGGGACTCGAGAGCCTCCGAGCACATCTCGAAACAAGATCAATGCGTCAGCAGGATGGTGTTTGCGGAGCACAATAGCCTGGCCAGACAACGGGGGGGAGTGATACGGTGATTCGTTGAAGCCTGCACTGTACGAAGCGATATCACTCATCGATGCGGCGCAGGTCTCTCATGTTTCCAACGGTTGTGGAAGACGGCTTCAAGACATATGGCACTGGTCTTGAAGGCTCGCAGAAAACTTTTCCTTCGTCCTGGTTTATCCAGCCGGTGCGTACGGATGTCCGGCGATGAGTAAGCGCCCGCGGTGGGCAATACACTTTGTGCGACCAGCACGCTGTGAAATTGTCCAATCCATAAGTACTCTCGTTGATCATACAACATGTTGCTTTCAGTAGAGTATCGATTACAATTGCTCGCCCCGATGCCTCAAGTTCTAGTATGTTGCGATATGAGCCACAAGCAATGGAGCACAATAATGAACATTTCAAAAGCTTCATCCAAACACCTGATTCTGAAGAGACTTTAGAAACCCTAAAGCTCCGAAGGCGTCCTATAGTTAAGCAAAGACGGATCTAGTGTTCACAAGATGACGCGGATGGCAGAGAACTTTACATTCAAGATAACGTCGGGCCCGCAGCCGCCGCCGCCGAGAGCAACTGTGTGAGTATGCACACTTCCTGATATTTATTTCCGTATCTCGACCACAGTTTCTAGATAGTGGGATTGCTGATCCAGGTCAACTAGTGAGCTAAGGCGAAGATCGCTCTCCCTTTCACTCTGAACCGTTATTGCTTCTTATCCAGAGCGACGTTCTTGGAATCAGAAATTCATCTGGGCAACCGAAGGCATTCGACAATCACGCCACTACGGATCCACGCCTTCCTCGAATTGGGCTGCGGGGCCATGTCGCTTGGCGTTCTTGAACGTGAGGCTGAAGAGGCTGCCCACATGGGGCCGAGCCATGTTCCAAGATTGCGGGTTGACATAGAAATGACAACATCATCAAAGCTGCATCATCTGTTCTCTTCGATCTCCCAATCTTGAGCATCATGGTTTCTTGAAGCTACCACAGCTGAAGAATATGCCCCGCAGCCACCAACGACCGCCAGATGGGCCGTGCCTCTTTCAGACACATTGACGGGTTCGAAATGTGCTCTGTCAGTGAATCAACAGAGTCAGATGTCACGACAGATTCCCCCAGCAATCAGTCAGGCGTCAGTAGCGTCGATACAGATCACCAGGGTAGCAACAATGCTGATGTCATCCAGTCGGTGCTGCCGGGCCAGTGGGTATTCTCTGTCAGCTCCCTAGCTCCGAAAGCTAGAGTCCCTGGAGCTCAAACCACTGCGGAATCGTGGGAGGCTCACAGAGAGGAGATACAGCGCCTATATATCAGTGAGAACAAGCCCCTCAAGGTGGTCGCTCGGATAATGAAGACCAAGGGCTTTCATGCGACGTGTGTACTCATGGTCTAATTCAAAATCAGCGCGTTTGGTACGATGGCTTACTGTGCCCTAGTGAACGCATGTACAAGACGCGTATTGCTCAATGGGGGACCTTTAAGAACAAGCGCAGGGAAGACATATCCAAGATGCTCCAAGTCCGACGCCAACGTAGCGCACTGGGCAAGGCCAGTGTCTTCTATCGAGGTGGAAGACCCATAGACATTAATTCATACCTGCAGAGAAATGGACTGTCCATCTACGACCTCGCCGAATTCGGTGTCGTTGGCACGCTTCCGGCCAATCTAAGGTGCACGACGCCGCCACCGATAGACCAGAAACACCTCGGCCATCCCGAAGTGCTTCACGTTAAGAAGCTAGTCATCGGCTGCTTCCAGGAAATGGTGAAGAATTGTTACGGTGCTGACACTCGACCGCCGTACGCAATCCTCAATGAATATGAATCCAGCGGGGCGGTCAAGGTCATAGTCCGCTTGAGGGCGGCGCGGTACCTGTTCACCGAGAGTTTCCACAACGAGGGCGGCCAACTTGCTTTAGACGCCTTCCAAGGACTTGGCACACTCCTGCAAAATTGGTCGCCTCTGGCATTTCTACACTTGATGACAGGATCTCTCGTGTTTCCGATTCCGGGTATAACTGCCGAACTGTGGAAGTATCTAGGTGCATATTCAAGCGTCATGTTTGACAAGAAAAATCCGTTGACGAGGGCATTTACCGCGCTGAACAACTTCTTCCACGAGCATGACTTCGCTTTCCACTTGGATTTCCTCGCTAACTGCATTGCCGGCATGTGCCAAATGCTGTGCGAATTCGACGCCAACCCCAACATCTCGTCGTTGCCATATCATGCCGTCTTCCGCATCGGGGTCAGTCCTTTCGAGAGGCGACTCACGAGTTGCCGGCCTCCGGTCAAACCGCTCCACGGAGTGCCCACCAAAGGCGTGGCAGTCTATAAATCGAAGTCAATTGTGGAAGACCAGATCTTCCGCATGCTCGAGTTGGAACTGTATGTCTACCAGCACGGGTATCTCGACTTGGAGCTCCCCAAGCTCGCATCCAGATTTTTGGAGGACATTGAACAGAGCGGCCAGGACCTGAAATTCCTGCAGCACCATTGTCTGCATGCGCTGGCCAGACACCATAGGTGTCTCGCCGGTGGAGAGCCCGCCTCGTCGAGCCCGCGGCACGAGATGGCGAGATATTACCTCGAGAAGGACATTGAGGTGGACGATTCGACGGGTTTGCCTTCACCGTTCAAGCTGACCGGGCTGCTGAAATTGCTAGAGGAGTGGTGTCGGGAGGCGGGCGACATGGACCGCGCGAGAACGGCCAAGGAACAGCGTAGGCGCCTGATGGACGAGTGGCTCACTACGATGGGCAAGGCCAAGCCCGTCTAAGGCCGTCTCACCGTCATCTATGGCGGCTTTTTGAACGTCATGCATGTCTATGATTAACGAGTTATGATACCCATAAATATTATGTTACGATGATCGGGCTTTGAGGGCGTTGGGTCTGTATGATCCTCGATGGCTCACGCGTATCACCCATCAAATGGTAAGGTGTTTCAATCGCTATGAAGTTGCGACGAATCAATCACTTATTGCGATACCAAGCTTAACTGATCCCGAGCTTCACGAGAAGGACGCTTGTTAAGAGTTTGGAGATCTTGCTCAGAAATCTGTCTGTTTGAGGTTTCAGCGTCTCAAATGCCGGAACCCTGCATAGTGTCGTTCATGCCGACTTGGTTAGACGTTCTTCTCGGTAGCTCGCCTAACCGCCACATGAAAAAAGTTAAGGTTTCACAACTCCAGCACCTGTGGTAGATCTCCAAGATTCTCCAAAAATAAAAGTTGGTTATAGTACTGTCTTGGCTAGCAGGCGGCGTAGATCATACATTTGCACGTCGCAACTGAGGTTCGCATCACCCGTAATTGTAATGCCTAATGGAAAAGTTCAGCATGGGGGTGGGTGAGCATTGGGCTCGGTTCGTGTGGTGTCGATGATTAAAAGGCGGTTAAGTCCTCACTTCGTCTGTTAACTCGAATGAGTTCTTCTGGGTTATTTCGTTTTCTAAACATTCTTTTGTACGGGTACATGTTTGTATATGTGAAATGATTCTGGGATGAAATGAGTTGAGTTAATGCAATAAGATTTCACGACTCGAGAAGGGAAAATAAGAACACGATACATCGAAATTCGGCTGGACCTGGCAAGCGAGCTTCAAAAAGGGATACACTCACTCACTCGCCATCTCAATCTACCAACCAAAACCATGTGCGACAACACCAACGGTGCCCTGGCGCCCTTCTGCGAGCCGGCGAACGGGACGCGGTTGAATTCGGAGGACACAGTCTCAGGTAAGCCATCACCGCCAAACAAAACACAACTCTACTTTCACCTGACTTACTGGTAACAATAGTAACCTGGTCCCGCTCCTTCTTCAACACGACGGATAATGCCCTCATCGAGATCCAAGCCGATTTCTCTCCTTCGTCCTCCTCATCAAACTTCACATCCAACGCCCTCCGCGCAGGCACCGGGTCCTACGGCTGGGATCTTTCCAGCTCTAAAATCGCCCTCTCAAACAACGACGAAGAAAGCGTCCAATGGACGCAATTGTACATGGTCCTCTTTCCCGCCGACTCCGAGAACACCACCGAGAGTAGTCGGATCGCGGGGCCCATGGTAGGAATTGTTTCTTCTTCTTCATTAGGTAACAGCAGTAGCAATTCCTTGGACAATTCAAGTGGAAGTAAGACCGGGAATGGCATCAATCCAGCTGCCATCGTCCTCCCCGTCATCTTCGGGGTCATGCTGCTGGGTTTGACTGGGTGGTATCTGCTTATGAAGAGGTGGGATCCGGGTTTCAGTCTTAGGACTCTGGTTACGGTTGGAAAGGGGAAGAAGAATAAGGTTCCGGCGGTGGCAAGTAGTTGGGTGGGCATGAGGGATGTCGGTGCTGGGACTGGGACTGGGGTTGGAGCCGGAGCTGTCTCGGGGTTGTACGCGAAGCCGAAGGATGGGAGGAATGTGTTTAGGGATGAGATGAGGAGGCAGGATAAGGAGAATCAAGGTTAGAATGATTTTGTCGACGGTTCATGAGGTCTTGTTTATGCTGAAGCTATGGGGTGGGAACCGGCGTTTGGGGGAGATTTTGGTTTACTAAATTGGATGTGCGGAATAATGGACGCCCTGAAGGGCTGGTACGAGCACACGGGGTGTTGTGCGTCACTGACTCAGACACAAAAAGGATAGAAAGAGTACTTCTCTCGACGAGTAGCTAATGATATAGATGTCCAAGGAATAGCCAACCCAGCAAGTGTATGAAATTTGTATTGTACACGGGTATTGTGTAACGTCTTCAAGCATATGCAGCCCAACCTGTTCAAAGTTCAATCAGTACACGTTCCGAATCAGTTTGGTAAGCGAGAGCAAGGACTTACCAGAATACAGCACCGCCAGGTTCCTTTCATCCGTCGCCTGGTTGATCAAGTCGTTCACCGTCGCAGTGACACTCAGCGTCTTGCTCAGCTTCTTCCGCACCACCTCGAGCGCACGGTCGGCCTCACTCGGCTCATTCACCACACTTCCTCCATTACCAGTTCCCCGCTTCCTCCTAGGATCTAGCTCGCTTTCCGTAGGCCCGCCGGCCCCGGGTTCATCGTTTTGTCGCGTGTCTTGCAATCTCGCCATGCGTACAGGGCTCATGGACCACGAGTACAGTGGATCGTACCGTAGAACGTCGAGGATGGTCATGATGGAGTATGTCTCCTCACGCAGAGCATCAAGCGTGAACTCACAGCAGCGACGGAACACACCCTCCGTCCGCGTAATGCCCATACCATCGATAATATCACGCGTGAGGCGGAAGGGGACAAGCTCGGGGACTGGGAGAACGCGGCCCATCTCGAATGCCACTCCCAGATCTATATGCACGACTTCGCCTGTGTGCGAATCTAGCAGAATGTTGTGCCCGTGGCGGTCGCCTAAGCCGAGGACATGGCCGAGGATCGAGATTGCCGCGGTGGTGCGCGTATATGCTGTTCGTTTGGTATACCACTCGTCTGGATCGACAAAGTACTCGGTGAAAAAGTACCGCATGACAGGCTTGAACCGGTCGGTGACTTTCTTGAAGGTGGCCAACCTTGTTTCCACAGACTTATTCTGCACATTTGATATTTCCTTTCGGCAATTATTCCCCTTGAGATCTTTGGGATGATAGCGCTCGTGTGCTGGCATGAGGTACTCATGAAGCGGAATCGTGTTCGGAACAAACTCAATGATGCCAGATGAAGCCGTCAACGGTAACACTTTGTAAGTCCGGATGCCGAGATTGCGTTGCTGCGTTGATCGGTGCAGCTTCAAGACCGATGACACAGCCAAGAAAACTTGTTCCATGATAGCATCCTGGCGGAGATCATCGTTTCCGCCTTTGACGAGTTGTTTGAATCGTTCGCCATTGTTCCCAACCAGAGTGATAATCTTGGGGGCGCTCACGCCCGATGCTATCGTCATATTGGGCTCAATTTTGATCACGTATGGAACTCGCGAATAGTCTCGGTTGGCCGAGAGCTCCATCTGCAACGTGGGAGGGGGAATCCGATATTTGGCCAGCGAGTTGATCAGCGCTACACCAGCACCCGAGTCTTTAATGGCGATCTTCTGCCCTGCCTTATAGCGCGAATCTCGGTCAACAGCCAGGGTGTGGTATGCCTTGCTAGTCCTATCGATTGATAACCATATCTTCGATACCGCCTCGTTCTGTTGGAGCTTTTTGGAGACCTCGGTTGTTGCTTTCTGTCTGAGTACTGCCACATCGTCGTCCTTATTCATGCGAGATCTTGTACCTGACCAAATTTGGTACATACCGTGGTATGGATGGTCTACACATATCCGGTACACCAGGTCTATTAGTACCCTCTGGAAAAGGCTGGCCTGGTCAAGAAGACGGGAGGTAAGCTGATTCATCAGCGGCGCGAACTTCCGGGTTGGCACCTTGTCGATGTATTTTTTGACGGCCTCGTTGAGAAAGTCTTCTCCAGAACGCTCAAGCCAGAGAGCTGCAAATCGAAGTGCATCATTATTGTGTTCATTCGAGACACTGAGGGACAGAAGATAATTCTCCAAGCTTAGACGAACGAACTCACTGCGGCTTTGCTCAACGCGGCGTAGCTCTTGTTCGTCGAGGTCAAGCCACTGCTTGGCCTTCGCGAGGTGATTCTGATAACGCCCCTTGGTCTGAGAATCCCTCGTGCTGGAAATGAGACCCTTCAGTTGGGTAACTTCGTCGCTCTTTCCTTGCCGAAGATGCTGCAGACGAGCAAGATCTTCAAGCCCGTCAGGGTTTTGAAGCTGCTCATCGCAGAACATGGCAAACTGGTGGTATACCTTTCCTGCTTCTTGGCCATCTGACTTGCCCCCCAGCTCTTTCAGAGCTGGCTGGAGGTAGTTCTTCTGAATACTGTCTGGTTTTTCCAGCCTTGCGACCGAGACCTGATATCCAATCTTGGCCAGGAGATCGCTCCGCCTGACGGGAATCGTCTGGTTTTTGAGGTCAGAGTCATCATCGATGCTCTGAAGCATGCGAATTGACGAAGACATCTCGCCATGATCCCACAAGGAATTGGCCGCTTCGAGCTTTGCGGCTGCGTCGATGTTCAGGCCAAGTTTGTAGCTCGGCGAGATCAGGTCGTTCAGAGCAGTTGCGATATTGAGCGACTCTTGAGTTGCTTGATGGAATCGGTAGACGGTGGATGATAGCAGCATTGACTTGACTTCCACCAGTCTGGTGTTGGGCTGGTTCACATCGCCCATGGCACGGACCTGGAGATTATGGCCTAGTATGCTTAACGTTGTTTCCCTACATGAGAGAATGTGGCGAACATCTGCGTATCTTGTTCTGGTTAGTGAGGCCTTCCATCGAATGACCTATGACAGACTCACCTCCCGCGCTTCATCCATTTGGATCGCTCTTCAAAAGTCGTCAGCATGTTGTCGAGCTCGGCAGAATTCGATATGTTCAGCACATCATCCAATTCTGTCAAAGCGGCTAGTGTTCCCATATTCTGCCTGATGCTTGCTGTACTGATGTCGCGCTTGACAAGATTCTGCATGGCTCGACTGAGGCCATTGTGAATGGCCGAGCGGGCATCTTCAAGCGTGTTCGCTTGGTGACAGCCCTGGTAAGCCTTGTAGAGTGTCACGGAAGGGTCAATTGTGGACGCCGGGACAGGCAAGTTCCAGATTTCTAGTCTCCGCGCATTGACGAAGGTGTGGTCAACGGAAGCATATGCTCCATCCACAGTTTGTTGCGTTTGCAGCGAGTGCGATAGCCCCGAAAGACCGAGGCTATTCAGTGTTCCAACTAGTGATTGGCTGTCTGCGTTGGAAGCTGGGTCTCTTCTGCGGACATGACTGTCATATTGGGCCCCACGAAAGGCCAGACTCTTGTGAGAGTCTTTCTCATATTCAAGTCGCGCGAGGACATTGCGAAGGCTTGCGTTGGTGTGCAGGCCATAATAGGCATCAGGGTCATCGATATTCTCGAAAATGTCCAAAAGGACGTCCGTAGATTCCTGAGCTCGGACGGTCGAAGAACGACGAGAACTGCCTGACCCTTCCGATTCAGCTGACTCCACGAACAGCAATGCGGTTTTAAACATACCGCATCGCGTGGCAGCGGAAGCAGCAACCGATAAGTCAAGATCCAACCACTGGGACCGGTCAGCTATTGAGGTCTCTCCTGGCAGACACCGAGTTCTAAGATAGAGAAGCGCATTCAACAATAGGCTCACGTTGTCCTTGGCCTCTGGCGATGCCAGCCCTAACCAGTCATTCAGGACTGCCGACAGCTTTTTCTTGGCAGACTGGTGGGCATCATGTTCAAACAGGAGAACCAGATGAATGATAAATGGAAACGCCTGCTCTGCGAAACCTTTGACGCTCGAGAGGATTTGGGGCAAAGCACTCAGAACAATACTTTCCGGGACTGACTGGGTCAAGTGTATCGTGAGATGTTGACACCATTGTGGGCTTTCAATTGCCTCGCTAGCGAAAGTGAGACTCAGAGATACCGACTCTACCGGCACGTTGTCAGAAGGAGGCGGACGGTACAGGCTCCAATCCGAAGCCACACGCAGTTGGGGAGTCAAGACTTTCTGGCACGCGGCTAACAAGTCATTATCTTCTTGAGCCGCGGCTTCGGAAACAATGGTCCTCAGCGCGGACTCCGCTAGTCCAGCATGAACCCCATCGCTGGCTGCGGTAAGAGACTGCATCAGACCCAATAATCCTTGCTCAGAGCTGTGTTCATCGGAAATCTCCTGGTATTGAGTCGGCAAATGAGATTCTTGAAGCAGCGTTTGATCAATATCGCCTGATGCGGCGAAACTTCTTCCAATGACACGACCTGTCCATACTAGGTATTGTTCATTGTTGGCCCTGGCGTGGGAGCTTTTCCAGAGAGGGGTGGCTAGTTCCAGGGCTGCCTCATCAGAATTGACGGCATCCGCTCGAAATGAGGCGGGGAGCCTGAAGTCTGTGCAGAGCATCTCTAGAGCCAATCTCCGGGATGGGTCGTTTAGGAGAGGCTGATCGCTGCCTTCATCACGAAGAATCTCAAGCAATAAATTGCTCTCATGTGTCCCCCGTTCAGCGTTCCCAGAAGATCTGACTCGCGCTGCAGAATGCGTGATGGCCTTGAACGCAGAAAGTTGCTGTTCATCCTGTAATAAGGGGGATTGGTACGCTTCGAGGTACTTTGTCAACCACGAATGGAACTTCTGAGCTTTAGTCATGGTGGCTTTATACTGGCTTTCCTGGGTCGTACTCGCTTGGCTAGACTCCAAAAATACCCTTAAGGAAGCCAGGGTGGACAAGGCATAGCCAGCCAAAAATGAGGGAGACTGAGACAATGATTCCGATCCGTGTTCCAAAAGGTATTGTGTCATACCGAGTGCATCATCCGCGCATTCAGAATCGACAACCCACGGGCGCAGACAATGCAGCAGCATCTCCAGGGGATACGAGTCCCAAGCCAAGGGCCCAGCCAGACATATCAACAAACGAACTTTTCGAATCACGGAACAGGCGTGTAAAGCTCCTAACGCGGGGTGGATCATGTTAAATAGTTTCCTGGCAACTGTAACGACCAATGCGGGAGTCCATATGTTGGGCATTTCGTACTCCGTACGGCCGCATAGGAGTGCCATCTGCCTTGTGAGATATTTGGCGCGGAAAGACGGTTGCTGGTTCGCAGGTAACTCAACTTCGGAATGTCCACACTTTTTAATCTCATCCAAGATTTCGGCCGCGTACGCAAGATTGTCCTCCTTTGTCCAAGATCTTTCAATTGGATCGTCTTGGTCTACCATGGTGAAAAATGTGGCGATAATGTCCGCGAAGTTGATGTAGACACTTTCCAGAAAGGGCTCCCGACCAAGCATTTTTCTGATTCGAGTTTCTCCCGCTTGGCTTTGCTGACTCTTGGGCATACTGATGTCGTGAGCTATGCTGTAGGCAAAAACCTTTGAGAAAGAGGTTCGGATGAGTTGGGTGGGAGACTGGTGTAATGACTCGGCGAGTTCTGCCACCGTCGAGTCCTGTCCACGCATGGTCATCAGAGCAGCGGCTTCCGCTTGTGCACGCTTCAAAAGTTCTTCCAAATCAGAGAAGCCAAAGATCTCATAGGCGATACTCTCAATTGATTCCTCGTCAAGCCAAGTATATAGAAGTTGTGGCGCAAACAGATCAAACAGACGTTGTGGACTGTCAAGACCTAGTTTGGTGGCAACCTTTCGGAGGCAGTATGCCGCATGTTTCGTTGACTCGCGTACGTTACCAGGTGTTTCGAAGATATGATAAATGCACCGCCGTAGTAGTGTCGGCCACTGCTGAGCTAGCTCACCAAGTACAAAGAGCCTCAATGCTATCCCCTCGAGATTACCGGCATCTGTGGGTAGGCTATTGAGAATGTTCACGAAGACCTTGTCATGCATTTTTAGAATGTACCTCTTAAAAATGTTCGGGAGTTTGGCGCCGATGAAGAACTTGACGGATATGGTGCCTTGCTCAAGTAAGTTGAAGAGGGTTTCGACGGTAGTGGGTAGTTTGAGGCCTTCCATGAACTTCTCGTTCACTTCAGTCAGCCCGAGAAGCAGGCGAGAAAGTGCAGTCTGAACTTTCGGGGACAGAATATTGCTTGGGAATGCTTTGGTGATGAAAAAGTGGTACAGCTCGCCGACTATCGCTAATAGATCACTCCTTTCATCCTGCCACAGCATTTTCAAGCCCTGGATGGTATTGATGCAAGTAGTGAGGGCCACCTCACAACTGGAGAAGGCACTTGCGCCGATTATGCCCCCCAGTTTCTCGACAACTCTCGAAGCGTCATCGGAGCTGATAACGAGATCACCGGCAATAAGTTCTTGGATCAAACTACGGCAAGACAGGAACATTTCGTCGGACGAGGCTAAAAAGCTATCGAGAAAAATCGGCGGCACGAGGCCCACCTGCCCTGGATCTTGACATAAGACGCCCAGAAGTTGAAGTCTTTGTCCTGTGTCCGAGTAGAACGAGTTTGAGTCAAACATGGAGCATTGCCGCCGGGATATCTCAAAGGACCTTGAGACAATGCCGGACCGGCTCTGCTGAGAACCAAAGCCATCATCGTCCACATCCATAATGTCATCGCCACCTCGAAACGGCTGCTTAGTTCTGTCCTCGCGGTATTCCACCGATATCTCAGAGAAAAGACGAGCGAGTTGGGGCAAATCTTTTAAGAACCGCTCAAGTGGAGCCGTAGAACACGCCGGTAGATAGGGTCGAACGCTTTCGAGGATACTCTCATAGAGCGACTGGCTCTCCGGTGCCTCCGGGATAGCTCTGAGACCATCCTTCAAAACCTCAAACAAGATCGGTTCCAAGTTCTGGGATTGTGTCGAATTTACCTCGGTAAGATGGGGAACTGTGAAAGCCACAGTTATTAGGCAACACATGAGACTTTGAAGCTTTTTAGTCGATATCTGAGATGAGCCATCTCCTCGTTTACTCCAACTTTCGCACAGAATCCCTACCTCTTCGAGTTTGGGATGTAGCAGCTCCGCCACGAGCTTTCTGGTAGCTCTCGAGTCGGAGGTTTCAGTTACCTGCATAATGGACTTGGCATTAGAGTCTTGCGGACGACGTCGTATCGACGGCGCATTTTCACGGTCTTCTAGTAACAGAAGATATCGCACGATGTCTGCACGTTCCTGGAGGAAACTCCAAGACTCGCAGATGGGGCCGCATATTGCTTGTGGAAACCCCGATGGGATAAAAAGGGGTATGCCACAAGACACTCGAAAAAGGTTGATTATCTCTAGTGGATCAACATGCGCAGAGTGGAAAGAGATGAAGGTTATGTCGGCTGCTAATGTCAGTGCAACGGAGTCTTGTAAACGAAATGAGTGAGAGCAGAGTGCGACCTACCGGGATCCCATCTGAGGGAGAGCCAACGTACAATGTGATTGCCCGTTGCGTAACTGGCACTTGGGAGTTGATAGTTCCTGAGTTGAAGTAACGTGGTCATGAGAATGATCGATGCATCTACCGCGATGGCAGGGCCGCTGATATCTGCTGCTGTGACGACGCTGTTGACGTCGTCTGATATGTCACGGTAGGGTAAAAGGTCGTTCGACACGATCGAGTGCAAGAGAATACATGATGCGCGACAGTTCCCCGATATGCTCACATTGCGTGCGGCTATATACCATAGCTGTTTCCATGCTGAAACTAAGGAGTCGTGAGTGGCGAGCCCTGATTGAGCGAGACTACCCAGCATGTCAGTCAAAATTATTTCCAGGGCAACGCTCTGGTCCTCACCTGGCACTGGCAATCAATGCCCATGTTACCAGCTTGCCGTCTTTATGGCCGGTCAAGCCGATCAACAAGGACAGAGTCTCAGCCATATCTGGGGCCGTCAAGGTGATATTCGAAATGAAAAAAGGGATTATCTGCATCGCGGTAAACTGTACCGAGTGGTCGATTGAACGAAGCTTCTGGCGGAGCCTACTTGCACCTTCAGTTGTGCGTCTTTTCTTGCGCGGCTGCTCATCGTCTGCATCAACAGGGGTAGTCTGTGGTCGAGATTCCTTCCATAAGACACCTTCGAGAAGAGCAAGAACCTGTATAAAGGCCCATTTCCGCTCTGCTTCAACATTGTTGGGCCGAAGGCCAAAAAGATGTGTGTGAAATGAATGGCTGTGCCGAGGAACTCTTGAATATGTCAAGTCATCTTGTTGAAGCTGGGCACGGTCTTCCCGCCTCGAGTATTCGGTCCAGAGCAACTCGCAGAGATCCTCGATGTCTGCAAGAATACTCGACTCTCCGCATCGCACTAGACATTCGAGGCCGAGGTGTATACTCAACAACGTCTTGAGAATCTCTGTTTGTATGCTGTTGATCAGGGCATTGTCTTGTCCACCTTTTCTGTCAGGCCACCAGTAACTTATCAATGGAAGCAACTCGCGAGTCAGGAAGTTTGCGTGGTCGCTGTCGTCTGTTTGAGCGAACGCCAATATCACGTGAAGTATCGCGAAGCCGAGTGGTATGGACTCTTTATTGAGAGACCGGAGCTGAAGAGCTTGTGTCACAACAGATGAGATGTCCTTGGAACGCTGGAGGAGTGGGGCGTTGGCAGCTGATACTAGTGACAGAAGACATTGAAACAGATCCTGAAGACGGGTGCTCTGCTTCTGTTTCTGACCCCCACCGCGTGAGAGCGATGAATTCGAGCTCGATCGTAGCGTGGAGAGAGCATTGGAGAACGCTTGCGTAGTTCCTGGCGCCGGGGATGCACGAGATGGCCCCGAATCTCTGTCGCCATTCTCGATATACTGCGTGATGGTCTTGACGGTGAAATCGACACACGACAGCCAGCTCTCAGCATTGTAAGTCGCAAGAAGCTCAACCCTAGCAGGCTGGCTGACTAGAACAACGAGGGCTTTGATGTAATTTTGCAGGAGGGGGCTTATGAGGTCGTCGTCGGGTCCGGGAAGTGTCTCGATGATATGGTCAACCACTGCCAACAAGGTTTTTCGTTTGAATTTTTGGGCTCCATTCTCGATGACCGACTGCAATGCCTTGCCACACTTTGCAAGTCTATCCTCACTTGTCTTGGTCCCACACTTCGTCTTGCTTAAATACACCGACTTTTCAGCGAGGGTACAGTGAAACACGGCATCTAAGAGGCTGTGGTATTCCTTGTCCTTGATTTTCGAACTGCAACTATTTAGTAGGGATTTCGGCTTGCTGTTTACAGATAACCTTACAGTTCAGAGGCTCTAGACTTTTTCCCAAAGAGAAACAGCAAGTCTGAAGGTCTCTAGTTAGATAGCAAGTTGGATTTCGGGTACTCGTAAGCAGGGGCCTCCTTACCATCTAGAGCATTTGATCGGGCGGTTTGAGATCCACCCTTGAGTGATACTGTTGAAATGTCAGCGTCAAGACTACTAGTATCATAAGGATGCATAAAAAAACCGACATAACACATTGTCGAGGGTGACTTCACGGGGAGCTCGTGGCGCCATGTCGTTGACTGGTTTCCAGACCAACTGGATGAAACACCGGCAAAAGTGCCCCTCCCCAAAAGGAGAAGGAATTGGTCACTTCACAATGTCTAAACTCGTCCGCCTCAGATTTAATGAATGTCATCGACTTTGCGACACATTGGGTCGCAGTCATGCCAGCTTCCAGCCTTCCATCCCAGAACTAGAAGCTTGGACGATCAGTCGCGAACATTGAACTTGGCGCGACGAAATATGGGGTTCGTAAATGGTGCTTCACGTTTGAATCTGACCGAGAACAACTGAACAAAATCACCGAGCTGCATAGGGCGAATCAAGCTGAGGAAGGGATATATACAGACTGTTGCTTGTCTCGGTTTTGGGGTTGCGAATCTCATTGAGCGAGGCAGTTACAAGTGGAAGAGTTGAGACCCAAGAGCCTTGTACCTTCCGAAGGTTGAATTTCCGAGACCTGGACGGCAGAATTTACACCACCTTCCTATTTTAGGCCTGCTTCTTTGTTGACTACGGCCTGACAGCTCAGCTACCCTGTCAAAAATTTACTGGACCAATCACTGAAGATGCGCGTACAGCAGCATCAAAGATCAAAGAGAGCTCGACACGACCCGACGGCTCAAACCAGTTGAGGAGCATCCTCACAAACAGTCCAAACAATCACACAACCAAACTAGAAATGCAAACAACAACAACAACAAACAAGCGCATATAACGAACGCATCTAAACGGACATACCCCTCCTGACCTCGGCGTCATTGCTCCTATCCCGCCAACGATACGCGACGATGCGATAGAACCCACTTGTGAAAAATGGCGGAAGCTGACACTGGGCTGCTCGACGCCCTCCAGTCTCTCCATGGCGATCTTCTTGCCGCGACCGAGCGTCCAAAAGAGCAGCGTCTCGATCTGCCGGCCGAAATTGGGCCCCTGCTTGAGGTCTGGGGAGACAAGTTCAAGGCGTTTCTCGATAAGCCCACACGAAGCAAAACGAGTCGAGATGCGGTGCTCTCGGGCAAGATCACCTTGTCGGACGAGGAATACACAATCAGCAAGGAGTTCCAGGAGATCGCTCTACAGGTTGCTGATGAAGTCGACCTGGACGAGCTTGAAACATCAAGGCTGGTCTTGGAGTCGCAGAATGACGAGCAAGTCTTGGGTCGTTCACTCCGCGAATGTGCCATCATACGCTTCCATCAACAAAGAAAATACCTGCTCAGCTGCATCAGGCTATTCCTCGAGCTTTCGAGGATTGATGAGATGCCAGAAGAAATCGAGGACTGGTTGGCAGCCTACGTGAATGAGCTGATTCTCGGAGAAGGACCGGCCGCCAAAATACAGAGGCTTGTGCCCAGGTGTATGGCCGCCATGAAACATATCAGAGAGTGGCTTCACAAAATTGTCGAACAAGTAACTGGTGCCACCGTGCTTGGTCACGCCGGCGAGGCCGAGTTTCGCGAAACCATAGAATTTTCTCGTGTTAGTCTCATCCAACAACACGAGCTTCTGTCCGTCATTCTCTGCTATGCTATTGAACGACGTGTTGCCACTAGCCAAGATTTCATCGATTTCTTCAAGTCGCTGAAGGAAATTGGACGATACGACTACGCAACCGGTATGTTTATCCCACTCAATGTTGGAGGCACGCTAACCAATCTCAGTTCACGTGTTTCCACCCTTGGGCGCATTCATCACGGTATTTGGTTCAACTGAGGGCAATGGAGATCTCGACACATCCAGAAAGCTTAATGATGTCGTCTGCCAGCAGTCCGAAGAATATTCACGCAATCTGCCGTGCCTACATGCTTCAGTCAGGGCATGGTGGCTTGCTGAGTACAGTGGATGGTACATGGATGATGCTGCTGGGTCACTTCTGCAGGGCGTAGATATCGATGCAGAGGATAGACAGAGGTCGAAACAGTTCACGGAAGCTCTAAGAGACGGGGCATTCGACATGTTACTTGCAGTCGCAGCAGATGTCAAGTCCCCGGAATGGCAAGAACCAGCCAGAGTTGGCATCCGGCAATGGCTCCAGAGGAAGGCACCGGCGCTTCCCCCCGATACCCCTCCTTTCTCCGATTTCTTCCAGGCGTGTCTGATGGGCCAAATGGAGGTCTTCATCGACGCTTTCATTTCAAATCTACCAGATATTCTCCGGAAGCTCCGCATTGAAGAAGATGAGCAACGGCAACTGAACCAAGCCCACGAGCAGGACCTTGATTTGGAGAGATTTCTTCTCATCATCGCGTTTTCCTACGAGGGGCGACCAGAGGCAGCCGATGCATTCTGGGCCGACCCGGAGAGCAATCTTGCCGGCTTCCTCCAATGGGCGTCTCGCAGAGCTTCTACGCCGCTTGTCAGTGCCTTCTGCGAAATGCTTCAGTCTCTTTCAGAAGACTCTGAGTCTGCAACTTCAGCTCATGAGTTTCTCCTCGACGACGGACATCATGCGGCTGGGAAGATAAGGCGATCGCTTTCTTTGACTTGGTCCCAGATTTTGAAGGAATTGGACTTCTTCGCCAACAAGATCAGAGAGAAGCCGGTGCCTGCCCAAACACACGCTTACAAGACCGGCAAGTTCGGCAGTGAGCAGGCTGAGACCGAGCCCGAGTCTGCCATGATGTTAGAATGCTATCTCAGGCTGATGACTAAACTATCCTCACAAAGTGAGACGGTCCGAATCTTTCTGCTCAGCGAAGACAAGCCGAATCCAGTTGTGTTGCTATTCCAGCTCATCAGTAGCCTTGTGCCGTCCCGTCTCCGGGCATGCGCATTCAACACACTGAGCGCACTCATGTGTCGAAAGCGCATTGACGAAAGCAAACTCATGTGGTACTACCTGGATTCATGCCTGAGCGGTGCCTTCATCGCAAGTTCCGGAAGAACAGCCACGACGAATCCTATGCCTCCCTCGTACTATATGGAGGGTCTATTTGAGGAAATGAGCTCCCGCTTCGAGGAGTCGAGTTCCTTCATCGAGCTTCTGGCGTCTCTCACTTGTCTTCCTCAAGAATATCCCCTGAACGATGTGCTGCCCTTTCAAGAAGATCTCGGAGCAGCTACGCGCATACGCCCTGGCATCGACCCGTACATCGACTTTGCACTTGGTCATATTTTTGCCTGGAGAGTACAGGACGCCTCCGAGGTTGTGCATCAGAGGATATTACGATATAGATGCCTCGAGTTCGCTCTCACCTGCCTTTCCACCTTCAACGAAGACCTGATCATATTCGGCAATGAGGCCAGCATTTCCGTCGATGCTGCCATCTCTTCCACAGATCTTGCAAGTTATGTATCCTTGCATCCATCTGTACGTGTGATGGAGTGGATGTTCGACAGCCACGTGATTAAAGCATTATTGAACACTCTTCACCAAGATCCAGCTGAAGTTGGTGCTGCTGCTCCTGACTCGCCCCTGATTCTGAGCATTCTGCGGGCTGTCGAAGTTATCACAAAGGTACTCGACTTACAGACCACATACCTTGATCTCATTCGACCAATCGTCAAGCCACAGGCGAGAACTCAAAGTCGATCTACTTACATCCCTACCTCAAATGGCGCATATGCGTCTGTGGAGGACGGCTTGATGACGAGTCTGAACCTGGTGGCTAACCTGGGAAGTTACTGTGGCATTGGCCATGCTCACCTTACTCTCGCAAGCTTAAAACTACTCGAAAAGATATCTACCTCTCCCAAGATCATATCCGCCTGGCAGACAGGACCTGAGCGTCAAGTGCGTCGTAACAAAGCCATTGTCGCTCTAGAAGAAAACGGGAACGCCACTGCAATTGCAGGCTCATTCATTTCAGAGATGAGCAGCCCACTCGATTTATACCGGAAAACCGAGTCCCCGGGGTACCAAACGAAGATGTACATCCTCGACTTCCTCTACTCTTGCATCCGCGCAAATCCCGATCGACCTACTGTAGCACATCTGCTCCTCGGATTTCAGTGTGAAGCCGAAACACTCGGGGTTGAGGCCAGGAGCCCTTTTGATCAGGGGGCGTCGTTGTTTCATACACTCCTGGGCATAGTAGTTGAGCTTGTCATCAGCGACGAAGGGGGTATGCGACAATGGCTCATCGACCTAAAATACCGGGTAATGCGAGTTTTACGCGCGCTTTGGAGTTCGTCGCTGTCTTCCGGCATCGTTCTGGAACAACTTAGGGAGAACGAATTCGTTTTCCATGTGCTACTGCAAGGCCTGGTCATGCAGCCGTCCTCAATATGGGATGGGTTTGAGCCTAATGGTCCCGACTTCTTGACCACACCAGCAGCACAGGGCTATGTCGAATACCTATCTATGAGGTCCATGGCTTTGGAGTACATCACGCACGAGCTTTGCAGTGTTACGCAGAGTCATACCCCTGCTTTGAAGCGGCGCATCTTTGATGCCCTCACCGGCCAAGTGTTAATAGACGGTGGCGAGACGATGACCATCCCCTCCATATTTGAGCTCCAAGATTTTCTGCCTCAGGAAGATCTATTTGCGACGATGCCGCCGGAACTTAACGTATATCGAGATCTCGACATGCGGGTGTGCCTTGAAGAGGATGACGACTCGAACCTGGTGTACAACTTGGGCAAGGTAAACGAGATTCTACTGTTGAAGCGAAACCAAAATCAGCCACCGGGTACTCTTGTATCTCAGCAGGAACCCCTACCTGCAGATGTAGAGGCGGATCATGTGAAGATATATGCAGCCTACCTCAACCGCCTCACGCAGGTCAACTCCTCCAGCCACAAGATTCTGAAGGCGTGGACAACTTTGCTGATGGTAATGACCGACTCCAATGACTTTAAAGGCACCAACCGGATCTCCTTCATCCTCCAAGCATTGCAGGCCATTCTGCCCAGCTTAGAGATATATGGCTCGGACAATGTTAGCGCGGCCTACGAACTAGCCAAGCTAGCCAAGGTCCTGCTCTTCAGTCTCGACTTCAGCTCCATGGACATGACTGACAAGCAAGCTCGTTCGATCGGCAGTCTGATCAGCGACAAGCTCTTCCAGCTCTTCCAGGCATGCCTTCAGGCCATCGCAAAGTGGACCGGTCGTCCTCAACTTCGTGCCATTTACTACAGCATTTCCTATCGGTATATCACGGCGCTGGTGGATCACGGCCAGGGGATCTTGTCCGGTCGCCACAAAACGGCCAAGACAGTTCAGGTGTTTGGCGAAAGGCTCATCAACGTCGTTTGTGATGATGCTGGCGGCGGCGATGGGGCCTGCCAGACGGCAGCGCTGACCCTGCTGGGCACTCTGGTCAACCTAGGCAGGCACGAGAACAACCCTTACGTCGTGGAGACACTGAACAGGCTCAACTTTATCGGCGTCCTAGTCGACTCGCTGCGCAATATCATGGAAGAGTGGATCACGGTCAGCCAATCCGGTAAGTATAGCGTGGTTGGACAAATAAAACCTCGGTAACCAGATCTGACGTCGCAGCAGCCCCGGACCAGCAGCACTATCAAGATGCCAAGCTCGCCCTTCTGTTGCAACTGTGCCAGACGCGCGACGGCGCCAAGAATGTACTGCACGCTAACTTATTCCGCGCTATCGATCTTTCCGGGCTCTTCTCAGCCGATCCCGAGCTGCAAGTGAATGCGATGGACGCGAAAGCCCTGGCACACCACTATACCCTGCTCATCAAGGTCACCCGCATAATCGGGGCCGCTATTGTCAGCCGTGGTTCCCACAACGTCGCGCAGGGCAGGCGTTTCTTGACCGAGCACAGGCTGCTGGTCATGCACGTCCTCAAACGGTCGGCTGGGATTGGAGCCGGGCCTGGTAGAGTGGACGGCGGGCTGGAGGAGAACATACAGGAATTGGCGGAAGCTTTCATGGTTATCATAATTGCGACTGGATTTCTCGAGGTATGTCGATGCTTCCCCGTGCTGCGCCTCAATAGCGGGCCCGCATTCGGTATTGATTTTGGTCTTGGGCTGATGCTGACATTTCCAACCCCACAGTATGAAAGCGAAGCTTGTGCAACACAGCAGCCAACCACTAACACGATTCTGTTCCACTAGGGTAGCCGCTTGAGCTGAGCATGTGCAGTGGGTTATGTAATTTAAAGTCATTGTGCGACGCTGGACAGAGAAGGGACACATAAAAAGCTTGTTGGCACATATTGCATTGAGACGGCGGTTGGCTGGCGTTGGTTCAGGCGTGAGATACAATACCTGAATGGATTGAAAATGAATAACTGGCATAATCCGTATCTGGCATTGAAATGACCAGACACGCAGCACGTCGTCGACGTACACCATATGACATCGGCACATACTAACCACTGGTATGAACGCCTCCAGCGGCACTAACTGAGGCTGCCACGCAACGCTAGAAAACTTCTAGGTTAGAATCTGCGCTTACAGATTAGTTTGGATGCGAGTAGGTGACTGGCTATACATGGTTAATGCCAAGAAGTAATAATCACCAGAAAGCAGGATGTGTTCATGCCGAGTCAGTTTCCGCTCCCATGAGATGAAAGTGGGCAGTCTCAACCCCGGCAAGTACGTCGCAGCCCACAGGACCCAGAGTTCTAGGCAGTCTCTCTTATCGGCAAGTCCCAAATCACTAACATACATAGATAATGACAGGACACCGAGACACGCCATTTTATTTATGAGTTTTACGTTTGTGCTACCAGCAACATGTTAACATCCCTGGCGTTCCCGATGTCCGGAACGATGGCCATTGGCCAGCAACGTCAGCAACCTGTCATCGAGACAGGGACACGGTAAACCAGTGCTCTTGGCGGCCCTTGGCGGACCACTGTCACGCCATCCAGAGGCACTTCCGCACCGGGTCTGGTCCTGATTGAGAAGCTCCCGCCCTAAGGTGGCCTGGGCACAATCTTTTCATTGCGCTTTTTCTCTTCAGTAACCGGTAAACAGTACGGTCTCAGTTCCAGTTTGTCCCACCACTAGACATTTTCTGGGGTAAAAACGGCCGCTGAACACCCTATCTGCATGAGTGGAGGCCAGGTCTTGGCAGTGATACCGACAGAACGTTGTTAGCAAGCTGATGCATGCTTGCGCCTGGCTAAGCACCGCGAATATTGCCAATGGCGAATTCGGGAAAAGATAAGACGGTCAGCCCGTACCAATGGTGCTTGGCAGGTTGCGAAGAGGCAATCTGTGAGAGTATATGATTGACCTGGCCCCCCGCCGCCGCAAATAATTGCAGTTTCTCAGCTCTGATCGTCATTAGCCTTGCTCTGTTTCGCATCGCTTTCTTCCCCTTCTCGCTTGGGGCATCTTGGTTTCTTGAAACCATTATTTGTTCTTGTTCGGGCAGAACAGTTCCTGTGCAATCCGGACTGAGACAGCAAGCAGCCGTTGCCCACCATGAGCGTCTTTCGCCGCACCTCGTCGTCGTCAGGCGAGAAGAAAGACGGCACCTACGGCCTCACCGACGTCGAGGCCCAGCCGTCGCATCATGCCGGTGAAGGCGGCGGCGTCCTCGGCCCCGACGGCCAGATCCGCGGCCTCGAGACGGCGCCCGAGACGGCGCTGCACCGCGGTCTGAAAGCCCGCCACATCACTATGATTGCCATCGGTGGTGCCATTGGAACGGGTCTCATCATCGGCACGGGCAAGGCGCTTGCGCAGGCCGGGCCGGGATCCATCTTGATCTCTTATACCGTTGTCGGGTTTGTCGTATTCCTCGTCATGGCGGCGCTGGGCGAGATGGCCGCTTGGTTGCCCATGTCGTCTGGGTTTACGGGTTATGCGTCCCGGTTTTGCGATCCGAGTTTGGGCTTTGCGCTGGGTTGGACGTGAGCATTTTATTTTTATTTTTATTTTCCGCCTAGCATGTCGCTGCTTGATGTGGTTTCTTCTCACATGTTGAACTCGGGTGGCTTCCCCCAGATCCGATAAACTCTCTCTGCACGTTGTTGCGCTTGTAGGCGTATTCACCATCTTCGTTTCAAAAACTGCTGGGACTGCCTAGACTAACATGATGGTTTCAAAACAGATATTGGTTTAAATACATCATCGTTACCCCGAATCAACTTACCGCCGCCTCGCTTGTCATTCAGTACTGGTTACCTCGCGATAAAGTCAATCCAGGAGTATGGATTGCCATATTTTTGGTAGTGATTGTCTGCATCAACTATTTCGGCATCAGATTCTTTGGCGAGTTCGAGTTCTGGCTGTCGAGTTTCAAGGTCATCACCATCGTCGGCATCATTATTTTGTCTCTGTGCATTGCCCTTGGTGGTGCGCCTGACCACGACCGCCGCGGATTCCGATACTGGAAGGATCCTGGGTGAGTGCCAAGTTTGCCAGAAACGTTGGGAATGCCATTCTGACTCGTGGAACAGTGCGTTCAAGCCTTACATCATGGAAGGGCCGGCTGGCCAGTTCCTCGGCTTCTGGTCCACCATGGTCACTGCCACCTTTGCCTACCTGGGTACCGAGCTGGTTGGTGTGACGGTCGGGGAGGCGCAGAACCCCCGCAAGACGGTTCCCAAGGCCATCAAGCTGACCTTCTATCGAATCCTCATCTTTTACTGCCTCAGTGTGCTGCTGATCGGCATGTGCGTGCCCTACAACTCACCCGACCTGGTCTTTGCCACCACAGAAGCCACCAATAACGCCTCGGCCTCTCCCTTCGTTGTTGCCATCAAGCTGGCCAAGATCAATGCCCTCGACCACATCGTCAACGCCTGCATCCTTGTGTTCGTCTTCTCCGCGTCCAACTCGGATCTCTACATCGCCAGCCGCACCCTGTACGGTCTGGCCTCGGACGGATCCGCCCCCGCCATCTTCCGCAAGACCGACGCGCGCGGCGTCCCCATCTACGCACTTGGAGCCTCGGCCACGTTTGGCTTGCTGGCTTTCATGAACGTCAGCGACGACTCCAAGACGGTCTTCGGCTATTTTGTCAACCTGGTCACCATCCTGGGCCTCATGACCTGGATCTCCATCCTCGTGACGCACATATGGTTCGTGCGTGCGCGCCGCGCCCAGAACCTCGCCGACGCCGAAATGCCCTACGTCGCGCCCCTGGGTATCTGGGGTTCTTACGGTGCCCTCTTCATGTGCTGCCTCATCGCGCTGACGAAGAACTACGACGTTTTCACTGGTGACTTCTATCGCGCGAAGAATGTATCTAACTTCGTCACGGGATACTTAGGTATCCCGATTTACCTGCTCCTCATTGGCGGCCACAAGCTCTACACCAAGAGCAAGGGCATCAGACCCCATGAGTGCGATTTCTACACGGGCAAGGACATCATTGATCGCGAGGAAGAAGAGTTCTTGGCTGCCAAGGCCGCGCTCAAAGCTGAGAAGGGCGGTGATGCTGGTAGCTCTTTCTATGACAAGTGGGTAGCTTGGCTGTTCTAGGGGACTTCGGACGGCTTCTTTGGATGCTGTGGTAGGGAGATCTGTCTCCGCACCTGGGTATCTGATTGTTGCGGAATGCTTGGATTTAGTAGATTTGCAGTTCAGGATACATGCTTGAGTACTCATGAGCGGATGTGACCTTCAAAGGCCATAATAACAAATATTATTATTATTATTAAATACGCTGTAGGCTCGAAGCCCCGGTACCTCTACCAGTACTCCCGTATATCAAACCGTGCCCTAATGGCTGGACTAAATACATACGCTGCGTCGTCGGTTCGCCCTATTAGCGACTACGTTACATTCACTACCATACTAATAACAAATAAAATACGAATATAATCATTGAATTAAAATAATTATCGCGAAGTGTTCATCGATGAGATTGAGTTCAATGTGGGGTTGGGGGAAGCAGGGGAGCTGGAAGTGTGAAGCTGCAGTTGTACAGTTGTGCGCTTGCAGCAACTTTAAAACGTGCCCGACAACATTCGAGTTCGACGACAAAATAATCGGCGCAAGACGAGTGGAACAGCTCGATCTAAACGTTGCAGTATCCTCTAGACCGGGCAGTCATGGAAAGAACAACGGAGCACCAGAGACAGTGAATCCACGATGTGTGGCCCAAACATCCTGGGGGACTCCCCATGCGTCTTAGTTGTCGCATTCCCCATGATTCGAGATTGTGGGAATCTGCCCATATCTTCCAACCCTACACTCTTCCTAATGCTCCTCGTTCCATGTGAACGAATCCATCTTTTCATTTCAAACCCGAGTAGCTCGCCGGTGTGGCGCTGGCGAACATGGCATTTATCCAGAGATAGCACTTATAGCTAAAGTTCTACGATAGCTATCCAATCGAACGTTCTCTTCTTGTTCCAGCAGGAATTCAAATAGCCAGATCCGCCGTTCTAGGTTAGAAGCTCCATAATGGTCCGGCTCCGGGTCTAAACCCAAAAAAGGCTCGGGCTCCTTGGGCCTTGGGTGGTACGAAAAGCTGGACACCAGCACGACTCGAAGCAAGAGATCCCCAAGGAGGAACAGTTCCAAGTCCTCGTCCTCGTCCTTAGCCGGGAAAGGCCACGTAAGGGGAAACACGGCAAGCGTGGCATCCCAAGTGACGGTAGGAGGGATCAGAGGACTAAGATCGAATGGCACCAGGTCGATCTCATGTACCTCCGGTCCGAGATGTACGGATTCATCAAACGGCATCCACTAGCACCTGTAGTATCACCAGCGACGAGTCTTTACGCGTTATTTGGAAACATGACAAATTGAACGACGGCTTCGATGGTCGATCTCGGCATCCCACCCTCGTCGTCCAATGAACAGCGGTTCCCATTGACCGCAAGCAATGGCAGCAGCTTGCACCTAAAGTCGAAAATAAGCTCCGAACACTTCGGAACAGATCAATTATTGAGGAGTCAAAAACCTGTAAATTATTTCAACTCGGTAGCTGGTCACGCTGTGGTGTTTAACCTCATGAAACTGATGTGGAAGTTCGGTTGCGCGCTTATCAGAGGTGGTCTGACTCAAGAAGCTGTACTTAATCAGTGGACCGCTCAGTTCGGACCCATCCTTCTAATTATCTTTCAAGATATCTTGGACATTCGTTATGATCCGAATGCAGACACATTGTATTCGGAGAAGATGGAATCTCCCTGCAGACTCCACCCAGTGCGACGTCTTCAATGTATAGAAAGTAGCAGTGAGGGAAGAGAGCTCACTTTTACTCAGGGCCTTTAGGCTGCTACATAAGTGAGAGTCCTACAGCCTGGTGTGTACAGCGAGCTTGGAATGGTTGCTCTTTCGCATGGCTGCATCCACCAAGGCCACATCCATAATATAATGCACCCATTGCTCAGCACCAGTCCTCGGGACAACTTCAAATAAGTAGTATGGCGTCTAATACATCATTTCACGGTCGGACACGCCAGCAACACAGACCGCGAGTAACATCGATAAGTACGTCGGACGCCGGTTGAGGAAGTAAGATGTATATTTGGGTAATCTTGCTTCAGACGTCATCGAGCGTGACCAACGTATTTCCCTCTGGGTGATTGTGGTCATGAAATCGATTAAAAGGAGTTGACCAACAGGGACCAACACAAGAAACTCCGAGAGCGCGTTCAGACAATGCCAAAGGATGTCGAGGGCCTTTTTCGTTTGTATTATGGCCTCTATTGAAGATGCCTATCGTTGGGAAGTCGATCTAGTCTTTGGTATCATTATGCAGCTACATAGGCTTATATTGAACGGCAAGCAGAGTTCCAACCAAAGGCGGCACGTAGCCCACGCATGGATGACGTTGCTCGACACAGCAAGACCCATCAACAGATTGGACGATTGTGATAACCTAGAGACAGCGCTGTATAATCTAGAAGGCCTAGAAGGTAGAGATTTCACAGATGCACAACTTCGTCAAGTTGGGGTATAATTCAATCTCGGAGTACTTGATTCAGTATCTTCGTGACCAGTCTCGTCGAAAATGTGTGGGACATTTTTGGCCGAATGCACGCGGAAGGTCACTTCAGAAAAGATGCTCTATCACGGAGTACAGGTATATGACTCCGGAAACCTGGAACACCTGAGGAACCCCAACGGCTTTGACCAAGTGAATAGCAATTGCTTTATAGGCGTTGCTATCCCCGAGACTCGAAGACCGGCACGTCTGACTTAGACAAGCCCTGGCACCGGTTATACTTTCTCTTTTTTAGCTTGCAAAAACTATACACAGCATTTCTGAAGAGGAATTTATACTGCTCCTTGGATCCCATCGACACAAATCTTCTGGCGAAGAGGCAATACCTAGCTCATGAACCAGTGAACTATACACGAAAAAATACACAAGCTCCATGGGTTTTATACAGCTCTCAATTGTACCGCAGAAGATAGCGGGCGGTCTATGATATCATTCTGGACTTGGCTTGCCTGTATAATGAGTATGATTATCTGTCGTACAGGCTCGACTTACTATAGTTAATAACGTATTGTGTCTTTCGAGAGGAAGTTGCTGCTGGCTGCCTCCTAACTGCGCATAGTCATTTACTACTAATACTGTTATAACTCTTTCTGACTTGTCGAGGCGTTAACGTAAATTGCCTGATTGCAAGTTAGTTCGATACTATCCTATACTACTACAGAATTTGGCATAGCAACATTAAATTTTCCGTATTTGACGATGTCTGGACGACTTAGTTTCTGGCACACTTCGTTCAGCCTCTACGGGATTTTCAACGTCACGTGTTGGGAACCGAAAATTAGATCTCTACGAAGGGTGGAAGCTGTTCCAGGATAAAGGTGCCAGCATCATTGGGATCAAGACATATAGGCCCGACTGCTTGGGTTTCTTCGGGGCCCTCCATGGGCCTTCTACCTTTCTTGGTTCAGTGGAAAAGGGAATCCATCGAATCGGGAAGCGATGTGACCAGGGCTTGAGGAGAGGAAAAAGAAAGGGGCGGGGCGGGGGGCCTAAGAATAGGCACAGGGAGTGAGATTTAGGGGTTGATGCGCGTTGCTCAGGCTCTTGGTAGAAGAATCATGGGGTTAGAGGCGCGTGGTTTTAATGCAGTTGGAGTAGGCTTCACGTTTTTCGGTTTCGTTCTATAATCATTTCACATGCGGAAGATATGGATATTCCAGACGGATTTTAGGGACAAAGTATGGGTGAGTGTGGCGTCAGGTATGTAGGGTACAAGCCAGGCACGCCCGCATTGTAGTATCTAGGGACCCCCCGGGGGCTGATTCCCGATTGGTCCCCCACGCACCATCATAGTACCAATACAGCCCCCAATACTCGGGATTCGACACAAAGTAGTACTAGTAAAGCCATAATTCTCGCTAGAATGGACTCTTTAGAAATGTCTTAACCTCTGGGAAATTTTCAGGATTCAGCAGGAATCTTTCTACTAAGCACCCTTAAGTTGCTTCCTAATGCCAACCCCATCTTGAAAACTTCACCCGTAAGAAAATAAGAGCATACATAACATTGATTTACTCTCATATTGCACGCAAGATAGTCCTAGGATTAGGCAGAGTCCATCCTTGGAGTAGAAACTCCCGGTCCGATAACAGTAAACCCGTAAAGGTGTGCGAGTCCTAAGGACGTGGGTTCTTGGATTGTTGCATTAAGCAGAATTCGAGTGCACAAAGCTAGAGAAACATGGCCTTGTTAAGAACTAGAATATACAGGGTAGGGAGTGGAGCAATTAACTTGTCAAAAGGTGGTTTCATTCACTGCAATATTAACCTCAACGGAGCGCCTATCCACGCATTGGGGCCTGTTCAGTCAGCTGACGAGATTTGGGCATCTCCGCAGAAGATAGTTTTTGTGCATTTACACTGTAATCTTAACACCACCAGAGCCGCTGGCAGTAACACAGCAGCTCGAAACTATGCCAGCTACTATTTGGTCGCAAAAATCCAAGTTATGGTTATTTGCTCTCGAGAGGAGGACGTAATAGTTGCAGCAAAATCATCCAGAAGGCAACGTATTGTGAATAACCTGTAATGAGTTCCCAAATTATCGAATTGGATGCTTATCAACCAAACAGGGAGATGTTTTGATTGATTTAACTACCAAGGGATAACACAACGTCCATATCGATCCATATTGATTACGCTCGAAATTATTGAACCATCATGTGGATAGTCATCCCCGTCGGTGATCCAATCCAGGCCTCAACCTATTTCATTTCTGTCACCGCCAGTTATGTAATGACGGCGGAGGAAACTGGCGTCTTCTAGATCCGAGGCCTGTGGTTATGTTACTCTAGAAAAGGGCGAATACACTATGATTTCTGTAAACAAGGGTATTGATTATCTTGTCTGAAGAGCAGTCATTCCGGAAGCGACGCGAGTTTAGCACCCTACAGTGCAACATACCCGAGTAGCTGGTTTATTCAGCGTGACATTAGGTGTAGCTCCATAAACTCATTGGTCGACCTCTTTCAGATATATCTCGTATGTGCGATACATGGAATCCTCTGCTCCAACATCTCTTGGCCCTAAGCCGAAGCCCAGTGGAGCCCCTTCAAGTACGAGTAATTGGTCATATTTGTGTGACTACAAATCAAGATCAATGCTAGCTTTGAATCCTAGAGCCCCGTAACTCCTTATTTTTGAGTCCATGCTTGCTCTCATAAGCCAGATTACTTATCCGCAATAACTTCGTGGGTGCGCGAACCACTTCCAGCCTTTCTCCGAGTCGCCAATGGAGACCCATCATCATCTACTTTAAGATCAATGACATTTAGAACCAGATCCTGATACCGCGGTATCTGATACAGTTCTAGAAACAAGTCAGTAGGCAAAGCATCCACTTTTTCCCTCAGCTCAGTGCTGTCGTCCTCCGGCAACCATACACTCAGAACCCCCAAGGCGGCAACCACGAATGACGTGTCCATCTTGCCATCTTCAGGTGCTATTTCCCCCTTGATCCGTGATGCCGATGACACCTCCGATCCTCCAGCCCGTTCCGCCTCTATAGCGTCCCAGTAATCGCCGAGGTACTCGACGACATTATACAGTGTCTCCATTGCCGACTTGCGGAACTCCAGGACTTGGTCTGCCGATAATTGAAATATCGGTTCGTCCTTGTCGGCTTGGTCGAGGAGATACTTGATGAACTCACTCATAATCACCAAGTCGAAGGTTACTCGGCTGGAAGCTGGTTCGTATCCAGGGGTTCCGCGTTTGCTGAGCAACGACGGCATGCTGGCTCGTATATCGACGAGGACCAGGCTGATGAATAGGTATTTCTCCCGTGTGAATAACATGGAGCATGTGCGTTCTCCGTAGGTCATTAGAAGTGCTGTGGCACAGCATGTGTACGCGTGGCGACCTTCCGGGGTGATGCGCTTGTTGAATGCGGCGTCGTGGATGAACTGCACCAAAGGCTTGAGCCAGCTTGGGTCCTGTGGAACGCAATCTCTGGGAAGAAGTCCTAGGGTCTGGCCTAATCGTTCCATCAAGGGTATGGCGTCTTGCCCTTTGAACGCTGCGACCAGACCTGACAGGGCTTCGTCGATCTTGCCCCTCACGGCGGTTTGATGCCCCTGGGGGACTGACAGCCATGATAGGGTGAAGACTAAGTGGACCAAATCCTGATTTGGCGCGTTCTCGATCAAAGGGGTCCAATCATCCAGCTCGAGGAAAGCTTTGTTGCCTTCTGGGGAGTTCACAAAAGCTACTAGTGTCTGGAGAATGGCGGTCATGGATTCCTCCGAGCTGTGTCATTAGCACTGCGCATATGGTACCAAGCGGTGTCAAGTAGGTCATCATACCTCGGAACCATAGCTTGGACCAAGTTCGGAAGTCGTCTCAGGAGGCTATCCGGCTTTGGATTGGGAAGCAACTGGGCAAATGCGCGAATGACATTCACAGCGATATCTCTGCTGTAGGGATCTTTGGTTCGCAAGAGACGATCAAGAAACTTGTGAGACACTGCGTCCCATAGAAAAGCGAGGGTTTTGTTGTCTCGTTGTAATTCGGGTTCGTTGTCCAGGAGCGACCGGAGTGCACCGAGGCCTACCAGGCGTGTCGTGTCGTCCTTGGCTTTCATCAGCTTGAGGATGGCTGGGATGGTCTTGTCCTTGTATGGACTGTTGGTCTCGCTTTGCTTCTCCATATTGATTAAGTCTCGAAGGAAGTGGGCAACTGGAACTGTCCACGTGGTATTTAACACAGGTTGGATCTTAGGAGGTTTAGACGGAGCTCATGCGCTCTTCCTGAAGAGATTGGACTGCCAATACCCTGCCGCCGCTTTTACAGACACCCGTTTCTTTGGATTGCACAACGCTGGAACCAATAGGGAGTACTCTATTCGAAGATGTAATAACGTTGAGGAGCCAATAAAGGCATTTTCGTTGGGTGGCCGCTGTTTGGTCCCGGTCATGCAAATCATCATGAAAGTTCGCTTGATGTCTTTGGCGGCGGGTCACAGAAGCAAGCGACAAGTCACAGCCGAGAAGTGCCCGTCACAATCAGCTTATCGACAATCAATTAAGTCGCCCATGTTGCATCGTGCGCGACCAACGGCAGCCGGTCTCGTCATCCGCTATCCATCTGATGGTGAACAAGCTCAACTACAACTCAGCATATTTGTGCCAGAGCTCTGAAACAAGAGAAAGCGGAGTTTGATGCGATATGGAAGCTCAGTCTGTCAGTTCTAGTACCACGAAATGGCAGCTGTAAGCAGTAGCAACTCCATGAGCGCACGCGATCAAGAGGAAGCCTCTTCGTCCTCATCGTCCCAATTCGCCGCGAATGCGCCTACGCCCGCCCATCACACTGACGACTCGGACAACCCGGATTTCTTCGGTACTAACGATGGCGACGGGGAAGATGATGTCTTGGTCCATGACCCCTTGAGCGAAGACCTTGGCAAGCCGATGAGCTTCAAACGCAAGCAGAAACAGGCTGCTTTCTCGCATCCGGGAAGGCTGCTGTCAACCTTGACGGGTAATCGACTGGGGGTACATTTACCGCGGCCATCTCCCAAACAGCGGTCTCCGAATATGTCGGGCCCGAACACGCCGACACGATTGAATACGGGGAGAAGTGAAGGAAGTGCACATGCCTCGAGTGGATCAAAGGATGGGCTGCCTCTCGATTGGTATGTTGAAGGACCCGGCCGACGAGTGGGCTACGAGGACTTGACCGCCATCGATTGGATCTTCGAATATACCAAAGAGCGACAGCGATTGCGAGTGTTGTACTCGAGCGCGTCGGGAATACTGGGGTATGTGCAGCAATTGCTAGATGCAAGCCAGATCTGGGTCATCCTCGTGCTCACGGGCATCGCGGTTGGAGCCCTAGCCGCGGCAATTGATGTCGCTTCGGATTGGCTTGGAGACCTAAAGACGGGCTACTGCTCCTCTGGCCCTGATGGAGGTGCATTCTACTTGAACAAAGCATTCTGCTGTCTGGGATATGACCAGGGCGCCAAGTGCATGGGCTGGAAGCCGTGGGCTGCGGCTTTACACATTTCATCGGCGGGTGGGAAGTGGTTCATCGAGTATTTCTTCTTTATGTTGCTCTCGGTCACTTTTGCAATTTCTGCTGCGATCTTGGTCAAGGACTACGCTATTTATGCCAAGCATAGTGGTATACCCGAGATCAAGACGGTGCTGGGTGGGTTCATCATAAAGAAATATTTCTGCGCTTGGACATTGACCATCAAGTCATTGGGTCTGGTAAGTCTACGCTGCCTCTACGAACCTCTTCGACGATGTGGTAGTCAATTGACCTGGCTTAGGTTCTTGCCGTTGCATCTGGCATGTGGCTGGGCAAAGAAGGACCCTTGGTTCATGTGGCATGTTGTTGTGCCAATATCTTCATCAAACTGTTTCCCAATATCAACGGTAATGAAGCTCGGAAGCGCGAAGTCCTTTCGGCCGCCGCAGCATCGGGTATCTCGGTAGCATTTGGCTCGCCCATCGGCGGCGTGCTGTTTTCGCTTGAGCAGCTCTCCTACTACTTTCCCGACAAGACCATGTGGCAGTCATTCGTCTGTGCCATGACGGCCGCTGTCGTACTTCAGGCATTCGACCCGTTCCGTTCTGGCAAGCTCGTTTTGTACCAGGTTAAGTACACAAGCACCTGGCATGGTTTCGAAATTGCGCCTTTCGCCTTTCTGGGCATTATGGGCGGCATCTACGGCGGCTTTTTCATCAAGGCCAACATGCGATTTGCCCAATGGAAAAAGTCGACCAACTGGCCATCAATAGGGCCCCTGACGCAAGTCGTTCTTGTGGCCCTCTTGTCCGCCTTGATAAACTACCCAAACCTTTACATGCGAGCCCAGTCCTCGGAACTCGTGTCCTCCCTTTTCTCTCAGTGCTCACAGGTTCTCGATGACCAATTCGGCCTCTGCAAAACTGGTGCGGCGTCAGCAGGGACCATCGTGCTACTCCTCTTCGCGGCCGTGCTGGGCTTTGTCCTAGCCGCCATAACCTTCGGGCTCCAAATTCCCGCCGGTATCATCCTCCCTTCCATGGCGATCGGCGCCCTCACCGGTCGCGCAGTGGGAATCATCATGGAAATCTGGCAACACAACCACCCAGGCTTCCTGCCCTTCAACTCCTGCGAGCCTGACATCCCCTGCATCACGCCGGGCGTGTACGCCATCATCGGCGCGGCGGCGACGCTGGCGGGTGTGACCCGCCTCACCGTCTCGATCGTCGTCATTACCTTCGAGCTGACGGGCGCCCTGACCTACGTCCTCCCCATCATGGTGGCCGTCATGATTTCAAAATGGGTCGGCGACGCCTTCTCCCGCCGCGGCATCTACGAGTCTTGGATCCACCTCAACGCGTACCCATTCCTCGATAGCGGTGACGACGGCGCGGGCGCCCAGGCCGTGCCCGATATCCCCGCGGGCCAGATCATGACGCGCATCGAGGACTTGGTTGTCCTGACCGCTACGGGTCACACAATCAAGAGTCTGAAACATATATTAGACGAGTGCGACTACCGCGGGTTTCCTGTCGTTTCCGATACTCGTGATGCGGTGCTCCTGGGGTACATTTCCAGAAATGAACTGGCATTTAACCTCGATAGTGCCGCGCAGCACATGCCCCCTGAAACAGAGACGTTTTTCAGCCATCAGCCTCTTGCGGATCCGAGGACGACGCTGGATCTCAGGCCGTGGATGGATCAGACGCCTCTTACACTGCCGAGTCGGGGTAGTTTCCATTTAGCTGTGTCGTATTTCCAGAAGCTGGGGGTCAGGTATGTACTATTTGTGGATCGTGGGAGTCTGCAGGGGTTATTGACGAAGAAGGATTGTTGGTATTTGCTTAATGGGGCAGGGGAGACGAGGAGGTCCCAGGGGGGACGAGATGAGGGTGCGGGTGCGGGTGCGGGTGCGATAGGGAGGATGAGGGAACCTGGGGAACGAGTTGAGGAGTCGGTTTTGTTAGGACGGGAAAGTGGGGAAGAAGAAGAAGAAGAAGAAGAGGCGGGGGGTAGGATGGGCACAGGTGATGTTGAAGATGGGGATGTAAGTCCTAGGGGAGGAAGGAGTACTGGCATACTATAGAAATGGATACGGAAAGATACGGCAAGGATATTGGTAGACATTATAGAAAGGAATTGTGTGTTTGAGGTCTTAATGGGGCTGTTTCCATATCGAAGCGAAGTCCTAAACTGCTTCCTACATTTACAAAATGTAAGAACATGAGTAATGAATGACGGCAGGAGTCAAGGTGCTGCCGTGATGCGGGCTTTGAATTGTTCTGTGTCGTGAGTTCCCCTCAACCAATAGAGGCCAGTCTTGCATACTTGATCAAGCCCCTTCACTATGAACCCTATCCTGGATCGGACGCCGCATGACAATAAACATTTCTTCAGTGATTGTTCAGACCATTGCATTCCCTGTCAGGGAGCGTAACAAATAGCGACCTTTCCTATGGTCTCAGAATCGCTCATGCAAAGACCACTGTCTATTTGGGGAAGTGTCAAAGTATGCGCGTCCATTTCCTGCATTATACATTACGGGTAGCATCGAACATCAGCTGCTATTTCTACGCGGAAAATGCAACAAACAGCTCTTGCCCTGGCCAAAGCTCTCGAATAAATGTTGCTCTCTAAGAATAGATACAATACTTCGCCATTTTTGTTCCCCCAAACCAACCGTTGTTGTGTTCATGCTCAATGATGCCACTTGCTAGATATGTGCGTATCAATCAGGGTATCATCTTTCCCTCCGACGCCCTTTTCCATGCAACATGACCATGTCCCAAGTGAGTAGTTGTGTCCTTCTGTTTGTTTTATAATTCTTCGTTTGCTGGGGGTATGGTCTTCTATACCAGCTACGTGTCGTGTATATTCGGGACTGTAGTAGCAAAAATGCAGACGCATCATGTGGCTCAATCCCATGCTGGAAGTGGAGTACCAAAAACCGACTGACATGCTCAGCCCGTACTGCGTCCTCTTGTGGTCGCTGCCCATCCGGATGTCTGCACCACGTCTGGCTGGGAGCTTCACTTGCGTCACTCGCGTGGGTCATCATGACTCGGCGATAACCATACAAAGGCAGCCTGAGTAGCTCCCTAAGCGGCCGGTCGCTTCTCTTTTCGCTTGGCTGTCATAAGCTTGAGTTCAAGGTGGTAGTACGAACGCGCGTCCGTTTTCTTCGTCTTGTTCTTGATTTCCACCTTTTGCCTACATACCGGGCACGACTTCTTGTTGCTGTCGATGTGGAGAGCAGAGTGGAGGCATTCGGAACAGAAGAGGTGGCCTAGATGTTCAGATTAGTACGGAGTCTGACGTGAACATGATGATGCAATATGTTGCACATACCGCAATGTGTAACGGTCAAGTTCGATACGTCGTCCATGCAGATAACGCAGTTGAATTTGCTCAACTTGACCCGGTTGTCCACTTTAGGCTGGAGTAGTTCCTTCGACACCTCAGTCGCTTCGGAAAGGTCCAGTACTTCCACGTCATCCTCGGCTTTTCTTGTGGCGGGTGATGTATCAAAGGGCGAGACATCGTCGTCATCGCCGCCACGAGAAGTCCGTCTCAGTAAACTCTTAAGCGGCTTAATGCGTCTTGATTGCGACGATGCCGAAGACTGACGTCTTGTAAATGATCCTGGGGTGCTGCTTACTGCGGCACGACTTCTCTTGCTGCCATGTGCAGCCGGTGCTTGCATTGGCATGGTGCCGGCAGCACTCGGAGATAACGTGCTGCTGTCTCGATCCCGATCGCCCTTAGTGAGGTCGACCAAGCTGTGATCCCCATTACTTGCAAAGCTGGATCGACTGGCTCGCCTAGGGCGTGTCGATGCGGCCGTGGCCGCCGTGTGGCTCCCTCGTGCTGGCATGTTGTTGCCGATTTCTAGATGCGGAGGCGATTGAGGTCGAGATGGTAGTGGGCGCAGGGGGCTGCTGTTAAGTGGAGGTAATGAGGGCGAGGAAAAGTCGCCGTTGGCCAAGGCGGCAAATACGTCGTCACTATTCGGCTCACGGCTTACGGTTACTACTGGTGGTATGGTTCTGTCGAAGGCCAGGTTGGCATGGGGTGCTGCTGACTGGGGCAGTCGTGCCGAGGCAGAAGGTGAGGCAGGTGTCGGAGTGTCGAGGTGAAGTAATCGGGTATGGTGTCGTGGTGGGGCAAAATCGCATTGACTTGGGCGCAGGCCGGAGTTGTGGAAAGGGTGCCGATTTTGGGTAAATGGATCCAAATTCAAGCCTGGGAGCTGGAGCTGCGGCGGCGTCGGCGGCGTCGGCGGAATCGGATCGAATACGCTCAGATTGCGGAATGGCGGCGAAGGCGCAAAGGACGGAAAGTCAAAGGAATTGTCAATGGAACGGCCGAATATCGAAGGGAAGGAAGGCAGGTTACTGCTGGGTTGACTGGCAAAGTTGCCGCTGCCTAAGGGTACGATAGGATTGTTGCGATGAGAGTTTGGAGGGCTGGCGAGGGCTCCAAAGGGGTCAAAAATACCGCTGGTGAATAATCCACTGTTGTCAAAGAAGTCGAGGTCGTTTGGACTTGGAGGCTCTAACTCGTCTGCGGTTGCACCCCAAGTACGTCGGTCAGGTCTTTGGCATTTCTTCGAGGTTCAAAATGTTGTAGTACAGAGTCAGGAAGATAAAAAGGTAGGTAAGGTACGTGTTGCGCTGGCACGAAAAGATGGGGACAACAAAAGGCGAAGGTTAAAAAGATTGATCAGCAAATACCTGAGAAGCCAGACAAGCCATCGACCACGCCCATAGAATTTGCCATGTATGGAGAAATTGAAGTTGTTGAAGATGTTCTTTCTACCCGGTCTTTCGCAATGATATCACCAAAAATAGATAATTCCGTTGCAGGATCTCGCCGCGCTCCCCGTCCGCACCGTCCCTGTCAATCAATTCCACTACCTCCAGCGCGTCGTTGTGGTCAGAAAAGGGATATTGTCCAGCGGTTGGCGCGCGCGTGGTGGTTTCCAGTTTCCAGGCTCAGTGGTGATTTCGGCGTTAGCTCGCACTTAAGCAGGGCTGTGACTTCCAAATCTCGTTCTCTCTCAATTCGGTCGCACTGGTTTGCGTAAGGAGTCGCATTGCCTGTTGAAAAAATAAATTGCACGGATTTTCGAAGGACGAGAAATCGGTCAGACTAAGAGGAAAGGAAGATTCGAAAAAAAAAATCACGAAGGACAGCTGCTCTCATAAATGGGGTCTCAGTCAGGGTCACAGGCAAGGAAATGGCAAGGCAATCAATAGGCGAGGATGGATACTCGCGTTCCTGTGCGGAGGGGGATTGTCTCTATTTGAATTTTACTTTACGCCGCAGCCGTGGCGGCCTTGGAACGAACCGCGCACGACGTGGGCTTCGTGTAAGTCGGCTACAGGGTAGGCGCCTCTGCGGGCGGTACGGAGTAAGTAGTAAAAAGAAGCCCGATTTGATTGATCGTACGAGCTGACCAGCCAACGGGCGAGAAAAACAGCAGTCAGATAGCTCGCATGTCAGGTCCTCACGTTGCCAATCAGAGCCTGCTAGAGCCTGTGCTCACGGACGCTCATTTGTGTCTTTCCGAGACTTGCTTCAATAATGCTGCACCCGTGGACGACTGGGCCGGCAGAAACACTGGAGGATCAACGCTCTCCCCAGCTGCAGTTTTCTCCAAATCCGGGTCTGATGGCCTCCAATGCTCACTCCAAGAATCGCAGGGTGCGTGGGGGTGGTACGTCGGCAGGTAAGGTGGCTGCCATTCATTCAACGCCCGGAGAGGGCAGCTTGGGGGTGGATTGAGGCCAAACAGTTTCCGATGCTCTCTCGTGCTCCCGGAATGTGAGGCCAGCCTGCAGGGATGCGTCTGCATATCTACCCACAGAGTAGGCGTCATCGTTCCCTCATGTAGGCACGCGAAGGAGGCCGATCACTCATTGATTTCGCATAATGTACGACTCCACCTTTCCGGCCACCCACCTTTCTGGCCACCTAATCCGCCAACTACAACAACCTTCGGCACAACAGATCATCGTCGGTATTGGCTATTATTATACAATGCCTCGATATTCAGAAAATTCGATTCAAGGCGCTCTCAACGATATCAATCAAGGGATATCCCAGCGCCAGGCTTCCCTCCGATGGGGCGTTCCACGCTCTACCCTATAACTTCGTTACGCCCCAAACCACGTAAGAAGGTACGATTAGGGCCTAATGAACGATTTGGTAACATTGTACAGATTAAGGAAGCGATGGATCGAGCCCTTGAAGTAGAACGGCAACGAGACCAGGTACAACGTCGGAATCAGGTAATACTGGACCCAGCTAAGGCGTCAGAATCTATAGATCTATACCTCAGGAAGCCCTAGAGCACAGCTTTCTGTTAGAGCTGGTTGTACCTGAATAGCTATAATAGTACGTTGAATACACTGTTTCGAATACCTTCAATTGGATTGCAATATGTGGCCAGAATGGTGGGTGGCCGGAAAGGTGGGGTTGTACGTTACGTCTCGAAAAATTCCAATGGCCACACATTTTGCCATCTTATCGTCATACATAGCAAATGGTGAAGCGTCCACCAGCGCCATACCGTTCAGTAACCTTTTAGAGCTCCAAAGCCAGCAATTTGTCGCCATGCTCATCACCCCACGGTAGCAATGTTGAATCCTGCAAGGGGCCACGTACGGAGCGCAACGACTGCGAGCTTTGTGCGCCTTGCCAAAACCCGCGCGCAAAGCCGCCGCCTGCGTTCCTCGTGGCTTCTATCGTCACCATGGCAGGTTCGACAAAAAACCACGGCCGCCGCCGCTGCCAAATCCCTTCCGGCACCCGAACCGGCGCACCAGCCGTCACGAGCGAAGAGTCTTGCCCTTCCGTCCGAGGCCCGATTCAATGAGATCGGGGTTCAACAACTAAGCTTGCATGTCCACAAACAAATATTTCCCAATGGGAGCGAGGTGCCGCCGCAAGAGCTGGTCGACCTCGCGAAGGCCCACCTGGGCCGTCATGATCTGCTAGAGAAGAACACCGATGAAACCCCACCCATCGCATTCAATGTGCCCCCGATTCACGGAGACACCTTGGACGAACACTTCACCAGGCTTGGTCTTGACTGCGCCGAGCCATTTTTGACACAAGCCAAACAGTTCGCCAAGGCCAATGCGCCACCGCGACCGAGAAAATGGGTTCAGCGCAGTGGGTGGACGAAATACCACTATCCGGAAGGCCAGATAGAGCCTGTCGTTTCCCGGGATGGCGTTACGACAATACCTCCTGTCGATGCGCCTGACGGCAATATGGTGGTAGAGCATGTCGAAGCGCCGGATGAAGAGCTGTTATGTTTCGATACAGAGGTCATGTGGAAGGAGAGTTCGTATGCCGTCATGGCTTGCGCGATGAGCCCGACAGCTTGGTACGCATGGCTATCTCCATGGTTGCTGGGAGAATCGGAGTCAGATAGGCATTTGATTCCATTAGGAGATCCGACAAAGGCGCGAACTATCGTCGGTCACAATATTGGGTACGACCGGGCTCGAGTCCTCGAAGAATACAGCCTGGAGCAGTCGCGAAATAGTTTCCTGGACACCATGTCGTTACATGTCGCTGTGAACGGTATGTGCTCCCAGCAACGACCAACTTGGATGAAGCACAAGAAGAGCAAGGAGCTGCGAGATAAGTTTGCCAAGGAGACTGACAATCTCGAACTGGCAACCCTTCTGTCAAGTGACAACCTTCGAGAAGAGGAGACGGAACTTTGGGTCGAGAGAAGCTCGGTCAACTCTCTTAGGGATGTCGCAAAGTTTCATTTGAATGTCACTCTCGACAAAGCTGCGCGGAATGAATTTGGAGAGCTGGACCGAGCCGGCGTTGTGGCCAAGCTAGATCACTTGCTCGACTACTGTGCTGCTGACGTTGCCATCACTCACCGCGTGTACAAGATGGTCTTTCCGAACTTTTTGGAGGTCTGCCCACACCCTGTTAGCTTCGCGGCGCTGAGACATTTATCATCCGTCATCTTACCTGTCAACAAGTCCTGGGATGACTATATTGCCAAAGCGGACGCGACATATCACAAACTCTCAGATGCAGTTCAGGAACGCCTCATTAAGTTGACGGAAAAGGCACTCGAGTTCAAGGACGATGCAGACAAGTGGGAGAACGACCCATGGATGAGGCAACTGGATTGGTCAGGCCAGGAAATTAAGATGGTGAAAGGCAAAAAGAAGGACGACCCTCCGAGACCAGCCGCTCGCCAGAAGAAACCCGGAATGCCTCAGTGGTACAGAGGTCTGTTTCCAAAAATGGATGCGCCCATCAACATCACAGTACGGACGCGGATCGCACCTTTGCTTCTACGACTCGCATGGGACGGATATCCCTTGTACTGGTCCGACAAATACGGTTGGACATTCCGAGTTCCTCTGTCAAACGCGCAGAAATATGCTTCGACCCAACTGGTTCGCTGCGATATGAGGGACGAACCTATCGAGGCCCTGAAGGAGGACCGAGGAGCATTCTACATAAAACTACCACATAAAGACGGCCCAACAGCACGTTGTGCAAATCCGTTGGCCAAGAGTTACCTACCATACTTCGAAAAGGGGACGCTGTCATCCGAGTATTCTTACGCAAAAGATGCTCTTGAGATGAATGCCTCTTGTTCTTACTGGATTAGCGCACGTACCAGAATCATGTCACAGATGGTAGTCTACGAGAAGGACAAACTCCCAGGAACGAAGAAGAGGGGCAGAAGGCCTCAGCATGGTTACATCCTGCCTCAAGTCATCCCCATGGGGACCATCACCCGCAGGGCCGTCGAAAACACGTGGCTGACTGCCAGCAATGCCAAAGTCAACAGGGTCGGCTCGGAGTTGAAGTCGATGGTCAAGGCGCCTCCCGGGTACTGCTTTGTTGGTGCTGATGTTGATTCGGAAGAGCTCTGGATCGCAAGCGTTATTGGCGACTCGATATTCAAGCTCCACGGCGGCAACGCCATCGGATTCATGACTCTGGAGGGCACCAAAGCTGCAGGCACTGATTTACATTCCCGGACGGCCGGGATCTTGGGCATCACACGTAACGATGCCAAAGTCTTTAATTATGGGCGCATCTACGGCGCCGGTTTGAAGTTCGCTGCCACACTCTTGCGGCAGTTCAACCCGTCGTTGTCAGAAGCCGAAACTTTAGACATTGCTGGCAAGCTTTATGCAACGACCAAGGGCGTGAAGACAACCCGCAAGGCGTTGCACAAGAGGGCTTTCTGGCGCGGGGGTACCGAGTCGTTTGTGTTCAACAAGCTCGAGGAGTTCGCCGACCAGGAGCGTCCACGGACCCCTGTACTGGGCGCCGGTATTACCGAGGCATTGATGGGTCGCTTCATGAGCAAGGGTGGCTATCTGACCTCGCGCATCAACTGGGCTATTCAGTCCTCTGGCGTTGACTACCTGCACCTGCTGATTATTAGCATGGACTACTTGACACGACGCTTCAACATTTCGGCTCGTCTTGCCATCAGCGTCCATGATGAGGTTCGATACCTCGTCCAGATCAAAGACAAGTACCGTGCGGCTATGGCAATGCAGGTTGCCAATCTTTGGACGAGAGCAATGTTCGCACAGCAGGTAGGCATCAACGACTTACCGCAAGCATGCGCCTACTTCTCGGCCATCGACATCGACCATGTCTTGAGGAAGGAAGTGAACATGGACTGCATTACGCCGAGCCACTCTACGCCCATCCCACACGGAGAGAGCTTGGACATAATGCAGCTTCTCAAGAAGGGGGCCGCCGCGTACCTCGACCCCTCAATCAAACCAGCCAAATATGCACCGAAGCTTGACGACATACCCTACACACCCCGCACCCCCGTCATGGAAACCCTGAACGCATCGTCACCCAGTGCAGACTTGTCATTCCTGAAGGCGCAGATCACGGCCGACGATGCCGAACTGCGGGAGATCCTGCGCCTTCAGAGGAAAGCCGCGGGTGTCGCCTCGGGGGCTTCTACCTCGGGCATCGTCAAGAAGAAGAGCGCCAGGAACATATTGCCCTACAGCGCCCAGCCGCACCTCATCCCGCACATGTACGAGCCGTTCGAAAGCGCCAAGTTCGTCACTTCGAAGCAATCCTTTGGCAACGCCGGCAGTGGCAAGGGCTGGGAATGGGAGCCGATGCCGCCAAAACGGGGCGTCGGTCCACGATTGTAAGAAGACTCAGACATGTGTGTCCAAAACTTGAACCACGCCCGCGGGAGAATCGGACCTGAGGGGTTTCTTTTGTATATATTGGTCCATGATACTTATATGTTGTATATATCGGTCTGCTCTACCGGGGCATGATGGTAAACGTGCCCACGCAGTATCTTATGTGGAGGTGGGGAGTGGGAAAAAGGTCCTGGAACGAGGGGCGGGGCCAATCTGTTGGCAATTTGCTGGGGACGTATAGGGAGCATAGTTGGAAGGGCACAGCAGCTCCAAGAGCGTTGCAACATACCATGGCTGTAATTTAGTGTATACATATACTGAAATACTTAACTGTAATGTCTTGTAGGAGTCATAATGAGCCTCACTTGTATGTTCGTCACGAGCATCTGCGCACGAAGTGCCTTTGGGCAGGGGGCATGATACATAAACCGTGTTTCCACCCTCAGGCCACTTCAGGCTGCCTTGATTGGGCAGGATTGATGGATTGTCGCTTTCGAGCTTCAAGGGGCCACTTTGAGCATATGAAGGGCATCTCCTATATCATCTATCGCCAAAGGTCACTGAGACCCTTAGCAATACGCCGTGAAAGACAGCGAAGCACATGAAAAGGTGACGATAAGGTCCAAGTGTGGGAATAACTCTTGGCTTTCCAAAATGCAATTTCTACTTTGGTGCGAGGGAGGTAGCGAAGGCGAACACAACGCAGGTGGAATCCGAAGTCATTCACAGCTGGAACGTGCAAGTCCGCCGTATACAGAAGGCTTGGCCCAACCTGGGTGTCATCACCTTCGGAATGTGTCGCATATTTGTCCTCCCCTGAGAACGCCACAACCGAACAGGCGTGGAGGACTCGCGCACCTGTGATTGGACACAGGCCGTCTTGGTAAAGGCAGTGAAAGATCCTGCACGATGCACTGAGCTATTTCCGGCAACAGCGCCTCGTTGCAAGAACACCCAATGAAAGACTGAAATGTCAATTGTTTTTCAGCTACAACTGTTTCTTTAAAATCTTCTCTCTCCAATCACTGGATTTCTCCATCCACCTCACTTGCACACTTACCTCGAAACACTATGACAGACTCCATGGCAGGTGGTTGTGCCTGGTTGTATACCGACCCCTACGCATACCAGTATGCGGAAATACTCCAGGAATTTTCGCACTTGAGAACGCAGCCAGCAAAGGAAGACCTTCAAAGACTAGCTGCTGCTGGCAGCGGTCAATTGGCCGAGTTGGATGGAGAGTCGAAAACAGGGACGACAACTGCGTGGTATTTAGCACCGCAGCCAGAGTCAACACAGGCAGGCAGCACTCGCTTCGAGTTAGATGACACGACAACCAAAGTGAAGCCCACGCCGGAATATCCCCATGAGCTCCCAGCCGTCAACGAAATCGTGCACCGCTTCGAGCTAGAAGGCTCCTCGGCCGCACCCACCCCGAGGCCATCACGAGCCGGTTCTATTCACAACCATCCCCTTGCCTCAGCCTGCCTACTGCCGCAGAAGCCAGCCTTTCCACGAAATGACTTCGCTGGTGTCAAGCTAGAGCTCAACTGTCCTACACACCACACGGCGGGTGTTGGGTGCTGTGCCCCTATTCCCTTGAGCACACTTTCGCCGGTCCATCCTACGCCGGTTCGTCCTACGCCGGTTTCGGCTCCGCCGCGTCCACGACAGAGTCTGCCTCCAGAAAAAGCGGGAAAGCACAAGGCGACGCATTCGCAGTGCAGTCGTGACTTTGATTCGATCCTCCGTCGGTTGTCGGAGATTGAAGTGCGCCCGCCAGCTTCAAGGACGAGGGCGTCTCGGGAATGCGATCGGTATGGTACTTGGGGCGCTTGAGGCCGCACGTGTACTTTCGTACGGGAAACCGTACTGAAGTTCTTCGTTTTTTTAGATGGTATAACTAAGGTGCAGTTCTTGTCTTTTTGCACAATGAGAGGTATTGCGATTCTTTCGTTTGTATTTTACTAGTCTATACCGCAATTATCACTTACGTATTCCATCGACTACTAGTCACTACTTTTGTAGATACTTCATTGGTATACCTAAGATATCCAACTGTATACAATTCAAGCAAGCATTCATGTCGTCCAATGCAGCCTTAATATAGTCTTAGTACTACGACCGAAGATTGGATAATTCTCCATCGGCATATGAAGTAGACAATGAGAAACGCCAATAACTGGAAGCAGTCGCAGAGAGTGTACAAACTTTGTTGAGATGAAACGACTACCTTGGCTTTCATCGAAGCACTTAGTTGCGTAGTCAAGTTATCGTCAAGTGCAACTGCGTTGAAGGCCAGGGACCGGCTTCTCCTTCAGACGTGCGACTCGGGGGTGAAATAATATTATCAAGTAACAGACCAAAAATATGTGCGAGTTTTACCACTAATCTTGTCTGAGACATGGAGATTTTCCTCATGGTAGATATAGGCTTTGTTCTTGAAACATGTAAAATTGATGCAAATGTGAGCTTCTGTAGACGCTACAAGCATGAAAGACTCCATTTCTCAGGCTCTGATCGTGGTGAACATCCAAGAAGGGCCAGAGTCCTTTCCAAGTGTCTCACACTAAACCCCCGGCTGCGTAACAACAAGGATGTGCAAACTCTCCCCAGCGCTGTATAAACGCACCGCCGACTCCATCATGCCTGGGCCGTGGAGTACATCCACCGTGGCGATATCCAACCATCTAAATGGGATGGCGAAACTCCAAAACGAACTCCCAAAACGCCCCGAAACCCAGCCCCTATCCTCAACCCGAAGGGGGCTCAATATGCAAATGCTACCAAGGTATGCGCGCGCGTCAATGCTTCTACTTGGCGATGGCCTCAATCCTTGGACCTCGTAGATTCGTACGTATTGATCGCCCTCGCCAAGTCCTCGAGGCTATGCCGGTCCCCATACGACTTTTCCAGAGCTGCTCTTCTCAGATCCTCGGCGGCGGCGGCGGCGGCACGGGTGGCTTGCCGTTCTGTGCGTATGCTAGAGGCCACTTGCCGGTGCCAGGCAATTTCTGAGCTGGCGTAGTAGGCTATGGTAGAGACATTAGCAACTTCGCATGAGAACCGGGAGTTGGATAGGGCCAAAACTGACCAAATGCTGCTACTGTGACCACGGGGACTAGTCGAGCTAAGAGGGGCATGCTCCTGGACAATCTGGAGACAGCTGGCTTGACTTGTTGGTTGAAGTCGAAGGGGGGAAGACCTCCGCCGAATGAATTGGTCGTCATGGTGAGAAGTGGTGAAGGTTGATGGTGGAGGGGGTGGCTGATGATGTTGAGATTGTTGATGCTGTTGTGGCGTGTGACTGATGATGTTCTGGCTATTCAATCGTCGAAGATGGTGAAGCACCTATACCTTAAATACGACCGACTGTGCCATCCAGGACCTCCTATCCATCCCCTATCGATAAATGAAGACAACCACCCGCCCTCTCACAGCTTCCGGGTCATTGTCGTGAACTTGGGGAAATGACCAGGCCGTCTGCTGAGCGTGGGGTGACATTTCATCGCACGATGCCGATGTGGACCCGCGGCATCGTCCGGCTCCAGGGCGGTCAAATGCGTTTCCCCACAGAGCCAACGCGCCGCATGACGCTTGTCAATGCCCAATTGCTGATTTGACAGCCCACTCAATGATGCTTTCAGGGTTCTTGAAACTTGCTTGCTTGCGGAATCGCGCCAGATCTTACCACTTTTTCCCTGACAAAACCATATTGGCGCTAGAGATGTATTCCGGGGACACGAGGGGGCTACCGCATCGGGGATCATCCCGGGCAATCTTGAATCAGCTGGATTGAAGCTGGTTCGATTTTGCACAGCCGAGCGAGTCAACAACTTGAGCCTGGTATCCATACTTTGTGAGATCGCAACAACGGCATGCAGATGTTCACATTCCCTCTCCTCTCAACCATTTGCGATACTACTTTGGACCAGCCCCGACGGGCAGCTCTCCCCAAACCCAACTGAACCACTCTCGGTACACGCCGCCGTGGATTGACATCGTACCCGACCTCTTAATTTAGAGGCCAGACCTCGGACATTCCTTTCACCTTGTCTTGGGGGCCTTGAGACGAGACCTGCCCTGTCCTCGCAAGCGATCAGACGTTCAGTCAGTGAGATGCAAGAAGATCTGCTGCTTGCATGCTGAGTATCAATATGCATCTACCATTTATCGTCTAATCATGACCGCCATCCAACCGAGCTGTCCGTAACATCCAACAGATCAAGCCTCTCCGCCCCTCCCTCTCGAACCCCGACCCAGCCTTGACCTGCCCAACCTATCCCTCCAGAACAAATTCAGACCATACGTAATCGCATTCGCAAATCCCACGTACTGTGGTGGGCACTGCAAAATGGCCAGAACGTTGCTCGATGACGTCTGTCCCGTGGCCTCCATGACCCGGTTTACCAAACTCGGGACCCACAGGATAACGTACATGATGGGGTACCCGTTGAGCAATAGCATACGCCTGATGTCCCGTTCGGCCTGCCTCGATTGGCGACGAAGGTGGTCGTTGTTGATGGTGGTGAGAACAGTATTGTTCGGGTCGCTGTCTTGAGACGACCATTTTGAAAACTTCCTCGTCAAGAACGGATCGCGGCCGGACTTAGACGACGGGGCGCTGGTTGGGTAGCTGTCGTGGGTGTACTGTGGTGTATCGAGGCTTGTACCTCCTCCACTGGATGTCGGTCTTGGGCTGTTATTAGGAGTGACCGGAAGATGGGTCTCGCTGTTGGCCGAAATGTCAAACGTCATCCTGACCTGGCCAGTTGGTTCCAAGCCCAACGATTCTGAGGAAACCGGAACGGCTTCACCCCTGTTCTCCTTATTCGACACACTGAGTGTGGAGCCCATAGACTTGAAGTGCCGATGCATATACCACCAGATATATGTATAGGTGCCGATAGTGACGAGTATAATCACTATACGCCAGCCGTGAGTGAGCCCATAACGCAAATCCGTGCGTTTTTGCGAGATCCAGCACCAGTTCCCACTAACTGGCTTTACCTCGCCCATGGCCGTGACGGTGGTACTGGTGATGAACGGCACAATCCACACCGACAAACAAATCAGAGCTTTTCTGGCTGTCGAAGCTTGAGACAAGTGCCCCTTTCCAACCACTACGAGCAATGTAGCCAAGCCGATGGCGAGGATGGAGAAGTCAGTCGCCTGGACCGAAAGCTGTTCTATCCAGCCATTGAAGGTGCATGCATGACCTGGGACGAGCCGGTGGTTGCGGACATAGATGATGCCCGATATGGAATTGGTGAATGAGTTGATGAAATCTGGCCATGTTCAGTAATTGCTTTTGAATGTTGCATCGGGACAGTCAAAATATTCACCTGACAGCGCCAAATTCAACACCAAGGCATGACGAAAAGACCGCTGATCTCGACGGTAAATGACGAAACAGGTCAACACGCACGCCGTGGACACGCTAGAAACGATGCTGCCCGCAAGAGTAATAGACGCAATCAAACCATCGTACTCCATATCGGCGACATATAATCAGGCATTCATGTCAAATAGCACAAAGAAAACATGCATAGGTGGACAATAGCATATATAAGCGCGCAACAGTGCAACACATAACAAGGCGTTCTAAATATGTCGCCGAGGCATGCAGATCTCCGGTGCACTTCAATCGTACAAGAGCTACCTCACAGCCACCGCCTTACGCTTACAATTGATTATATGAGTGAAGCTGACATGCAGGTACATTGTGAGGCGGTTAGCTCCACCAGTGAGGCTGGCTGGCAGGCGGTGCAACGGTTGTGTTGCCGAATGCCATCATTTGGATCTTGGCATGAGGTGTGAGCAATACACCAGTTTTGACAATGAGGGCCTCTGTAGATTGGAAGAAGGCCATTCTGTTCGCTGGGGTGGAAAAGTTGAGTTGGATGTATAGCAGGCTACTCAGGTATATCAGGAAAAGAGGTATGAGGATCAATTGTTACCAGGCCGTACTATCGCGGCCGTCCCAATAGCTCCTTGAATGATACTGTCGTCCATCAGACTCGATCTTCACTTTGACCAGTTCCGGCCCACCGTCACCTGTTACAAAACCCAAGCGTTCTAACTCTCACAGTGTTATATTCTAACAGAGGACTAGTGGCACACAGTCCACTAGCGGAGCCCTAGTTACTCCGTAACAATGTACACTAGTTAGATAGGTAACATTCTACCGTTACACCTGACGGAGGTTAACTTAGCTCAATCAACATCACAATCCTCCATGAGGTTATGAGCCCTCTGCTTTCGCAACGCAGGCTGCAGCATCTACATCTTTTGCAGCATCATCAACTTCATCTGCATAATTTGCAACATCATTCATCATCATCATCGTTCAAATTCGACGATAATTCATTCTATTTGACACCAAACTGCAGTGCAGCAGAAACCTGCCTGCTGTTGCAAACCTTCGTTGCAACATATGGTGAATCGCGCTTGAAACACACGTGAATCGCACCGCAACTTCCGTTGAAAGCCATTGGCACAATTGACGAAACCATCATTCATCCAAGCCGAATCATCATCATCGCGAAATTTCGTATATCCGTACAAGATGGAGAGTTTCGCACCCAGAATCTCGATTAAACCCTTGACGGGCCAAATCACCCACGAAGCATGGACGCAATCCATCCTCGATGTCTCCAAGATCATGAAATCAACACAAGTCTTGGAAATGAGCAACAGACCACCCGATTCCCAGAAGAATGAGCAGGAAGAATGGGATCAAAGGGAAGTGACCCTTCGCTACATGCTGGAGCAGTCGATAAAGGAAAATATCATGAATGACATGATAAACCTTGGCTATACAAACGAATCAGTCCAAGACTGCTTGACAAAAGCAGAACAGGCTGTTTGGCAGAATCAATTCGGCAACAACTACAATCAACAGGGGAGATTTCTGACCATTTGTCTTGATATGTCTGAATTCAAGGATACAAGAGCATGGGTCAAAGAGCTTCTCTTCCTCAAGACAAAGATGGAGAAGGAACACGACATGAAGTTCTCCGAAAGCTTCATGATTCGAATCATTCATCAAGCAATGACGAAACAAGACAAGCACCTTGGCGATCGTCTCAAGGATTTGATCGCAGCTACCAAGATGAATTTCCAGAAAGTCCTTGCTTTTCTTCACGAAAACACAACAACAGTCGGCAAATCTCTGTCAAATGTTCATTCTGGCAGAGATAATGGCAGAAACAACAGCAACAACAACGGAAGAGTAAGTCGAGATGAATATATGAAACCTGACAAGAAGAAGGAAGCCCAAAAGAAGACCGAAAATGAGTCATACTGCAGGATTTGCAACCGCGATCATTCTGAGAATGAAGAAGGCAAGAAAGGTGAAAAGATCTGCAAACATATGACACAACCAGAGGGATGGAAGACAAATCAAGCAACGAGAACACGAATGAAGGTCCTTCTCGGTAAAGAGGCTGTGGCCAAGATATTGGATAAGAAGAATAACTCTCCATCCGCGACTTCCCTTCATTTCGGCACTTCACATCTCGCGATTGCTATTGATGACGACAATTGCTTCGGCAGCAGCTGGGATTCTGAATTCATTAACACAACCTTGGATTCAGCAATTGACGGTGATGAACACGTTGAGCAAACAGAAGAAAACGAACCATTGGCGATCTCGAGCGAAAGAGGTGATAAGTGGCAAGATTATGACGAAGTTTTGCAAGATGCTGCTGATCAACAGGAATCATATGCCCTGGCGAACACGTTGAATGTACAAGCTGATGACTTCGTCGTTAGTGGTTCGTCAGATCACATAACGAATACCAAAGAACGATTTACATACTTCAAGGACATCAAACCACGAAACTCTTTGACCAGCAACGGCGGATATTCCCAAGCTGTTGGCATGGGAACTCTTGAGGTTGAAGCGGAAGGTATTGACAACAAATACCGCAATGTCATCTTCGAGGAAGTATATTACTCTCCTTCAGCTTCTGCCACACTCATATCTGTTGGCAAATTACGCAAAGTTGGCGTAGTGATTGATGGCTATCGCAACTGTCTTGCAAGTGAAGATGGAAAGCCATTACTCAAACTTCATCTTGTTGACAATGTTTACATCTTGGGCATCAAGAAAACCACTATTCGACATGCTTATGCCTATTTGTCTGCGGCACAAGCATATGACCTGTGGCATCGTCGCTTTCTTCATTGTAGCGATGAGGCACTATTCAGAGCACTCGAACCACTGGGAATCAAGCTACATCGCCCACAAGGTTACAACTGCGAAACATGCCATGGAAAGGATGCTAAACGCCAAATTAACTATGATCCTTTGAGAAGACCACTAAAGATCCTTGACATTGTCGATGTTGACACGTTCAAGATCTCTCCAGTCGGAATCCATGAAATGAATCACGCTATTCACTGGTGTGACCGCAAAACAAGAATGTGCTGGCTTGAACTTATGGCTAAGCGTTCTGAAGTCTCTAATCTAATGATCAAATTTGACAAATTTCAAATCAAACAGACAGGAGGTATTGGAGTTCAGGAATACCACATGGATGGCGCCAAAGAATTCAATAAAGCGACTGAATTATTCGAAGCCAGAGGATCGAAGGTAACGATTACAGCGCCACGCAGCCCAGAACAAAATCCTCTGATCGAGAAAATGGGTCATATTCATGAAATTTGATTGCGGGCAGCTTTCCTTGACACAGGCGTACCCAAATTTCTGTGGCCCTATGCTCTGAAGCATGCCATAGAAGTTCACAACAACACTCCGAAGAAGTCTTTGGAATGGATTTCGCCTACTCAAACATGGGCAAGGGAGCTGAATCTTGATCAGCGACTTCAAGATGGCCTAAATCGAAAACATATGATAGCTTGGGGTACCAAAGTCTGGGTACACATTAAGCCAGAAGACCGCGTTGCCTCCGAGAAAGCGAACTCCAGAGCAATGGAAGGCCTATACCTTGGCTCCGAAGGTTCTTATGGCAAGGTCCATAAAGCCTACATCCCTGAGCTCCAACGCATAATTCGTACTCGAGATATGACGCACAATGACGCCTCACTGAAGGATCTTCCACTTGTGAAGTTTGAGGAACGCAAGGACATTGCTGAACCTAAACCTCTTGAGATCACCATCAAAATACCTACTAAGACGGACAAAGTTGACAATGCCAATCCTCCAGGCTGGAATTTGTTGGAAGATCAACGCGACAATTCTCAAGAACAGAGTAATGCAGGAAACAACGAAGAAAATGTTGGCAATGGAGGCAGCGATGATGACGATGAGGATCCAGTTGGTGACCAAGAAAAAGGCTTGTATAGATGTCAAACACATCAGCGGCATGTTGATGGCAGCAGACGGGTTGACGAAGCTATTGAAGAAGGCGAAACACCAGAAGTTTATCGAGATGCTGGGCATGGTCACAATCAACGAATTCACAAATGGCAGATGAATTGAAAGTTGAGCGGTCACGAGCGGCAGAATCGCTATGAGATTTATTGACAACAGTCGCTAAATTGACGATTTGACGGCTGAAATTCATCAAATTGGAATATCAGCTTACGCTGGGAGGCAGTAACAGAGGACTAGTGGCACACAGTCCACTGGCGGAGCCCTAGTTACTCCGTAACAATGTACACTAGTTAGATAGGTAACATTCTACCGTTACACCTGACGGAGGTTAACTTAGCTCAATCAACATTACAATCCTCCATGATATTCTAAATAAAGTGGACTGAATTGACTGCAGATTTTAATTTGAGGTTTGCAACATTATTCATGACCTGTGCCACTACCATGAATCAATCATTCCATCTTTCCCCGAACCTACTTACCGAGCTGTGGCTTCAGATACAGGGTCACTGCGCCTTGCCCAATGGCCCTTACCTGCATGTTTTGACCAAAGATCTGATGCACTATGATCCCATAGAGCGATATAACGAACATCCTCCATATCCAATTTTTGACATACCATATCCATTTTGTTTCTCAACGCTTCCCAAGCTCGACTTTGCACTGCTACCGACTATGAAAAACCTCATGCAGGTGAGAAGCAAAGCCAGAGAAGCTGTCTCGGGAGCCTCTGAGCATGCTGTCATGCCGAATCGCGACGCTAGCCTCATTTTGTGCGGCGACTAGGGTCCCCAACGCCACCTTTTCTTCTTCAACTGGGAAGCAAACACGTTTTACTTCAAAACACCGGATATGGTAGGGGCCGTTTTAGGTGCTTGGACGGTGGAGAGGACTGCGTGGCATCCAATATAAAAAAACATAGCCATCTATATTATGTGAACGCCTATGCAGGTCGCCAACCCAGGTGAGATGCTTGACGGCAAAGGGGCACTGCAATCTGATGGTTTGGGAGAGCTTTCCGAGATTCAGCATCCGGTATATTATGTCCGTTTGGAGTGTCTTGCGTTTCATGGGTTTACAGATGACCTACAGCGTCTCACACTGGTGCTTCCCTGTGAGGAGATGCACAACCGGCATGTAATACCCTTTTCAATGAACAGGCAGCAAAAAAAGAGAGCAGGCCCTGTGGAATACATCAAGATCCTAGAGAAGGAGATGAAGAACAGCTCTTGGACCTACAAAAACGCCCTACGTCCCCTCATTGATGCGACGAGAAGGCTGGTGTGCAGGATCGATAATGCCCCCACTCAGATTGTCAGCCATGCAAAGGAGATGTCTAATACGCCGCAAGACGAGTCCTAGGGAGAGAGCGAGGCGAGAATGGATCCAGTGGTGCTATGGCTATGGAAGAAGTCTCACATTAAAGAGCGTGGTGATCCTTCCGAACGAGGATAGCTTGGCTTTCTCGGGGATCATAAGAATGTCAGGTGGAGCGACCAGTTCTACACGTTGTGATTCTGTCATGTCAGATGAAGAGATGAAGAGATGAAGAGATGAAAATTCCTTTATAACGTTGTAGACCTTAACCTAAAGTGAGGTAGGATCAAAACTAATGCCTGCAAAGCTACTAAACTAAATCAGATGGGTCGGAATTCAAGTACTAGGGGCTGCATTGGTACTATGAAGGTGCGTAAGGGATAAATACCTAGTTGGCCCCGAGGGATCCCTAAATACTGCAACGCGTGCCTGCCTGCCTTGTAACCCTCTATACCTGAGGCTGCAACTTCCCACAAGATGACCATTAAAGAATTTTGTGGCAATTCCCTCTACCCTGAGATATCCAAGGGAGCGGCTAAAAGCAAACTATTGACGACCTGTTCATAACACATCCAACACCCTTTGTTGTGTAAAACGACGGAGAAAAGAGAAGAAAACAAAACAACGATACAGAACGCCAAACGATACCAATCCATGCTAAAGGAAACCCCTTACACCTCCGTAATGTCACATTCAATCAATAATTGTCCAATAATGAGAAACCCTTGTCCTAAAGGCAGGATCGAAAGAAATCCCATGTTGTGTCCTTGTTCTACAAGACCCCTCTCTGTTCGTCAGACTTCTTTTGCGTATTCTGCTGTGGCATTGGCAAATCCTTCAGCGCGGTCATGCGAGAATACAGTCCTTTCCAGAAGGAGTCATTAAGACCCTGATCCGCGAACAAGACCTCCAAGTCTTCCTTGCGGTGGGGAGATTTGTTCAGCCCGAAGTACTGGTTGATCGCGGCGGTATTGGCACAGCGGTCAAGCGCCTCGCAGTCGATGGACATGCCCTTTCGTATACAAGCGACGGTGTAGTCGACCCAGATCTGAGAATCTTTCGAATTGAGGCTAGGTGGCATTTGGCGGAACTCAATCGTTTGCCACCTGAGGCCTTTGAAGTTCCACTTCCAATGCTTCGTGATGATGTTCTCTCTTCGTCGGTAGTCGCTATCCTCCCAACAAACCATCTCGTAAAGTTCCCTGGTGCTTTTTGTGCCGCTAATCGTGTTCCAGCACGCCTGAAAGTCTGAAAAATCCGGCAAAGTCGCTCCGGTGTTGACGTCGGTAACGAGTGTGTTCGGCTTCGAGTAGATGCTGTCCCGCCAGCCTTCAACCACGAGATCGTTGAAAGCTGGTTGGATGTAGTGAGCGAAAAAAGCCAGAGGTTGCAACTGTCTGAGGGGCATCACGGGGCCCTCTTTCTTCATATCCACGTCCCGCGATTCTCCCCCTGACCATGACTTTCGAGAGTAGTGGACGTGGGTGTCACAATCTTTGTAGAGTTGGACATGGGGCATTCTTATGGAGTCCAGCACACTCCAAACCTTGTCGATCTGTCCCCTCCAATCGTCGTTGAAGTAGTGGAAAATAGGAGTCTTGATCTCGACACCGATCCAGCGGATCTTGTGTTCGTGGTCGCTATGGTCTGTGTAGACGCCTGCAAGAAATTAACATTAGTTCAACAAACGGAGAAATGCAGGAGAAAATAACCGAAAACAACCACCTTCTTGCACCTTGTGATTGTCAATTGTGTTATCATGGGTGATTTGCCAATTGCCGTACTCGACAGCCTTGTCCTTCGTCCTGTCTTCTGGCCCCTGGAGGATGACATTTTGCAACCCCGTTCCTTCGATTTTGGCTTTAATCTCCTTTGCTTTCAAGTCCCAGAGCTGGTAGAAGGTGCTGGTGTCCAAGGGGAACGCCGCCTCGGGGAATTTGGACCATACTTGTCGGATGAGCTCTGGAGATACTTCCACCAAGACTTCAATCTCTTGCCCGAAGGTGTCCCCATCTTCCATAATTTTAGTGGTCATGGTAGCCGCAGGGCGCAGGGCGCAGGGCCAAGAATGATCAGAGCCGCTGAGGTAGGGATAATGACGTAAGCCTTGCACAAGTCCATGATGAAGCCACCTCGAGCTATCACAGCTCCATTTAGGTGTCTTGCTTTATCGTGCCGTTGTAAGCGTTAGTATAATGTGTCCCAAGTACATCATGGTCAGCCGCCCAGGTACGGGTTCGGATGACCTCAAGACCGTATAAGCAGAGACCAGTGCCTCGGGGACTATTAAATGTTGGTTGCCTAAGCCATTATGCTATTGTGACGCTTCCAAGTGAGTTGAATTCGCTACGTCGCATAAATACGGCATTATTTCTGATCAGATGCAGCTGGAGTGCGTGGAGGGGCCATGATTGCGTGCTCAGGTACAGGTGTGACAGTAAACATCATGGGATTTTTGGAATAAAAGAGTTCTGGCAGTTATATGCTATTCTTCATCTCGACCAAGAGAGGTGTGGCAAGTGTGAGGCTGATGGAATAATATTGAAATTGGTCCCGCTGCCCCGTGCTCACACGTTGGCCGAAGGGAAGCAAAGGATATTTGGAAGTTGACATTGTACAAGTTAAACAGCAGGGTTGCGGGCATTTGCCGGTTTGCGGGCCGAGAAGGAAATATAGGAATATCGATGAACCCATGATTGGATAGTATTGTATACATGAGAAAAACGCGGCCACGTGGCCCCCAAAGAAAATAAAAATAGTTCTGTTGGTTGAGGATGGTATTTCGTCTGTGACGATGTGTTCGACGGCCAAGACTTTCATTGGTTCCACAAGGGTCTGGAAAGATAAAGGAATGGAGTGCCACATGATATCATTTGTGCAACCAACAGTTCACCCCGGGTGGAGGATCATCAGCACGCGACCTTCGTCCAGTAGCGGCTAATAGCTCTGATGATTACGCAGCGAGTATCTCGTTGCACGGTGACTCAGCGCAGCGCTCATCGGAGGGGCCGAATTCCCCCAGCTCAAATTGTGCGCCGCGGGTGGGCTACGGGACCCAGACACCTGTTTCATTAGCCAAATAGTGCAGGTATGAGCGGCCGAATTAGTGCGTGTGGGGCTAGCCCCTATATTGCCCACCTCCTTTCCTGATGATCTCGGGCACCAAATAACGATGAGAGACTCTGCTAGAATCCGATATTCGTGTCATTTATCCATAATTCATTTCCACGGGCCACAACATTGAGTTCAGCTGCAGAATTCGAGCGCATCGTGTCTTTGATCAATCTTCCGCCAACAGACCAAGGAAAAAAAGAAAATTGTCAAGGGTGGACCCACGTCGTGTAGATGTAAATTTATACGAAGGCCAAAAAAGGATGTTTTTTTCTTCTTTCTCTATGATGGTTACTTCTGGTTTGAGGCGGGGTTTTGTAGCCCTGTACTTGGCCGTACCTTCCCACCTGATGTAAGCGCCCGGCACTCAATCCTATGCAGGTGACTATCTGGGGATACAGAGCACAACGAACGGATTTGTTTTAGTACTGTATTGATAATAGATCCAAAAACTGCACGAAAATAACTCACCATCAGGACATCTCACCTGTGTTACAAAACCCCTAAATTGCTAGGTTCACTATGTGAACGATGCAGTCAATGACCATTGCCAAATCAATCCTCTCCGTGTGTTGCTTTCCAAGCCTGATCGTCACAAGCTTTACTCTCCTGTCCAAAGCACACGAGGTTCCCCTTATCCGTGACCATGAGGTTGTTCTCTGTACACATGATCGTGAACCAATGTCCGCATACAATTCATTGCGGTCAAAAACAAGAAAATGAAATTCCTACCGAATCTGACACTTTGGGTTCCCTGCTCTCCCTCGCAACTCAATGTTTCGTTCCCATCTGTAAAGAAGTTGATGCTGTGACAAGAACGCTTGTAATTCCCGCTGTGAATTCCGTTAGTGGCCGCAGTCTGAGGCGCATAAAAGCAACTTACTTCTCTTGGGGAACCACAACGAGGTCCTGGTAGCCATAGCAGAGATTCATGTCAATGACACTGCACTTTGGTTCCGACATACCGAGGACCTTGCAGTTAGTGATGAGCTTGCTGGAAGCTTCATAGACGTTCTGAGGATTCTTCTCGTAAGACGCCCATTTGATGCCTTTGTCGCCGTGCTCAGTGTTGGTTATGTAGTCGCAATTTTTCATCAGGAAAGGCTCTTGATTGATCGTTTCACCGGCTAGGACGGGAGAGCTAGCTAGAGCGAGGAGGATGGTTGAGAGCTGCATGGTGCTGGGAGGGGGAATGACTGCGTGGATGGATTGTCTTGCCGAAGGAAAGGTAGTGATGTGTGCCGCAGATGGCGAGGAAGGGAAGTATGATGTTATAGTTGATTGGAAACAAGGAGTGATGTCATTGGCTACAAGCGATTACTACTTTCGTGAGAAGTGAAGAGACGAATACGAGTTTATTACATTGACTGCCCCTTGCCTGTCTATGTAATGAAGTTTGCGCCGAGTTTTTCACGTTTCCGCGACACAATTATGTGAGGAGGGGTGGAAACTACATAGTACATTCTGGGATATCCTCGTCTTGTTGGAACCGTTGGATTGGCCTGCTTGAATGTATCCGCAAACATAAGAGATTGACAGGTATCATAAATCGGAACTTCCTAACCTGATTCGTTTGTTAAGAAGGATGATGCAACCAGAGAGATATCCAACAGTGCCGTGCTGTACTCCACATGGCAACCTGGGAATGCAGCGGTGAAAGGCACGCCTACACGTTTTCTTTACAATCGAAGTCCATATGTCCTTTTCCAAGTGCTGTACAGGGTCATCTGTCGCAAGGGGGAGAGGCTAAGTGCTGCATTATCATATGCTTGAACCAGGTTACCCTACAAGAGCCGACCAGCGCAACTTGTTGATGTATATTCCTTGAGGTATCCTGAAATACAAGTTTGCCGTCATCCCATGAGCCTCCATGGAATGTCTTTCCACCTATAAACCTTCCTGCGGGACAAGTCGCACTTGTTCCACCCGTTACAAGCCGTCTCATTTGATCTGCGTCCAGTCCACATAATTCAGACATTCTGACGTGGCTGCGGCTCAGCCTGACCCCGTTCTGCAGTTGGCTTTGAAAGTTGACCTGTTTCTCAACATATTGCATATTGCCAGTATATCGTCGGTAATTTTTTCGAATCTTCGGTTTTCTGACCTCTCATGACTCAGTACCTCTACATCAGCCAACCGATTGGGGTGAGAATAATCGTGACCACCAGGATAACCAGGGAGATGATGGCAACGGCAGGGAATTTCTCTTGGGTAGAGTTTGAATCCATTGTGACGTCGTCAGCTTGATAACTGGGCATCATATTCATAAGATTGGGCAGTTAGTAAATTCCTCTTCCTCAACCTGACTCTCTGCCATCACGAAACTTATACTGATTTTACATAAAGATGCATGGCAACCAGCAAGGCTATAACCTGGGCCCACCAACCACCATTCTTTCACAGTTTTACGAGGCTGTCAATCCAGCATCTAGTCCCTTGACACTCAACAAGCAGGGCTATAATATGGAGTTAACGAGCCTCGAAACCCCCGCCTACTGTTTCACTTCATGGCTGCCACCCCCAGCAATGAGATCATACCCTCCCAATGTTCCCAAGCCCAAGAAACCCCATCACACTACACCTTTGATCCTCGGTGCTCATATCTGGATGAAAACTTGGTACAGTCTTCATTTGTCACCCAAAGTCACCCCAATAGAGCTTCTGGTGTAGCTGCACAAATGATGACCATGGACGCTCCTATTATTATCGGTGACCCAAGTTTGACCTCGTCTGCAAGTTACAATACAAGACCATATGTTACCATGCCGGAAGGGACGGGCCCATTCCAAAGCCCATTCAACATGACCCTACCCCTCCAGAGTCTTTCAACAACTGTGCAGGTGACATCAACACCTACACCGCGCATGCGTGATCTCGAAACGGTCACGAGGCCCAGCCCTCATGCTCCACCTCGACAAGACTCAACGGCCTCCAGGTATCTTCCAATTCGACCCAGACAGCAGTCTGTTGTGATGAAACGATAGCTGCAGCATTGTGTTGCATCTACTCAGACGGCCACTCCTCCCATGTCTATGTCGACGCGACCGACCAACGAAACCCATTCTTAGCTGGATCCAATACAATGTCAAAATGCTGATATGTGATAAACTAACCTAAGTTAAGATTAAGTCCCGTGCCTGATATCCTTAACTCCAAACCATGCAGCTGCCTTGTCAACCTGGATTTCCTGTGCCAAGTCTACGCAAACTTGACATCCCCCGCCTTCTCATAAGCATACGGTACACTCGGCGTCTTCCAGCCCCTCGTCCCCTCCACATCACTAATACCCAACACCGGCTTCAGTATACTCAACCTCTTCCCTTGAAATGCACTCCCCTCAAAACTCTGAAACAGCCCACTTCCTTCCACGAGCTTATCCCTAAACACCTTCTTCCACCCCTTCCAAACCGCAACCAGCAAATCCAGCACATGATGTGATCCCCTCATCTCATCCCACTGGAACCGTTCCGCACACTCCTTTACAGTTTCCTGCGGGTATAGTCCCACCTCGGGCGTAAGCGCGTACGCATTCACCGCCGCCAGTGAAGCGTGCACATAATAACTCCCTCCCTTGGTAGCCCTATCCCTCAGTGCCAACAAGGTGCCGACGGCACCGAGAGCGCCGGTGGTCATATCGCTAATAGGCAGCGAAGGCAGCACAACCTCGTTATTAGGCAAGTTCAGCGAGCGTCCAATAACGTACGCCGATCCGGCGGCGGCATCAGCGATCTGCTGCCAGCCGGGTCTCTCGGCGTAATACCCATCCGGACCGTAGCAGTTCTCAGAGACATACACGTATCCCCTTCCCCTCTCACCGGCCAGCTTCAATAAATCGTGCAGTCCGAGACCGTGCTTGGGCATCTTGTTAATGCGGAAGCCCTGGATAAACACGTCGGCCTCTCTGACCAACGAATTCAGCAGCGCCGCGTCATCAGAATTCCGCAGGTCGATGGCGATAGTCCGCTTGCCTGCGTTAAAGGTGAGTTGCATCATATTAATATCCGGCAGATGCGGTGAGTTGACACGGATCACGTCCGCGCCCAAACTAGCGAGGATCGTCCCGATTTGCGGGCCGGCGATGACGCGCGTCATTTCGACAACTTTGACGCCCGCCAGGGGTCTACGATCGTCGGGCTTTAAAGGCGGGAAGGCGATGGGCGGCGTGGGGACGGCGTGCGGTTGGGGCTTGACGTTGATGAGCGGGTGGCGGGCTAATGTCTTGCCCATTTCGCTCTCAGCCCATTGTTTAGGGGAGAAGCAAATGCTACCGCAGAAACCGTTCAACAGATTAATCATCTCGAGTTTCTCGGGGCTGAGCTTGCGCGTGTGTTCCGCGATGTGACACGCGGCTTCTTCGTTGGATGTGATCGGGGCCGAGGGATCGATGCCGATGGATTTGAGAACCGGTTCAGCGTTCATGGAGCCATGGAGGGCGTACCACGTTTCTGGGTCAGCGGTGGGGTAGAGCGCCGTGGTGCGGTACTTGAGGGGGGTGTCCGTCCAACCCTGTTCCCAGTCAGGGACCAGGGAGCTAAGTTTCTTCTGTGCCGCGAGGGAGAGGATGTCCTCGCCATCTAGGAAGGCTGTGATAACGCAGCCGAACCACAAAGCGGTGTGGGTGGTGTCGACGGTGATTTCGCGGTCCTTGTTCTCTGCGCCGCGGATGGCGAGTATTTCGTCGGCTAGGACGCCTGTCATGGCGTGCAGGGCTGCTGCAACGGAGACGGCCTTAATGGGGCCGGGGATCACGGGGTATTCCTCGCCTGTAAACTTGACCTTGGATAGCAGCTTTTCATCTTGGGTGAAACCGGGTGTTTGAGATGCAATGAGTCGGAATATGCGCTCGGTGTCTTGCAAGATGGGGACGAAGGTCTTGTCTGTGTAAGAGCCCGGTCCGTAGACATCGGGGGTTCTTGACTCTTGAGACATGGTATCGCTTTGGGTATATATCTCAATCGACAATAAGGTCTCGAGTAAGAAATCGGGACTGAACTTATGATGATAGACAAGGAAAAATCCGACTCGCAATAGAGCTACCTAGAAACACTTGATCTTATATTCACATTATCTCCACTGGAAGACGTGGAAGCGGGGGGTACCCATACAGCAACGGCCTTCCTACAGGATGAAAAAAAGCTAGCAAACCTGAAGAACCTGTCACGATACCAGAGAAAGGTATCTTCAGCTTGCCCCGGCTCATCCGGCACGAGAAGGTAGCGACAAAAGGCGAGAGCCGACTTCATGAAGAGTCAGGGATGGTATTTCGACGATCAACACATGAGAATCCGTCCCAAGCATGAGGAGAGAAAGTCGGGGGGAAAATTTTCACCGATTCGTCGATTCCCGAGACTGGTAAACACGTTGTTGTCCCACCTTCTCCTCGGCTCAGCACTGTAGGGTGGATGTTCAAGTGCCGTCACGATTTGTCGTTGGAGCGGGGACCCGTTTATAGGGCTGAGGCTTGCAGCTCGAGATCCTACGTCATGCCTCGGCTCGCGAGTCATTATACATACGGCATCCGCATTATAGGCCAGGATGATGCACCATAATTCCGCGCGCGGAAAATTCTTTTCCTTCCATGGTGCTTCGAGAAATGTTCCTTGTATGCAGATGCCGAACTACTGGGTACCAAGTTCTAAGGGAGGGGGAACTGCTTGCTCGGCCCTCGCTACTCTTTTAGGGAGATCGCGAGGGTAGGCCCAAGAAGAACCCGTTTGGCTTATTCATGTAATCTGACAAGCTCTCCTATATGGATCGACTTTTGACTCTGGACATACTCATAGATCCTGACGAACATCAACTGACAACATCTCTCATACATCCCCACAATTCCAAGCCTGAACCATTCAGACCGATATCCAACCTCGCCCATTCCCACTTCAAGCAAACGCCATGTCCACTATCCAAAAAGTAGCCGTGATAGGCAGCGGCTCTATCGGCGCCTCCTGGGCAGCCCTCTTTCTCGCCCAAGGCCTAACCGTAACTGCCTTTGACATCAACCCCTCGGCGGAATCCTTCCTGCGGACCCTAGTCGCCGACGCCCTCCCCGTGCTCTCCTCCCTCAGCCTCCTCAAGAATGCCTCCGCCTCCGCCCAAGACATCCTCTTCACCACCGACCTAGCCACGGCTATTCGCGATGCCGATTTCATCCAAGAAAACGGCCCCGAGAGACTCGAGTGTAAGCAGAAATTGTTTGGTGATATCGCAGAGTTAGCAGGGAAGGATACGATCATCGCCACTAGCTCGAGCGGGTTGACCTGCTCGAGTATACAGACGGGGATGCGTCCTGAGGCTGGGCCGGGGAGGTGCGTGGTTGGCCATCCGTTTAACCCGCCTCACTTAATCCCGCTGGTTGAAGTCGTGGGCGGTGCGCAGACGGATCAAGATGTAATCGACCGTACATTGGCCTTTTACAATTCTATTGGCAAGAAAGCCATCTACGTAAAGAAGGAGATTCCCGGTCACATCGCGAACAGGCTGCAGTCGGCGCTTATGCGAGAAATGATGTACCTCCTGCAAGAAGACGTGTGCAGTGTTGGGGACCTAGACGCAGCAGTTTCGTACGGGCCGGGATTGAGATGGGGAGTTATGGGACCGAATACGCTGTTTCATTTGGGTGGTGGGGAAGGCGGGGCTGAGCATATGGCCGACCATTTGTTGGGGCCGCTGATGAGCTGGTATGCGCCGGCTGATCCGGTTGTGGATGAGGGGATGAAGAGGAGATGGGTGAAGGGTACGTTGAAGGAGGTTAATGGGAGGGGATATAGAGATTTGGTTAAGCAAAGGGATGAGGAGTTGGTTAGGCTGTTGAACGTTAGGAGGGAGTGGGATGGGTATGCTGCTAAGCAGGCTGAGGCAGTTGCGAAGGAATGAGCGCTGGGAATAGGAGTTGTGTTTAATTCTGACGATTAATTCTTCCTCGCTGTGTACCCAGGCGTGGGATGCATATTGATATTCCGATACAGCCAACGAAGCCGTCTTCAATGCATCGCGACATTGCCTAACACGTCAAGCTCAGAGGGTACCAATATGGACTATGTTTCCCTTGATGTGTTTTCAAATTGGGTCTGTGTATCGGGGTTGACCAAGTTGGCGATGAGTGAGCCCTGAAGCCTGATTGAGCAAGCACATCGTCCAGAAGTTTTCTTCCAAAACGACGCCAACTAGGATGCCATGGGCGAAAAACGTGTCGAACATCGACGAATGAGCAGTGACGTGACCTGTTCATGATCTACGTCAAGGATCCGAGATCGGTGTATCCGCCAGCCCCATTTTCCAAGCAATAGAGATTTCCATAGGAAATCAAAGTGGATACAAAGCTGGGCTATCGTCGAAAAAATGGAAAATTACAACAGCGGCGTCAGACGAGACTCTCGGGCTCGCGTCTTCGCGGATTCGAAAGATACGGATGAAAAAGTCGGAAAATGGCATGATTGAATGGTTCCACTATGCAAAATGTGCACGGCGCACGGGGTGATAGACGCGAATTGTGATAAGAGGGAAACACGACGGGCTTGACGAGTTCGTAGACCTTGGCTCCTTGGAATTGAACGAGCGACCTATACCCAATTGAAGTACAATACGTGCTCATTGGACGAGCATCCGCTTCACCGAGTTAAACAAGTGAGCAAGCACACACACAGTACCACCGCCATCATGGGTTCCCAACCCCAACACCGCCTCTTCATCCTCGACACAGACCTCTCTCAACCGCACCCACGCAATGGCCGCATACTCTCCTGCCTTCCAGACGGCAGCGATCTCCAAACCGTCATCCCCAACGTCACCACCTTGCCCGACGGGATCACCATCGACCAGATCAACAAGCACATGTACTGGACCAACATGGGCCCGTCCTTCAAAGTGAACAACGGCTCCATCGAGCGTTCCAACCTTGACGGTTCTGATCGGCAAACCATCATCCCCCCCGGAAGCGACGTGGGCGTCTTCACACCAAAGCAAATCACCATTGCGCCCAAGACTAGGAAACTGTACTGGTGCGATCGCGAGGGCATGAAAGTAATGCGGAGCAGCCTCGACGGCTCAAACATCGAAGTTTTGATTTCAACAGGGAGTACGGACGAGGATCGTTTGAATTCGATGAAATGGTGTGTGGGCATCACGGTGGACGAGGAACACAAGTTCTTCTACTGGACGCAAAAGGGCCCGTCGAAGGGGGGAAAGGGGCGGATTTTCCGAGCCAGCACCGAGTTCCCTGCAAATTCGACACCGGACGCGAGACCAGATGTCGAGCTGCTCTTCTCGGGACTGCCCGAGCCGATTGATCTCGATATTGATGAGGCAAGTCAAACGTTGTATTGGACAGATAGGGGGGATCCGCCGGAAGGGAATTCGTTGAACAGGGCTTTTGTGGGGGCTAGGACGGAGGGGGGTGAGGAGGGGAAGGGGAAGAAAGAGGTGTTGGCTAAGAGGTTGCATGAGACCATTGCATTGGCGGTTGATTTCCAGGGAGGGGTGGCGTATGTGACGGATTTGTCTGGTGGGGTTTATCGGATTGGGTTGGAGACAAGGGAGAAGAGAGTGTTGTTTGCTGAATTGGGGGATATTACGGGAATTGCGTTGGCGAGTTGTTAGAGATAAGAGTGGAGTGAGGGGGGAAGTGGAGGTGGGATAGTCGGATATAGAGGTTCCAGTCGTGAAATTATAACAGATACCCACTAGTATTTGAAATGTACATTCATTTTGTTTTAGTGGTAGCCGTCTATATCGCCTTAGTCCTGGTGTGGCTGTGTCGTATATACTCCAAAAATGACAAATAAACCCCTTGAAACTCCGGCAAACGCCTCCTCAGAAATAAACAAACATCAATTCTCTGTAGCAGTCGGAAGTTGTGATGTGGCCATGCTCGTCTTCGTGTCCTCATCCCTCGTAGTCTTGGTAGCTGTTTGCAGAGTGGTCGTCTTAGTGGACCAATACTGCGCCAATACCTGCTCAACTTTGTTCTCAATTCCATACGGTTTGAAGAAGCCAAGAACTGGATGCGCTTGGTAATCGCATCATCGGTGAAATCCGCAGAAATTTGGGGCTTGGCACGCCACCGCGGTTCCATAGGGTCGATGTAGTGCGTCTCGTCGTATCCCAGATCCGCTATATATGAGACGTTGAAAGTGGCCATCATCTTGTGGTCCTCGTGGATGAGGTTATGACAGTGAAACATGTACACTCCAACCCAGGGGGCGTGGTATGCTTCCACCGTTACCGTCTGCCTCGGTCCGAGTCAGACGACGTCCTTGAACCCAGCCGCCTCATATGGCATGACCTTTCCACGAACGTTGGTCCGCTTGGCCACCTCGAAGTCGACGAGATGGATATGAATGGGATGCGACAACCCCCACTGCTATTCTCCAACTCCCAAACCTCAACCCTGCCCCTGGCCGGCTTAGCCAAGACGCGATTCTTAACATCCGAAAACATAACCCCATTCATCATCCACCTGCCCCCCGTCATCTCGAACTTGAAATGATGGTCCACGACTCCCATGTCGGGGGGATACGGAATCGTCCGCAACGCATTCGGCATATCAGACCGGTCCTGCACGATATTGCCCGACACCACAAACCGCATCATCTTGTTCGTGTGCAGGTAATCCGTATCGAAGGCGAAGCCGCGCGTGTTTCTTAGAGTGACATTCTTGCCCTTGTATTTCGAGAAATCAAACCCGATCTCGTACCGTTCCGCCATGGAAATATACAGTTCCTGTACCTTCTGCGCTCCGCTGAGCAAGCCCCCGTCCGAGGCTATGACGTGAACGTCTGCTTCTTCCCGATTTTAGATTTCTCGTGCTTTCAAAGTACAGGAGGAAAGAGCGCGAGATGGAGGCGTCGAGGAGCCGGAAACGGTACTTGGGCGGCTCAGCTTTAAAATACGGCCAGGGTTGGCTGTTGACGTGGATAATGTCGCCGTAGAGACTGGTCGCGGCGGGGGAGTACAGCGTCCCGTCGTTGTTGTATTGTTTGGCTGACAGGACAAGTGGAATGTCGTAGGGGCCGCTGGGGAGACTGAGAGAGTCTTCGGCAACGTCGTGGAGGAGGTAGACACCTGCTTGGCCGAAGTAGGCATTCTCGGGGGTCTGAAAGATGTGGTTATTTAAACGCAAAGGGAAACGGGGAATGACGCGGAGAAGATCTCACGTGGTCGATGGCATGGTCGTGATACCACAGCATCCTTTCCGTTTGGTTATTTGGATAGTAACAGTCTTTGTACTCCCCTGGCTTCGTGGTGTCTTCAGCCCAACCATCAAAGGGAGCTCGCTGTAACAATTTGTCAGTCAACTGATTCAGTTAAATGGAGCTTTTATAACATGAAACTCACCGAGTAAGATCCGTGCAAGTGAACAGAATTGTTCATTTTGGCTTTGTTGATGAAGCACACCACCGACTCAGTCCCCTTTTCCATCTTGAAGATCGGACCAGTTGAAATGCCATCATATACCACAATCGTGGCTGGCCTTCTATCTGGGCAGACTATTGCTTGAATTCCCTCATCTCAATCTCAAAGTACTGAATGGCTCCTCCAGTGACCGGATTCAGCACTGTTCTGGGCAGAAGTGTCAGACATTGTCGCGTAATTAACTATACAAACATACTCATCTATTGAATGCTTTTATGGGATGATTAGGGAGTGGGTATTGGTAGAGCCATTTGTACTCAGGACTCACCCAGTCCTTTGCCAAACCGGGGTTGGCAAAGCTTAGGGCGAGTGTGAGACAAGTCAATATAGAGGACGCCATTGCCGAGATACTGCCGGGTAAGGATTGATTGCTTGATCATGAAACAGCTTCTGGTTGATTCCCAAGACATTCTTATCATATACATATACACAAATGTTAGACTGTGACATCGGCAAGAGGTTCTTGGGATGGGCAGTCTAGGCACAAGTTTTCGAAGGCGTTCCCGAAATATTGGTCCGGGTCATCGTTCATATGACCCCAGCCGGATCTGGGTTGTCCTTGAAGAATTTCTTGCTCTTCCACTGATCTCTTTGATAGAGACGCTTACTTACCCTGGTCGGTATAGTAGCGTGGCATCGTGCCAAGCAGCCGCCTAGGTGTAAGCCAAGAGTTCCTAGACATCGATGGATGTTCCGGCCTAGCGCAGGTACAACTGTCAATATTTCAAACAACTAGACATAGTTAGCAGCTTCTCTCCACATGAGAACAACTTTTAAAAGTCAAACGCCTACGGCACTTGTGGCTGAACCAAGGCGGTCCGCTTCCGCCGACCAACCCTTTTCTAGCCTGCCGTCCAGTTAGTCGACTCAGTCGGACCAAGACCCAATAGCACCCTTTATACCAACCGCAACTTCTTTTAGTTCACAAAAGGTTCCGTTTCAGCCCAAAGCGAAAATCCCCTATGCGACTGAACTTAGGAAAGAGCCACAAGAGTTGTTCGCCGCCTCGTCGGGACGGCAGATCGATCCCTGTCTAGATCGGAAAGTGGTGGACATAAGGCAAGTCTGGATTTTATGCATTTGTATAGGGGCTAGGCACTGTTGTGACGTCGCGTGATTTGGTAATTATTCCATGGATGCTATCCGAGGATCACTTGAGCCATGACTGCCGGATCTGCGAGTGTGGATGGTCTGGAGCCGATGAACGATCTAATAGCGCGTTGGCGACCCGAGAGGCTAAGACTCGGGAACTTGCCAATCGCTAAGACGGGATCACGGATAGAATTCCCTGAGGGACTATATCAGGAGGAGGTGACCTCAAGCTGTCACCAAACAATCTGAGACTTTGACCATCCTTCATTTTCCCGACACGATGTATCCCAATATGCAACTGTGGCGTTTTATTTTGGCCTTTCTGATAGGCAATGTTGTCTGCCAAGACGTCGGTTTCTCCTTTGGTGAGGCCATCGACAGTGCTTCTGCCACTGACACTTCGTTCCACACGGCCGGCTCCATCAGTGTCAATGGCTTCACCACCACCGTTCCCAAGAACTTGCAAGTTGGCCTTCCCGCTGCTTGGGTTCCGTGGAAAGATTTTGTTGCCGCGTAGAAAAGCGGCTCTTTTCCGGGCTATGAAGTTTCAGTGTTACGAAGTTTCAGTGACGACATATTGCCATACTTCCAAACACTCAGAGACATCAACACTCATATTAGGTCACCGGCAACTTCTTCAACTGCTGTGCCCCCATCGCAGCCCAGGTGGACATTGCCCAGTTTGCCACCCAAAGCAGTGTGGGATTCATCAGCAAAGTGAATTATGACAGCAATATGGAGATAGCCAACGGCCCACTCATCCGCATTAATGACCCCAACGCCGTCTACTCGGCTGGCTACGCAGGCTCACCCTTCTTGAAGGCCGACGACGAAAACCCCAGTATCTCATCCTTTTCCGGATTTAGCATGTGTGTGCCACGCATGGCTAAGGATCCTCTATGCCCTGATTGTAACCGACCCAATATTGGAACCACTAGGAAAAAGCAAGGGACGCTCTGATCCTCTTGCCATGGCGCCGTTTGTTGTTGGTGATTACATCGAGTTCTCTGGTTTGAAGAACGCAAAGGGAGAAACAATTTACTACGGCATAGTGGCAAATAATATCTAGATCGTGACGGGTCGATCTCCAACCTAGTAAGTAACTGCATTTCCATTTCATCGAAATGTATGACTAACATAACTACTAGCATCCACATGGAAGACGTCAATATTGGTGAATTAACTACGAACCCCGCCGCAAAATTCGCCAGGACCCGTTTCGTAGGCTAGGTCTCCGACCCCGCCTGCTCCCGTCTGACTATAACCGCCATCGAAATGGACGTCTGCACGGGTAAACAAACCTTCCGCTCCATTACGACCGCCAACACCAACTTCGCCCAACGCCTAAAATTTACTGCCACCGACCGCTACGTGCGCGAGTACCGCATCGCTACGGCGGCGGCGCCCGTACTGACAAAGAACAACATCACGGTGGGATTGTACGTCCAGCCTGTCACCGCGTGGATACAGCCGGAGCAGGTCAACCCCGGGTTAGCGCCCATCGCGAATGCCTTTTCAAAGTTCAAACACCTGGCTAAAGGCTTTGGGCTGAACGAAGAGGGGAATATCTGGGGCCCGCTGGACCCCTTCCTGCAGACTGGCGTAACAGTGTTCAAGACCGCATCCTGCCCCCTACTCCAATCCGTACAACCTCTTCTTCAACACCCACGCCATTGCATACACCAGTGGACATCATACGCGTGACGCTGGCGACATGGACGAGTTCCGGAGGCGGCACGATGACGGTCACGTGTACGTCGAATAATACGAATAGTGCGCAGGTGGGGATGACGCTGGATTAGGTATTGGCGACGGGAACGACGGTTTTCGGGCTGGGCATGAGCAGTACCACGGCGAATCCGGGAACGTGGACGTTTTCTGCGACGAAGGTTATGCAGTCTAGTAGTGTCACTTGTAAGAGTAAGGTAGGTGGGAGTGGGAGTTTGAGGGTGACGCCGCGGAGAAGGAGGAAGGCGGCTGTATATGATGACATTGAAGAGGAGTTGCATAGTGAGGTGTTGGAATGATGAGTGATACAGCGGAGGTCTGATTGGGATTTCGGGGGTGTTGGGTGTTGGGTGTTCTCGGAAATGACGAAACAGGAAATATATGATTGTACATATATAATGGTAACCAAAGATCCAATGACCGTTGCTTTAATTTCTAGACTGAGCGCGGCCCGTCTGTCTAAGTCGTGACTATACTGTGTTCTTCCACAACCCTTCTCTTCCTATACACATCAGATTAACACCTGGTGGTCTAGATCAATTTAAGGCTCATGCGTGAACTCTATTATGGCTCTGGGGCGGTCAGAGCACCGAAACCGAAGTCTGGATGATTTCCAAGTCGGATTTTCTTTTGAGTTTGACAAGAACGGAGATTTATACGAAGGCCAAAAAAGATGGTTTTTTTTCCTTCTTTCTATGATGGTTACTTCTGGTTTGAGGCGGGGTTTTGTAGCCCTACACTTGGCCGTAACTTCCCATCTAACGGATTGATGGGAAATGCTGATGCGCTCAACATGACAACAATGAGTGCCTTTGCCCTACCAGTGCATATTATATATCTAGCAACATATCAACGTTGCAGCTGAGCAGCGGCTCATCCCTTGATTGTGAGCGAGAATATCTCAGTCAAAGCAGTTAGCCAGGGAGGGAGTGTGGGAGAATGAAGTGAGAATAAGCTTTGATCTGCGCTAGGGCCCTCCACCTGGTCTCGATCTTGATATAGCTCATGGAATTTGGGCAGGGAATAAAATGATCAGATGAAATCATACCACCAATGATATTTGACTGAGGCTGGAAAATGATATTAAAACCATGATCTGACTCGCCAACAGGATGCTGTCTTCGGAAAGCTTTGTTCAATAAGTCAACTAGACTTGATCGAGCCCCTTCGCAAGCTCTGCCTTACATGTGGGGATATTGTAATGTGCACTCGGCAATATCTCGAGGATCACGATGGCATCATATCAAGATCCCATTTGAATTGAAGTTTTAGAATCTAGACTGAAGCAGGCCGGATCGCTAAGATCGAGACTTAAGTGGAAAATCATACCTTTCGGTAGATCCGTTGCAATCTTATTTGCTCAAGCCGTAGCTGCTTTGAAGTACTCAAACTTCATCATATACCATATTATGTTGGGTTATATAAAAAGGATCATCAATCCCTTGAATACTTACTCTGTTTCCCCAACAACACTCAGACTCGATCTCAGTATCTCGCATAATATCGCCTACTCTACACATCACTTTGAGATCAAATTTAACAAGCAAATAAAATGTTTATCAACACCATCATTACCGCTTACCTGATCTGGGCCGCCGCGGCAGCACCACTCGTCATCCCACCCGATGAAGCCAACATCCTCCCAATCGACGATCGACCAGAAGTCACCCACTACACCCCCCGCGCCATCCAACTTACCACCACCCCACTCTTCCCGCGCGTCATCCGCAACAACCCCATCTCCGTAGCGAAATTCAAGCAAAAGGCCAAAATTGACGATATCCGCGACGCGCAGAGGATTCAACACGCGAATCAGAACGCTTTGGAAGACAAGGAGCGAGAGGACATCGCTGAAGCCAGGTACAGGATGAATACAGCTACCAACAAGAAGGAAAAGCTGGCTGCGCAGAAGGACAAGGTCCATGAGCAGGAAGAGCTTATTGAGTTGAAGGCGCAGGGAAAGTACGAGAAGGCGGAGTTGCAGCGACAGAAGGAGCTGGCGAAGTGGAAGTTAGTGAAGATTAAGAAGGCGGAACGGGAGCAGAGTCGGGCGGAAAGAGAGGCGAGGTTGAGGGGGCATTGAATGATACCCGAGTCGAAGGCGATAAGAGAGAAAGAGCGGACCGCCGTTTAATTTACCTTATGGCAAATAATGTTAAGGGAGTTCATGGCAAGGTTACACAGTTTTTTGTAAAGATTGGGATAATAGCACCAGCAACTGTCGATCCAAAAAGTAATGAAGAAAACCACAAGGTTTCATTTTGAAAAAGCGATGGGTTCATGAGAGCATGCCACTGTATAATAAAATTGGAAAACCGCGCATTAGCGCACGATCCACTAATTCAACTTCTCCTGAGTGCAATTCTGCTCATACTGAATGAGACCGACCAGCCAGATATCTTGCTCCAGTGCCCGCGCGTTTGAAGCGAGAGAAGCGCCGAAGCGATCCTTTCTCCACAGGATGTGCCCGAGCTTGAAAAAGGTGATCTAGTATCGACAATCAGAGAGATTGCTGAAGCTGCCGAAGCGGAAGCGCTGCTCGCTGTAGAAATCCCAGATCGCGTCCTGGAGCGCTTTTGGTAGCTGGCGGAATTTTGGGGGAAATATTGTGAGAATGGAGATTGGATATGGAGAGTCAGTTGAGTTATCCTAAATTAAAAATATTATCGGACGAACAAAGTAGTCGATTATAGAAAGTGTGGGCAATTTCCTGTGATTGACAGACCAATCCGTTTTCAAATGAAGGTTTTCGCAACCAGCAACAGTGCGTATAATATGGTTGGATACGGTCAGGTTGAGAATCATCTATAAGATATAAATTATTCAGGTAATGTGTGATTGCACTGGTGCTGGCATTCTGGCCACATACGAAGGTGTAGAGGGGAGGTATAGGTGGAGGGGCCCTAAAGTATCCGAAGTGTACCTCACCATGACCTCAGGCCACCACTTCCACAGCTAATGAGGAATCAGTCATCTGTTGATGACTGTGGATGGATGGCTGCCGTATTTATCGCTGTGCCTGCTGTACGCGTTGTGCTGCATGGGTTGGTGTTGAGAGGGTCTGTAAGTTGCTCTTACTTTAAGGAACTCCAAGGAAGAAATGAAAGAAAGGAGTGACCCACTAGCTACACTAGCAGATGTACCGCTTTCTGCCTACGGAATGACTTTGGCGCTACATTTAACAGGGTACATATAGATTCTTCGGCTACGGAATAATTTGCGAAGCGAGCAGTAGCTCAGACGGTCCAGGGATGAACAAAATTCGTCAAAGCAGTACCAATTTTATGCTAGTTTTCTTTCGTGATAACTACTTTTCTATGAAAAAAACTTTCCAAACAGTATTGTAAGCATTGCCTCGCTCAATGCTACAAAATGTTTTGGGACATGACAAGAGGGCAATAAAGAAGCTCGTAAATGATACAGATCTAAAAGAGATGCCAGAACACAGTTACCTTTCCAGCAATGGAAGGTTTGAATGACTGGAAGACGTTTGCTTTGTTACAAAGGAAATAATAAGGTGAATATCGAAAATACAGGCTGAGACAGTACTGATTCATCTGAAACTTTGAATTTGTGTACGGTTTCAAGACTTATTATACTCTTCGGTATAAATACTGGCTCTGTTCACCAGAACCAAAGGGAATACCGTTGCCACGAAGATATCAATATTATGTGCTCATACATTGAGTTCATCACGAAGTGCCGCCAATGTGGTGGGAAAATACGGACCCTCAAAAGTGACTGGGTCTTCTGTTGGATGCGTCCGAAATGCCTCTACACATGTCGAGGGGCCGAGACTGCACTGGGAATGTGCTCTAGGTGCCAGAACGCCTATTCAGAGAGATAATAACAATACATACATGGATGGCAAATCAGGGACAGCAGTCTTAACCGGAACAGAGTCTTCTTTAATGCTAGTCTGGTAGAATAACAATAAGCAGTATCTGTGGAGGTGACAAATATTACCTGGTCGGAAATGCAAAATAGCATGATTGGAGATGAAAGTTATCAAACCCAAAAAGGAGGCATAGCTAGTTGTATGGAATCATTGTATCTATGAGTGTCTTGAAACATCATGTGTCATTTTTCAGTGCAGAGAGTTATTGATCCTGTGAAATATCAATTTAACTACAGCTTGTATAGGCTAGGTAAAGATGAAACTAGGTGAAGTGTATGGGGGCATCAACATAATTATAACAAACCCTGCTGTTTTTGACACAGCCTACTTCACAAGTGATTTGAATCATAGGAGTGCTTTATTGGTCGCAAATCACCTTGACTTGGTAAGGCTCAGCATCTGGAGCTGAAGCTTGTCAAATCTCCTCCCTTTTCGGACTAGTCCACCATCGCGTACTTATCCAACCTGGGTACTGTCAATGTCTCCGAACATCCCTGGCTATTGCGTCGTCACATTCATCCGTAAGCAGAATAGGTTGTAACAACGTCTCTGGACGTCTATTTCAGTGATCTGAGAAGCTCTCCTGGACTGCTCCCGTTTCTTCTGACCACAATATCGCCCATTACGCCTACCAACAATGATGTTCCTATCCCAACCACTCCACGCCCTCCTTTGGCTCGCCACCGTGCTCCGCTCAATCCCCGGCTTCATTTCACGAATCCGCACCCTAATCCGCCCGCCCCGCGCAATAAAATCATCCAGCGCCATCCGCCTAGGCCTCTTCGGCGCCTCCAAGATCGCCCCCATGGCGGTCATCAACCCTGCACATTCGCACCCAGATATCATCATCGCTGCCGTGGCCGCGCGGGATAAGACCAAAGCTGAAGCATTCGCCAAGAAATGGGATATTCCCATCGTGCATAAATCCTATGATGACTTGCTGGCCGACCCCTCCATCGATGCTGTGTATATTCCGCTGCTCAACGGCCTGCACGCCGAATGGGCGCTCAAGAGCTTGAACGCGGTAAACATGTGCTTCTAGAGAAGCCGTCGACGTCCAATACCGAGGAGGCTCGGATTTTGTTCGAATCTCCCTTGCTCAAGCAGGGAAGTGCACCGGTGCTGCTGGAGGCCTTTCATTATCGCTTCCACCCTGCATTCGAGGTCTTCAAGTCGCTCGTCGGCGACACGGGGAAAATTGAGCATGTCTCTGCTTTCGCAAACCTGCCGTGGCGCTTGATCATCCCTTTGATGATATATGCTTCAAGTATCACCTGGCGGCGCGCTGATGGACCTTGGCACTTATGCCATTTCCTGGCTGCGCAACACGTTCGATGCCGAGCCGGAGGAATGCATTTCTGCTACTTATACCAAGCTCCCACAGCCGTAAGTCAAGGATGAGCCCTACTCGAGGGTCGCCATGAAAGTCGCGTGGCAGTTCCCTGGCGGCGCAATTGGGGAAATTGATTCCAGCCTCAACAGCTGGGGCGGGTCGACTTGGTTGCCGGGCTTCATAGCCAAGCACTTACCTACCTTTGCTTTTCAACGGATTAGAGTCGAATTGAAAGAGGAGACTGTCCCTGCAGATTCTGGCATCAAACTGGCGACCGACGAGGAACACCGCGTCAACCGGACTGTCTCATTTTGCTCCCTGTGTTTCCTACGGTCTGGCACCGTATCGACGTCGATGAGGTCCACACTGTGCGCGACGGCAAGGGGTCGGGATCGAAGACGTGGCGAACTAGTCGTAGTGTCAAGGCTTACAGTACGGAGGATAGGGTGGGAGAGGCGTGGTGGTCTACGTATAGATACCAGCTTGAGGAGTTTGTTAATGCCGTCAAGGGGCGGAAGGGATCCAGGGTCTGGGTCAGCCATGACACATCGATCAAGCAGATGGAGATGATCGATTCGGCGTATGAGAAAGCGGGATTACCTCTGAGGCCAACGAGGGAATATAAGCCGTGAGCACCGACAGGCGCGAAATATTGTATGTTTCGGTTCATACATAACGGATTAGTATTGGGTTGACAAACTTTGTCTGTAGACTCACTGTATAACAAGACTGTAATAGTTGTAAACACTGTTTAAGAGCAAGGTCGTAGGGGTCGGGACAAAGCTTTTGTTCAAGAAGAGCTGTACTCCAATCATGCAACAAACGACTGACTTTCTCGACTGATTGACTGATCAATTCCAACAGAACGTGAATGCAACCTTCTCCAACTGTGGAGTCCGGAATCGATGTTTTCTCCATCCTTGTCAATATTCCCCCATATCTGCTCGGTCGAGGCCATGTTGAAAGCCCACCAATTAGGCTAAGGGGGACCCGTAGCGAGCCTCGTTTGCGGGGATATCGGGACGCGATGCCACGCTCGCGTATCTGGCTTACTTAAAACACCGCCATTTTCTTGCACTAGGTGAACCGAGGTGCAGTCCGCTCGATGATCAACTAAATGATGACTCCGCACGAACCGGCTGAATGGATATTCATCATGTATTTGGATAGTTGGAGAACGTAGGCTCTGGGCAGGGGAAAATATATATGTAAGGACAAAGGCTTGACCGGGTGGATGATTCTGTTACTTCCGAGCTGTGCCTCTATTCTAGCGTGTCTGGTGCTTGGTCGCTACCATGGTTGCCGCGTTGTCTATCATATTCCTCTTGGCTACGGTTGGAGGAGCTGTGTCATCGCCCAAGAGCCTCAATTCTGATATCACTTTACTGATCGACAATGACTTGCAAGGTAGGGTGGCTGACTCCGTCAATCAACACGACCACATGCTGATACCTGCAATAGGATCTGAGAGCCCGACAGCAAGTTCCGGAGTCATTATATTAGGACCAAGGCCATTGAAGGATGCCAGCACAGCTTGCCAAGCTCTGGGCGAACAACTGTGGTCTCCTGAGCTAAAGACAGCGAGTATACGGCCTAACTTGGACTATCTGATATATACCAAGAGTGCCCAGAGGCAAACAAAGTACTGGATCGCTCCCAAGGGCGTAGCCACTCGAACCATTGATGCCAGCGGCGACTACGCATGGACCAATGCATCGTCCCGACTACCTGTACTGTGCTCGCATACAGCCCCGTTTTCGAATGAGACGATTCAAGATACAAGTCCAAAGTGGCAAGTGACCGTGCGGTCAAACAACGAATATCTTACAGGGTACCGCATCTTTGCTTTTCTCCAAGCCAAGGTCAAGTCTGACATGCTGGTAGATTTCGAGATCGGTACAGCTTCCGCTTTCTGGGACTTCGCTACGCGCCGCAGCCTGAGCGCTTTACATACTCCGAGCCATATGTAGGCAATGGCGTAAATTCATCTGCGATGGAGTATGGCTCTCAATGCGTCCAGTCAGGCGGGGGATCTGAAGATTGCCTGTTCCTCAACATTTGGACCAATTTCCTCCCAGGGCCGCACTCGTCGAAGCAGGATCTGAAGCCAGTTATGGTTTGTCTCACCACGTCTGCCTCCTATACATAATATTTTGCTTATAATCTTACAGTTCTGGATCCACGGCGGTGCCTTTACCAGCGGAACGGCGAACGACCCAAATTTAGACGGCGGTAATCTAGCCTCAAGAGGCGATGTCGTAGTAGTCGGCATCAACTACCGTCTCGGCTCACTGGGTTTCCTCGCCCTGCCGGACGGCGCAACTAACGGAAATTTCGGACTAGCCGACCAAATCAATGCACTCGACTGGGTCCGCAACAACGTTCGAGACTTTGGCGGCGATCCCAACCGCATCACTATCTTTGGCCAATCCGCTGGCGCCGGAAGCGTGCGCGCTCTGATGGCATCTCCCAAGTCCATTGGTAAGTTCGCAGGCGCCATTCCGCTGAGTAATTTGGGCGGCATCAATTATGGCACGACATACAGCGAGTACTATACCATCGCCGAGGAGATGGAAGTAGCGGGCACCGCCATCCTGTCCGCAACCAACTGCACGGAGGCGCAGTTGCCACTCGACTGCCTACGAGCTCTCCCAGCCGAAACATTTACAACCCTCAGCGCAGTGGCTCGATATCCCGTAGTAGACGGCACTTACTTAACCTCCAACCAACTCCAGCTCCGAGGCCCACCCTTACCTGTTCACCTGATGATGGGCACCACCCGCGACGACGGCGCCCCCTTCATAACTTTCCCCACCACCACCGACGAGCAAACCTACCTCAATACCTCCGACTTCGCCATCCCGCCACCAGACCTCTTTCCCATCCCCAACCTAACCAATAAAACCCTCGCGCTTTTCAACATGACCAGCCGCCTCGCCACCGACGGCATATTCCGGTGCATCGATCAAGCCACCGTGTACACGGGCCTCTTAACCGGGCGTCTGGGCAAACAAGTCTACTACTACGAGTTTAACCGCACGTACCAAATAACCGGATGGCCAGGTTTAGACATCTGCGAACCGTCCAAGACTGCCTCACATCCGTACGGAGACCCGAGGGGGGAGTATTTCAAGTGCCACTCGGGCGAGCTGTACTACGTGTTTGGGAATTTGGGCAGGCAGGGGTTGCCGATGCGGGATGCGGACGATTTGCCTTTTGAGCAGTTGGTGCTGGATTCCTTTGCGGCATTCGCGAGGACGGGGGATCCGAATCCGGAGGCTGGGTTCTTGGAGACGAGGGGGTATGAGGGGACGCTGGAGGAGATGAGGAGGAGTGGGCGGTGGGAGCCTGCTACGAGGGGGAGGGGGATGACGAAGAGGGTGTTGCAGTGGCCAAGTTCACAGTGGGGATTCGAGGAGGAGGAGCAGTGTGAGCAGTTGGGTCTGGGGTTGGATTATTATCTAAAATAAACAAAGGTATGTGGATGGATCAGTAAACATACTTGGGTAACATGTTTATTAGCTAAAGAATATCCAAATATACATTTGCAGAATACATAAATGAAGCTTGAAATTAGTATTCATGTAATGACCAATTGTGCTGCAAGCCTGTGGTTGTGAATAGTGGCTATGGCAAACCAAGTTGAGTCGATCACTAGCAACTTTCCTTCGTGATGATGGATGCCAATAATACAAAGCTGCGTCTGGAAAAATTAATTTAATGTTCAATCCATTCACGTCTGTGGTGGTGGTGGGAAAATTCTTTCAGCTGCGTACCTGCCTCAAGGGAGACGATGGGATAAAGTCTGCATGCTTCGTCTACACGAATTGACAGGTCTTGTTTACTTTACTGGTTTCTCTCGTTGCCCACCTAATGAGTCTCGATAGGTAAACATTCAACACACCCTACTTCACCCAGTACCACTTGGCCGCTCGGTTGCAGTCCAGTACATCTCGAGAGCTTCTACGGCGGAAACGGCGAGAGTATCCATTATCGGATCTTGGATTAGATTTGGTTCGATCGTTCCTTTTCTCGTTGCGTCGGATTGCCTTTGCGCCTGGGTAGTCCAAAAGTCAAGCTCGGTTCGCAGTCAACGCCTTTCATCCCATTCTAGCCACCCTTCATTCCAACATCCTGTTATCCTTTCACTGATAATTACGACGAAGTAAGTGCAAGATCCCATCAACTTCAGATTAATTTTGCTCGTCACCCCTTGCAGGTAAGTCACTTTTCGACAAATCTCCTGCCCCTTCCAAAAAAGTCGAGGGCGCGTCCGCTGGGCGGCGCGCATTGCATATCTCACGACAATATTTTCGCCACCATATTGTTCGCGATGGCTCACAGAATATCCTATTTCCAGGCGTTGCTACACACCATCTCCTTCCTGGTTACTTGGCCATCTAGCGTGCGTACAAGTACGCTGCCGAGCTCAGTGTCGACCACGCCACTGCCGACGCTGTTGCCACGTACCGGCTCCGTCTGGATCTCGTTGCCATCAGGTATGACACCAGTTTCATTCCCAACTTCATCAACGGCCGTCAAGTCCACAGCTTCTACGGCGGACGCATTGCCAGCGTCCAATTCACCGTCGCCCCCCATGTCGGAAACCATCCCCGCCGCGACGGGTAGCATCTCGACATGGAAAGTAATCCTTGCCGTCCTGTTGCCACTATTTGCCTTCGCGGTTGCTGCTGCTGTCTTCTTCTACTTCCGTCACCGCCACCACAAACGTAACCAAAAGGAACAGGCGGAGGAGATTGGAACCATGATGCAGGATCTGCGGAACAACAACATGAATCTTCAGGGAATGACGAAAGTGCTGGAAGATGACATCCAACGCGTCAAGGGAATGGAGTTGGAGTTGAGAACGCGCGAGACGAATTTGGGTAAGTGCTATTCCTCTTTTATCTTGACCCTGTTCATACACTCTGTCAGCTGTTGCGCTTATCTTTGTCCATGATTTCGTCCTCCAGGGTTTTGTTTCACTTAAATAAGCTTGCAGCTGACTCTGATCAACAGTCCAAAGACATGCGGACTGGAATGGATACAACACCAAGTCCAACAACTATGCTCTTGCGCCCCCTGGTCCGTGGCTTGCAAATTCGCATGCAACCCCACCGACTCCGACTCCTGCTTCTGGTAATCGAAGCAACAATCCAGCTGGCGCTCAATCTCTTTCCGGAAGCACCCTTCAAGGCACTCTACCTCACGCTGCTCTTGGTCTTGAGTATCTTCATCGCTTGAACTCTGGCACCGCCTCGGATTCAACTGCATCCCATGGCTCGTGCGGATCATCTGGAGAGGTTCAGGTCTACAAACCTCCCAGCACCATCCCGGAGGAGTCTCCCGGCTGCGCATCATCGCCTTTCGACTCTCCTTTGCCTAAGCAAAACGTCCCCACGCACGTCAATGAGGCTGACCACGAACGTCTCTTCGGAAGGGAGAAAGACTACAGGCCCGCTATACATAGCTCTATATTTGCGGCTCCTATCGGATTCTCACCTCTCCGTAGCAACCCCACACATCCTGACTTGGTGCCTCCCCCTCTCGCTGTTGTGAAGCGCAACTCCATCCGCGACTCAAGTAACACCCTGGGCAACAACCTCGCGGATGGCGTAGACAAGAAGGCCCTGCGAAGATCTATTAGCAACCCTCCCGTCGTCAAAAGTTGTCTCAACAACGATGTCGCCTCTGTGACCCCTCCCGCTGAAGGCAATGCACAAATGGCATCAACCGACCAGCAGACCACCCGTGAGTCCCCGTCTCCTACCCGATCCCCCCACACCCCCGTCGGCCTTCCGAAGGAATCCAACTCGGTTCACGGAAACCAAGCCGTCCGACTCTCCACTTCCACTTCCGCGAACGATCCGTTTTCCACGCCGTCGTTCCTCCCCGTGACAAGTCTCTCCGAGCCAGGAGCTCCAATCAGAGGAAGCCCTCCAACGACTGGAAGGTCGACCGCCGGAAGCAGATCCCTCAGCACTGACTCGCCCATGAGCAATACCCGCGTGCCCAGACCATTCTTTATGTCCGAGATGGCGTGGCGAACAACCTACTAACCACCTTTTATGTCCTTTTAGCCCTCGGCATTCTGACGCCTCCTCCTACTGTCGTCGGTGCCGCAGCCTATCATCTCCGCGAACGACCCGATGGAGGGAACGCCAATCGCAAGTCTTATCCCTTCCCGACTATCTCTTCATCCAATTCCATCGCGCCAATATCGATATTCGCCGACCCGCCCAGCCCTACAGTCGATATACCCAACGCCAGGAAGACCATCATCCGCCCTCTGCCCCAGAAACCCAGCATCCGCATCATCTCTCCAACAACTCTGATGCCCCCACCTTCTCGCTCACCACCGAAAAGAATACCCCCTCCCCCACCCGACGCAAAATATAAGAGCAAGGTCCACTCGCCCCAGCGCCCGCGCTCTCGCATTCCGATGCATGTCGATACTACGCTCAACCCGTTCACTCTCGATGACTTCCAGCAGCGACAGCAGCAGCAGCAAAAGCTGGTGCCTAGTTACCCGAGTAGCCAGTGTCTTCCGCGTGTGGGCACGGGTGAAACGGTCATTAGTACCATGTACAGCCAGGATGATGATATTGATGCATATAAGGAGAACAAGCAGTCGTGCGGGAGAGCGAACTTTTTCAATGAAATGAGTGCTACGCTTAGGGCTATGGAGGAGGAGGAGAACTTGTGATGTGCTGATGATGCATTCTTGGGGATGCTGAGTTGGATCTGATCATGCTGCACCAGGATCTGGCTTTGGCGTGTTTTAGCAGAGTTATTGGAATCGTTGTTGCTTCGCTGCTACACCTCAAGCGAGTACGGGAGAGCGATACTTTATTATTTCGGTTCTTAGAAGGTTATTTCTTTTGTTGTTTTCTTTTATAAATTTTGCGTTGTTTCTGGTTCTGGTTTTGTACTTTTTCATCTTGAGTTTATGTTGCGGATGACCCCGAGGTCAGGGCTCAAGAACAAGTACGTGGTGGTTCCTGGTCATCTTGTGTTGACAGAAAGTCTGGGGTAGCCTTGTACGATATGTTTCTGTGTGTAAGATACGTTTAAGAGAGAAAGCGCTGTTCTGGAGGCCGAATTTGGCAAGTGCAGGATCCCATTTTCTGATGGCACAACAGCGAAGGAATGAGATGGATGGTGATTGCTGTCGAGTACTGGGCATTTCCGCCTCATCTGGCTAGGCGTTGGCACAGCCGCTCAGCTCCTACGCCCCACCCTCATCAGCTCAACGGCTTGAGGAATCCGTTTCCTGCCTCTACACGATCACCTCTGTTTGAAAGCCCCTATAAATGCCATTGCCGTTGCCATCTTCAACCCGATTCAAAATGGATACTCTCTAGGATTTCACTAAGATCTACGAAATCATGGTTGCATGGCGTGTTATACTATCAGCCTCCTTGTTGTTCTTATTGCTCGCTTTGTCCCTGGGGAAAGACCCGTGCCCGATGTCGGCGTTGTGATTCATGCGACTGGTGCTGTCAGCCAAGGGTTCGAGTTCGAAATCAAGCGCAACTATGACTTTCGGGCCACCAGCACCCTTTCCATGAAGAGAATTCAGCTGCAGTGGGTCAATGGAAGGCACTTCGATGAGGAAGTCATGCTCAACGGAGGGAAGCATAAAATTGACCATGTGCCAGTCTGCGGATTTGAGGCTAGTGTACACAAGGTCCAAGTTCCTGGGAAGATCCTCAATAGGGTAGAGCAAAATGTACGTATTTTTATATCCCTACACGATTTATCCCTTCCGATGATACGCCTTGGGGGCACAGTACCCACATCAAGGGACACAGCGTACGGGGTTCCTGAGCAGTGAAAGCAATTTTAAATTTTTACCGAACGAACCACTAAACTCAGTAGGCAGCCACCGGCAAGAAGATACGACAAAGGGACTTCCAAACATGGATTGTCGAGTCGGCCAACCAACTTGTGCGAGACGGGATATTTCATGAGGGCGTTGCGGCCTACGTTCACGAACTTGAGGACTGATCACGCTTTCTATATGTGCGATAGTAGTGCTATGGGATTCATGCGGAGGTGAAGAACCCTGGTATAGTCCCGGTTCTTAAACCAAGTTATTGAGTAGCCCAACAGATGCAATTTGTCGATGGAAATCGAATCTCATCTCGTTTCTACGAGGCTCGATGGTCGAGTTGTTCCGTCTTCTGATCTCGTGCTTCACGAGGGCGAAGCGACGCGTTAAGTGGAGGGAACACAACTATTTTGGAGAGCAGCAACGCATTAGACGGATGAGGTGGACCGCAGGCTCAGTGGGATGGAAGCATTGCGACACGGGTTTGCGTGTCGATGTGGGGTCTGTCAGGATGCGCGCTACATCACGTACGCACAACAGGCGAGAGCAAGCAATCGTAAGCGGGCCATCCCTGGTAGCTTGATGCTGAGATGCCACCATACAGCGCATTCCCTCCATCGTGTGGTGACAACGGTGAGGCTACATAGAATGGTCATTTGCGGCCGATAGCATGGCTCAACTGCCATCATCTTGACATGTTTGCCTCTTCATGAAATCCTGCAATCCCCTGGCCAATCGTACAAACCACTCCCTTGCCTTGCCTTGGCTCCGGCGGCGGCATTGCCACGAAATAATCCAATCTCACCCCATCGTATTACTCCAGCCTTGTTATCCCTCGTACTCGTTCATCCTCTGTCGGGGCCGCGATGCTATGCTTCGCCCATTCCGTTTGCTGCTGAATAGTTTCGTCGCAGAGTGGCTTCAGGTGGCGGATTCCCGAGGACAAATGCTAGCAATGGCTTTCATTGTAGACAACACCTACTTATTCAGTCAACCATGGACGTTCAATTCAACGAAAGGAATCAGATGATTCAGACACGGCTGGACAAGAACTCGATTTGGCCACCGTTTCAAGGCCTTAATACAGTCGGCAGCGGCGAGGGATGATCATGTTGAGCGCGCGCATCTCGCCGGAGTCCGCGGGCTATAGAAAGAAAAGCTTGTATTCTGCGAGTATCCAATGTGTGGAGATGATGGTGTCAAACTTGAGGACGTTGAAATTGTTCATGGCGTCAGGCTTAGGCCTCTTCTAATAAGGAGAAGTGGTATCTAGTGGATTGGCTTCGTCAACGATGTGTTTAGACGAATATCTTTCCTTCCCATCATCATAAGGCATTAGAGATCTAGCGTAGCTTCACATGATGTGACCCAGTGAACATATAAGCTTCAATCTCGCATGAACATGCAACCAGGGCTCTACATTAAAGCAAACAAAGCTATTACGTTGTACGATTTAATTTATATTTGTGTTACTCAGGAGCACAAATGCAACCCAATCTCTATATTTAATTTGCTTATATAACTTGCAGGTATCTGCCAAGACTACCCTAGAGCCGGAAACCCCTTTTCCGGACCAACCAGATTACAGCTCATACATGCTCCGTACTTGGAATCCTATCAATACCTTTGAATCGTAACAGGTTTGTTAATCTTCCGGCCCTTCAGTTACCCAACTATTCAATTCCGCAACGCGCATTAAACCCTGTTGATCGTCAATACCTCTAGCCATCGAATCGCATCAACTATATCAAGATCTCGACCGTTGAAGCCCGCCGAATCCATGAAGTTACCAACCCTTGAAGCCCGTAGCAGCCCAATCGCGTCAACTTCATCAAGATCTCGACCCTTCAAGCCCGCAGCAGCCGAATCACGTCAACTTCATCACGATTCCAGCCCTCCAAGCCCGCAGCGGTGAATCCATCGAATCCATTGACAACTACACTCTTGCTACGCTAGTTTGGTCACTACCCCAGCGCTCTGATACCTCCGACGTACTGACTGCCACTACCTGCGAGTAAAAAGCGCCGATCGAAGAACGAGGCAGGCCCAGCACGGAACACCAATATAGCGCATTTGAGTGATTTCACGTAAGAGGCTTCTCAGCCCATGGCTAATGTAACTGTGAACTGTAAGAGGAGGGATAATACAATTTACATGAAACAGACTACTTTCCGCAGCTCGCTCTAGACAGCCTCAACGCTACCGTAGCCATACCGCCAACAGTTTTTTAGGACCTAAATAGCCTCAATCGTAGCCATCCCCATGCTTAACCGCTGCGAGGATAGCGTTAACTTGCACACGCTGAAGACATCCTCTTGAGAAAGGCGGCATCTCCCTTGCTGCTCTACTGAACACCATCGGTGGGGTCTTTTCGGGAGGTGTTGGCGGACAGGTTCGCTGATTAAGTTCCTGAAGCGAAGTTCGGCCAGGCTGAGATCATCGAGTTCTTGTACCCGTTCATGTTAGAGAACTCACCAGAGAATGCATTGCGGGGACTGGAAGATTGGCTCAAGAAGTAGCCAGTGCAGGCATTATGGATTTATTATTGAGGGAGACCGGTCAGATGGACGGGCATTTAATGTAGCAGAATGGGACTGACGGCGTTGCCAGTAGTCATGAAACCTGCACCATACTCCCCCCCTATTCTCTAACTACATCAATTCGGGGACCTACGTCCATCTTCCTCGAGCACCTTGTTAGACCACCTTGTTATGAGAAGCCATTACGTAGAACAATGGGTCACCGCTTTAATAGTATCGTAAGCCGTTCTGACCGGCAATTCGTATACTCGTCTCAAGAAGTGGCTGTCATGTGATATCCCGTTCACAGAATGACAAATGTTATTCTCCTTGGAGCTGTTTATGGGTAGAATCCTGGTGGATTCGGCACCGTTCAGGTTAGTACTTTCTTCGGCTGAGTTGAGCTGTCACGTGCGCCTCCTAGACGGTTCATCGTAACAGTGCCGTGCCTAAGCCGGGCCATATCGAGGGACGGGCTCTATTGGATAATGTCGGTCGACCTTCTTAAGTTCCCATCTCTGTGCTCTGAATGCGACACTACCGGACGACCCACTTTCTAGCTGCCGCTCCGAGAGTGTGTTGACTGTCGCGCGACGATATGCACGGATCGAAACGGGTGCCTTGGAAGTAGTTGCATCGGAACACGTGATTAACACATCGTCAACAGGACCTCAATGCAGATCGACAGCCGGGCCTAGATGGGTAGTCACGTGTTCCTACAAAGATTAATGCTGTCCCCTAATAGCGTCTGCTCTCGCCGTTCTCTGGCTCTTTGGATCCAAGGTTCATTGTTCAGGACCGCTCCTGATGACCTCTTCTTGCTAGGTGGAGTGCGAGTGACAGCCGGACCGTCAATGGCTGAAATTGGGTGTTGTCTTTGATTGTCGGAGCTTGACCTCCCTTCATTGTACGAGTTACACTGTGGCTATATATGTAGACGTCACGACGGGTCATCTGCCTTGAGGAATGCGAGAAGTCAAATACTTCCTGACCTGGTAGCCTCATGACTTCTTATGGCCTGGTATTCCTGCCAATTAACATCGACCAATCTCTGTCGACAGCGTGGGTTATCCAAATACGAAATGCCAAGCCTGACAGATGGCCGCGGACAACTTAGATTCAGCATGTGGTGACCAGCCGGATGGGTAAGAGGCCCCCAAGTGTTACAGGTCGAGGATAGCCGATAGTCCATTGGAAAGAGGGGTTGAACCGAGCTTGTGATGGTTATTCGGAAGTAAGAAAGAAGTAAAACGTACATCTGAACGACTTTGGGGAGAGGAAGTCTTATATAAACAAAATGCAAACAAAGGCTGACAAGTAGGGGCGGTCGTGCGATCAACCCGGGAGGGCTGACAGCGACTTATCGATTACAACGAAAACAACGGCTGGATAATGGGACGTATATAGCTAACGAGACGATCAACAAACAGAACATTCAAAAATCTGCAAATTACACACATCTGCTCCTCTCGTGCCCATTTTTCCTCTAGCATTACACACAACAAAATAAAAAACAATAGCCCATACTTTAGTGTCTACTTGATCACGGCACAGAATAAGTAGCAACCACAACAACCGCGAATCTCTGCATCATGAGTGCCCGCTTGTTTGTCTGTAACTGCAAAAACCTATAGGAGGCATATCTGAGCATGCCTCCATTGGCAAGGCAAATCCACGAGGCCGCGGTTCAAAGGGGTCGATTCTACGACGGCTGGGTAGCATAGATAAATGAAGATTGATGGTATCTGCCAATTACAGAAGCTCAAGGTGATCTATGAAGACATATGCCTAAAACAAGAGAGATTTGGGAAGGTACGTGTGATGGATTGTTGTTGGAATGGCTGCAACAAGTGCTTGGTGCCATTGAGAAAAGTGAGCTGGCATGGTAACCACCCAGTATTACCAGACCAAGAAATGGAAAAGGGTTGCAGGTATCTAATAATTGGGAGTGCCACGGTGTTGATGATAATCCGGAGAGTCCTCAGGAGTGTGTACCATGATTGGTAACAGGGTGTAGGACAGATAATGTCCAAAAGGCTCCCTATCTTTCAACCCAACAACCGTACGTCACGTCAGTGGCCTAGTGGTTATGACGCAAAACTGCCTAGTCTAGGGATTCGTCCCGATGTCCAGGACGGCACGTTTGCTGAGCGCTAGGGACTGTTGGATAGAAAATCCTAATTGGCAGGGTCTTTCATAGGGGGTCGATCCTCGGATCGGTCTCTGAACTTTTTGCATATTTTCACGCTTTTAATTTATTTTTACTCTTTCCAAATTGATGACCCATAGACAAAACTATTGCCCAAATTTTCAAAAGATATTTTATTATCACATCTACGATGAATTTTACGAATCAAGCTGGTTGGTGGTGTGCTCTGGCACCTGGATTATCAGCACCAAGGACCGTTTGCTGAAAGCTACCAAGCTGTTGCCACATACGGATAACTGACCGCTTCTACCGCGGATACCAAATTTTACTGCCAAAACAATATAGGACAACAAACTACTTGTTCGTGGTGGCGATATGGGATGGAATAATTAACATGCATATTGTGACATGGTCACTAGAGTAACTTCGTTATTGGATGCTCGTGGGTCTTACGTTTTCCGATTTTGAACCCAATTGCTGATCGAAAAGATTTTCAGTAGATAAAAATGAGGCTTGATAGGTGTTTCACGCATGTTCCTTCAAGAAAATAATCTTCTCTCACTCCTCGGTCACGAATACGGCCCTCCTCAAAACACCACTGCCAAAGTCATATCGACATTTCACTCCATTACCACACGAACTCAATATCAGAATCGAATCTGTCACACCCCACAATGGGTTCTGTTAGCTGGGATGTAGCAATGCAGCGCGATCTACGGGTGGCTATCACCCCCTGCCCCCGGCCCCTCTCTCCCCATGAGCATCCAAGCGTTAGGACCGAGAACAAGTCACCTTGACAGGGAAACCTACGCGGGAACCTTTCCATAAGAACTAACTCAAGTGATTTCTTCTCAGCTCGTTGACATAATACTGAGTCTGAGAGATTCCAAGTATTGGGGGCTGTATTAGTACGGCGAAGGTGCGTGAGGTACTAATCCAAAGTTGGCCCCGAGGGCCCCTAAATACTACAATCCGTCCCTGCCTGCCACATACCCCTCCATACCTGAGGCCACAGCTTCCCACAGGTTCTTCATAATTCTGGAAGATGAATGGTCACTTAGACCGAAGTGGGACCGACTTGCATCATGCCTGGACCTATGCAAAGTGCTGTATCCCTCCCTCCTGGAGACTGGAGCCACCTTATTTCCCGAAGAAGATTCTACGAAGGAACTTTCTCTCGTCACTGTTATGAAAGGTAATGCTGGTCCTGGCCCTCAAGAACCTCGTCCTCTTGCCGCAGGCATTGAGTTCACACTCATTGAACATGAGATAATCATTTCACTGATGTGAAGTATTCGTAGCTGGACTACCGTCATGCAGATGGTCTTGACCGCTCTTCACACATATGCCGCCGCTGTCTTTCCTTTTGACGAATTCGTCCTATTTCCCAATTTCCCTTTGGTCCTGTTGGTCCTGTTGCCCCTGGTGATCTCGAACATTTTCTGTATACCATCGAATCGTTACTAAAGTATAAAGCACCAGCCAACTTTGTAGTAGCCACCATATACGCCGCAGTCCAGCCCGGCCAAGCAAGTCTTCCTGCCCCTCCCTGCTGATTCAGCCTATTGGCGTACAATAGAACGCTGAATCGATCTTCCAAGGAGCACGGGTCTGATTTACTGTGAATCTAACAAGCGACTCCTCGCGCTGAGTGAATTCAAGCAGTAAAGGGGGATTGAACTTTCTTACCCAGTGATGCATGAGCTCGCTTTTGTTCTCTGACCACAACATGACGAAGCTTCTTACACCCTTTGGGTGGTATGAGAAAACACTGCACATTATCGAGCAAGGAAGTGCAATTGTCTCCACGTAAATTACTGTATGCTTGTCAAGTTGGTATTCTCCATGCTGATTAGGAATTGAGTACGTAAGTAGTTTGCTATTTTGGCCAAGGAAAGCAAGTCCGTATGCGTGAATTCACCGCAAGGGTAAATAAACATACTTTGCTCTTTTGAATGTTACAGCATAATAAATTCCATTGTGGCCAACACAGGCAAGAGGGTTGGTTGTATTGGTGATGATGATGGTGATGAGACTAAGTCCCAAACGCTGCAGCCACGGAATGGCTATCTATAGACATTTGGCCCAAGCGCTGCACCTACCACTCAGGCGGCGTGCCTGGGGCACGCAACATCTGTCTAAACAGCGATTGTGGGATTTGATTGTTCACTTCGTCACTTTGTGATGAATTATATCGCGATTACGTTCAATTTTGTGCTTTTTGTGGGATTGCACTGGTACTGGCATTCCGGCCGCATACGAAGGTGTAGGGAAGCACAAGTGGAGGGGGTCCAAGCCGCACAAGGGCACCAATTCCACACTTTTTCTATACATACAAACTTGCCAACTGACAATGAATTTGGCCTTTTCCCTTTTCGAAAATTACAGCATACAGAAATATAGTGTCACCGACCTTCATATACCTTCAGAACCTTGTGGTCAGCCATTCCCATAAAACACAGCGATACAGCATCATGAACACGAAGGATTTCGCGCACGATCCTTAACGTCCACCTCGATCAATTTCAGTTCAACCAGTCATATATTGCAATCTTCATCACCATCACCATGGCGCCATGACGCCTAAAAACTGGGATACCAATACCACAAACCAGCTCCTCCAAGCCCTCATCGCACACGGCGCCTTGACCAGCCCGTCTCCGGGTAGACCCTTTAGCACTGTTACTGGCTGGGATGCAATCATCGCCGAGATGGTCCAGCACGGCCACAACTTCACCAAGGTCTCAATGCAGTGAGTCGAGTCTCTCTTTGTAATTCCAGCCTTTAACCCTGCATATACTAATAGTCTGCTAGCGGACTATTAATAGAGCCGCATGAACAGGGAACTTGGGGGGCTTATAATGAATCCCCCTGCTGACATTGATTTCTCAGGTGGCGTCAGCACTAAGACCAAGCTTTAAATAGTCAAGGAACTGACTACTCCCAATAGATCGTCCGCTGACGGATCTGACACTGCTAGACCGGCCGCTGGACCAGCTTCTCCCTCCGCTACCGCCGTTCCCGCCCCTAGCCGCAGCCGCCATTCCGATTCCGCTGGCTCATTCTCCTCCCGTCCCGCCCCGCGTGGTAAATTCATACACATCTCAAATATTCATCACACAACCAACACAATGTAGCGCCAGTCAGTGCAGGCCAGCTCGACGGCCGCGAAGAATACAAGGACAATATCGACGCGGTGTCCAAGGACGAGAGAGCAAAGACCCTGAATATGCTTAAGCATCGCTTGGTCGTCATTCGAGAGGTCAGCGGGAAGAATATGAAAAGAGGGTACCATAACGCCCCTAAAGTCAGCGTTCATTCAGATCCATTCTTCGAGGATTTTCGTATACCTGGGACGAGCTGTCCTTCACCGAGGATCTTATTGCCAGCAAAGAATCACTGATGAAGATCGAATCCAATCTCCGAGATACACTTGTTCGCTCCAGGCACCCTTTCGACGTCCGGATGACGTGGGTGAACGTGATGCGCGTCAATCAGACCGACGACGAGAAACCATAACGGATTCGGCCCATAGTTCACATATACGAGACTTCTACAGTGGTGCTGATATGGCTTGGGCGCGATGAAGCTGGGTCTTCATGCCTACGCGATGTGGACCTATTCTCGATGCGACAGCTGACAGCGCGTTGTGCTAGATTTCCCGGCTCGAGAAGTGATGGACTGTACCAATATAGAGTTGGATTCCCATACCGTGCTCTACTCTGGTTCGTATGTGCTTCCGATGACTGGGCTCATCAAGGCGTTTATACTTCAACGTCGGGAAGCAACGTCTCCGGGATAAGAATTTGATGCCAGCATGTCTACAACCACAATAGCCTCATCATGAGAGATGCACGTTACGACTGTAAAACAGGACGATTAAACTATCATATCAGGCCTCCTCTTAGTCTTCTCTAGCTTGAACTATGCAGCCGATGGAGATCGTCTTTATGTCATAGCAGTCCTGGCCTCCAACGTGGACATCAAGCAACGCCCGGACGTCAGCTTCGAAAGCAACATTGAAATGGCCTACAGAAGGACACCATAGCAACTTTACTTCAAGTTCGCAACATCGCATGCAGTTCCCTACGTTGTGCGTTCTATGTCGAAGCATGCCCCGTCACAGAAAAATAGTCCATATGGGGATGGCAAAAGGTCGTGGGTGCCAGATTCGCGACTTCCGGTTGCACGGAATGACCGAGGGTATGATATCTACCACTTTCAACAAGGCGATAAATTTGCTGAGTGAACCGGAAAAATTACCATCATTCAACAACGGAGGCTTCAGCTCTCGTGGTGCTCCTACCGCGGTATGGTCATCGCTATCTCTGAACCGTATCCTGAAGCCTATGACACAAAGTTTGTGTTATTGTAGCTGACGAGAACATGCAACAAATGATGGCGCACTTCTGTCAGATCAAAAAAAGACCGGTACCTGATTGCCAGTTCGTCAATATGATCGCATACTCACGGCGGGACTTCGCTCCAGTGGCAGGATGAGCCAAAAGAAACCCTCAATACTGAATAGCAGAGAAAACTATGAGAATGGGATCATTCAGAACTAATATTAACCTAGATGCGCTCAGGGCCTCACTACATGATGGGTCCTCCGACCTTACGGAGGTTGACCACAAAGTCTTCGAACTCATTCCGCTGATTATGAACGGTACCTTGGTTTTCGTTGCCTATTCAGATGAAGGATTCAAACAATGGTGGGTTTTCAGCTGCTTATATAGCCGAGCTATGGTTATGAGGAACAGATGACGCCTCGGGGTCTTGGAAAGAAGCAGTTGTCTCGTCGACTCGTCTGGAAGGTGAGAACTTACATCGCAGCAGTGAAGATGCGATAATAAACTCCAATGGAATAAGTCAAGACATGCAGTTTTACACTTTCATGTCTCTCCTTGGACGTTTGAGACTGGTTAGGCCTTTATTTCTCCTAGGACCATGACTGTTTCTACTGGTTGCAATAGGGACCTGTAGATGAACAGGTCAGAACACCTAGATTTCACCGACGGAGTAATTCATGTATTACACAACATCCATTAGTATCACCCGATACTTCTACACGTGGGAAATAAAGCACAGCATCTCAGAGCTTGCCAAGAAGCGGAACGTTCAGAAGGGCAGTTACGCTCCGGCTGCTTCGATAGGACTCAGCCTCACCAGACGCCTTGGCAGCTGGGCACCTAGTACCTGTTAGGCAGTTCGGGACACATTCCCCAGATCTTGGCATGTGGACTTCCCATTGTGATCCCCACACATGCATTCCGGAGGTTTTGGGTGAGTGGAACAATGTTGGAGTGCTAGGTTTGAGAGAGGTGGGAAATTCCAACCCGGACAGCCTGGTTATCTCCTTATCAGATCGCTAGCCTTCTTGGCACTGTCGAGCAAAAGCTTGTCCAATCAGGCATTTCGTTTTCCTCCAGCACACCTATAGAAGTCTCATTAAATGTTCTTTTTGACATAAGCTTATCATAAACGATAGAATCGCTCCAATTAAGGCTTGCCGTGTTTGTGGAAAAGCCGTGAGGTGTCTTGGTCCAAGGGAGTCTTGTGCACTTGTACGTCCAGTGTAGGCTGTTCCTGATATTTGGAATAACAGGTTTTTTTAGGGAACTAGACAGCCAGAGATGTCGCCCACTCTTGATTGCCGACTTCAAATCTCACCAAGTGGATGACTCCCCATAGCGCCCCTGACATCGTCTTATCGGCGTTATTTTCCATAAAATTCCAGCCGCAGCAAATACAAACATGATTATCCACAAATGGGAGATGAGGAAAAGTTACCATGTGGAAGAAAGGAGGTTGCTTTGGGTTGGTAACGATCTATTGTGCGTTGAATATGCTCGGCCAGTCCAGCTTGGGCTTTTGTCTATTTAACAGAAGCCAGTCGACGCTGATCTTGAGTCCAATTCCGAACCCCACCCGTTTTCCTCAGCCTTATTGCCAACCTTACACAGTATTCCCGCTCCAAACATGTCCCCTTTCGCTAAACTCTTGGCATTGGCCTCTGTGCTGCCTGTAGCACTTGCCTGCCTAGGCTACGAGGGAGGTGTTCCTGTGGCCACTTCCAGCAAGACGAACTCAAAGGTCATTGAGGTTGCAGCTGGTACTACCTACGATGGAGGCTGGGCCAGGTATGACCGTGGCTCAGGTGCTTGCAATGATCAGACTGAAGGAGGTAAGGCAGCCTCAACCCTTGGTTCCCATGGTGGATACTGTTGCTGACTTGAGGATCTTAGGTGACGCAGACGCCGTCTTCCTCCTCCGTTCCGGTGCTACTTTGCAGAACGTCATCATTGGCAAGAACCAAGCTGAAGGTGTGCACTGTGACGGACCTTGCACCTTGAAATTCGTCTGGTTCGAGGATGTCTGCGAGGACGCCATCACCATCAAGAACGACAAAGCGGGTCAGGAAACTTGGATCATTGGCGGCGGCGCATACCATGCCAGTGACAAGATTGTTCAGCACAACGGCTGTGGTACTGTCAACGTAATATAGCCCTTATCCCTAATATGAAGCCACATTCAACTTACGACTTATGCAGATCATCAACTTCTACGCCGAAGACTACGGCAAGGTCTACCGCTCATGTGGCAACGTGAGTGTTCCCCTCCCTCACATTTCATCCAAAGTATGAGCAATCACTAACTATCTTGCCTCCCAAATAGTGCAGCTCCCAATGCAAGCGCAACGTCTACGTCGAAGGCACCACCGCTTACGGTGGCGGAGAGGTCGTTGGGATCAACTCCAACTACGGTGATACTGCCACGCTGAAGAACGTCTGCACTGACGCCGCGCACCCATGTCAAATGTACACTGGGTGTGCTGGTGGCTGCGAGCCTGTCAAAGCTGGATACTGTTCTGGCTAATGGTAATGGAATGCTTGTGGGCTATGATTCGCGATTCAACCACATCTTGGGCAAGAAAGTCGTGAAATGTTACTCGGCGGTTGGTTCGTAATTTCTCTTACTTCCTTCAAGTTGTGAATATTTGACTATTTGCACATATAACTCTACTACTCAGTCAAGATTGATACTGTCCTTGAAGCTATGATCTGTACGAGGCACATTTTTAACTTACGTGTCGTCTGTTGAATGCTTCTCAGTTGATTCCACATGCTCTTCCTTATCAAAACCTGAATGTTTTGTTGTGCGTCATGTAAAAATGAGTGTGTATCCATGAATTTGTTCTGCATACCCGATTCGGGCCACCTCCATACTCACCCTGAAATCCTTTCCGACTTGCTGTCCACACACAACACGTGTGAAAATATCTGCCCGGTACCATATGTGGCTGCAATTTGAGTTTGCTGATACGGAGCAACTCTCATTCCTCAGACTCAGAGTCCCAAGTTAAGATACCCGAGGCTATTGACCACAAGCAAAAAGTAACATGACCAGAGGGAGGCTCGATCTCCCGACCTTCAGTGAACACTCAAGGTTGAAATGTTAGACTGACGTGATAACCAACTACACCATCCGGCCCGGTTTAACTGTTTGATGCAGATTTCGCCGCAGTGTATGGCATTATATCCTGGGTGGGGCTGAGTACCGGAACTTTGAGCTGGACACGACTGGATTAGGGCATACTCGACTTGCACCTTGGTCGGCCACGAGCCGATGCAAAGTTAATTTCACCACAAACAATATGGATACCATCTTACTTTGTGCTGTGAAGCGTATAATCATTACAAATGCCCCATAGGCCAAACGGTAAGGCGCCTCACTAGTAATGAGGAGACAGTTGGTTCGACTCCAGCATGAGGCATGTGTTTCCTCTGCCTTTTTTGTCACAGCCAGATTCCTCTGTCAAGTGTAAAACCCCTTCGGTCTCTTCAGCGCATTATGTTACTCCCTATTTTGCATCTCTATTGGCGTGGATAGTGATATTCATGCAATTTGTCCACTCTCATCATAAGTAAAGCGAACCAGCATGCTTTACTCAGAATAGGAACTTGACCCTGTAAGGTACATAGGCATAACATCCAGCTAATCCCACTATATATATAGCAAGCATCCATAAACAAAAAGTTACCACCTTAATTCCGTCTTCGCATCTCATCCTATAGCCGTACACAGCTCAAACTTCCGCCACAGCGCGACTTACTTGCGCAGACTCGTCATGCAGCTCAACACTGCCACCGCCCAAGTTAGAATAGATCTAGGACTCCCTTTGCAACCGGATATGACGACCCTAGGGCACCGATTTATCAGTAGAATGCAATCACTTGAATTCGAGATCCACTATTTCGCCTGCGCTAGAGCTTGTGCAATCCGTTCTAGAAAGGGGTAGTTTTTGGCTGCAGAGAAGGGTGGCTGAACTTCTTGTTCCCCTTAAACTTTGCTGTCTGTATCTGTATACGGAGGATGCGCTCACAGAACTTGAAGTAGAGTTCTTCGACAAGCCGTAAGAGTGTGGTGTGGGTATGCAGGCTGCGATGCAGGCAACATTTATTTCCAGCTGTGTGCATAGACTGCCCATGCTCATGCGGTCTTCGGTCTTCAGAGATAACTTAGCAACATATTTGTCCGAGATTTGACCTTGTTCACTTACTGGTCGAGTCCACGACGCTCTTAGAAGTGTACCATAAGCCCGGTGAGTCGGGTTAACCAAGCAGGACCTCACTATTCGCGTCAGGTTCATGGTTGACGTGGAATCCAGGAACCTGTGACAACACATTACTTACATAGCAGCAACAACACTCAGAATTCATACAATGAGGTAATTCCTCTCATACTATACAAAATTATGGTGGACGACCACCAAGGAAGTACCATAATCATGGCATTAACCCAGATGTTTAGAGCTCCATTTGTATAACAAATCGGACACCCATGGCAGGAATTCTTCTGACACTGGCCAAAGCCCCAATTGCTCCCGAAATCGATACCACATTGAAAGAGTGTGGCGACAGAGCTACTCACCCTGTAGGCTGCGGTCCATGTGATCAAGGCCTTGAAGACCAGACCGGAGCGAATTGCGTGATCCTGTACTATGGCCAAGAGAGGGCATGTGGCAATCTTGCACATGCCTGCGGAGAACTTGTAGATGGTTTGGTAGACTAAGAATAATGGCATGTATATGTGGGTGAGTGATGGATACTTAAGAGTTGGTTAATGAGGAGTAGCCTTACCCTGAGATGCGGGCCTAGTTGAGGCACATCTCTACACGACGGCCCATACTTCTGATAGCAGAAGAATATTTCAATTTTATACATCCTCAGAGACTTCAAAGGCTCGCTGTGGCCTATTAAAAGCGTCTTGTCGAGAGACATGAGACACTTGACCACTTATAAGGCACCGAAAACAAGGTCATGAGTTTACTGGAGCAGGTGAGGAATCTGGGTATGCTCATCGAGTTCCGCATTATCTAGCGCATGTCGCGTTCAAGGAAAATGGGAAGAAGACGTCGGACGTGTTGGCAAAGACGGCGCGCAAATGGGACCAGATTTGGCCGCCGCCCGAAAAGTACAGATCCCATCTCGTGCCTGGCTCACCGCAATGTCTTCATGAAGAGATGGGCAGGGTGGGTACCCGAGGAAACTTCGTGTTTTCCCCATCTGGCCTCAGTGCATATGGATGATTTTGAAGAGGACGCGAAGAATCAAGGTTCTGTGGTCGATCAATCAAGGATCGGGGGAAACCAGAATGGTCTGTGAAGAGGCTGATGACGAGGAAGCGTCAGAAACAATAATGCGTGATGGCCCCATCGACCAGGGAGATTCGACGAATCAAGACGGAAAAGCGCCACAACGGTCAATTTGTGCACCTCTGCGCACCTCTTCGAGATGACGGCGTTGAGGTTGAGGGACAAACATGCCATCTCCCAGAGGAGTGATCCACTGTCTGGTTTTGGCCCTGTGCGCCGCGGTTGATGACATGACAATTCGATTTAATCCTCGGCAAGCAACTGTCAAGCAACTGGATTTGCTATTGTCAGAGTAGAGCGGGTAGTTTTGCTAATGGATATAGCAGCAAACAGGCTCACCACCACTATACTCTTTTCTCATAACACGGCAGAAGCAAATCAACTGTTATGTTTGAAGTTATTGGAAATTCTCTACAACATGCTTTTCTTTATGACCACAGTCTGTAGCTCCCGATCAACAGAACCTCAACTCCGCAATCTTAGATTGCGTCTTTCCAAAGCTTTCTAGCGAGATCCCTGAGCAGAACAAGTTTCTCCCACATACCTTCTTCATTAACTGGCCGATGTCCCCGAGTCGAGCTGGAAAACCCACACTGCGGGCTCACAGCCAGAGTGTCCTGCAATACATCTGCAGCAGGTCGCTCCTGAGACGAGGCAATGACTGCAGCTGCTTCTTCGACTCTCTTAGCCAAGACGTCAATATCCTCCATCACAGCGGTCTTGGTCGACACGACTCCCAAAACAACACTTTTACCCACGGGAACATGCCGTAGGGGCTCAAAGGTTCCCGACCGCTCGTCATCAAATTCGAGGTAAAAGGTCTCATATCCCAACTCGGAGAACAGCCTCTGAGAGATGCGCTCATACGACGCGTCACATAACCCCTTACCGCCCGGCATGTTTCCCTTGCAAAAATGCACACCGATATGTAAATCATCCGGCTTCCCCTCCAAACACGCATTGTGCGCCCTAATATACAAATCCAGCAACTTCTCTGGATCACCGCCATCGGCCTTGCAACCATCCAGGAACATATCCGTCGTCAAGTATAACAGCTGCGGGTCATCAATCTGTATGTTTCTGAGCCCCGCATCATAAAGCTCCCTAATCTCGGCCCGATACGCCTTCGTCAAATCTTCGAAATACTCCTCATCCGATCCATACGCCTCAGCAGTATATGCAGTCCCGGCCCTGAGCTGCAAATGCTGCCATGTAACAGCCGGCAACACCATCTTGCACTCAGCCCACAGCTCCTCCGGCACCGTCGCCTTCAACATGTTCCACGCATCCAGGTATGCAGGCTTTTCCCGGCGAATCTTCCCTGTAGCTACCACCGCAGGCTGGGTCTTGACCCCAATCCCCTGCAAAAATTTAGAGAGGGGCAAGCCCGTCGCGAAACCGTCAGGGACGGGAACAGCCGGGTCGGCTGTCATGCCGGTGAGATTCTCGAACAGCCCGCTGAAAAAAATGGTTCGTTCAAACTCGCCGCTAGTTAAGGGGCGGATTCCGAGAGAAAGCTGCTGTTGGACTGCAGCGCTAATGGAGGCGCGGGTGACTTGCTCCAGGGCGCTGTCTTGGTCCAAGTGGTCGGAGTAGATCGTTCGCGATTCGCGGGCAGAGCGGAGAGCGGCAGGGCGGATGAGAGACCCAATCTGGTCTGCGCGGAAGAGGGGAGCCATTTTGGGTCGTCTAGTGTATCAAGCTTCGGCTTGGGATGGGCAAACTTTCGTGCTTCAGACGTTCAACGCAGCAATAAACCTTCAACCTATGCCAGGATAAAGTTTAAAAGCTTTGACTTTGGATTGGTATTCGACTTATCAACCTGTTATTAGCCTGATGCCAAGGTGAAAAGATCTACTGTGGGGTTCATTCCGTAGATCCAATAACTATGTCCGAGTTGTCCGAGGTGAGGTCCACCGACGTTTGGTTTAGATTAAATATGGCGGATGTTTTATCTAGCAAGGTTTAACCGAGAAATACGCACATGCTTGGATAGACACCGGCAACTGCTCCAATACGTGGGTTTGAGTATCAGTGTATAATTTCTAGCCAGCCTATACAGCAGTAATATTGCCAAATGTCCAACCGCATTGACCACCTTTTTGCATGCACCCCCATTTTGCAGGGAAATCCTACGCCTTAACAACAACACGTCTCTCAATTCACCTCGCAATTACTCCACAGCTACGCACAAAATAGCCAATCCAGTGGAGTGCAATCGAAGATTGTAAGCAGCGAATCGAACGCGCTAAAGAGCATTTCCATTCGCGCTATTCCCAACCGCAGCAGCCCATCGGACGGTGTCAAAGGGACTACCTTATCCTATCACATTCGTCGCAACAATTCGCACCGCGACGCGGCCTCCGGGCAACAGAAGTTGACTCCAGAGCAAAAAGAAGTTATCGTGACTGGGTTCTACACGAAGAACTGTACGGACGCGCTCCTAGTAAGCGTTATATAGCCGACCGTACTGCCGAAATGCTCCTTACCTAAAGGCATAATTATCCACTCAGCTAACACTAGGTAGATCACTTCGTTAGCCGCTATCGACAGATACGTACTAAAATTAGGCGCATCGTAGACGCTAGCCAAGATAGAGCGTCCGATTCGAACGAGATTCGAGACTTCTACACCCTCCTCGAACGCTTACGTACGAAGTACCGTATCAAACCCGACAACAAGTACGATATAGACGAGACAGGTGTCAAAGAGGGGGAATCCAGGCATAGTACGGATATTAACACGTCCAATACACACCGGGTATGTATATCAAAGTCGGACGCTTCGTTGTAGTGCTCCTAGCACCTGGACGATGATCAGTGACACCCGTTCTCCTTGTAACATAGGAACGGGCACTTGTACTTGTAACTGTCACTCTTTCTTCTTCAGTTTAGTATTCGTCAACGGAGATAGACTGAACGCAACTTTGATTCGTACTCGCAGTATCTCTGCCTCGTCATACACCCCTATCTGCGTGTTTTCCGGCAAGCAGAGTAACCAATCGATCGGATACCGGTCCGGACCGGTCCGATATTCCGATATCGATACTGATCGGTAGCACATTTTGTTCATTAGATCGATACCGGTGGCAGTTTGCGCCACCGGTATCGATCGTTCGATCTGACCGGACCGGTTATATGGAGGATTCTGAGGGCATCGTGACTCTTGTTGTTGACCCTGGTTTTATCTAACCTAATACGGTTAGGCGTTGTTTTATGCAGGAAAAGTGAAGATTTTTTATCGGTATGTCTATTATTATGGTCAAAATCAGCTTTTGCAATAAGTACTGTCTATTCGAACTTACTACTAAGATGACGTTACCAACGGTTTCAAGCGCGCCTTCTTCACCTACTTCTTCATTTGCCTCAACACCATCTAGAAGCCAAGATAACCAGCCAGTTGGCTTCCCAGATTATTCTCTTTGGACTTCTGAACGGTGGGCAAGGTATCCAGGTCTTCTAAATGGCCACGATTCCAAAGCAGAGCGCAAATGGTGGTGGAAACACGGTTATCGACTAAAAGACCCTAAAGGTCCACATCAAGGTTGGCCTGTGGAAGCTGCAGCATTATTATGATAAGCTGACGGATCTGGCGTACGCCGCTGCCGTGATCTTCAACCCGACTATGAAAATGAGTGGGTTGCAAGCCATTTTTGATGCTGAACCTATACGCCAAGAGCTGAGTTGATGTCAGGTTACGGCCTGGACCGAAGGCGATAGTACAGAGTGAAGGAGAGAAATAGGCGTGTCCCCCTGGTGGTCACCTGGTGGTCACTGGTGGTCACTTGGTGATGGCAGGTAGGGGTGTCCACAGTAGTTCATTGATCTCTGCCCTCTCTATCTTCCTCCGTCTCGACTCCTTACTTATAGCCAGCCGAGGTTCTCTGTTGGATTCTGGATGTTTGCTTCCGCATGTCTGTGTTCCTCCGACTTCGGCCAATATCTTGGATAGCGGCTCCTTATCTGCAACCAAGCGATTCCCTATCCGCTGCAAACGGCTTCAACAGCTCTCATTCGCCACAAGCGGCTCTCTAGCCGCTACAAACGGCCTCCCGGCTCCTCATTCGCCACAAACGACTTCCTTCCTGGTGGAAGCCGGCCCGCCTCGGATGACACTTGTGGCTCTGACAGTTGACGTGAGCATTATATGGCTAATTTGAGGAAGCGTTGGGAGGTGACTATAAAAATAGGTAAGTATAATATCTAGATAACTGTTCATCTCTAACTGACCCTCGTCTAGGCCCATTCCTGAGACCAACCCTTTAGCTGAAGCTGAGAACCAGCCAGTCCTTACGATGCTTCAACGCCGCAAGCGTTTTTATATGAGCGACGCCGACTCTGAGGTCCTTGATTCGCAAAGTACACAAGATACACAGCCAATAGCAAAGAGAAGGAAAGGAAAGGGCAGAAACACCAAGCCGGTGCCGATTAGGCAGGAAGAATCACAACAAGACGAGCTTGACCTCTACCTGGCAGAACCTATGGTTAACGTGGACCAATATTTAAAGGACCCAGTAGCTTGGTGGCGTGATATTGGCGCAAAACGTTTCACCAAACTGTCTTATATGGCTGTTAACTTCCTTACGATACCTTCAGCGCAAGCAGAAACAGAACGCCAGTTTAACAGCGTAGGAGAGATGGTATCAGCACGAAGATCTCGCCTAAAACGCCACGTTATTGGGGCATCACAATGTATCAGGTCATGGAGTTTAGCAGGCGTTTATCAAGCTGAGTTGCCACTCCATCTGCTTGACAAGGTATCAAACGTTGAATTGGATGGTGAGGTTTCACGCGAATTAGCTAATTGGGCGCAAAACCGTTAAAAATAAACAACTCCGTACAACCGCTATTGATCGATCCGACCTCTATCTGACCGGACCAGTTATATGTGATCGATACCGATCGATACCGGTTGCTTAGTAATCTGTACCGGTACCGATAGGATGAATATGATGTTGATCGATACCGGACCGGTATCGGTATCGGTAAAGAATCATGATCGATATCGATCGATTGGTCACTCTGCCGGCAAGAGGGTCTAGGCATAGGAACCAGAATATCCCTAAGTAGGAATATACCGTGATGAAAAAGGGCTAGAGTAATAAGTTATCGCGAATTGGTAGTTGGATCAGGCTTTCCTCCCCGAGACGAAGCTTAGGGGTGCCGAATATCAACTCCTTATTCTAGACGGCTACCAAACATATATCCATACCGACTTTATATGGAAAGCCTACTATAATAGAGTCGCCGTGCTTCATTTACCCTCATACCACAGTAACGATCTCCAGCCGTACGACGTTGGGCCGTTCTTACCTAAAGACCTGCTATCGCTAGGAGCACAGGGCTTACGCTTCCTACGAGGCTACAACCCTAATTTACAAGCAACGTCATATTTCTGCAGCTCGACTCCAAGCCCAACATGGTTCGCTGGGAAAATTATTAGTCCGCACTTATATTCGATTACATCCACAATGATGTCAAGCTGATCGCAACCCACCTCAGGCGTCTTGAAGTCAATCACGACCTAGCTAGCCATAGCCTTGCTGCTGGCTCGGAAAACCACCAGGCTGGCACGCCGCGAAGCTTTTAGGAGCCTAGGTATACTGTTGAGATTATTTGATCATGGTGAGGGACGAGACACGTGCTGACTACAAGTAACTACTTCGCGTGCGGCGAGCTCGAGATGGACAGTAGCAGACCCCTGTTGCAGTGCTCCCATTGCAACAGAACGCTGCCCAGCACCTGGTAATGTGACGAGGTAAGCAGGCTATCATCTGATTTCCTATGTGGTATCGATTGCTTACTGGAGAGTATAAGCGGGGTAGTTACGTATAGAACATGCCAGCGCCCTCCATGTTTCCACGAGCGTGGCATCCCGTCTCGCAAAGAAATCAGCTCTACGATCAAAATCCGCCCGACGGCATCCAAACACAGCTGAAAGCCAGGTCAAATCACATTACCAATCCTACCCAAACCCCGTTTTCCCTTCACCGGAAGCCATCTGCACACCCCCAAACAACTCTCGACCTCCTAATTAACTCCTCCACCTCCGTCCGCCCACCACTCCAAAGCTCACCCTGCTCCTGCGAAAGCCCAAGCAGCTTCTGCGCTAGCGGCCGATGTACCACATCATACGCCGCCGCCGCCTCCATAATCAAGTCCGCGATCTCAGCATTTGTCGCGTCGCACGATAGCCGGTCGATTAACGGGTTCAGACCATCGCGGAGGAAGGTGGTCACGCCCAGGAAGACTGTAGACAGGGAAGCCGCAAGGTGCGGCGGCATGCCGTGGGCGGCGTCGCCGAAGGTGGTTGTGCAAAGGGAGGCGTTGTAGAAGGGTTCCAATTGCGTTAGGGTGGGGAGGAAGAGGGGTTGGGGCCCGGCAGGGGCGGAAGAGATGAGGAGCTGTAGGAGATTTTAGCCGTTGGGGAAGGAAGGGGATGGGACAAAACTAGGTAGAAAAGGGGGTAGGAAATGTATAGATGGGTGGCACACTTACTTTAAGCAACTTGTCTACTTTCTCATTCCGGCCGGGGAAGTAACCCAGAACGTTCTTCATGGCCAGTGCGCGATCCATGCCCTTCGCTGTATACTCCGGTCTCAAGGCGTACGCTGCAATATTGATAGACTCACCGCCGTCTATGGGGTTCACCTGGACATGCCAGCCCTTGACGCCGAGGAACATGTACATCTTGCTGGCGAATTCGCTTTTCATTTCTTCGGAGAGTTGGGAGGCGGGGACCCTGCCGCGATAGGCAATCGTGCCCGAGTAGTCTGCCGGCTTGTACCTGTCTCCTTCCATGAACCTGCGACAGACCGAGTTCATGCCATCGCAGCCCCAGACAGCGTTCGCCGTCGATGTGGATCCGTCTTGGAAACGCAGCTGCAAAAGCCCGTCCTCCAGCTTCTTCATGTCAACCACCTGTTTGCCATACTTGGTTTCATGTTCAGGAGGCGCGTGTGCGTCGAGTAACTCTAATAGTGCCTGCCTTGGGAGTCTGCCGTATCGTTTCCCCTCCGGAACCTTGGCAGCTTGGATAAGCTGATTCTCATCGCCGCCGTGATAAATGGTTAACCACGCATCGCTCAGAGTGCATCTTTCATGGAGTGCTTTCCCCAAGGCAGGATTTAAAACTTCGGCTGCGCGCAAAGTCTGCGGACCAATGCCGTACCCAAATGAGGGCCGCACCGGGAGTTTATCGGCTTCGTATTGGTCGTAGGCGATGCGGGGATGCTGTATAACGGAGTTGGCGAGCAGCTTGCCGCACGGACCTGAGCCGATTATGGCAATACGGAATTTGCCTTCGGCAGGCGGCTGGTCCGAGGATGAAGTCATATTCTTCTGTGACTGTTGTACGTACTCGCTGTTAGGCTGCAGGTTTATTGCAGACGAGAAAGATCATATGCAAGCCGCCCCAAGGGACTTCGGCACAAAGGCGATGAAATAAAGATCATGCTTCTGATAGACCATGCCGTCATTGATGGTTGTTTGCTCTTGGTGATCTATGCTGGTTGATATGTGGCAACCGGGATGAGATTCGTCTCCCACACGTCACAGGCCGCCTTATCTACAACCCAAGATGACTTGAGCCTAATCCGGCAAAATGCCGATCCACGCCTCTGGATTTGCCAACCAGCAATGTGACGAATCACTTTACATCCTGTCAATTGCCGGCAGTGAAATAGTGTTCCTCGCAAGGAACCAACTCAACCAATTGCGGATTTAGTGAAACTGTGTGCACCCTCGGCGTACGAGGAAAAAGCCGAGAAAAAGATTATTATTATTAAATACGCCGTAGGCTCGAAGCCCCCGGTACCTCTACTAGTACTCCCGTATGTCAAACCGTGCCCTAATGGCTGGACTAAATACATACGCTGCGTCGTCGGTTCGCCCTATTGGCGACTGCGTTGCGTTCACTACCATACTACGTTGGTTCTCAACCTACCAACAAAGTCCCCCCTGAGAAGATCGATGCTATCTGGGCCTTGAAGCTGTCCGACCCGTCCCTAGCAGCCATCTTACAATAGTCCCACTAACTACTGGTTCTCCTGTTGCCGTTGCGAGGTCTCTGCGAGAGTATAGTGGCCGTGGTGCGATGGCGGCCCGTAATCGTTCCCTCGGTCCTTCCAACAGCCCGCAAAAGAGGATTACGTGCTCTGCCGTCTCAGGGGCATCGCCACAGCGGCATAGCGGCGAGTACACGCCAAAAGCCCCTGTCTTGAATAAGAAGGCTGCTAGTCCTATTTTTTCCGTCCTGATCTGGCACAGCGTAGACGCCTCCAGTCGGTTCAGGCCGAAATACTTGCCCCCTTTCGGTATCTGCATCGAAGGGCCCTCCGGTTCCTCAGCGATAGCGCGTCGCTGGCGATCGTGATGCTCTGCTCCGGTGAGCCATCTCTTCCTCCAGTGGTCGAGGAGGGCAGCCGGGACCTCCTTTTCCTCACTCATCCACTCGGAGCCCCGGGCCTCCTTCTCCATAGTGTACCCTGCCGGTCGGAGTAGCTGCGACGCCTGCTTCCTCTTCGCCGGCCTATCCTGCCGGAGTATATGTGACGCTTTAGCGCTCGCGCTGCGAAGCAGATTTCTCTTCCCGCTAAGCCGTAGCCGTTCTTCAAACTTAGCAGCCCGGGCACTAAGATAGAGGTCTAGTGGCGGGATTGCTGCTTCTGCTTCCAGGTGGCGAACCGGCGTCGCTTTGTGGGCACCACAGACTACCCGGAGGCACTCGTTCTGTATCCCCATCAGGCTCTTAGCTGGCCCTGCCGGTTCCTCACTTATAGTATGCCACGCAGTCGCCCCGAAGGCAATCGCGCTACGGATAACCACCGTATATAACAGCCTCGCCCGTATAAGATCGCAGCCCCACGACATATTGACTAGCTTTGTCAGGGCTAGCTTTTGAGTTGCCATTTTTGTTTTAACACGCTCAACATGGGCGTGCCACGTCAGTTTGCGGTCGAACCAGACTCCTAGGAACCTGGCTGAGACTACCGGCGACACTGTGGCGTCCCCAAGGCGAATACTTTGCGGCAAGGGCTCTCGGGCCCTAGTAAAGTGCATTAGCTCACTCTTGTCAGGAGCGAACTCCATCCCGTGCCTCACTGCCCACCGCTGACACGTAGCCCATGCGCTCTCCAACCGGCGGCAGGTCGTGTCTGGATCGGTGCCGACGCTTAGCAGGTTCGTGTCGTCCGCGAACCCGACTACTAAAAGTAGTGGATGCTGCTCCGCTAGCTCCTCGTACAGCGTTGAAATGTATAATATAAACAGTATCGGGGATAGCGGTGACCCCTGGGGGACGCCAGCTCGTAGGGGGATTGGCTCTGACTCCTTGCCATCGAACCGGAGGCGTACCGTTCTATCCTCCACGAAGCTGCGTACCCACTCCTGAACCCACTCCGGGTAGCCTTTCCGGGCTAATATGGAAATCAGCCGTCTGTAATTGACCGTATCGAATGCCCCCTTGATGTCTAGCTGTAGCAGCGAGGCGATGCCCCCGCGTCTCCACGCCGTATAGACCACGTCCTCAACTATACGTATTGCCAGTTCGGTGGACCTCCCAGCGCGGTTACCCATTTGGCCGTTTGGTAGTAGGCCGGCCGCCTCAGCTACTTTGGTGATACGCTGGCTCATCGCCGTCTCTATTACCTTCCCTACCGTGCTAAGCAGGGCAATGGGGCGCCAGCCGCCAGGGGTCTGCTTCTGAGCTGTCGTTTTATTAGGCTTAGGGATAATAACCACCCTCGCTGAGCGGAAGCGCTCCGGGTAGTACCCCAGCCTAAAGCTAGCTGTTGCCAGATCCGCTAGGATCTCCCATAGGGGTTCACCGCAGGCCTTTAGCAGGCCAGTGGGGATCAGGTCGTCGCCGGGAGCCTTCCGAGCAGCCGTTCCTTTGATGATAGACTCGATATCCATTGTGGTCACCTCCCTAGGGACGTTCAGCTCTGGTCTCGTCTGTAATAGGCCGCGATCGAGGTCCGATAGATCTATATACGGGTCTGGGAAGAACCTCTCAGCTAGTAATTTTGCCTTCTCATCATGTGTACGTGCTGTAAGCGTGTCGCCGGCGTCCCTCCGGAGATCTGGCAAGCCGTGGGCCTCAGGGGGGGCCCAGCTCCGTAGCCTAGCCCACCTCTGCAGTGCCCACAGGCTTTTGTGATCCTTCGCCGTCCCCTCGAGCTTCTCGTGCCAGCTACGCGTCTGCGCTTCGCTGATTTCGAGCCGTTGTTTTTGGCCGGCTCTTGTATATTCGTCCCAGTTGGTCTGCGACCTTGCCTGGAGGTAGTCCCGCCGTCGTCTCTTCGTCTCAGCGCAAGCCTTGCTAACCTGCGGGCACCACCACGGGACCCCAGCGCCTCGGCCAACGGTGCGTCTCGGGACCGCCACGTCGGCGATCTCTTGGAGGTTCCGGATAACCCAGTCAACAGCCTGGTCCAACTCCGTTATCGTCTCAACCGGCAAATAATTCATAAATCTCTGGCTTGATTCGGCTACGATGAGCCACTTATCCGCCATCGCCCAGTTCCACCCTTCGACACTGCGGCGGCCCTCCTTGACTGCTTCCCCGTTGGATATTACCCTAATCACTTGCGCTCTGTGGTCTGAGCCCTCTAGGCCCGGGTCCCCATCGTAATCAATCCTAGCCCCTTTCGTCACCCAGGCTAGGTCGATAGTTGAGTCTCGTTGTTTGTGCCTTTGCCGTGTGATTTCCCCGAACGGCGTAACGAGCTCTAATCGCCAGCGTCGCGCAAACTCCACTACGTTGTCGCTGCCCCGTGACGACCGTCCGTGGACGTCCCACAGCGGGTGATGTGTATTGAAGTCCCCTACGAGGACCTGTGTCCCCTCCGGCGCCCCATTAGGGAGGTCTTGGAGCGGGCTGACCCAGCGGCTCCCGGTTTGGTTTGGTGAATAGATAGACCAGATTGTAAGGGCGTCCGGGCCTGCCCCGAACGTAATACTGCTCCAGTCCATCCCGGTACGGGGTCGCAACGTAGCCACGTCGTATCGTTTATGGACGTATAGCGCAGCTCTGCCGCTGCTGTACACTACTTCGTACCTGGACGACTTCGGGCAATAAATCGCCTTCGTCCGCCGGTTGATCCATGGCTCTTGAACCGCTATTATATCATAGTCACCCCCCTTATCCAGCGCTAGCGTTGCGTTCGCCTTTGAATCTGCGATATTCCAGTAGAGAATAGAGACTACCATTAAGCTGTCGATGGTATATCTTCGTTCGTACGTCCCTTAGTGAGGAAGCTACGCATTGCTGACGCAGACCGTTCGGTTCGCTCCTGCTCCACTCGCGATCCGCCCAGGGGGCGGCCCCGGGGTCGTACAACTGTAAACCCGTCGCTGGTCAATGAGCTAGGTGGTGTGAGCCTGCCCTCACTAGATAACCCGTCCGAGTAGCTGCGGACCTCAAATTGTCGGGGGCGGTGAGCGTACGCCTCGCGTACGCGTAGCCGCTGCTGTTCTGCCGTAGGGCAGTCCCTGTCCCACGCCGTGTGCTTCCCTTTGCAGTTCACACAACGTTTTTTGCCGCTAGGTGCCTTCTCGGGGCAGTCTTTTTCACCCCCTGGGTGTGCCGTTGCAGCGCAGACGCCGCAACGCGCCGTCTTCTTGCAGTGTTTCGCGATATGGCCGTATTCGTAGCACTGGTAGCACTGCCGAACCCGAAGATTGCCGTCGTACGGCTCGCAATCGAATATCTGGGCCTCCCAAATAAGCCCTTCGGAGCATAGTTCCATCGCCGCCTCCACGCTATCCACGTGTAGTATCAGGTCCGCATACGGTGCTTGCGGCGCCCGGGGGAGGTTTCTTTTAGCCTTAGAGAGGTGCTTTGTATTGTCCCGCTTCAGGTCTTTAAGTAGCTGGCTCTCGTCGTGGACCTCTCGCAGCCGTTTCGCAGGCAGCCCCTTCGCGATCACTGCAACTTCTCTGCGGTTGAGAAGTGCCTTATCGCCGAAGGCACTACGCACCCACCTGCTGTCCGTGGTCGCCGCTGAGGCCGACTGCTTAAACGTCACTACGGTATCGTCACTGCGCAGCCTGCGGGCCGCCACTGCATCGGTGCTGCCGCGTGCACTGTTCACCGCTTTTACGACCTCAGCCGCCGATCTGTTCTTCATATTAGGGTCCTCTGTCCCCCGGATCACTACCTCTCTCTCCCTTCGCTGGGGCACTACAACCCGCTGCTGCCACACTGGGGCTTCACCGGGTCCCCGTCCCTGGGCCGATCCTGAGGCGATTGAGGCCCAGGATCGAGTTGTAGGCAAGGCCACGTTCTTCACCGTATCCTGCATGGTCTTCTCAACCATCGTCTGGATCGCCGCAGGAATTTCGGCAAGGGCCAGAGTCACTGCCAGTACGTCGGCATGTGTGGCGGGTCTGTCGCCCCCCTCCTCCAGCGTCCTGCCGGCTAGTTTCAACCCCAGCCAACGCTCCATCAAACCCCCCATGACCTCAATCTTCTCACGTGGGACCAAGTCGGCAATCTCTTGTTCTACCTTTTGTAGTTCTCTTCCGATCCCTTCCCTCTCTGCGTTCTTTCTGCTGGTGCGCTCCACGTTCGGTGCGTGGGCACTTTCGTTGGCGTGGGGGTGGTGAAAACTCTGTTCGAGTCCCGCCCGTCCCCCGTCGATCACCATCGGCGCCGCCATCGCTTGCGTCCTCGCTTCGCGTGCGATGCGAGGTCACTGTCCGACGTAAACGGTCGTTAGGAATCGAATGCCGCAATCGGTTTGATGATTTGACGCTGTTCGAAGAAGTTATCGATGAAAGTCAGAAATCTCTTCCCATCAGTCCAATTAAGGGAAAAAGAATCCATAAGAGAAAGAGAAAAATGAAAAAGGAAAAAATGCTTAAAGTCAGATACAATCAAGCCATTCCACCAGATTACACCGCTTGCTCTGCCCCTCGCATAAGTCTTCAACACAAAGGTTTACCGGATCTTCAATGGCTTTTCAGACTTCTCCAGCGTCAGCTTCAAGAATCCGTAGCGAATCGCCGTTCTTCAAGATACACGTTTACATTTCGCTAATGAGTTAATAGTGCTCGCTTCCGCAGGCCACCTCATCATGTATGGCGTCTCTCCACCACACAGGACACGCAGAAGATCCCGCTTCTTTACCGTTGGCGGGGCCGTAAAAAAGTAGCCTTTCTCTGCAACAGCGAACCACCGGTTGGGAGTCGTATCCTCAGCTGCTTGCATTGAAACCGATGCGTTGTTATTCATCCCGCATTCTGCCGCTGGATTTCGCCGCGAATCATCGTTGCTGGAGAAACAACTAGACAAAAACGGGGTTTCCAGAGCGGCAACTCCTGAGCGGTGAACTGATGTCGTTGGCGCGATGTTTTTGATTCAAGTTGCGAGTGCCAGTGTATCTAGGAAGGCCTCAAGGGCTGATGCACAGGGTCTAACATCCGGTCCGACATAACCGCATCGATCCTTTTTGTCTGCAACTGATGCGAGTGCATATGGGGTCAAGTTGCGTGTATTGGAAACGCTTGGTTGGCTAGCTAACTGGCTGGCTGAGGGCCCTTTTGGGCTGGCATCTTTTATTATATATAGCCACAGGGTAACCTTCCTGGGGGTCACGTATCAGCACCAGCCTTATTTACAGGTTCCTGTGACGAGACAGAGGTAATGTGAATCCGAATTCAAGTTGCGACATCAGTCTATCTCTGTTAATGAATACTCAACAGAAGAAGAGAGAAAGGGTTACAAGTACAGGTGCTCATTCCTCTGTAAAGGAACGGCTGCATACGTGTAGGTCAGCCTATCCCGAGGTGTCCCTAACTGTTATCTATGTTCATATAGCAGGCGTCACAACCTAGTACCTTGCACCGAAAAATACGCAAATAAGCGTATCTTACTAGGTATATGAAATATACTCTAACTAGGAATAAGTTACCAATGCGTGCAACTTTAATATATATACTAATAATATCACCTTACTCAGATTCACTGTTTTAAATACCTATTATCTATGTTATACTCGTTATGGGGCTTAATACTGGATTTTATTCGTACGTTTTCAAGTAGGGGATAACGTAGTCCACAAGCGAACGGGTCACCCAACCGAACGGGTCACGCCAACTAGCAAAACATGGAATTCAACACGATTTCGCAACCACAACGCCGTAAATCAATTAAAACTACTCAGAATACTCTTGCCCAGATAATTCTATCTCTACCTGACAGGTTCGCGCATTATGCCCGGTCTTCCCGCATACGCCACAGCGCCGTTGCCGTGGCTGGCCACGATTTGATCCAGCGCTATTTCCACGCATTTCCTGCTGTACTTGCTGCGCAACATCCTTTTGATCTTGAAGATCTTGTACGTCTTGTGAATTAAGTGATCCTCCAAGCCGTACTCGTGTTTTTTTGGCCCTGCGCCGCTTGCTAATTAGAGCATTTGCCTCTCGAAGTTCCGCGACCTCAGCTTGGAGTAAAGCCATCTTATGCATAATACTCCGCGCTCCTTTCGAAAACTGATCGATATCATCGTAAATTGACGTCGGGGAGCTATTTTGATGCCTGGAAATTCGAGATTTAATAAATTCAGATTGCGAAGTAGCCTCGGTTGGGTTGTTTGGCGTCCGAGAAGCCCAAGGAAGGGTTTCCCGTGTAGGGGGCCGGGAGGACGTTGGAGTCTGTAATTTCACATCCAGCTTCTCAATAACAATATCTGGGCTTAAAGGCACAAGCCAAGCCCCTTGAAAGCCTGCAAGAATATTGATTTCGGTCAGGCTCTTCTTGAACGCGTCGCAAAATGCCGGAAGAAAGTCCTCCTTTGTGATATGCGAAATCCGGGCTCAGACGAGCTTCTCAATTTACGAGCCGTAGGCCTTTTTTAACGGCGCAAAACATGCCACATCTAGTGGCTGGAGGATATGAGAAGAGTGGGCAGGCATACAAAGTGTAATAATCTTGTTCTCTTTGCAATATTGCTCAAAGGCGTCGGAATGGTGGCTTTCGTGGCCGTCCAAGATAAGAAGGCGATATACACCCGATTTCCGGCCTTTGGTGTATTTTTCAAAGTGTTTTAGCTAATCTGCGGTCAATTCGTTCGTAGTCCAACCATTTGGGCTCACGGCGATCCTCCAGTCCTTCGGCAACACGTCGTTTTCGTACCAGGAAGAGAGGTGGTGTATGGCGGGACCGTCCAGCCTTGGGAATTGACGCCCTGGATCACCGTAGCCTATTGTCGATTGCTAGGCTGGGCTAGCTTAGGCTGACCTTTCCTTTCAGAGCTCGTAACAACCATCGATGCGGTAATCTGACCTATCATAAAGCCGGTCTCGTCGAAATTGTAGATGTCGGTATCGGCGATCCCATATTTCGCAATTGTATTGCGCACAAGGTTAAATGATGCGTGTGCATATGGGGTGTGAATTGTTGTATTGGGAAAGGATGCCAGGTCAGCTATTCTGGCCTGGCAGAGCTCTTTTATAGCTCTTATCTATCTTATCTATAGCTATAGGGTAACCCCCCATGGGGTCACGTATCATTAAACCAGCCTTGAATAAGCTCTGGATCTTCACATAAGGCCCGAGAATAGTCGTATTTACGGCTAAATACCGTCTTGAGCTGTGGTTGTCGCTTAACGAAGTTGGAGGCCCCGTTCTTGCCGACGCGTAACGCGTCGCGGTCGCGTAGCAGTCGGTTTGCCATATCTTCAACAGCACTTAGCCGGGGAGGAAATGCTTGCGAATCTAGCTCAATTATCCTTTGAATAATCGTATTTTCTTCTATTTTTGTTAAATTCCGACCGTTAGCTTCGATATTGCGACGTGATTGACGTTTTTGAAGACGCGCCTGGAGAGTAGTATTCGAGACTTTGTAGATTGTTGCAGCACGTCGGATACTAAGTGTTGGGTCATCTCTGATAGCCTGAGTTGCAAGGAGTAATTGAGATTCTTTTTGAGCAGAATCCATCGAGAATTAGTTGCGTGGTAAAGTTAGGAAGTTTAGTTCTATTTTTTGCTATGGGCGTGACCCGTTCGGTTGGGTGACCCGTTCGCTTGTGGACTACGTTAAATGTCTTTAATCTTAATTAAAATGGACGGTCTAAGTCGGCTAGCGTCTACTACGCGTCTAATGAAGTAATCGATCTAGTATTTGCCGAGTATATCGTTACTTCCTTAGGCGAGGATAATCTTCCAAGTAAAATCGCTATATAACGCTTCCTAAGAGCCCGTCCGCAAAATTCTTCGCCTAGGAATTACCCGGCGGCCATGTCGCGGTACGAATTACCATTACGAAATCATCGGTACAAAGTTCCAGTGGATCGGCCATTTTGTGTGCGGTTGTAGAATAATTATGAGGTGCATGAGACACGTGTTGTTGGTGTGGTCACATATTCTTCCTGCAAAATGGGGACTCGTGAAAAAAATGATTACACGGTTAGTTTGTTCATGGAGTGACAGAGTACTTCCCATTTGATTGACTCTGAATCCCAGTATATCACTGCTTGGGTATCCGTGCCGATTCTTGCGGAACCCACGCCTGTCGAGACCAGGGTCGCTCGGTCAGCTCCTCGCGCCAGCTTTCTTGCATGGTGAGGATAGAAGATCGTGATTGGCTATGAAACAAAAGGACCTAGCCGATTGAAAAGCCTTTGAGGCATAGTTTCTGGGTCAAGACCGAGCCACACCACAAGTTGGGCTGTCTGCATGTATATGGTGTGCATTAGACCCACTTGCTGATTCCGGTCGATGTTATCATTTTGGCTGAGACAACTTGATCAATCCATATTCCGATGTGTTTTGTAGTCGAGCGCAGCTCTGTCAAAGTGGCGACGAGAGTTATTGTGATTGTCAGCCTTTTCCCATTGATACGCCTGGATCACCCCAAAGAGATGATTGCATTGTATGCATGACCCTAATGAGCGGCCCAGACATTTTCAAGACGACCGCTTAACTTGCTGCATTGATTAGCCGAACTCATTACCGGAAGTCTGGTGGTGTAGGAGTCTTTGAAGCGTCGATATTTGTAGAGCTCGGTGAGTACATTTGACCCCAGGGTTATTTCCAGTGCCGCCCTCTCGAGCCTCACGTTCTTGATAGCTGCCGCCGAAGAGGCAGCTATCACGAGGTCTCCCCTCGCAGTTGAATAGTTGACGTGGTAGAGGTCCATGTCGTCGAGAAAGCCGAACCTCAAGAAGTGGGCCGAATGAATTATTGGGTGGTAGCGACGCACCTATGATGCATGCTTCCATGAGATGGTGAGAAGGATTCAGTTAGTGGGTATGTATGGCTCGGTGATGCTACGAGGTTATTCGCCGACCAGAGCCTTGCTTGTGAGGATGAAAAATAGGGAGAATATTCCCGTCCATTCCATCCTTTCCATGCAGTACTACGTTGATAGACGATCCGTCGGAAATAAAGTCCGCCACAAATGCATACCATAAGACCGTATACGGAGAAAGCCTGGTTGAACATAATTGGGCAGTATCTAGACAAAGATTGACTGAGGAACCATTGTCCTCCAGTTTTTGAGTGTGTTGCCATGCTGGGCATCATCTGTACGACTCCATTATTTATGTAACGTACTCCCAAACATCAATATCGTGCTCCATGTCTCCACATTGTAAAAAAATTGATGTTAGAACCGCTAGAACAAGGAGCGGGAGTCTTATTTAGCAGTATCAATCGGGACACGGAGAAATTGTACATCCGCTGCTATCCTTCGGGCGTCACCGTGGCGCTAGGCCATTTCTGGTCAATTTTTGGCTCAGTCGGGTGTCGCCATTCCAGGCAGCAGGATTACTTTGAATCCCAGCTCACCATCCGAGAGGTGCTCCTTGGTCTAAGCCTCCAGTCCAGTCTGGGGATAGCCAAAACGGATCCATGATAGGCACCAAGATTAACTACATGAAAGGCAGCTGCATTCTTCATACTGACCATAGCGGTGATCAGCAACCTTGAAATTTACGTTGTTTTTAATACCTTTTCACGAGCCGGACTGTTCAGTGTTTATCATCCAACATCGTTGGAGCCTTCATCTATCATTCAGTTGGTAGTACTAGCACAACAGTGCCCAGCTGGTATCCGTAACCAGTCTGAGAGCCCAAGTCGATCCTGGATATACCACCTTTTACGACGAACAACTCTTGAACCCATACCATCCCGACTCTCCGCTGTTGCCGCTGCTCGTTGATTCGAGTTTCATCACTCCATGACCATCACCTGAACGAGGAAGACATGACACTGTTCAGTATACAGCGTTGCAATCACGCTTGAGTCGTTGAGAATCAGACTTACCCCACCATGGCGTCCTTTATCCCTCTCGGCGGTTTTCAACTGCCATTCCAGCGACGACTCAGTCGCCTCTACAATGACACCAAGAAATCATCCGACTTTGTCAAGGAGCCCATCTCTGAAGATCCCGAGATCAAGGCGATGCATCGCAAACTGAAGATTCAGAAAGACAGGCTCGTAAGTTGGGGGCTTGAATGGTCTGAACCGTCAAATCAATCTCCTGAGATAGACGAAGCCCTGTCCAAGGCTGGACTGAGTGATCTCGTTGGAAGCATCATGTCCACCATCAAAGACATTCTTGCAGAAGCAGAGCCCCTATGGTTGAGCTCGAAACGAAGGCTTGGGGCCGAAAAGGAGCCCGAGAAAGGAACCGGCGATCGCAAAACGCCAATTGTTGTATGGGACAAGGCAAGGTTCCAAGACTTGATCAAGGATCTCACAGCCTCCATCGACACACTCCACGACCTGTCTCGGACGAGATCTTTTGCGGCCAGTTCAAATAGAGCTGCCATGTTATCCAAATCACAGTCTTCTTTAGAGGAGTTACGGCCATTCGAATCGACTCGCATGCAGACGCCCCAGCAAATCAACCCTCAAACACTCACCAATCTCAAATATATGCAGCCAATACCTATGTCAGAGCCAACATCGTCTCAAATTCGACCACAAGAGGTTGTCTTTATGAGCAAGCAAGCCTATTCAGACTTGACCGATCGGCCCGGCCGGCAACCGTGGTCACCCCTTTTACTCGAACATGCCCAGTTTGACGCGATATATTCGACAACTGGCATCATGCCCTCGATGTCTCGGTTCGAGAAGCTGAGTTCGGGTCTTCAAACGGAGTCGCACAGGTCCCCAGGGGCATGGATTGGCCTACCACTTCTTCTGGGTTACTACGAGGACATGGATAACTCCAGACTTGGCCTTGTGTACCAGTTTCCCCCTACTTTCAATCCGGTCATTTTCGAAAATTTGACACAGAACCCAATCGACAGCCTTTGCACCTTATCTGAGCTTCTGTCGCGACCTGACTTTGAGCCAAGGCTGGAGGTCAAGTTTCGTTTGGCGCATAACCTGGCGAACACCGTCTTCGACATGCATGCACGAGGTATCACCCACGGAAACCTTTTGGATTCAACCATTTCCTTCTGTAACCCAGTGGGGAACGAAGCTGGGTTGCAAGTCCGCGAAGTTGACATCCGGAAACCACTCATCTCATCCTTTGATGTCTTTCCTGGGGATACCCCTGCATCATCTTCCCCGGTGACGACCCTCTATCGACATCCGCTGGATCCGAGGACCACCAAACAATCCCCCCTCGCCTCAAATAGTGATACGAAGACCTTGGATCTGTACTCTTTGGCGATGCTCCTTGTCTCTATCGGGCTTTGGACCAAGCTCGAAAATCTCGTCCCGAACCATGAGTCACCCAGCATCCCCGAGTCAGTACTTGAGCAACTTGCTATCCGCTGTGGCAGTCTGTACATGAAAGCGGTACAGGCCTGCTGGAATGCTGTCGACCAAGAACTTGCTCGTCCTGGAGCGACCAATGAGATTTTGAACCAGGTTCAACTGCGTTCAAGTCGCTATCTTGAAGCCTGTTCTATCTTGGATGGTGTGAGTGAACTTGATGATAGGTTCAGTGAGGATATCGGAGACGTCGCTGCAAAGGAGCATGAGCATCAGCAATCTCTTTCTGTTTCTGTCCCAGCCCTGGCAGGCCCATCGTCTCCTTCAACGCACCGACAATCTACGTCAGCTACCACAACACCGATTGGCTTTGAGCGAAAGCCTTCACCGGTCTCAACAGATATGACCCAAGTTGAGGCAGAGGCTCTTACCACTACTCGAGGTTCGTTTCCTTCACAATCCCTTCATAATTATGGGTCAAACTGCTTACACGATCTCAGGTACCAAACCAACTGCGGTCCCAACCAAACCTCCAACGTCGAAAACTCGACTTTACCCCCACATACCGTTACCACCCGATGAAATTCAACAATGGAACGACATCATCATGCCGCAGATAAATATGGCGCTTCGAAGCTTTTATCGAAAGAACACGCGGGAGTCGGTAGAGATCTCTCTCGAGTCGATTGGCGAGTCACCCAACAAGACCAAGCCAACCGTTCTCGTCGTTTGCACATCTGTCAATAAAGTGAGATCAATATTGAAAAAGAAGCTCGGCGTCTTTTTTGATGGCACAACGGGTTTTGGCTTGAAGGTGTGTCGGGGCTCGGTGTTTCGTTCCCGTAAGGGGTCAAGTACTGTCACCAGATACGCCGGAGAGGGCGAAAGTGGTAGCGAAAGTGAACAGGACGCAGAGGCCTCGATTCCCTTTTATCAGAAACGTCCCCATAGTGGCGCCAGTATCGGAGCCTGGATCGGCGATAAGCATCTTCCCGCCGTGAGTTTCGGTGGTTTGATCATTGTCGACGATAAACCCTACGGTATGACTGTACACCACATGCTGGATGACCCCGAGAGCGGCCAAGCGCATTCAGCGCAGATGCCACTCAAAAGCAGTGCCGCTGCCCAAGATATGCCTGCTTATCATGAGGACTCTTCAGCCGAGAGCAGCAGCAGCAGCGAAGACTTTACTTGTGAATTCTCCGATAGCGAGTCGGATGACACTGACACCGATGACGACGAGTCAGATGATGAAGAATTCACTGAGACGGGAGATATTCCTGGTGTCGAGCCGGGCTGCGGTGAGGGTTACATCATCACGCAGCCAGCGCTTGATGATGTGGAAGAGGGCTTCTATCCTTCGGAACACACCATGAATGAGGAGCACATTGACAGTTTCCGCCTTGGGGAAGTCTATGCGTCATCTGGTATCCGCAGACTTCACGCGCCAACTGGGCTTGTACACGAAATAGACTGGGCGTTGTTCGAGTTTGAGGACAAAAGGCTTCCAGATAAGAACAATATGCCACGGGTTGAAATACACAATCAGTCCCTCGGATGCCAGGTGGAGCCCCTTCGACCTACAATGGTGGCTCCTTCGTCCGAGTTGCCTGGGTTGGAGGTGCAGTGTGTCGCTCGTTCAAGTGGTCTACAGAGAGGCCTGATTATGCCCGCCCTTGTCTCTGTCAAGATGTTAGGCCGCAGCTCGCCTAGTCATAGCTACCAAGTTAGTAGTAGGGCGACGTCCAAAAATAGCTCACCCCAGTCCGCGCAGTTGGATACCATGGCTAGCGATCATCGCGGACACTCTGATGTTGCGCTCGGTTTCCCCGGAGATTCTGGCGCCTGGCTCATAGAATGCCGCAACGGTCAACTCTGCGGCCATGTCCTAGCCTGGAGCTCCCTTAAGCGGGTGGCATACATCTGCCCAATGGAAGTTCTCTTCTGTGACATTGCCGAAACTCTCGAGGCCACCGAGGTCAGGCTGCCGGGTGGGAAGCCTGTCGCAGGAATACAAAAAGCCGGGATCGCGGAGATATCTGATGATGACCTGCAGTATTTGGAGGAGGAAGATGATTATGATATGGTGTCGCAGCTGAGTAAAGGAGGACCAAGGATAAAAGACGATGAATAGTTTAGCATGAGGTCGGACATGGTGAGGTCGTATTTGGGAACGAGGGTCAATTATTGGGATCTCGGTGGGAAGATTGTATACCCGAGTGATTATTTCTCTCGTTCATAGAATTTGATATTGCTGCTCTCTGTACACTCTCCAATTTGCCCATTCCCGTTGAGTCGTGACGTGCTTAGCCTTACCGGAAGGCCATGCGGCCGATCCAGTTATACGGTTTAACATTGGTTATCCAGCGACGTCAAACTACACAAATTCCACTATCTTCTACTGCTTTAATCGGGGAAATTTTCACCCGGTATTGCGCGAAACAATTCTTAGTAATATGATTTGTCCTGTCGCAGCAAAATGAGACCACATCACTATTGTGATCACTATTGTGTCGCGAAGGTCCCTGCATGTGCTGTCGGACGCAGCACCCGATTTGGAAGGGTAAACTTGAATGTTGACTATAGGCACGTCATTAGTGTAACCAGCATACTTGTTGGACCTTCAAGGCTACTACATTAAGACTGCCAGTCTTGGAAGGACATATGGCCACGCACCGTACGTTATAGGCCAATAGGACCACCACCCATCGAACCGCACAAGTCCTGTCTGTGGGACAGGCATCGTTCATTCACGTCTACATAAGGCCCTTATGGCCACCGTTCACTTCTTGCAGGACTCTCCATAGATCATAACACTGTTAATACAAGACCATGTGCCCACAATCCAAGAATACTCTCTATAGTCATGGGATATTCACTAAACGGAGCCGACTTTTTTATTATTTTTTTTATTTGTTTTTTTTATATCTGTCAAAGGGGATGTTCGGAATAACCGCAGTCCCATCTACCCATGACCCCACGCCTTCAGAATGGAATCGGCCTAACTTGTCAGAGATTTCATGAAATATGGGTTGGAAATCTATGTTCCCACTTGCCTTGGCGCTTGGTTCAGGAACCCACTTGGGTGGGGTTAATTTGAAGTTGCATCCCGAGAATACCGGGTAAATAGGATAGTAGTTCACTTGTGTGTATTTGGAAACAAGCTTAATCGCCTACTGGATACGGTAGTATTTCCAAACTGACCAAGCACACCAATATTCCTTAATTACTAAGCAGCTTCCTATGCTATAGTTACTTGGATGCTCCTTCTGGTTCGGAGTGGCCGCAAGAGTATACTATAGTAGGGCCCACTGAACCCCATCTCTATGACGTCGCTTGAGGATATCTAGTGGCTAATGACTCGTGCCGTGAAAAATGAAAGAGTCGATTGCTCAACGGGAGAAGCACCCAGTGGAGGCGCATAGTGCATTTTGCGGTATGGCCGAAGCTAGAGCAGATCAATAACATCCTTTGCCTCGGTTGGTGAAAAATGGAAAAGTTGATTCTTTTTCTGAACACACGTAGCTTGCGGTATCACTACGCGGACAGTGCAGTATTATCGGCGCTAAGAAACGTCATAGATAACTAAAACGTACTGTGACTTGGATGGAAGACTCTGAGAAAGTATAAGAACATGTGTGCGACTTAAGGCCAAAGTGGACGGTGAACCTATTTTCATCATCTTGCGACACCCGACATCACAACATCACACTGTATACTAAACGTACAAAAGTCTCCAAGTCCACTGCCGACATTGGATGTGACACAAACACACACACACACACACACACAACATGCCTTCTTTCACAGTATTCAAGGGCTCAAAAGATGGCGTCCGGAAAAGCACGACCACCAAGCCGGACGAACTCACCGGCGACCAAGTCCTGATCAAAGTCACGGCATCCGGCCTCTGCGGTACTGGTGAGCGAGCTTCCAATTCATCCCACGTGCACTCGATGAAGCCATTCCACACCAAGTCACATTAAACCAGAGCTGTAACGACTAACATCCTGACCAGACCTCCACTACAAAACCACCGACATGGCCCTAGGCCATGAAGGCGTCGGGATTGTCCTCTCCACCGGCCCAGCCTGCAAGTATCTCCAACAGGGCGACCGCATCGGCTGGGGCTACGAACATGACAGCTGCGGCCACTGCGGGAAATGCTTAAAAGGCAGCGAGAACTACTGCGTCGAGCGCGCCATGTACGCCAGCGCGGACCTAGACCAGGGCTCCTTCGCCTCGCACGCCATCTGGCGCGAAGCCTTCCTGTTCAAAACCCCCGACAGCCTATCAGACGTCGACGCAGCACCCCTGCAGTGCGGTGGCGCGACGGTGTTCAATGCGCTGAGGGCGTATAATACGCAATCGACGGAGACGGTGGGGGTCATGGGGGTGGGAGGGTTGGGACACTTGGCGATTATGTTTGCGGCGAAGATGGGGTGCCGGGTCGTGGTTTTTTCGGGGAGCGAGGGGAAGAGGGAGGAGGCGATGAGACTTGGGGCGCATGAGTTCGTTGCTATGAAGGGGAAGACGGAGTTGAAGGTGGAAAGGAAGGTGGATAGACTGTTGGTTACTACTTCGGCGCAGCCGGATTGGAAGTTGTTGTTGTCGGTTTTGGCGCCGGAGGCGTCGATTCACCCGCTTTCGGTCGATGAGGGGGATTTCCAGTTTCCGTATATGGGCTTGGTCGCTCAGGGGCTGACGGTGCAGGGGAGCGCTGTGGCGCCGAGGGGGATTCATAAGGATATGTTGGAGTTTGCGGCGCTGCATCAGATTAAGCCGGTTGTGGAGAAGTTTCCCATGTCGGAGGAAGGGATCAAGGAGGCGATGGACAAGTTGGAAAGGGGGGATGTAAGGTTCAGGGCCGTGTTGGTGGCCGAGTAGAAGGGCGGCTAAGAAGCGGCACCGGGCCATATGTGTGTTTCATCGGGTGTTGGGAAACATGTCTTGTGGATTAAGGAGTCTTGGGAGCTTTGAATAAGTGGTCCAGCATCTGTCCATGGGTTGAAGTAATATCGGGTATTATATCATTTCCATACTAGCTGTGTGGGTTATACGAGAATGGCTTGCTTTAGTCATCATTCCGTGTGTGAGCAGCACTGTTTCCTTTGTTGCTTGCCATTTTTTTGACGCTTCCACTTCCAAGCAAGCCTGCACCAAAGCCCGTACACAGTCCAGCGACTTTTCCGGCTCTGCGATAGGACCTTCAAGTCCGCCGATGCAGACACCCCGAAGGTTGGGTCGAAGAGAGCATGTTGATGGAAACAAGCGATAGCATACCTACTTCTGCTGGGTTTCACATGCTCGTCAGCGTCTATTTCAGTATGCTTTGTTCATAAAATAGTAATTCTCTTTCTTACATCTGGGACATCACAGCTCGAGTAAGCAATGTGACGTGCATTTTGTGATTCCATCGCCATCCCCTTTACAGTAAACATGTCCATGTTCTAGAACTTGAATAGCAATGGTCGTATTCCGCGTAGTAGCCTCTGCCGAGATAAATCACTACTTTCATCACGCTATAGTTTCCGTATGTGAAATGGGCATCACTTGGTTATTTGTAGCCATCGAGAGGAAGCAATCCTTGGTTAAATACAACTGTAAAACCTCCTAGCCAAGCATAGTTCCCAAGTTTATACAGTAACGAGCATAGTGCCTGTGCAACGGGCGTTCGAGCCTGGGAAACTCGAAGACGCTAAACCTTATCTCAGCCCTACATAGTAAATAGGGCAAAGCTTGAAGACAGCAAAAAATTGGGGGTTTGCTTGGGTTGGTTAACTGCCTAGCTAAACCGGCGAAGTGCGGGTGGGTCTTGTAGGACACCTAGTCGTGCCTTTCATCTAGCGCATTCGGTGCCCAACCCCGCATCTATGAGCTCACCCAGTCTAACATCAACGTCCACTAGACTCTCCAGACCGTATACCACAATACTAGCGACATTCTATAAGCACCTTCGACCATCATCTCTCCATGGCGCCCATCTACCCAGCATTCGATGCCAACAAGACTGGCCAACTCCAGGTCTCCCCGGTTCACTCTATCTACTGGGAAGAGTGCGGTCTCTCATCAGGCGTGCCAATCGTCTACCTCCACGGCGGTCCCGGCGGCGGAATTGAGCCATCCGACAGGTATGCATCACCCCACCCTGTTCTCACCATGCGGGTTTCTTCCAGCATGTTGGCGAGGGTGGACTGATATACGGCCTAGACAATACTTCGACCCCTCCCACTACCGTAGCATCCTCTTCGACCAGCGTGGCTCGGGCCAATCAACCCCTCACGCCTCACTGGAGGACAATACAACTTGGCACCTCGTGTCGGATATCGAGAAACTGAGAGAACACCTCGGCATCGAGAAGTGGATTGTCTTCGGCGGGTCGTGGGGCTCGACGCTTGCCCTCGCTTACTCGGAGAAGCACCCGGATAGGTGTCTGGGCCTGATCCTCAGGGGCATTTTCACCCTACAACGGGAGGAGCTCGAATGGTTCTACCAAAAGGGCGCAAACTTCTTGTTCCCCGATTACTTTGATGCTTACCAGGCGGTTATCCCTGAGGAGGAGAGGGGGGATATGATGCAGGCTTATTATAAGAGACTTACCGGGGACAATGAGGAGGAGAAGCTGAAGTGGTAATAATCCCTTTTCCGACTTTCATTGAATAGAAAGCATCGACTAACTGCTCACGTCTACCTTTAGTGCTGGTGCGTGGAGCAGATGGGAGACTGCGACTAGCAAGCTGCTTGTGGACGCGGACTACATCGCCAAGTCGGACAATCCGAAGTGGTGAGTAATCTCACCTCACCTCACACAGCTGAACTGCCACCGTTTTAGTATTAATCATACCCAGGGCCCTCGCGTTCGCACGAATTGAATGCCACTACTTCGTCAACGGCGGATGGATGCCCGATGGACAGTTATTGAACGAAGCCCACAAGATCAAGCATCTGCCCATCGTCATTATCCAGGGTCGGTACGATGTGGTATGCCCAGCCAAGACGAGCTGGGAGCTATACAAGGCCATGGGTGGCGAGGCTAACACCAATGTCGAGTACAAGATTATTGGGGACGTTGGTCACAGCGCGCACGAGAAGGCTATTGAGGAGGCGCTGGTGGATGCTGCTGAGAAGTTCAAGTCGATCAAGCAGTGATTATGTGAACGTGTAATATGATGTTGCACTATGACACTTTTGGATTGGCATTGACGTCTCGATAGCCCAACTCACACTGCTAGAATATAGCAAAGTGATGCGCGACCGTTTGCTTACCTGGTAATGCATCACTGTCAGTCAGGGTTTGATATATATCATGCAAACATAACTAAACAAGTTCGGAAGAAAAACATAAGATTTTTCTGTATAATAAATACTCTGCTCTCCACATAACTAACTAGAAACTCACTGAAACCGTCGGTAAACTCAAAACAAAGAAGGTTTGATGACCCCGCGAACAGTTTGTCTAGCGTCTACACCTAGTTCGTAGCCGTCCAACTTGACCTTGTCGACGAGACACTCATCCATGATGACTTGTTTCCCTAGGCATCCACACGTATGTAATACCTCGAACCACCTACATGTAGACTTTTGGAGGGTAGTGAAGTGGACGCCCACGATTTCGATGGTTCGGATCATTCTTTCTGGGTTTGGTGGTGATTGGGCCGAGTGGATTGGCCTGCGGAATGAAGATTGGGAGTGCCAGGATCTGGGAAGAGGTGGAGATAGAAGCGGGAACTAACTGCGGGTGATTTGCAGATGTCGTTGCTTATGGTTGGGTAATGAAAACAAATGCTGTTGACGGTGGTTATTGTTTTCATCTGATGAGGATAATTCACTAGGTATATTTAAACTCGAGAATGGTTTTTGCTACCGTGGCATTTGGGCATTGAGTTTGAGGGATATAATGGTATTCAATATGACTGTGATATGAATTTCCATCTGTATATTGTGACGGATTGGGCTCTGTCAACATTCATGGCCCAGACCTGAACTTACTTTGGCCACCATAAGGAAAACATAGCTTTCGAGAGTCTGTAGATCTCGATTCTAAGCGCAATCACCAACATTATCTCCCCCAGTTTCATGATTTGTTAGATGAGTCGCCCGAAATCTCACTGATGAAATGATGCAAATACCACCAGGGAGGTCGAGCCGTCTTGTCAACCCCATCCTTTACTTTGATATCGGGGTTCACTGTATGTCTTAGACATGGGAAACCATCTCTCAGACTGCGAGGTCCTAACTGCGTCTATCTGTTTAGTTTTACTTTTTGGGGTCTTTTTTTGGTTTTTGTAGAATTTCGGGTTGATAGTGAGGTTCAATTCTCTACATGCTGCTTGTCTGGACAATCTGAACTATATACATATATAGAGTTTACCCCGCCTCCAGCGCTGTTTCAGGTGCATTTCGGACACCTGTATATCTCCAAGCGAGTGCAGTACTAGATACTAAATATTGCTGACAGTTTTTAAAAAAAATGTTCGTCCATCCTCGTGAAGGATTTGGGGAAGCTGAAGAACTTGATTCGAGTTCCGTAGATATGTCCAAAGACCCACGATGGGCTGTTCCCGTAGAGTCACAGCTACGACTCAGTATTTGTGAGGACAGGCAGCTAGGTGCAGGCAGGCAAAGCGTGTTTGTAGATCTGAACATGAGTTCTCATTGTGCGAACCTCCACATTTTTTCTAGATGCAGCAATACCTAGGCGGCCTCATCCCCCTGCGTCCGATAATACACCACCATGGGTTCTTTGGTGATGGAGAAGAACTCAGGAATATTTACTTGAAAAGGTCAGACCATAACGGCAGTGTATTAGCGGTCTCCAAGACTTTTTTCTCAGCTCCAATGGTCACTGTCCCACTCGTACAAGACTGGCCACAATTACTTTTAAATTATGTCTAACGTAGTCCACGGTCCAATTGCACACTTCGGCAGATTTTCGTACGCTACCACTTTGACCTGCGGTTTTTCACCACATAACTATGGTTGGTTCTTAGAATGAAAGTGATATGATTCTAGCATTACATTCGCTTCAATCTGATCCAAAATTAAGTGTACGTCGCGCTGGTCAGATCTATAACGTACCTTTTAGAACCCTTGCGTATCGACGCGACGGTAAAACCGCTCGAGCATTTCCTCCCCGATTGAGTGGTGTTGAAGATATGGCCAACTGATTACTTCGAAGTCGCGACGGGGACGCGTCGGCGTCAACTGGGCCTCGAGCTTCGTAAGACGACAACCAGACCTCCGGACGCGTTTAAATCGAAGGATCGACTATCAGAGAGTCCTCTGCGAAGACCCCGACGCGTATCGCGCGTGGTTTGACCTAGTACGGAATACAATTGCGAAATACGCGATCTAGGAGGAGGATATCTACAACTTCGACGAGACCGGTTTTGTGATAGGCCAAATCTCGTCCGAAATGGTCGTGACGACTTCTGATCGGCGCGGAAGGCCTAGAGCAGCCCAGCAAGGAAATCGGGAATGAGTTACAGTTATTCAAGGCGTTGGGTCGTCCGGTTATGCCCTCCCTCCGTACATCATTTTCGCCGGCAAAATCCACCTCTCGTCATGGTACGAAAACAGCCCATTACCGCCTGATTGGGTTATCGCAGTTACTAAAAATAGCTGGACTACGAACGAGAGAGGCGAAGATTAGATAAAACACTTCGATCATCACACTAAGTCTCGTACGAAAGGTACTCATCGCCTATTGATCCTCGACGGTCACGAAAGCCATCACTCGACCGATTTCGAGGTATATTGCAAAGCTAACAATATCGTCACGCTTTGTATGCCTCCTTATTCGTCGCATAAGCTCCAGCCTCTTGATGTTGGTTGTTTTCGCGGGTTAAAAAGAGCGTACGGAAAAGAAATCGAAGATCTCATGCGAGCACATAGAAGTCATATCTCGAAAGAAGACTTTTTACCGGCGTTTTTAAACACGTACAACGCAACTTTCACGGTTTCAAATATCCAAGGAGGTTTCCGAGGGGTAGGAATAGTTCCGTACGGTGCAGATTATGTCATATCACAGCTCGATGTGAAATTACATACGCCAACACCTCCGGGTAGCTCGGCTGGTCTCCCCGTCCCTTGAGAATCAAAGACTCCGAACAACCCAACCGAAGCCCAATCACAAACCGATCATGTGAAAAGTAGGATTGTACGACATCAAAATAGCTCACCAACGTCAATTTTTGCTGGAATAGATCAGATTGCGCGAGGTACAACGAAGGTTGTGCATCGGCTTGCCCTTTTAGAAGGCGAGGTCGAATGACTTCGAAAGGCAAATGAGACCTTAAGTCGACGTCGCCGTGCGAAGAAAAAACAGCTACAGAGTGGAGGGTCACTTCGTATACAAGCTGGACAGGACCTACAGTCTCAACGAGAGGTTGATGGGCAGTTACATGACGAATTTCGTCAAATTGGTGGTCGTACGAGGCGGCGAATTGCGCGTGTACGGCGCTGTAGAATCTGCGGCGAGCCTGGACATAATGCGCGCACTTGTGGATATGATGTAGAGACGTCTAAAGATAACGATTCTGAGTAGTTTCAATTGATGATAGGCGTTGTGGTTGAATTAACTTATACATTGTCGTATAAGGTCTGCTAAAGTGTGCAACTGGACCGTGGACTACGTTATAACGTCCCAAAAATAGACCTGAGACGAAAGTTTCAGTGGATTGTTGAAGATTTGTTGACCGTTTCCTTGATTGCGTGAGGTAATCCTTTGAAAATATCTTTGAAATATCAGGCATCAGCGCTTCTGTTAATGATGGCACCACATAGTTCGTGGGGGTTGGCTGTAGCTTAGAGATGCGCTGGAAAGGTGATAGGAGCAAAGATCATTGAGGAAGACCAGACTTTTAACTTATTATGCATTGTCGGTAACCAGAATCATGGAGTAATTATCGACAACACATACTCATTGCGTGGAACAAAAGTCTCGAATCCTGCCCCTGACCACGCACCTGAACATCGTTGCGCAGGGAGTTGGAGCTAGATATGTCGATCTGCCTCCGGTGATGCGGCGCCTGTTCGGTCTTAATGCTGTGATAGGCTGGGTAATGCTGTTGGCTGCTGCCTCATGACGGTCATTGGAGTGGGATGACCAACCTTCCTATTGATCCGCCATGCTAGTACTGCGTCGGTGGTGAGATGTCCGTCAGCTCCTGGAACGAGTACCGCCTTGGAAGTTGCGATAATTTTACGGAGAATCAGGTCGGAAAGTAGAACTTTGAAAGGCGAGCTCTGAGGCAGCAAACCTGGTGACGCGGGCTTCCCAGGCACAAGCTGCTGACGAGGGACGCTAAAGCAAACCACAACAGGCTAGACTTTTAGGGCCCAATTCTAAATTTCGAATCATGGAAGTGACATGATAGAGCAGCCCAGTGTTTTCTAGATGCTCATTGTAATATACTGATCTTGCAGGCACAATGTAGTCTTAAGATCTGACCGATGGAATATTTATCTCTCCGACTCTCGACATAACACGGAACATACCTAGAAATCTCTGCAATAGATAACGCCAATCATTCTAGAGGGAAGATCTGGTGGTGCACGTGCCGGTGACGCGTTGACTGCCTAAATTATTCCTCCGACTGTTCCCAGCATTTTAAAACGTCGCATGCTATTATATGTCCTCGTTTGTCTCACAACTCGATCCTCACATATATATCGGCTCACTTCTCTTCTTTCTGGTAGGCATCCCGTTTGACACATACAGTACCTACATTCAGGAATCTTCCACCATGACTACGGCGGCGTTGTTCGGCTGTACAGGAGCAGTGGGTTCTCAGATCCTCGCTACACTCCTCGCGACAGACGCATTCTCATCTATCCATACTATCTCGAGGAGATTCCCAAATGTTCAGTCTCCCAAGCTCCAAGCCCTCCGGGAAGGCGACATCTCGAAATGGGGCGGCATGATCTCCTCCCTGTCTCCCAAGCCATCAGTAGTCTTTAATGCAGTCGGTACCACAACTGCGTCAGCCGGCGGAATACAGAATCAGTGGAAGATCGACCATGACTTCTGCATAGAGAACGCCAAAGCAGCCAAGGAGGCGGGAGTGAAGACGTATGTGTTCATCTCCAGTGCAGGGACCAGAGGTTTTCTCTTTGGCTACCTTCCCTACTCGAAGATGAAGGTTGGCGTCGAGGATGCCATCAAGGAGGTCGATTTCGAGCATGCGATTATCCTGAGGCCAGGTATGATTCTCGGAAGGGAGAAGTCTAAAGCTCCGTTCGTACAGCACATCTTCGAAAACCTAAACAAGCTGGGACAGGGCGTCCAGGATAAGCTAGGTATGAGGAACATGATCAATACTTGAATATTTTGAGATGATGGCATCTAATTCGTAATATGCAGGTCAGGACCAAACCATCATCGGTAGAGCAGCTGTAGCAGCTGCTCGTATGGTAGAAGAGGGGAAAGCACCGTCGAAGTATTGGGTTATGCAACAGGCTGATATTCTAGAGTTTGGCAGGGATGAGTGGAAGGAGTAACGCGATATTGGAGAGCTGGGTTTTTTTTGGCATGCACTCCTACTATTTTTAATATTCTGTGGTAGTGATGCTCAATATTTGGCAGGTTGGGAAAGTATAATAGAATCGCACTTATGTATATATCTCTACCCTGGTCCCATGTTTATCTTTCGACTGCCTATGAGTTTAGCCATATCTATTTGGTTGCTAGCAGGGCGTATCGCGCAAACTACAGCATGGGAGACCATTGGACGTGAAGTCTAGTACGATGGGCACGTTCTATGTACGTCATGTTCACCTAGCCTTTGCTACAGGCTTCGCGTTCGTTCTGACTCGTAAAAGCTCTTATTTACGAGACTTATCAGGATTGCTGTGATGCTTGCTTTTTCTGTTGTTATTCGATTCATATTGCTGTGTTGTCCCACACTGATAGCACCGTTATATCGGTTTGTGACAATAGTATGAATGATTCTCTGAGTACTATGTTCTCCTCTGCTCTTCAAAACCTTGTTTTAATGTAAGAATCCACTACGAATTGTTCCGGGGTATTCATGACGAAGTGAACTCTCTTCATGAATACCATTCTCGTGCCACGAGTCGTAACACACCAGTGCTTAATATTGATGTTGATTTCCTAATTAAATTCCCAAGTCACGTCTTGAGCGAAAGGAATTTATCAGGAAATGGTTCCTCGCATATTATAACGCAATTGACGGCTGTGACTCCAGCCCAGTAATTAGACACCCTACAAACTAAAAATACCCCTACAGATTTCAGATGTTGTTTATATTTTCGGGTCCAGCCCTGTCCCATGAAGATAAGTCTCATCCTCACCTCCCAATCCAATACGTAGCCACAGCCTGCTGACTCACAATCGCCTCGGCAACCTCCGTATCCGTCATGTTCTCCTGCTCATTCAGTGCATACCATGGCGAATCATTGAAAAGGTAGTACATCTGCCCCCTGGGAATATCAGGGGTCGACGCTATGCTCTCCCCAAATTCAGCTGCCCACATCTGCCCCAACTGCGTCCAGAGGTCCCCACGCTGGGCCGGCTCCAAGTTCCGCGCCAGGTAGAACACCGGAGTGTAGTGTCTGTCAGACCTAGGCGTGAATTTCGCCCGGAACGACTCAACACCGTTGCCTGGTTTGCACTGCTTCCCGTTTTGCTGGAAGTAGCCCATGCAGCTGTGGCAGGGCTTGTGGCGGAATAGCATGGCGTCGACGATGGGATACGCTCCGGGCAAGTCGAAGGACTGGAAGTAGGTGAGGAGCAGGTTTTCTTCGGCGTGGAGACCGTTTGGTGTATTTGGTGCCGTCCAGACACCGGGTTCTCCACCCGCGAAGAGTAGGGAGGCTGTGAGGCCGGTGTACTCGGCTGTTGGTAGGCCACCACGGACGTAGTGGTACAAGGCGATGGCCAGCCCGAGTTGCTTGGGTGTCAGATTGACTGAGTGGCCGCTCATGTCCCTGACGCGGAAGCTGGGGAGCTCGATGAAGATGAATTGGGGCATTTTGACTGAAGGGAAGCGGATATATGGGTGTCTCAAAGTTGATTTCTGATGGGTCAACTAAATTTGTCTCTCAACAAGATCTGGCTTTTAATACAAGATAGAATGGATTGTTATTAGGTCCGTTGTCTGCTTGGAATTTGATGTTTTAACACATACTCAGTCATGTATTCATCATAAAAGTTCGACGGCTTTAAATACCTTTGTAAGCTCCTTGAAACCCCACGATACCGTTCACTAAGTCGCCGAAGTGAGCCAACCCCGTAAGGCTATTTGAAAATACACGTTGACCATATAGCCGCAACTAGCTTGACACCCCCGGTATATACATGCTGAAAGGTCAAAGAAATGACTACTTCTGGAAGTGACCCAAAAATCCACCCCGCGAGATGTGTGATACTAGGCATAATATGTCGTAATTCATTGGCTACTGCGAGTGTTTCATTAATATCCCATTTCCCTGGAACTCGAGCACCTATCATCATAAAAGTTGATCGTGACCCACGACCACTTTGAGGCGAATACGATGTTTGCGGGAACTACCGATTACCTCTCACCCCTGGAATCTGACATATCTGCACAGGGCTGAGAACTGCGCCAGGTTTTTCAACCCCTTCGAAGGCCTGAGGCCACCTATTAGGTCGGCCGGATGAGTAATGATGTCAGAAAGTCATTTGTTCCTGGGGCTGAACCTGGCATGACGAGTATAGGCTATGAAGTCTTGGCGTTCACTAGCGGCTATCCATCTCCCTTTTGTCAGGCTGGCGGTCGACCGAAGTTTCAGAGGGACTCATTATGTGCACTAAATAGGATATGCACCTCAGTTGGCAATTCCTTTCAACAGGCTCTTCGGCGTTGCTTCACCGTCGACGGGATGCCGAGATTGCTTACGAAAGCCGAAAATTATAGTGGGAACCATGGAAATAATCGAGCACGATACGGATCTTGCGTTTGAATGATCTATCAGGTATGGAATGTGATTCGCCGCACCATCACGGAGGGCATACGGCCCACGACCGCTTATTCAAGCTGCATGGTAACGTAAGAAAAGCATCGGTCATCTAGATCGCTTGTCAATATATCGGTGCCTACCACATGATTTCATTTTCACGATCTGATGAACAGAGCCCATGTTGGAATGAGAATGGGATAACGTGTTAGGTACAGAACATGATTTGCTGTAAAGCCACGAAGCGCATACTGGTCACAACCAAATCTCCACGCTGCACTGTGATATAAGTAGCTGTGCGATATCAGGGCGGATGTTGGGAAAGCTTGTTTTATGATATGATGAACGGAGCCCCGACGCTGATCAATTCTTAACGCGAACTACAGTCAGGTGGAGTCAGGCCGATATCGAAATTGGTACAGCTGCCTGGTCTAACGGCCCCCGCTGGCTTGCGTTCACCGTGGAAAACTCGTTAATTGGCCACTCGTCTCGGGACCTTCAGCTAGGACGGTGCTGAGGTGATCATCTCAATATAGCAATATAGTCAGAACTCTTGGTCACCAGAAAATCCACCGTACTTTAGCAGTATGAAACACGTCCTTGTGCCATTTTCGTCCATTATTCATTCCCGGGACGCGTTTCATGGAAGAAAGCTCGTGAACGTATATGATGTGAGATGCTGAGCTAGACCGACACCCAGAAGTACATCTAGCCAGCCAGGTCGGCTCCATTGAGGGTGTAGCACGGAACCTGGTCCGATGTCCGAGTATATGGAATATAAAAGGTAAAAGGCGTGGTATTGGACCTGGTCCCGTGCAAGTGTGCTTTGCCGGCGGCCGCGTTGTGCAGGGTGTCTTAGATGAGATGACACCAGATGACACTGGATCTTTGGACGACAGCGAAACGTCATCTTGGGACGACATCAACAGCCTTACGGGCGAGAGGCGGATCTAACGTCAAACAGCACGTTGTCCTAGCATAGCCACAGTTTTAGCGCAGGAAGTGCCGAGTTGTCCTAGTAGCCTTCTCCGGCTTCAGCTTTCGTCCAGCTCCGACTAGAAAAATCCATTTTCCTCCATTTCGACATCATACCATGAATATTGTACAAGTAACGTCTTAACCGAAGCAACCGAAGCAACCGAAGCAACCGAGTCCCTCAATAGAAGGTAGCTATTTCCGAACAGGCAGGTAAACTTCAACCGCCCACCAACTGGCGAAATAGACATAAACCTATTCAGTCTGCAGTGCGAATATACTCCGTAACCATTTCGAAACGCAGAGTCTGGCTCACTTCGAAAGAAAATACGTTGCAGTAGAAACCAACTCAGCTGAGCGCCGAGCCGGCAACACCACGTGCGATGTACTGGGAGAGCTGCGTGACACCAAATGCAGCCAATACGCGACAGTACTCGTGCTTATGAGACAACAATGCAAGAAAGGCATGTGCCATTTCATCGTAGACCTGTCGTCAACCTTGTGCTACCCAGTTTTGATGAAATCCGGGGTTTAAGTCGCACTACCGCATGGTACACAACAGGTTACGGTCGTGCTTTGGGCGACATTATCCCAGCCCCTGGAGTCCTAAATATCCTGCACTGGGACAGATATCTCGGAAGGGGATTGCGAATGGAGGCATAAATTGTAGCTATCTGCCTGAGGGTGTGTGGACTGATTGTCAGACGTCAACTTCCACCATAATGGGACTCTGTTCGTTCAAAGTACCGAGATGTTTTCTATGCCAGGGTCGACAACATCATGCCCACTGATACTCATGTATCCGGAGTTCCCCAGGATATTTACAAAAGTTCTAACGCGAATTTGCTACCCCGTCGTCGATAGACTGCAAAGAAGTATCGGTGCAAGGTCTCTTGGGCTGCTTTAACAGCATGGAGGTCACCGATAAGATGCGCGACCTAGGACCATGTGCAAGTCCATCGTGATTAGGCTGGCAGGACTTTACATCCCATTCCCTTATGCCAAGGACTTGAGACTATATGTTTCACGACACAAGCGAGATATGAAACCTAGTCACTCCTTTCAAGTTACCATGTTATTTACCCGTATCTTTCCGTACCTGAGACCCTTCGTTAAACCAGCTGAGTGATGACATTTTATCTACCTATGATAAGCGATATAAATGTCAGTGATATCATACCGTGTAATCTTTGAGATTATGCCTGCATAAAGACACCGTTTTGTCATCTCCCAATGTACATCTAGCACGCATACTAATGGGGTCCTTAGTGTTGGACCAAAGCATATTGACCTTCGAAAATATTTGCAATCCGTTTAGGATTTCTGCTACTGTGATGCTTTGTATACCTGTATGGTGTAGAGCTTGGAGAGAAATACTTGCCAATGCCTATCTGGTTTCCTGTACGTAAGTATTACGTCACCAAATAGTGCCACGAGGATATAGAGGGGTGTATTTGCTTGTAGTCCCTTTCTTCCAAAGGTTTTGGAGAGAATTTGCATATTACCAGACTTCGCTTATCAAGTTGATTGGAAGAGAAATAGGTAGAGGTACTGGCACAAGTCATGATACATCAGCTTCATCTACGTAGTCTAGCTGCGATTCCTTTATTCTTCGTCGAAATGACGACGCGACTTCTTGTGCCGATATTTGCGCATTTTCATCTTTCATGGTTTCTGCTGAAATCAGGACCAGCAACCTTATGCATGTACCACTCGGAGCACATGTGCCTATGAAATAAGACATTTGTCTCCAATGCCACTACCTTCTCTCCCATGTACCTGTGGGTATGCTTCGGGTCCGACAGAACGCTCAATGCATTCAAGCGTCTTCCTGTCCTGAGTACTTCGACGGTGAGTCCTTCGAGAACTCGATGCTGTATCCGACTGTCTTCTGGATCTGCAATGATTTGTCCTCGTGCAGAATGTACTCTTCGGAGCCGGCGTCACCCTTTCGGATGTTTGTCATGTTGAAACCATCCTTGCAATCCCCATGTTCCCAATCATTATCCACGTAATTGGCCTGACTATGTCGAATGCCTCTGGAAAAGGCACTGTCGTACGGTGTCTTTCCACTCGGTCGGTCGCGGGGAGAGAAAGATCCGGACATGAGCTTCGGGAACAGCTTGACGATAAGGGGTCGGATCTGTGGAAGGCACGCGCATACAATAGCCACATTCATCTCTATGATTGTCCACATCGTCGATACAATGTCGTATGTTTTGTCGGTAGTCTTCGCCTGCATATCGATGGAAGTGACTCTCAGACAAGATGTGATGACAACGCTGCGCAACATCAGGTGAGAAAGATTCAGGACTGGACAGATAGCAAGAGAGTTGTCGACTCACAATACTCCAAGCATAAAAACGAAGGCAAGGGCCACTTTCTGGATTCGAGGAATTTGCAACGTGTACACCAGTGGCATGGGAAGAAGGAGGATGATGACGTCTGTCGCAATGGAGAAACCAGCGTTGGCGTACCAAAATTGCAAGTTGTTAACATTGACCTGGCCATTCTGGATGGTCTTATCCCATGCATATGCAATTGGTGTGCATTGGACGATGGTCGCAACGATGGACGCGACGCAATAAATGGCGGTGGCGATTGCCATGAATATGCAGATCCACCTAAACCATCTGATAGCGGCGAAGATTCGGAGATACAAGAGAAGTATCGAGATCTTGGTGAGGTTGATGCAAGCCTTGTAGGTAATTTGACATGCCCAGAACAACTTGAGCGCTTCTGCCCGTTCATAGCCAGTCAAGGTGACAATATGCTTGCCGTATCCATAGTGGCAAGAGGCCAACATGATGGCACTAGATGCAAGAGAACACATCTAGATTATAATTAGCTTTAGCGCCATCATGCTGGGCGAGGCCACTTACCAGGGACACCAGAATGATGTAATCATCGGGTCCGACGCGTCCACCCTGCTTCACGCGTGACCAGAATCTGGTTGCCACGAGAAAAGGGCACACAATCAGGAAGACACCGACGGGGATGTAGATGAGGTAGGCATTGGTCTCGCTCGAATTAACCACTGTGTCCATTTCGGATGCCATAATGCCAATTTTCTGTAGAAGCCAAACGGCCCAAGGAAATATCCGGTGATAGATGTTTGTGTGACAGTTCCGGATCAAATTAAATTGGGAGTAGTTAGTCGTAAGACAGGCCAATTACCCACTTTGATGGATTAGGAATGACGACAGGATGTGTCGGTCCGGGGACCAGGTTTCAATGGAGATTGATCCAGACTGTGGGAGTGTGGATTGATGACGGTTCCTGTGATGTTTTGATGAATTGGACTCCCTAAGTCGTTCTGGACAAGAAGTTGCTTGAGCTCCAGAACCAGAAAGGCGAGTCATCTAGTGTGGCAATAGGCGGATGGAACTTGACAGGACGGGGTAGTATTCTTCGGGATGCCGGCAAGTGAATGTTCATCCGGAAGTGGTGATTTCCCTTCTGCGTGGCTTTTGCATCAGCTGACCCTTAAATGGTAGTTGCGACTACTTTTGAAGGCAGACTGAGGGCAGCTGATGAGGCAAGTGGTGATTTGATCGCTCTTTCCTCTTGTATCCAGTTGCGGAAAAAACCCGGCTGACCAATGTAACGGAAGAATGCGCTGTTTTCTAGCGGTATGCTGCCCTGTCTGATCAAAGAAATACTTCCAAGTATCTTATGTCCTTGCGCACTGGTGGTTGTGTAAATGAGGGGTGGCCTGGGGAATTGACGAGGACACTCGTCGACGTCCAGGGCGAGGGCCTGCATATCCTGCTTTCCCAAACTCGAGGTCACTGACAATAATAATTTGTGTCCCCAACCTGGTACTCCCCAATCACAACGAAATAATGACTCGGAATGATAGCAGAGGTACGCAGGCGTAAATGCCAGAGAGGAAGTGTTTATGACTTGGCGGCCCTATCGCTGATCAGTGTTGCTTCTGGTCTGAATTCCGTGATAGAAAATGGCCTTCCTTTCATAGAATACTTCTATCGAGGAGAATAAAGGGAGAGATAGTTCTTTGTGTGACCATATCCCACCTACTCTCAATCGCTTTCAGGGGAATGTTTTCCAAAGCTCATCATCGTGCATTAGATCCTTTTAGCTTTCTTACCTTCCGTACCTTTGGCGCCGGACTGCCTGATTGATTTGGGGGATGCTAACCTTCTGAGCCTCATGTTTCTGAAGTGACCACAACTGAAGAGACTTAGCGGGCTTGGCAATTGCTCGAAATGTCACTGTTCCGGCAGGCTTGCGATTGCTGACATCGGAGACCTGTTGGCGTGGATGTATGGCGCCATGAGCGACAGCGCTCAATCTGTATCACAAATCAAATCTAGACAAATGGCAAACATGAACTTCTTTACCCATGTTCATCAATATGCTCAATGATCAGTTAAACCAGGCAGCCAGTGTCTCGTCACCAATTTTTACTCGTCTCTGTTTAAGGGGATGAGGTTCAGGGGTTTCAGGGGCTTTTTGGATGGACTCTATGAGAACTGGTCTGGTCCCCAATCGCTTGGTCACTCGAAGTTCGGATGACGTCAGTCTAAGCTAAGCTAATCAAGCCGTCGATTACTCGAAGTAATCGTGGGGGTGCGGGGGGGGGGGGGTGTACATGCGACCCTGCCACTAAGCGACGGAGCCTCGAGATCCCTGGAAAGATCCCTCTTAGGGCAGATATATCCGGAGCGTACCCTCCAATGACAGGAGGTTGCAAACCCAAAGCGGCATCACGAAGATTTCGGCCGACATTCTCCCTTTTCGAGATTTCTACACATAAATTCACCTACATATCTTAAACATCCAGTGGAATAATCCTCATTTTCTACTGGAAGCTCAAGAATTGTACGTCCATCCTATTGATAGCTGTCAATGGATTCAGAATACGTCATAGCGCCATGCCGACATCCGTGGGTAGGAAATCCAGTCACGGTCCCCCGAGTACCCCGCCGTCTGTGGGCTGCCCGTTGTCAACTCCCATGTGGGGTCGTCACAGGGGTAAGGTTGGCTTCCAGCCGTGCCGCCCAAGATGTTCTTTGCCGCATGATTTCAGCCCATCTTGGTTGGCATTTACAAATCAACCCGCACAAACACGTTGATAGACCAACACCCTGTTTGCGAGCAGCAGCTCATTCCCCAAGCCGTTTCTCATCATCAAGTAGTGTACACCGGATTTATTCATGGCCTTCCTACTTACTCGCCTACCCACCACCAGGATGTCTATCAGCGCATTGATTGTCGACACCGGCTCGTTTCTTGATGGAATCCCCTGAATCACTCTGGTAATGTGTCTCATCACTCAACAGTCGCCAAACCTGGCTCCTATTCCAGTGGGAGTGTACCAAACTTCCCACGGCACTTCTGGGGCTGCCTATCTAACGGCTTCGCAGGCAGATCTTCCGGTGGCCACCGAGATTTGAGATTTGTGGCCGATCGAACCCTTGTCCATTGTACCAGGGTATCACATGCCGGGTTCTCCCTGTGCTATCTGATCCATAACAATGCCATGGCCGTTGGGGTACCACCTACAGCTCTCGCCATCTGGGACATGCATCCGTCTGGGTCACTCGCTTCGTGCCCACCATAGTCTCAGTGCATTGTAGTCACAACAACGAGGCGCAATGTTACCATCGCCTTAAGTCCGCATGGCCAAAGCAGGATGTTAACGTGGGCAATATTTCCAGATCGGCAATATTAGACCTTCGGTCAAGAATGCTCAGCGTTTCCTACTTGGTTAACAATCTTCGCATCCAAGAGCCACATCCATGTTGGCTCGAAAGTCTTTGCTGTCCTTTCTTTTACTGCGCAACTATACATACTTCGCACCTTGAACCCAAAATCCCCATTGGTGCGCTTTTCTCCACGTTCTTCTCACGTGTTGAGTTGCCTTCTCTGCTTGCAGTCTGCCTCGCGTTGCTTCACCTATTGAGTGTGACCATCGTCATCCATTAAACAATTCGCCATGGAAGAGGTCAAGCTGTCGGTTGGATACTCCACGGAATCATCCCAATTTGCGTCCGTCACGCCGGCGGATTTCCTCAATATGAAAATTCCATCTGAAAGGGGGACATCGTCTCCGTCTTTGGAATTCGTTGATGCCCGCGCCGAGCGGCGCTTGCTCTGGAAGCTTGACCTCTGTGTTTTACCCATTCTTTTCATCGTTTACATGATGTCCTTCCTGGATCGCATCAACATCAGCAATGCCCGAATCCAGGGCTTAACGGAGGAGTTGGGCCTCACCGGAACCCGGTTCAACGTTGCACTATTCGTGAGTCTTGACTGTCATTTAACACAAGCTATAGTCTAACAGACAATCAGGTCTATTTTATCCCATATATACTGCTTGAAGTTCCCAGCAACATGATTCTACGAAAGATCAGACCGTCGTGGTATATTTCCATGCTAATGTTCTGTTGGGGCATCACCAACATGTGCATTGGCTTCGTCCGATCATATGAGGCCTTGGTGATCCTGCGATTCTTCCTCGGCGTATTCGAAGCCGGCGTCCTACCGGGTATTATCTATCTGATATCAATGTACTATAAACGGCACGAGCTACAGACACGTATGAGCTTGGTCATTTGTTCTACACTCATTGCTGGCGCGTTTGGTGGTGTGAGTCAACCACCAACCAAGCTAGGTATGAACTTGGACTAACAATTCCAGTTGCTTGCTTATGCTATTGCTAAACTCGGAGGATTACGCGGATACGCTGCGTGGCGATGGATATTCATCATTGAAGGCGCGGCAACCGCATTCATTGCCATCATTGCCACGTTCCTTATTGTCGACTGGCCAGAGCAGTGCCAATTCCTCTCAGAACCTGAAAAGGCCCTCCTGAGACGCAGGTTGGCTGAAGACGGTGCCTATCCAGCCCGCATGGACACGCTGAATCGCTTCGCCTACAAGCTCATCTTTTCCGACTGGAAGATCTGGCTTGGCTCGATCATGTACATGGGAATCGGAACCACTGGTTATGCAACAACGTTCTTCATGCCCACAATCCTGCTCGAGTTTGGCTGGAAGGAAGAAGAAGCCCAAATCCGCACGATGCCCGTCTATGCCGTTTCGGCTGCTGGTATGCTCATTGTGGCCTATCTGTCGGACAAGCTCCGTCACAGGTACAGCTTTGTTATGCTTGGCTGCTTCGTCTCAACAGCCGGCTACATTATGCTGCTGAACCAGCACAACCTGTCTCGAGATACCAAGTTTGCAGCCGTTTTTCTGGTTTGCTTGGGTGGCTATGCAAACAACTCCATGGTTCTAACCTGGCTGGCCAACAACGTATCGGGTCACTGGAAGCGGGCCTTCAGCTCGGGTATTCAGATTACTCTCGGCAACATCGCTGGCCTCATCGGCACCAACATATTTCTTTCCAGCGAAGCGCCTAGGTATCCAACGGGATACGGGACGGCTCTCGGCATGCTGTGGTTAGGCGGAATTAGCGCTACAGCTCTTTTCATCGGGATCCTGCTGGAAAACAGGAAGCGTGACTTGGGGAAGCGGGGTTACAGACTTCACCAGACGGAAGAGGAGGTCAAGAACATGGGAGATTACCACCCCAGTTTTCGCTTCACCACTTGAACGAGGGACTGCATCCTTCGGCCGCGGTGCGGGAGCCGACGTCGGGATTTGTCTTTTTCGCACATGTACCAGGATATTTGCAGAGATCTGAGTTCGGGATGCAGCATTTGTTATCAACATTTTCGATATGCGAGCATACTTGTATATTAGAATAGCATCACGGGGCGAAAGTCGGTTGTTTGTCGTCTGCTCCGTGTACGTTGTTACACAATTTGGACTGAACAATCGAGGGGAGGAAATGTACTCCCTGTCCGTGCAGTCGATCATCTGATCCTTGCCATGCCAACCCGTTGGAATCACAACTGGTTGCGGAGTGTTTCGCCGCATGGGTCAATCGAAGATCTAGAAAATGTGTGGTCCATTATTATTCCTGAATTACCCTGTCCACTCAAACAACCAAACAGAAGCCTTGCTGGAATACCCATGAGAGACTTACACGTCACATATCCTTGCCCATGCAGCTAGGCAACGTGTTTGCCGTGTTACGCAGTCACGGCGTATAACTGCATGATTGAGACGACCGACTTCGGTTCCCTTCGTCCTCGACGCCATGACGTTTGAAATCCTGCCATCTCAAGAACTTCCTAACATAAACCACAATGGGCAGGTAGCACAGATACTGAACCCTGATGGGCAGAGACGGCATTGTGGGTACAGCATACATCTGTTCCTATAAGGCTTCGGCTCACTCAACTTCATCCGGTCTGCGATAAGAGGACCGTCTGGGAAGGATGGTTGGGGTACCTTATACTGGTGCACTCAGGGGGCATCTATTGCCATAGACTACTGGCCATCAATCAGGTTTACCTTTAAATCATCAAATTCATACATATATATATATGCTTGATGTGAGAAGTGGAGTAGCTCCTTTCAACTAGGCCCACTTCTATGAAGCTACTTGAGTACTTGCTTACTCGACCGATATGCTTCATTTGCGGAGACAGGATGCCCCCCGCCGCTGCGATGGTTGCACAGCGCCGGAATACTATCGTATCGAGATGATTGCCGATTTTGCATATGCACCTTGCCAATTTCGACGGAGGGGGGGGGGATTTATTCCCTACAACTTCCAGCGAAGGACCCAAGCCCAGATTGATCCGTACTCGGCCCGAGTTCCTTCACAACGCTCCCTTTCAGAAGCCTAAGCCGAAGTTATTTGACTCAACCTCGATCATGCCGCTTCCCAAGCCAGCGGCGTACGGGAGGTCGTCGATGGAATGGACCTCGCTCAATGAAATTTTATGTACGATACAAGCCCACAAAGCCTGTGATACGGCTTCAATCGATCGCAACGAATCCATTGCTCTGGGTCGTGAGGTTGAGGGGTTGTTGACCGCAGCAGCGGCGAGGCTCAAGGAGGCGAACAGGGCGAGGAGGAAAGTTGTGAAACGCATTTTGGTATTGCATGAGGATGTACTAATATAGTTTTTGAGTAGTTGTAGAAGATGCTTAATTATTGTAATATTGGGGAGGGCTGACTTAAAGGCGAGAAAGTGACTGACTTTTAACATAGCTTTGACACTGTGAAGTATTGTTTGAGCTTTGAAATTGTTGTGATCAAGGTGAAATTGAGTACGAGGGAAGTAGAGAAGAATGTGGTCTGAAATACTTGTGTAAGCCCAGAAAGGCTTATCGTTACCCGCGACGAGACACATCAATATGGGGAAACTTGGGAGATAAAGATGAATTATAGGAGTAACTGTAGATTCTACTCAATCTGTTTCGACTCTGCGTGTTAGTCGCCCAGGAGTTCTGTAGAATTATTCTAGAATTACGAGGACCTCTCATAATCAAGTAAGTTCGTATGCAAGTTAAGACAGCATTAGTATTGTATTGGACTATTTGTGCGAATTGTACTGCATTGAAAGTGTGCAGATCTCTGTAGGTCCTCGTCATCAAAAGAACGTAACGTGGCCCTAAGGGCCTTGTACAGGTGGAAGTGGACAATGCCTGCTCCACAGGCAGAAATTACTTGGTACCGTGGGTGGTGGTTACATGGCCTCACAAACTGGCAATTCGGTTGCAATGGGTTGAAGATCCACATAATGCGTATTAAACATACATTAGGAAAGATCCCCTTTAAAAAGCCATCTGCATGAATACTTTGAACCTGTAATAAATAATACCCACAATCCAACTAAAAATGCATACAGCCAAGGGAAGCCTAATTGACAGCCTTTTATTACGTACGGTCCTCCCTGTGAAGTTCAGGCTACTCCATTGAGAATCCTGCCTTATCTCATTGTAAGTTGCTCAAGTTGTTGTTATCAGCAAGCTGATCCAATGCATATCGTTTCACATGCTATTCTTATCTTGAAAACAAGAGTGGTTGACACTATGTTCACGAATGAATGAGATGCCGATTCAAGATACCTTAGTTTCACCGAGTGTAAGGAGTTTGATTCTTCTCATATGGAACGAAATCGAATGCATTCCAGAACAAGAGGCTTCACAGTCGTTTGGCCCCAATGAATTCTGCCAGGAAGCCAGTTGATCTCATGATGGAGCACAACACATACGCCTCGGGCTATTGTAAAATGCGCCAATGACAAGGCTTTATGTTAAGAGTACACATCATAACCTGAATCGAGCCTTCAAAATTCAGGTAGTGAAGCTCATGTATCGCGTGTTATTCAGTTGATGCGTTTCATGGCCCCCTTTTCTTCGCAATGACAAGCAGTAGATCACCATAGTCTCCTATACCTACGCTGGATAGGCTACCATGGATATCCAAATTGCTATTCATGGGATCCATCACATGTGTGCACTTACCTAGTTCGATCTGCCGCATAATACAATAGTGTTGACCCTCAATAAGCGTGAGAGTAGGTACCGAGGAGTTGCCAAATGCCACAAGCCTTATACCCATAATCATCTCCTCCACGATAGATGCGGGTCTTCCTGCGAAATCAAATGCAACATATAAATGGAGCGAATGAGTTCCAGTATTCTGGCTGGTTTCACATTCAGAATGATATCCTTGATAATAAAGTAGTGGCTGCCCGGGGCCACATTATCTTAGCAGCCTCTACTTTAAGACATGCCCATCAGCCATTAACATTACCTATGCACTTTGTAGATACGCGACTGGCTGTCATTGGAACAGTGATGCAAAATAATTAAGTTAACCTGATATTAAATTAAAGACGTGTCCTTTGAGATATAAACCCTCGTGGTTTTCTTGTTCAACTTAATGTGGGAATTGTTTCATAGCCTGCGTACTTATCGGACTTATTGCAAGCTATAACAAAGAATAGAGTCGAATGTATCTCTGATCTCCCTAAGTCCTAACGAGTGAAGGTGGACACAAGGGCCTCGAGTACGGAAAAGAATCCCCTTCGGCTGCGCACTTGAGTCAGTTGAGGTTTCGCTCCTAAAGTTCTAAAAGTTGGCCGATTTCCATAGTTTGGTGCTCAGGGTTTATCCATTATGAGTCAACTGGCTATAGTAGCGGTAAAACGGGAAAAGACAGTCGTTAGAAGTCGAAGGCCGGTACGGTCCGACATTACTCTTCGGGTCATAAAATTAAGTGAGCGATAGAGGTGCCGCAATGATGAGCTTGGATTGTGCCGGATCATGTCCACACAACTGTGACAATACATGAATGAACATCCATCCCAATCCGAGTCCTGGTATGGGTGCCGGACAAGTGAGCTTTGAACAGACTGAAGTGGACTACTGTGGTATGAATTGAGAACCAGCTCGTTTACCCTTCGATTCCCTTGGGACTGCCTAAAGTAGGCATGGTTCTATTCCAGCGATGTCATGCATCCGCCAACTGATCGCGAGCAATGGGATACGCAGTGAAGCCGGAGAAACCTCGGGCCGTTCAGTGACCCCTCGTTAGCCACACCTTCCAGTTGAGTCATAACGAGCGAGCTCGGGTCGAATTTTTGTTTGCGACAGCCAGCCAACTACAAGTGGGAGAACAACATCTCATTGTGAATGCTGGCTTTTGCAAACGCCTCGTTCTCTCAGAGGGCCCCTCTTCTTCTTCATTTTTCATGACGACTCCACTCCGTCGATCCTTACACACTTCAATTCATTCTGCGCAGGCATTTGCATCTCATTTTCCCACCCCGTTTTCACCCCACTACCACCTCCTTAGGTGCAAACCCCGCCATCGACATCTCATACCGCGATTGACTTTCGCGACAGCTTCACGAACAACCGGAACAGCCCAGACTAACTGCGCAAATATGGCAAGTGACGCATCCTTTGACAACCTCGTGAAGAAATTCGCGGACCTTCCTCTTCTCGACCGTTACCCTAACTGCTTCCCCGACATCAACCCTGTCGACATCTACCGGTCACACATCACCTCGATACTCCAGGGCATCACGGGTGTAGATCCCAAAATAGTCTACTCATCCATCCAATGGACCCAAAATTCTGATAAGGGAGACCTGGTTCTGGCTATTCCAGCTTTGCGAGTCAAAGGCAAGCCAGAGGAGCTGGGCAAGCAATGGCTTGAGCAGGTGCGCAACAACATCCCAATCCCCCGGATGAACTTGCTAATCGTATTTCTTTCATATTATATAGTGGCCTGAGTCACCTCTTGTCGAGAAGCCTATTCAAAACGGCAATTTCATCCCTTTCTTCTTCAAGCATGGACCACTCAGGCAGACGACGATTACCCAAGCTCGGTCACATCGATTTGACTTTGGCAGCAACAAGGCTGTCGGATTGAAGGACCAGTCTGACCCCTCAAAAGGCAAGAAGCGAATCATCGTCGAGTTCAGTTCACCCAACATCGCGAAGCCCTTCCACGCCGGTCATCTGCGGAGCACCATCATCGGTGGTTTCCTGGGCAACCTCTACGAAGCCGCTGGCTGGGACGTCCTTCGCATAAACTACCTGGGCGACTGGGGCAAGCAATATGGACTGTTAGCATTGGGTTTTAAGATGTATGGAAGTGAAGAGGCCCTACAGCGTGATCCCATCAACCATCTGTTCGAGGTGTACGTCAAAATTTCTGCCAAAACTGCGAAGGAGAAGGAGGAAGCCGATATGCTGCAGAAGGATGGCAAAGATGCCGAAGCCCAGAAGATCAAAGATTCTGGCCTAGACGAGCAGGCTCGCCAATACTTCAAGAAGATGACAGAGGGTGACGAGGAAGCACTCACGCTGTGGAAACGGTTCCGAGACTTCAGTATCAAGCGCTACAAGGAGACATATGCGCGACTGAACATCAACTTCGATAGCTACTCAGGCGAAAGCCAAGTTTCTGAGACGGAGATGGAGGATGCGGCACGGAAGATGAAGGAGATGGGCCTAGCTGAGGAGGACGGCGGGGCTCTCCTCGTCGACTTCTCAAAACACGTGCAAGGCAAGGCTGGCAAGTCCCTCGGGAAAGCCCTCCTGCGAAAGAGGGATGGCACAGCGCTCTATCTCACTCGAGATATCAGCGAGCTCTTGAACCGCGACAGGACATATAACTTTGACCACATGATCTATGTGATTGCCTCACAGCAAGATCTTCATGTGAAGCAGTTCTTCAAGGTAGTGGAACTGATGGGACACAAGGATATTGCCGCCAAGGTTCAGCACATCAGCTTTGGCCTCGTCTTGGGTATGTCTACGCGAAGGGGCACAGTGAAATTCTTAGACGACATCTTACGGGATGTGGGTGAGCATATGCACAGCGTCATGAAGAAGAATGAGGAGAAGTACAAACAGGTCGAGAACCCCGAGGCAGTCGCCGATATTCTTGGAATCAGCAGTGTCATGGTGCAAGACATGAGTGGCAAGAGGTAAGCATAAGGTTTCTTCATGATTCGGGATTGCTTCTTTGGATTTCATGTGTCCGCCCTTGGCCTGGGTGGCGAGACAAGAAAGTTCAGACGTGTTGACGGGAATTGTGGTTTAGGATCAACAACTACACCTTCAACATGGAGGCCATGACATCTTTCGAAGGCGACACCGGACCGTACCTTCAATACGCACATGCTCGATTGTGTTCCATCTCACGAAAGGCTGGCCTCAGCGAGAAAGAACTCGATTCTGCTGATCTCTCTCTACTTACTGAACACCACGCCATTGAGCTCGTGCGAGTGCTGGCACAATGGCCTGATGTGGTACAGAACACGCTCAAGACGCTGGAACCGACCACCGTCTTGACGTATTTGTTCAAGATGACCCATGTATTGAGCTCGAGTTATGACCACTTACGAATTGTCGGCAGCGAACCTGAAGTTATGAAGGCTCGCATGGCTCTGTATGATTCGGCACGAATTGTGCTGAACAACGGAATGCGACTGCTGGGATTATCGCCGGTGGAAAGGTAAGCAATGCCTTAACTTCCGCATCACCGAACCCGAAGTCCAAATTGGCATCGCGAAGTACTTTGCAGCTGACAGTCGCTTCCAGGATGTGAAATGTGGGGTATAGATGGGTAGGATTGGTCGGTCCGATGAGGTTGTCAAGAACGTCAGAGGAACGAAAGTTGGGAAGCTGGAATAGAGTTCGCCACGATCTAGCTAAGCCGATGAAGATTTATCTTGCTCTCCAAAAGTATATATGCCCGACTAGAGGATAGGTTGAAAAGCATCATGACAATGCCGTAAACAATCCATAACACCGACTGGGACTGCTGAGTTGGCGGTAGGCATATGGCTTCGTGTGAGCAACAAAGCAATGTCCCTGAAGCCAGCCGCAGATAGATTAATGCGATGCTTGAAGCTGATTCTCACCCCAGCAACACCTGGCCTAGGCAGACGCGTGATTCCAGCGAACGGACCTCCCTCATGGGATCGTTTCATAGAATGCACAGATGTGCAAGCGCGCGAAAGCTGTCGTCCGAGGTTATGGTCCTCGGGAGGCCTAGTCAAACTCAAACCCAGAACCTGGACCTCGTGTATTCTTGCAATTCAAAGAGATGCGCTGATATGTATTGACCCAGTGGGGCGGTAAAGGTCTGGTTCCGCGTCAGCAACCTCATGTTGAACCGTTCGATTAAGTGATGGTCATGAATATCGATCCGACATGGCAATCCGCTCGGATATGCTTTGTGATCGAAGACAGAACCAAATACGGGAGGCGCGCCGGTTTCAGGTTTGATGTGGCCCTCCGACCTTGTGCTAGCTGCCAATACAACTTCACAAGCAGACTCTTCGAAGATATCAAATCTGTGGTGGAGATGACGCTGACGATCCGTTCGGGACCTACAGCCGTGGACCCAGCTGGCAAGCAGGACCACTGTCGGAATCCTTGTAACGCCGAAGCGTGCATGGTGCTAATGCGTACACCTAGTCTAAGTTCATTCGGTGGCTGGCCTCAAGCCGAAGCCAGCCACGTCGAAAGCAGGCAAGTACCCGCCTTGAACTCTTCCTTCAGCTCGACCGAATTAGATCTCTCTCAACCCAAACTTGCCAGTCTCAAGCTATCAATCCACAATCCTCCCTGCTTGTGTTTCTGGAGGAGGACGTGCTGGCTTATGAAGCAATCCCAATGTCATGCATTGCCGCACTGAGAGGATGGCCATTGAGCAGGAGCTGGTCCCAACGCATGTCTACATCATCGGCGGCAATTTGACCATTAACCCCAGCTCAACCGTGTTGGTGTTATGGCCCATAATCACTGTCTTTTTAGGCTCCCAATGCAACGTCCGTGGCGACTAAGCACCCAGTTGTGATGAATTGACGTCCGCCTACCAGACCTGTAATAGTGGACAGTGAGGCTGAAGCCGATCAGTCACCGGCATTGCAGCGGAAAGACCTGCCAACGGCGTCCCACGTACCTGCACAAAGGCCGTTTAGCCGGCTTCGAGAAAGTCTAATTGCAATATCACCATCTGACAAAGCTCAAGACGGCCCGCGGAGCCTGGAATAATTTGTCTTGTTGGAAACAATGACGAATCCATGCCCAAGAACTCGTCTGTGCTTCATATCCAACCTACGCAGGCCACCATCTTCTATGTTTGGCATCATGGATGGCTGTTACTGATGTCGAACTCAAGTCACCAACCAATATAGGAGTACGCACTGTCTGCCCCGCTCTGATTTGCCCAGACATGACGACTATCCCAGCGGGCTGGCATTGCCCCTGAGACGATGCAACCACTTACTGCCCGAAGAAAGACGTCTCGCCTTTCGCAACTTTCCTCCGCAGAATACGACAAGGATCAAAGCTATTCTTGCATCCTTTCCATTATTGACCCACTTTAAATGAATGATCCTTCTGCTCAGAGCTATCAGAGTATTGGCCAAGGCCCGAGAATCCATGAAGCTCGGGCTGGTCCAACGTCAAGATGCTTAACTACGAAGCCACTCTGCCAACGTCCGCACGGTTTCCAGGCACTGCCAATCTCCTCGGGTCTCGTAACGAGTGCTATCGCCCTGCTCGCATTTCGGTCTTGCAGTAAGTATGCTCATTGCAGGGGGATGTCTTCAGGGTCATCTTGAAGCGAAGGAAGAGGTGGGGAACTCATGCGAATTAGAGCCTTCGTTCCCGAAGCTGTGTGTTTCCTTGAATGTGAAAAAATCTCGCATTCGTCCTTCGCGGCACGGTCCCGGGATAGACCCCATGGTGGTTATCTAGCGGCCGGGGTTTTACCAGAACCCCGAACTCGCCTTGGTGGCATCACTGCGCCTGTCTTACCAACCAGTTTCCACGTCTAATCTGATGTCGCCGCCTTGGCGTCTTCAGAAACTCCTTAACGTAGTGATCTCCTTGCAGTTTTCCTGCAGCAACTGCTGTATTGAAACCAGGATCCCTCGGGATCATATCATGGTCAAGCTACTCCAGATCCCAGCAAGATGGTCGATAGACTTCAGTCCTCTACCCTGATCGAGAGGCATCGGTCAGCTTCCATGCAAGTGTACATATTTTAGCTTCTCAAAGGCAATATGGTCAGGTTGGCCAGGGATTTCCACCCCGAGCTATGCTTCTCGCAGCAGGGTAGAACTAATTTAGCTCCATCTTGCTAGGACTACCCTTGTGCCTGGCCTAGTAGGGATCGACTTATAAGCTCGAGCTTCTGTATCTAAGTAAATGATGTCCCCCATCTCATGCTCCTCGTGGTCGGATACTCATCTTGCAATTTGGTTCGAACATTCTTTCACTTCCTCTCGGGGCCTCTGCTTTTTAACATACTTCCTGCATCGATACGTTGGACGTTGTCGTGTGCAAATTCTCATCAAGTGAACCGACACATACCACCATGGCCTTTTTGACCGGCCTCATCGTCACTTCATGGGCTCTCAGCGTGTTATATCTGTTGAAGAGGAAACAGTACCGGGATAGAATACCAGTTGGTGCTAAGCCATTACCTGGTCCTAAAGGTTTGTGCTGCCTCCATCGCTGACGATCGAAGCATCTCAATGACCCTTGACATCACAGGCCTGCCTCTCATCGGGAGGGTTCACGACGTGCCACCAGAGAAAACATGGCTGAAGTTCCATGAGTGGAGCAAGGAGTATGGCCCGATATACCAAATGGAGATGTTCGGGTCGGTGCACGTCTGGATATCCTCGGAGAAAATTGCAAACGACCTGTTGTCGAGACGCGCCGTCATCTACTCGGATCGGCCCACGATCCCCAATTTGCCAAATAACCGGACCAGTGGAGAGTATCTTGCCCTACACGGTCGCAATGGTATGTATAGAGCCACTTCATCAGAGGTTACGACGTCAAAAGTCAACACCTAGCGTGAGCCAAAGTATACACTGACCTAGCATACAGAAACATGGAAACGTCAACGCAAACTGTGCCAGCACCTGATGGCAGTTTCGGCCAACGATTCACTCCACGACTACCCTACCATGGAGCGCGACCGGTTTCTGTTTCTTCTAGCGCAAGACCCATCACAGTACCGCGAGTACATCGAGCAATTCACCGCTCGTACAGTATCACGGTTATCTTGGGGTAGCGCACACCCTGCCAACGTCCTTCGTCACACCACCTTCGGTCTACTAGAGACTATATCACCGGCGGGTGCTCTCCCCAACATTGTTTCGTGGCTAGGCTACCTTCCCCGATTCTTGTCGCCATGGCAACAGAAGGAATATGCCCGTCACGAGCTCGAAGCACGCATGTGGAAGAACAACGTCAAGTATGTGCATGACAGCATTAATGATGGTTCGGCAGACCCAAGTTTCGTCCGCACCTTCATTGAGACTGTGAAGAAAACCGGTGACAAAGCCAAATGGGGTGAGGAGTCTGAGGCTACCTACGTGGTGGGGCAGATGGCCATCGCTGGCGCTTTGACGATCGGAAGCCCGATCCAGAGTTTCTTGCTTGCCATGCTGCACTACCCTCAATGGCAGATGAAACTGCAAGAGGAGATTGACGCCGTATGCCAAGGGAAGTGCCCGGAATGGTCAAATCGCGAGCAGCTGCCTATGCTGCGAGCAGTTGTGAAGGAGGTTATCCGATGGAGACCGCCTGTCCCAACTGGTGAGTGGTTCCCGCCACAAGTGCTCATTTCGATCGCTAACGACACTTCAACAGGTATTCCTCACGCGTCTGAGAAGGATGATGTGTATAATGGTTATTTCATCCCTGCGGGTGCTACAATCCATGCCCTAGAATGGTAAGATTAGGTTACATCCAATCTTCGCGCAACAATGACATCGATTATGATGTAAAGCCGTGGTGGAATCGTTTCGTCCTAACCTGTCATCTCATCTCGAGACATTACATGAGATCCTAATTCGTCTAAACTAATTTGATACACAGGGGCATGACTCGCAACGAGGAGATATATCCAGACGCCGAAACATTCAACCCCTCACGCTGGCTCGATCCATCATACCCAACATACAAGGGCCCCTTGACCGAGTACCCCAAGCTCGCAGGCTTTTCACAATTTGGTTTCGGTCGCCGCACGTGCCAAGGTGTACCCATCGTGGAACAAGACCTCTTCCTAGCCATGGGCGGCATGGCCTGGGCCTTCAATATTACTAAGAAGTTCCGCGCTGATGGGACTGAGATCCCTGTGCATTGGAACGAGTACTCTCCCCTCTTGATCGCCAAGCCGGCTCCTTTCGAGTTTGATGCTCGCCCGCGCTCGGAAGCTATTAAGTGGAAGCTCCGTGGCATGTGGGAGACGGGCCGAGGCGAGGATGATATTGAAGAAGAGTGTCGTGTCCGCGAGGAAAAATTGCGGGTTCGGGCTGAGCATATGAAATTGGATCGGGAGAGAGAAGTTGAGGCGGATAAGTATGATGATGCGGCAAGTGTGGGGGGTTCTGAGACGAGTGGTCCGTCCGAAGGGGGAAGTGTGTCGAGCAGTGCGACGCCTAACACGCCGGGAGGATTGAGCGTGAGGGGCGACGGTGAGGTGGATATTTGGGCGTGAAGTGTGGAAGCGTGGGAGATTGATTATTAAAACCTTTAGCGCATGTATTCTCTTTTATTAATGACCCATTTAGATTCACTGAATTAACATCGATATCTCTAGCGATATCCTTAGTTTTAGCAGTAGACTGGAAGGATACCAAAATTGATCCAATAAACAGGCAGCGTCTTAGTATACGCTGGGCACGTGATGATCGAAGTTGAAACTTATGAGACTCAAACTACAAATCATTTCTATCGGCTGCTTCGAATATTAGGTCGCAACTCGGTGAACTTCCTTGGTGGCTTGGATGTGATGTTGCGACAATAATGCATATCGAAAACTCATATGCGACTTCAACTTGTTGCACTACCAATCACTCTTAAATACAAAGCCAAAACTATATGAAGTGCTTCCAATTTCCAAAAATAGTTGAACGTTTGGCAGAATATTGGGTTGTTCCTTGCTCGATTTTGCATTCTCTGTCGTTAAGGTAAGTAGTGATTCTTCTACCTAAGCACTCGAGTTCGCTGACACTGGGATCTCGATTCTCCAATGATTAAGCTTTTTGACACGGTACTGCTCTCACTATGATATTCCTTGACCAGTGGAAGGTTCATCGCCGCTTATCACATCTTCACTATGACATTGCTGACATTCTGACGACTAATTTCGTCTAGAGGGATTTATTAGGGGCTTGTAATACCTGCTGAAATTATCTCACGTGGATATTTAATATAGATATAAGCACTCATGTGAGAATTTCGCGCGGTTTCTATTAGATCCGAAGTTAATTCTTAGAGTTAACTTTACCCAAATCGACTTTTGATCCTTCAATACTTGGAGACAAGACTGAGGCTTTTGGATAACACAGTCATATTGAGGTCCATAGAACTTCGCATTAGCACGGGATCGAGATAACGACATGTAAGCCGATCGAAGACCTTGTTCACAGCAAGCTTGGGGCTCAGTCCTCTCATACGCTTAATCAGGGCCTATAAGCTGGCCCCAATTTTATACTAAGAATGCACCTTTTTCTGCACCTGGTGAGCTACGCACCCTTTAACAGTCATCATCATGAAACGGAACAGGATTTTCTGTCACCCAGAGAAAGGTACGTTTTCTCTCCGTGGTACTTCGGGTTAAGTTTGAACAAACGCTCGTTCCTGTGGGGTACTGTCGTTGTCTGGACTGTTCGGTTTAAGCCGCTGATACACAACCCCCAGCCAGCATCCTGGTTGTTAAAGGGTGGCCAAATATGCATTAATGACACTGTTCATCCTGCCCCAGAGGTCGCGATAACCTCGGAAATCGTCAGTGAATGTCGACGACAGAACAATCAGACACGCAAAAACTTATGCCAGTAATGGATTTGGCGTTATTTGTTTTGCGTAAAATCTGCTGGGAAGTGCTCTGGGACCGCACGCCCTCGTTCAAGCCCCTGGTGACTGTCTTTTGAAAACATACGTCCGGATCATTGGTGTGGATTGTCGCATGGCAGTTCCCTCTAGGTCACTCGATACGAACATCACCAGAACCGTGTGCGCCTCTCCCCAACGTACGAAGTCTACCATAAAGTCTTTTCAGTTCCCTTGTAGCAAGTGATATGCGATCCCAGCCAGTGCACAGTCACTTGACAATTGCTTTTGAGTGACATTCCCCACTGGCCATTTATCAGGATACACTCGCCGAGATGTACTACCTATCATCTCTGCTCAAACTCATTTCTCAAGGCCACAACATCAATGATACATACAGTAATGGTGCTTTGTTCCCTTTGTTACAAGGGAATTCGTCGAGGAAACTCTGGTGGAGCATGCGATCGACCGAGATTCTCTCGAATCACGCAACCTGTACGAGGCCGCGTATCTGGACCAAGAGATGGCAGAGCATCTTAAGGCCTTCCATTGTCATGCACTCTATCGTTTCTGCCAAAGCCCCCATCATGTTGAAATCCACGACTATCTCTCGTTATCATGGCGGCACTTTCTGGAGCCCTCTGGTCAGACTGCGAACCGGATAAGCGCTGTTGAACCCATTGGGACAGCAAAGTTATTTTTTTGTTTCTGTTTTTGTGTATCAATGTTGGTTTGGACTAAATCTTGCAGCCAGATGCCGGGGTAGCTTTTTTCCCAGATGGAGAGATAGACAGTTTCACGGAAGTCCAAGTCGGGCCATCAAGCGAGACAGCTTCAAGAAAGGTTCCCTAGCAGTCTACTAGGGGATCGGCGGCTGCAATTTTACCAAAATACAGAGGCGCAACTTCACTGTGTATTGGCTTTACATGAAATGCCAGCCGACTACGGGAGTAACATGGGCAGATTCAGGGCGGGGGAGATCGAAGCGCATCCAACATAGCCCATCGTCTAGGAAAAGCAGGTCAAGATGGGATCCCAAGACATGACGTCACCTCGATCTTTGAGGAGTATAAACCCGATGCCTTTGGATGCGGCGCCTCAGATCTCTGTGGCTCTACCATACTCGCCATCGTCAGCCGCAAGGCCGTTACTTAGGCTACGACTGGGAGACCATCTCCTTCTCGCTGAAGGTATCTGAGTTGCCAAGAGCAGTCCACAACCATCCAGCAGGACCATGCGTGGGTATAGGGAATGAATGTGGACTGCTCCTGGCTCATCACACCTTTGGCATCCCATATCTCCTCTATAAGCCGGTGTTTCTCCTTATCACTCTGAAGGTGTTCCTCAGCTCCTTCCGCATAGGCTCTCTCAATGTTTCTCCCGACTCCTATTCAACGGATCTTGTCTGTTTTCGAAGAGATTCACGTATCTCTCCCCCAAACTCCTCTTGGATGGGTAGGTTCCCTTAGCTGTTTCTAAGGAGGCTCCCTCTCTGCGTCCTTGTCCTCCCGAATAGGATTCTGCCATCCAGAACGAACGTCTTACACGGAAATCCGTTTAGATCCCCGGTAATTACGACGTAGAAAGCCAAGAAGAAAATTGTGGGCAATACAGGCAAGAGGTTTGTATTGGTGAAGATGATGGGACTAAGTCCCAAAGGCTACAGTTACGGAAGGGTTATCTGTGGGCAATTGGCCCAATCGCTGCACCCAGAGCACAGGCAGTGTGCCTGGGGCACGCCAAGAAAAAGACTCCAATAAGTGTTAATATTTATAGCGGCAATGATTCGTTGTGTCAAAGACCCAGAATCGTTAGAAGACCCTTTTGTTGGAGATGGAGCTCCTCGTCCAATTTGATCCACAATCTCGAGCGAGCATCCGGATCCTTACAGTAGCAGTGCGACGGTGCTTCCCATATGCGATTGATATATTTCCCTCCGCCCCGCCCATTTGACGCGCCGACATTTTGCACCTTGAGGTCTGGTCCAAACTCTGGGCTGGTGGCTACGTAGCTGATTGCCAAGCTACCCTGTTGTGGCGTAATAGAGATGTAGGGCAGAAGGAACTTGAGAAGCCGGCTCGTAGTGTCGCCCGTGTCACTGATGCCGGTCCAGATGCCTGAAGCAACAAAGCCGGGATTCACCCCATTGATCGTGATGTGGAGATACTCAGGGTGCTTGAGGAATCGAGACTGTAGTTCAGCAATCCACATCTGGAAGTAAAGCTTGTTGTTTATATAATCGCCGCCCTTCATCTCCGGACCACAGTTGAAGTGGTCAAGATCGAAGGCTCCGAGGTGGTGAATGCTTGAAGTTGTGCAAATGATCCGAGGACTTGCACTGCGAGCCAGAGATGGCAGAAGTCGGAGGGTCAGCAGCACATGGGATAAGAGATTTACCTAGGAGTTGGTCAGGCTTCGTTCCCATTACAAGTCGAGGGAGTCGGAAAAAGAAAAGCGGACCTGGTGAACCAACTGGAATCCGTCCTTGGTCATGCGGGTTTTCGAGGTAGTCCCTAGCCCTGCATTGTTGCAGAGTATGTCTAGAGCGCGACCGCTTCCCAGCCATTTTCGACAGAAGGCCTCGACGCTGCTGAGATCTGCCATGTTAACCTCCCACCATTCGATAGTCGACGAATGGCCCCGCGCCTCGGCCAGGTCTTTGCATTCTTTCACAGCGGCCATGGGATGCAGCTCCCACGCGGGCGGCTCGCGGCAGGCGAGGATCAGGTTCCCTCCCCAAGCTGCGAAGGACTTTGCCGCTTCAAATCCCACGCCGTTATTGGATCCAGATATAACGATCCATTTTCCTCTCAAGTCGGCACCGGGGACGTGCTGGTCTGTGAGGAAGGTGTTGTTGGCTCCCCTGAAGCTCTGGAACAAATGATATAATCCCGAGAAAAACGATGAAGACATTGCGACAGGACAACTAATAAGAAGGAGATCACTCTCTGTTTTGGAAATTTTAGATGAGGCTAGACAAAGTCCTTCGCGAATCTGACTTAGTGCTGACGAAGATTATGTAATACAATAACCGAAAATAAGTCCCCGGACGGCTCCTACTTCGGAGACTTATTAGTTTCGATTACTTGGTAGCTCAAGCGTTTCTAGCCTGCCACTTCTTAACAGAGGTAAGGGAAATAATTTGGGACAGACGCGATAAAAATTGATACGATGGCTTCACCATTGGCATGACTGTTTGCCGCAGCCGAGAAGGTCTTTCATAATCTATCAGCCTCTCTGGATATGTTGACCTGTTGGTGCCACCGACGATAGCGGATTCGCGTCGCCTTTGCCGATGGCCATGCAAGCCTCGTTAAAACCAACCAGGGCCGACGAGAACGTCCTATAGCTATTTGGGAGAGCTGACTTCTCCTGGGAAGTCGCAGGCCATTCCGCAGATGGCAATAGGTTCAAATACGCGACTCCTGTTATTCGAATGGCCGTTGGTGCCATTGACAGCAGACTCGTTAACATGACCATTTGTTCCATTGATGTCAGCCATCATACTTGATTGGGAGGTGGGAGAGGATTACTGAAAGATGGTAGCAGACGTGATGATATCCACGAAGCTTGGAGAGGTGCAAGAGACTATGCCTTACATATGTGTTTACTGTGATTTTTCTCTCTGTGTAGTTATATATGAAGTTCATAGAGGTGGAAGGACTCCGTAGATATCCTGGGATTCGCTCACTAAGATTTTGACCACACCAATGCTCTAGAGATATTTCTCTGTCGTGCCAGGTCATGTTTTGTGATGGATCATACTATGCTCGGCGAAATTTGAAGAACAGCTAAGGAATAACGGCAAAAGGAGCCTGCTTCGGAGCGCGAGTGCGAGAGCGTCACACATACTCCGACAGGATACGCCGGCGGGACGGAAGCGGGCGTCACAGTCGCTCAGACCAGCGGGGTACACGATGGAGAAGGAGGCTAAGGGCTCCGAGTGGATGGGCAAGGAGAAGGAAGCCCCGGCCGCCCTCCTAGACCACTGGGAGAAGAGATGGCTCTCCGGGGCAGCACAACACGACCGCCAGCGACGCGCTATCGCCGAGGAGCCGGAGGGCCCCTCGATGCGAATGCCGAAACAGGGCAAGTACTCAGGCCTAAACCGACCGGAGGCGTCTACCCTATGCCAGATCAGGACCGGAAAAATAGGACTATCAGCTTTCTTATTTAAGATAGGAGCCTTCGGTGTGTACTCGCCGCTATGTCGCTGTGGAGAAGCCCCCAAGACGGCAGAGCACGTAATCCTCTTTTGCGGCCTGCTGGAAGGATCGAGAGAGCGCCTACGGGCCACTATCGCACCATGGCCGCTACACACACGTAGAGACCTGGCGACGGCGACAGGGAAACCAGAAGTCAGCGGGACTATCACAAGGTCGCTACTCAGGACCGGTCGGATAGCGCTTAGGCCCGGATAATATCGATCTTCTCAGGGGGACTTTGTTAGTAGGGTGAGAACTAACATAGTATTGCGGCGGACGTAAAGCAGTCGCTAATAGAGCGAACCTACGTAGCAGCGTATGTATTTAGTCCAGCCATTAGGGCACGGTTTGACATACGGGAGTACTTGTAGAGGTACCCGGAGCTTCGAGCCTACGGCGTATTTAATAATACTATGTTGTGAAGAACCAAGAACGCTGCCCAGGCACACTCCATCAAATTGTCTGCAACCCCAGGGAAGATGGCCTAGACTTACGATGAGTGGTTGAAAGAATCTGACGACCTGGGGGATAGTAAGGCTGACTGGAGCTAATCACCAGAACATGGGTGTGGACACAAACATGTCCATGATCCATGGCAGGTACTGATCGTGCATTGCATGATGCTGTACCTCAATATCCCTAAGAGGAATAATGTAGGCCTGCCCAAACCTTGAAAGTTCGTCCTGCATTGAAAGATGCTAGCGTTGCATGTACGTACTATAGTCCCCCCTGTCGGTTAGCAAGTTTCAGTGGGCAGCCGGCGGCAGCATGGTCCACTTGTCAAACACCTGCAGTCTACCATATCAAGGATCTAGCATCAAGCATCAAGCCGCAAGCAGCGTAGTTCGTTACCAGACAGCTCGATGTGTGGTGCCGTTCAGACGCACCTGTCCGGGTGTGAAGGAGGCCTGGACAGGGCTGGGGGAACGAATCCCCTTGCATGTCGACCATATGCAGTCAGTCATAGGCCGGCACTTAAGTAGGCACCTTGTTCTGTTCTCCCCTGTCATTCGTTGAAGAACCAAGCAGACTGCTTAACTCTTTTTCTCGCGACTACAAATAAGCCTCAGAGTACTTTCCGAAGACCAAACTTATAGCAAGTGATTTACCACCAACATGCTTTGGTCTCAACGCGGGACAACTTCGCCTGGATTCAACGAAGAGAGGGTTGGTGATTGGACATCGTAGAAGGTTCGTTCTATCTTGCATTCACATCGCTGGAGACCAGTACCCATATTTAGTTCCTGCAGTTGACCTGCTGATATCGTGGCAGCTGCGCTAAAGAATACCGGCGTCGAATCGCTTTACCGCTCAACGTAATTTGCTCTGCGGCCCGCCGTGGCGCTCCCATCTTGCAGCCGATGTTATGCATGTGCATATGCGGCACCGATGCAGCTAAATTTCTTCTACCTTTGAAGTTGCGTCGTGCTGGGCCTATCTTGTTCTTCGACCCACGCTATTTACCCGCAGTCAGTACGTCGGAGGTAGCAAGCCTCTCAGGCAGCGACCTACACTGGCGTGGATCCGGGGTTTATTTGTTCGAGCACTTGTGAGATCTTACTTAAAAACTCCGGCGGCCAATTGTTTCTGCTCACTGCTGTTCCAAACCAGTGTCTCGTAATTACTGATGGATCATATCTAAGAGTAACACCTAACTTATATAAACAACCCATCGCTCCAGTCAAACCCCCGCAAGAGTATATATCCATAACCACGTAGGGATCTCACCAGTTCGAACGGGCCTTGAAAGGTGCCTGATAACAGAAAAGACCTCCATCATCTCGTCTAACTCAGAAGATGTAAGGGCGCATACTAAGCCACTACTCTATTTCCTTGTAAGGACACTAAGGCTGATAATAGGAGCTGGAAAGGCCCTCGAGAAGAAGGAACACGCCTTGTGGTCACTATCGCAACAGTATCAGCTACAGATTACAAATTTACAAAGTGTGTGCTACAATTCGTACCTCATGGCGGCATTCCCATCTTGCTGGGGGCAAATCTACATGGCCACAACCAGCAGACTCAGAATGAGGTGCTAACGTGTATCGACCCATTCAACCTCTCCCTATGTCGCCCGCCACCTTGTTCCGGGCCTCTGACCCACAGCAACTTCTACCCCATCGATAGTGTGATTTATTGAATCCGAATCACACTTGTGAGCTCAACATATCACTCACCGCCGCCAGGTGCGTGCAGACAAGCATTGCCAAGGCGGTAACCCGACCGTTGTCCGGGTGGGGCCGACGGGATCGCTGACAGTTCTTCTACGTTAGTTACCGTCTTGCTGCCGTCTTGGTCTTAGCGGAACGGGGGCTTGGCAATTCAAATAGAGCCGAGACTCGCGTCGCCGAACCCGCAGAACAACAGGAGAAGACGAAGGAAGTGTCCATGTTGCGCTCACAAGTTTGACAATGCGATCTTTCCAGCTCTCACCAAATCAATTCAATGCATTGCAGACGATACCGTTACTCTGCATATTATGATTGTGATTCACGGAAAACACCGGATTAATTCTGGAAGAGCGTCGTCGTCGACAAGCTTTTGGGGCCGAGCCCCGGGCCCTCGCCAAGCTTCACCTCACCAAGAGATTTTCAACTGCCAGGTTACTGGTACCCTTGCGAGTCAGAACGGAGCCAGACAGTGGTGCCATTGGATGTGAAGATCATACTAACCTGATTGATGTTTCGAAACGATTGCCACTGACGAAAGTCGCCGTGGGCTACCAGAGTGCAGTCTGTCGATTTTCACAATCGGCCCATCCGACCCATCACACGAGCGAATATGCTTAGGACGTACCTGGGCGGTTCCTGGGGTCTCCAGACATTCCCACCTCCCACAAGCAGGACTCGAAGAGCGCATCTGCTCGGTCCTTTAGGTCTCGACCTAGAAATGCGGGCTCCGGGGGCGAAGAAAGTTCAAAGCACAACGTTTTCTCCATATGGAGAACGGGCGCTCCGAGCAATTCTCGTACCCGCTAGCGGGTGGTCTTCTTTTCTGTGTGGGATAGAAGCTGGCCTTTTTCCGGGGCGAGTGATCAGCCGTCGAACGAAAATCGCCGCAAAACGCCGTTCTCGGCCAGCGTACCAACGACCGAGCCGTCTGAGGCAGGCTTGATCTGCGGCTTCAATTAGCGCAACTTTTGCGACGTTTTGACAATGCTAATGTCGCAACTTTCCTCCAGCCACATCACCAATTGATTGGACCTAGTTTAGAGCTTCGCAACTAAGATTTTCATCCGTTTCATCTTGATATATTTTCCCGACACACGCACGCATACGAGAAAGTCTCCCGAGGAAGCCCATTCATTGTCCACACAACCGACCCGGACCCGCTGGTGCCGGAGGTTCCTCGGTCAGTCCATGGGCCTTCCGTCACATTGTCCCCGCCGTCTTTCATGCTCGCACGAGTCATATACCCACCAACATCCCACTTTCCTGGTATGGCTGTCCGGAGCCCCAACTCCAACTCCAGGTCAGGCGAATCTTAAAAACCGGCGCGAGGCTGCAATGCAAAAACTGGAGGAGGCCACAACCCGGTAGTTGGGGCCCCGGCGGATGGGGAAAGCGCCGTAAAGGGGAAAATGGTCGTACTTCGGCCAGTTGGTAGCAAATACCCACTAGCAAATAGACTCGAATGACGATTCTCGTCTCGACTTGGGTGACGTTGACCATCGCCCACACTGCCCACACTGTCACGAGATGCTCAGAAATTTCGCGGGGGGCGGGGGACAGAAAGAATACAAAATAAGCGTCGTATCCCGTTTTATTGGGCAGCATTCATTGTTGTTCAAGCCGTATCCGACCCTCGGAGCATCTACCGCCTCATTTGATGTGTTTCCCGGCCAGGTCCCTCATCCTCTCACACTAAACATTTCACAATGGCCGACGAAAGCGTCACTCCGGCGCCTCCAAGGCAGTACTCAAAGCGAGTCGAGGATCAAGTCGAACACCAAGCCGCCACTCTCCCTCCCCTAAAGGAGAAAGATGCCGTTGCCATTGCGGCGGCCGGCGGCTATGTTGTCGACGACCTTATCAACGATATGGAGCAGCAGCTTGCTGCTGCTGGTGGCATGCGCAAGAGCTTCTGGGACCTTGAATTCAAGGACCCGCGCCATTTCACCTGGGTCATTGTCGCCTTCGCCTCCATGGGTGGTCTGCTTTCGGGACTCGATCAGTCCCTCATCAGCGGTGCTAACCTTTTCCTGCCCAAGGATTTGGGCTTGACTACTGCTCAGAACAGTCTGGTCAACTCGGGTATGCCGCTGGGCGCTGTTGGTGGTGCATTGATTTTGGGTGTGTGCAACGAGAATTTCGGTAGAAGGTGGTCCATTATCATCTCCACCATTCTTTACACTATCGGCGCCGCACTTGAGGCTGGATCGATGAACTATGGTATGCTATTCACCCAGTCGTGAACAACCTATCCGTCATCCTTGATCTAATTTCTAACCAGGTATGATTGTCGCCTCCCGTGTCATTCTTGGTGTCGGTGTCGGTTTGGAAGGTGGCACCGTCCCCGTCTACGTCGCCGAGACCGTCGAGCGCAGGATCCGCGGTAACCTCGTCTCCCTCTACCAATTCAACATCGCGCTGGGCGAAGTCCTCGGCTACGCCGTCGCGGCTATGTTCCTGCGCGTGCCGGGTAACTGGCGCTACATCCTGGGCTCCTCGCTCGTCTTCTCCACCATCATGTTCTTCGGCATGCTGTTTCTGCCCGAGTCCCCCCGCTTCCTTATGCACAAGGGTAAGACGCTCGAGGCCTACAAGGTGTGGAAGCGGATCCGCGGCGTCGAGCGGCAGGACGCCCGCGAGGAGTTCTTCGTCATGAAGGTTTCCGTCCTCGACGAGCAGCAGGCCATAGCCGAGGGCTCCAGCAACAAGCGCTTCCCCTGGATGGACTTCTTCACCAACCCGCGCGCCCGCCGTGCCCTCATCTACGCCAATATTATGATTCTACTGGGACAACTGACCGGAGTCAACGCCATCATGTACTACATGAGCATCCTCATGAACCAGATCGGCTTCAACGAAGAGAAGTCAACATACATGTCCCTCGTCGGTGGCGGCTCCCTCCTCATTGGCACCATCCCCGCCATCTTCCTCATGGAGAAGTTTGGCCGCCGCTTCTGGGCTAACATGATGTTGCCCGGGTTCTTCGTCGGACTCGTTATCATCGGCGCCAGCTACCAGATCAACGTCGAGACCAATCTCCTGGGCGCCGAGATCTGCTACCTCATCGGTCTCGTCCTCTACATGGGTTTCTTCGGTTGCTACGCCTGTCTAACCTGGGTCGTGCCGTCGGAGGTGTACCCTACTTATCTTCGATCCTACGGCATGACCACCTCGGACGCCCTGCTCTTCCTCGCTTCTTTCGTCGTCACATACAATTTCTCGGCTATGCAAGAGGCCATGACCCGCACAGGTCTCACCCTCGGCTTCTACGGCGGAATTGCGGTGTTGGGTTGGTTTTACCAGATCATCTTCATGCCTGAGACTAAGGACAAGACTCTGGAGGAGATTGATCTCTTGTTTGAGAGGCCCACAAGGGAGATTGCTGCCGAGAATATCAAGAACACCGTTCAGGGTTTCGCGGATTTCTTTATGGGTCGGTGGAGCAATTTGCGCCCGACTGTGCGGGAGGAACCCGACAGGACTGAGAAGTTGGACGATAAGGATGAGAAGGATGAGAAGGATGTGTAAACGACTAATATGGAGGAATAATTGGTGCTGAGGTGGTGGGGAGATTGGATTTGGCTCTATGAGATACCCCCCTTGAGTATGATTTATGAGTAATTCCGCAATATTTGCTACAATGCATTGTTTGGAACATAAGTGAAGCATTGAGTCCCACGATTAAGATTTTGACATGATTTACAATGTTTACATGTTCGTGTCATCTTTTATGGCATGGGGTTATCTATTAAAACTGTATTTCTTTCGTTGGCTCCTTCCAAGTCTACAGTTTCAAGATATTCCAGTAACTGTGATTGACGTGGGATAATTGAATGCGATGGGTGGTATAAAACAGCGAAGTTTACACAATTGGCTCGTGTATGAGATCGCTTGGTCATTGTTTACAATGGACGGTTGCACTGTGAAAGCTACTACGAGGAGCTGTGGTGTTTAAGGCGTGAGTTGGAGTTCGGAAAATAGAACCAGGTCAAGTAGGAAATGCATAGCTACCGTTGTAACTAGGTCCGAGGCGGATATTATGAGGGATGATGAGACTATATATTAATAGATATAAGACTTAGTAAATCCCTTAAACGATTCACTAAACCATATATGCATCGGGACTTGTGATGTTGTGTCGAGAACGGGAATAATAACAACTATACTAACTTTTATCTTTTCTCTCGCTACCTTGTGTTGTTTTCAATAGATGCTTCACGTTATCTCACTTGCTCGTGGCTCTATATAGAACTCAAAAGCTAGAAATAAAAAAATAATATTAAATACGCCGTAGGTGTTAACCCTCGGTACCTCTACAAGTACTCCCTTAAGGGGCTATAGATGATATAGCGGGCCCTTAAGCCGCGTCGGGCGGTTATACAGGTAAACTTGTAGCCAAATGACTACTAAACCTCCTGTCCCTCCCTAAGTCTGTGCTACAACCCCTGCCTGAACTACCGATAAGTGTGGTAATGTGGCACTTAAATTCGTCCTCAGGGGTGGGATGCTGCTGATGTGCAGAAGATGCTCGACTATTTTTTTGTCGCGACAAGTCGTAGTATCTGCTAATTGGGGTTCTCGTCGAGCGTATACATCTCAACCATACGCTCAAGTGGATAGACCGTAACGTGGTCAGACGCTCGCAAGAATCGCGGCGAGAGGGCGTGCTGCGCGCCTTCTATCGTGAGGGGACGGGTTCGCCGACGAGCGTTATCGGAAAGGCGAGGTCCGATAAGGGGTCGGATTAACGATTCGAATTCTGGACCGGCTGTCGAGTTATATTCCGCCGACGTAGTGCTTGACGGTCGACTGGCTAGGATGCTCGTAATCCTAAACTGCACCAATCTCCCTATTATCGCTAGGTAGGCGAAGTCAACAAGGTGGGCAGCGCGCCGTAAGGGTTGACTAAACCCCCTTGTGTGTCAGCTGCGGGATTCGAACCCGCGACTCGTCACCGACCCAAGTGGGCGAGGCTCAAATCGGGACTTATCTACCAGCGAAGTGACCAACTACACCAGCCGACAGCTAGAAATAATGCACCTGTAACCTTCGTTGCGGCCACGGACAATTATCTTATGCCATCTCACTACCAGAGGCCGGCCCATTTATATCGAAGTGTCTTCTATTCGTGTTATGTCCACCGCACAATTTTCGGTTCTGGAAAAAGCATAGGAGTCAATAAAACCCGATTTTACGCTGTTTCCTTCCTTTTCAAGTATAGGATAGAGTTTAACAGAGATGGCTAAAGGGAAGCGTTGCTACCAGATTACCAGACGAGGAGCAAGGGCTTGCTCCAATCGATGCAGAGTTTTGAAGTATGATGATAATTTTCTTTAAATAACCATCCTATGACAGTAATACCTCAGCTATCTAAATGCGGGATGACGTGGGATTGCCAGACCCGATATGCCGGGGGGAAGCAGGTGTTTTCGGTGCGTTTGTTGTTGCACAGGTTAAACCTTCCTTCGGGCTAGAAGTTCAGCGAGAAAATTCATTCTCTGAAAGGAAAAGTGCAATTCTAGTTGCATATGCCTCCTCAAATTACTCGAGACTTCGTGGCCGATAATGGTACTATGATCTGGCAGGAAGTCGGCGCCGGCGGACCCACCCGCTCCGCGTCCATCGGAGGTGATGGATCATCTTCTTTTACCCGCCAAGCGACGCGGTTCTTCTTTGGTGCGTGCATGTGGACTTACGATGGTCTGTCAGTCGGTCTGTCAGATGATACCCACGCTGCAATGTCACGTAATGCTCCACGCGGATTAAAGACCGAGGTTACTCCCTTAGCTTGCATCCTTCGTTTCACAGTTGTAAAATTTCCTTCTACATTCTTCACATACAGCTGTAGTCAAGCTCATTAGTACCTATTTACACGATATGGACAGCATGTCTAACACCAAGGGTGGAAATGCTGGGTCTTCCACCAACGACAACACCGGTCATGATAGCTTGTCTTCGCCTGGTCGCACTATCGATAGCTCGACCGGCCATCTTTCACACTCTTCGATTGAGTCCTCAGATAGTTCCGGCGCAAGCATTGGTGACAAGACATCTAAAGCTAGGACCTACGATGAGGATTCTGTGGTGCGTGGGGGTTTCTATGCGGACCCGTCGACTAACGAATCGCTTGATACTGGCCTAAAGACAGCTACTGCGTGGTCGTCGAATTTCTGGCTGAAACCGGAGCCCGTCGTGCCAGATACCCCCGAACGTATTCCAACGTAAGCTACTGAGAGTCCGAGTGGTGGAACTGCTGACCAAACCCTAGTGGTTACACCATTTCTGAACCCGGATCGATCGTCGAGGGGAGCGGGAGAACGTACAATGGTTATAGGGAAGGGAGTATGGACCAAATTCCATTTCCCAGTAGTTATTTTGGCGAGAAAATGGGTATGCTGACTAACCATTTTAGAGTATCTACTTCCAAATGATGGTGTAAGACCTTCGCAACCTGGAAGATATCCAGATCTGCCGCATCGCTAATTCAGAATTCAAGGCGGAACAAGATCGCCTAGGTAAGCAGGAGGCGCTCTAACTGCATATAATCGCAGTATTAACAAGTATCAGATTTCCAACATGAAATATTTCGCATTGCCTTCGATGGTGCTCTCACCCTAGCACCGATTGGGGAGCCAAGCCGTGTTCTAGATATTGCCACGGGAACCGGAATATGGGCATTCGAATTCGCCGAAAGCTACCCAAACTCCCAAGTTGTTGGGACAGACTTGAGTCTCATTCAGCCTCCGAGAAATATACCCAATTGTACATTTGTGCGCGAGGACTCCGAGGAGCTTTGGGTCCACGGTTTCAAGTTCGACTACATCCACATGCGACAGGTCTGCACCTGCTTCGACAACGACATGGCGGTCATTCAGCAAGCCTTTAACCACCTCAATGAAGGGGGATGGATGGAGATCCAGGATGGGTACCTCGAGCTAAATTCGATCGACGGCACGACAGAGGGTACCAGCCTACAGCGATTTATTGATCTCGTCCATTCCGGGTTTCGAGCAATGGGTAGAGATCTTCTCAAAGCCAAGTATTACAAGAAGTGGCTTATACAAGCGGGATTCGTTGATATCTGCGAAAAGCGACTGCCTGTTCCCAGTAAGTCGAAACAAGTCAGCTCATTGGCCAGGAATCAGTGCTAATTTGTATGAACAAGTCAACCCCTGGCCACAAGAGCCCAGATTTAAAAACCTCGGGAGATATCAGAATGCAAACTTTCACCAAGCGGTGGAAGCTATTTCTTTGAAGACACTTCCGAAGGCCGGCTTATCGCAAGTGGAGGCCCGGGATCTCATGGCGCAGGCCGATAGGGATCACAACAACCAAGCTATACATGGATACTGCTCGATGTAAGTACTGTTTCTCGATATATGACGGGATGTTACTAATATGCGGTGTAGATACGTGGTTTATGGCCGGAAGCCATGTGCGTGGGAGATTTCTTCGCAAAAGTTACCATCGGCATTAAATCAGTGACCGATAGATCTTTGTTATGTTGCACAGGAATCCTACAAGCAGCCTTTCCTGCCCGCTAGCTCACAGCTAAAAAGAAATATTGCACCTGGCTACAGCGATAAAACTAAGACAATGGGATTTGGGCCGAGGATAAACTCAAATCAGGAATACCCCAGTAGATGGTATGTACCACCAATCCGCCTCGTCCAATCGAGCCTCTCAGAACTGATAATTATGAGTAGTCATAACGCGGATGTAGATAGCTGGCTTTATGTAAGACTTTATTAAAGTTAATGTACTCCAGAAATGGAAGGTTTTATGTGATGCCATGCTCCTGGCGATGGGCAGTGACAAGCAAGTTATGAAGGTTCAACTTGCGCCCATCCGCCAGAGTATAACTTGCATTGCCTATTCTTCCGTCCCTTCCACCAGCGTATTTTGGATCACTCTGCATTTAATTTCCTAAAAATAGTGGCTTCATCCCATGCACAACATAGCTACCACCGGTCAACCCGAGTTGTCCAGTAGCAAGGGAGGGGAGAGTTGCAAGTGCAAATAGGTACACCTGCCCCGCTTTACAAGATCTTTCTTAACCTGTAGTAAGAACTCTTCAATCTGCTCGGGTGTCATCCCTAAGCCCCTCAGTATCTCGTAAACCAGTCCAATAAGATAGGCCAAGAGAACTCCAAACGATGCAACCTTAGCGTACCAGGACCTCGGACGAATAGATTCAATCAGATGCGTAGCAACATACGAGACGTTATTATTTACGCTGCAATGATGAGACGACTTCATGATTATTAATGTGGGCCACTTTTCGACTGGGAGAAGGCGATCCCGAAACCAGGACTAAAGGTACAGACAGGCCATAGATCAGGGAATAACATAGGGTCAACCCATTATTGAGACAGCTAGCAGACGAGAACACAACATCTAAGAAAACCCTCCGCTGGCGTATCTGGGCAGATTTTTCTTTCATATTGGGTGAATCAACACTAGTACTCGTCAGGTAATCCCATGCATTAGACAAGCCGAAATCGGTCCAACTGTGCTTGGGAGGCTTCTTCTTGTTGTTACTCTGATATGATCTGAAGACCACCATGAACTTTTTCTAATAAGAAAAAGTGCTTGGGCACTAAAGAAGGCGAGTGAGGATGGGCGAACCAAATCAGAGCAATAAGAACTGGTTTGACTACAACCTGTGGAGAAAAAGCACGTCGCTGAGCTGAATCAACTGTCATATCTCTTGGAATTCCCCGAGGGTTTCTGAAGCCCACGAGTTTGTTACAAAAACGTTAGTTGGTAGGTATTGAGGCTTACTTCCAAATTGGGAAATTTCAATCTCTGTCCAAAATGTCAGCTACTTGTCAGGGAAAGCCACCGCTCAGTCTTCAGCCTGCTACGGTCGTGAGAATAAGAGCGCAGCTATTCCAAATCAGCGAATTAGGTAGTCACTGAGGGGAATCGGGTTTCGACTTTCTTGTTATGGTCTCTTAGGTCTCTGGCGCGAATGGGTTATGCAAGTGGCTTGGGTGGGTTGGGACGGTAATTTTAACCTCCTGTGCTGTCCTCTGTTTTCCACCCAGCTTCAACCTAGTATCTTCTGTTCGGATCTCATATCACAAATCTGCGCATTAAATTTACTTATTCCGACATAGGGACTCTGCGAAAATTACCATCACCTGGTATGTCGATATGAAGAGACAGACGTTGGGCCAGGAGGCCCTCAGCTTGTCCTCGGGATCCCATCCTTCCGCAACTGTACCAGGCTCAGACGATCTACAGACCTCGCAATAAATATCCCAATAGCAGCATCAATAAGCCTCATTTACCGCGATTTCCGGTCCCATTACGTTCTTTCCAGGTGTAAACCAAGCGACGGAATACGGTGCATCAACTGCCAATGTACTTTATGTTCCAGGTCGTTTCGCTGAGCTATTCTTTCCTGTCTCGCTCAAACCTCTGGCCCTTGAAACATCTATCGGCCTACTGGTGCAGATAGTATTGTATTTGAATTAAAGTAGTCTCTCCCGGACCAAAATGTCAAAAAGTACAAGTGGCCCATAAAGACCTTAAGTACGCAACGATATTCCTTTTAGATTCCTATGTGGGAGCGCTGATCATGTCTAAGCATATTAGCGATGCTTATACATGAAAGGCTTTGTTCCTGAAAGTCCAACCCCTATTCAAAATAACCACATCGTCGAGTTCATCTTCAAGGATCCGCACACCCCGCTGTCTACAATCCCACGACGTCCTTTCACGATGCGGACTATATGGTAAACCAGACGCCTTACTCCGATTTTCCTCAACATGCAAGTTCTGAGTATCAACGGTTACATGGAAAATGGGATCAAAGTCTCTCTACAAGCGTCAGAAACGCCCCGACCCAGGTCCTCCTGGGTTACCAGATGCTAAGGCGAAGAGAACCAAAAGCCGGTTTCCTTCTGTAAGCCCTTTCCCTTTGTTTTATAATGATTATAAAACCATACACATCCTATCCGGCCTCAAGTGAAGTCACCGAATCCTGATTAATTGCTAATTACAGCAGCTTATCTGGCTTCTTATGCCAGTTTCTGATGGAAGAGCGGCACTTTATTTCTAGTATTAGTACGGGGCGTTGAGTTTGATTAGACACGTCTAGGAGTCAGATATCAATGGGGGTTGATTCAACATCAACCACGGGAGAGTCAGAAGGGAGAAGAGGTTGGCGATACCAGATTTTGTAGCAGCGTCCTGCAAAGGGTCAATTGATCCATATCTTCTTACATTTAATAATATCTCGATGAATTTACTAACTCTCTCACTAGTTTATTTTTCTACTCAATAATGAGATTAATAATGTGTTGCGTGCCCCAGCCACAATGAATGTAGGTCATTGTGGCTGGAACCTCATGACCAAATTCCAATAAGCAGATAGGGCTCGCGTTATAGTCCACCACAAGCGGAATCTTATCACTGAAGTAAGAGGTGTCGTATGGTAGAGTTGCATGGCTTATAGGCCTGTTAATACAGTGGATTTATATGATATGTTTTACGTAGCCCTCAACTTCGTCGGGTTGATTACAAAGTGGGCAGCACGAACAAATGGGAAACCAGATGGTAGCTTTGATCACATTGGCTTAATTTGAAAAATTCTGATTGATATTTCGGAGGGGAGAAGATGATATGTTCGTAATACAAAGCTCCATGCAGTTCCTGACCAGAGTCACCAAACTTGGTGAATGGCTATACTCGAAATTATTCGATTTTCACCGAATTTCCGAATTTCCCATATTACATTTCTTAAAGGCCCAACGCTTCATGCTCGAGCCTAACTTATGAATATGGGTGCAAGAAAGCCTCTCTTATAAGCCGATTACAGACATGAGCCCTTCAGACAACACGAAAATTCAAAAGTTTCAGCTAATGCTCTGTTTCACATCGCATTATGCGCTGGGATCTGACAATAATGATCAATATTGGTAAATTTAGAACATCATGTCTAGATATTTGATAGTAGCTTCGGCCAAACAATGGTAAAGCTCCTTTTAATTCTATAATTGAACGCAATTGTTTTATGCTCGGCGTCATACGCATCAATAAGCAGAGTTACAAATTGCCAATTGCTTAAGTGGCGAAGATCTATTAATTATGCAGAAGCCGGTGACAGTACAAACAATGCACCTTTAACGCCCGCACGAGTCCTGCTTGCTAAAGACAATGCAATCTTATATAATTTTGAGAAGTTATTTAATTTACCCCAGCACCTGCCGAGATGTATAAGTCACTACTGTGTCAAGATTACATGGAGAGAAGCGGGACGAACGACTGTATATCATTGGAAAATGCCGACGGTTGATATAGCCTCAAAGAAACGACCAATATACAAGGCTCCGTCCGCCCAATCGGCAGTATAATTTCTGGAACCAGCAAAATCAAAACAATAAGATTCATTAGCTACAATACCACAAGGGAATTCCTGCGTGGAGGATACATAAGAAAGACCTTATCTTTGCATGATGATCACCATAACTCATCAATAAAAAGCCAACTCATCTGCACCATGATCCAACTCCTTATTTCAGCCTCCTTAGTGGCCAGCTGCCTAGCTGCGCCAGCCTCAGTTGCAGTACCCTGCGACCTTACTACCCTCACCTCCACAACCTCGAGCTACATTGCCGCCCAAGCCGCCGGCAGCACCACCCAGCTCCCCTTCCTTGGAAGCCCACTAAACTACACGGAAAACTTCAAATCCGCCGACGTTACTCGTGGAATTCTGGCTACTCCGCTTAAAATCGACCATAACCATAGTCTCCACGACACGACCGCCTGCTCAACCTATATGGAGCTAATCGTGACAAACTCGGAGCACCCATACGTCCTAGGGACGCAGGTGTACCTCACAGACGGCAAGGTAACCAGATGGAGACCATTGTAACGGACCGGGGCGACTGGCTTTTCAACGCTACGGGGACGCTATCGTGGGCGTCTAAGGAGAATTGGGGGGTTATACCCGAGGGAAGCAGGGATACGAGGGCGGTAATTCAGGCGGCTGCTGATGCATATGCTGATGTTTTTAATGATAAGAGTGTGGTTGTGCCTTGGGGGACACCGTGGAGGCTGGAGGGGGGTTCGTATACGGGCAGTGGGGCCGCAACGGATAGGTGTGATGTTGGAATTCCGAATGGGGTCAAGTTGACTAGGCGCCGGTATGTTATCGACGAGTTGTTGGGGAGTGTGGATCTCTTTATGGATTTTGGGAATGGGCTTCCAGATAGTCACGAGTTTCGAGTTGAGGGGGGTAAGATTCGATATGTTCACACGTTGACTGCTACGGGTGGCTAGGATGAAGACTAACATGTTCGACATACCAGTGCCACGATCGGGGGTGTCAGCGTTGGCACAAATGAAAATATTGTGAAATTGATTTCTTCCACCGCATAACGATACATATTAGATTAATTTGTGACTTGACTTAGTCTTCCGTGGATCAAAAAGTCCTAAATTATAGTGCATACCTCGGGAGGGAATCTGCGGAATTGGAGTAATGCAGGCTCGGCATGTGTGTGGTACTACGGCCAAGTTCAAGACTTCCGCGCCAAACTGTGAAGCTACATCCCCTGACGCCGTACAGTCTCCAGCCACCACAAAGCCACTCCCTGGCTGTGGTCAGGTTCAAATCACTGGAAGTGGCCCGAAACCATCGGCTGCTCTACGCCTCGACCATGACAAAGGTCACCAGTTTTGCGCCAGACCGGCTTCCAGCGGTACGCAGAGGAAGTCAAGTTGCACCGAAAATACTACGAGTGATTATGCTTTACCTGGTTGTTGGGAATGAGATGTGAAGTTGAAGAAGTAGAAGTTGCATTGTAATGCCACGAGGGCATAGCCCGTTAGCCCACAGGCTTGTCGGACTGCGGGTGCTGCTGAGGCTTAAATAGGGTGGGGTAGGGAAGTTCGTGTTATGCCGTTAGAAAATTGCTTGGACTCTACAAATGTCTGGTCGTTTTTATTCAAGTGGACTTGACTCTGGCTTCACATAATATAGAAAATTCAGCTTGCTCAGGCTAAGCACATATCTGCACCTGAGTACAGTAGTCAAGACCTGGGAATCGAACAGCGCGCGTACTTGTAATGTCTCAGGTTTGTGTATTGACTATTGCGGTCCGTTTATCCAGAAAAGGGCTACGAAGACAATGCCATAGCACTTCTCAATCGTTTATCTTGTAGCTTATAGCATTAATGTTCGGCTTTTATGGTATAAGATTCTAGCTATCCAAAGTGAGATGGCGTCCTGACTATCGGCCCAGTCCCAGGGATGCTCAAGTATACCAAGCCTGGAGGTTTCGTTGCAACATAATCATTATTTACTGATTATACGAAGAACCTGAGACATGGGAGTGATTCTCCATTGGCCAACGATCAATTACTTAGCTATATGGAACCATGTTTAGACTCCACATGCTCTTGCCACACGTTTTTCGTCATTTCCTTCATGATAAATCCACTATTAATTATCACCATCAACACAACAATCACTTATTAGCCACACCCGGAGCAGCAGCAGCCAATAACTTGTCGAACTTCGGCGTCCCTAACCCCGTGACTGGATCCCACCCCGCCGTAGCATTCCACGCCGCCCCCTTAGGGAAAAACTTCTTCGTCGTGCATCCGGTCCCAGCACCCGTTGTGATATCCGTCAACGCCGCGGTGTTATTATACAACCAGGGATTTAGGAAACCCAACGGCGCTTCCCCAATACTCTTTCTAGCTGCATTCAATAACGCCACCACGCCGGCAAACGTCGGCGCCGAAGCGCTAGTCCCGCTATACGCTGCCAGGCGTCCCTGGTCATACACCTCGAAATACTCGCCTTGCGCCGCGACGTCAGGGAATCCGCGACCCGTGGCGTTGAAGTAAGCCGAGTACGTTTTTCCGATCTTAGAAAGGTAGGAAGAGACGGCGGCGTCTTGCCAGGCGGGGCGAGAGTGATAGATGCTAAATCCACCACTCGAAAAACTAACCGCCACCTCGGGACTCGAACTAGTCGTAGCGCCAACGGAAGTAATCCATGGACAGGCGCCAGGGAAACTAGGCTGGAAAAAGGGCCCATCGTTGACGTTACTGATGCAAGAGTCACCCGGCCCGCTGTCGCCCGAGGAGAAAAGCACGCTGACACCGCGGGCGCCGAGTTGCATGAAGAGGTCGCAGACGGTGAGGGCGTAGTCTTTGGGGACGGATTGCTCTTCTTCGCCGTAGGAAGTGGAGAGGGTTTGGGGAAGGTCGGCATCGGGGAGTTTGAGGAGGTAAGTTAGGAATTCTAGGTAAGGCTCGTTGCTGTCTACGGTCTCGTCTACGGTTGGGACGAGGGGACCAAGACCGCCGGTGCTGTATTCGGTGATGGGAATAGGGGCGCTGACGCCGAGGATGTACTGGTTGTCGAGGTTTGCTTCGCCTGTTTGATATAATCAGTGGGGGTGTTGTTGAGAAAGGGGCTTGGGATTGTGCTGCTCACCGCTGTCCTGTGTACTGGTCTGGTCATTCAAGCCACCGTTGATCTGGACGACGCTGAAGTTCTGACCCACGTGTTCTGGCAAGAACCTTCTCTCAAAGGACTGCAAATCGGCATAGCGGGCATACTCTTCTAGGTAAGAAGCGAAAGCGACCAGGTTGCCATCGGCGCTGGGCGTGTATCCAATGTTATATAGTGACTTTAGGGAAGCCGGAGTCACATAGGTGACGGCCGCCGCCTCCTCACCATCAACCAGCTCTGGATTTTCAATGATGGAGAAAACCTGCAATCATCAGCACCTATTCGGCATTGTCAAATAATGGTAGAAAGGGGCAAAAGTATTACATTTGACCGATGACGCTCCGGTTGCCCAAACCTGGTAGTCGGCTGAATCATCTTCACTGAATCCGCTATCCCATCGGGCACACTATATGATAGTGTCCTCAACTTGGCCGCGCCCCCATTCTCAGACTCATACCACGCGAACTCGGCACTCAGCAGCGCATTGGCCTGTTCCACCGTGGGTTCGATCCGGATCCAGTCATTGTCAACCATGACCTCGATTCCGGCATCCCTTAACCAACCCGTCACATCCGACAGGCCGCGCTTCGAGGGGGCTGTGAACGAACGCAATTCTTTGGCGCTCATATGCTGCCCGTAGTTGGAGTGGCCAGGAGTTGACATCTCCAGCACGGCCTGTTCTAGCGCCGCGCCACTCGGGTGCGACAGCGCAATGTGCAGCTTGATCCTGTCGGTGGGCAGGGCCGCGCGCGCTTGTTTCCAGCCTTGGGGCACATTTTTTAGGCTATGAAAGACGCGGGCGTAGGCCACGCCGGCGAGGAGACCGAAGTACAGCTTCATGACGAACGTCCAAGTAACTAGCTCTTCCAACGTTGGAATAGAGTACCATGTGGAGAAAAGCCAAGCAGGCGTTCCCAGGTCTAGGGCTTGGAAAATGCAGCCAAGGTCTAGACATTTATACGTCCCCAGATCACCCTCGCTCTCTCGTCTGATAAATCTCCTCAATTCTTGTTCGCATGTCAACCACGTATTGCCGGTTGCATGGTGCATTCGATATTGCTGTGGATCATTGCAGACGCCACTTAAGGCCTGCCGAAAGCGGGCTAGGAGATAAGCGTCTTTTGACAGCGATTGGTGTGGCAATATGGCTGTCCTCTTTTCCGACGCAACGATGCCCGGGGTGCGCACCTCCTTTGAGAAGGTCCCCAAGAGCGGGACATCGCGCAATCTAGCACGACAGATCGGCAATCAGCATACCTTGCTTCAGACGGCGGATTCGTGTTACTCACTTCGTAATGCTGCACGTTATCAAGTGAGTGGAGGTTCCACGAATTATAGTAGAAACATTTTGAGGGCGTGTACATTTCCACAGCGAAACCAGGAACGGTAGTAAAAACAGGCCACCAGGTTAGTCTCATAATTCTTCAGTTGTTTTCAGTTGTTATCATACCAGATTAACCAGCCTCCGCTTCTTCATCTTCGACAGTGGCTCCGCTCTACTCCCTGCTATCAACCCCAGAAAAAACCCAAACGGCCCATCCAACACCTGCACCTTGCCGCTCAATGAATGCAGAGGCGGCCGGATGAACTTAAGATTTCCTTCTTCATCAGCATCGCTGGGTGGGACAATGTACGTGCGCAGATCTGGTTTCATGCCAGGGTCTAGTGGACAGTTGGGGCAACGGCTCGGTATCACGACGAGAACTTGCTGCATGGGCAAGCGACAGGTAGACCTTCGACAATCTGTCCCGTAGCCCAGATATCGAAGGTGGGAGTCGGTCGAGTTGACGATTGGTGGTCCGGCGACGTGGCCACAAGAGTTGATGTTGCGGATGGTAATGCACATGGTGTTAAAAGTAGTATCAGCTTGGTTTGTTGCGGCAAATATGTATGCATGGTTCAAGTGTTCCATATCATTCTCACGTCTAGGGTAAGGGGCTGTAAAATAGTTTACGGCATAACTATTAGAAGGTGATAGAGTTTTGAGGTCTCAATCTGACGAAGATGTTTAACGGCTTAAATAGTATTGACAGTTGGATTCGTCTAGGGTGAATGTGTTGTTTTCGGTGAATAACTAAGTTACTCAATATCTGAAATGAATCATGAAGCAGACCTGCCATATTCACCAACAGCAAGTCAATACTACAAATCTCGCATCAACCCAAGCCCTGATTGCTCTTCCTCCTTTGGGCATCCCCTTTCGAATCTACAGATCCCCGCTCATCTACTGTACCACAAATTCAAAGGAACAGCCCCGAGAATATACGCCCTCCTTACATTACCCCTGTGGAGGCCTCGAAGCCGGTCATACTCCCCTGGTGCATGGTCCGCCATGCAGCGCGGGTCTGCAACTCCGCCCATGACCTAACTGCGCCGTGGGTGCAGGATTATATACAGTACTTTGGCCCGTCATCGATGTCGGGTTTGATGCCTGGGGAATTTTGTCCGCCTCCGCATGCCCTGCCACCGGGCGGTGGTGGATTTTCGCAAAGAGGCCAGTCTTAGCTTGCATGGATGTTTTGCCACGAGGAGATTTATTGTAATGACTTCAGCCAGGGGCAGCTTTACCATAGTCTGCGTGGGCATGATATCCAGCTTGGCCAGCTTTAGCACCCTCGGCTCCAGCTTTAACACTGTGAGCCCTACGATGCTCAGCTCAAGGGTTGTCATGCTAGAGCGTCCTGGCCCAAGACACATATCGCCAAAGCTCCTGCGGGGAGTAAGCAACAATCAGTACAAATACCGAGAAGTCTAATGTTGTACATCATCCTGGAAGACTACCACCAGCCAAAATCCCATGGGCACCGCCGTCTAGAAAATCCCCCCTTTGAACCCAGCAGCCTTCTCATCGTCAAACATCCAGCAGCTCAACCCAATCCTGCCCAAACCCCTACTAAACACAATTATCAACTCTTTTCCCATCCTTCTTTTCTGTCCACCTCCCCCATACCTTCCACCCTCCGAATCCCTCACAAAAAACCCGAAAACCACGATATCGCCCCTGAAATCAGCAACTCCCACGGCAACCTGTGATAATTACTTCACCAGTTCTATGCTTGCGGCCTAAATTACTAATTTGCATGCACCATGCCCAAATGCACAACTACGGCACGTCCTGCGGCTCCCTCTGCGCAAGGGTGGGAACAACCTCAACATATCAACCTGGTGAGCTAGGCGTAGATTAACACTAATACCCTCACCGTTCTCCGGAGTTTGATTGCTAATGCTAACCTTCCCGGAGTGCTTGGTCGGGCAACCTGGTAGGCTAGTTTCAAGGCTACTAGCATTCAAACCGCTATAGAATATCTGTTCAAGAGGTATGGAATGAGCCTGGGAAGTACCAGAAGCCGCTGTGACAGCCCCCGCACCCTTTACAGCTAATACCCACTACCGAGTCGACGGCGATGAATATACTACTTGGTGTGCTAGTGACTATAAGCTAGGTACGGATATACGTGACCCTATTAGCTGGTATAACTGCCGGTTGAAGTACCGACGGCCTTCGTTGATAGCACTAGAAAGCGGGCTGTATTTTACCATATAATAACGTGTGTGATACAGAGAGTCAAGCGACAGGAATGAGGACCACGAGAGATAAAAGCACTTAAGTTAGCCTGGGCTGGCTGAGGCCTTAGTAGGCGTCTGATACCTGATATACCTCGTCCTCCTGTGGAATATCCATTAATGTCTCCTGGTTGGCTATCAGTATTGCGATTATATTATTATTATTATTATTAAATACGCCGTAGGCTCGAAGCCCCCGGTACCTCTGCTAGTACTCCCGTATGTCAAACCGTGCCCTAATGGCTGGACTAAATACATACGCTGCGTCGTCGGCTCGCCCTATTGGCGACTGCGTTGCGTTCACTACCATACTACGTTGGTTCTCAACCTACCAACAAAGTCCCCCCTGAGAAGATCGATGCTATCTGGGCCTTGAAGCTGTCCGACCCGTCCCTAGCAGCCACCTTACAATAGTCCCACTAGCTACTGGTTCTCCTGTTGCCGTTGCGAGGTCTCTGCGAGAGTATAGTGGCCGTGGTGCGATAGCGGCCCGTAATCGTTCCCTCGGTCCTTCCAACAGCCCGCAAAAGAGGATTACGTGCTCTGCCTGCGATTATATTATACAGGTTTGTTTCTTATGAAACAGATTATCTGAGACTAGTGATCGGGAGCGGGGCTGGGTCGGGTTGCATGACGAATACCTCGGTAATAATTGAAGAATTCCAAGCATTGACGTAGGATATGTGGAATTGGTGGCCTGAGGTCATGGTGAGGTAGACCTGAGATACTTTAGTGCCCTTGTGCCGCTTGGAAGCCCCCTGTGTACCTCCCTTCTTCGCTTCCGCATGTAGCCGGAATGCTAGTACCAGTGCGATCCCATAGGATGAGATATTGCAGACAGTCAATCCCAGGTAGAAGAAATTTTGCTCAACATTTCACAGAGATCATAATGCTATGCATTTTTGTATCGAATCCAAGGACCAAAACCGGTCATGTCAAGGTACCTTGCCTATAGTTAACCCCTGCCTCGAAAATATGTCGTTTGAATTGGGTATCTCTGATACGTATGCTTTATTCAAGATGCAAGTGTGTAAAATCAGTCACGATGACACCTTGATGCCCGATAGAAGGGGAGTGGCCTCAGTTGTCGTACTGGCATTAGTCATCCTGCCACCAACTCCAGCACCGTCTCCAGCTTCCCTGCGCAGCCTCTTGATACTTGGACTCATTCTAAGACCAGCATCCGTGCCAGGGTGATTTAACCCCAAGCTAATTTCACGTTGGATGATCTCCTATAGGCAGACTTGGCCTTGGCGGTGTAGTCCGATAGGACTCGGGCTCTCTGGCCGGTTCGATCGACGGACCGGACAACCGGAATAATATATGCTTCCATGGGATTGGGGATAACCTGGGATCCACGTAGTCTCAAGCTGATTTTGCCAAGGAATGGCGTCTTGGCGTGGCCACACGGCAGGGCGGCGCGGACGGCAACCATGCTTGTCAGCCCTCCAGGGCCGTGCTTCGAAAGCCGGCGCGATTGATTTGAGTCTTGAACTATCCCTAAAAGAGGATAGTTTCTGATATGCCCCTCAGAAGCAGTACTCCTCCACATGGAGATGAATCCCTTGAGCCCCAGTCCCTTTGTGCACTGCCCTCTCATCGCTCAACTTGGCCACGCTAGTTCGAACTCTGGACACGAGTGATGTACCTCCACAAACTATAACCCCTGTTTCTCCACCCGTAGCTTCAACGGCTCTTCTGATGAACTCAGCTACATCTGGTCTCGAAGAGTAGTGGTGGATATGGGCATCGTCAGCACTGGCCGGCAATACAGACTTCCGCGCAGCACAGCAGCCCGACGACGTCACTGCTTCAAAGTCGCTAGTCTTCTCAACGGCAGTTGAATCGCTACTGTTGAAAGCCCGTCTCTGGTCTCCTGTAGCTTCGCAATCCGTAGTAATCGGGAAGCGCATCTTATTACTGTTGTCGACCGGTTGAACTTTCTTCTCAGGGTTGGTCGTTCGAGCTGAGGCAGATGAAAGTGACGATTCAATTAGCTCCAATTGACCATGTCCAGTCACTGCGATGTGCACTGATAGGTCAATCCCTCTATCAGCAGCGAGCGCGATCGCTTCATGCAGCCGTTCGTGATAGAAGCCAATTTCCTCGCCTTGTCTGGCCGTGAGAATGAAGTCAATCTTCTTCGTACAGGTAGCCGATCTGGTTTGAAGAACACTCTCCAGGATCGGCAAGGTGAATGATGTGCCCGTGGATGCGGAAATCAGAACCAGGGTCTCAAAAATGTCCCACCGTGGAGGGCGGCCGTACGGGCCTGCCACCAATGCTGTCAATGTTTGCTTCTTGCCCGACGCAGCCATCTTAGTTGCGAAGGTGTGAAGTCGCTTCGAAAACCCGGAATGAGAACGTATTACGAGCTGAACGCTGTTGCATATGCAAGTCTCGGGCACCTGATGCGGACAGGCTATCGTGTACGGGTGAGCTTCGAACGCACCGACCCGCGGCAGCCAGAGGTAGAGATGCTGCCCCGCTCTCCACTTGAAGTGCACGTCTTTGACGGTGAGTATCGTCATAGAATCCCCAACAACGGTGACTTGTGTTTGGTGACCAAATCGTTGTCCCCCTTTGCATCGCGAGTTGTTCGGATTAAATTTGATGTTTTGCCACGCCAGCAGAGCCAACCTGAAGGCCCGATCGGAACAGATGGCCGCAACTGTAAACCAAATATTGTAGCGTGCGTAATCCGGAACATGGACCCAGACAATGTAGATAAAGAGTATCGCCGCTATGATGTGTTGCACGACAAAGATCTCATACGCCATAGAGCGGAATGGCTTGAACGATGTGACCACCATCCACAGCAGAATGCCCCACGCGCCGAGTCCATACTTGACCATGGGCATCATCTCCAACTCGATTTCTAGGATTTCTGCTCGAGTCCACTCCGTCCAGAAGTGCCATCCGTGAACGCTTGCCGTCACGAACATGGTTCGAGCAACCCATCGATGAAGCCAGTTAAGGCGTTCGTAACTCATACCTGTGATGAACCCGATCACATTCGTCTTCGATGCCAGTAAGTAGAGAAATGGCATCTGCGTGACGGTTACCCAGGCGTTCCGGAAGGCGATTCGTTCCCAGAAGTATGCGTCCTTGATGATGGCGCCCGCCGATATCATGTAAATAATGACAGCCCAATAGGCCAAAAGCACCAGGATGCGCCCCATGGGCGGCGGTGTCATCCACGAAAGACCCGGGTACGGGACATAGAGCTGCGGGTAGCTCATTTCCCGCCCGATCGCTGTCATTGTCGCCCATATTTGCATATATATATTTGTAGGTTTGGTTGGATATTGCACCGATTTCGTCTGGCTTATCCGCAACCTGTAGACAGGAATCAGTAGCGCGAAAGTGAACTCGTTGTCAGGGCTTTCTACCTAAACCAGTTCTGGACGTAATTGAGTGTGCGAACGATGGCGAGAAGCGCCAGCACTCCTGCAATAATGTACCAATACGCCCGTGCCAGTGCCATGTTTAGTGTTTGAAGCATGCCACTGCCCATATCCATCCCGCCCATGTCCATCTTGACGAAGATGCGACCAACAGTCGCCGATCAGAAGAGGAGCGGCAATCTTCAATATTGAGGCGTTGGCGCACCCTTGCGATATGCTGAAATCTTTACCCGCGATTCGCAGGTAGACAGGCGATTGATGGAAGTAGGTGAAGAGAAGTTCACCTTCTTTTCTCGCACAATGGACACAATGCGAAACTGTGAAGTGACGACGAGGAGTTATACTAGAACAAAGGCGAATCCGGCAGGTACTTTAAAAGCAAAACAGTGGGGCCTAATGATAATGCCGTTTTAGCGAAGCGGTCGCAACCGACTTGGAACTCTGCTCGAAATATCGGGATGGGCAGCAGATGCGAGCGCATCCACGCGGCCTAGCGTACCGAGTCGATTTTTTTCAATCGTCAGTATCCAGCTCGTTGGGTGTTTCGAAATCTTAGCCCATCGGGCGTGTTTTCAGTGTCCAGTAATTCTCTGGGTATTAGGAAGCGCCGCACTATGAATCGTTGAACCAGAGTGTGATCCAGGATGGGGACAGACACAGCGACAGAAAGACTTCGACCATGTCAACCTTCGATGTACTATGTAGCAGTCCTGCAGATGGGCCGTTAGGGTTTCTTCGGGAAGTCTGAAGGGCCGGGGTATGATCAAAACTTGCTCACCCTTATTTGCTTACCAGTGCATGTGAGCGGCCAACATGGCATAAATACCTCGATATCTAGGCAAGCTTTGGCCGTGAGAATTGGTCGGGTGAAGTGCATATCTTCTATTATGTCAGCTTGGCAAGCGGCATCTGCTCCCTAACATTGATGCACACTTACCCATTGTTCGACTTCGTCTGGATTTTCAAAGCTGCTGAACTCATGTTCTACAATGAAGTCTATCTGCGCTCAACCTGGTCTAGACTTTGGTTCCACGCCCTGTACACGAGTATCCTTGGAAATATGCCTGTAACCGCGGGCGTCTTTGACCAGATGGGAAAATGCTATGGGTTAATGCTCTAATGCTACTGGACCGTTATTTCCCCCTGTCGTCCCAGTTGTAAGCAGAGACCAGCCACAATTTGCTCAAATCGCCTCAATTGCCAAACTAACACAGAAGCGGTATGAAGCTGCCCCTCCAACTGTGCCCTGCAGACCTTAAACCCCCCACCCCTGTTACTTCCCGCATGTGCGTCGTTGAAGGCACGACCACACGCTGCTTGCGATGAGCCGAGTGGCCGAACTATCCTGAAGGAAGGAACAATGAAATCAGAGTATGGGCACTCGACATCTTCCACAGCTCCAGTTGTTGCGCGGATCCCAGGTTGCCGGGCTCCCAGAAACTATGAATGGTATCTTCGCTGTAAAGCTTGTCCTTGGGGGCCACAGTGGAGTTGAGTCAAGACCCATCAACGGTTCCAGTTGCTCCGGTCCATCTTTCGATTGTCGAGCTGCGACCGCCTTACATGGCCCTCTAACCGCACTTCTCAGGGTAATCATGAGCCTCATTGAGCATGTTGATGTTGAGCCGAAGACCTTGGATATGACCTAGAAGTAGGTTTTCTCCTGCGAGAAATGCTGTGCGGAGCCTTGTCGCTTCATTCCTTCTCACCTCAGCAATCCTACAACCTGCCGTCCAGCTTTCCTTATCACACCCTAACAGACCCTGGTTGGTCTTGCTCATGTCTTTGACGCTGTCACTTCCCAGACGCCAAGAGGCAAACCCACCCCTGCTCGTTCCGAAGCCACTTATACCGAGCTTGGGGTAGCTCCTGCAGGTCTCCTCATTGAAATAGCGACCGGCAGCCACCCGAAATAGCCTGTCTTACAAAGTTTTGAGACCTTAATCCATCTTATCATCATCGCCATATTTTGCCTCTTTTTCCAGTCTGCAAGTATTTGCACATCACTTTGCTTCCTCCTCATTTCATTCAATTTCGCCCAATTCGAAGACGATGGTGTCCCTATGGTCCCTCGCCTCGGCGACGCTACTCATCGCGCGAGCTGCCAATGCCCACTTCACTCTTACTTCCCCCAGTCCTATAGGAACCTTTGATGAGGACGAGGAAGACAACGCTCCCTGCGGCGGCTACACACCGGACTTCTCGTCACAGACTCCGACCGATTTCCACGTCGGTGGCGATTCCATTGTTACCTTGTCAACGCACCCTCAGACCACGTGGCTGTACCGCATCACCACGGATGAGACCGCCAACGGGAACTGGTCTGAAATCTACCCCATCTGGCTACAAAGCGGCCAGGGGACTATGTGCATTCCTTCTGTCATCATCAACGAAAGCTACGTGGGCCAGAAAGTTGTGCTGAGCGTCGTTGGCAACGGACCCGACGGTATTCTTTACCAGGCATGTTCTATTTCTATCCGACTTGAGTATAGCCCTACTAGAATCGGCTTGGCTAACTGATGTCGCTAACTTGTAGTGCGCCAACCTCAACCTCGTCGCCGGCGCTGGCTCCACACCAAGCTCTTGCTCCAACAAAACTGGTACGAGTGGAAGCTTCACCTCCGATGCTTCGTTGGCTGCGTTGGTCAGTTCAGACGGCGCCTCGACCGCGTCGCCCACAAGCGGCAGTTCATCGGCGACATCAACACCAAGCGCTGCCGCGGTGGGACCTAGTTACATGGAGGGACTCCCTGCCATTTTTGCTGTTGGGGTAATGATGGTGCTTGGCGCGACGTTGACGATTTAATGCGAGGACATGAGATTGAACTGGTTTACAGGCGCACCGCGGCTGGTATCCGCCAACACGAGCATGATGTATTAGCTTCAGGTTTGGGGATTTGAGCATCTTCCGAACCAGCCTACGGCTCTGGAATATGTGCCACGTTGGGTAATAAGATGTTGTTTGACGCCTCTGCTTTACGTGGACACCAAAATACATTATTCTGTACATACGAACGCCATGACCAAATAAACAAACAAACAGGTTACCCCTACCTCCTGAGCAAACTAAGATACCTGCAAGGATGGTAGCAAGTATGCTGACAACCGATATTACGGTATCAGGCCAAACTTTTCACCCCCCTGACAAGTACCAGTGGACCACTGCTTAGGCAACGCTATACGAATTTTGGCCTAGCCTACTCATGCCAACGAAAAGGTACTTCCACCTCTGATTCTAACTTGCTATTAATAACGCGTCCTCATTATCGCGTTTCAGTAACTATAATAGAGACTAAACACTTTACGGAAGCCGATCGCTAACGAATTCGAACCGTCTACTTCGACGGTAATAAATCGAAAGCCGAAATTCGTACTATTATAACGTTTTCTCTTAATCAGATTAAGATAGCTATTAAGGCCTCTTCAATGTTAGGCAACCTTGGTGGGCTTTGTCACGACCCAGGTTGCATCGCATTGGTAGAGACCTCGATTAGGTGCTATCGACGAAGATTCTACTCTAAGGAGCGAAGGAAAGAAGATGACAACTTAGGTTTGAGGGAGCGGGACTAAGTCATCCACGCTTGGCGGGGCTCCTACAAGGGTTATGATTGGCTTCCCATCTGACACTGCCATGGCAGGTGTTCCAGCTGTAAGTCACCTGGTTGTAGTGAGTCTGCGAGGGTTGACCTTCACAAGTATTAGGGTTTTATTACTACCGAGATATATCGATCCTACACAATTCCTATTATCGATAGCTAGATACAACTATGTTAACGGGACCTCGGTACACACCTTATATTAATATAGGACGGCGCTCCCGCTCACTCGTCAATTAATATAATTACAGATGGGGACGCCACAGTGTCGCCGGTAGTCTCAGCGAGGTTTCTAGGAGTCTGGTTCGACCGCAAACTGACGTGGCACGCCCATGTTGAGCGTGTTAAAACAAAAATGGCAACTCAAAAGCTAGCCCTGATAAAGCTCGTCAATATGTCGTGGGGCTGCGATCTTATACGGGCGAGGCTGTTATATACGGTGGTTATCCGTAGCGCGATCGCCTTCGGGGCGACTGCGTGGCATACTATAAGTGAGGAACCGGCAGGGCCAGCTAAGAGCCTGATGGGGATACAGAACGAGTGCCTCCGGGTAGTCTGTGGCGCCCACAAAGCGACGCCGGTTCGCCACCTGGAAGCAGAAGCAGCAATCCCGCCACTAGACCTCTATCTTAGTGCCCGGGCTGCTAAGTTTGAAGAACGGCTACGGCTTAGCGGGAAGAGAAATCTGCTTCGCAGCGCGAGCGCTAAAGCGTCACATATACTCCGGCAGGATAGGCCGGCGAAGAGGAAGCAGGCGTCGCAGCTACTCCGACCGGCAGGGTACACTATGGAGAAGGAGGCCCGGGGCTCCGAGTGGATGAGTGAGGAAAAGGAGGTCCCGGCTGCCCTCCTCGGCCACTGGAGGAAGAGATGGCTCAGCGGAGCAGAGCATCACGATCGCCAGCGACGCGCTATCGCTGAGGAACCGGAGGGCCCTTCGATGCAGATACCGAAAGGGGGCAAGTATTTCGGCCTGAACCGACTGGAGGCGTCTACGCTGTGCCAGATCAGGACGGAAAAAATAGGACTAGCAGCCTTCTTATTCAAGACAGGGGCTTTTGGCGTGTACTTGCCGCTATGCCGCTGTGGCGATGCCCCTGAGACGGCAGAGCACGTAATCCTCTTTTGCGGGCTGTTGGAAGGACCGAGGGAACGATTACGGGCCGCTATCGCACCACGGCCACTATACTCTCGTAGAGACCTCGCAACGGCAACAGGAGAACCAGTAGTTAGTGGGACTATTGTAAGGTGGCTGCTAGGGACGGGTCGGACAGCTTCAAGGCCCAGATAGCATCGATCTTCTCAGGGGGGACTTTGTTGGTAGGTTGAGAACCAACGTAGTATGGTAGTGAACGCAACGCAGTCGCCAATAGGGCGAACCGACGACGCAGCGTATGTATTTAGTCCAGCCATTAGGGCACGGTTTGACATACGGGAGTACTAGCAGAGGTACCGGGGGCTTCGAGCCTACGGCGTATTTAATAATAATAATAATAATATGCCACGTTTACCGTTGTTAATATGAAGTGGGAGATCAACTAGGGTTAGCTACAGAGCTGATATGCTGCGAGTCTCCCTTGGATGTGCATTTCAATGAAGAGAATACTCCTCGTCCATGCATATCGAGTGCGTTAGAATTCACAAGGCCGTTGCCCCACCAGATGGCCAAAGCTGTAGGGGTATATGTTCTTGTACATAGCTGGGTATTCCCCTCGATTCTGCAAGATCACTTAGACTGCGAAAACTAGGTTAGCAATGCCCGCTGAGATTTAGCAGAGTATTCTTTAAACCAGAATATTAATGAAGAAAACTACCCCACGCTCACATATCGCGAGTCCCCTTTAAGTGCGCACAGCTATGAGGAAAGCCAATCCTCAATTACATAGCGTGTGCTCCCTTTGCCCGCATATCATTATCGAAATTAAATCAAATACGTCTTGTAGAACATGCCCACTTGTGTGCTCTTTCCCATATTCCCATCAGCCATTACCATATATCGCGAGCCCCCTTTACATAAGTTCGTATAGCAAGAGGAAACTACCCCTCGCTTAAATAGTGCGACAAACCTTTGCACGCATATCAGTATCTAAGATAAAGCAAATACGTCTTCTAGGACTTGTACACTTCTGATTGATTTTCCATGTGTTTCACCACCAGTTACCACGCAGGTAAGTCCTCCGCCATCACTAGAACTACTAAGAAGGACTTCACTCTCGATTTCTCAGCTGCTCATCAACTTATTAACTGCGTTCATCTTTTTTCATTCATCGGAAACAGCATGCCATATGGCAGAAATCCTGCTGGAGGCCAGGCTTGAGTTTATCTGGCGGTCCTCCTGCGGGCTTTCCTGCCGATCGAACCAACGCATACCTGATCGTGACCCGCGCAACCACTGGCAATGAATTTAGGTACTCAGGCGGTCCCCGTAGCCAATATACTCGAAATTTTACAGCCAGGGAGCACCTCCGTCAGCTTCATGATGGATGCTTATGTTTTGTGGACCACTGCGCCAATCCCATCATGCCGAACGAGCAAGCTTTGTGGCGTCATCTCCTCTCACAACCTCAGATTGCAAGGGAAGGTGGACGATTTTATTGCAGATGGTGTGACCACCACCCGGATGGAAAGAAAATCTTGCACAACGCGCACAGCCACCCTTACGAGCACAATTACGAGCACCGCTTGAGATCGGAGCAGCAAGTGGCTGCCAATGGATCACAGAACGTATCTTTCGTACCCTGTACCGGTTTTCAAGGGGTCCACATGCCGCCTTTTGCGCCGGGCCCTGATCGCAGCATCGGGTTTGCCTGGTGGCTTTTCCGGTTGGTCTCCTGCCCTGGCTTCGTTACTGGACACTGCGGTCATCTTCCCGCATCTGCCTCTGATGTAAATCAGCACCAACCATCGGCTTCACTCCTCTAACCATGGCCGATTCAGCGGGATTTGCTGCGCCGTCGTTCCCGGAAGAATCTCCTGTACCCTCCTATTTCTTTCCAGGCGCCATTGAGCGGAACCGGTGCGGCAACCATATTGCCTTGGCAGTAATGCGTGGTAGCACATTAAGGATGTCGAGGATCGGAAAAACGGCGCCCGTGACGATCAGAATGAGGTACCGTTGCAGCCGCCTTACCGATGCCCTCCTCCGCCCTTCTCCTCGATCGGTCTGCGTCGATAATGCTTGTTCGAAGGAACGGCCTTTTTTGTCTCGAGTAATCAAGTAAAGGCGTGGTCAAAGTAATTCTTGCAAAGATTGACATTGGTGGCAAGGAAATGGGCTTTTGCGACACCCAGGTGGTGAAAGCAATGAACCTCCAAACCTAACATTACAACTGGGCTCTTTTTCTCGCCATGCCTAAGCAGAAACAGTGGCATTGGTGCAAATCCCTCCATGTAGAGTTGAAATATATCATAGCTGACACTTTATCCAATGGCTCGTGTTCTGCAGAAGCGCCCCTGGTTGTTTAGGAATCACTGACAGGTCGATGAGGATTATTCCCGGTTGAATTGAGGATGGCGACAAGACAGACGTTCTCTTTTGTTCATCCTTCAGAGAGGAAATCGTCGGATTCCACGTTTTTAAGCGTTGGTGGCCTTGAAACCTTTGACCAAAGCATGGATGCATTATAATTAGAAAGTAGATTTGCGCGGCTTGGACGTGGCGGGGCTTGCCGCGATAAAGTACAGTACGTCTCAGCTTGGGCACCGCAATATCCGCCCGCCAAGAGATAAGGAAATAGCGCTGAAAAGCCATGCGCATTTATGGATAATTTTGCCGTATTTGTCTAGCACTTAAGTTCATAAGAGGAATTGCCTATCCTTGATGACGAAGTCTCTCGTTCCAATACCCTGTCGAGACAGCTGCCAAGACGCAGGAACCAATAACGCTGGCGGCCCAATCCTTGTTCGGGAGCACCCTATCTATAGACCTTGGATGCGAACGACCCGATAAGACTCAATGCAAAGCAGCAGGATCAATCTATTACCAAGATTCCTATGTTATCAATGGAAACCACGAATCTTTATACCGACCTTTTTTCTCTCTCTCTCGTGGGACGCGTAAAAGTTCGTTTCGACTCGTTCCTTACATCGACATTCACCACACCGACACCTGCAGTCCAGCGTTGATTGCCCGTCATGAGTGAGGCAGTAAGAGCCCATCAGCTCCGAAAATAAAAGTACCCTCGACTGACAATTCGTCGCAGCCCGTGTTCGACGCGTCCATGCCGGATGGCGGCAACCCGCTCGAAATCGACGTCAATGCTCAGTACGCTGGGTTAGAGTACAACTATATCTACCTGATCATCTGTAGTTTCATCGTCTGGCTGATCATCCCGGGTATCGGTCTGCTCTACGGCGGTATGGCCCGTCGCAAGTCGGCCCTCTCCCTCCTCTTCCAGTCCATGATGGTCGCCGCCGTCATCACCTTTCAGTGGATGTTCTGGGGCTATACCCTCGCCTATAGTCGCACCGCTGGCCCCTTCATTGGCGACTTTGCCAACTTTGGTATGAAGAATGTCATGGCCGCGCCGTCACCGGGTAATCCTGCCATCCCTGAGATCGTCTTCTGCTTGTACCAGTTGTTGTTCTGCGTATGCACTGTCCAGATCGTGGTTGGTGGCGCCTTTGAGCGTGGTCGTATCATTCCGTCTCTTGTTTTTGGCTTCTGGTGGGCTACTGTTGTATACTGCCCCATTGCTTGCTGGACTTGGAACGCCAATGGATGGTTGTACAATGTAGGTTTATTGTCACCAGAACCTTAGGCTCGTGTGCTAACATGCGAATTATAGCTGCCTTCGCTCGACTTTGCTGGTGGAGGTCCCGTCCACATCGCCTCCGGCTGGTCTGCTCTTGCGTATGCACTCGTTCTCGGCAAGAGAAAGATGAACCCTGAGGACAAGACGAGTCGAAAACCCCACAACACCTCGCTCGTCTTCATCGGTACCGTTTTCATCTGGTTTGGCTGGTTTGGATTCAATGGTGGTTCCGCTCTCAACGCCTCTCTTCGTTCCATGGTGGTGGTTTTCAACACCAACACTGCTGCATCGACAGGAATTCTTGGCTGGGTTTGTCCTCCGGCTTTGACAATATGCCAATACGTATTTGCTGACTAGCTCTGTGCAGGTCCTAGTTGATTACATCAAGAAAAACCGCCGCTTCAGCATCGTTGGTGCCTGCGAGGGTGCTATTGCCGGTCTCGTTGGGATCACACCTGCCGCTGGCTACGTCAGCGTGTGGTTGGCAGCTGTCATTGGATTCCTCACTGCCGTGGTCTGCGCGCTCTGTTCTAACGTCAACGAATGGCTGCACATCGACGAGGGCATGGATGTCTTCAAGCTGCACGGGATCGGTGGCATGGTTGGATCGTTCCTTACTGGTATTTTCGCCACCAAATACAGTATGGCTCACTTTATTTTGCATCGCAGGGTCCCTCCACTGACAAGATTTAGTCTCTGCACTCGACGGAGTTACTGTGGCTTCGGGTGCCATTGATGGAGAGGGTATTCAGGTCGGAAAACAATTCGCTGAGATCACGGCAATTTCGGCCTACTCGTTCCTCGTCTCCTGCGCGCTGCTCATGATCATGAAGTACATCCCTGGTCTTCACCTCCGTATCTCCGATGAAGCTGAGGAGCAGGGTCTCGATTTCGATCACTTCTTCGATGAAGCCATTGGTGATTGGAGTCTCACACACGCACTCCAGCCGAAACCGACCCACCACCACGAGACCATCGTCGGCGAATCGGTTGTAACCTCATCGTCATCAGAGCACCCAGAAGAGAACAAGATCATGGGAGTCAAGGAATGTTAGTAGCGGCACGCTCGAGGCCAGGATGTCCTCGAAATGCGCCTGTGATGCTGCTGTGTCGCTGTGAGTCACACGCTTGCACGTTTGGACCAAAGGTGACGTGTCATACTGCAGCTGTAGAGGAGGACAACTGCGAGCCATTATATGTGAACCATAGTTGTTTCGGAGCTACAGTTGAGTCATGTTGTTACCGCTGCAAATCTCAGTGACGAAGGTGCCATCAAGTGTTCTTTTGAAACGTGGTTAATTTCCCCAAACACAACTCCACGTAACTCTAGTAGACTGGGGAGCGCTAACGATACTGTGCCGATGTCTCCAAGATAAAGTGCTGGACCGAAGTTACTTGACTCAAGACACAGAATCGCCCACGGCAAATTCATCATGTTAACTCTTTTTCGTAGGGACTAAACGCATATTTCAGTTGCTTTCCTTGCTGCAGCAACTTCACTTCTGCAAAAACAACGAGACTACCACAGGATTTCGGCAAGACTGCCGGACTCCGAAAAAAAATATGATCAAAGTCGGTACGTCGAACCAAGCTTTGTGAGCGGATAAGAGCCATTTAAGCACCCCATTTGATGATAAGCAAGAGGCCCGACTATGCGGGGTCTAAAGTGGACCTGAGACTTCTTAACAGCCAACTAACAATTCGTAGCGCATACTCCCGTGGCGGTCACTGTTGCGAGATCCACAGTGCAACCTCCCGCAGTTCTTCTCCTCCAGAAGGGATCCATCGTGGGTGGGTATACACATCCGGGCCGCGACGTCATCGAGTTGCCGCCAAACGCTGACACGAACGGCAATTTGCTAACGTAGCATTGGTCAGTCGTCCCCCTCGTTTCGGCACTTTCGCCTTGATCTTCGCGCACCGAATGGGGCCCCTGGGAAGTGTCGTCGTCACGCACTCCAGTTGGGACTATCGAGATTGACCAATCTGGGCTCCCCTATTGGGCTCCCCTATTTGGCTCCTCTTCGCTGTTGGAAATCAATCTTAGGGAAGAGGGGGAGCGATGGGAATGGAGTAGCAGCTGCGTGTAGATCCAAATTCGTGCAGTTCACCTAGGGATGATCGCGGGATTTGGTGATGCCCGAGGGATATACGGAATCCTGACCATGGAAGGCAGGCGTCTTATTCCCATTTGGCGACCAGCACCTCCGTCATATCCGAATACACCATACATCGGTTCATTTATATACTCCCAGCATATAAGAACGCAAGAGAAACCCGTCATTCTAGTTGCCAAGACTCTTCAACAGCAGCATTGGCCTCAGTTACAAGTGCTTTATACCCCTGTCGTTTTTGGATACTCAGTCTTGTTGTTTGGCTTGCTTGTCGTCTGTCTGCGTTACTCTCAACACCTCCAACCAGCCGAAACCTCGCCGTCATACACGCACCATGGCGGCCCCCCAACCCAAACCCTTTGAAATAGCCATCATCGGCGGTGGCATAGCCGGCGCCACCCTGGCCATCGCCTTCCTCAAGCGCAGCATTCCCTTCACTTTATACGAACAAGGCCACGCCTTTTCGGAAATTGGCGCGGGCGTCGCCCTCAGCCCAAACGCCGTCCACGCCATGAAGTTGTGCGACCCAGCCGTCCACGCAGCCTTTCAGAAAGTAGCCACCAAGAATGGCTGGGAGTCTAAGAGGAACACCTACTTCGACATTTTGGACGGGACATCGATGGTCGAAAAGGACCTGAAGGAGTTGTTTACCCTGGCCAACTCGCAGGGGCAGAATGCAGTGCACAGGGCGTATTTCATGGATGAGCTGTCCAAGCAGATCCCTGAACAAATGTGCCGGTTCCGGAAGCGACTGCAGAGTGTGGACAAGGATCAAGAGACAGGGAAGCTGACAATGCGGTTCACAGACGGCAGCTCGGCACAGGCGGATGCCGTGATCGGGTGTGATGGGATTAAGAGCCGCACAAGGGCGTTGGTGGTTGGGGAGGATCACCCTGGGATGAGGGCGCAATATACGCACAAGTATGCATATCGGGGTGTGATTCCAATGGAGAAGGCGGTTGAGGCTCTGGGAGAGGAGAGGGCAGTTAATGGCTGCTTATGGGTGAGTCGTCTTATCTGCCTCCGTCAAAGGAACGGAAAGGGGGAATGAAATAGGAGGGGATGGTGCTAACACACGATTGATGATAGCTAGGCCCAGATGCGCACATGCTCAGCTATCCCATCAACGGTGGCAAGACCTTCAACATGTTCGGCGCCGTGACGGACCCAGGCGACTGGCCCAGCATGGATACGCTCACGGCTCCCGCGACCAAGGAACAGGCCTTGAAGGACTATGAGAAATTCGGACCTGCGATAAAGAAACAGATCCAACTGTGTGAGGATAACCTCGAAAGGGTAAGTTGACTTTTAATCGTAATGAGGCACCACGAATCGTCTACGGAATCAAATTAACAACTCACATCACAGTGGGCCCTCTTTGACTGCGCCGAACACCCCCTCCCCTATTACAACAAAGGCCGCATCGTAGTTGTTGGCGATGCCGCCCACGCCGTGACACCCCACCACGGCGCCGGCGCGGGGTTCTGCATCGAGGACTCGGCCGTGCTGGCGTGTCTGTTGGAAGACGAGCGGGTCAGGAGCGTCAAAGACCTGGAGGCTGTATTCGAAGCATATAACGCGAACCGGATAGAGAGGACGCAGTGGCTTGTCGCCACGAGTCGCAAGACAGGAGATTTGTATGAGTTTAAGGATGAGGCTGGGAGAGACATGGCGAAGGTGGAGGAGATCATGCGGGAGAGGTATGAAAAGGTGTGGAATTTTGATATTGAGCAGGCGGTTAGGGAGGCGAGGAAGGATTTGGGGAGGAGGCTTAAGTAGAAGGCTGTTAGACAATGACCATGGTTGTTATAGCATTACGACGGAGCTTTGTGAGTATATAGATGTTTGTCGTACAAGTGGCCCTATATACTGGCTCAAACATATCTCTAATTCACAGTTCAGTATTGGAGTTTGGATATTAATCCCTAGTGTAACGAAACCTATACTGTCTCTATGAAATGCCTGGGAATCCTGTCCCTTACATATCCATTCTCTCCTTCACTGGTCCTCCCTGGATCACTTGGATCATGCCGCTCCTGTGATCTTAAATACTGGATCACTCTATCGATGCGTGATCCTCGTGACGTGACCGAACTGCCGTTCCTCCACTCCAATCCCTTGTCCACTTTTCCGAGTAGGGTTCCTGAAAGTCTGCCAACAGACCTGCTCTGACTTCGTAACACCTAGTGACCTTATACTATTATTAACTACTAAAAATAAGGCGGTTGTTTTCACTCCCGATCCAGTAGAACTCCAGAGGCCCCCCAGCTAAAGAGGAGATCTCGGATGCCTTCACCTAACTTAGATTCCTTGAGAATCTGTCTTGCAATATACCCACCCGTATTGCTCGCGCATCACCCTCAACTCTTTGCATCACCTAACTCTTACCTTAAGACGTGTAGTATCTCCGTTGCAATGTATTGAGAACGGTTAGTGAGCTAGGAAGCTCTTTAAGGGAATAGGACTAGGCAACCGTATATTACGAACCGTTGGTTCTAGGGATTTGATACGTGACCCCAAGGAGGGTTACCCTGTAGCTATAGATGAGATAGGCAGCCCAAAAAGGCCCTCGGACAGCCAGCGAGCCAGCTAACCAAGCTTTCACAATCCAACAATCCATAGCCCATATGCAGTGGCATCAAGGTTTTTCAAGCGCGCGTGCGTATCCCTATATGGGCTTAGCAGGGCTAGCAAGGTCTAGATGGTACGTGCCAGATATTAACAATAGGGCCCCGCTAAATATCAACCAGATCAACCCACCACAACCCACCAGAACCCACCAGGTGGTCTCCGGATTATGTTTGTCTCCACAGCGAAGTGCGGAGATTTGGGCCGTGGTGGGTGGCGGACGTGGTTGGTGCGCACCAGGTAGACACTGGATGGGTTAAGCCGACCTTGGACATTGGCCTGGCACTTTTCTCATCTTTCATGTTTGGAGACGAACTTGGATTGGTTCAGTAGAGGAACTCTCATAGCATCGTTGCATTTCGTACAACAGCACCCGCATATGATACTGGTTTCTGCCAAAGACTTCGCGTATCGCATGGAAAATGGATACTGTTCTGAATTTCCGTCAAGATCTCTACACCATATTTGCGTAGCCCCCAGCTGGCTGTCCCGCCGTGCCCCTGGAGGGCGCAAAATTCTGAACGTTGACAGACATAGATTTGGTACAATGCACTGTCGGGTGCCGTGATGCCGTCGGATGAGTGTCACGACCTTCATCATAATCATCATCACCTCCGCGGTCAGCCGTTATAGTCGTAATGACACTACCGTAGCTCATACTACCCTGTAACTCGATGAAATCCCTCCGTTTCGCAGAGAACACCGACTTTTCGTGTGTTTGTGAACCATAGTTCGCAGAGGTGGATGGTTTGCTCCGTACATACGATCTGGCGGTCCCAGTTCTGCGCCGGGTCCCGGATTCCGGTCCGGCCCAGGTCGAATTGGTTTCGTACCTGGTTGTGGTGAATAGTTTCATTCTGCGGAAGAGCGGCTTCAGTGTGGCCAGCGATGATGCGGCTAGGCCGAGACCGATCTCAACCGTGCTCCAGATGGCGATATCGGTGAAGTTATAGAGGTAGTCAGGGTTTGAGAGTAGCTGTGAGGTGTATGGAATACGCGCAATGGTCGCCAGAGAGGCACTGGAGCTTTGTCAGCGAATGACGACTCAGTATGCCAAGCAAGCTTTCAACTTACATGGAGCCGAGGGCCAATACACAAGAAACAGAGATCTTGGTGCGGCGGTCCATTTTTGCATGCCAGACAACGGACACGGGAAGCAGAGCCAGTATCAGGTCAGACATAACGTTGACGAAAAACGAGATGCATGTCGGCACAATTGCTAGCAACTTCTTATTACAGCTCCCGCTAACGGGCTGAGCCGGGTCATATCGATACCAGAAGTACTGCACCGGAACGCATTGGAAGATGATCATAAAGACGTAAAAGGCGTTGTAGATGCTCACGACACCCAGGAGAGCCCAAAGGGTGATGCGCTGCCAAAAGTGGCCCTTGAAGATGCGTAAGAGGAGGATCCCGATGATGAATTTGACCAGGACCGCCGTTATGACGTACGCCACTTCGGCTGCCCATTTATATAGTAGCGCCTTGGGACGGTCCTCTACCGGTACGTCGGCAACGTGAGCGCCTAGACCATAGTGCACACCGAGCAACGCGAAAGAGGAGTATGCTGTATATGCCGCCTGTTGTTTCATTTAGCTTAGAGCAGTTGAGGGGGGCTGATTCAACTACGAACCAAAGTGACTAGTGTCAACCAGTCTGCGGCGTAAAAGCGGTTGAGGACGAAGCTCATTGAGAAACATCGCAGGCCAACGGAAACCCAGCACAAGACAAGCAACACAAGTGTGACGATGACCAACTGAGGTCCTCTATTGTCTTCCGCCATGGTGTATAAACTGGATTTGTCGAGGGAGGGGTGCAACGGTTGTCGTTATGGTTCGTAGCTCATGATCGCCGGCGCCTCAAAACATGACTGTTCGTGGAGCTCGATCAGGATCGAAAACTAGAGAGAGATGTTCGTCGCAGATAGAAAAACAAAGGATGGCCTGGATTGTGAAGAGTGTTTTCGGGTTTCACATGGCACACAACGTGGGAATATCGGTAATCTTGCGAGTCAGCAAGCCAAAACGTAAATATAATCCGAGATCGACCCAATGGCACTACGTGTAACACCGTACACCTGGATCTGCCATGGATCATCAGCCAAAAGGATATCCTGTGGACCTATATGTTCGGGCAATAAAGACGGTTTGGGACCAGCCAAGCCGGCCGATTCCACAACGGCAGACGCCGTAGGGCGTGCGCGAGTCCTGAATGGCTCTTTGATTCTCCAATAAAAAAACACCGCAGCGGGCCTCACCACTTAGCTGCGGAATCGCCATGACTTTTCCTCGATGCAAGCGCCCGGCCATCAACTCGCCACACGCCTCCTGGCGAGTTGATTCGCAACGAAGGCCAGCCCGCTGACCGCTTTGATTGGGTAATTTGGGCAATAGTGCATGCTGTAATGAGCGGAAACCACTGCGCCTCTATAATATGTGAGGCTGAGGTCAATTGCTCGGGTTGCTCTGATTTTGTCATTGTGTCCCGCTTGATACCTTGTTCGGAGGCAAAATCTTCCTCCGAGTGAGCTTCCGCAGAAGCCTTTTGAGGACTCTTTGGAAGCTCCCCAAACTTATCCGTCTTTAGTCTGCAGCTTATCTCTCGTCCCCTCTGCCAAGGTCCAGACGCCTAATCAATTCAATCGTTGGCTGGAGAGCTTTGTAACTGGTCCCGAGTACACATTGAAGCGTCGATAATGCTATGTTCTTGCCTTCTGCCGGTGGTTTTTCGAATAATTGGGAGATCCCTGATATGCGAGGAGAGATGACCAGCAGGGAAATCCCTTGGTTTGAGGTATCGATGTGAGACTTTCATCCATCCGAGGCCTTCGGGATGGTCAATTTCCCCACAAGGAAATCCTTTGTAATGTTAACAGAACCGAGAATCATTTCGCCTCCCGCAACTCGGAATGCCCAGACTGGCATCGGCTGTCAGTTAATCATAAGTTTGAAATCTTCACAAATCATCCGAAGTCTTTCCGAATACCCAGTCCGCGGGCGCATTGACCCGAAGGCACGGAAAGGAAATGGTTGGCGAGTAGACACTGAAGCAGAATGCCAGCCATGGCACATCGGGCTGCCGTAAAACATACCATTTCACTCCACGGGGTTAGAGAGCATGAACGACGACAAGACTCAGTGTACAAGTACGCATGATTCAGGGAGGGCAGTTTTAGTCAACCGCATCTGAAAGGACGCAAGATAAAAGACCAAAAGTGGGCAAGAAATGCAGAAAATTACATCTATGTACAGATAAAAGTCGGCGGAAATAAACATACTAGCAGCGTTAAGGCCTTCTGCGGCCAAGAGCCACAGGTGTGGGCTTGGTATCCAAGCCTGGGAAGTATATTGCGAGTAACACATCTGATTATAAGGGATCCCAGCCGATTGATGAAAAACTTCACACTGTACCTTCGGTAGTATTAATGCCGCTCTTCAATCTACACCATAGATAACCTGTATCCATGTAAACTCTGTAGCTACCAGGGTCAGAGGCCTCAATGGAGCTCTCGCTATTGAAGGCGTTCCCTCGCTCTATTAGACTGTGAAGTTATTTGGATCTATGTAAATCGCTATCCTGTTGAGATCCGTGGTGGTTCCTATTATCGGTATCTCAGTTCTTACTCTAACTAAACCGTCTTCATCTTGTCCGGCTACACCAGCCTTCTTCTGGGTCTTTTGGTGCCCAACGGCTATATGAGAATTTTCTTGGCGATAGCACTTATTGACCCGACCCTCCGGTATCTTCAGCCAAGTGAATTACCCCGTACTATCTGCTCCGATACGCTATTAAGCAAGGATTATCTCAACGGCGCCAATTCCGACACTGTGAATCTTAGTCACCGATCTCGCTAATCTGGCCTTGGTCAATCCAACCATTGATCATGCACACCCCAATGGCTGAATAGGAGATTAGCGAAGGTAAACATCTGAATCTCGATTGCGTGATAGAAATCTCACATGAGTTGATTTCTCCTTATGACTAAATGGGCCAAAGACGGTTTCTGGCCATGAAAATTTGTCCATTACTCATGGACTCCACCATTGTGTTACCATAGATGTGACCTCTACGGATTAGCCCCCCGAGAGTTTCCAGGCGTGGTGATCTCCCAACAGAAAGTCAAGCAGCCATACTCAACCGACTTGATGTTCTTTGCTTGGTCTGATCATCGGCGTCCTCGGTTATATTGTTGATGCACTTGTGCCAGTCATAGGCCGAGTCGGGGATGATATAATCAGGGTCGTCTGAGTCATCTTGCTGCAGGATATCGTCTAGGTAGTACGGGAAGGCTTGCGTGGACTAAAGAGAGTCAGCACGCTGACAGTTTAACTTGAATGGTGAAGGAAATGGTAAGTCCTACATCATGTCGCAGTGCCAATTCCCGGAAGGTGTTCATCATCTCGAATGCTTTTCGCTCCTTAGTCTTCCCTGGAAGGGCGTAGCTCCCCCAATACCTATCTTGTATCTTTACCCCCTTCATAGTTAGCCCAACTTCTAGGGTCCTGTCACATGTCGCATATGTTACGGTAGATCGATCGAAATCGTGCGTATCCCAATCAGATTTTCTTTCGTCCCTCCCCAATGCAACAATTTCCTGAGCAGACACACGTGATGCTACACTAAGCATACATAGGCGGTGGTGAGTTGGCAGCTGCGAACCGCTTGGGGGATGCGGGCACATATCGGGCACGGAGGCGTAGAGACCAGTGGTTTGACAACTTGTCAGGCCAAGAGGCTGGCTGAGAAGCATAGCCACTTTGTAATACGAACTTGTGGTGGGCAAGGAGGATCAGTGCGACGCGGACGAGGCTCTGCTGACGCGAAAACATTCAAATGTATGCCCCGCAGTGCACTGCCATACAACTGATGCAGCACGAGAGGCAAGACTCAGCCCCTGACCTTTCCACATATCCGCGTAATATTATAATTCTGAGCCGCTGTTCGCTCGAACACGGAGGTAAAGGAAAATTCCGAGCACACTCACCGGAATCAGCATCTTTCTTCTTTCTTCTTCCTTCACCGCACATTTTTCAATGCCTACACTGAAGCCTGAGTTATACACTGTGGCATGGATCGCACCATTAGAGATTGAGGCCCGAGCTGCTTTACAGCTCCTGGACCATAGACACGATGGCGGATTTCCCATGTCCCGAGGAGACGATTATGTGTTTCAAGCAGGCGATATATGCGGACACAATGTTATCATTGCCACGCTTCCAGCGGGTCAAGAGTACGGCACCGGGTCCGCCGCCGCTCTTGCTAGCCAGGTCAAAAGATTCTTCCCAAATCTCTGGTTCGGCTTATTGGTCGGTGTTGCAGCAGGGCTCCCCGACATGGACCGTAAGCCCCAGCGCGACATTCGTCTTGGAGATATCCTAGTTGGTCTTCCAGACATGGATCATGCCGGTCTTGTTGCTTATGACCTGGGCCGAGAAATGGCCAAGGATGGATTCCAGCTCTTGCGATGCGGACAAATATTGGCGCACACAGAGACGGTTGTGAGATCAGCAATTGGTAGTATTAAGCTCCGCGCGCCTGATGACACTAAAACGTTTCTTCCATATTTCGAGGCCATCAAAGACCGAGAACACGCAGACGGCACGTTTGCTGACCCGGGCGAGGATCATGACCATCTCTATAGAGTCAACGACGACGGGACTGAATATTTGGTGCAAAGAAGCAAAAGGCATGCCTCTAAGCGCACTCGGGTCTGGTACGGATCCATCGGCTCCGGGGATAAGCTCATAAAGAATGCCCAAATTCGCGACCAACTCAAACGCAAGTACGGTCTTATTGGGTTGGAAATGGAGGCAGCTGGAACCATGAATCGTATCCCTGTCGGCGTCGTCCGTGGTGTCTGTGATTACGCCGACGAGCACAAGAACAAGACTTGGCAGCCATATGCTGCAGCTATGGCTGCTGCATATGCGAAGGCGATATTATGTGAGATCCGCGCCGAAGGACTGGGAGACGCTTCCATTCCAGCAAAACGCAAATATTGTAAGTATGATTCCGTTCGGAAGAACTTAATTTGTCGAACCCAGTTTCTGCTTTTGTTCTTTGCCGACCAATATGAGGACTGATAAGTGGCGATTAGCCTGCGAAGAAGAAACAGTCACTGGGTCAAAGCCGCGCAAGCGCACTCGTTCAGCCAAAGAAGGACCAACATCAGATTTAACAGTACGTAAGCTTACCACCTTGGCCAGTCAAGCTGGAGAAGAAAAAATAAAATTCATAGCTAAAATAATCTCTTCTGGAGATGATCCAGACTAGTCGCACAGAAGCGACGCTAGAGCCCTGCAACAAAAACGGTCGCCGGATACAAAGACTTTCTGCCGACCAAAAGATGCTCTTGATCGAATCGCTCTACTTTGATGAGATCGATGCTCGTCAGAGAAGCATTCGTACAGCGCACAACAAGACATGCAAATGGCTGCTTGACGCCCCGGAATGGCGTGATTGGCTCAATACGAAGAAGCTCGAAGACCATCACGGCTTCTTGTGGATCAAGGGGAAACCAGGTACAGGCAAGTCAACTCTGATGGAGTTTGCGTCTTCGTACGCTTTCGAGAACATGGATGGCGAGATGAGCATTATCGCGTTCTTCTTCAGCGCCAGGGGTGGAGAACTTGAGAAGACGACTATCGGATTATACCGATCACTCTTATCGCAACTTCTCGCACAGCGCCCGGAACTCGAATGCATCCTTGAGCTACCTGGAATACCTAGGGGCGATGGTCCCCTTAGACCACAATGGACCATCGAATCGCTGACGCTGCTGCTTCGCCATGCTATCAAGAAACTGGGAACATTACCACTGATATGTTTCATCGATGCCTTGGATGAGTGCGATGAGACGCAGATCCGGGAAATGATATCGGTACTAGAGAGCTGCAGCAAGACTGCACGTTCCGCCGAGAGCCGGCTCCATATATGCCTGGCGAGTAGGCACTATCCACATATCACCATCGAGAAAGGGCTTGAAATAACACTGGAACGACAAGCCGGCCATGTTCAGGATATCGCCCAATATCTGTGTGATAATTTGAGGATACGACCTTTGAAACTTTCGGCCCCCATTCGTTCTGATATCCAAGACAAGGCATCGGGAGTATTCATCTGGGTAGTGCTCGTTGTGGGACTACTCAACAAGGAATATGATAGAGGGCGCATACACAGTCTCCGTCAAAGACTACAAGAGACTCCTCCTGACCTTAATGCCCTATTTTATGACATAGTCACACGGAATAATCAGGATATACGGGAATTTCTTCTTTGCATCCAATGGGTGCTTTTTACTAGTCGACCACTGTCGCCACGGGAATTGTACTTTGCCATTATTACAGGAACCGAGCCCAACGAACTCAAAGATTGTCATTTCACCTCTCTGGTTATATCCAAAGAAGTCATCAGCAATTTCATCCTTGATGTTTCCAAAGGTCTCGTCGAGATTGTTCATGATGATCAACCGATTGTTCAGTTCATTCATGAATCGGTCAGGGAGTTTCTTTTGAGAGAAGACGGAATGGCCGCCATTGCCACAGCAGACACAAGGAACAGGTTCGAAGGCACCAGTCATCATGCACTTACGCAATGCTGCCTTCACTACATCAAAACATCAGTGGCAGGACGTCCTCATGATCCCGAGACTGGGGCTCACAAGCCAATCCAAACACACCATCACCTGAGTGAAAGCCTCATAAATACCTGGCCTTTCTTGAAGTACGCCACTGAGAACATTTTGTACCATGCAGGTGCAGCCCAAGCCTCTGGAGTCGACCAAAGCTCGTTTCTTCAAGGTTTCAGGCTGGAAGACTGGGTGTTGCAGAATTACTTGCTCTTTGCTTCGAGGGGAATCCACAAAGGAAAAGGGGACTGTCCCAATGAGACTTATTTGGAGAAATTGTTTGACAACAACAGAGGAGCTTTCTCTCAACTCGCTACCCTCAACACACCGGGTCTTGATGTCGGAGAATGGCGGCTTTGGACCCCAATCATCGAATCCATAGCTTCTGGAGATCAGGTGAAGTTCCAATCACACCTGAAAGCCCGAGCGAATACCTTGCGATCAGAAAAGCTCCACACAGATCCCCAAAGGCAAAAACAGACGGCTGAGAGGAATTCCATAGTTGACATAGGTCGCCAGTCCTTAAGCTCATGGGAAGCGAGCCTTGTTTTCTCTGCGGCAGAACAGGGTGATGATGAACTCCTTACTCTTGTCCTTGCGGGCAAGAATATCAAGATGGACTTCCGTGATGAGCATGGGAGAACGCCCATGATGGTGGCTCAAGATGTACGAGTGGTCGAGGTTCTCATCGACAATGGTGCCGAAATCAATTCAAAAAGTAGGAATGGCTTGACGCCTCTGACACAATTTGTGCTGAAACAAAACTACACCGTCGTTGAATTGCTACTCAAGAGGGGTGCGGAAGTCAATGGCAGAAACGAGCGCAACGATACACCTTTATTTTGGGTAGCCGGAAGCGGAATGAAACAAGCAGCGTCTGTATTACTTGACCACGGCGCTTCTGTCGATATGCGAGCCAGTGATGGGCTTACGCCACTGGCCTGGGCAGCCAGAAGTGGAAACATTGGAGTCGCGGCCTTGCTTCTGGAAAAGGGAGCAAGCGCGGAATCTGCAGACAACGAGCTTCGAACGCCACTTATGTGGGCTACGCAAAATCAGCGCATGGGTTGTGTTGCACTACTGTTGAAGAAAGGCGCAAATCCAAATTCGGCCGACGCCGAAGGAAGGACTCCCTTGTCTTGGGCAGCTGCCTATAACTACTGTCACATATTGTATCTTCTGCTTGAGAACGGGGCATCTGTCGTACACCCCGATCGCCAAGGCAAGACGCCGAGAGACTGGGCGAGGGAGGGAAAGCAGATGGTCGCTGAATACGTTTTGCGGAGCTGGGAAGAAGCGAGAAGTGTACAGGATCGTGACAACCTATTTCACTTTATTCTGGAGAGAACGATTCAAAGAAGGTCTACTACGGACACGATCATCAATCAGAGACGTAAGAAAGGAGGCTCAAGGTGTGGGTACAATTAAGCAGTGGAATGGTGTTAAGGACTTTCACAGGGGAACAGCGTGACTGGTAGGCAAACAGTAAGTCTGCCATACCAACAATAGGCACGCTTCGGTTCAACTCAATATCAACTACCAAGAACCCTTGGTGGGTTGGTGGTCAAATTAGTAAGCCAAATGGCTGGAGTATGGAAATTATTAGTACATAATGAGGCTATCGTCAACCTTGCCTTCGCCGTCATCCTGGCTAAGGTCCATTAACCACGCTGTCACCCTTGCTATCTACTCTGATTCTGTGTCCTCGAGGATGTCATGTACTTGTTCCTCGCGGATGGATATAAGTATGGGGTTAAGCCGGCATATTAAGCCGATGCGCTACTAGCTTTACAGTTTCTAGCATATGCCGAGAATCCCTACGCCAAGGCCGATCCGAGGGTACTTGAAGCGCTTCTTGTACTAGTGCGTAATAAGGTCGCGGATTGACATAGCTCGCTTGTTCTTGTCATTATACCAGATATTTATCCTAAGCAACTCAAGTATATTAGCTCTATTGAGAGTAGTGTCGATATACGGAGCTAAAGGGGACATAGAAGTGCGATTTCTTCGCGAGAGGCGAAGTAGCCGTGTTATCTAGTTATACGTAAATACGGTACTACACTTCTTTAAACAGTGTCCTTACTACTATAATCTAGGTAAGCCGATAACCCTATTTCACTTTAAACTAGGTCTAACTAAGTTATGGCCTAGGTAGAGGGCTAGCGTAGCTTATTAAATCGGTATATTATCGAGCTCTATAATACGTCATAATAAGCTGGTTTATCTAATGTTACGGAGGGTAGAAGGTACCCTTAAAGGTACTGTGGGCAATACAGGCAAGAGAGTTGTATTAGTGATGATGATGATGACTGGATTAACTCCCAAAGGCTGCAGCTACGGAAGGGCTGTCTATGGGCAGTTGAACTAAGCGCTGTACCCAGGTGGTGTGCCTGGGGCACGCAACAGGTACCATGAAAGTTACTATTAAACATATAGAAAATATATGCAGTCTAGGAGATAGCCGCACAATTAGGTAAACCCCTAGATCAGTATAGATCGGCATAATTGTACAGCTGCTTAGACTAGACCCTCAGGGTTAAGGGGGCCGCTTACTATCATAATACGTTTTGAATGGTTGGTTGGTTTGTTGATTGATGGATGGATACGGAAATGAGAGAGACGCGATTGGATAGTCAACTCCTCTCAAACGCATATTATATAGCGACACAGGAGTATGCAGTAACAAATACACGTTTGGCATCCCAATATGCAAAAGCTGATGTAACACCCACGCAACGTGACCCGATTGCTTTGCTGTCAGGCTGGGACCTGGAACGAATCCGCTTACCAAGACATCTTGTCGCCGAAGAAGCAGGTCGACTTTTAACTACGTAGCATCAACAGTCTTCTAAAATTATGTTCAGAAAGATCGTTCGCCGTGATCTAATGTCAGTGCCGCCTTCCCGGTCAAATCAGCAAGAGATAGCTATTGGACTGTAGGGCAAATGGTTTTGTAATGAAAAGGTCGTGATCTCTGGAGAGTCCTCCAAGAATTGAACGACGGCCATAAGGGCTTTGTATAGATATAAATGAATGATGCCTGTCCCAAAGGCAGGACTTGCGTGGTATGATTGGTGGTGGCCACATTGGCCCATAACGTACGGTCAGTGATCATATGTCCTTCCAAGACTGGTAGTTCGGTGTAATGGCCTTGAAGGTCCCACAATAGCCACTTGAGACCCCAAGCCTCTTCCACTACGCTATGCAACCCAAATTTCTCAAGATCAGGTCGCATGTCGTCATGATCCATTCCTACAAGCACATTACATAATCACATCGCAGCAATACAACGTCGCGATTTATACTTGACAGCTCGGGTGGCGCCTCTCATCCTTGTCGTGTGTCCTTTCTGCCCCCTGTATTCCCCGTTTTTTCCCTATCATCTCCAACTGATAGGGGAAATTATCCACATATAAGAACAGCTGAAATGATGTTTAGCTTCGCTGCCCCATATTCCGCATGCTGAATATGGCCATCTATGTGACACGCATGTGGAACCTTGAGTATGGTTTTGATTGCAGGGTGGGTTTAAGAGGTCTTAAAAACATCGAGTCTGCAGTTTGCGTTCAAAATGATGTTCTGCAGCTCCCTCAGGTCTATTTTCTTTGATTGGAAATATAATATTCAAGATGCTACTGCTCAATGTGCTCCTATGGCTTCCTGTTGTCTTCGCGTCTGGAAACCTCCGCCGAGTCGCGAATGGGACAGCACCAGTTCTCCCAGACCGCCAACCCTTCGGCTTCGGGTCTGAAGTCACAGGAGGCGGCTCACCAACGCAAGAGAACACATTCATCGTGGACAATATGATGGACCTCCGGACGGCATTGACATTAACAACACCGCGAACCGTTTACGTCAAGGGTGAGATAAAGGGCTCCCAGATCAACCACACAACATACGGCGATTGTCAGTATTATATTGACACGAGCAACGTCAAGCAATACAACTTCACACTCTATCTTATGGCCATTAACACGACGTATACCGATGCGGTGAAAGCTGCCGTGGCTGCGGGAGAAATGTTCGAAGGGCAGAATGCAACTGAGTACCTCGCCCTGCTAAATCATCAAAATGTACATATATATCGTTGCTTAGAATCTTCTTAGCAGCCCATCTCATTCACTTGCTTTTTTTAACTGCATATTTATTCACTACCTTTTCATTTAACACTTTCTCATCCACGACCTTCTCATTCGTTAACTTCTTATCTCCTACCTTTTTAGTCACTGCCTTCTTATCTACTAACTCATTCTAACCCAGGGCTGGCGCGGCATCGCCCAGAACGTCCAAAAATCCCTTGAATCCATCGATGCCCAAGGCAACCTAACCCTCATAGGCTGGGACTCCTCGTCGTACCTCAACGGCGTCTCCCTCTCCTTCAACCAACGCAGCAACATAATCATCCGGAACTTACGCATTTCTTCCCCACGAGACTGTTTCCCCTCACCAGAAACCTACCCTGCAACCTGGAACGCACGCTACGATGCCATAAGCTTCGTCACGACGACCGACGCCTGGCTCGACGGGAATATCCTCGAGGATTCTCCTTCGGGTGCAGTGGCGCCCGATCAGTTTCTCTGGGGTTGGGAGGTTGATCGGTATGATGGCCTGTTCGACGTCGAGGATGGTTCCGATCGGATTACATTCAGTCATAACGTGGTAGCAAACCATCATAAGAGCTTGCTCTGGGGCGGAGGTGAAAAGGAAGGGCCGCGGGATCTGGGCAAGATGAAGTTTACGGTCTTTGGGAACCGTTTCTTTAACTCTTTGAGTAGGAATCCGTTGATGAGGTTTGGGACGTTTTACATTGTGAATAACGTGTTTGAGAATTATGCGGATAGTGCACCGTTTTTTGGCAGCTCTAACTCGACCATGAGTTGTAGACGTGGTTTGGGTGAGGACATTATGGCGACGGGAGTGGGGAAAAGGGATGATGAGGATAACCCTGCCTTCCAGTACAACCTTGGCATCTACAACATGTCCTCCGTTCTGGTATCGGGGAATTATTTCGACCAGACGGGCGCGTATCCGGATGACGAGAGTCGGATATTCACTTTTAGCAACCTGGCTACCCCTGACCAGCCGGCTACGCTCTGCTCACCGCCCGACCTGCGGTCTATATCGGACTATCCGGAGTTGAGCGATCTCGCAAAGCCAGCCAGCGAGATGAACGGGCGGTATGTGAATCTGGCGGACAACGTAGTCGAGACATTCAAGTATTACATATCGAAGAAGACGGATTCGGTCGCTGGCGGACTGGTACAGAGCTGTGCCGGGTTCGAGGGGCAAGAAATGCCGGTTGCATTCACCTCGGCTGGAGAGGTGTTGGAGTATGTGAAGGGAAATGCTGGGCAAGTAGGCAGAAATGGGCCATGAAGATGGCGTAGGTGTTAGAATAATAAAACGAACAGCGACCAAATGGTGGAATAGAGGGGGGTTACTACTATCCCGTATATTAAAGAAGCATTATCTGATTATTCCGCCTGTGTGCCAGTTATTTTGTCCTCTTCTTGCCTGTCAAGTTGTGCAGCTGAGAAGTCCACCAATGAGATGCCCGATCTACGGCCAGGATTATGCATAACATCTACCGCCACGCCGCCTGCACTGTCGTGTTTCTGGGTCCCAAACGCAGCACGACAAGTATCTGGGAGACATAACCGTGATCGTTCTGGCAGGCGCTCAGTGGTGGAAACGTGCCTGGACGATACAGGAGCTGCTATTGTCACCACGAGCGCTTCTTATGTCGGGTGGGCACGTCATCGACTGGGATTACTTGTGCGCCGCCGTGGACCACGGGCTGAATATACAGATCTGGCAGCCCCTATCCTTCGGCTTCATCATGGACCATGCCGTCGTCCCCTATTTATCCATGCGTGCTCTGATGGGCCGGCGACGACTACAGCAGCGACAGAAAAAGTCCTCCCCAAGCCCCTCTTCTTCCCCTGCTTCCCAAGCCGAGGACCTACTATATCTACTCATCCACTGCCGCCACCGCTCCTCTGCCGACTCCCGCGACAAAATCTACTCCGTCATGGGCTTCTTACACGAGAGCCACGATCAACTTCACTCCCTCCCAAATCAACTATCCATCGAGCTCGACTACGGCCATCCAGTAGTCTACATCTACCGCCTAATCACCCAATTCCTCATCCGACAATCTGGCACCCTTGACGTCCTAGGTGTATGCCCCAAATCCACCCGCCGCGCCCTGCCCTCATGGGTAACAGACTGGAGCATAACGTCGCCCATCAGATCACCCTTGAGTCGGGACTCAATGGATCGGCCACGGAGAACGCATGCTACAGGCTACACCAAAGCCGACGCGCTGCCGTTTTATCACTCAGAGTCGCAAGAATCAGTCGGGGAATTCCACAAACCCGAGCACAAGCGTGAGTGGTTTACACGGGTCTCCGGCATTTTCAAGGCGGAGCACCGCGTGTGTCAGGATGTTTTGGCCATCGTTAGCACACTGTTTTCCTGGGAGAAATTTGCTGCTTTCACCACTCCTACCGCCACTGCTGCTATGAGACCAACGACAGCAAGAACAACGAATCCCAGTGACAACAAAAGCAATAGTAGCAGTGCCCCCAGTGAAAAAAGTCCCGAGAACGACAAAGACGCCTATTGGCAAACCCTCTGCGCGGAAACTTACAAATCCCACTCCCGTACCCTAACCTCCTCTCTATACGAAACCTGGTCCACAAGCCTCGAGCCCCTTCGTTCCTTCCTAGCATTCCACCCTCACACATCGGAATCGTTCCCCGAAGTCGCCTTCAAGAAGTTCCTCGACACGGTCTGGGATTCCTACGTTGAATTCTGGCCTTACATCAATTGTGCCAACCACCGGCGTATGGGGCAGGTCTCGGAGCCATCACGACTGTGTCTACTACCCGAAGCAGCGCAGTTAGGGGACAAGATCATACTTGCCCGGGGCGGGAAGGTGCCGCTCGTACTCAGGGCCGATGAGGATGGGTATTATATGTTCGTCGGGGAAGCGTACGTGCATGGGGTTATGGAGGGAGAAGGATGGGACGAAAGCAGGTGCGAGGATGTCAAAATATGTTGACGAGAGGGGTATGGAGCAGTGGATGGATGGAGCCGCATGCAAAGGACTGCCAAAAGGGTCGTATAGTCACAGCATGCTAAATATTGACAGTATTGTTCAGAGTAATATTCAATTTCAGGACCTAGCCGAACGACCTTTTCCTCTATCGTGCCCCAGAACGAAGGACTCCCATGACATGCGTGAATGCCTTCATTGCGAGGTACAAGCACCGAGTCAAAACCTCAGCGCAAATGCGCTCAAAACGTACCGAAACCCCTTGATGCCGCCAATATCTGTTGAGTTTCCCACCGGAGCGAGCAGCGATGTCAAACCGAACTCCCCCCCGTGTACGGCCCATTGGGGTCGAAGTACGTATTGGTGCTGCTCCACTGCGCCTTGCGCAGCTGCCGCCATCCTATCAGTCCCGTAGGGCTAAACTCCAAGCCGTCTACCGAAGTTACTCCTTTCCATCCAGGAACTCGTCTGAAGTGGGGTGTGTGTATAGTGTGTCGAACAATGCACGTAACCAGGACCAGGCTAATGAATTATGCATTAAAGAAAAAGGCCCAACCAGGCATATGTACCGCGGACGGGTTGCCTGGTGCCTAGTGGATCAAAATGAGACTCCAATCCGTAACGCCGCGCAAGTGAATCCATATAATTGCTTCGTTTCTTCCCTTCCACCAACCGTTCCGTGTACTCGGTATGCTATCGTCGTCATGGATACTCTGTGATCATCATGCGGAATCCTGAACGCCGTGTCGTAATGCTAATGCGGAAAAGACAGAAAATGCAAAAGTCAAGGTGGAAGAACAAGGGAGAAAGTGTAAGTGGTGCCCCACAGCATTGGGGTGGGTGCGGCAATGTACAAATACCCGACGTCTGATCGGATATCGTCTTGTAAGTCACCGAGCACGGCGAACTCATCCTCGGATCGCTGGCGAAGTATGAGCGTCTGCTGTGAAGGGAAAGCGATCTGCATGGTGCTGAGCGTGATTGAATGAAGGTGTGTCTATGGTATAACCACCTATCGACGTACCAGCGAGAGAAAAGCTACCTGGCATGGGAGTCGGGGGACCTGATCGAGCGGTTGGCGTCATGGACGAAGAAGGGCTCAAAGACTGACGCGAGGTAGCTGAAGGGCTACCTATTGGCGACTCGGCGGGCGAAGCTCCTATGGTGACATGGGGGTTCTGGAAGTACGGGTTCAAGTTATTGTGGATAGAATAGCGCAGAGAGTGATGCTGGGCCTTAGGAGGCATCTCTGGGCTGCTGTTTGAGCTCGAATTGGCGCTGCTGTATCGAGTGGAGAACTCATCGCCAGCACCGTCATATCGGCCACTCTGCAGGGTTCCGTCCTTGATTTGGGGACTGGACTGCTTCGAACCATTGAACTACAGCAAGGACGCGTTAGTTTGATTATCCTCAAATTGTCACCGGAAAAGGCGCTCTCTGTCTCTCGTCCGTGGTGGGCCATGGCTATGAACCGGTAGTACGTACAAAACAGTATTTGTTGACGATCTCCTCGTACGATGCCGAGGCAATGGTAGCGGAGGCAGGAGAATGGGTATTGGAGGCCTGCGGGACAACGGCAGGTGCCATGGTGGGACCTGGAGGGCCTGGCCGGGGAGGACTAGTCTGGATCGGATGGATGTAGGATCCCTTCTTGTTTGGCTTCATGTAAAGACCATCTCCCCGCGGACTGCCATTTGGATCCTTTTGTGCTTGCATGGCAGCAGTCAAGGATGCACCAAAGTCATAGCGGTTGGCAAAGGCAAGGCCACTAGGAGCAGATAAACGGTTGGTCAAATTGTCACTGGGGAGGCTGGTGGTAGACTTTGAGCTCTTGAGACGCAGACCTGTTGGTCTAGACTCGCCCAGATATTCGTGAATGGGTTGTTCAAAATTGACGAACTTCGAATCGTGGCCAAATTCATCCATGATACCGACAGGCATGGACATGGGTCGTGCCGCAGCCGAAGGGTTCGTCCTACGAGTACTGCGTGGCAGAGAGTTGGCCGGCCTGGATGAAGCACCCTGAAAGTTCTTCTTGCCGTTCTGTGGCAAAGCTTTCTTCTTGAAGTCGACTTGGAAGTTGACGCCATTGTTATTGTCCCAGTACTCGACGCCGTTGACGCAATATTTGATACAAAAGTAAAGAGTCTTGGATTCGAGATTGGCAAGATCCGATAGCTTGATGTTGAACTGAAACTGGTCGTGGCCGATATCAGTATCTCGGGGACGAATCTCGTGGGAGTATTCGGCCGCAACTTCAGACGTGGTCTTCCAGTAATCAAAGGTGAATCGGCAGACAACGGTTTTCTGGAACGCCAGGTTCGCGACGGATATCGAGCCAACCAGGCTCTTCTGATCACTAGACATCCATACACGGTCCAGTCGAGCAGGCAGAGATTTGCGTATGGGTGTATCAGCAGGGAAGTTGTTCACCGCAATATCCCATTCGAACGGCGGCGTCCGAGCTGAAGTCTTGTCATCGGTGTTAAACGGGTACTCAGTATCGCTCTCGTAGTTCTCGACGGGCGATGAACCCGCGCTGACTGCCAATGGCCGATCTACTTGTAAGAAATGCCGCACATGTTCCAAATGGGAATCAAAATGGACTGCTTTGGAGAAAGTCGGGGTGCCTGGCATGCTCGACGGTCTTCGTTGGGATGATGACGGTCTAAGTGCTGGACGGACCAGTTCGCCAGACTTTTTGCGAACCATTTGGGGCTTCCTCGGGGGCTCGTCGGTATCTTCATCCTCGTCTTCGTCCGATATCGTAGGAGACGCACCGGCTGATTTGGACATGGAAATGGAAACGAAGGGCTCAGTGCTGGCACGAGAATGCGCAATCTTTCGAGAACCAGACTTGAGTATGCCTTCGACAACTTCGCCATCCAAACTACGTGGTGCTGCTTCGACAATATTTGGAATTTGCGAGGGAAGCACCAAGACATCTATGGCAGGTGTCCGTCTGTTAGGAGAACTCTCCCGGTGTTGGGGAATGGCACTGATTGCATCTTGCAATTCCTTGAGGTTTTCGATCTGGCGTCCGCGGCTGTCGCCTGTCGCTCCCTCATCTTCGCTAGAGGATTGGGATTCCGGCGGCGAGATGATAGCGCCTGGAGGCATCGATCGAGCATCCCCAATTGGGGGAGGTGATTGTCGGATCGGGCCTGCGTTCTGACTTGCTACCATGCGTTGAAGATCATGCGACGTCCCAGGAGGGGTGATGTCCGGAGTCGAGCCATTGGTTATTGGTCCTGTTCCCACAACTGCCGAGGGTGCTCTCCGGTGTTTCGACAAATATGAAGCGGATCGCGGGAGGGCTGGTCGGGATGGAGAGCCGGCGCTGCTGCCGCCAGCCGTCATGCCCGTGCCATGGAACGAGGACCTCCGGCTGGTACTTGGCGAAGAGGGGGCTGAGGACGCAGGAGAACGGTTTGCGGGAGGCGTGTAAGGCATTCCCAAGGATTTGGGTTGCCCGTGGATGAAGGTGTCGAAGGTGGGGGGTGAGTAAAAGTCGGCAAGGGGATTAAAGCTGCTGGTCTTAGGAGTCTGCTTGACGTGATGCAGACACGGGAAAAATCGGCTCCAGATCTCAAACCATAAATCAACTGGAGATGTGCCGACTTTTGGAGTGGCGACTTGGCGTTCGTAAAAGCCTGGAAAGAGAGGTTCAATTAGCATTATTGTTTACGCGATGCCTATGTCCATGATACGTGATTATGCTGCTGCTCGGCTGTGGTATCTATGAAGCATTGGCGGAAAGCGAGCAGGGTAGAGTTTATGTAGCTTTGGATGGATGCGGGGGAAAGGGCACTGGAACGTGAGTTGATGTGGGAATTGGCAAGAGATGTTGCAAGCATGCCCGTGTTGTCACAGGTGACGAGGCGCAGGAATGAGAACTCCTCATCATTGCCCCTGCCCACAGTTTATCTTCTGTCCGTTTTCTGGTCATATGCATGCATCGAGCAACATCCACGCCCACGCCATGCATGTTGGCGGGGCCGATGTAGCAAGGGAGCAGGAGATACCGCTTGGGCAAGATCAAAATGCATCAGAAGAAAGGAAGGAAGCGATACTTACAGGTTGGTGGTTCAACGGCAAATGCTCACGGAGCTACTCGATTAGAAAAGGCGGGGGGGAAGGGACAACGGGAGAGAAATGCACAGGCAATATTCCAGCAACTGTGCAAACCTTTTCGTCGGTAGACCAAAGAAGACGGTGAAAATCTCCCTTCGGCTGGTCAGGAGCGATGCCGGTGGAGGGTTTGGGTGAGGTGAGCCGGAGATGCGGAGCACTCAAGACGATCCAGCAGGTGTCAGAAGGAAAACTTCGACGGTTAAGGGTCGCAAAATTCCAGGTGTGAAGTGGTTCGAGATCGGCTGCTCTATCCTCTAAGTAGCACAAAGTGTGTGTGTTCTGTATCGGAGTTGCTATGTCCTGTGCATCCAACCAACAATGTGCTGGTTGGGCAAGGATGGGTGGGATGGAGTGGGAGGACCGGCTTCCTTCGTTTCTTTCCCTTGTTGAAGTGGTTGCTGGACGCTTTCGCTCTTTATAAAAACTTTATTTGCTTGCTTCCTTCACTGCTCTGTTCCTACTTGCCCAAGAAATCCCCAAAATCTAAAGGGGACCCACGAAAACTGCGCCGGGAAACAACGAGGCCACACAATCAACACCTTGCAAAGGATGTTGTCGAAGACAAGACCAGTGTCACACGCTGGGTGGCTTCAGTCGAGTCGGGACGTCGAGGGATCCGCTCTTGTTGTCAATGAAGACGAAGGTCGGATTGAGGACGGGCCGCTGGTGGTCGACGTGGTGGAATTGAGACAACTGTTTTGAGGTTATCTACAATTCGATCCAGTGTTGGCAGGAAGGGTGGATGGCTCGGTGGTCTTTGAGGGCCGCGGAAAGGTGGGTAGTAGGGTCTTAATATGGTTGGGGCGGAGGCGCTGTGCTTTTGAATGATTGATTGGGGAGGCTTCCCAGATGTCCACAGCAGCACCGGGGGTGGGGAATTCAAAAAAAGTGTCTGACCGGGGACTTTAGTCACGGAACAAGGGCTGGTGCGAGACTGTGCAGTGAACAGCTCTACACACTGTAGGGGTTAAACAACCCCGAAAAAGGCTTGGGCACACTACCAAACTGGAGGATTAAAATACAGGTAGGAGGAAGCTAGGAAGCTAGGATGATGGATCTGGGACTGGGGTCCCCTGCCATTGTCCAAAGCTGGTAATCTATACGGGTTTCTCTGGGCCAGATAGGCCGAATTCGAGTCTAGCGATATGGGGCAACATTACCGTCTCCGTCTCCGTCTCCGTCTCAGCCTAGTTATCATTCGTTTCAGTTCAGCACCTATGGTTTAAATCCTAGATATAGGCAGACTCTTCTTACCTCCTCAAGTGTGCTGGTCGCGATATTATGTAATTCAATGTAGTCGTCAATTAAACACACCAAGTCTCGAAGTTCAAGGCCAAGGTCCCGGTCCAACGAATGAGCACTCTGCGCAAGGTTGAACATATGCGGGGGAATGAATTATGTTCATTGTCCGTCATTCTTGCGTCGCGACTCGACAAACTTTTGTTGGGTTAAGATGTAAGATAGGCCGATGTCGAAGCTTTGGCGGGGAGCGCAAAGCAACGTATCACTAAGCTCATCAGTATCCGCGCATAATTACTCAAGACACATTGTAGGAAGCCCAACAGGGTAAATGCAGGCCGCGGCTTGATCCCAGCGCTATTGAAGTATTGGGGCAAATCTGCACGCGTCGGCCGCTCAGCCCCGGTACCACAGCAAGCTCCTCTGCAACACGCTTACAGGTGGATTAGTTGGCTGTTTCCTCTGCGTTACCATATGATGACGTAGAACTTCCCCGGTGTCAAACGACGCCAAATTTAAAGCAAGCCGAGTCCCGGGGCCATCAGTTACTAGTACATAAGCTCGTTACCTATAATTCTGACATTGGACAATATCAATATGCACGCGGAAACCACTAAAGCTATCCTATCTGTTGATCAATGATGCTCTATTCAAGATGCCATGATGTTATAACTGGAGATTGATCAGGTCATGCCACACACCTTTACCATATATTCGGTTTCTCTTCTGGGTCTCATGAAGCTCAACGGTCTTCTGCGGGTGGAGGGACCACGAAGGGTTGCATTGCTGGCTGTCTTGGGTGTAACAACAATATGAGCGGATCGGTGAAGACCTGCCTTAGATGCGTTGTGTGCCATTTCCAACTTTCACGTCTACAGCTAAGGCTATGTGGCTTGAGAGAGAGACAACCGACTTGCAAAAAGACAAACTCGTCATTATATTGATATTTGTTGGAAAAACAAGATGTTTCCTGTAAAGCGAACAAATCACGATTGTTGATAGATCGGATCGCTTGCTGCACCCATTGTAAAGGAAACAGGAAGCTCTTCTAGGCGTGCAACTGCCCTGTGACCCGCCCACTGTGACGAAATACAGAACCTGAATTGCGCGGCTGCCATGGATTTTAGGGAGCGACAACGGCTGCAAAATATAAAGCTCCAAACATTTCATTTAGACCTGCACTATGTGGCCTCTGCTTTCTGTTCTCACCGACGTCTGCTTAATTCGTCTTAACAATGGTATAGAGTTTAAAACCTTGAGGGCATCACCAGACACAATGAGCAGCATCAAGCCCGGTCATTCGTTGAAGTTCATGAATTGAAAGATCTCGACTCTTCTCTGTCACCTGCTATCCCATGCTCTCTCCTCCATTCTCAGCGATTCTCGCTGAATTCCATGTTTACTTTCTTCTCCAGCCCAATCTCGTCGCTCTGGTTTTACTGTCAATAGCAAAATTTTCATAACGCTCATAATCAAGAATTCAGACTGGCTCAGGTAGCTATCCCTTGGTATTGACGGATATTAGTCAAGCTCAACCCATGGCGGCGAATTCTGTACGGATGGCGTTACGCGGTCAGAGATAAGCACGCCGAAACAATCCCACCCTCTTGCCTCCCGCCTGTTTGGTGGCTTTGAAAAGTTCGCGACCGCGTCTACAGTCGTCGTCTCGCGTTTTCGGACACGGCCAACATCGAAACATGGCTTCACCAGAAATGGTTGGGTGCATCACATCGCCTGGTTTCCTAATCGCAGCCTCATTATCCCAATAACTCTCACAATGGCTTTCTCAAACATCGGTGAAGGAACTCATCGTCCATATCAGATGAAGATACTGGGTCAATGCTCATAGTTCGCGGTCTCAAGATGAAGCTTGGCGACGGGCCTGACGGGTTACCTTTTTGCACCGGGCCCGCAATCGAATGCCCAAAGCCAGATGGCCTCCTCACCTGCGACTCTGTGACTTTTTAGCGCTGATGTCGAATGCTTGATTGGTATGAATTTGAAATGGCCCGGTGAACATCGGCTGGGTACAGCGCCACGGCATATGGCAATCACCAATTACATGCGGAGACAGTACGTGAAGTTCATTTCGATTTTTTCTCAATACTTGTCTGTATTTCCCAGAAGTTTACGGAGTACAAGCGAGCTTATTTTGTTGAATCGCAAACACTGGGGACCAAGACGGGAATTTCAACATTTTTACGTTTTTCAACGCTCCCCGGGTCGTAGCGGCAGCGGCAATCGCAGTGCTAATCTCTTGATGGGGATACCAATATTACCACTTCAGTTTTAAAGCCATTTATTCATGGCAAACACTTCTTTTTGTCTAGTATCATACGAGATATGATCTGCATGACGCTAGGATGGCTCATGCTTTGATTCTCATGCATGGCCAGTCCCACCATTCCATCCATTATGTGTCAGAAATTGTCCGTAGCTTTTTGCCTGTCACTGCACAGTGACGGGCTTGCAGGCGGCGACAGCATTATCTGTGGGGTCTGGAGAAGGAGTCGTTGGCTAGTGTTTGAGGGCCCAGACGTGAGTCTGAAGAGTGGAAGCAGACTTCTTCGTCGAGATCCGCATCCATCCTATTGGATTTTTTCTAGTCTGCACTCCACTGATGAGCTTCACTTCACTCTCCATCTACCCTATTATTCTGCCGCGCGCGGATAGACGCCACCGAGTGGCACCTATTGCGTCCGTTAACATCTCCACAGTGAGGCCTCGGTGGATCACCCCGACGGCGATCTTCATGACGCAAAATATCACAATGCATCGTATGGAACCCGAGGTCTAGAAGAATATCATGATATACCAGCACGCCGGAACATCGAACACCATAAGGAGCTACGCCGCCTCTGGCGGTGGGGCATCTATCGACGAGATATCAATGCCAGGGCTTGTCACTAGTCTAGCTACTTGCTTACTAGTAGGTGTGTATAGGCTTTGATGGAAGTCATGGTGCTTTACGCCCGCAAAACCCTTCGTTGCACCGGCTGCAAACTCCGAATGGACGGCGTCGGCGTGCATTGTCCACCGCAACGAGACGCTCTGGGTGCATAGTCACCGCAGATAAGTCC